AACTTTTTATTTCTTAAAATATTTAATTTAAAAAATAAAAAAAAAAAATATTTAAGAATAATATTACTAGTAAAGAAACTTTTTATATATAAATATTATATATATTTATTATATGTTTATTTTTTTTTATAAGCTATAAAATAACTTATATACTAAGAAATAAAGATACAAGACCTTATAATACTTAGCTATATATAATACTATAGCTATAATAGCTAATATTAGCTTTTAAATAGCTAAGTCTACTGTAATTAAAGCTAAATAGAGCGCTTAATTTAAGTATAAGTACTTTTATATAGGTTTATTTATTATTTAGTAAAAATAGATTAATTTTATTAATTATATAATTAATTATAAAAAAACTAATAACTATAATTTAAAGTTAACTAAATACTATAAGAGTATTTTAAATATACTTTTGGAATAAATTAGTTTAGTTATACTTATTTTAGTTAACTATAATAACTACAAGTTTATTATAAAAAACCTTAAAATAAACAAATGAATTATATATACTATAGCTTAGTGAGTAGTGTTTTAAGTTAAGGGTAACTATAGTAAATACTTTAAGACCTTTTTTAACTATTAAGTTATTTACGCTATAGGCTAGGTAGTTATAAATCTTAGCTATAATAAAAGTCTTAGTATAAGAGATATTAAGATTATCTAGAATACTATAATCTTCCTTAACTATACTAGTATTACCCTAAGACTTAAGGCTTTACCTTTAATATAGACTGCTAAACCTGTACTTATTGTACTGCCCTAGCCTACACCTGTGCTGCTCTAGCCCGTTATAACCACTATACTACCTTAGCCTGTTACAACTACTATGCCGCCAGTCCAGTAGCCCGCTACAATCACTATGCTGCTGGCTATACCTACTATGACTATAACTAATATACCTACTATAGTCCTGACTATAAGTATATAACTAGCTATATATTAATATAATATATTAAATATAAAGGAAGATGATAATAATATAGAAGATATATTTATTATAAAGTATACTTTATAAGATAGCTTTAATAACACTAATAATTATAGTATTATTAAATAAAAGTATAACTACTTATTAAACTATACTTTATTTATAATTAATATTAATAATATATTTTTTACTTAATTCTTTAATCTTTTTACTAATAACTTTTTTATTACTTTAATAAAGTATAGTATAATTAATTAGCCTTTAATAATATATATAACTTAGGGCTACCTAAATACACTCTAAGGTCTTTATTTAACCTTTAAATTAATAGTATAATAATACTATAAAGCTTAGTAATTACTCTAGGACGCTATCTAGACGCTATTTAACGTTTTTCTTAGTAAAGAGATCTAAGATAGACTAATTAAGTTTATATATATATGATTATTTATTTTACTACTTATTTTAACTAATAACTATATTATTTATATCTTTAATAATAATTAAGTAATCTAAAATGCTATAATATTATATTATAAAATTTATATATAGTTAAAATTTATAACTATTATATTTAGTTTATTATTTTATTTTTTATTTTTTTATTTATTATTCTATTTTTTTATAATTACTTTACTTTTTTATAATTATTTTATATAGTTATTTTATATTTTATTATTATTAGTATTTACTTAAAGGTTTAATATATAACTCTTAGCTCCTAGTTTAGTTAACTAGTTAATCTAGTACTAGTATATAAAATACATAGTACTAAAAAGGTATACTTAAGCTTATTAATTAATATAACTATAAGAGTATATTAATATAACTATTTTATAATAGGTTATATAAAGATATTAGTTCTACTATTTTTGCTAAAACTATAATAGTATAGATATAGAGGTATATTAGAAAAGCGAGGGTAGTACGGAAAATGGTGGGGAAGCATAGAACAAAGGCATTCCCTTATCCAAAAGGGCCTAGTAACTGTCAGGTATGCCTCAGGTATACCAAGGACGCCACATATAGAACCACACCACCGCAGATTAGATAGAGAATATCATCCAACTTCCAACCCACATGCAAGACCCCAAGGTGCACATGTATCACACACGGGCTTGCCAATCGACAACCTTTGTGCAACGGGGCGCAACGCCTTTGCAGTCAACAGCTTGCCCCTTTACTTGGACTAGGATAGAGGCTCGTGGCCCGATGGACCATGCCCCTTCTGGTATCGCAATTGGGTCTCTGACGACCTCATCTTTACTTTTGGAGATGATGCGCATAGGCGACGGTTCGGCTGGATTGGACGGGGACTCCATTTCCTTCCACCTTGCAAATCGGCCAAGGTTTCCGTCTCTGGGCTGGGCCCGTCTGTTGTCTGTTGTCCTCTTCCCTCGTGGGTCTTGGCCGCCCATCTCTAGGTAGGTACCTACCCAGTAGGGAACCCTCGGGGGACCAATACAGAGTACTTCGCTTTCGTGCCCCTCATCCTTCCAGCCGTTGGAGGTAAGTGATTGGGCGCGGCCCTTGCATGCATACCTAGTAGAGCCCCATGTCGCTCGGCCCATGCCATCCAAAATAAACAAATAAAAATATTAAAAAAAATGCAATGGCTTTTGATGGTTCGGGCGAGGCCTGGTCTGGAGCATCATGAAGCCACATGTCAAGACACACGTTCGCTTGAGGCATTGAAGGATATTATAAGCCCTGAATGGCGAACCATTTCAAGACCTGGGCGGCTGGCCCAGCAGCGGGCCGTGGGAAGCCTTGCAACCCGCCGCAAAATCCAAAGGCTGAATGAGAGATGCAGGTCTCAATATAAAGACTCGTGTGTGTGTGATCTCATAGCCGGCGGTGCCTTGGGCAGCAGGTGGCTCAGGATCAGGAGGAGAGGAGAGAGAGCATGACGTGGGGCCAGCATATAGCCTGGTCTCGGCTGCGTGTTTATGCCGCTCTTGGGAGATATCGACACGGCGTTCAAGGTATTGAGGGGGTTGGGCTGGGTTGAAGTGGAAGACAAGACGGCCGTATGGCGGGCGCTGGACGACGAGAGGTGTGTCCGGAGGGTACGGCGCGTGGTAGCACAGAGGACGGAGTTCGGATACGTTTGCCATGGCCCCTGGAGGGTGCGAAGAGAGGCACACCCAGGCGACACCTTGCCTTATGCTTCTTTTGTACCCCTGGACCAATGTTCTAACGGCCAATGGCGCCCTTCCTTGCCTTTCTCGCAGCTCGGTACCGTCCCAATGCAGCCCGCAGAATTACCACACCCGTCCAGTCTTGTCTTTTTTATTTAATTTTTTTATTATTATTCTGGTCCCTCCCGGGCTGCGGCTTGCCTGCTGGCTGGCTTTTGCTGGACCGAGTGGCCGAGGGGGGTTGGTGCTTGCTCCGGTCGACTTGATTGATTGACGGATTGACCAAATTTATTGACTTGGGTGCCTTTATTGATCAACACGATTTACCGATTCGAGTGCTTGCTTTCTTGTCTGCTTGCCTTGTCTACTTACTTTGTCTGATTGCCTCGTCTGTCTGTTTGCTTGCTCTTGGTCTCCTTTTCCTCCCATCGTCATACACAACGCTCACCACTACAAACACCAACACCACCACCGCCAAATACAGCCCAATCCCGAATTCGATCCTTGATCCTCCCAGCTCTCCCGCCGTCGCCGCTCATTTCCTTCCAACTTCTCTCCCTCAATTCCACCCTGATTGCTCGTGGCGGCCATCAGCGACGGTGCACGAAACCTGCCGAATGTCGTAAGGACCCCGGATCATGGGACACGGTCCGACGCAACAATGGGTGAGTGCCAGTTTGGGTTTTCGTATAGGCTTTGCTTTGGCTGCACATGTACGGACTGTACGGATGTGATGCCTTTCATCGTCCGTCTGGACTTTCCCTCCCCCCCATCCCTTACCTTGCCGTCCCTTGCCATGTGCGCGCGCGCGCGCCTTATGTACAACATGACGGGAGGACGGAATCCACGCCGATGCGCTGCCCCCGTCTCTTCGTATAGATCCGTCTCGTCTCGTCCCGTCTCCCTGGCCTGCCGTAGTTATGGTCTGGTCTCTCGTCTCGCCTCGTCCGACGCCTCCTAGCCCGATGTCTGCTACACCACCATTACGATTCCCACCACCACCACCAACACCATACCTTATTTGCATCCACACCCGCGCTACTACATTGCACTACACACACACAAACAAACCCACAGACACCAGGCCCTTGCTCAGCCTATTGCCTGCTTCGCTCTGCCCTTAGGTCCGACTCGCTGCACGGATCCGGCTCCAATTCCTGTTGATCGTTGCTGTGCCGTGTGCACTTCTCTTTGCTCTCCGCCTCTGGGCTTAGCGTTGCGCCCTGCCTGCTGTGTGCCCCCTTCGTCCATCTTTGCCTATCCCTCGTCTTCGTCGCAACCTTTGCTCCTGGTCTGGCCTGGCGCTGGTGTGCGCCGGACTACCTACACATACCTGTGCACCTTCAAAACGTCTAACGCATCCAAACCTCCACCCCGTCTCCGTCCCTTCGCGCAGCCTGCCGTTTCACAAGAGAGGGGAAAGCCTGTCACTGACCATAAGACGTCGTCTCGTCTACTAGCTCCGTCCCAGACGACGCTGCCTGATCTTCTGCAGGACCCGTTAAAGTTCTCTCCGCGATCCGTCACCACCCTCGACGAAGAAGACGAGGACGACGTCGATTGGGACCGAACCCTCAGGCCCGCCGCCCTCGAACCGCATCCTCACCCTCCGCTGCCTCGCTCCGTCCCCCATTCGCGCGAATCCTCCATCGAAAAGCTCTCCCACCCGCTGCCCCCCTCTCCGGCTCGAGCCTCACCTCGCCCCGAACCCACAATCACGCCCACTCCCGCTCTGGCCACGGCGGTATCATCGAGCGAGTCGTCGATCCAAGAGCGCGTCCTATGGCCACCACCGCCAGACGTCCATAGTCCACGGCATTCAACACTCTAGAAATGGAAGCCACGCCAGCACTTCTTCGAGTCCCCTCAGCCCGCAGATAATCGCTGCTGCTGGCGCGAGCCTCAACACCCCCGACCGTCCCGATATGCATGCCGTTGGCCGTCTGGAGCCGGACGCGCCCCCAGGGCCGCGCCCCGGCACCGCATTGTCCGGCACGACTGTCAATTCGGGGCCTCAGGTGCCCGAGAGGACATCTTCAGCGACCGACTTCACGAATTCCTCCGCCACGCAGAGAAAAGTAGAGCGAATGCATAGCAAGTCGAGGCGCGAACACGCACACCACCACTCTCATTCTTCCAAGCACCATAGGGATGAGCAAAAGACTGTCGGGGAGTACGCCCTACATGTACTCTTCACGTCCGTATGTTTTGCTTGCGCCGCCCTCTTTGAGCGTCATGATCGCTGACAATCGTGGCCCAGTTCATTGCCCAAGCCGAAGAGAAACTGAATGACTGCATTACAGTGCCGTTTGAACCCGAGCCGCAGGTCGAGCAAATATGCGGCCCGGGAGTCGATCCATCCTTTGACCAGATCATTACCGCCTTGGGCCACATTGCCCGCCCGCGACCGAAACCCCTGATAGACTCCATGATGCTGTGGAGGAAGAGCAAGAGCGATGCAGCCAACGAAGCCCGAAGCCAGTTGCAGCAGTCGAGAGGTGCCGCACCTGGTCCGCTCCAACGAAGGAATACCGAGCCTCTTCAACCCTTGGCTGGAACCATTGACAACGGTTTGACGAGTCCCCAGACATCGCTTGCTGCGAAACAAGAATTCGTAGCCCACGCCGAACGCCGCTCGACAGTCTCGATTTATATCCTATGTCGTGTTCTGTTGGAGGTCATCAGCCAGACCAGCCTGCCCTTTTTGACGTTAGAGATGGAGGAGAAGCTTGAGGGCATCATCTTTGGCCAACTGAAGATCGCCGATACCGAGCAGCTGATGGTCAGCCCTCTGAAACTCGCAAACTGGAATCTTTTCTCGCAGCTCCTCGGCGTGATGAGCGAGATCAACTTCAGGGGCGTCACGGACAGGTTCCTCGGTGACCTCGAGCGCTCTCTCCAGGAGCTGGTCGCCAAAAGCCCAACCTCCCCAGCAGGCCGCGACGCTGAAGGCAAGATTGAGCTGGTCCTCGGGGGCATGAAGCATCTCAAGGTTAACATGTCACACCCGGAATCTTGGGAACACTCGTGCGACTTCATGGTGGCCCTCGGGCGTCTCTTCCATCGATCCCATGGCCAGCGTGTTAAGACGGCCTTCTGCCAGGTGCTCGAGACGCTTTTGCTCACCGTCGCTGCCCAGGCGACGAACCAAGACCTGGCGCATCCGAAGTGGATCGAAGTGCTTGGGGCCATCGGTCCCCGGCTTGCGCAAATGTTCATCAAGCCCCGACACTGGGGCTTCGCCTTTCCCCTGACGGCAACGCTACTCTGCGTATCTCCCCCGGAGACCTTCGGGTCTCAATGGCTTCAGTTGATTCTTCCTCTGCAGCCAAAACTTAAAGACCGCTTCACGCGGCCGCTGTGCCTCCAAGTAATTGCGCGGCTCTTATGGACATACTTGTATCGAACAAACGATACCTTGCCCAATACTACAAGAAAACTAGACGAGGTGATGAAGTTGGTGTTGCCCCCAACAAAGCGCGGCCTCATTGCATCCGACTCGGCCGTTGCCGAACCAGTCATCCAGATCATTCGAATCATCGGGTACAAGCAACCCGAGTACTGCTTCAAGCATATCATCTTTCCCCTGATCAACGCCGAGTTGTTCGTATCCAACAAAGATCTCCGGGTGGAACAGCTCGACCCAGACCGGATGGTGATTGGAATCAGAGCCTTCCTGGCTATCATGTCAGACCTCGAGAAGGGAGACGAAGGCCGGCCCCCCTTTCCAAGCTCGTTTCCGCCACCGCCCGCAATTGAACGCGAACGCATGCCAGCGTCCCCTATGATGGTTCCGCCTCACCACGGCTCATCCATGAATTTTACTGGAACATCGGGAGAGGGCGAACAGCTCTCCCGCCCTGTGCGGATAGCCGCCCTGAACGACGTCGTCAAAGAGTACTATCATAAGTTTTGCGAAATTCTTGGCAAGATCACCATCATCTGCGACAACACGTTTGGAGGCCAGGCTGTCCTGGACGAGAAGTTCAGCAGCCCGGGCCCCAAGACCCCGATCGCAGACACATTTAACTTCGCGCGGCGAGACGACCAGTCTCCCGCAGACCATAAACAGGCGTTTTACGAGCTTTTGCATGTTGCGGTTCAAGCGTTGCCCCGTTGCCTCTCTGTCGATATACCCTTCAACTCGTTGATCAACCTCCTCTGCACGGGTACCGCTCACGTGCAATATAACATCGCCTTTTCATCAGCACAATCACTTAAAGCTATAGCCCGACAAGCCCATGCGCAGCAAGTCACCATGGGCTTTGCTCGCTTCATCTTCAACTTTGACGACCGATACTCAACAATGTCCGATGGCGGAATGCTCGGCCCGGGTCACATTGAAAGCACACTTCGCCTGTACGTTGAGTTGCTACAAATATGGATTGAAGAGATTAGACGGAAGACCCGCGACGCTTCTCTAGACCAACTCGAGGCGAGCGACAAGCGCGGCGCAAAGCTCGATCTGTCCGGTATCTGGGCCGAAGTGGACCAGGCGGAAGCTCACGGTTTGTTCTTCTTGTGTTCGCAGTCTCGGAGAGTGCGGTACTTCGCCATTACCGTCCTGCGGCTCATCACCGACTTTGATAAAGCACTCCAGAATCAGGACAAGGATACTTTGCGGGTTATCGACATCCTAGAAAACGACTCGATGCAGGTAATGAACTTTAAAGATGAAGGTCTTTCCGTCGCGGAAAGGAGCAGGCTCCAGAGGGGAATGCAAAACAGCAACAATCGAGGCGCCCTTGTGGAGCTGTGCACCAGTGACGTGTCATACGACACGACGCTGTGGTTCAAGCTCTTCCCCAATCTCATCCGCATCGCCTACGAAAAGTGTCCCTTTACAGTTACCATTGGCCGGGACCTGATCTGCAACCGCATTTTGCAGATGTACAAGGCCATCGTGCTCTTGTCGGAGCCTTCGAGGGGGTTGTACTATGGTTCAGATCCTGGGAGCGCCCGTGTCGCCGGTAGAACACCGACGGCACAGCCGGAGATCCTCGTGGAACAGTGGAAGCTCTATCTCATATTCGCCTGTACGACTTTGGCCGATCCAGGGAGCGTCGTGCCCGCCAATTCTCAAGGCACACAACATAGCCGAAAGACATCCAAGCCAGCCTCTGCGGACAAGATCGTTTCAGCCAGGGTACTTTTCAAGTATCTAATACCCCTCCTGTCCGTTTCTTCGGCATCAGTCAGAGATGCAGTCGTCCTGGCTATGGGGTCGATTAACATACACATTTACCGCACCCTGCTGGAAGAGTTGGCAGGTCAGGTTTCGCGCTGCAACGACGAAGCGCGTGCTCGTATCCATCAACGCACAAACAGCAGCCCAAGACGCAACCGCAAGATGGATCTCCTCAGAACCGAAATTACCCATGTGTACAAGCTCACCTGCCATTTCCTCAAGGTAGAGGAGGTCTACAACGACGAGTGGGTCCTGACAAACCTCGTCACTTATACCCGGGACCTCAAGCTCTTCCTCATGGACGGAGAAGTTCAAATGGACTGGGAGTTCCAGAAACTTAGGCGCCACTACTGCGGCCTGACGGAGGAACTCTTTGAGGGAATCAACAGGACGAAGGACCCATCTCGGTGGATGACGTTTGAATCCCGAAAATCCGCGTTCTCTTTGATGGAAGACTGGTGCGGCTTCTCGCCAAATCAGACTCAGATCCGCGTCCGGGAAGACACCATGCGGCAGTCCCTCATCGACCAGCAGTCTCTTGGAGAGAGGGGCACGGTCACCGCGGCCATGGAGATAGAGAAACGGAATCTCCGTACCGCTGCCCTCAGCGCCATGGCGGCCCTTTGTGGTGGACCAATGAGCATAACCACTGAGAGCGGCGCAACGCTCCAATTCGATATCCGGAGAATGCTCGCGTGGATTGAGGCCATCTTCAACTCGGGCAGCGACCGCATGAACGTAATCGGCCGCCGGGCTCTGAAGAACCTGATCATCCACAACCAGGAGCTACCATACCTCCTGGAACACTGCATTGCTCGTTGCTACCTGTCCGACGTTTCGAAAGTGCAGGAGAGCTACTTCGCTGTCGTGACTCAGGTGTTGTTGGATCATCTCGACTACTCGTGCGCCTTTTGGAAGCTGCTTGGGCTCTGCCTCTTCACACTTGGTAACGACGAGAGCGAAATTCGTTCCAAGTCTGCTCGCTTGATGAGATCGCTCGAAGAAAGGCAACAACCAGGTCGGACCTCCAAGATCCAGGACTACGACATTAGCATTTCCGACAAAACGAAGGCAGTGTATAAGTTGGCTCAGTTCGAAATCTCCAAGCGACTTGCAAAACAGCATACCGAGTTGGCATTCCACATCTTTTCAGAGTTTACCCTTTACTTCAAAGATCTCCAGCCCGCTTCACAACGCAACGTTGTAGCCGTCATCCTGCCCTGGATCCAGTCAATCGAGCTGAAGGTTGATCCGAACGGCGGCCCCATCGCCCAGTCTTACGTTCTCTTGGCCAACTTGCTAGAGATCACCATCAAATCGAGTGGCGCACTGCACAACGAGGTTCAGGCACTGTGGCAAGCCCTCGCAACCGGACCCTATCCAGGCAATGTCCGATTGATCCTCGACTTCATTATCTCTCTGTGCCTCGAGAGGCGCGAGCAGAACTTTGTCGAATACGCCAAGCAAATCGTCGTCTTCCTCTCTAGCACCACCAGTACGCCAGGCATGAAGGTTGTCGAGTTCCTTCTCATGCAGATCACTCCCAAGGCAATGGTGCCGAACGAGAAGAAGGATGCTATGCCGCCACCACCGGACATTGGCCTCTTGCCTTACTGCGCAGACCTAGGAGAGGCACTTCCTGTGGGCACGAAGCAGGCTGGATTTTCTCTGGGACAGCTCTCGCTGATCCTGCTGGTCGATCTCATGGTATCCCCTGTGCACCTAACGCCCGAGAATGTACCAGTGCTCCTCCAGGTGGTGACGGTGCTCTGGGATCACTACACTCCTCTGGTCCAAGAACAAGCCAGAGAAATGCTGGTCCATCTCATTCACGAACTTGTCATCTCTCAACTGGATGATCAGACGGAGCCTACGGCCAGGGCATCGATCGAGGATCTCATTGACTTGATTCGTCGTCATGATCGCTCGGTCGTCTGGGGTTACGAGGACAGCAACGGCAAAGCTGACGATCACGACAACAAAGTCCCTCCAAGCATGGAGTTCTTGACAGCAGAGGTTGTCAAGACGTTTGAGATGACTTACCCGGGCATCAAGGACCAATGGGGCAGGCTGTCGCTGACATGGGCAACGTCATGCCCGGTCCGACATCTCGCTTGTCGCTCCTTCCAAATCTTCCGGTGTATCCTCACTTCCTTGGATCAATTTATGCTGGGAGACATGCTCGCACGCCTATCAAATACTATCGCCGACGAAGACACCGAGATCCAGACCTTTGCGATGGAGATCCTAACCACTCTCAAGACGCTTATCTTGAAGCTTGACGCAGACAAGTTGCTCACATTCCCCCAGCTCTTCTGGACTACATGTGCTTGCTTGGAGTCTATCAACGAGCGCGAGTACCTCGAGGCTGTGGAAATGCTGAATGAATTCCTCACGAAGATCGACTTTCGGTCACCCAACGTCCGCAGGCTTCTGCTCGACGGCCAACCCTCGAGATGGGACGGCCAGTTCGAAGGCCTTCAGTCCCTTCTGTACAAGGGAATGCGGTCATCCATGTGTATGGAGGCCACTCTGAGCACACTTGACAAGCTGGTCCAGCTACCTAGTGACAATCTCATTGGGGACGACAGCCGGCTTTTCTTTGCTGTTTTGGCCAACTTTCCCCGTTTCTTACACGAGATGGAACAGGACGAGCCCAGCGAGCAAGCGTTACAGTCTGCTGGGGTTTTGTGCGCCGTCTGCGAGTCTCAGGGGTATGGCAACATTGCTGAAGTGCTTGGGGAATACGTCAATTTCAAGTACCAGGGCAACAGCAGAGAGTTTCAAAGCCGTCTCTTTGCCGCGCTGAAGGATCACTTCCTTCCCAAGTTGGATTTCAAGATGGTCATCTTTTTGATGGGCCTGCTTACGAACTCCACGGCGTGGGTGAAGCTTAAGACCATGAGAATCCTCAGCATCGTTATTCCCGAGATCGACATGCGGAAGCCCGAGCTGGCCGGCCACGGTTCCGATCTTATCTCGCCCCTCTTGCGTCTACTGCAGACCGAATTCTGCATGGAGGCACTGGAGGTGCTGGACAACATCATGACGATGTCGGGCAGCGCCATGGACAAGCAACACTTGAGAATGAGCATGACACGATCCACGTCCAAGACGATTCGCAAAGAATACGAGCGGATCCAGAGTTTATTCGGCATTCCAGAAGCGTCGGGTTGGGCCATTCCGATCCCGGCCAAAAAGACGGATTCCACGCGTGCCAATATCCACGCCGCCTTCTACATGTGCCAGACCGCCGAAGGAATCCTCACGGAGGCGACGCCGACGCCCGATGTTGAGTTCCACAACGACGACTTCCCGTACAGCTACTTCCAGATGCCCGACAGGACCGAGACGATGATGTCGGACGACGGCCGCGGCGACGGACACCTTGGCGACCTCGTTACGAAGCTGGATAGCCTCGACGACTTCTTCGACGACCTCGGCACGAGCCCGCCCAGCGACGGCCGCTCATCGAAGACCATCACCGAGTTCTCTCCGGACAGCTTCGAATCCGGAGCGCAGTTGTATGATGAGCAAATCCTGCCAATCCTGCATCAGGCTTCCAACAACAGCACATTCCAGAATGGATTTACTGACAGGCCACCAGCTACGGCAAGGGATCCGAGCTCCAACACGATGAATCCTGGAGCTTTTAGCGCGTCATCCTCGGCGGCCGGCGGGATGGGAGGCGGTTCGCGACCGGGGCTCCACTACAGATCAATCACGTCGCCGTCTGCGCCCGCGTCGTACCAGCCGCATATCAGCGAGTTCGCGTCGGACGACGAGTTCCCCGAAGACGTCTTCTCGGACGCAGACGACGAGCGACCGAACACGGGCCACGGCGGCGAAGGCTCCTTTTCCCTGGAGAGCATGATCAAACCGCTCGCGCAGAGCACAAGATCGCGGATGCGTCGTCTGACGGGAGGCCGATCGCGCGAGAACGACCGACAGCAGGAACTATTCCGAGCCGAGCGGGCTGCCGCGGCGCACCAGGTTCCCAAGGTGCCGACTAATTACCTGACCAAGATGCCATCGCAAGGGGAGATGCTTTGAGGGGGGATGCATAGGATGGAGTTATGATTGAATCTACAGAATCTACAGAATCTACAACATGTAATACAGCACCACTCGCCCGACACAAGGGTGAGAAGAAGGGCATGAGTTCACAACTCAAGCTGAGAGCGACAACCATGACAACCATGACCGATACGGGGAGTTGCGAAGCATGTAAACGACTTACTTATCATATCACGATGAATGATGCATAGAAGGAAGACAAGAGGAAGCGGAGCGTACCTTACCTAATGAAAAGAAATTAAGAAAGATATCACGATTCTTGGGATCACGGAATTAGCATCTTCTGAGTTCAAAACATGATAGTGTTCTTGATTGTGTGAGACCAACCCTATGTCTTTCCCGGGGAATCTTTCTGCCCTTCTGCCTTATACAAGCTGCAACATTACAATGTGAGTAGATGGGTATGTGTGTGTGCGCGTGTGCGTATGAAGCCGTAGCTTTGGCCGTGGCCGGTGCTGTAGCCATCGCCATTCGAGGAGGGGCGTCTAGTATCGGTGCCTGGTGGAGTAATCTGCAGACAGAAGAGCGTTAGCGAAACCATAGCTGTGTATGCTGAATGGCGCCAGCGCGTATGAGCGACGGAGAGTTTGGGAGGGTGTTCTTACCCTTCGGACTGACGACCAGACCGCGACCCTTCTTGGCGCCGCGGTAGACCGTCTCGATGATGTCTATGAGTTCTTGTTTGTCTTCGAGGACCCAGTTGAGCTACGGAATATGGTTAGCACGCCGGCCGCGAGCTTTGAGGCATAAAGGGTCGTAGCTTACTTTGTTATTGTTACCCGTTCCGAAATCCACCATCATGTGCTTGTTGCGGAAGAAGAACATGATTGTGCAGGGGTCGTACAGTTCGTACACTGGTAGGGGAAAGGATGTCAGCAGTCTATTCCGGCTCTAAATAACACGTTCAGATGGAAGAAGGGCAGGTGTCTAGGAAAGGAGACGTAGACGGAACGTACTCTGGTTGAAGTCTGGGACTTGGTCAATGTCGCAGACATAGATGACGGCGAAGTTCTTGACGCGCTCGGAGATGCGGTACAGCACCTCGTCTTGCTGCATGCATTGCGGGTCGGCGTCGCGTCCGAATCTGATAACCTTTATTTCTCACCGTTAGCTGCTTGGCGCCATCATGGAGGGTTGAGTCCAGGTGCGACTTACAACGAGGCGCTCTTCCTCGGAGAGGATCGCTTGGTCGACGTGCCAGCCACTGTTGAGATGGGGAATGACGATGGAACCCATGGCGAGCGATGGTTGTTTCGGTTCGAGGTTTCTGGGGTCGGTGTGGTGGGTTGCGCGGTTCTGTACCGTGGGATCGTGAGGTTGTTGTGTGGTGTTTTGGTCGAGGGAGGGATTGCGACAAGGTGATTCTAGAAATTCGAGGTTTGGGTTTCCAGCGTTCGGCGAAATGTCATTGCGGGTCGTCCCCTGCTGGCGGCACCCCAAAATGCCCCTCTCGATCCCCGCGCTAAGCTTGGAAGGGACAAGGTTGGAAGCGGTGGGGGTCGGCAGAACTTTTTATTTCTTGGAGGGTCCACTGCTCGGTTCTCTAGAGGAATTGGAAGATCGTGCGAGAGAAGCAGCGGACGGGAATTCTCGTTGCTGCACAACTCTATATAATCGCCCAATTTTTTTTCGAGATCCCGCCACTGAAACGATGCCTAAACGTCATTCGCGTGGACTCGAGGGCGCAGATGCCTCGCGCAAGAGACAGAAGGTCGTGCATGAAGCTCCGACCTTTGAAGAGGTCAACCATTCGCGACACCTTCAACAACTCTTGACTTTCGACCAGGACCAAAAGCGAGCTCGACACGGTAGGCTGGTTCTGCAACTGGAACTCAATTGCTTGAAACTGACCTTGTGTCTTCAGGTATCCAATCCCTCAAAGTCTTCCTCGACGGATTCAACTCGGGCAATGGCGACAACAAGGACCGGTTCACCACTCTTCGGGAGTACCTCGACGCCGCCCGGCCGCGCAACACGAGCGACGACGCCGTCCACCTCGGCGACATAATGGAGACATGGTCGTACGGCGCACAGATCAATAACGAGGCCATGATGTCCGCCGTACCAGCTGTGCTGGCCCTGCTGCTGCAGGTCGCCTCGCAGACCCTCGAGCTGCTGCCGCATGCCCTCGACATTGCCCGTACGCTGCTGCAGGAGCGCCAACTCAAGCTCATTGCGCGTTGCCTTTCGGCGCCCAAGGGAAGCGGGTACATCATCTCACCGACGCTGCGGCTGGTGCGCGAGATCGTGACGCTCGACGGCGGAGCGCTAGCGAGGAGGGTGTTCCGCGCGCGGGACCATACGTTTGCGAGCTTCGCGAGGAACTTGGAGATTCGGCATCTGGGCGCCGATGGCGAGAGGAGCGGTGTAGAGGACCCGTCGAAGCCTTCGGTGCGGACGAATGCGATCAAGCTGTTCTTGAGCTGCCTCAAGTTCCTGCCGGCCGAGGCGAAAAAAGAGATGTTGATGCTCAAGGAGGTCTTTTCTCACTTGACGTTCCTGTTGAAGGATGACCCGCCGTTCTTGATCCTCGAGATGCTGGCCGCACTGAAGAAGCATGTGCTTTTGGACGACAAGCTGCCGCGCGAAGTCAAGTTCCGCGCCTTCAACACGAAGACTCTGGATCGGTTGGCTGGGCTGTATACGTACAGACATGACGTTGAGGAGGATGACAAGCCTTCGGTCAGAGAAGTCGTCCATGAGTTTTTGCTCTACACCTGCACAACACCCGGTGCTGGAGTGCTGTATCCTGGAACCGGCCTCTACCCGAAGGAGCTCGAGGACGAGGCGGCGCAGGATGTCAAGAGCCTGGACGACTACGGTCTAGAGCGTGTTGCGTGGATGGACAAGTACAAGGATGATATCGCCGTCGCGAACTTTGTGCTCTCAGAGTTCATTCAGAAGCTGCGCCCGTGGTCCAGTCTGAAGCACAGCGAGCTCATCGTGGCCATCTTCCAGGCGGCGCCGGAGCTGGTTGCCAGCTACTTCTTAAACAACAAGTCTTTCACTTTTGAGCCGAAGCTGTCCATGACGTGGATTGGATACGCCGCTTTCCTGTTCAACACGGTAAACCTGCCGCTACCGCCGCATTATGGACCTACGACAGGGTACCGCCGAGTCCCTCCGCCGACTTCGATCCTCCTGGACAACATTATGCCCCTCCCGCTCAAGCAGCGAGACCTCGTCCGTTGTCTCTCCAGCAAGTCGACCCTTGTCTCTTTCTTCGCCATCCGCATCCTTGTGCTCGCCCTCCAGAAACTCGAGGTCGCCCTGAAGATGCACCGCGAAGCGGCTGAGTCGTCCAAATCGACCTGGGAGATGGCGGCGCGGAAGCTCATCGATGAATTCTGCCAGAAGATCCCCGACATGAAGGAGGTGACCAAGTGCTACAAGGCCATGGCGGAGGAAAACGTCCTGCAGCGCGAGGCCGCCAGCAGACTGCTGCTGCTGTACTACGAGGTCATCCCGCAGGTCGCGCTGCGCGCCAACTTTGACGTTTCGCCGTTCCTGGTCAACTCACTCACCCGCCTCGACAGCAGGGCCGAGGAGCCGCAGAACCAGGCCCTGGCCTTGATGGAGCTGGAGAACCTGATTGCCATCGCGGGGTACTCACCGGGCATGAGATGGTTCGCCAAGACGGAGGGGCTTGCGGCCTCGCCGTTCGTCGCGCTTCTCAAGTTCTACGTCGAGAACGCACAGGGGCGGTCGAAGCTCAAGGAGGTTCTTGAGTCTGTGGCGGTGCAACACCAGCTCGTGCTGCAGCAGACCGGTCTCACTCCCCTGCTCCGCGCGGCTGGGGAGCTGAAAAAGGGCGGCAAATCGCGGAACCTGGACCTGATTTGGGAATTCCTCGACAACTGCGCCGGACGATGCGCCGCCTCGCCTCTCAAGTACGTCGACTTGATGCAGGAAAGTGTCGCTGGCAGCCAGGACGAAAGCTCTGCCAGCTTGATCTTGGCCACCATGGTCGAGCAGCTGCCGTTCGTCGTCGACAAGGCAACGGACAAGAAGGACTTGGAACTTCTGTCCAGGTTCTTGACTGTATTGTTGAGTTGTGCCCAGACGAAGGGGGAGACTCCGGCGGTGATAAGCGCCTTTGCCAAGAAGATGACAGAGGTTCTGGCAGGCCGCGCCCCGGCGATCGCCCCAGAGGCTGACAAGGCTTTGCTCGATGGCGAGGCGGAAGAGGAAGCAGCATCAGAAGACAACAGCGCCGAGCCACAACGACAAAGACCGGTCATCGTGAACGGAGAGCTCGACGATTCTTCGCTAGAAGCCATCCTTGACGTGCCGTTCGGCCCTGACGAAGACAACTCGGCGCTTCTCAAGTGGAACTCCAAGAGCGTTGAGGACCTTATCGACGAGGGCCACGCCGCGGCGCTCATCCGCCTCCTGTGGTCGGAACATGCCAGCATCCGTCAAGAGGCCCTCACAAACATCTTGAAGATGGCCGCCAAGTTCAAGGAATCAACTTATGAGGAGAAGGACCAGATCTGGCTTCTCCTCTCGGAACTCGCCGAATCCTCACGCGCCCTCGTGGCCGGCGGCCCCGTTGCCTCGCCGCTGGTCTCGTTTGCCATCAGCGCCCTCGAGGTTCTCAAGAACCCGCTGCACTGCCTCTATCCCAAGGTCAACAGCTTCCTTACGCGCGGGCCCGTGTGGCAGCATGACAAGGTGCCTCTGGCGCACGACATCCTCCACGGCGCCCCTTCGGACGACGACAGATACTACACCGAGGTGAGCTGGCTTCTCGCATACCTGCTGGACGGCTTGCGCACGCCCGCGGACCTGGCCGTGTACCACCAGAAGAAATGGTTCGAGAAGGTCTTTGCGCTCGCGGGGAACCCTTACATGCGGGCGAACCTGCGGACGAGGATCCTCAGGGTGTTGTGGCGGGCGACGTGCATTGAGGGTGGGAGCACGACGCTGGCGACGAGGTTTGGGATCGTGAGCTGGTTGGAGGCGCAGGAGGCGAGGTGCGATGGCGGCGGCGGTGGCGATGCATCGGCTGAGGACAAGGTTGAGAGGATTGATGCGGATAGTCGAGAGACGAGGCGGTTGTATCGAGCGCTGAGGAGAAGGGTTTGGGACACTTGCGATCAGGAGAGGGTCGGGGAGTGGAGTCGGAAAGGGATCCCCTCAGCGTTAGAGGCTTGAGGGGTGAGGAGGCGAAGACGGGATAGGCTACATAATGTACAAAACAAAAGGTGGAATGGAAATCGGTTAGAACATATCCTGTGTCAAGGTCATGGAGCTCTTTTGTGTGCAGACCAATGCTGGACACGATGTGATGTACAAGACGGCTGTTAGCAAGACGTGCTCATTGGAGACTGGCAGTTATTGCAAGATGGCAGATGGCGAACTCTGGGTTCATCCGTTCGTCTGCGAATTTATACTCCTGCAGGATCAACTCTTCTACATTTCATCGTGCTGTATGTCTGCTCAATCCGAGGTACCGATCTTAATCTGTTGCAAGTATCCAAGGTGCGAAATGTTGTCTGTCTAATATCTTTGTTGCAGAGGTTTAAATACTTGACAAGAGTATAAGCATGATACACGTCAGAAGTTATCTGCGGTACGTGTACCAGCCCGAGTATGAGCCCGTTGTATAACATTCCAGCATTGTTGAGGCGGACTTCACTGGAAGTCAACAAGATAGTACCGCCAAGAGGATTTTTGAAAAGAAAGCGAGCGGCCTGTGTATAAATATATACAGATGGAGGAAACGGAGTATGTAATGAAGAAAACACAAAAGTCATCAATACACCTAAAACCAGACCCAAATGGCCTTTACCTGGCGAAGAAACCGATCAGAAGCACAAGACCTAGTGACATCGGCGCAAACTTGAACTGGGGTTCTTTTCCTCTTTTTGATTCCATAATCTATCATCTTGTTTTCCGGCAATTCGTCTAGGATACAACAGAGAGGCAAGCCGAGATGCAGGTGGTGTGAGCGCCAGCAGGACTGTTGAATTCAAAAAGCAGTATTTTCTTCTTCTACCTTACTGCCTTGGGCAAAACAAGCTGTTTCGCAAGACTGCACTAGTCTGTCAAGTAGTCAGGTCAGCAGCAAGGGGGGACAAAGTTTAGACCATCATGACCAAAGCCCTGGCTTAGTTCTGAAGCAGATTGAAACATTGCGGGATTGCCAGCTCTCATGATCCCGGGAGAAGGAAGGCCTTTTTAGTGCCCTTCAGCGGCGCCTCTGGACTGCAGCTCCATAACGTGTTCATATACGTTGCATCTTGCCTGAAGTAGTTTTTAAGCAACGGGTGACGCATGGTACTGTTGCAGAAATCGATCATGCATATGATTGAATGGCGTCGGGAGTTGCAAGGCAAGCGAGGAGAGCTTGCCAATTCACTCTGGATCAAGAATGGAGGTGCCCGAGGAAGGAGGTTCCATGCTCAGATCGATCCAACGATTCGCCGCTAAGCGGCATTCAGGTTCTTGGTTAAGCTCCAAGAGGGAAAAAAATGGGGCAAAATGACGATGCCGAACCCCCCCATTCCACAGTGCAGAGTTGCACTGACTTGGCCCGGTCTCTTGGCCCTGGCTGCTCAAGGTCGGATGTCCCGCAGGAAGAAGTGACCGGCGTTAAGCACAGCACTCACCAGCATAGCAACCTGACAAACAGGAGCCGGAACATACATCCAGGCATCTTCTTCACTCATTCATGAGTGTATGGGAGAGAAGATGTGAGTGGGAAAAATCGTCACCCAAGTTTTGCGGTGGTCAGGTGGAGGGAGTTACCTAAGCCGAACACTACCTACCTTACCTGGTCAACTAGTGCAGGTGGCCCCACCTTCCTCGAGGTGTGGCAGGGAAGGTAAGGTAAGGAAGGTGAGGGAGGAGGTGAGGGAAGGTAGGAACCCATAAGGTACGTACCCGCAGTGGCTCTTGACTGCCACGCACCACGCACCACGCATTTGGCCTGACGAGGGTGGGGAACAGAATTGGGGGGGAGAGAATGGCAAAGCTGCGTTGCTTCTGCTGGTGCTGCTGCACCTGAGCACCTGAGCACCTCCTCCACCAAGTTTCGTCCGAAGTGCCCAAACCTCCTTTGACCACCATCTCTACACGCCCTGACAGTTCGCTGCCAAAATTCACCACCCATCACGAATAATCTCTCTCACCGCATCCGTATTGCATCACTCTACCGCCAAACAAATCATCGATCCCTTTTCGCCTTGTCAGCCTCTCATACCCAGCCTGGTCGCAACGAGGCACGACGCTCATCTGCACCTTGCAGCGCAGCCCGATTGGAGCCCATTCTCCTCCGTCTGCCACCACCACCGCCTTTGACTGGACTGCACTGGACCAGCGACTGCGACCCCCGACCGAGCGACAACCGTCCAACTGACTGACTTGACCCTCCTCGACCCTACACTTACTTACCTTTCTCCTCACTCTGTGCGACGTACGACTACGACAACTACAACTGCAAACCTCAGCCTCCCCTCCTCAACCACCACCACCACCACCACCACCAACAACAAATAAATTTCCTCTCTTCATCTCCTTCTCCTTCCTGGTGTAACAGCGACAGCCGGCTTCCTTCTTTCTGTGGGCTAAACCATCACCCTCTGTCCATGCAAACATCACCGCCCTCGCCACAACATCAATAGCCTTCCCAGCCCAACTCGGATGCGCCTTGCATCATCACACTGCTATGGCACTTCAATATACGGCAGAGTTCCTCATTCATCTGCGAGAATCACCATTATGTATCAAACCGCCCGCACTGCCGCCCGCTGAAGAATGGATGGGGTATGCCATGACCCCCAATTCATCCCACCTGGCTCTTCTAACAATCCATATAGACCTCCCCCAGACAATACTCGCACCCAAGGAACCAGCAACAGCAGCAATAGCCAGACCAAGACTCCTGCCGACAGAAGAAGCCACGACAACCCCCTGCTTGACCAGACGAATCGCCGCCCCGGTCTCGATCGCCACGTCTCGCGGAACAGCGCAAGTATGCTACCACCTGCGCGGATCGTCCCGTTCCCCCAGCCCTTTTGGTGCAATAACTGACAGGGAGGCCAATTGCAGACCCGGAAGACATTATCCTCGGACCGCCCCGAACAGCTTTCGCTTCTGCGACTTTGCGCAATGGGAAGCCCTTCGACAACGACAAGGGGCTCAAGGACGCTGACTCGCCAAGTCGCTTCAACTTCCGCAACCGCAACGGTGATACTCCCGAGGGCGACCGCTTCCGCGACTCGAGAAACAGCAGCTTCCGTCGTCGCGGCGACGGCGATCAGGATCAGGAGGGATGGAGCACCGTCAAGCCACGCAAGAGTTTCGGACACGAGGGCGCTGAGCGCTTTCAGGGTCGCATGGGCGCTGGCGGTGGCGACAGACTTCCCAACGAACGTCGCCCGCGCGATCGCGATGATCGGGAAGGCCCTAGAGACCGAACCCACCGCAACTTTGACCATCACGACAAGGACAAGGACCATGAGCACGAAGAGGCTGAACCGCGTCCCCGCAATGGCCTCAGCAGGGGCAAGTCGGAGCCCTGGTTCAAAAACGATACCAGTAGCAACAGCAACAACAATAACAACGTTGCCAACACGCCCGAGAAGCCTGCCATGACGGCTCGCGAGCGCATCGATCGTGCCAAGAGCTGGAGAGACCGAAACCGGGATGCCGAGGTCGTTGAAGAGAAGACCACTGGCCGAAACTATGAACGTCGCTGGGATCGTGGTGATCACAGGCAAGAGCGGGAGCCCGAGTGGTTTGATGAACCCGCTGGAGAGAAATCGGGAGGCCATACCGAAGAGGACTTCAAGAAGTTTATGGAGAGCATGAAGGCAAGCCGCAACGCGCCAGCCGAGGACAAGGCACCGATTGCCGTTGCCGAGGCTGCGATCAAGGCTGAGCAGCCGGCTGTTGCTTCTGCGCCCGCTGTCGAGGTCGGTCCCGACCAGTTCTTCCTCAAGTTTGCATCCACTGCTGGCTTGGATGTCAGTTCCCGAGTGAGCCCAAGAAGGAGGTTCCCGCCAAGCCCAAGACTGGCGGCGGCAAGTCGTCGCGCTTCACGTCATTCTTCAATGCTCCCCTAGACGACCCCAACCGTCGCATGCAGACAGAGCCCTCGACACCTCTTGCTGGACTTTCCATTGGCGGCCCCGACGGGTCTACGCCGGCTCCTGATTCCGAGAAGCAAGCTTTTCAGGCCTTGCTCATGAAGTTGCAGCGCTCCAACATCCAGTCTTCTACTCCTCCCGCTTCGCAGCCTTTCCAGGAACCCCCTCCGCTCGCACGGGAGCCGGCTCCGTCGAGCTCCGTCGCATCGCCCGAGCCATTCCAGCAGTATGGTGGCGAGCGCCGAGAGGATCCCCGTCCTCGCATGCCTCAAGGATCTATGTCCATGTCTGATATCCTTGCTCCACGCCCCACGATCCCAGGCCAGCAGTCTGCTGCTCGTCAAGACCAATTGCTTCAGGAGCTGGTTGGGCAGCGCCACCAGGCCTCTAGCCAGGGCTCGGGCAGGATGGAGCCGAACCAAGGTCGCAACATGAGCAACACTGAGTTCTTGATGAACTTGATGAGAAACCAGCCCGAGCCTCCGCGCACCGAGCAGCTTCTCATGCGCATGCCGCAGCCCCAGCGCACCGCTCAGATCCCGCATGCCCCAGAGCGCGAACCCGACTTCCCGCAGGGCATTCCGCAGGGTATTCCGCAGGGTGGCCGCGGCTCTCAACGCCAGATGCGAGGCCAGGGCCCGCCGGGCTTCATGGACGAAGCCTTTCACCATCCGGAACCCGAGCCTCGTATGCAGCCCACGCAGATCCTGCAGCGTCCTCCCCCGCCTCCCGGTTTGGACCAGATGAACCCCAACTGGATCCAGGCCGGCGGTCCCATCCCCCCTCAACAGAGATCGATCATCCCTCCTCCTGGTCTTGCCGGCGGCCCTGGTCGCAACCACCCCATGGCCGCCATGTTCCCGCCCAACTTCCCTCCCGGAGCATTCCCACCCCCAGAGGCCATGGCAGGCCCGCCGCCGCGAAACATGCCCCCTCCTCCGGGCTTCTTCGGCGGCCCCCCTCCTGGATTCATCCCTCCCCCTGGAATGCCTGGCTTCCCCGGCCCGCTGGGCCTGAGGGACACGGCTTCCCCTTTGACGGACGCATGCCTCCTCCCGGTGCCGCTCAGGCGTTCCGGAGACAGTAAACCCCACCTAGCTAAGGATTCAGTCTCGACCTCGACATTTGGGGTCAGGTCACACTGCCGCAGCACATCAAACGCTGCATTTAACTTGTTCGAGTCTCTACATCGAAATGTTCAGATGTATGTCCGAGAAGGACATGATTTGTACACAACCCAATGAAAGTGTCGGAATAGCGACGTCTTATCGGATCTGTTCAACTAACAACCTATCTCTAATCCTCGGTAATCACGTCTCTCCAGCCTGACTGGAGAGGGCGGTCTCTTTTGGCTCTATTCGTTTCGCACAGTGAACCATACCTCGGTTATACCGACGACGAAAAACACTTCTGCGGCTACGTCTTCTTCGTTCCAGAGCAGACGCTGTTCACAATCAAATATACCTTGGTCTCGGGCCAGGCCATGAGGGCCTCGTCCATCCAACACAATCCGAAGGTGTGGGGGGTGGAATCAGATACAAAAACGGATCGACGAATTCCCGAGGGGAGGATTGGAATGTGATGTTCCGATATTGTTCTACCACGGTAGATATGAATGAAACGAAATGGATGTCTTGTTCCCTCGCTTCCACAACTCTTTTCCCTCATTGTCTGGTGATGTTCCTTGTGATGTGTGTGTGCCCTTCTGCCCATCTCAACTGCCCAACTTGCTTGGCAGGAAAGCGAAGACAACGGTATCATGCCGCTGCTCTGCCTATTCAGTCTCACTGCTGTCCAAATGTTTCTCGAAGAGCGCACGGGTGTATTCCGACACATGAATCACAACAACCCGAGTACACCTCGGTGGCACGTGGATGACGGTACGATACTCAAGGAGGGGGGGCAACGCTCGTTCATGACCTCGGACATTGTACTTTGTATGGATTTATATGGTTCTACAGATATCCAGAAGCCAAATCTGCCACCTCCAAGGCGATCATCCAGTCGCTCCGCCGACCACCTCGAGTCATCGGGTCCCACAAGCATCTGGAGGCCGAGTATGGGACCCCTTCTGGGTCAACACCAGAGAACGCCACGCTGGCAAAAGAAAAAAGAAAAGGTGCAACGACCAAGGCCCCCCAAAAAGTGTATTGGGGGGGCTGTCTCCAAACAGTCGTCCGTCCTGCCTTTCAGTGCTTGTCCTTGTCCTTGTCCTTGTGACTCTTCTTCATACCCAGGAAGTTGCGCTTCTTCTTGTCCTTTTCGAGCTTATGCGGCTTTCCGCCGTCTGACGGCGCAGGCGAGGCGCTGCCTCCGTTCGAAACGGGCGCAGGGGCGTTGAGGCTCATGCTGCTCATCTGAGCCGTCGGTGGCGCCACGGGCCGGCTCGGAAGACCGCCCGGCGCCGGGGCTCTCCGGCCAGGGCCTGCCGCCGGTTGACCTGGTGGTGCCATGCCAGGGGCAGGCCGTTGCGCCATGGGGTTGGGTGGAGGGGCGGGTTTTTCGTAGACCCACGCCGGCGCACGGGGTGTCGGCCGCTCCATGGGGATATCGAGCGTGCGTTTGTCCCTGCCCAAGTCGCCTACCTGACGAACGTAGAGCTGTGGTGTGAGCATGTGGCTGGTCACCAAGAAAATATCCTTGCCTTGGCGGGCCGAGACTTCGTAGCATGCGCGGCTCTCGCTGTACGTCGCGCCACCGGCCATGAAGACAATGTAACGCTGTCGGTTTTCTGGTGGTCTTCGGCCCGCTGCCGCCCAGTTCGGCCTGCCTGCGCGCAGTGAACCTTGCTGGGAGGCCAAAAGGTCCTCATTTGGGTCCGCTGGCGGCTTCACGTAGGGGAACGTCGTCTGATCCAAGGTGCCCCGGCTGAGCTCGTCGAGCATCGTCTGCATCGCCGTCTCGAAGCGGGACAGCGAGTATTCCTCGCTGACTTCCGCAGATTTGGTGTTCTTTGGGAACAGAGGCGGCTGGGGCGGCCGCACGTCTTTCAAGCCGGTGCGCAGGGGGCGGCCGCCCAACATTTCGAGGTTGACTGCGACCTCTCCGTCTCTTTGCGGTAGGCCGGAGTGTGCCAGCAGTCGGTTAACGTCTTCCATAATGACGCCGTCTCGGTAAAGCACGTAGAGGATGATCAAGCGCAATCGGTCGGAAGGCGAAACAGCATCATCGTCCAACAGCCGCACGACCTGATCCAAGATATTCTTGGGCTTTTTGAAGTCCTCATCCAATCCTGTCGCTAGAGTCTGCTCGACCGAGGCAATGTCCGGTAGCTTGTGCTTTTCAAATATATTCATGGCCTCCTGTGCCATATTCAAGTGAAGTGAGTACGCCTCCTTCATCTCCTGGAATTGCGGCAGCCCAGCCAGCATGTCCCTGATTGCGTTCAAACTCGTCGTGTCTTGGTTTTCGTTGACGAAATGCGGATTGTCGGCCAAGAACTTTCGGAAGTCTGACATGAGCTTTTCGATGGTATCCTTCATGTGCCGGTGACGGTTGTCTACCCAGACGGGGTCTTTATCTGACAGCTCCATATCCTTTTCCTCTTCTTCCGGGGTGCCGCCGTTGGTGACCATGTGGTATGTCACCTTGTCGCCGTCTTGTATCGGGAGGAGATCGTGAGCCATCGCCTGATATGTGAACTCGTGCACCAACGGTGCCAAAATATCCATCGACCTATCTGTGATGACGAGAGTTCCCGCAGGTCGCGACGACTGTGGTGGAAAGTTGGGGTTCCATTGCGCGTATTCGTCCAATTCTTCTTGTACAAACCGGGCGAGATGGGAGCTGAGTACTGCAGCTTCGTGCAGAGGGTTTCTCGGTCTGTAGTAGCGTACTTTGGGGTATTCACCCAACGTAACGCAAACGCCAGTGATCTGGTTGCGGCTGTCAGCGAGACGGACAGTCCATGGGCCGCTGTTCCACGTACCTTTTGGGCCAGAATCTTCATGTGACGCGCGACCAAGTTGTTGCAAGCGGGGTGGTACAGAATTGGGAAGCTCCAGGGGTCTCTGAACGTCACAAGGTGTGACTCGCGAGGGAAGAAGTCAATGGATAAGGTCTCGAACCCCGCGATGCGTTGCTTGGCGGGCGGGCAGCCGTCAATCATGCGACGAACTCTCGGGTCCAAGACACCGGTCCACACGAGGTAGGATTGCTTGTATCTGCGGCGCTCGAAGTCGTTGACGAGGATTTCGACAATGTTTTCTTGCGGAGACAAGATGTAGATGGCGTCCATCTCGGGGTTCATATCTCGCTTCTGCTCGATGCGCTCGATGTCTGTACAATCAAGTCAGGGGCTAGGTCGCCGCAGAGGAACGGACATTTGCAGGACGTACTGGCAATATTGTGGTTGAGAATGTCATCTTCCTTGACGACATTGTCCAGGATCTTTTTGGAACCTTCGTCTAGAACTAGGACTTTCCACTGAGGGTATCGTCGTCGTTAGCTTCGGGTGACGGCACGCAGCGACGTCGTCAGGGATTGGGTAGATCTCACGTCGCCTTGGGTAATGTTCTTGATAGTGTCGATAATGACTATTGCGAAGTCGTCAGTTTCAAGGGGCACAAGCTTGGGGAGTGGAAGCAGGGGCTGTCGGGTCCCGAGCTCACTCACTCACCGTCATGCTGCTCCTGGAGCGTTGAGACGCCCATCGTGGCAAGTTGCCGCGTGGGTAGCGACCAGGCGAAAACACGTCGTGAGAGGAGACGGAGTGATGTCGCTACGAGGCAGAGAGAGGACGGTTCGTGCCTTGGTCGGAGGGAGGCGCAGGTGCGGGTGCGCCGTCGGACTGCAGGATGGATTGGGCTGTTGTCGAGCAGGAGGCGGACAAGGCTGGAATGCGCGGTGTTGACGTGGAGGGAATCGGGGTTCGAGAAGTCCGGGCTTCTATCTTCGTCCGAGTTCTGTGTGCTGGCGTCTTGGGATCTTGAGTCCTACGGTGTGTCCAGCCCGGTGGACGTTCTGGCCTGGCGGGGTTTCAAGATGGAAGGAGAAGCGGTCGCAGTTGTGGGACTCTCAATGCTCTGGGCCGTGAACCTGAGCTATGGGGAGGGGAGAAGGCGAGCAGGGTAAGGTCCGGCACGGCTCTATGCGGCCAAGTGGGAGGAGGTATACTAGGTAGCTTGGAGGGGGGGGGGGGGGGGGGGGGGGGGGGGGGGGGGGGGGGTTGATCGAGGCGGGCAGGGTTGGGCGCAGTACATGGATTGGTACGTGGCGTGTGTCTTGCAAGCAGACCAGGTAAGGCGATGGATGTGCTGATGAGAAGGGGATGTCTGTCCGTTGGGCTGTTGTTGCTGTGTGGCCCACGAGAGCTGGGAAAGCCAGGCGCATTTCCGGACCCAGTCCTAGTCCTAATTCCAGTTCCTAGTCCCACTGCGCATCGCACCGCTACCTACTTTTCCCAGCTTTTGTCTCCCGTTCGCGCCTCAAGTTGAGTGAGTGTGTGCCCGCCGCTACTAAGGCGGGGCCAGCACTCCTCCACTGGCACACTCGATACGCAGTGCTACCTACTGACTAGGTAGGACAGGACGGGCCTGACCCCTCGCTACACACACTAGAAGAGAGCCCTTGGAGTTATGCACTGCGCATCCTGGCACGGATACTGTAATTAGCGCGGCGGCATTCCCCCACTTTCGGCCCCCAAATGGTGACGAATGGGGTCACCGCCTTTGCATTCCCATCTCACAGCCGGGCTCCTTTAAAGAAACGACACGGGAGATGGTCTGGTAGTCTGCATACTTGCATGGATCATGGCTGTCGCGCCCCGACAATCCCTTGCATGTTTCGAGAAGACGTCTCTCTTGGTCGGTTCTGTTGATTATTCTGTTGACTAGCTGAGCATTAATAATGTGTTCCACCTGTCATTGATACATAACATATCCGTCTGGGTTTCTTGTTAGGCTTCTTACATAGTACGCGCCTTTCGCATGGGCGCCCAAGACTACCCAACGGCTGACATACACACTTGGTGCTGTCGCCTTTGCTCTCTTTCCTATTTACCTCCATTACTGTTGTCTCTTGCTCTCTTTTGGTTGTATATGTCCATGCTAGGATGATGGAGCGTAGGTAGAGATGAGAGCAAAGGAAGTCAAGAGAAGAGCAGGACGATCATACATGTCGTCCGGTTTACTGTGAGTATGAGAGACAGAAATTGAACCTCCAGGTTCGATTCCTGTATATAATGTGCTCGGCTCCAATCGTTGCACTCTGCTATGGGTATCTCATTCGTCATTACAATCCCGAACCAAGGTATCTATCCATGGCCTCACTGCCGTAGAACATCTGCCGCAACCTCTCGGCCTTCTTCTTATCCTCCTCAGCCTTCTTCCGGCACTTCTTCGCGTCCAACGTCTGAGGCTTCTGCTTCGTCTTCTCGACTCTGCTCTTCAAGTCCTTGGGAATATTCAGACCAAGACCATACTTGTCCTCCTTCGGCTTCGTCTTGAGAGGATACTGTATACCCTGGCCCACAGCACCAAGGCCCTTGCGTGAATCCGGGTCCCAGCCATGCGATGACAGGTAGGTCAAGCCCATGCGCGACCGGTCCAGCGCCGACGGGGGATGCGAGTGTGTGAGACAGACCTGATGAGCAATCGAGGCCTCGTGCTTCTGCCTCGTAGTCTTATCCTTACTGCTGCTGCTGCCGTCCTTCCCGACTTCTTCCACGGCGTCGTCTTTCCCAAGTGGCAACGCACAAACGGCGCACATTTGTGCCTCTGGCTTCTCGGCCTCTGTTTCCTTCTTCTCGCTCGGGAGAACGAGGCTGAGGTAGAAATCCCCCACAGAAGAACCAGACTTGGTGGTTTTGACCGGTTCAGTCGTTCTTAGGTTCGGGTCGGATGCCTTGACGAACTGAATCGGCTTGCGCTGGATGCCTGCACCAAACGGTCGCCGGTGGTGAAGTGGCACATCCTCTTCCTCGCCATCTCCTTCATCGTCCTCGACCCGTCTTTGCATTGGCGCAGCCTCTAATCTAGAATCATCCCCTTCGACAAGTTACACGGGAGAGGTTTGCGCGGTAAGGGGTTGAAGCCTGTGGTGTACGATTCAATTTCTTGATGAGATGAAGGGACAATCTGATGGAGAAGGGTCGATGAAGAGTTCCACAGTTCCATGTCCGGGGGCAAAATGCTATGTCAGCAATCTGGAAGGCGCCAGCGGCAGGCAGCGCAGGCTTCCATCCCCTGCAGATTTTGCAACTAGCGTCCTGGGCCACGCCAACAGCGCCGCCAGCGGAGTGGGCCTGCCCCTGTCATCGCAACCCGGAAATCCCCCTGGCGGCGCATCATCTCTTCCCTTTTGTTCTAGAAGCAAGCTGGCGGCCACGTCGGTAATTCACTTCGGCCTGTCTGCTTCCTGTCCACAACGAACTTGTTCACGATATTCACCGGGCCCGAACCTACATACACCGACGACATCTACCTACCTCTTGTCCCGGCATGCTCGAAGACCGCAAGTAGACCTCAGCTATCGTCAAACCCCTCCCAGGTCAGAAGTTCAACACAATGCCTCTCGACTTCTTCGGCCACGTGCTCGAAACCGGCCTCCCGATATGGGTCACGGACAACTGGTGGTTCATCACGAAGGCCATTGTGACGGTCGCGGTCCTTGTGGTCATCAAGCTATGGAGCTCTGGCTCGTCCAACCCGGCTGAGCGGGACATGCACGGGAGGGTCGTCATGATAACGGGCGGGACGTCGGGTATAGGGGCGGCGACGGTGTTAGAGCTGGGCAGCCGCGGCGCGCAAATCATTTTGCTAACGCACACGCCCGTGTCGGACCCCTTCCTCGTCGAGTACATCGGCGACGTGCGCGCGCGGACGAACAACGAGCTCATCTACGCCGAGCAGGTAGACCTCGCGTCCCTTCACAGCATCCGCAAGTTCGCGACTAAGTGGATCGACAACTCCCCGCCGCGCCGACTCGACATGATCATCCTCTGCGCCGCGACCGTTACGCCCGCTGCGGGAAAGAGGACGCAGACAGAGGAAGGCATCGAGGAGATGTGGATGGTCAACTATCTCTCCAACTTCCACCTCCTCTCTATCCTCAGCCCTGCCATCAAGGCCCAGCCCTGGGACCGCGATGTGCGGATCGTCTTCGCAACCTGCTCCTCTTACATCGGCGCGGGGTCTCTTAAGGAGCCCCTAAGCAAGGAAAGCTGGTCCCCGGGCAAGGCGTACAAGCGTAGCAAGCTCGCGCTCATGGTCTTCGGTCAGGCCTTCCAGAAGCACCTCGACGCCTACAAGCGGCCCGACGACCTGCCTATGAACTCGCGCGTCTTCTTCGTCGACCCGGGCTTCGCCCGCACGCCGGGTATGCGACGCTGGCTCTCGCGCGGCACGCTGTGGGGCCTCTTCACATACCTCGCCGCATACCCGCTGCCGTGGCTGTTCCTCAAGAGCCCTGAGCAGGGCGCGCAGTCGATCCTCTACGCCGCCATGGAGTCGAGCCTCGTGCGTGTCGGTGGCGGGAAGCTGATCAAGGAGTGTCAGGTGGTCGACTTCGCGCGCAAGGACGTTGAGGACGAAGCGGTGGCCAAAAAGCTGTGGGAGGAGAGTGATAAGCTCATCGAGACGACGGAAAAGGAGCAGGCTGCCATGAGGGCGTTGCAGAAGAAGGCGGAGGAGGAAAAGAGCAAGCAAGAGAAGGAGGCGGAGAAGGTCAAGGAGGTCGAGGCTCTAGTCGAGGCCATCAAAAAGGGCAAGGAGTCGCAAAAGTCAAAAGGCAGCAAGAAGAAGGCAAAGAAGGACACGTGAAAATATTACGAGATCATAGACATAGACCTTTTAATGACACTCAAGCGCCGTGCTTTGGGCGGCGTAAACAACCTCTCCAACGTGCCTCGGCTTTGGCTTGCCAAACGCCGCTACTTGGGCATGCATTCCTCACGTCCTCCCTCCTCCAACTCCGGGGGCCCCACCTTTACCGTCCAAGTGCCGTGGCTCGGTGCAACGACCGAACTGGGGGAAAGCTTTCCCCGCAACACCAAAGACACATTGGACCGGGATGACGACAGAACCTGGCAGACGTGCCTTGTGATAAAACCCCGAATCTCGATAGAGTTGCTCCCGGGTACAACCCCCTTCCCAGAATACATGACTAGCCAGGCCCGCTCGAGATCATGTCAGATAATTCATCCTCGGCAGCGCCAGTCATGACGAACCACGCACCAGCGCCACCGCCTCAAATGAGAGCTCCGCAGCTCCCGACGGCGTGGGAGAGGCACGCCGAGATGATGCAGCACAACTCTTCCATCCGACACCCCGTCTTCTTCACGGAGAAGCTACGGCGGCCGCCGCCGTCGTTCGGGCCCGGGATGGCCATGAGTCCCGTAGCGCATGGCTATGTCTACCAGGACGGGCGGAGGGCCGATGGGAACTCGGCGCCAAAGCTTTGAAGACGCCCCCACGTGCGGGTCCAGTCAAGCATCTAGGCCATGGGAATGATCATGTGCGTGAGACGAGATGTGTGCAATGTCAGTTTCTGGACGGGGAGCTATCTGGCGTATAAACTGATCGTGGTCCAGAAAGCTGAGGCGTTGAATGCTCGCCGTGTCGCTCAGCACCAACAGCTCCGTCGTCAGTGGTGCGTGACTGTGTTCAAAGGCAACATTGCAATGGAAGGCATGGGGGGTGCGTTTTTTCCGACATGTTTTATCGTAAGAGTGTTACTGGCCGATGATGGATGGCTCTTGTATCAATACTCTGCGAAAGTCCGACGCGTTGATTCGGTATGGCGTTGGGGCTTACTTGTGTATGATAATCAATTACATTATCTACTACGCAAGACTTTGGGGTTCAGACATGGTCCGTAACGTAGGATCTTGCTCCTAATTACTTTACTACTGGCTCGCGAGGTGATTGATACCGAAAGTACTCTCGCTCAATGGAGTCATCAGAAACTGTTTGTGACTGGGACCCACAGATATACGCCCAGGGGAACACGAAGTCGAAGCTTAAGTGATTTATTCGTAATTCAATGTGGTTCCTGAATCCACGAGTGACAGTTTTAAGAGATATGTAGTCGAGGGTGGGATCCCTCGTGGTTGTTGATAATGAAATTAAAGCCTCCGTTGTTTTGTGTTCCCAAAAGTCGAGTTTCCCGTTCGCCATTCAAACCATTGCCCAATCTGAAATCAGCATCTACACCATCGGAACAAGACGTCTCCCCCATGTGTACAAACCCCGCGTGGACGCGGACGCGAAGGGCCGAGTTGGGTACCAGCTCACGCCCACTTTTCAGTTTTTCACAGCAATCACAATTGCAAGGACAATCAGCACGACGACCAGCGTGAGAAGCGCCATGAGCTTGACGTTCTTCCACCACATCTTGCGCTTCAGACCGCGGCTACGGACACGGAACTCACGAGCGCTGCCGCCGAGACGGTCCGTCTTGTCGACGAGCAGGTCAATGCGCTCGCCCCTCTCGAGCAGGCCCTCGATGTTGCGCGTCATGATGCCGCGGACGTCGTCGATCTCGCGCTGGACGTTGGAGATGGCGTCATCCTTGCCGCCGCTCGTCGTGCCGTAGTCAACCATGAACTTCTTCAGCTGGCCATTATAGCTGGCGGCGCCATAGTTGGGCAGCTCGGCGTAGTCGGTCGACTCCGCAGGGAACTGTTCGAAGAAGCGGCGGCGGATCTCGAAGAGGAAGCCAAAGGGGATGCGGCGGCCCAGCGAGGCGTCCGCGATGACTAGGAAGGTGAGGCCGCCGGCGGATGGGTGGTCTGGGTGGTCCGAGGGCGCCTCGGCGATGTAGTGGATGTGGTGCGAGCCGTGGGTGTAGGTCAGCTTCTGGGGGCTGCTGTGCTCGATCTTGGGAAGGATGAGGGAGGCGAGGGACGAGGTTTGCGACGAGGCTGATGTCGTGCATTCGCTGAGGATGGTGTTGTTGTGTGCTATGCACGAGCTATGGGGCGGTCAGATTTGCGACTGGTATCGAGGCGGGCGATCAGGGTGGAAATGTCACTGGCGACTTACTAGAGCAAGGGAGTGATGGGCGTCGATGAGGAAGCCATGATGATTGGAATGGGTATATCCACAGGATCTGAGAAGCCTATCAAGAGATTCTGCTGGTTCTTTTGAATGCGCCGTGAGTCGATAGGCAGCGATATTCGAGATGCGACGGCGAGGAGCGTACGTATGCAAGTGGTCGAGGTCGGGAGTTGGCGTGGAGGGCGCTGTCGCAGGACGCAGTGTGGAACCTGGGACCTGAATGCGTGATGACGATGTAGACGGTGCAATCGGAGTGGGAGGCGCTAAGCCGGAGTGGGTCGTCTCACGGCCACACACCAAGGGCGAATCAGAGCTCCGTGTGATAAGGAACCGTAACAGGGAAGATGTTTCTTATCGGACCCAAAATTTCCCAGCTGTAAGAGTGTCGATGCTCGGGAGGCGAAAGGTGGGCGGTTTGCTTCTAGCTTGACGTCGACGCGAATTGACATGTCTTTGGCATGCCACCAGCCATGATCTGCTGGCCTGAACACAATCCACCATGAGACCAGTTTTGCGAGCAGTAAAGCTCTGCTCTGCGGGCAGTCGGCTTGCTCCGAGCCATGGCTTTGCGACATCATCCCCGGCCGCCTTCCAGGTGAGTGCAACAGCTGCAGATCATAGGCTATGCTGTGTAGTAGAAATATCTGACAGTTGAGACATGTAGGCGGCTACAGCGCGAAACTCCACCAAAAGATATAGTCCCCAAGACCGTCAAAAGTCAAAGTACGACGTCTTTCGATCCATGATCCTTACCCAGTTCAATGTCGTCCTCGAGAACATGGGCGGCTGGTCAGAGACCAACCGCGAGTACCGCAACTTTGGTATCAGAAGCGAGCATGGGCTCAACAATGAGGTCGCGTTATTCCGAGAGACGATACAGAGATCGATCCAGATGGCCAACAAGGGTGCGACGCTGCGCAAGGAGAACCCGCTCTTTTGGTCCCTGCGGAATGCGTTCATCCGTGGCGACGTCAAGGGCCTGACTTCGGAGTTGCGTTATTCGTTCCAGAGCTTCATGATGCGGTCGCGGCTATCGCAGTCTACACCGAGGCAGAAGAAGTTGGCTGACCTGAGGTTTCCTCAAGAGTGGTTCCCTGCCACACGGGCTATGCAGCGCACCATCCACCTACATGTAGGGCCGACGAATTCTGGAAAGACATATCGCGCGTTACAGGCGCTCGAGAACGCCAAATCAGGCATCTATGGAGGGCCGTTGCGTCTTCTGGCCCACGAGATTTACTCGAGGTTCCAGGCCAAGGGAAAGGACTGTGCCATGGTTACGGGCGAGGAGCAGCGTATACCAGATGCGGACAATTACTTCATTAGCTGCACCGTCGAGATGACGCCGCTCAACCGACTCGTCGACGTTGCAGTATTGGACGAGATCCAGATGATTGGCGACCGAGAGCGAGGTTGGGCGTGGACGCAGGCTTTTCTCGGTGTCATGGCGAAGGAAGTCCATCTGTGTGGCGAGGAGCGTGTTGTAGACCTCATCAAGTCGATATGCTCCAGCATTGGGGACAAGTGTATCGTCCATCGCTACCAGAGACTGAGCCCCTTACAGACCATGAAGGAGAGTCTTGGCAACGACTTGACCAAGCTCGAAAAGGGCGATGCGATCGTCGCTTTCACTCGAGTCAACCTGCACGGTCTGAAGAACGCCATTGAAGAGGCCACTGGTCGCCGCTGCGCCATCGTCTATGGGTCTCTGCCACCCGAAACTCGAGCGCAACAGGCAGCTTTATTCAACGACCCTGACAATGACTACGACTTTCTCGTCGCTAGCGATGCCATTGGCATGGGTCTGAATTTGGAGATCAAGCGTGTCATATTTGAGACGGCGACAAAACACGACGGCACCCAGTACCGTGTGCTGACTACTTCCGAGGTCAAGCAAATTGGTGGCAGAGCAGGCCGATACAAGACAGCTAGGCAAGCGGCGACAGACCCCAGCGGAACCGCCTCCGTCGAGGAGAAGAAGATGGGTTATGTCACGACGCTTGACGACGAGGACTTGCCAACCATTGAGAAGGCCTTCAGTTCCGAGACGGCACCGCTCGAGGTCGCCTCGATCCAACCTCCAGCCTTCATTGTCGAGCAGTTTGCGGAATACTTCCCTCCCGACACACCCCTCAGCTTCATCCTCCTGCGACTGCGCGAACTCGCCCCAGTCTCGGAACGTTACTCGGTTCACGTTCCCGAAGTCAACCTCCAAATCGCCGACGTTATCCAGGAGTTTCCAATGACGATCCAGGAGCGCATCACCATCCTCCACGCACCCATCTCGCTCCGCGAGAATGGCCAGAAGGAGATCGTCAGGGCTATCGCCAAGTGCATCTCCACACGGAGCAATGGTGCGCTGTACGACATCCAGCCCATCAACCTCGAGCTTCTCGACGCAACGCTCGAGGACTTCAACAACCAGGGTAGGAGGTACCTGCACTCGATCGAAACACTACACCAGGCCATCACGCTCTACCTGTGGGTGAGCTACCGTTTCCCCAACATCTTTACGAGTCAGGCGTTGGCGTTCCACGTCAAGGACGCCGTCGAGGAGAAGATTGAGTTCTACCTTGAGAACAATGCCGTCTTCGACGCGGCTGTGCACGGCAAGGCCCGCGAGCGGCAACGTAAGGCGGCGATGCAGAAGCAGTTGGAGCAGGAGTTGCTCAAGGAAGAGCGGAGCGAGGGGGTTGAGGGCGCCGAAGGCGAAGAGTCTGTCGATAGTGAGCCTTCTGACGAGGGTCCCGGACAGTGGAACTCTCCGGGCCACGAGGAGCCCCTTGTTGGGGATGAGAGTGAGTATGAAGAACTGGAAGACCGGCCGCGGAGTGAGCCTGCCGCTCGACAGGTGTCTTCATAAAGCGCATTCTCAAGTAGGTCCTCGAGACTGACTTGGCTGTAAAACCCTGTAATATTTCGAAGTGTATGAATCAACTTTAGAGGGATGATGGTCACCGAGCATTGCAAAGGCGCAAAGACGGGGGACTTGATACATGTACAACACCAGCATGGTAAAAAAATGGAAACCAGGCGCCACTCTAGATAGGACGATAATTGTCCGTAGTGTATAAACATCTCTACCATGTGCTGTTCCTATTTCAAGGGAAAGAGATGAGTGAACGTCCGAGGTAAATCAACGTTGTCGGCCTGAATCAAGACATGGCTTAGCTTAGGTACCCCAAGCTCTTAGCACCCCGCATCCAAGCTTTGGCAGCTCAGTGGCGCGCCCCTGCCGGTTACCTCATCGACCCCACCATCCACCCGTAATGCCTTGGAGGGGTAGACAGCTCTCTTCTCAGCCAGCGACTCCGATCTGCGCCCTTCCTTAAACAACTTGACCTCTTACAAAGCAACACCTCGGCCCTCGAAAAGCAACAACCACCAACGCTCAGTCGTCATAAACCACGGCTGGAAGAGGCATTGCAACCCGATCTGTCCCAAAACCAAGGCTGAGAGCCACCGCCAAAATGACCTCGACGAACCCCGACCCCGCCGCCGCGGCGCCCGCCTTCATCCCCCTCGAGGCGAACCCGGAGCTTATGACCTCGCTCCTGCACAAGCTAGGCCTCTCGCCCGCCCTGTCGGTCCACGACGTCTACTCCCTTACCGACCCGGACATGCTATCCTTCGTGCCCCGCCCCGCCCTCGCCATTCTCCTCGTCTTCCCCGTCAGCGCCGCGTACGAGAGCCACCGTCTGGCCGAGGACTCGCTGCTGGAGGAGTACAAGGGCAAAGGGCCGCAAGAGCCCGTCGTGTGGTTCCGTCAGACAATCCGCAACGCCTGCGGGCTGATGGGACTGTTGCATGCTGTTGCGAACGGGCCTGCGAGGGAGTATATCCGTACGTCCATCCCCCTTCGTCGCTCTTCCTATCCATTACCTCCCATAACCAGGTGACTATGGACTTCTTGAGATGAATGCTTTTGCTGACCCTTTCACTCCGCCATGCAGAAAAGCCCTCCGACCTGAACACCCTTATCGAGAACGCCGTGCCCCTCGACCCCGTCGCCCGCGCCCAGCTGCTCGAGAAGACACCCTCCCTGGCAACCGCCCATCGCGAAGCCGCCTCTCAAGGTGCCACCGAGGCCCCGGAGGCTTCGGACGACGTCGACCTGCACTACGTTTGCTTCGTGCGAGGCGAGGACGGCACTCTGTGGGAGCTCGACGGCCGACGCAAGGGGCCCCTGAATCGCGGCCAGCTGGACGCCGGCGAGGACGTGCTGAGTGAGAAGGCCCTCACCTGGGGACCGCGCAAGTTCCTCGAGAGAGAAGGGGCAGATCTGCGGTTCAGCGCTGTTGCGTTGGCGGGATCTCTTGATTAAAGGCTATGGCTAGGCTTGGAGCAAACCACAAAAGAAAAGGATCTTATTTGGCGTTTAGGATATCGGGAATACAGTCACGCTGTATGCGGTGTGAACATGGCATGAAACACTCTTGGTCGAAACTACTAGTAACTGTTGTATTCAGAGAGCATTCTTAGGAAGACTACAAGTAATATAGGGGCATCTCCAAAGTCCTGCTCGATCACAAGAAACTACGAAAACCAGTCTAGCGGCAGTTCGAGTTCCAGAGTTGCTGTGGGGACCCCTGAGCCTCAGGCTTCTGCCACAGCTGGTTGTTCGACTTCCGCTCCCTGTTGCTTTGCCTCTTGTCTGGTTCGGAGCGAGGCTCTGGGGTCCCAGCTGGAACAGTAGTGACCTCGCCCCAGATGTATAGCTGTTCTCCTGGAGCGGGTTCTGGGGAAGAGGTTAGTCTCGAGAGCGGTAAAATGTATGGAGGGGAGATCACTTGCCTGCAGCCATGATCTTGCTCAATTCGGTAGACGACATGCTATCTGCCTGGGAACCGGTGTCTTGGCCTCTAGCCATGTCCAATTTTACATGGACGACCTCGGCAGGAATCGAGTTGAACTCCGTCTTTGACTTTCGGTGACTGTCCGCTGCCATATTATATGTTGTAGAATCATACTGGTTCCTAATGATTTCCGATGCAGACTTGGACTTCACATCGTTGTACGATGCATTGCACCTTGGAAGAAGCGAGGGCACATTCAACGGCACGTCTCCATATTTATGATTGTCTGACGCCTCGAGCACTTGTGTGCTTAATCCACAGCTCTCGGCGAAGGTGATGAATTCGGAGGGTGCGGCATCACCGACTGGGGTAGGGAGGGGCTTGCTTTGCTCGGCAGTGGAAGTTGTTTGGTCGGCGCGTTGCAGATTGGTTTTCTTCCTTGTGTCCTCTATGATTGGAGAACCGTCGTGTTCAGTAAAGAAGGGCACCTAGTCCTGTGACTCGTCTGACTGGACAAGTGGGTCGTAGTCGTTGGGTTTGGCCATTGCTAATGTGCTAGTGACGGGCAAGTCCTGAAGGATATTATCACCCTGTGAATGTCGAGTTTTGAAGCTCGTGAGTTGGGGATTGGGACGTAGGAAGACGGATATGATGATGTTCAGGGGATAGGTCTATATGATGATTCGGACGAGAAGGGGTGGATGGTGGAGTAAGGGAGGTTGGATGTGCAAAGTCGAGGACCAACATCATTAGGAGGATGCCTGTGAAGGCAAGTGAAACTCGCATGCCTTTCAACGGCAGCCCTCTGCCTTCCTTGAGCGGCCATTTGGCTTTGGCGGGAAGGTATGCGTCTTGCATCCTGCTCTTCCTACCTATTCACTTTCTCTGCCCCGTCCCTCGTCACCCAAGTCTTTTGCCATACAAGCAGTCAGAGGGACCAAATGGGGCAACAGAGAAACAAGCAGACTCAATGGGCACGAACGGCACTGAACCATTGGAGGTAACAGAAAAGAGAGTGGTGGAAAAGATTACCCCTAGGATTTGCTTATGTCAATCAAGTACCAGGGTCATACAATCTCAGACATCTCCATTAAACTCTCGAACATCCTGAGGATGTTGCGAGGTTCCGGGTAAATGAGGGGACGAGTCGAACGTATCATAAGCAAATGCTTTCCTGTTACTTTTTTTCTTCCAATATTCTTTTCTGTGTTTCGGGTTTTCCGTCCCGGCTGCAGGTGAGTCAAACGTCAAGTGACTGGGTCAGTAAGATCCTGGGGAAAGCTTCAAGCTAAGACACGACAACGTCGATTGGCACGCATGTCAAGAACCAATAATCTTCGAGAACTAATTTCCTCTGATGACTTCCAATCTGAAGACTTGCAATTGGATGCTGGCCGAACTGCGAGGCGTCGACAGTTCCAACCAGGTGGCACCAGACACTTGCCTGTGGCGGTTGAATCAGTCGAAGAAAACAGGGCTCACCGGCTAGGATCATGAGCCTTGCAGCCGCCGTGCGACAAGAGCATCGAGGCACCTACAGGTCATCACATCCGATGGCCCAGTATCCTGTATCGTCGGATTGCTACGTCACTTGCCGTCTGACAACATTTGTATCATCTGGAAGCTTGTTCTCTCTCCTCTTCCGGTGCTCGAGAACCGGCTCCGCGCCGCTCGTGTTTGCTCAAGCTTGAAGGCGGATGGCGCGCACCATCTTCAGTTTGACATGTCCGCTCGGACGCTGCAGTGTCCAGCGTTCGTTTGTCGAACGAGCATCGGGCACGGGGGCCGTCCGAGCGGCGGCACCGGCTAGGGTGCTCGAATCTGGAGATTGGTGCCTTGGATCGCGGATAGTTCACCAGGAGGGGAATAGATACAACAGACGGTCCCTCGTAGTGCGGGTTTACCTTGGGCTTATCGGTCCATGCATCCTCGATGTGGAAGGCTTGGAAAGTCATAGTTCTGAACCAGTGTCGTCTCGACCAGATTAAGTTGCCGGCTGAAAGGCATCATATCGAGAAACGAGTGAGACTAGCACAGGAGGCAACTCTGATGTTCCTGCGGTTGGAGTCGGTGCTGCCTGGGTCTCTTGCTTATTCAGGCCATAGCATCATGTAAGCCAGTAGTTGGGGTGAGGAAGATGGGGCCGTGACGGCAGTCAGGGGGTGGAAGAGCGACGAGAGTTCGGATGGAGGTCACTTTGTTCCACGTGGTGGCTGATCGCCGTTATAAGGCTAGCAAGATCGCGGTATGAAACTCTGAGAGCTTGCCTATGTTTAGCGAACAGTCAATGGGAGAGCATGAGCTAGCCCAACCCCCCTGAATTGAGGCGTTTGCCGTTTGCCGCAGGCCCGTTGGTGGCAGCACTAATGCCTCCAAGGCGGATGGCCGAGGCGGGCATACACGCAAACGACCCAATAATGCGTCAAGTTGGAGGTAGAAAGGTGCTTGAAGAAAAGTCTATAGGAACTTGGCTTGTTGGTGCAGCCATGAAAGATAGGGCAGCGACTCTAGTGGTTGCCTGTCTCCTATGAGCGAACAAATGCGTGCGACCGCAAAACGGCTGGCCTCTTCCCCTTGATACGTTTTGTCGTGGACGCCATTGCCTGACATACCGGAGCTGCGTTTTCAATGATGCTCGCACATTTCAGACTCCAGCCTAATTCGTGGAATTTTTGGCCTGCAGGGAAAAGAAGCAAACAACCAAGACGAAAAGCAACAATGGTGGCAGCATGCAAGCTGGCAATCGCCCAAAACGCCTCACAGGGCATCATGACTAAGCCTACCGTGCGAAAGAAAAAGAGCTCGTACCGAGACAGCTCACTCGCATCTTGTTCGTACTAATTGACCATGGTGCAGCTTCCACAACGTCCTCTACGAAGCTATTCTTGGGTCATTTCGTTCGTCTGCTACTCATTTAAGACCTACGGGCGACACACCGCACGGAACCGATAGACCCTGCGATGGTTGTGCACCACCGCAACAAGCGCCGGAGATTCATTGAGATTGCAGATGGTGGCGACCTGAGCAGCTGCTGTTCGCATTGCATCATGTCTCGAACCTCGATCGACTCGGCCGTACTTCGTTGCGGTTCGGATATGAACATGACCAGAAACCAAACTAGCCGTCTTGCCGGCTCAGCCGTCAGACCAACGAACCCCCCTCCCCAATAGACTTTTGATGCGTCATTCAGCTTCATCGAACCGCAGCCAACACATATGCGGGACAACAGGGGCAAACCCTTGGACGATCTGCTGCCTCCCGCTTCCAATCAGCAGGGTCACAGGAGATGTGTCTCACAGACCTGCATCAGATACAGGGGGCCCTCACCCAGGCAAGACAGATGCGTCTTAACACGGCAAACGGGGAGCAATTGTTGTCAACATCGTCCGATTGATGTAGTGTAGCATGGCTTGACAACACTGCTGCTACCCTCGACGAAGATTTGGTGTTCTCAACCATGCAATGATCAACACGGTAAACCGGTCGCTTTCGAATCCCAAACGTCGGGTTCAGTCCATGCCAACAAAGTACTGCCTCGCTGAGACCAGGGGAACAAAGCCACTTCCTACCGACTGGCGTCGTCGCGTAACAGGAGACTTCTTTGACTTTGTTTCTGGGAAACGCGCTGATACGCTAGTCTCGCGACCAGTCAGCTGGTGCTGCCAATTAAAGAACCTGGCAAATGGGCCTGTTTCCAACGCACGTCGATTTCTTTTTTCTCCGAAGTGGCACGCACTAATCAAAACGTTTGATCCCTGGCACCGGGGCTATGTTTTCTTTTCCCCCCACCCCGATCAGCAAAGTTGCTATCATTCAGTGTGGCGGACGCGCATCTTCACCTCTTGGAACCGCTTCCATGCAAGTTTGTCCTTTTGATGGCTCTTCTCCCTGTCCATCTTGACAAGAGCCTGGAGGGGGACGTCCAAGATACCCTAAGCCGAGAGTGCTTCGGATGTCGCCTGCTTGCCTCTCTGCGCCGGCAGGCCAATGATTTCCCATATCTGGACGGCGTTTGTCGCTGACCCGAGCAAAGGACGATGTCAAGCAGATGTATCTGCACCACCGGTACAGTGCACCGAAGGCCTGGGACGTGTTTGACTTTCGTCCCAAACTTGGCCGCTGCAATATCAGGTGAAAGCCCTGATAAGCTAACGAACGCTGGACCGTGGAACTGGCTTGAAAGCTGTTTCGTCCTGTTTGCGCCTTTGTTGTCACTTTCGCACGGGCCGCGGTCCATCCCACCCCATCCCACCCTCTCCGTCCGACCATCTATCCGTTTGCTTGCCTGTTTTCGAAACCGCAATATGCCATTTCGTCAGAGCAGCGGTCTCGTCCAGTACCACACCGACCAACCCGGATGCCTTCTTCTCCACGTTCCCATCCCCAGGCCTGAACCAATCCCTACTGCGCTCAGGAGTCTGTTTGCTTCGCGAACCAGCACAAGGACTCGGCCTGCGGCCATTCTTGCCCTGGCCCTGAGAGCCATGGAAGAGCATGCATCCACAAACTCATTGGATCCCCAGGAACCCCCCCCGCCTTTGCAAGCTGCGAAAGAAGTCACTTGACATGCCTATATACCAGGCCACGATATAGCAAGTGCAGAGATCCCTGGTTATTAGAATGCTTCGCAAACGCTTGGTCTGCTCTCCAGGAGATGACCGACCGCTTCGACCCTCGTTGGAGGCCACGAGAGGCCCTTCGAAGAGTTGGTGCTACGGCTCCCTACGTACAATGTGCCGCTTGACGCAGCCACGCTCAGGTACTAACGCATTGTATCGTCTGCACCGTCTCGATGGCACGAAGCCCTCAACCTAGACCCGAAACTCGCCCTAGCGTGGATCGTCTTCTGACCATTTGCTCCGCTCTCTCGTGTGTATGCACGCACTTCAGCCTTAGCACCCTCACACGACTCGTCGTGTCGCATTGTCCCTCCTTTTCTTTTTCTCTAGTCCCTCAATAACTGACGCCATGTAGACTACCAGCTTGGCTTTTAGACTCTCCCCTCCCCCGTCTGCCGGTTCCCCCAATTCTCTTCTATGCCGTCTGTTCCATCCTCTCGTCACAACCTTCTCGTACAAGCGATAAGACCTCGGTCTTTTAACATTGGATTGTTCAGTGTGCTTGCAAGCCTAGACCAGTCTTCATACCGGCCTCCAATCACCGCCTGTCTGGCTCTGTGGAAACCTCCCGGCCTGACCGATTTCTGGGGAATCGCCACATGGCGGGCGACAAGTCGCGATAATGGGCTTTCTAAAGTTCTTCTCTTCCAAGAGGTCGTCCGATAAGCCGCCAAACGGAATCAAAGCTCAGGCTTACGATGCTACCACTGCCTCTCTTCCCCCGCTTCTAGGTAGGATGAAGTCCAGCCTCTATCAGCTTCGCGGATCCAGCTTACACAGATAGGGACATATCCTGTGGCTGGAAATGGCCCGACAAATGTCTTTGAGAACTTGCAACGGTCTCACCACAAGATGAGCGAGACCAACTTGTCTTTTACAGCAGGCTCAGAGACTGCAGCTCCGGCTCCACCAGTTCCACGATTCCGCGATGCTATTGAACGTCCCAGCTCCGCCCCCGGCAGCGCCATGCGTAACGCATCCCCATCAATTCGATCACGGAGAGACTCGTTGAGGGGCTCGCCGCTGTCCTTTAGAAAACCACGTGTTGGATCAGTGTCGTCGTCGACGTTGGGCTTATCTCCCGCGCCGAAGCAAAGAAGCAATTTTCCGGCGGCTCCTTTCGAGGGAGACCCATTACAACCTCCGCCAGCTCCCTTCTCACACACTCGCCATTTTTCCATGCAAAGTACTGGTACAGGTGCCAAGGGCTTCATCGATCTGCTAGATGCCCAGTCTGAGATTAAGCCCTCCGGCTTCCAGAACCGGGTCAAGGCTTCGGGGGCACGGGATTATGGCGAAGATGTTGCTGACAGGAACATTGGCGAGAACGGCGTTGACCTGACGTCCGAGAGGGTCCAGGCATTCTATGCATCGGCTACCAACCCGCCAGTTCAACATCCCAAAAAGGAGTCGTCCAAGCAATCCGGACGCCACGAGTCTCTTGGTAACGAAGGCCGCACAAAGTCGTTGACCACGTCTAGCGGCCAAGTCCCGTTCCGGACCACCATGTTCAACCCCGAGAGCTCTCTCAGCCGCGAACCAATCATGGAGTCCGTTGCCGAGTCTGTTCGTGTCAGGCGGAGGCAATCGCTGGGCGCCTACATCCCGACCGCGCCATCGTCATTCATTCCGGCCGGACCCTTGAATAGCCATCCGCCGATGTTCTATACAGGTAGCCCCCAAAGTACAAGGCAGCACAAACGACGCTCCACACTTGGTGGAGAGGTCTTGTTGGATGAACTAGGTATTTTCTCGGCTTCGGGTGGCGGACCGACCGGGTCGCCATTGTCAGCAAAGACGTCTCCGAAACCAGTCCACATGGGCAAACACAACTACTCCTTGCCTGTCCAGCAACGCCCGAGGACCTCGGGCCATACTGATGTTGAACCACTTCATGCGGCGAGGCCGCCATCCCGCGGAGGGTCAGTAGTCAGTTCCACATTCTCCTCCCCAACCCAGAAGCCGCCATCCAAACGGCACACCTTGTTTGCGACAGGCGCAACTGCCCGCCATACCGAGTGGCCGCGGAACGCGAAGCTCGACGAGGGAAGTGGCCCAAGAGGTTGGGTTGGCCAAATTGGGGTCGAGAGCTTTGTTGATTCCGCGGGTGTGGCCTCGCCGGCGCCTTCACCTCGTTAGTGTCTATTGCCGATTTCTTTTGTGTGCCATCTGTCGACTTATTTGTCATCTCTTGCTAATGTGTTTGTGATCATAACAGATGTGATGAGAAGTGGCCACTCGTGGCCTGAGAGCCTAGACGATTCACATCAGAGCCCGAAGCTTCAGGGATTTCCGCAAGAAAAAGGCACGTTGAACGATGTCTTTGACCATGTACCAATACGGAGGAACAGTTTACGCGACTGGTCCATCTCGTCTGCAACACCGACGATGTCGAGCACCAGTTCTTTCTTGCGCCCGCACTCTCGACACACCACGACGACCTCTGTTGATTTAGCAACAAAGTCATCCTTCATGAACGACAGCCACATCTCATTGCATAGCGGTACAGGCGATTACACCTCGTTCTGTACAGCCCTCGAGAGTGCCTTGACTTCTCCCATTGAAATGGCCAATCCCGGAACAGACTTCAACATGGACGATTACCTGTCATCCGATGACGATGTTGATGCGGACTCGTTTATCACGACTCGTGTAAGGAATTCGGGCCACATGGACGGCCACGAAGAAGCACTCCTGTTCAGCGACACCGGCTACGGCGAAGGTGGCTTGCAGCTGCCCGGGCTCTTTGACAGCCTTTCCAACATCCCGGATCCCGACACCACGTCACCGGAGCGCCCGAACCTGCGATACTCACTGAGCAGCCCCAGCCGGTTCGCCCGCAGGATGTCGTTGGACCCTTGGATCGAGGCCCCCATCTCCCCTCTTGAGGAGGGGGGCGAGGAGGAGGACGACCTTCTCGATATACCGACGAGGGCGGACCTGGCGCTCGGGCGCAGGGGTACGCGGAGGATTTCGGCGCTGGGCACAATGTACCAGAGCATCGAAGAGGAAAAGGAGGACAAGGCCGACTTGTGGACGGCCGTACGGATGCGGAAGGAGGCCAAAGCGCGGCAGCGGGCGATGGCCAAGCCCGGCAGCAAACCGCAGCAGAGGCGGGCCGACGATGTTGCAGAGAAACGTCGCGGCAGCGGGTGAGCAACTAGTGCCGCTCGACATGCGTGGTCTTGGCCAGACCAGACACATTCTGTTATCCGACGCGCGGGTTTTTGCGGTGGAAGGGCGGGGCTCTACTTGTTTTGCGTTTCAACATTACTATATCCTAGGAGTTTGAGCTATACCCAGGGGGGGGAGGATTTTCTGAACGGCACAAACAGGGAAGGCAAGCGGTCCTAGGTTCAAAGATACGGGCACGGTGCCATTCGCTGGTTGGCGCGAGTCCATAAATGAACGCAGATATGAGCGAGTGCGATGAATAATGTCTGTCTTTTAACCGTACAAAAGAAAAAAAAACTATAATACTTCTTAATCAACAACTTGGCACCCGTTCGTCAATCCTTGTCAGGTAGTAACAAATGTCACCATTAGTTGGGCGACACAACTCTGGATTAAGACATGTTCGCGCCAATATGAGTATGCAGCTAATGTTAACACCATGTACCCTATTCATAGTGGAAAAGGCGGCCCTTGGCCTTGTCTGCGTCCTGCGTCCAAGCGATGATGGAGTCTCATGTCGCTCAGGAAACAACCCACCAATGTTTGTAAACACGTCTCCGCCACAATCCCAAACTTTTCAGGAAAAGGCAAACATGCCCTGATGCATGCCTCCTTCGCCGCCTCCGCCGCCGCTGAGGTACGAGCCCCAGTCCAGTTCAGTCAGCTGCTCGTCGCACCACCCAAACAGGTCCATGCCACTGTCCGTGGTGGCCGAGGGGGTGCGCGTGGCGGAGCCGGCGCCGGATCCCTCGATGTCGGCAGTGACGGCCTCAAAGAGTGCGGAAATGATGTCTGGGGTGCGGTCCGAGGCTCGCATCCAGGGGCGCATCTCGGCAAAGAGCTCAAGGGCTTTCGTGAGGCTCGTGCACCAGGTAGCCAGGAGGGTATCGTTTTCTGGAGAAGGGGCTGGCGTTGATGCCGGGATGCTGGCGTTGGTTAGGGATGTTATTGAGCAGATGGTTGGCTGCTGTGAACTCGGCGGTTGCTGTTGTACTTGCTGTTGGTGTTGGTGTTGCTGTTGCTTGCGGAACGAGATGCGGCGGTTGGTCTCGATGGCGATGGACAGCAACGGAACCATGCAAGCTTGGAATAGGTACCATGCCGAGTTCCAGACATGGATACGGTTGGGCGTCCAATAGAGAGTTATCGCGTCGATGGCCTCCGACGCGACGGAACGGCATGTGTCGACTAGCATCATGTCATCAGGAGAAGGCTCGATGACTGCGGAGATGGTAGCGGCGCCGCGCTTGAGGCTATGATCGTGGATGAGGTACAGCAGGAAGCAGCGAGACAGGATAAGTCGCACGCTTAGGTACCGGTTGCGCATAAACTCGCGGGCCACCGTCAGTCGGGGCGGGGAATTTGCTGGGTTCCTCAGATATTCCGGGAGAGAGGCATACCACTCCCTAAGCTCGCGGTCGAAGGCCATGGCTTCTTGGGCGGACAGGCGGGCATGCTGAGCGAAGCGGTGCTGGATACGGTCGCATATATGACAGAACAAGCAGCTCGCCCGCAGCGAGGCGGCGACGTAGTCATCGGGGAACAGCGATGTGGGGAGCAGCGCGTCCATGGTGCTGCTGTCCCAGCGGCCGCAGGTCGGACGGCCCAGGGTCATGCTCGCCCAGGTGTCTAGGCAGAAGAGGCTCCACCAGGTCCGGCGGCGCTTTTCGGCACGAGAGATGTGCGTGCCTTGTTCCGACTGGTTCTCGGCGCGCTCGGCGGCGCGGCTGCGGGCAGGTTCTCGATGCAAGCCTAGAGCTATCGCGACGCGGTGGGCGGCGCCAAGGACGGCATAGGCCATGTTTGGGGAGTTGCGGTAGTGGAGGTAGTAGCCACCTAGCAGACAGAGAGCCTGGAGGCTCTCCATATTGCCGGAGCCGAGGGAGTCTAGGTCGAGGTGAGCGCGTGCCTGTTTGTAGTAGTGCACATGCAGTGAGTCGCTGCCGGAGGCGATGGAGCCAAGGGTGAAGACCATGTTGAGGAGGGCCTGCCAAGACCCGTCGTGGCGGTCCCCCGTGGCAAGGGTTCGCCGGAAGTCGTCCTCATTGAGGATCGGGGTGATGGGGTGGATGTGATCAAAGTAGAAGTCGACACAGCGCTGCTCACGTAGGGGATTCTGACCGGCGCCGGGGCTGATTAGGGACAGTGACAGCAGCAGCTGGGACTGGTTCTGGGACTCGTTCCACGTCCTTGCGCGCTGGGCGGTATGCTCCTTTGCAGCAGGGCAGAGGCGGAATATGGCTCTCAGGACAGCGCTCATGGAGGTGACGCCAAGGTAGGAACGGCGGTGCTGGTCCGTTGCCAGGCTGATGGCGTTGATGTCGTCGCTGGCGCGGATGGTGGCGGGCTGCTGCGCGGATTCCTCCCAGCGTCTGTCGTTGGCGGCTTCCCCACCCTCAGAGATCTGCGTCGAGTCGTCCGGGCCATCGTCCTCGTCCTCGTCCTCGTCAGCGGCAGCCGAGATGGCGCCGGCTGGCGAGAGATCTGGCTGTGGAGCGATGGAACGCACACCAAAGAGTGAGTCTCGGGGTAGCAGGACGAGTAGTTCTGCTCGACTCTTGCCAACCAGGTCATCCACGGGGATGTCAGGGAAGAGTTCCTGCAGGACGCGGGACTGGGCGCGGAGCTTTTCCGAAGTCTTCTCAAGAGTGCTGACGGGTGCACGTTAATCATTGTGGTCTTGACAGAACAGCTTCAGGCCTCATACACAAGGGCTGAGGGGCGTTATGTCATACCTCCTGCTCACAGCATGTCGTCTGCTTCGCTGCCTGTACTCACATGCGTCTGCCACTTTATAGTATTGGCAGCTGGCGCAAGGGTGGCCGCCGTCGCACTTGACCTTCCGCCTTGTACACTCCTGGCACGAGCGGTTAACCTTCCGGGACGGAGTCGGAGACGCGGCTGCCGAGACCGAGGGGCTCCGGCGGCTATCAAACGAGTGGAACATTGCTTGTTTCTCCGCCCCGTCCCCGTCACGCTTGTTACTGCTGTAGTTGTCGTCGGCAATTACACGGCCCTGGGCACGGAAAAAGACCCAATCGAGTAGGAGACATTTGGGGGAGATGGGATGCGGAGGCGGAAGCGGAGGCGGGAATTTGGGGAGAGGGCCTGGAAGGGGAAATGTGGATTAAAGAGAGAGGAGGGTGTCCTTTTTTTTTGAGAGAGAGAGAGAGGATACGAATAGAGGGGAACATGTCGAAGGAGGCGACGCGGGGAAGGTGAAGGGATGCTCATGCTTTCCTGGCAACCGGCAAGGGGAAGCCACCGGGTGTGGGGATGACCAGGGCCGGGGGTCATTGGAGAGAGCCGAGACTCGCCTATACCGGAACATCACCGAGGCTCTTCTACACTACACTTGGCTGCCTAGTCTAGTACAACTGTTCTGCCTTTCTCACGGGCCTCTTCAGTTTGAAAAACATTTATACGAGACTATTTCTAGGCAACAGACGCTCCAGCCGTTTCTATTTTGTATGGGACAGTCCTTCAATTCGGGCGTCACCGATTGCAAGCCACCTAACCATGTCGAGTCCTCACCACACTACGATGTTGAGATGCTGGTTCCTCACAACCTCAGCACGCTATCTCTCAGCGCTGAAATACAACTACCCGTCAAAGTCTTGGTCTACACTTCCAGAGTACAATTTGATTTTGATGTTTTCAGTCACCATAGGCTCCGGTTCCGGTTCTGCAGGAGCACAAGAGGAAACTACAGGAGGCGTGCAAACTCCAACGGCAAGGCTTAGTGGTCCTAAACCCGGTGGCCAGTACGTATCTTATTGGGCATGATGCCTTTTGTGACGTGAAAACAGTAATCAAGCCCTGTCGTCTCCTCAGTCACGTTCCTTCCGAGATCCCCCAATAGGGACAGCCGATTGATTGCCGTTCAGAAGATGCTCTGAGCAGCGGCTTTTCTACGTGCATGACAGTCCATCACGGCGTACAGTATGTTTTGACTCATGGGTTCGCCGACTGGCCTCAATTTCTGTCCCTCTGGCCGTTTCGACGATACGATCGCCATGCAAGAGGTCGAATTTTCCATTGAGGGTATCGTAGCTTGCCACAGCACAAGCTCGCCCGATCTAGCGACTCTTGTCAAGTTATCAATAGAATACTTTCGATGAGTATTTACACTTGCAAGTTCAGGCTGAGCTCATTTGATGTGTAGTCCTCGGTGGGCCCGCCGGATGAAATATCGTATAGTTTGAGATGGGCATTTTCTCGGTGAATCCACCCTGATCCGCTCCACTTGACTAAGTCCAAGATTGTTATGGTGGTAGTTGTACTGCGGCAGAGGCATCCACCATCCGCGCCATGGCAAAGCACCCTCACGCGGTTTGGCCCCCCAACCACCAGATTTTCCACCTCTTGTCCACGGCTTGGTTCTGCTAGCGTGAGAACGTCAAGACGAGACCAAACGGGCAGATACATACTTCATAGTAAAGGACCTTTGACATTACTCGTGAGGGAGCAAAAACGTCTTGAGTCATCAGTCTACGAATGTTAAACAGTAAGGCAAGAGCCTACATGGCTAGCTTGTGACCTCAAAACGCCTTGCGCCGCGTTTGACTTAGGCTCCAGGTATCAAGTCCACTTTGATTGTGCTAATCATGCAAGCTTGTGTCACACTCAGTAACCCGCCCTCACCATCGACTGAGAACCTGAAGTTTCGTGACGAGAGCCGGGCAGGGCTTGATACGATCTGATGGTTGGATGAAGAACGAAAAACGACGAATAATGGTGCAATCAACTTCCCAGGTTGCTTTGCGCCAGTTCTAGCTCTGTTCAAGCCAATGATTGCTGTTCTTTGGTAGCTCCTTCAAATCTAAAATGAGTCGATGTTTTTGCTGGGTGAAAAGTAGCTGTAAGACAGGCTGCAACTGGGCAAAGCTAGTTGACTCTCGGCTTGCCGACACAGACAAGTTCGCAGGTGCATTGTCGTGTGAGAGAAGAATAAGGGTCTGGTTGGGTTGGGAGTGGGTGTGGAGAAGTACTAGGTAGCATTGCCCCACTTGGCTGGGGAGAAGGATTTATCCTATCCAAACGAGGCATCCGGAAACATATGTTGCCGTCCCCTGGAGGAAGGGCGAATCTGCGCCAGTCGTACTGCAAGATCAACACAGCACACAGGACGCGTTACTATCGACCCGCTTCGAGAGGTTATTGTAGTGAGAAGTCTTGCGACCGATCAGCGAGCCGTCGCTCATGACAAGTTCCCGCGACAAGTGATGTAGAAGAGCGTGTGTTTGACCCACGATGAGTCGAACGTGGTCCCTCTCAGAAGGCATGTGTCCATTGCAGACTTGCCGACTTGGCAAAACGTGATATTGATCTACTACAGTCCGCCAACACCAAAGTCCTGACGATTGTTGGATGGCAATTCATGGCAGAGTTTACAACGTATTCAAACCACCTCCTTCCGTTGAATCTTGCCCCAAGACTTACCAACGTTCTCATACACAGATCACCACATTCCTCCCTAGACACCCAGGCGGCAAATCGGTTCTATTAAATAATGCAGGCAAAGATGCAACTGATGCATTCAATGCAGTGCACCCGGTTGAGATTTTGGAGGAGTATTTGACACCTGATCAACAGATTGGGACATTGGAATCAACTGCAGAAGATGCGTCACCAAAAGAGGAGAACCCCCCTCCAGATGTGCCTATGGCGCTGCCATCATCTCAGGGTGGATTGAGAGGCCAGCCCCCGGTATCTCACATCCTCAGCATCCCTGAGATGGAACAGTACGCTCTAAGGAAACTGAGCCCGAAGGCGATCTCATACTACGCCTCAGGAACCGACGACGAGATCACCAAGGTTGAAAACGGCACAATCTTCCGTTCCATCCTATTGAGGCCACGAGTCTTTGTCGACTGTACCCGGTGCTCTCTCTCAACCAATATCCTTGGGAACCCTATTGGAATGCCCATCTACGTCTCGCCCGCGGCTATGGCCAAGCTGGCTCATCCTGTCGGCGAAGCAGGCATCGCTGCAGCATGCTCGGAATTCCGCGGGCTGCAGATCATCAGCAAAAACGCATCCATGTCTCCCTCGGCGATTGTCCAAGCTGGACCACACACGGCTTATGCCTGGCAACTTTACGTCCTGAAGGACATTGAGGCGACCGAACGAACACTGGCCCAGATCCGGGCCATTCCTCAAATCAAATTCGTCGTTCTCACTCTCGATGCGCCTTTCCCAGGCAAGAGGGAGGCAGACGAACGGTTCAAGATGGCCGAGGTCGCCGGGGGGGCGCTGCCACAGGTCTGGGGCACGGAGTCGGGTCTGACATGGAAGATGACTTTGGAGTGGCTCACCAAGCACACCTCGCTCCCGATCGTTTTGAAGGGTATCCAGACACACGAGGACGCGTACGCTGCAACTCTTTTCCCGGCCGTCAAGGGCATAATCATTTCGAACCACGGCGGACGTGCCTTGGACACGACGATGACGCCTCTTCAGGTGCTTTTAGAAATTCGAAAGTTCTGTCCACAAGTATTGGACAAGGTTGATGTTTTGATCGACGGCGGTGTCAAGCGAGGGACGGATGTTGTCAAAGCGCTGGCTCTGGGTGCCAAAGGCGTCGGCATTGGCAGAGCTGCGTTGTACGGTCTCGCGGTTGGTGGTCAGGCAGGGGTCGAACGGGTGTTACAGAGTAAGTACACAACAATGGTTAGCAGTTTAGCCGACTACTGACCTAGGCTTCCTTGTTAGTTCTCGCCGATGAGACAATTACTGCGATGAGGCTCCTCGGTGCCGAACGCGTTGACCAGCTTGCCCCGAAACACGTAAGTTTGACTGTTTAGATGATACGCATGTTCTCTTCCGCCAATCTAAAATAGCTGACTAGGTTGCCGACAGGTCAATGTGAGTGTGTTGCAATCGCGGTTCTACAGTGGCCCTTCAGGTCTCGAGGATGTAGACAGAGAGTTAAAGTCTAAAATGTAATTCGCCATTCGAGAACAAACACAGTAACCGCCCACCACTGCCGAACATTGAACTCTGTTGAGAAATGTTGCGATACTATAACATCACAAGCTTTACGGGTGCTGAGACCTTATCTACGTTTTGTGTCCAATCACATGCTGCATTCAAAGACAGTTAAAGTTGAAGATGGTACAAAGAGATCAATCGATGTTTTTTGCTTGCAGCTGATTTTGCTTCCGCTAAACTAATCCCCGACGAAAAGAACCGCAATCATCACCTGGCTATCTTGTCTACTTTTCGTGTCGAATACACATCAGTGCGGAGATTTCAACGGTTTCAAGGTCCTTTGAATGCATGGATAACTAGCTCACTACCTAGTCTCAGCTAGCCTGGATTTAAAGATAGCGGCGTCACAGCCCCATAATTCGCCTTACAGGCTAAAATAATGAAAAGAAAAACCCCCCATAACCCTGCGTACGAACGCTGTGGTCCTCTATGGGTGAGCGCAACATGTGGCTCCGTCGTAACTCAGCGCTGGATGCGGCCGGGAAAAAGCTGCAGTGCCATCAGTCGCTGTTAAGAGAACGGCATCAGGCAAGGTCTCAGAATTATCGGGGTTTCGGGTTATGATAAGCATTGCCGCTCCCCTTTTCGAATCGTAACGCTCTATCCTTGGCCCCGAGGTGAGAATTGAGACGCATTTCGCCCAAGAGGGAGGGTTTCTACGCACGCAATGGACAGAAGAGAGGGAAGTCCGGTCCTTAAACGAGTCGATGATGTCGAAACAGGGACCGATACATACGCGACCATTATGGCAACACACAGGCCCGATCCACGAGGGCTAGGATACATGAAATTATATCTCCTCGCTGGAGTCTGCTTTTTCTGCTCAACCATGAATGGTAAGAACCGGTGTGGAAGCTTCTTTTCTTTGAGTTACTCACGACTCATCAGGCTATGACAGCGCTCTGTTGGGATCCATAAACGCACTGCCAAATTACACACAGTATTTCGGACTTCCCGCAAATGGCAACGCGAGCACCGGCATAGTCTTCGCCATCTTCCAGGTTGGTCATGCCTCCGGAGCTTATCCACTCCAGGTTCTAACATTGATATGCAGGTCGGTCAGATGTGTGGCGCCCTTTTCATCTGGATGGCAGACTGGTATGGCCGGACATGGCACATCTTCTTCGGCTGTCTAGGCGTCTGCATAGGAGCGATCATAACGGCATTATCCACCAGCCTGCCCATGTTCATCGGTGGTCGATTCATATTATCGTTCTTCGCCACCTGTGCTCACACGTCGGCGCCTCTTTACCTGGTTGAGCTGGCACCTGCGACGTACCGGGGGACAATTGCAGGCCTCTACAACACCTTCTACAATGTGGTGAGTGAAACCCCAGCTGGCAGTCTTCAAGAGAGTTTGGAAAGGTGTAGTTGTGATTAATGCCGGGGTTAATGCTGATGTTTCCGATGCAGGGTTCGATATTGGCAACGTCGGCAGTGTATTCCTGCCATCGATACCTTAGTGAAAAAGGCGACCTGGACTGGCGAATCCCGCTATGGTTGCAAATGGTCTGTCCTGGACTCGTGTGTGTCTTCATCAAGTTCTTCCCTGAGTCGCCTCGCTGGTAGGTGGTTCCCGTCCCCGGTGGGATGTTAACGTATTATCTCTGACGCCAGGCAGGCTTGTCGCCCAGGACCGCCATGATGAGGCTAAGACTATCATCGCGACCTATCACACCAACGGCGACCAGAACCACCCACTGGTAGTATTACAGATGAAGGAGATGATCAGCTCAGTTAAACCAACCAATGTGGCATGTTGGAAAGACCTCTTCGATCTTAGAGTTCTGGTCGACAGTCGATCCAGCCGTTACAGACTGATGCTCAACGTAGCGTTCTCCTGGTTTGGGCAGTTCAGCGGTAACAATATCAGTAAGAACACTTCTTGACCCGTTTTGCCAGGACAACGCAACTTAAACCTCCCTGATAGTCTCTTACTACCTTCCCATAATGCTTTCGGGTGTTGGAATAACCGATACCAGCACTAAACTGGTGTTAAACATTGTTTACTCTGTCGTAGGCTGGGTCTTCTCAACAGTCGGCTCGCGCCTTCACGACGTCATCGGACGCCGCAAGATGCTTATCACCACAACCTCCGGCATGACCGTCTGCCTAGCCATTGTTGCAGGTTGCTCGGCTGGCTACACCGACTACGGCAACACGACTGCGTCGACCGTCAGCATCGTCTTCATCTTCGTCTTCGGCGCCGTATTCGCCACGGGCTTCACGCCGATGCAGCCAATCTACCCGGCCGAGGTCGTGAGCAACAAAATGCGTGCCAAGGCGATGGGCACGTTCAAGCTCACAGCCGGTGCGGCTGGATTCTTGAACACTTTTGTTGGGCCAATTGCGCTGTCAAATGTGAGTATCCCCCAAGAGCTTCCTACAGAACGCTTTCCGACTATGACACATTCCCTGACCTGATGAAAATAGATTGGCTATTGGTTTTATGTGTTCTTCGTGGTGTGGGACAGCTTCGAGGTCTTGTTCATGTACTTCTTTTTTGTTGAGACTAGAGGTTTTACACTGGAGGAGTTGGATGAAGTGTTTGAGGCCGGAAACCCTCGTAAAGCGTCGGTTCAGGCTAAAAAGAGACAGCACCAAATCATGAGGAGGTCGGGCTAGTAGTTCGATGATGTGGTTAAAGCTAATCCTAATCGCCGACCTCTACCTTACCACATCTCGAGCTCGAGATTGAGAGGCTGAACTCTTGAAGAGAAAGCCATAATAATCCCTGATGTATGCGACAGCCATTCCATATAATGTAATCCTCTAGTGCTGTTGTTTGAGTGCACGGGCCTAGTCATGCTTAATCAGCCATGTGCGTTCACTTCTTAATGTTGCTGATAAGATAAGGCACGGCCAGACCCGCCCCTCCAGATTTTTTTTCTGATTTGGCATTTGTTCAGTCGCCTCCATCGAAGACTTCTGCAGGTTTCTCAGAACAGCACTTTTGCGACATTGACCGATTCCACGATGAAGAGAAAGCAACCAGAAGACTCCGTGCCCACGGGTGAAACCGAGAAGCGCGCAAAAATAGAACAGTCCACTACTACTGAACTTTCCTTCGCCGACCTTGGACTCGACACACGGCTGGTACAGGCCGTCGCCGCCGAAAGCTTCAAGGACCCGACTCCAGTGCAGCAAAAGGCTATCCCATTGGCCTTGGACGGAAAAGATGTCGTCGCAAAGGCTCCTTGTGGCTCCGGAAAGACTGCAGCATACGTTCTGCCTGTTCTTTCCAGCATCCTGAAGCGCAAGACTGTACGTAGACGCGCCTCCGACCTGACAATCGAATCTTGCTGATCATTTAGACCGACTCTTCACCCGCCACGACCGCCCTCATTCTTGTGCCGACTCGCGAGCTCGCCGACCAGGTTCTCAAAGCGATCGAGCAGTTCTCGGCGTACTGCGCGAAGGATATCCATGCCATCAAGCTTGTCGACAAGATCTCCGATGCTGTACAGCGCTCCCTCCTCTCCAACTTCCCCGACATTGTCATCTCTACCCCAGCCACCGCATGGCGTAATGTCGTTTCCGAAGCGTTGTCGCTGAAAAATTTGGCGTGCATGATCCTTGACGAAGCCGATCTCATCCTGTCTTATGGTTACAATGAAGACTTGGAGAACATTGCGAGAAAGCTGCCTAAGGGTGTGCAGCTGATGATGATGAGCGCGACACTTTCAACAGACGTCACGTCGTTACAAGGGATTTTTGGCAGAAAACCTACCGTATTGGATCTCGACGACGAGGAGACGGAGGGTGACAGTCTTTCTCAGTTTGTCGTCAGGTATGTTGCTCACAGTACGCATCGTTGCACGCTGTTTACTAACGGCTTGCAGCTGTGGAGAGGACGAGAAATTCCTCTTGGCGTTCATCATCTTCAAGCTTAAGCTCGTCAAGGGCAAATGCCTGATTTTCGTCAATGATGTCGATCGCTCGTATCGTCTGAAGCTGTTCCTGGAACAGTTCCAGGTCCGAAGCTGCATCCTCAACTCAGAGCTGCCAGTCACATCAAGGGCGCACGTCCTCGAGGAATTCAACCGTGGAGTCTACGACATCATTATTGCATCCGACGAGAAGAGTGCTATGGGTGCGGAGGAGAAAGATGGCGAAGAGGAAGAGGACACGGAGCAACGCCAGAAGGAGAAGGAACAATCCAAGAAGAAGCGGAAATCCAAGCGAGACGCTGATTTCGGCGTATCGCGAGGCATCGACTTCAAAAACGTCGCAGCAGTGGTCAACTTTGATCTCCCTACATCCGCCTCATCATACACACATCGCATTGGACGTACTGCACGAGCCGGCCGGACAGGCATGGCTTTATCCTTCTACGTTCCCAGCGAACTATACCGCAAGCACTTGCCGACGAGCATAGAGACAGCCGAGAACGACGAGAAGATTCTGGCGAGAATTAAGAAGCAGCAAGCGAAGCAAGGCAAAGAGGTTAAGCCCTATAACTTCAAGAAGGAGCACCTGGATGCGTTTAGATACCGTCTAGATGATGCGCTGAGAGCAGTTACCAAGGTGGCGGTTCGCGAAGCGCGTATGAGGGAGTTAAAGCAGGAACTTCTCAAAAGCGAGAAGTTGAAGAGGTATGTGCCTTCTAATTACGGTTGACCGCATTTTAGACAGGCCACCCGTCGCCGTTGAAGCCTGAGCTCTACTAACGTATCATAGATACTTCGAGGAGAACCCCACGGAACTTCAGCACCTTCGGCACGATGGAGAATTGAGAACAGCTCGACAGCAGCCTCACTTGAAGCACATACCTGAGTATTTGCTCCCGAAAGAGGGGAAGGACTCTCTCACAAGGAATGACGTCGGCATGGTGCCATTCCGAAAGGTTGGTGGCAAGCAGAGGAGGAATAAGGGCAAGCCAGGACGGAAAAAGATTGGCACGCGAAAAGTGAATCCTTTGAAGACGTTTAAGGCCCGGAGGAAATAAGCAAAAGTCTCAACCATACCCTGACGGCAGTCACTTGTACATACTAATAGAGACATGCTATTCCTCATATGTGAGCGGTTGTTGTCGAGTAGTCTGCTCAACGCGCCTTTCTGATTCGACTTTGTATTTGACCTGAGATCTCAACAATTTCACCTTAAAAGATGCGAATGTTCCGAGACTCCTCGGGTTGTCGAGATCGTGGTTGTCAGTAATGCGAATGAAGTCCTTATGCCACTCTTTACCTAGGCTTGATCCCAACATGTGGTATCAGCCGCTATCGGCCTTCTAAGTTTTAGCAGCAATTTTCTATAGCTAGCCTATCCCACTGGTTGATTCTATATCTTCCTCAAAGCAATTGACGAGATGGCTCGCAAGAAGCAGTTGATTTAGTAGAAGCATATACTTCGGGTCTCGCTCCTTTCGAAGCCTAGTATAGTTTGCCAAGGCATGTGCTCCCGGCCCGAACAGCTGTCAAAGAGAAATTCTCCCCGACAGAACAGTCCAAAAATGGCAAAGCAGGCTTCAAAAGTGCTCCAAGCCACCGGGAGCAGGGTTCGTCGAATGTTCGCAACTCCCTCTACACCGCGGAGGTGGTGAGGCGAACCGGAGAGTTGCCCGATACCTCCCGAGCACGTACTCAGGTCGTGGTGATCCTTTCGCATCAATCTAAGCTTTCATCTCGTCTCCGAGCTTGCGAGACTGACCCTTCGCAACTTTACCTCAACGAATCGCTGACGGGTTCTGAGTCGCGCTTTTGAAGCTTGTCACGTCGCGGACCAGTCCGTACCACGGACGGACCGTCACCGCACAGACATCGCGGAGATCGGGCGAGTCCCCGACCTGCAGCTTGGCTTCAAATGCGGCTGTTCGTTGTACTTCTTAGGGAGGCGCGTAGGTCTCGCGATGCGCCTCGGCGTGCATGTTGCATTTCCCGAAGAGCTCGGAATGTTACGACTGAAGAAAATATAAGGGAAACAGGGGTGCCCTGGAATTTATGGTATCTTAGCGGTGTCTCACTCTGTCTGTTCTATCGCCATCCAGAATTGATCCACCAACTGCGAGCAAACCCACAAACATAAGAAGAGGTCGAGCCCCTTCTTGATTCAGTGTCTTGGCAGTCTCCTACCAACACTCCAACTCTCAGGTCATGAGTACCATCGGCGCACCGCTGTCCTCACGATGCACACCCTCAACCTTGGATATTGAGAAAGCCTGGGAAATGGCGCGGCCTGACACCTTCGCCGGTGCGGCGATCTATGTCCCGGTATTCCTCCGCTACATCTACGACCCGGTCGTTCTCGGTCTCTATTGTCCATACGCGTGGCGAATCCCGTCGAGTAAGATGCGAGAGTTCTTCAACGGCCATATTGCCAATGCTGCCTCGCCATTGCGATCGCCAAACCTTGTCGGCACGACAAGTATCCAGCCTGCACCAAGCACATACTCGCCATGTCGGATCTTAGATATCGGTGTTGGGACCGGGTACTTCCTCGAGCATGCGTCCATTCCAGCAGGATCGAAGATTTACCTCGTCGACCTCAACCGGGCCGCGCTCCAGGCCGCCAGGTCACGAGCTATGGCGGCACACCCAAAGACGACATGTGAAACGTCAGTAGCCGACTTCCTGGATCCAGGAGGGAAGGGTTTGCGTTGTGAAGATCTGGGCGGTGGCTCGTTCGACGCTATATCGACAACGATGCTGCTTCACTGCCTGCCGGGCCCTCCAGTGAGAAAAGCTGACGCCTTGATCCGTCTACGATATCTTCTTGCCCCTGGAGGTACTCTGTTTGGAATGACAATCTTGGGCCGCGGCGTTAAGCATAACATATGGGGGAAACAGTTGATGTTTTGGCATAACCTATTGAGGTTGTTTGGAAATACAGAAGACGATGTCGAGGGCTTCATTGGGCCTTTGAGGGCGGTGTTTGAAGATGTCATGTGGGAGGTACATGGCACGATGCTCTTGTTCGAAGCGAGAAACCCAAAGGTTTGATGGTTTGGACTGAACTTTGTTGATTGTAAAGTAGACAAAACCTATTAATAGTAACGACAGTGGGATGGTAGGTTTAGACAATGTGTAGAGCTACCATTTGGTGTAACTGCTGTATTTAGTGCGATAGAGCCAAAGAGAAAATGTATATCATCCTGTTTATGCTTGTAACTTGAGAAGCCGGAAAGATTCCCCTGCTATTATTTAACATGGTCCGGGAAGAACCGTTCATTAATAGATAGGAATAAATGAGATTGAGATTTAGCGGAACGTTTCGCAACTTCCTTCCTCCATGCAAATCTCGCCCTCATATGTTAAGCTGCAATCAAGCTGCGTTGCTATGATACGCATGTGCCCACATAAGCCTCGTATGTTTGCACTGTGTAGATCGTGAGCTGTCTATGTTCATTATTGATCGGGTGAGCGTTCTCGAACGGTCTCTTCCGTCACCTCGCTAGCACCGCTCAGTTGCCAATCATGGCCAGTATATAACTTAGATGCAGCAAACCATTGATTTGTGACCCCTGGGGCGATACTGAGAAACAGCTCAGCTACCGAGGTCCAAATGAATCTAAAGCAAAAGTACAACTGAAGCCCAGAAAAATGCATACAAGTGGATAATGAATATTGCCTTGCTTAATTCCTTCTAAGTTCGCAATGGCATGTGCAGATGTATCACCAACGTGGTCGAAAGTCAAAATCAGCTCAAGATACATGTACCCTCGTCCCACGTCACTCTATTTGGAAAGGTTATTCTAAGATTTCGAACGAAGTAACAGGGTAGTCCATCTAGACCGGAAGTTTGCAGCACGCCACCAATAAATTTATATATGCGATCGATTTCGAAGTAAAACGGTCGTCTCACCCCACTCATGTCGTGGGATAGATCTGTACTCGTGGTAAAATCAATTTCTCACGTTAGGGGGATTGATGAGGTGCCAAGAGAAGAAGGTATCTTAAGAAACTTGCACAATGTCATTCAGCTTTATCAACTATGTAAAAGGCAGATGTATTGCAATCTGTACATGATACTTTCCATTCAACGGGCATTTAAGTATGAATCCAACAAAATTCTAGTCACACATAAATTTACTCGTACAAGTAAACGTAACCTGGAGTTGTTGTAATAGCCATATTCTGTACCATCTACTCAATGTGTCATGGATGAACGGTCTCTCAGTCCCATTTTCGGCGAGTAGCTTGCGTATCGGAAGTTTCGTAGCATATGTACTCCTTGACTTCGCCCTGCCAGGTGGACTATGTGTCTCTATTGTCTTTGAGACCGCGTGATTTAGACCGCGATTCGGAATCTTCTCGGCCTAAGCCCCTTCATCTTCCACGTGCCTGTAGTCGAGGCTTTCCTCTCGGAGTATCTCTTCTCAATCGCTTCTAGACTGTGCCCTCGCGTCTCCACCATGATGACAGCCACGACCATGGTGCAAAGAAAAGAACAACCCGCAAAAAGAAAATACGCTCCGAAAGTGGACTTTGATAACAGAACTGGAGTTATCAAGGCAACAACAAAGTTGGCAAACTTGTTTTGATGTTAATTTAGTCTATGTCGAGAGTTAAGATGTTTGAGCGAGAGCAACAAGAGAAAACTTACCCAGTTGGCACTCTGGGCCAAGCTAGATGCACTGCTCCTCGTCTTTCTCGGCAGACTCTCGACCATAAAAGTCCGGAAGCCGATGGCCCACGTACAACTGTAGACAATGGCAAAGAGGTAGATTGAAACAATCACCACCCACTTTCCCGGCCCTGAATCGGCGTGAACCTCACCGGCGGCGAATAGAGAGCCCATCAATAGCATAAGAGCGGTGATGAGCACTCCTCCCAACAAACTCGACGTTCGTCTCCCCCATCGATCAGCAAAAAATGTGGCCGGAACTGTCACGGCCAGAATGACCAATGCCGAAACGCCAGACGCAAGGAAAGTGGCCTGTTCTCCACCAAGCCCGGCTTGAGTGAATAAGATAGGAGCGTAGTATAGGATTCCGTCAATGCCGGAGAATTGTTGCATAGCCATAAGAAAACAACCAAACGCTGTTCTACTTCTGAAAGGCGCCGAGAAAGCTTCCCCAAACTCCATAAACGTTTGTCGCAGGGTTTCCCAGAGCGTTACATCGGCATTGTGCTCTTGAACTGCTGACATTGATTGCTCGAGGAGCTCCAATCGCTCATTCTCTTCTAGTCCCAGTGTATCAAGCACAGTTCGAGCTTCGTCCAATCTACCCTTACTGAGCAGCCATCTTGGCGATGGTGGAACTATCCAGTACGTGCTGGAGAGGGCGAAGCCGAGTAATGAGGCAACCGCCAGCGGAAGGCGCCATGCCAGGGATGACGGCCCTATCTGGGCAGTACCGTAGCACATGAAGTACCCAAGGACAATACCTGTGACGATAGAAAACTGCGGTAGGGCCGTCATGATACCGCGGACACGGGTAGGAGACATTTCAGATACCTGCACGTAGACATTGCTCAGGAACATGCCCTCGCCAACACCCTTGATTAGACGGCCAAAGATGAAGACCCCTAGCTTGGGCGACGCGCACTCGATGGCAGCACCGCAGCTGTAGACGAAGGCGCCCAAGGCGAAAAGTAGGACGTGCCCGAATCGATCTGCCATTGCACCTGAAACGAGGGCTGACAGAGCCCCGGGGATGAGGACGGACGACACAATGACTCCGTGCATAGTGGGAGAGAAATCTCCAAAAGTCTGGCGAAAAGACGGCATGGTCGTTACGGGGCCAATGCTGCCGGTGTCGAGCCTTCGTTCATATCACCGTGTCAGTTGAGGCTAGGGCCAGAGCGAGGAGCTTGCGAAAGCGAGGCTAGATAAGAACACACCCAAACAGCATGGCGACGCATGAAGCGATCATGCTCGCTCTCACGTAAAGCGAGACTGAACATGTCTTCCTCATCCTGGGGAATATCGGGGACCTGAGTCCAGGGAGGAGCTTTAATAAAAAGTGGCCGGTGCAATTCTTTAGAGTTCAATGAGCGAAGCTGACCCTTGTAGCGACGACGACGGCTTCAGCGACGGCATGAGCTGCAAATACTAAAACCGGTGAGAGCGAAAATTCGGGGCTTAGCCCACATCATATCCCCGGTTTCGGTACGTGTTCGTAATCCCCGGTTCGTAGATAACCACTGGACATTGACTCAGGTTAATCGTCTTACTAGAAATGACCGAGTCGAGTCCCACTATAATCCTCTGCAAATATCCAATAGCAGTACACTGTTTGGACACGGGTCGGTAGAAAAGTAGAGAGCCACAAGGAACCCACCGGACGAAGCGGTCAGCAAAAAACCCTGTGACTACCGGTAATAAGTAAAATTCCCCGGGAAGTAAGAAGATCGGTCTCTGATTAGACGTAAGACTTTAACAGTTTATCAGATGATAAGCCGAAGGGTGTTATGCTTCAATACGCCAATGCAGTCCCATGGCCACTTATCATGTCAAGTAAAAGGCGCATGCTACTCTTGAGAGTAGCTTGACTGGTAATTAGCGTATCTTTACATTGTGATCCGCAGCAACAGTAAACTACGAAATATCCGATAGTTGGCATACAATTCCTTAGAGGCATCGGAGATCGAGGTTGCTATGTGATGTTCCTTTGAAATGAACTTCCATGGGCTGACTCGCCCTTTCTCATGTTTATCCCTTCTTTCATGTTTCATTTTTTCCATTCCATTTCCTTCTTCATCAACTCAAAGCCATGTAGCATTAAAAATTCCATCTGGAAGAAGTATTTTGAGAAGTAGAAATGAGCTTCTGTCTCAAAAAGCAACCAACAGGCCACGACTATAAGCTTACCACTTGCACAATCATTTCTTATTATAAGGCAAATAATTTCAGGTATCCCGATACCGTTATCTATCATTTGTATTAAGTCATTAGAAACGTAATCATTTCAGTCAATCGACTAGCAGTGTTCCTAGAAGGCCTCATCATCTTGGTTCTGACTCATTAGAATAGAGCTGGAGCCGTTGGATAGTTCACTTCCCCTTCCTAGTTAAAGTTCCTCCACTAGAAAGACACCGGGCGTTTGTTACAGAGCTGGAAGTCAATAAAATGACTATGTCACGTAGCAGAATACTCATGATGAGACTTGCTCGGGTTGATCACGTCATACATACTTTCATTGCTTAGTTGGACGCGAAGTTGGCTCAGAACATAAACTACGGATACTACTACCTTACAACCACACCCAGAACGCTGGTTTTGCTCATAGAGTCAAGATTTGATCAAGTCAGCCTGAAATCATCCAAACCAGAGTCACCTGCTCAAAATTCTAATTTTGGCGAGCTTTTAGCGGACTTTTCAAGACATGGGCTTGGAACAGGTATTATATCGGAAGCACTGTCTCAATGATACCACACCATTTCCTGTCCAAGTGGATCCCGAAACAGAGACCGACATGTTACAAGATATGTATAATTGGCCGGTGAGATTAAACCTGCGATCTTCAAAGAATACACGATCCCCATACCCAGTCTCAATCTCACATTGTCGCAGCCATGTCGCATGCAGCAACTCGCCGGGCTATTATATTTTCAACGTTCAAGCAGCCACCCCCCCCTTCTTGTCTCTTAAAAGCCGTTCGTGGCTACGACGTCTTGAGCTGTGCACCTAAGTAGATATCACAAGTATGGATGATCGCCGTGACAATACAAAGCGAGAAAACTGTATCAGTATGGGATAACTCAGCAAAATGTAGAGAACAGAAAGTGCTCATTGCTATACCAAAAAAGGCTTCCAATAACGCTAAAGGTAAAGGAGAGCGTATTCAACCGTCTCGAAAACGAACAAAGGTTATCTCAAGCTAGTCAGTGAGATAGCCATGAAGTGTTTGGACTTGTCGTAGAACTTCCTTGAAGATCGGGATTCAGCACCATAGCGTCGGGTCTGGACCTTGTCAGACGAATTTAAGGCAAATTATACTATAAGAGACTGAAGTAACCATACAATAATACCCGGGGAAACATCAAATGGGAGTTGATCGAGTATGGCTTATTGGCGACCTCCATAACAGTCGGCCAAATTCAACGTGAAATACAGCGATAATCCAAGATGCTCTCGTCACCAGCCCCTCCCGACCTTGACATCTCTAACGGCCCACCGAGTCTTTGGAAGATGCAAGTGTAGCACCGGCAATTATTAAAGTTACTAGGGACTTGTGTAATGTCAGGATGTAGAGTCTGCACCAGTTCTTCAACCCATGCTTTCTACAAGCCTCACGAACCTTGAATTAAATGTAGGCCTAAGCTCAATTATTGGGATGTCTGAAGGAAGATGTCAAGCCGAATAAATGCTGGAAGTGAATCACTTTCACAATCGACATGATATTTCGTTTACGAATTTATCCATCAACCTAGGAATTGCAATTGACAGACTTAATGGGTGCGTTGCCCCCCTTCAACTCCAGCTCTAAATGTCTTACCAAAGTCTAAGCTCGTCTGTTTTGATCCCTTGCGTCGATGTGCACTACTAGCTTCGATTTTCGGGCATTTCTCTACGTTTCGATAATCACCCCAACGCGGGCGCGACTGATACGGGGTGTTTTCAACCTTACCACGAGCATGAGCATACTATCAGATTGACTTTGCTTGTGGAGCCAAGATCTGTAAAGTCACTTTCAACTGGCCCATAGCATCTGAAACCAGACCGCCGGACGACAAAACAGAGAAGAAATCCTGGGGAGATGCTCCACAGGTTCGAGCGTGATCGCCGGCGGGATTTGACCGCCAGCCCACCGGTTCCACCGTGCTGGATGGGATGTTTTTTGATTGAGAACCTAAATCCTTTGACGCAAAACTCGTGGATTCATTTCACCGCTAGTAGCATGATCCTAGCGACCAATTATAACTATCATTACGGCATAACAGTCTAAAAATTGGGTTTACGACATGACGCCACGGTAACTTACTTAACAAGAGCTTTGCAATCTATCGTAGAAACTACCAAATAGGCAAGAAGATCGGAAAGATACAGCATGTTCTGTTTCTTATGGCAAATAATTCACTTCATATCATGGGGCCTAAGCCCTACTGGTGGCGGGGTCTAGAATATGAAGTGTTATAGAAAGGCTGCACTCCAACATGAACGCTCTTGAAGGACCCTTCCGAAACAGTCTCTTATGGTCACCAAGCTCATTTTTGGGAAGTAGAATAGGCATTTCAACTGTGATTTTGAAGACGTTCGTTCTCCGAAATCTTCGCCTACCTGTCAGAACTTCATCTGTTGAATCTAAGATTTTGCACTTGACCCGCTGATTCGTCACGTTTGTGAACTTTCGTTCACAAACTTTCCATCTGAGCAAGGGCTTGACTCGGGATGAAGTTTTCTTTTGAGTTTGCGTGATATTCAGACATGAAGATTCTACTTAAGCTCTCCTGTTTCTCCGAATTCAGCAGAACACTAAAATTTAACAGCTGTGTCAACGGGTTTCACTTTCTCCTCACCACCTCTCTCCTGTCGAAATTCTCTACTTACAGCAACCTCGGCCATTGATTGGGTCAATTGAACGAACTGCTGAGACTGAGTCACCTATACTTCCTAGCTGCCAAGCCTTTTGAGCGAGATTGCTACCAGCTATCGCCTAGTGTGCACATAAACCCACTTGTGCACAAATTGATTCAACATCCAACAGTCTATCACAGAAGATGTCAGCACAATCAGTCGCATTTCAAACCCCTCACGACGACATTGCTCTTGTTTACAATCGCAAACGTCGCAAAGTCCGCAAATCATGCAACGCATGCAGCTCTCAGAAGATTCGTTGTGGCAAACAACGCCCAAGATGCCAACGCTGTGAGCTTAAGGGACTCGAGTGTGCATATAGTATGTCTATGCGCACCGGTGAGCGTCCCCGTATACTACCCTCTGTGACGCCCATGTCCGAAGCTCAGGTATCAACGTCGCTAGCGATGCGAGAGGAACCATCATCGGCCATTTCCAGCGCTTCTTCATCATCACAAGTATCACAACAAGAGCACATGTCCGAGCAGCCTCCGGAACACCATACCGACCTTCAAGACGACATGATGTGGCTTTTGGAAGTCACCTCGGACCCGAACAACCTCATTGATCAGAGCCTGTGTTTCGACACAACCACATCGCACGAGTTTGGGCAGGTTATGACTCTCGGCGATCTGCCCGCTCCTACAACAAAGCAACAGTCAATGGCAATGCCTACTCCAATGACACATGAGTATGAACGTGCATCTTTTCTCGATCAGACTATGGACCACAGACTCCAACAGTCAATGAGTATTCAACTAAGTCGTTCCGGTACGGTGGACTCCGCCCGCAGCAGTTTGAGCACTTACTCAGATGACGGGTTATCCCGTCGGGGCAAAATCCATGATTGCACCATGGAGGTCCTGGAAATTGTCTCCGAATTTCATTTTCTTGCACAGGGTTGTCTCACCGCTGTGAAAGACCCAACTTGCACTTCGCACCTCGACCAGTTACTTGAGGATACTCCCCGCGAGATGGGAACTGTGTTATTTCACAACCGCGAGAATCTACGAAACCTTCATAACCTCCTCGACTGCCGGTGCTTCATGAGGCAAGAGGTTCTCGTTTTGGTCTATTTGGCCATATACAAAGCCCTAGGCTGGTATGCAGCCATTCTGGACGATGAATGTTCTCCCCAAGAAGAACAGACCCAATCTTCCTGCTTTGGACGCATTGCAATCACGACATCTTTTGTTGGGAATTACTGTCTGGACAACGAAGCCCAGCGTCTTGTAGCTGCACACCTGGTTTTGACACATCTTCGGGAATATGTTGACCCTCTCATCAAGAGGCTGCGTCAGTGGCACCCTCCGGTAGCCAGACACGATTCGATGCCACCCACACCGCCTTGCTCGGACGCAGCTATCTGCTCTGTGCCCCTCATCAAAGGACGCATGTCTAGCGTTATTGATCAACATCACCAGGCCCTTCAGGAGGAACTTGATCGAATCACTTTCAAAGCGAACAGCATTAAACGAACATAGTCTCTCTTTTATTCTGTAAATTATTTCCTGTTGTTATTGATGGTCTTCAAAGCTGGAGGAAGCCATTCTGGCTGGGTTGTTGACTTGGGAGTATAGGAGCACATGATCTGACTTTTCGTGTATGGTTTTTTATCTTATTTGTTGTAGGAGGGGATTCGATCTTTTTTTGAGTTTCTTTTTGAAGCGAGATACCTGTGAAGACTAGGCATAAGAATTCATGTTGGAACAAAACCAGCTTTTAGGCATAGCAGAATTTAGACATACCAGAATTCATGCACATCACTCAATTCTACGTGCAGGCTCGTATCCCCTAGTTCAGGAGCACAATTGATGGCTGTAAGAGCAGGACCGATTCAATTACTGACACAACGTGTCTAATTATAACTAGATACTTACTACATGCTTTTGTTTGAGGTTTCGTTGGGCTCCGACTTATACGCCGCTACAGTAAATCTTTTAGCACTCGTAAATCCAAGTTCCACAGATAAGCGACAGTGTGCTTTGGTTGATATATATCGACATCCGCAGACATATTTTTGAGCCTTTGCGTGAGAATGAAAGTATTTGCAACTGAGCCATATGAAAGTCTTTGAACAGTCAAATCTTAGGCTCGCTTTGGTTTACAATTCGCTCATATATCTAGCTGGTTGCTATAGTTAATCGAATTTAGATAGGTTGCCAAGTTCAGTACCGAATCCAGACCGTAAGACTTCGAACGCTTCAGTTTGACAACGCGGATCATATTCTGTCAATATTGCGTATCCGCCAAGGCAATCTCAATGAGAGAAAGTTCCCCGAGTTCTGGTCGGAATACGTTTCGTACATTTAACTTCGGCGTCACGCTATTGCATAAACACTCAAAAGCAGATCTCGTTCTCTCGCGACCATTGAGATTCATCAGCATCAACAGGTCACGATCACTGTAAAAACCTTCAGTCAGTTGCTAATGAGTAGTAAGGAAATTAATGTAGACTTACTGCATCCGTCGCTCTCTCTCGCGGCTATCCTGGCCTGGATCAGGGACCACAACGTCGTTGATAATGATGCGATCTTGAGGCCGCAGAGATGAGGCTAGGCTCTGCAGAATTCTCTGGGCGTACTTGTCGCTCCAATCATGAAGAATAAAGCGGCAGAAGTAAGCAATGCCTTCGTCGCCGCTGACCTTATGCTCCGGCTGAGGCTTCATAAAGTCATGCGGACGAAAGGTAATGCGGCTTTTCAACTCCTCAGGGCAAGACTGTGCGCCAACTTTGACAGTCTCCGGCAGGTCTTGCACCTCAAATCGCAATTTCGCATATTTCTTGGCCAGTCCCATGGAAACGTGACCAGGGCCGCCGCCAACATCAACAATAAGGCGGATGTGTTCCTGCTCCAGCAAGTCCCATGGATATCCACCGTCTACTGCGTGACGAATGTCATAAGCACCACCCAGAGAAATACCGCGCATGGCACGAGCGAACATATCGTGCAGCTTATCAGCCTCACGGAAACGCTGAAACTGAGAAATCTTCCTGCCGATGGAAACTCCGTAGGCCGCCTCATCTGCCTCCATGCTATAACCATAGTTCTCAATGGCTTTAGGCACAGAAGCTCCGGCCGGATAGGCTATAGTGGCACTCAGATCCATCCATGCTTCTAAGTCTGGGTCGGTTACAAGAAGGGAGGACATGGCACTGTGTGCGACGGTGCCACCTGGCTGGGCCTCAAACAATCCAAACGAGGAGGTGTGCTGGAGAACACGCTCAACAAGTGCAGGCGTAACCCCGGGCTTTCCAACAGCTTCGGACACCGCCGTATACGTTATACTCCCCTCGAGTGGAATATAACTAGCCAGCTTGTATTTCATGACAATTTGAAGAGAAGCCGTGGCGCAGTGTTCAAAGCTGAGAGTGACCAAAGCGTCTCGCGGTCCACGCACCAGGCGGATAATCCGCTCAGCGGCGTCGATGATTGAGGTTTTAGCTTGGAAGAAAGGTTTGTTCTCATTGGTGAGCGCGATATTGGGTGCAGGTGCGTCTGTTGAGAGTTTTTGGATGCCGCGGGCAGACAAAAACTTGTTGAGGTCTTGGGAAGCAGAAGAAAGGGTTAACGCAAGCTCAGAGAGCTCGTCTTCTTGAATCCGGCTTGGCATAATTGCAATCCGACTTGGTGAAAGTAGCCGAGGTTGATACAATGATAGAAACAAGAGCCGAGGAAGTGTGTGGCAACTCAGTTCTCGTTCTGGTATCAGAGGAAGAGTGTAGCAACAGGACTTCTTTTAAGATAATCTGAAGAATCAAGAAAAGGACCATCGTTCCAGACGTAAAGTTTGACCATCCAGCATTTTACCATCAAATTTCGACATGCTTTTACTATTGCCGAGCTGACTTAGTGACCGAGTGCAAATTCCGCCGGCGGCATCCAGTGCGGGTTCCTGTTCATGTCTTTGCTTAGCTAAAATCGTCATCAGGTTGGGATCCCTAGAGTTCTGAAAGCCAGAGATCTGAACAAGCTTGGATGGGGTTATTGATCGCCGACTGTTGTTCGTGTCATGGGTGGGCCTAGGAGTTGGACGGCACCTCTGGGTCCCACAGAAAGCTTAATTGGGTAGACTTCCTGAAGCGGAACTGAAATTATCAAAATCCCCGGTCGAAGTGGGGAACTCTTCATTCGAGTCTGCGAATGGATGATGGCAGAAAGTCCCCGGTCGGGTATCTCCCTAGCAGGCATCTGATTCTCTGCTGGTTCCTCTCCGGGCTTTCCGGGCCTGGTAGACGCCGCAGCCCTTGTGCCCGACCATTCTAGTTTACATGAAAACCATCAACTTCGTATGGTGCCATCAGTTGGACGGAATCGGGATTCATTGTCATGCTAGTTGCCGATATCCATCATCCATATCGATCAAGTTTAAGCCTTGACGAGTTGCCGGTAATTAGGATGACAAGTTTGTTCAGTCAACTCCGGTACCAGATCTCGTGCGTTGTTTCATTTAAATCACTACCGGTGCCTGGTTAGTGTAGAGTATAAATGTCAATGTTGCACTCTGGATCAAAGTGATGTAGTCGAGCCTGTATGCCGGGTGACTACACTAATAAAGCCCCTGATGTTTCAACATGAACATTAGTATAACACCTTGTAGTGCAGCACGACAAATTTAACATGGTCGTTATTGTGATGCAAGCAATCGCGATACGCAATTGTAAGACTCATTATCAAACATGTTGGTATCCGCGAGCGTTCCAGAACCCTTGCGTCCTTCTTTGAGGTCATCTTCCATATTTGTAACTTCACAATGAACACAATTTGATCTTTTTGCAATGATTATTCTTATTATCAGAAATCGACATCAAGTCAAGGAAACTTCTTAGCAGAAACTCATTCATGCTTTCATTAGTTTAGGCAGTTAGTCACTAAACCCGTAAGATCCAGTGTTAGTACAAACATGCCAAATCTTACTTGTGTGAGAATTTTATTAGATAAGAACAGTCGTCCAATAATTCTTTTTGCTAACACCGCACACACGTATAGCCTTTGGGGATTCAAACTTCTATCCAAGCATCGCAGTCTTCCAAAGAACGCAACCCAAACATCTTCTTTGAGCCAATTTCACTCTGAAGAATGCTGCTTTGAGCACGCTTCCGCATACCCTTCTCAAATGCCCCAATATCTTCTGCGGAAGGTGATCCTTGGGCTGCAATGATTGTCTTTGCTAGACTAGAAGCGTCACAAATTGCAGTCTGCGCACCAACCCCACCGCAAGGACTCATAGGATGAATAGCATCACCGAGCAAAGTCGTCAAGGCAGATGGTTCCCAAGCAGGAATGTTGGCAACTGAAGACACGACTCGGATTAAAGTTGCCTGTCGTGTGTCCTGTAGCTCTAACACTGAACGAATAGAAGGATGCCACTCCTGTGTGATGGAGAGACTGAGACGGGCAGCCTCTATTGCTGCTTTGTGTGACTTTGAACTGCTGACTTTGGAGGTTGACGTCTCGCCGTCCAACCGAAAGCGTGCCTCAGGCCCAATAAGTGCCCAGTAAATGTAATCTTCAGGCAGTTGATGCTGAGAACGGCTAACCTCGCTGAAGCGAATCGGTTCGAGCAAAAGTGTTACCGGTGCTTCTCCAATGACGCATGATTGGAGCATCGGTGTCTGATCAGAGACGATTGTCATCCATCTCATACCCTTCTCTGGGAATTTCTCGAGAACAGCGGAACTCATTGGGGTCTTGCCGTAAATACAAGCAGCGCCTGTATCTTTGATCTTGTGACTGGAAACGAAATCACGGCGTACGGCGGAGTGTAGACCATCTGCACCGACGAGAAGCCGACCCTCAACTGTTTCTCCATCTTTGAAAGTGACAATGACTACCCCTTTATCGACATCCAACTTATAAGACCCAAGCTCCTTGGAGAAGTGAACACAATCTCCGATCCCGGTCATCAGAGCGGTGCGGAAGGCTGCTCTGTCGACACAGTAGCTGGGATTTAGGCCAAGCTTTCCGCTAAGCCCTCCACCAGCGCGACTATTGATCACCATACCGGTGAATGGATTAAAATCGGTCTCTCCAATGGCTAAAGTGGCGCAAGAAGTTTGGAAAGTCTGGTAGACTTCTTCGGGTAAACTCTCTGCAAGTGCCACAGCAGCATCTTTCCGCAGCTTCAAGCGATATCCCTGAGGGCGGGAGTCGACTGCTGGATCTCTCTCGTAAACTTGAAAAGGGATGTTACCCTTCTTCAGAGCTTGTGCAAGGCACAGACCGCTGATACCTGCACCGATGATGAGAACGGGTCTTTCGTTGGTCGCCGGCATGATAGGCTTCTTGATTTGTACGAACTCATTGGGACTGTCTGGGGCAGAAGACTGCAGCTGTACTGTCAAAAGTCCCATGACGCTGTCGTCGGGCTGACGCAATTGCTCAATCTCCATGCCGACATCGTTGAGCAAAGTCTTCCAGTCATCCAATTCGCGTTCCCTCGCGTTGAAAACTTGCATCATCATAAGATCCCGTACTCTTAATTGCTGTTCGTGTTGCAAAGTTGTCGAGCCTGGGGGAGGCAGAATCGTGTCCATAATAACAATTCGAGCTTTAGGGTTCTTTTCCAAAGCCGCACGGAGGTTTCGCAGGATAATGCGAGCATCTTGGTCGGGCCAGTCGTGAATGATCATGCGTAGGAAGTAGACATGGGCATCTAATACCGCCTGCGACTTGAAAAAGTCGGCTGACATAAATTGAATGCGGGACTTGACTCCAGAGTCGATGCTGGAGTCGGCATCGAAAGTTTTTTGAGCGGTTGCAATTGTTTCGGGCAAGTCTTGCACTAAGTACTTGATATGCGGGAATTTGGCAGCTAGTTGGACTGCCAGCTGGCCGTGAGAGCCGCCTACATCGACGACCTTTGCACCTTCAGGAAGTGAAGCCCAATCGAAGCATTCGACAGCGTGGGACAAACTCCATGGTCGAGACGCAGTTACGTTGCGCATATAGCCAGAGAAAACCGATGTAAGTTCCGCGTTCTTCCTGATGTGATCGAAGAAAGGATCCGTAGTGTTCTGGGCCACGTTGAAGGCTGTCTGGTTCTTGGCGTCGGTTTCACCCCATCGGCGAGTAGCGTCGGCAAACTTGTAAGCTACGGGCATTGAATAGTTCATCATCCAACGAGCCCAATTCATGAAGTTGTCGTCGCGTACCAGTAGAGCCGACGATCGACTATGTGCGACGTGGCCAGGCTGAGGTTCCTCCAAGAATCCGTTCAACACTGCCATCCGAGCAACGCCTTTCAGCTGTTTCTCCGGAACGCCAGCTTTGGCTGCTAACACAGGGTGCGATATTGAGCCATTGTAGGGAAGATGTTGTAAAACTTCAAGATCCACAAGCCAGCGCACACAAGTCAGTTCTTGGTACTGTTCGAAGTCAATGTCAGCTTGCACGTCAATTACTGTGGGCAAGTGGTTTAAAGTGTACACTATTAGCAAGATGATCAAGATACTCCTCGGGAAGAGTAGCAAACTGAATCAGCTTGATTGCGGCCTCAAGAAGTTTCTTCCGAGGTTCTTGTACAGCCTTCGACCTGTCGTCGAGAGGGTTGCCATTGATTAACCCGTTTTCCGATTGACGTAGGAGCTCGGAACCATGAGATGTGATAGAGTCTAAGGAACTCCTCAACTTCCGGTAAAAGTCCATAACGTAGATTTTGTGACGAAACAATAATTTCTATGAGGATCATGCGTGTAGTGAGTCTGTAGCCTTTTGTGTCTTGACGCAAAATCATCCATGATAGTCATATCATCGAATTGTCTGCGTTATAAACAGCCCCCAAAAGTTTGTAATTGTACACTGACGCGTCCAGGGCATGGCTTCTAACAGGCAGCTATGGCTATCAACGAATGAACAGACCGCGAAAATCTCTCTCGATCACCGCGTACGGCGATCGTCAAACACATGACCGCGGGCTGCGATTTAAAATTTCACTCATCTACTAGTTTAGGTTGATGGGCTGACCACAGCACATTACCGTTTCGGGAACGGACAAATAAGGGGCCAATCAATGAGAGCCGATGACCGGTAAAAGCGGAACCCCGATCAGGCTGGTTGCCGACATCTGGTTAGCGAAATCCGCGGACTCACTTTTCATATCCCCGATGGAAGCCATGACTAGCCAGAAATCACCTCGCGATTTGCAGGGAAGGGTATGATCCTGAACTGTTCGTCATGACAGTATGCCGAGATGGTTTCAGGATTCTGACATAGACTGCTTTAAACCTTGAGGCACTTGGGTTGAGCGTTACGTAACTCTTGAGCCATTCGAAAATTAGTCCCTCGCTGAGTCTATGAGAAACCTCGGAAACCCATGTGCGAGATACAATGTAATCACCTAGAACCAAATGAGTTTTGTAATTGCATGCCAAGATTGCTTAACCATCTTACGTTGAGGTGCCATCCGATTGCTGCCCAACCCTACAGCCGAGTTGACTTTGACTGGTCTCTTCAACCGAACATCGTTCTATGTCTTTCTTCCATATTCTTTGAGTTGGAATGCTGGTTTAACGGTTTTATTATTGTACATGTAGGCTGTGCAGCCCGAATTAAGCTTTCCTCCCCTTGGTACCATATCGATGGGCCAACAGCTGTGTTACAACCCTCAACTAAACGGCCAGTCACAAGATGAGCGAGAAGGTACTTATTGAGTGTATCACAGGGGGACCATGTATCCGCAAGTAGTACTGCTACACCGGGTCCTTAGGCACATCTCAGATGTCAAACGTACGGCGAAGAAGAAAAAATGATGTGTTGCCGCAGCAAGTGCACGATTCCAATGTCCCCGAGTGAGCAATGTATCCGCTCTAATCATACTGCCCAGTTATGTCCAATCCCTGTACCAGATTTGGGTCGAACGGTTACGAAACAGGTTAATTAAATTAGCCAATGTACTAAGTAGAGATATGATGTAACTTTTTCCTGGTGCAAAGCTCCTTCTTCCTGCCTAGTTCTTCGGAGGTGAAGGTGCGTTCTAGAAGCTGCCGCTACGGTAACAGGCCAAATGAGGCAATCCCGTATCTCGATACACAACAACATGAGCTAGCTATTCCCGGTCTACCCGGTTACCGGTCGGTATATCTATATACTATTTTGACTGACAATTGCGATGGTGAAGGTATAAGATAGCATGATTGGCGCTGCATTCTGGGGGCTTGACTTTACTCCAAAGCAGTCCCTACATTCAACTGTACTTGGCGCTTCGTTCACTATTCAAGGAATCTTTTTCGAAGTCTCAGTCTGATTTACCGACCTGACGAAGACTTTTCACTTTCCTTTACGGACCATTGGGAACGCAATCTCTTTCACCATTAACTAAGGGTCTTTCAACATGTCTTGTCCGGATCAAATTTTCACCTACGTCTTTGGCGACCAAACACATGATATCGCAGATACCTTGTGCAGTTTGGTAAAAACGCATCAAGACCCACTGGTAATCGACTTCATCGAGCGTAGCTGCGGAGTGCTGAAGCATGAGGTAGCTCGCTTGTCACCAGAGCAGCAGAAGCAATGCCCACGCTTCGCTACCTTGGCGGACCTGATCTCCCTATATAGATCTGGCAAACTCAACCCCTGCCTCGTCCAGGCCTTGACTTGTATTACACAACTTGGCCTCTTTATCCGTCAACACAGCAGCGGATGCCAAGTTTACCCTGGCTCTGAGAGTAGCTGCCTGGCTGGTATCTGTACCGGTGCGCTCGCAGCTGCAGCAGCGAGCTGTGCTCACAGCGCACCCAGCCTAACGTACCCGGCTCTCCATGCTGTAGCTGTTGCAGTTCGTCTGGGTGCACTTGCATGGGACGTTGCCAATCGAATTACAAACCGAGAAGGCACTACTGCTGGAAGCAACACCTTTGAATCCTGGTCTCGGGCTGTGACAGGACCCAGCCCCAAAGCCCTCGCTGATGCCTTGCGCCAGTATGCTGCGGACACTGGCCTGCCTGTCACTGCTACTCCTTATATCTCGGCTGTGATTGTAAGTCACACCCAACCTTGAACATAGGTTGATACTTAGTTAACGGCGAATCTAGGGTCCTAACCAAGCAACGGTTTCTGGTCCGCCTGCCGTTCTCTCCGATTTCTTTTCTTCAGGCATCGGCAAGTCTTTCGCGTCTACGTCATGTGCACTGCGCATCACAGCACCTTACCACTCCAAGCTTTTCTATAGTGAGCTCGACATCGCGCAAGTTCTCTCTGGCATCCCCGAGGATGACGCTCCTCGAGCTCGCATTCCTATTATATCTACTAGTACTGAGGGCCAGGTACTTCCTAATACTGCAACCCTCCGTGACGCACTCGAACAGGCAGCTCGCGACTGCCTTGAGCGGGAAATGGCCCTGGAACAATTACCAATCCGCATTGCTGAATACGCAAAGCTCGTAACGAAGTCCGAATCTGACAACATTACCGAAGTTGTCATTCAACCGTTCGCTTTCCACAGCACAGAACGCCTGGTAGCTCCTGTTCGCCGCCTGCTATCGTCGGATTCTTACTGTGTGAAAGAGAAGTCCCACTTGATGCCGGAAGATTTCTATTCACTAGCTGCCAATGGGGCCTTGGGCTCCGACGGGGGTTCCTCAAAGTCGCCTATTGCTATTCTTGCCGCTTCTGGCAGGTTCCCCGGAAACGCTGACACTATGGACGAATTCTGGGACATCCTCTACAACGGTGTTGACACTCATGAGATGGTTCCTTCTTCTCGATGGAATGCCGCAGCTCATGTCGGCGATACCTCAGTAAAGAATGTTTCAGGCACTGGCTTTGGCTGCTGGCTTCACCAAGCCCCTCACTTCGATGCCGCCTTCTTCAATATGTCCCCTCGTGAGGCCGCTCAAGTGGACCCTGCTCAGCGCTTGGCTCTCTTGACTGCTGCTGAGGCACTTGAGAAGGCTGGTATTGTACCTGATCGTACGCCGTCTACACAGAAGCACCGTGTAGGTGTTTGGTTTGGTGCTACTAGCAACGACTGGATGGAAACAAACAGCGCGCAGAACATTGACACCTACTTTATTCCTGGCGGCAACCGTGCTTTTATTCCTGGCCGCATCAACTACCACTTCAAATTTAGCGGCCCGAGCTACACTATTGATACTGCCTGTAGTTCTAGCTTGGCTGCTCTACATTTGGCATGTAATGCACTTTGGCGAGGTGAAGTCGACACTGCCATCGTGGGAGGTACCAACGTTCTGACTAACCCGGATATGACGGCCGGACTGGACAGGGGCCACTTTCTGTCTCGCACTGGCAACTGTAAAACTTTTGACGATAATGCCGATGGATACTGTCGTGGCGAGGCTGTTGTCACAATTATTCTGAAAAGGCTGGTCGACGCGCAGAAGGACAAGGACCCTATTGAGGCGTGCATCCTTGGCGTTGCTACGAACCACAACGCCGAAGCTGAATCAATAACACGACCACACGCTGCTGCCCAGAAGGAACTTTTTGAGCATATTCTGGCAGAGACCAAGGTCAGATCAAACGAAATCAGCTACGTTGAGATGCATGGCACTGGCACTCAAGCTGGCGATGCAGGAGAAACCACTTCAGTTGTCACTTCGCTCTCTCCATTGACTGCCCGTGGCGTATCCGTTCGTCCAGCATCAGATCCTCTCTATCTTGGTGCTGTAAAATCAAACGTCGGTCATGGTGAAGCTGCAGCTGGTGTCACGAGTCTCGCTAAGGTGCTCATGATGATGAAGCACTCCACGATTCCTCCACATATTGGCATCAAGACTAAGATCAACCATAGACTGCCTGAGTTACAGGAGCGTAACACTCGAATTGCCACAGTGCCTACTCCCTGGCTTAGGCCACATAACAACAGCCGTCGAGTTTTGTTGAACAACTTCTCTGCCGCTGGGGGCAACACCGCTATCGTCCTGGAAGATGCCCCTCCTGTCGATCATAACTTTACAGGCCCTGACCCGAGACGTCAGCACATCGTAACGATTTCGGCTAAGACTGCAGACTCTCTAGTTGCTAACCTTAACAACCTTATTAAATGGCTTGATGAAGGAGCGCCGCAAGAAGACCCCAATCTTCTCGCAAAGCTCTCGTACACAACTACCGCTCGTCGAATGCACCACCGTTACCGGGTTGCCGTCATGGCAACCAGTGTGCCACAACTTAAATCCTTTTTACAAAAGCAACTGGATTCGCGGAGCGGGGGTGAGAAGATTCTCCCAGTGCCCGCCAAGGCACCCGGCTTCATCTTCACTTTCACTGGACAAGGCTCGCCTCATGCTGGAATGGGAGCAGACCTGTATTCACGCTTCGCTTCATTCAGGTCTAACTTACAGCGTTACGACCACTTGTGCATCCAGATGGGGTTTCCGTCTATCTTGCCTTTATTTGAGCGACGGGACTATTTCAACTGCGCTTCATTAACTTGTCTTCAGTTGGCACACGTTTCCTTCCAGATGGCTCTGTGCAAACTGTGGGAATCGTTTGGTATCAAGCCGAAGGCAGTCGTTGGCCATAGTCTCGGCGAATATGCGGCGCTTTACGCTGCTGGAGCTTTGTCTCAGGCTGACGCCATCTATTTAGTCGGCAAGCGATCCCAACTAATGGAACAGTATCTGGCTCGAGGCACTCATGCAATGCTTGTTGTCATGGCGGAAGAGGCAACCGTTCTTGCTGCCATCCCTGGAATTATTGGGCGCGACCTTGAGGTTTCTTGCCGAAACAGAAAGCACAACATTGTTTTAGGTGGAAAAATTGCCACCGTGAAGGAATTCCGAACTGTTCTCGAGTCGAAGGGTATACGATGTCACATTCTTGACACAGCCCACGCCTTCCACACTTCTCAGGTCGATCCAATCCTTGCTCCATTCCGCAAAATTGCGAAGAGTATTCAGGTTCAGAAGCCGGTGATTCCTGTCATCTCGCCCACCAAAAGTAAAGTCCTCCGAGATTCTACCGAGTTTGGAGATGGCTACTTTATCGAGCATTGCCGCAACCCAGTCAACATCATGCAGGCTGTGTCTGTCGCTAACGCAGAGGGTGTTTTGGATGATCGCACCATTGCTGTTGAAATAGGACCTGCTCCAGTTGTCGCACCGATGGTCAAAGAGGTTATCGGCACAACAATGCAGACGTTTGCATCTGCACACAAGACCATCGACTCGTGGCAGTTGTTGACGGAGGCCTTCTCTGGTATGTACTTGTCAGGTGCAAGTATCGAATGGAATAGATACCACGAAGACTTTCCAGAGTGCCAGCAGGTTCTCCAGCTGCCCTCATACGGATGGACGTTGAAGGAATACTGGATGCAATACACCAATGACTGGAGTCTCCGCAAAGGCGATGCTGTTCCCGCTATGAGCCCGGCACATCTAGCCTTTTCATCTATCTACAATATTGTGGAGAATACCCTTCGGCCCAGTTCCGATGGCGAGGTAGTCGTGGATATCGACCTCAATGCCGACGATGTGCACTCCATGGCTCAAGGCCACAAGGTTTATGGCGTACCTCTTTGCACTCCGGTTAGTTTAGCCATAAATCAATTTGGAATACTTACTGACTTACTCGCCTTCACAGTCTGTATACGCAGATGTCGCTCAGATGATCGGCAATTATGTGAAGCAGATTACTGGGATGGACGTTGACAGTGTTGCAACAGAGGTCGCAGATATGCACATACAGAGCGCTCTTATAGCCAACGATATGGGTAACAAGCAGACCCTTCGCACCGAGGCTAAATTCGACGTCGTCAAAAGGGTGCTCTCCTGCACTTTCTCCACTCTTAATGTAAGCCCACTTTATACAAGTTAAACATCTAAACGTTTCATCATTAACCATCGATTAACAGGACAAGGGAGAGGTTGTGGAGCAGCATGCCAACTGCCAAATTCGCTTTGTTGACGTCGAAGCAACCCGAATGCAGTTCGAGAAAGCTGCAGCGGAAGCTCAGCTTCGCATCAAGGCCATTCAGGCACAAGTCGGAGATGATGACAGCACCTTCCGATTCAGCAAGTCTATGATTTATAAGATGGTTGGCCAGCTTGCCGACTTCGACCACAAGTATCGTGGCCTGTCTGCCGTTACCCTCAGCAACAAAACTTTTGAGGCCACAGGCACTGTTTCTTTCCACGGCATTAATGACTCCGGCAAATGGTACTGCAACCCTGCTTTCCTGGATTCCATCTCTCAGCTGGCAGGCTTTGTCATGAATGCCAACGAGGGTGTAGATCTGGAGAAAGAACTGTTTGTCAACCACGGATGGGAGTCCATGAAGCTGTTTACGCCCAAGCTTGATGCCCACATGACTTACTACTCCTATGTCAAGATGAACGAGGGCAAGGACAAGTTATGGACTGGAGATGTCATCATCTTTGACCAAAACAAGAAGCTCGTGGGCGTTCTTGGTGGTGTTGCGCTTCAGGGCGTGCCGAAGCGACTCATGAGCTACATCATTAACTCTGCCATGAAGAAGGTTTCCAGAAGCAGCGCTACAGACAAGACACTTCATGGACCGCAACTAGGTCATACCTCCGACATGGATTTAACTTCCAGAGACACTGTTGCAGGCGAGGAGCAAGCCGTTGAAAATGTCCAGCAGCACACCACCGACTCATGGCCTATTGCGCTTAAGATTTTAGCTGATGAGATTGGTCTCGCCGAGGCCGAGCTTGCCAACGATGTTAGTTTGGCTGACGTTGGGGTTGACTCTCTTCTATCGTTAGTCATCTGTGGCAGACTTCGCGACGAGCTGGACATTGAACTGCCAGAACGTGCACTCTTTGAGGAGTGTCTGACTGTTGGTGACATCAGGATGCGCGTCTCTGGTACGGTCGCTTCCTCTTCGGGATCATCGGCTTCACATGAGAGTGATATTCTGAGCGTCGAGTCTGACACCGCGTCTTCCATCGGTTCCCAGGACTTGGAGAGCTCGATGTCTCCTTTCTCTGCTGCGATGACACCAAATAATGGTCTCGATACTCCAAGCAGTTGTCCCACCCCAGTTTCCTACTTTGAGATCAATATGGGCGATCTGAAGGAGAAGGATCAAGTCTCAACTCCAACTGTTGTTTCCACGATCCCTCCTGCCTGGTCCATGTATTTGCAAGGATCTCGCGCTCGATCAAAAAAGACACTATTTCTTTTCCCTGATGGGTGCGGAGTGGCTACGTCTTACCTGAGCCTTCCGTCTATCTCACCTACTACGGCTCTTGTTGGTTTTAACTCGCCGTTCGCAAAGTAAGTAACATTTCAAGCATGATACACTTTCAAACCAAGCCAATACTGACTTCGTCACCCAGGAATCCTTCCCGCATGTACGATCATACCCTCCAGGACGTGTTACAGTCATACATCGCTGGTCTGCGCAACCGTCAGGCCCACGGCCCCTATCACCTAGGCGGCTGGTCGGCTGGAGGTATCCTTGCCTTTGCTGTCGCTCAAGAACTCATTGCCGCTGGCGAAGAAATTGCATCTTTGACACTTATCGATTCCCCCCCGCCCAACAACGGCTTAGACAGTTTGCCCGACAGGTTTTACAACCACTGCAACAAGGTTGGGATCTTCCGTAACGAGATGAGACGTGGAGTAGAGCAATGCGAGCCGCCCCAATGGCTGATGCCGCACTTTCGAGCCTCGACTGAGCTTCTTCGTGACTACCACGCGCCTGCTATGGCACCCGAAGCAGCCCGTAAGCTGCGCGTTAACATCATCTGGGCTGGTGAATGCGCGTTTGACGGCGTGCACTATCCACACATTCCTCCTGCAATGATGGAGGGAGAAGATTGTCAAGGTATGAAGTTCTTGACTGAGCGCAGGAAGGACTTTGGGCCTGGTGAATGGGCCCTTTTATTCCCTGGGGCATCTATCACCACCAGGGTTATAGAGGGCGAGCATCACTTTAGCATGATGCGTGGTAGTGGTGCAGAGAGATTGGTCAAATTCGTTCGTAGTGGCCTCTGAATTATTCGGTTCTGTTACAAGATCTGTTGACGTTATTATTGTGGAGTTAATGCTTTGTGATGCTGGGCTTGGGTTTGCAGGTTTCTAGGATGGTTGAGCATAATGTGATGACACAACCGTGTCATCCTGCATCCTGCAGCTTACGTCAACCGTTGAATTATCTTGCATTTGACATTCCTTTCCGAATTAAAAAAAAAACCTTTGATTTAAAACTACAGCGACCTGATATGCAAAGTCGTATCTCTGTTCTAGAACCTGAGGACTCTTTGCAGGTTTGATATGAGATACAGCTGAGCAGTGTGAGGATCCAGGCTAAATCAAACCTAGGTCGTGCGGGCTGAGCTACACACGCAGTAATATTTTCTCTGCCGTTGAAAATCATATTTTGCGACCCAAGGTGGGCCTATGATCAACTTTTATTCACGTATTGAAATAACATTATGGAGGCTGAACTCCGGTGGTGGATGCAGTAGTGTGTTAATAATGCAAAAAGAGAACCTTTAGTTTGCAACTTGTGCTTGGACAGCGCCAACGTAAGTAGGTATACGGACAACAGTAACCCAATCACTGCTGTTAAAACTTTTAGGGCTTAATTTTTAATTCAATCATGACTATATACAAATATGCAAATGATTCCATGTCCCGAGCCAAGCAAGGTCGACCTTTTGTGCCAACCTCACGAACTTTCTGTACATCGTATGACCTGGTTCTCTATGTATCCAGGCCTACATAGCCTACACTAACTCCTACTTTTCTTTATGACTTATATCTTTCTTTACATCGGATCTATAGTTTAACAAGATCATAAAAGAACATCTGCTCGATAAATCTCCTATGGAATAGTACAGATAATCTTCCCTGAGGTCGAGTTGGCTTCCAACAGGCCATGCGCCTTTTGAATCTCCTCCCATGACAGTACTGTATCAATTACCACTTTGAGATCACCTGTTTCAAAGTGTGGGATGTATTCTTCCAGCCTATCCCGTAGTTTCCCCTGATACTCAATCTCCCTGCTTCGTAAGGTGCTTCCCTCGATTCGGATCCTTTTATAGAGCAATTGTTCAATATCTGCGCCGTCAATTTTGCTCCCTCCCAACAAGCCCAGTTGCACAATATGAGCGTCCCGGGCCGCAACGTCAAGGTTCTTTTGGAAGTAGCCGCCGCCAATGAAGTCAATAATAATATCCACCCCCCTACCGTTGGTTGCCTCCTTGATGCGCGCCACCCAGTCTTCTGTTTTGTAATCAAAAGCCCCTGTTGCTCCTATCTCACGGACAACAAAATCGCATTTTATGCTCGATCCAGCCGTAGCGTAAACCGCGGCCGCACCAGCGTCCTTGGCAAGCTGGATGCCGGCAATAGAGACCCCTGACACGCCAGCGTGCCAAAGAACCGTCTTGCCAGCAGTAAACTCTCCAACGAGAAAAAGCGCCTGCGTAGCGGTAATCCAGGTCTAAATAGTTAACCAGCTTGTGATTCAAAGCTTAGGGGTCGTGAAGCAGGCTTACTTCTGGAATTCCAGCAGCTTGCTCCCAGGTCAAACTCGCAGGCTTGTGCAGCAGCATTTGGTGATTTACGGCAATAAATTCAGCATAGGCACCTCCGTAGGCTAAACCAAAGACCTCATCGTCTTTCTCGAAAGTGCCATGACTGCCAGGACCGAAAGCCTGAATGATGCCGCTGAACTCAACCCCGAGAGTTTTCGGAGCTTGTGGTGGCAAAGGGTAGTCTCCAAGGCGTTGGATTGTGTCCATTCGATTGATGCCGAACGCCTTGATCTTAACAAGCACCTCTCCGTCGCCCGGGATGGGTTTTGGCATGTCTGACCGGATGAATAGGTTCTCCTTAGGTCCCCTGCCCTCTTTGATATCTGGAATCGGTTCAGCATCCTGAAAAGAGGGCGAAAATGTAGGTTCTCACCAACTGCTTTCATGGTTTTGCTCATCGTGCTTGTGGTGATAATCGGAACTTCAATGAATAGTGCTAGGTGCAGAACGTATCACGTCTTGGCAGAAGCAGTGTTTGTTAAATCCAAAACGTCAAGAACCTAGGGAGGCTGTCTGTCTTATTATATAAACCTATTAATTTTCGTTGAGATAATACCTCGGTGTTCTCCAGTCGCTGAGCAAGACTTGGTAGTTGTACTAAATGCTGCTGTGAGTAATCCTTTCCGAGGTATTTTCTTCTCTCGCATTCGCCGGGCCCGTTTATTCGCCTCGTTTTAGATAAAATGTGGCTCTAGCACATTTGTAAAGTCGGAAAATGTGTGACAAACTAGCATTAAATAGTAAGCGTGGATTACTCACCACTGATTACCACTGTGAATCAGCCGGCATTTTTTAACCGGTGTTAGTAGTCAGCAGCCAGTCTATCGCGTACTGATCCTTCAGTATCTGACATTGTTGCGCAAAATTTTGAGACACGAAGGCTTTCCTTTCCACCTTTGCTTACACACTTCTAGATGTGGAGAAATCTTGCAGTCAAGAAGTTCGATCTGTAAGCGTAGAGTACATATATTCGCTTGTTCTCTGTGCTTTTTCTAAAGTGTACTAGAGTTTCACATTCATCGAGTCAATCTAACCTGAAGACTTCAGCTTTTGTAAACTCATTAGCTTTACACAGCTCAATATCGTTAAGATGCCTTATCGCGTTCTTCTGACAGGCGCGAACGGATTCGTTGCCCAGCATATTCTTTCTCAGCTTTTAAAGGCAGGTCACTCCGTCAGGGCCGTTGTACGTACGCAGTCCAAAGCCAATCAGCTTTCGAAGACCTTCAGCACCTATACCTCTAGCCAACTCGAAAACTACATCGTCCCAGATATCACTACCCCTTTCGCTTTTGACGCCGCTCTCACTTCGAACTACCCATTCGATGCAGTCATACATACTGCGTCGCCCTTCAACTATCGTGCTGTGTCCTCGAACCTCGAATTTCTCGACCCTGCGGTGAAGGGAACAACCGAGATTCTGTCTAGTATTACACGCGTTGCTCCCTTCGTTAAGCGGGTAGTCCTGACCAGTTCCATGGCCGCCGTTATTAATTGGGGCGCACCCAAGGAGACGGACCCTCCTAAGGTCTACACTGACGCTGATTGGAACCCTATTACCTGGGATGATGCTCTCTCTACTGACTCACCGAATCTTGCTTACAGCGCAAGTAAATCATTCGCTGAGAGAGCAGCCTGGAACTTCATCTCCGACAACAAACCTGGATTTGATCTCGTTACTATCAACCCGCCCATGGTGTATGGGCCATATGTTGACCCATCCGTCTACAAGACGCCGCAGGATCTCAACCAAAGCAACTTCAATTTGTGGCGCAATTTTCTCGAGTCGAGCTTGACATCCGAGTCTCCACTGCCTCCCAATGGATTGCATCTGTATGTTGACGTACGAGACATGGCGCGCGCCCATGTACTGGCATTGCTGAAGCCTAAGGCTGGCGGCAGGAGATTTGTCATTGGAGGCGGGGCAGTTTCGAGCCAGAAAATCGCAAACCTTTTCAGAGACACACTCCCTCAGTTGGTGAATCGAATTCCCAGGGGAGAGCCAGACAATTTGCAGTTGCCGAAGGGAATTTTCACTCTGGACGCGTCACCGGCACGGGAAATCTTAGGACTAGAATTTAGCAGCCTTGAAGACACTTTCAAACAGGTTGCGACACAACTTGTTCACATTAGAGAGGTCGCGAAGAAGAGCACTTGATGTCGGCAGGCAAAGATGATCATATGAGCAGAGATACAATGTTGGATCATAATTGAGATAGTTTAGTCAATAGCGGAATGTCTTACATACCATGGTCACCCCCTGTGATAACGTAAATTCATGATTAGCAAGACGGGCGGCCTTTTTTCCATCTATAAGTCACCGTTTTCTTTTTGGGAGGATGGACTATGATTTCTAAACTCCCAGAGTAATTAGGAGACGGTTAATGGAGGGGACAAGGGGGAATTAGACCAAAAGAATCGAGGCGCATTTCGACTAAATTAAATCATCTGCTAATTAGGCCAAGGAAGGATCACTAAACTGTCTTTCAATAAGACAAATTCTTATCTGGTAGAGCAACTGGTACCCCGTACCATAGGCGTGTCCTGAAGCTGGAATTTGGGTCCGCCGATGAAGGCATATGAGTTAGGGCTTTTCCAGTTCAAGCTATATCCTGGATTCAACGTTGGTTTTGTTTCCAGCCGTCCAAATATCAAAAGCTGAACCATGCAACTACATCAAGGCTAACAGCTACAATGAAACACTTAATTAACCTTAAACTATGATGAATTCTAAAATTAAAGCTCTGTCATTGGCAATCGTGCTTAGCGTTAAATCTTGATCTTCGTTGTGGAAGTGTGCTTTTCTAACTAGTAAGACTCAGCTGTCTGTGGCAGTCCATTCAAAGGATGTTTTGAGCCCATAATATTGGGAACTACGTGATTATTGATAACAAGGACATTTTATCATGGCTTACTCGCACCTGAAATACCATGGAGCTGTGTATCTTACAAGGCTTGGGTAAACACCAATTGACAGTATCTGCGGAATACAAGCGTTGGGATCAACTTCGGAATTAGGTCCAATTTTCTGTATTTTCGAGGATTTCATGTACCGCTTGAAATGTACAAAGCAGTGAGAATGTCTCGGAGCATGATTCCATTAGAAATCGTCATGGCTGTGCAATACTTGACTGCTCAAATCTAGTTGCTGAGTGAGACATCATGAACGCTGAGCACAGACTCATCCTACTATCACATATGCTAAAGTGCGACTTCGTTGACTATAGGAATCTGTTCAGTTCTAGAAAACTCAGCTAGTTGCTGCATCGCTCAAATTTTTTCTGTTCACAATCCTTCCATACAGGTTATTCAATTACAACCCGGATCTACAATCACAATTGATGGCCGAAAGAGTACGCAATGGTCATTTAAGGTCGGCCCTGACACCTACGACATAAGGAGACTTGGGCAACTTGAAGCCGCCAGGAACCTGCCTCTGGAATACCTGTCGAGGATCATACTTCTTGCTCGTTGCTAGCAGTTCTTTCAGTGTACCCTTGCTGCGACGTTCGATGGGATTCTGCCAACTCTCGGCATACGTCGCCTGGAGATAGCTCCTGTACAAACCCATCTTCTTGGCCTTGGCTTCTGCGTCAGCAACCAGCGACTGCACCACCTTTTCAATGATATTGTCACTGTCTCTCTCAGACTCGTCAACGGCGACACTCATGTGAATGTAGATGAGGTTTCCCTGCGTCTGAATTGGTCCGAGAGAGTCCACGGCACCATTGCGCTCAGACATGACACTTGGGACAGGCTGGTAGGCCATGGACACCATGAAGCCGTCAAGTTCGATTAAGGATGTGAAAGCCTTGTCTGCCATTTGGAAGAATTCCTCCATCATAGCCGCAGAAGGGGCAAAGCTGACAGTGGCAAAGAGCCAGCGCTTAGGGTACGTGGCGAGAGCGGCATACTCGCGAGAAATTGAAGTAACATTGTCAATACGAATAGTATTGGTAGGGCCGCCAGGAAAGAGCGCAGTCTGCTCGATGGCGAGGAGAGGTTTGAACACCTCAGGTTCAGCAACGGGGGGGTCGCTTTTGGTGTACTGCAAGCTGTTGCCAATGAACCAGCTTTTTGTCGCGTTATTGAGAATCAGATTGTTAATGTAATGAACGTATGGATCATAAGGATGCATTGATGCGAGGTCCTCATGTGCTTTGAAATGCTCCTTTCGGGTTGAGATGTCGTGAAAAGTCTGACCACCCCAGAACCTGCCCTGGCTGAAGGTCTTCATAGTAATGGATGTGACAACGCCAAAGTTATTGGAACCGCCCCTAAGGGCCTTCCAGAGATCGGAGTGCTGGTTGGCGTTTGCATAAACAATGTCTCCATTTGCGAGTACCACCTCAAACTGTTCGACCATATCACAAATAAACCCATAGCGAGCGGAGAAGAAGGAGGTTCCGCAGCTGAGAACTGCGCCACCCACACCAACACCGGCAACTCGGGCACCAAGAGTGCTCAAATTATAGGGGTCAAGCTGCTCTGTGATCTGGTCCCAAGTTTGGCTGGGGCTGACTGTAATGGTCTTGTGGTCCGTCGAGATACCTGCAGCAGGTAGGTTTTTGAGGTCGATAACGATGCCGTTTTCCATGTTTGCAGCACCCTTGAATGGAGTGTGGCCACCTCCCCGGATGGCGAACTGGCATTTGTCTTCCCAAACATCGGCACCGCTTGTAAGCGTCCGAATAGCTACTGAGACATCCTGTGCTGACCTAGGCATGACAACGCATGCTGGCTGCAGGTCGGCTTCCTTCAGACTGAAATAGGACCCCACGGACGTTTTGTATGTGGAAGCACCTGGATAAGCGACTGTGTTACGACCCAATGATTCGGTGAGTGCCTGACACTAAAGAGGTATCAGCCAGCCGTCTCAGGAGGTTCTCAGATCTGATCACTTACACAGGACGTTGAGGAATCAATGGCCACCTGGATGTTACTCTCAAGGTCCACGTGCGGATTGCCCAAATGAGACTTCCAAGATTGACCGCTAAAAAATCCCAGACTTGGAAGCCCAAGCAAAATTTGTTGGAGGACTACACCAATCATTTTCGATTGCTCCGGAATAGTATCTTGTGCCTTGCTTACTATGAACGAAGAATGCTTATGACAATAAGATTGGAATCACCAAACTCATGTCGAGGAGACATGAGGTTATGATTGTGATCATTGACCGGGCACAGGATAGACTACTGGGTTTGCGGTCTCGGCGATTATCAAACTTTGTCGCGTTTCCGGTCAATCTTGTTCTGATCTCCTGGCACTCCGGGAAATAGACAGACGGCGACTGATCCCTGTCCCCGCGTTACATATTTCCCGGGACTGGTCCGAGCTGCCTCAACGTAGGCATCTTACATATACACTATACACTACCAAATAGCAAATAAAACTCCAAATGAATCGTTTCATTGACAAACACTCAACATATAACAAATTCTGACAACACACTTATCGATTTGCAACAATGCCTGGCCGTACATCGAACGACATCCGCAAAGTTGCACTAGCAGGAGTACGAACTAGCTCATCTTCCTCACCTATTCGCGTCATCACTGATAAATGTCATAGAAAGGATACGTTGGCGAGAAAGTTTACAATGAATTGGTCCACGCCGGGTATGATGTTACTGTTCTATCACGATCTAACCCGGGGAACGAGGAGAAAGTCAAAATTGTCAACTACGATTCAACAGAGAGCCTCACAGAGGCCCTACGTGGACAAGACGCCGTCGTCTCCACTCTCAACCCGGCAGGATGGCCGCACCAGTACAGGTTGATCGATGCTGCGGTCAGCGTCGGTTCCATCCAACACTTTATCCCCAGTGACTTCACTGCTCTGTCTACCAATCCTGCAGTTGCTCAACTTCCTTTTTACAAGGACGCTATGGCTATCCAGGACTACCTCAAAAAGAGAGCGGATGAGAGTGGCATGAAGTGGACCATCGTAGCTACTGGTCCTCTCCTTGGCTGTGTCTTAAATGGAGACTACATGTACAATTACCAAACCCAAACTGCTCTCCACGTCGGCAATGCCGAGCACAGGGTCAGCATGACTCGGAGACCTACTCTTGCCAAAGCCATCGCAGGTATCTTTGCAAGATCCAAGGAGATGGAAAGCGGACCTATTTTCATTCAAGACTATACACCTACACAGAATGAGATGCTTGAGATTGCAGAGAGACTATGTGGCAAGAAGTGGTCTGTCCAGCATGCTGATGCTGACAAGAAGTTGCAGGAGGGGCTTGCCATGATCAAGAAAGCAAAGATTGAGAGGACTTCTCCTCCGATCTTTGCCACTTTTCTTGTAATACATAGCACCATCTTCGGGGGGAAGTATAATACAGCATGGGATAGAGAGGGAAATATGTTCTTGGGTCTGCCCTTTATGTCTGCAGAAGAGTTTGAAGGCTTGATTGCACAAAGGGTTAGAAACGAGCCTATTGACGGTGGATTGCCTTGGAACTCAGCACCGAAGCCAAGGAATGTACCTTAGACATCCCTTAGGGTTTTGTCAAAGTATTCTGCTATCAAATTGATATTATGAAACAGAAATCATAACACCGTTATCTAGTCACATCTGTGACTTCCATCTGCTGACATTCGGGTTTTTAATGAATTCTCGTATCTTCTACGAAACACATTAGAATTGCGGAGGTAAGAGGCATATTATCTTGCTGATCAAGATAATAAAACACAGTCCGATTTCCTGTTAAGAACGCGGTCAAATGATGGCGATCAGTAATCTTACACAGCTACCTACTTGAAGATCCAGGGTTGCAAACTGGACACAGATAAAAGGATTGAAAGCATCGTATGGCTTCAACCTTCGAGAATTTACAATGGTGCATTGAAGCCATTCCACTCAACGTAGTCAGTAGGCACTTTCGGAAACTGACTGATCCCATCCAACATAACAACACCCATCCCACCAGCGTGATGAGTCTGGACATGGCAATGCAGGAGCCAAGTGCCTGGATTATCCGCCTTGTATCGAACCACAGTCCAAACAGCAGGTGCATCGCCAGCGATATCTGGAGTCGTAAAAGTGTCCAGATAAGATGGGTCCTTGAAGTTGAAAGAACCGGGCGGCAAATGTTTCTGGGCTTCTTCTACCGTATGCCAAGGAAATTTACCAGTACCAGACCCGAGGAAGTAGACCTTGTTTCCGTGCTTGTGCACAGGGTGACTTTGAGCGAATGGACCCTCAGTTTCCAAGATTAGGTCGATCCATTCACCGACATGAGTTCGCAACACTAACTCGCTGTGTGGGATCTCATCCGGTTGTAGGAAAAGAAATGGAGGATCCTGCTGCTCCCTTGTCATGTTGTATACCTCGTGGCCTGAGAGACTCCACTCATAAGCTCCGTGGGGACGGCCGGGTTTCCTCAGATGCAGCTTAAAAGTCCGGTTTGAGCGACGAGATGGTGTCCGAGCTGGAAACGGGCGGCCTTCCTCAGGCTTGAATGAGCGAAGATTTTTGATAAGAGGTTGTCCGGCGTAGTTCATCTTTGGTTTCGAGCAGTTGGACATTTCGTTAGCGCCATCGTATGCCATATTCGCAAATCCGCCCAAAATCTGATTGAGAAGATCATTGGCCATGCGAACCGTGTACAGAGCTCGTTCTTGGTTGAGCTTCACCATCACTGATACCCGGTTCCCATTACCAACATAGACGCGGTCTGTGACGGTTGGTCTGATGTACTGTCCATCAACGGCATAAACATGCAGGTCGTGGTTGTCGATAGAAACTTGCAGTGGATACAAGCCACCGACATTTATAAACGTGAGGGCTGCCCACCCGTTCCGGCTGTCGACTGTGAAGGTAAAGTTTCCCCGAGGGTTCCAGCCACCCACGCATTTTCTGATCGCATCAGTGGGAAGCTCGCCTATATTTACGTCAAAGTCTCCCTGGAGAGCCTGGATAGGAGGCACGCAGCCCTTTGCAGTCATGTGATCTTCTCCAAGGTCTTGCAACATTTTAAGAATGACGGGATTCGTCATGCTGTCCAACGATTCCGGATCCAAGCAATATTGAGATCCCATACCGTTGACTATGATAGCATCGGTGCAAGCGAGATCAAAGTTCGCAATTTTTTCAATGTGATAGAAGTCATCAAACTTGTATTGACTCCAGTCGGAGAGAAGCAAGGGCTGCATCTGTGACTCAGCAGCGCGCATGGCCATTTCCTCTTTCGGATCACTGTCAATGAGGTGAAAAGGTCGATCCACGTTCTGAGCTGCGTCGACGATGATTGCGCCATAGAGGCCGTCCATGAGTTGCCCCTTGGAATGGGCGTGGTAAAAGAACGTTCCGGGCTGCTCTGCTTTCCATCTATATAAGTAGGAAGCGCCGGGCCGAATTTGACCCTGTGTAAGTCCGGGAACACCGTCGCTCCATGGAGTCTTTCGTTGGTCAACTCCATGGAAGTGAACTGTTGTATCTTCCCGTAAGTAATTGCGGACCAGAAACTCGACTTCATCGCCTTGATTGAGGCGTAGTGTAGGACCTGTGAAGCTGCCGTTGATGAGAATTGCGTCTCGCGGACCAGCACCGAGTGCGTCAACCTGACCAGCAGTGAGATGAATCTCAAACCGGACATGATTTCGGATGGTGGACTCGAGTTCGGTGTTTCCCAGCTTCAACAGCGGTGCTGGATCCCAGTTGGGTGACAGACCGTGCAAAGTCCATGATAGAAGCTTGAAGAAGTACATGGTGCTACACGGCGGTGAATTCTTAATTGAATAGCAATAGAACAAAGGAGACCAAACGTAGAAACAAAAGTGGGTGTTTTGGGTGACTTGGCTTACAAGTCCAAGCTGTTTAGGTGATATCGAAGACAGAAAAGATCAAAGCAGATACGGGTTGGTTTTACTTGACCAACGTGATTACAATTTACTGTAGCTCTCGGTGCGTGCTAAGAGAACCTTGGACAATAACCTGTCGAATGGCTTCCGCTAAGGGCACTGGCTGCCCCAACTACCCTGAAGGATCGGACTTGAACAAGTGATATCGGGGAACAAAACCCGGGCTGTGGCAACTTGACACGTTACTGAACCCTGCACAGCTTAGGCCCTAGGACTACTTCTAAAACTACCTGTATCACATCACCTCAATTCTTTTCCATAGACAAGCATACATCGTCCAAGCACTCTCTAGTCTTATCCTTTTACAATGCGCCTGCCATTCATCATCACTGGTATCATGCTGCTGGGTCATGCTTCAGCTGCGTCCTTGAGTCAAGTTCTGGGCAACCATGGATCGCTCTCCATGCTTCACAATCTCCTGAAGGAACTCGACCTCCTGGACCGGTTCGAGGCAGTAGAGGGGTCCACGTTTCTGGCCATGACAAATGACGCGCTCATTTACCTCGCCAATTGGGGGCTTAACATGAGCACCATTGACCCATCGCTTTCCAAATCTATTCTCAAGTACCACTTCCTCGAAGGCGTTTACCCTTCAACTGATCCGTCATTGAAGACGGATACCCAGATTGTCCACTCGGTGCTGCGGCCACCGATTCTTACAAATGTCACTGCAGGCCCTGTGGTTAAACTTCGAATGGGTAAAGATGGCATATTCTGCGCTGAATCCGGCATTCAGAAAGTCTTGCACGTCAACGACTCGGATATTAACCATGACAATGGTGTGCTGCATACAATCGACAGCAATCTTGTTCTTCCACACAACCTATCCGAAACGACCAAACTTGGCAATCTGCAGGAGTTTTGGAACATCATTGAGAAGTCTGGTACAAAAGAACTTCTGGAACCTTTGCAAGACGTTACCATCTTTCTACCGAATAACAACGCGGTGAAGCAACGGCTTCCTTTGTTGGACGCGCTCACGGCTGAGCAATTGTCAATTTTAGTGGCGAACCACGCCATTATGAACCACGTTCTGTATCATACCACTATCACAGATGAAGAGATGGAGCTTGAGACACTGGGAGGCATGAAAGTCGTAGTAAAACACGACTCCAAAGGCGATATATTCGTCAATGCAGCAAAGGTCGTGACTAAAGACGTGCTCATATTCGGCGGTGTTGCACACATTGTGGATGATGTACTGGTTCCTTCTACAGGTAGGTTATGATTTCTGACATACACAAGATGGACTCCAATTTAACAGTATCAGTAGAGTTAAGTTGTCGCTCATCAATGGGCAAAGTTTGGGGCCATCGATCCTCAAAGTGTAGTCACTCTGCCTTTTTCAAAGCATTGAAACAAGGTGGCATCAGTACTGCATTTTTGATTATTCTGGTAATCTTAGCCATTTTCAAGGCGTTCACTCGCACATCGAATGAAGAACGCTCTGAAACTTGGTCATCAACACTCCAGGAGGAATGCTTTGGAAGATGTCAACCGAAAAGGAACAGCACATCAATGGTTGAGATCAAGAAAGACAGCTCGAAGTTCTAACGTTTATTGGACTCATATGTGATTTTCATACAATTTGTTTTTGGATTCACTCGGATGTTTGCTGGACAGAAATTGCGCTTTTGGATCTAAATGTAGTCAACCAAAGAATATTGACTTATAGAAACAACTTAGTTGCCGCGCTACATCGTGCTCCCACGCCCTCCTCTGGAGACTAGAATGTGAACTTCTAGAATGATATCTGTCTCTCGTAATATTCTCTTTGCACTTCAAGTTGGATGTTCACCCCAGGGGAAAGGATACTGAGGTGGCAAAAGTAAAGGCACATACCGATTACCCATAAAGCTTAAAGCTGGCGGGAGACGGGGACGAAGCATGCTGGAAACCGTAGCCCGTCAGCCAGTTTCATCCTGTCCCAAAGAAGAATGATCGGGTGTTATAGGCCAATTCGGGGATCGGTTGCCGGGCTTACTACACCTCGCAATCCCCCTACCATGCAAACAATCAGAGTCTAGCGCTCGTTAAGATTGGTAACTCCGAGAACAAGTCGGCGAGGGAATATCCTTGCTTAATTCGATTGACGAGTTTTGGAAACCATTTCTAGAAGCCAAGTGGGCATCGAGGGATATTGAGAAGGGCTCGCCGGGTCGTCGAGTAAGGCTGGCCAGGTGGGGCATGGCGAAAGCTGCGAAGATGCCAAGAGTGTTCTTGGAATTAGTACTGCTGCTCTTTTGATTTTTCGGTTTCTGAATCACGCACTCCGAAAGTTTGATCTCACATCGTCCGCCGCCTCGATAGTTTTTCGCATCGATATGTATTCTGACTCGTTAGGTCGGTAAAGACGTTGCCCTTTTATAGGCGAAGACCTACCACTCGAGCTTCTGGTCCAAAAATGTTCGGGTAATACGGAGACTTGTATTATACCGATGATATCTATACCCTTTGTGCTCGATACTTAAATACTGAACATCGCCTAGTCTTTTAAGTTTCTTTTCGGTTTTTGCACTCTTTAGAAAAGTTCGCTTTTTAAATGATACTCATTCGAGACATCAATGACGTCAACAACAACACCTAGCGCAGTGGATGCTGCTACTTCCGAGAGAGCATCGTCACTCGACGAACAAGTCATTTCCAAAATTCAGGGCGGAGATTTCATCGTCGATTGGCTCGGTCCAGATGACAAAGGGTATCCTCAGAATTTGCCCACGCCACGAAAATGGCTCATCACTCTGGTTTTGGCTCTTTTTGTACTGTCGACGACATTCTCGTCATCAGTTTTCAGTGCTGCAGCGTCTGTTACAGCCAATGAGTTCAACACTACTGTCCAGACTATGGTTTTTGGAGGAACTTCATTGTTCATGTTTGGCTTCGCTCTCGGCCCTATCATCTTTGGGTATGTTGTTTGCAACTTCATATCAAAGGCGAGGATTTGATTAGCTAACAAGCCCCGAAAGACCCCTCTCTGAGCGCTATGGAAGGAAGCGTCCTTTGATGACTGGGTACGTTACCTTCGCTCTTCTCCAACTTCCAGCAGCCAACGCCCAGAGTCTCTTCACTCTCTTCCTCTTCCGTTTTCTTCAAGGAACATTCGGAGCAGCCCCTTCTGCCATTCTCAGCGGAACATTGGCGGACATTTGGACCCCGAAGCAGAGAGGCTTCGCCATGCCATGCACTGGAACTTTTCTCATGATTGGTCCCGTAATTGGTCCAATGGTTGGATCAGTCATCGTTAAGAGTCCATTGGGATGGCGTTGGATCTTCAACATAACGGCTATTGTTGCTCTTGCCGTTGCTGGGATTACATATCCAGCTTTGTCCGAAACATATTCTCCGACTCTGCTAGAGAGACGCGCAAAACGGATGCGTCATATGACTCGCAACTGGGCATTGCGAGCCAAATCGGAAGAGCTAGACACTAGTCTCCATGATGTTGTCGAGAAGTGTCTATCTCTTCCTGCGAAAATGCTTGTTCTGGAACCGATCCTGCTCTTGATGTCCACTTATATATCAGTGGTATTCGGTATGTACACACAACCTCGAGAGGGTCGACTTTGTGTTCTTAACCGATTCCAGGGCTGATGTACATATTCTTTCTCGCCTATCCGATATCTTTCGCACGAGAACGTCACTGGGATGAGACCTCTGCCGGTCTTCCTCTCCTGTCCATCCTTTTCGGAACACTCCTTGGCGGTGCTCTCATCATCGCGACAGTCAACACCAGACTGTCCCCGGATCCCAAGGCTGGCCGTCCTCAGGAGAACAGACTGCTGCTGATGATGATTGGAACAGTCTGCCTCCCTGTTGGAATGTTCTGGTTTGCCGCAACAAGCTCACCATCAACAAATCCATGGCCCCAGATCATAGCTGGAATACCTATGGGAATGGGCATCATCTTGATCAATATGCAAGGAATGAACTACATTGTCGACTGCTATGGCATCAACTCGAATTCTGCTATTGCAGCAAACACATTCATGCGGTCGCTCTTCGCTTCTGGATTCCCTGTCTTTGCGTAAGCCCCCTCTCTGCACTCTTCGACAAGCGTTGGGTCTCATTACAGCCTTTTTGACTCAATCGTAGGACTTCAATGTATACCACGATCGGTGTTGCTCGTGCCACTTCAATTTTGGGGCTTTTTGGTATTATTCTGGCACCTATTCCGTTTCTTTTTTATCACTATGGTGACCAGATTCGGGCTCGAAGCAGATGGTCACCTACGTACGGTAAGTAAGCTTGAAAGAAAGAATTTCCACTGGATATCGGAACAGATCGAAGTGCTGTCATGTTGGCAACGGTCCTCGTGATATTGAAGGTTTACAGACGTGTTGTACGTAGCCGTAGATTATTCAATAGCTTTCTTCTCAGCGTACTCATTGGCAGAGCCAGTAAGCTAACCGGGTGCAAATCAGCCATGCTAAGATCCAACAGTAGCCTTGAATCATACAGGAAGTTATAGTTTTTACTTGCAGAATTCTCAGTTTGTTTAGGTATTTTTACCTCGCATCCCAATTATCTTACAGCCTATCTCCAGCGCGATCAGCAAGGATCTTTCGTAGAGGGCGCTTATGTTCATTGATTGTTTTCAACCTAAACAACTTATAGTCGGTATAGAACAGCTCCTAGTTGGAAGGTCGTGTTTCTATGCGCGTTTTTGGAAGTAGGTTCCTGTTTACTGTCCCACACAGAGTCAATCGAGCAAAATACAAGTACGAGACTTCTCTCACGTGCGACCCTTCTTCTGAGCAATTGTGTTTCGGGTTACTTTTGTGGGGAAATCACGATTTTAGTAGGGAATTGAGCGATCTGATTATCTTTCTTTAGCTGAAAAATACACTTGCATTGAGCTACCATGACGAACTCAGTTCTACTCCGATCTAGTCATATGAACCCAGGTTCTCCCCGATGGCGCCTACTCATAGCTTTGATCCTCCCAAAAAAGGAAAAATCTCGTCTCAATACTTCTTCTTGCGGGACCAATATCATCTGGAGTCGGGAACGCGCTGTGAGGCGTTCGTCTAGCCCGGCCATCCTTCTTCGAATCAAAGATCTTAATCAGGATAACATCATCTCGAGTCATGCCGCCCCTGAACCACCATTTATGTTGGTCGGGATTCTCAGGAGCCGCGACCTGCCACATGTGGTTCTCCGTTGGCTTATGAGGCCATCTGAAGGGCACGCAATGCATGGTATCGTGAAGTTCGTCGTCGCGTACTGTTCGAGCATCACACATGGCAAGAGGCTCACGATGGACTTCGTCCATTGGCCTCCAAAGGTTGACGATGGCCCAACGGTGTTTACCGTCATGCTTAGCGCCCTCGCCAGGAGGGAGATCATCGTACAGGCGGCGTTGGGCTCCGAGGTCAGACTGATCAATATGAACAAAGCGGGCGGACAGAAGCCCGCCGTCCGTCATAGCCATGTCAGGCTTTTTCTCATCTTCCTCGGGGTTGCTTTCCCATTGGCGTTGACGGATGATATGAGAGATTACGCGAACATCGCTGGCTCCAGTGCTGGTACAAAGTCAACAAATCGATACTTTTCAATTGAGATGGATCTGGTATTCTGACGAGACTCACAGTTTTCTCATGAATTCCTCACACTCGGCATTGTAAACCTTGTTGAGTTGCTCGTCGATTGGGCTCCAGGGGAAATCCTTGTATGAAGTCGGGAAATGCTCAAATTGGAAGCCAGTCTTGTCGAGGCTGAATTCCGACTCCTTGCCTCTGGCGTTCTGAATTCTCACTTGACGCGGATCGTACTTACGGCGCATCTGGGCAAAAGTACCACCCCAAATCATTTCATCGCCGCCCTTAGTGGGACAAAGACGATAGTTGAGAGTAACGTCGTAGTAAGGCTTGTCGTGGTTGTAGACACCGGCGAGCTTGGCACGCTCCTCTTGATCCTTGGCAGCGAGCTCAGTTGGGGTGTACTCGACTTTGTCACCAGATACTTGCAGCTTTCTCTTCACGTCTGTGTCGAGGAAAGCGAGCTCGTCAGTGGTGGCGTAGTTTAACTCAAGAGTAGGCATGATTTCGGTGGTATAATCAGATAACTGGAGTTGATCAGCGAACAAACCCATTGGTTGAAAATCTGCGCAACATGGCCTTTAATACATTTAGACTCAGCACATTGGTACGGATAATCACAATAGCTCGTTTACATCGGCAGACTTACGGCGTTCTAATGGCCGGTATCGCAGGGGCCGCTACATTCTGTTAGGTCTGTCTTGGTTTGCGGCGATTCAATCCCCGGTCGGCATATTGCAGAAGCCGTGTCAAAGAACAATTGTTACCAGCAGAAGCACAGTTTTCCGGCAAAGATCATTGCTCTCACCCATGCTGAAACAGTACCAGTTCTAGCCTCGGGGTCGAAGCAATTGAATTCTAGAACAGACGACCAAAACGGGCTAATGATTAGGAGCATGACGTCGGATTTCCTTTAGATTCACATTGTTATAGTATAGATGATTTGAACTGAGTGGTAATTCTGATGCTTCTTGACGAGCAGAGGTAGAAAGGTTGCATCTTGAACTCATGATGCTAAGAAATGATCATAATTATTCAGATTTTGCAAACGGACCACAATGGACCTGGCATTGCAGGTCACACTCAGAAAGTCATTGCGTCTATATTTTTCATAATCATTGAACTCGACTTCGTGCCTCCGTCCATCTGCAATATAACGGTGCCAGATTTTGCTCCGCAAGCCATAGCAGTGCAATTTCAATCGGTGAACCATTCTTGACATCACTGGCAAGAGAAAAACCGCGTAAAAAAATGAGACGGCTACCGTTTTCTCTTATTTCTCCTTTACCTGACTTCTATCCATATCAAAGTATTAAAAGTTGTAATGCTCAGCCCACCCGACAACACAACTGCGGAAGACAAATTAGTCATGTTTCCCAAGTCGCAAAGACAGAATTGTTGTCAACACCTACCGGCTACGGCTCATGTCAGCAAAGTTGAAATGGTCTGGGATAAATTTGCCTAGAAACTCGGGATCCCCACGCATCTTCTCGATGCATTCAAGGTTTGGGACTATGATCGAGATGATTGTGTCATAGTCCAGCAACATCTCAGTAGGTGCACCAGGAAATAGCTTTTTGAAGTCTGCCTTTGATGAGGCGTCGTTGTGGGTCTTTCCCGGCACTGGTTAGTTCGGTCTCGTTGTCAACTATACGGAAGCCAACGATGACGTACGACAGTATAAGATACAGCGCCATACTTCTGAAGCAGTGGCGTGATGATAGGGGTGTTAACACTCTCTATGTGATTGTGATGACTCCGCTCGTCCATTTCTAGTTTCTTGTAGATGTAGATGCTGTATGAAAAAAACCGCCTTGGCTTGTCGAGGTTACTCATTTTGCGCAGTGTCCAGTGCAGCCTAGTATAATTAGATATGGAGCATGTTGCGAAAGACCCAGGACTCTTATTCCGGGACTTACGCAAGGGGGAGACTTGGTTTTGACAGATATGCCGGAATATCAAAACGGAGCTGGTTTTCTGGAACTGAATAATGCTCCGGCTGTCAGAGTTGTCGCAATTGCTCCCCATGGCGGTTCCCTGCAACAAGGGGTGGTTCGGGGATAGAACAGCTGGGAAGTTTATCATTTCCCGGCCCGTTCGCCGCGAGCCGAAGTTTTGCCCGAAGCAAGAGTTAAATAAGACTTACTGAGTCAAGAAACGATCTAGGGTCTGAAATGTGCGAGGCAAAGTGCCCGATGGCGCGCAAATCTCACAGTGTTTGAGTTCACGATCGGGTTAACAGCGATGGATCGCCGCTTGGTGCCAATCGTGGATTTGAATCTTGATCCATTAGTTTTGGAGTCTTAGTATATCAATCGTATCGCTCTGCGTCGTCTTCTAGTTGGCGCTCAACGTTGGTTGGTTCTCTGAACTCTCAATAGCGCACATATTTAGATTCCGCCACAACCAAATCTTCTTTCCTTTCACTTCCTTGTACTTCCCCAGTACTCAAAACCTTCTAGACCAATTCTCAACTATCCGAAAGATGGCCGACCGCAAGATTGTCCTCATCACTGGCGCTAACAAGGGGCTCGGTTATCAAGCTGTCAAAACCCTTCTGGGATCAAAGCAGAAGTACCACGTCTTTCTTGGCAGTCGCGACTTTGACAAGGGTAGATCTGCCGCGGAGACGGCGATTGCGGAAGTCAAGTCACATAGCACCGTTGAACCACTTCAGCTTGACATTGAGAGTGATGCTTCCATCAAGGACGCATTCGAAACGGTCAAGAGCAGAGTCGGCAAAATCGATGCGCTGATCAATAATGCCGGTGTGTTGTTTTCTGGTTGGGTTCGGAGGGCTCAAATGTTCACTAATACTTTCCGCAGGCGTTATGCTTGATCAACAAATTGAACGCGGCAACATGACTGTCCGCGAGGCGTACAACAAGTCGTGGGATATCAATGTCACCGGTGCTCACATCCTTACAGACACCTTTCTCCCACTTCTCCTGAAGTCGTCCGACCCGCGTCTCATCTTCAACACCAGCGGAGTGTCCTCGCTGACGAACGCGGCGGATTCATCCCACTTCACCTATAAGGTTCCCCCTGCTGGAGCGCCAAAGCCTGTTGGCACCATCTCCTATAGAGCGGCCAAAGCTGGACTGAACATGGTCATGCTCGAGTGGGTGCGAATGCTGAAGAATGATGGTGTTAAGGTTTGGTGTGTGGCTCCAGGCTTTTTTGCTACCGATATAGGAGAGGGTGACCCTGATTCGATGAAGAAGATGGGCGCGGGGGATCCCGCTGGCGGAGGCAAGGCTTTGGTTGACGTCCTGGAAGGAAAGAGAGATGCTGATGTTGGCAAGGTGGTCAATATGGCAATTTACGGTACTCCTGTTCAACCTTGGTAGAAACAAAGATACTCATGCCTACCAAGAGGAATTTGCATCTTGAGTTTCATGGAACTGTACAGACGAGGATTTATCGCACCGCCTCGTCAAAATCTGGACATAGTGTAGGTAATTGGCCTTTGAGAATGGGCGATTATGTCTAGGCTTGTTTGTAGCAGCGCAATCTGGCTGCATTACAATCTGTTTAATCAACATCCTATGCAGGCGCCCTTAGGCATTGAGCAAAAATTCACACGGTTGTATTTCTCTACGTCGTCAGTTCTTGTATACTCGGTCTCTAACTAGTCAACAGCGACCCAACATAGGGGCATTGTCATTTGTGTCCATAAAGCAAGGCCCCACACCCATGAACAGGGCCAACTTTTGTAGATTGAGTGGCAATGCCAAACATGTTATTGATAATGTTGATCCTGGTGCGCAGTGGAAGGTCGCACTCATTCTTCATCATGTCAATGTCAAATAAACCAAATTCGTCTCAATTTGGCTTGTGCAACCAAGGCTCTGATGTTACTAGAACCCCTCTGATATTCTACTAAAGATCCTGGTTTTCCCAGAAAACAAGACACCTAATTTCAATGCTCTCCCTGGGCGGTCCCTCATCCTTGGGTGTTTGAATTGCGGTATGCGGCACTCTTCTAGCCCTTCCGTCTAGTTTCGTATCGAAAATCTTGATCAACAGCGCTTCGTCAGGGTTCATGTTGCTGGCGTAATACCACTTATGCTGTGGGCTCGCAACCATATGCCATTGCTCATTGTCTTTATTCATCGTGTTGGGCGGTTTACCAATCACTATGCGCGTGGTCACCGGACGAAGATCAGACTCTTCGACGCTGCGAGCGTCGCAAACAGCCAGTGGCTCACGTCGGACAGATTTGAGAGGTTGCCAGACGTTAACAATACCCCACCGCGTCTTGGTCTTGCCTCTAAGCATTTCTGCTTCGGGGAGTCTATTAAGGACGATTTCTGCGCCAAGGTAGGATTGATCTGTCTGTGTGAGACCTGATGTGGTAATTCAAGGCTCAATGGTACTTACCAACATGAATAAACATTGCTGGTGGCTGCATGCTTAGCACCTCTGAGTCTGGGAGGTGGTCGGGGATGTTGAGGATGTTTTCATGGGGATCACGTCTGATGACATGAGGAGCAAAAGGATGTACGTATGTAGCACCCGTACTGCGAGCACTGTTAGCCTCGTGTCGTTGAAATAGTGAAGATTGTAAAGCTTACTGCCTCATCAGCAGCTCTTGCACGTCCCTCTGCAACTGTGGTGGTAGACCAAATCTATAATCTCCATCCCATTGTTTTTCTTGTATTGTACTCTCTACCACCTTGAAACCTTGCTTATCGAGACCGAATTCTTCATCGCAGGTACGCATGTCCGTCACAGGGACTAGTTGCCGATCGTACTTGGTCCGCTGGAACCCTATCGTAGCGATCATCTGAATTGGGTACGGCTCGCCCTTCGGCGGCGGCAGATGATAGTTAACGTAGGCTTCAATGGACTCAGGCTTTTCAGTCGAGTGAGGCATATTGTTTGGGTGTCTAAATAGGAGAGTAGAGGCTCACAGCAAACTTCAGGGTAGAAGACAATGATTCATCAATTGGGTTACGACAGGTGAATATGTTACTTAGATCGAGTATTAAATGGGGGCCCAAGCCTCTACACTCGGGGATCAGATTCAAGCGAGATCTCGACCTTCATTAGTGTGCTGATATCCCCAGAATATGGTTAAGGTTCGGGCCAGATTCAAGTCTGAGATTCAGACATCCCGAGATCGCTCACATACATGAATTCATCGGCCGGGATATTGGGCGCATCTCTGAGAACCTTGGATCAGCGAGTCGCCATCAACTGCCCGAGCAGGTTATGGCCCACTCTCGTAGAAAAATCATCTTTCATAGGCAACGTCACGGCCACCAAAGCCAAGTGCTCGCTATTGAGTGTCGTTGCTGCGAAACGTCGGACGGATCCGTTTTTGACTCGTATCCCTGTTAAGTCAGGTGGTTGCGTGGCCCCACATGAACTTTTGCCGGCTCAGACCACAGTTGCCAATTGCCGTAGTTGAAGTCCATCGGTCAATAAGTCGTCGTTCTTCCCTTTCAGGCAGCGAGCCCCCAACAATCGGCGGTCGGAGAACCCTCTGCGGCCACTAATTGCCGGCGTGCTAGTCGCCGGGTCATCGGCGAGGCCAAGCTCTGGGCACATCCATCGTTCCTTTTCCTTCCGATTCAGTTCCTGTTCGGTAGTTACACCCTATTCCCGAAAACTTTACTAAAATTTGTTGTCCGACTTTGTAGATCTCCGCTGAAACATCAGCTCCGACACTGCAAAAAAGCAATAAACGCTTAAACACCGGTGACTAATCTAACCTACGACCATGGATAAACTCCACATTCATTGAAATGTTGGAACCGGCCATATCTTCTCGTGTAATTCTTTAGAAAAAAACTCCATACCAAGGTTCTGCTTTGAGTTTCTCTCCATCCACAAGCATTTCCCGATGTTCCCGGTGAGGAGGACTTCTAGATGGCCTTACTGCCGCTCGAGCCGAAACACTGTCAACTGCCAGACGAGTCAAACATGCAAGGAGGAGAATAAAGCAGCAGCGCGATCATGCTGTTCACAATGCACATTCCAAGAGTAAAAGACGTTCCTTCGTTGACACAAACCTCGTTTCGTGCTCGCTCTCCTTGCCAAGGTGCGAACTGCCAAGACACTCCTCTTGAAAAACGACGCCGCCGCAGTAAATCACAGGAAAAGCAAACTCAAAAAAGAGAGAATCCAGTTAACCAAAGCCAAGAAGCCTACTTCAACATGCCTTACGTTCCGAATCTGCCGCAAATCCCTAACCGCTATGCTGCGGCTCATGCCAGCCCACAAGGCGAAGGGGACGCCCGTCCCACAGCCCTCCAAATTATTCAAGATGAAGGTCTGATTGGGAAGCTAAGCGACAAAGTCGCTCTGGTTACGGGTGGTACTAATGGCATTGGTCTCGAGATCGTGCGACATCTGGCTAAAACCGGCATGAAGGTCTTTTTCACTTCTCGAGATCTTGCAAAAGGCGAGAAGGTAAAGAATCAACTTCAAAGTGAAGAACCCAGCTTTAGACTGGAGGTCGTTGAGATGGAGCTGAAGAGCTTAAAGAGCGTGGAGAAGGGCGCTGAGCAAGTGATGAATCACGCCGAAAGGTTGGATGTCCTTGTCAACAATGCAGGTAAGTCATAATTTGAGAAACACCACACACTTGCGTATAAGAATTGTCATTTACTAACTCTATGTAAAAAGGTATTGCGGCTACACCTCGCGGCTATACTCAAGAGGGCTATGAACAGCAATTTGGTGTCAACTACCTTGCTCACTTCTACTTATTCCAATTACTTAGACCTCTTCTCCTAGATACTGCTGCGAATCACAACATCAACGTGCGAGTTGTTACTACGTCAAGCACATCGCACACAGCATGTACTGTTCTTCCTGAGAGCAACTATGACACAGCAAACCCCAATGGCAAGGGTTACGAGCCTGGTGTGTCGTACGCCCACTCAAATACTGCAAAAATCTGGTTCTGCAACGAGGTTGAGCGCCGCTACGGGTCCGAGGGTATCCATGCCATCAGCATCCACCCCGGTGGTTTCGGAAGCGGATTGATGGAGTCCTCGGACGAAGAGACTCGCAAGATGCTTGAGAAGTTGATCCAGATGCCCCACATTAAGAAGGTATGGAAAAGCGTCCAGCAGGGCGCTGCCACTAGCATATTGGCAGCTGTTGGCAGCGAGTACGATGGAGTCGGAGGATTTTATATGGAGGACTGTGGTGTGAGCAAGCCAATCCCTGACGATGTCAACTGGGCTGGGTATGGGTTCAAATCATGGGCATTTGATGAGGAAGGCGAGAAGAAGTTGTGGGCTGATTCTTTGAAGATGGTTGGATTGGAGGATGATCTTCACTAGAGCGATTGCTCTTGCCAGCATGAGCATTGTAAAAGAAAGCACGGCTTCACATTCCACTATTTTCGTATTGATAGCAAGGTTGTTCTGTTCACTCTGACAAATATCAAACTGACGAACGCAACGCGAAGTCTCGATATGTACATCTTCAAACACATTGATACGTCCCCAGTCATGCTTGGTTCGATATAAATTGGCACGCCGATGAATATAACCCTGGGCTGCTTTGCCAATTCCCTCTAGGATTTCTTGCCGGTCATGTTTAATGCCAAATTTTAGTATGACTTTTTGAGTATTGGAACATAATTATCAATTGTCCTCTCGCGCCATCGTCGTAGTTGCCGCATGAAGCAACTTTAGATTAGAGCCTTTTTAGAGGCCATGTCCATAATCGAGAAAGGGGTTTTCGATCATGCTATTAGACTTTGTGATCTAGAAACAGATTCTCCGTCTTTATGGGTGTTGAGGATACTCGTATTCTTGATTGGGATAGTGCAATTTCAGATGAATCATGACATCCGACAATGTGCATGGATGTTATTGATTTGGTGGAAGATAATTGGTAATAGGCAATGGAAGACAAACTCTAGATTTGGAAATTCTGTAATCTTAGTCATGGCTGCTCATGGTGTTAGTCTCAGGCGTATAACCCGAAGTAAATACTAAGTGAGAACGGCGACCTCAATTCACAACCTGGTCCTGGTCCTCGGCATATAATCCGATGATCCTCGGCGAAGTCAATTCTGACACAAATCGCGATCCGCTTACCGCTATGCCTCATTTAGATAAAGCCATCAAGCCATCAACAAGTCTAAGGACGAGAATCATAAGGTCATGTTCGAGCCAACACATTTATTGACCTGCGTTTTTCTCCACACGATTCCAAATCATACTCTGATATTGCATTCTTTTGGAATCCAAAGCATTTAAGCATGTCACGCTCGGGAAGTCTCTCAGGCGCCTCGAAGACGGAGTTGCGCACCAACCAAACGATGCCAGCTGAAATTATACCCAACAAGGAGAATGGAATTTGCAACTCGTCAGCGACCGATTCCCAGAAGCAAGACGGCCCTGATAACGATCCGAACGAGCCTCCTTACCCAACAGGTATTACACTAGGCCTGATAGTTTTTGCACTGTTCTGCTCAGTCTTCATTGTAGCCGTTAGCCAGACCGTTTTGGCCACGGCCATTCCAACAATTACGAGCGTATTCAACAGCTCTGATGATATTGCATGGTATAGCACAGGAGAACAGATCACGGCTGTGGCATTTCAGCTTCCCTTCGGACAGGCCTACTCGCTTTTCAACAACAAATGGACTTTCTTGGCTTCGGTGCTCATATACCTGGTTGGAAGTGCTGTCTGTGGCGCCGCACCTTCATCAGCCGCATTGATTGTTGGGAGAGCAGTCCAGGGAGTTGGAATGGCGGGAGTGTTCGGTGGTTCATTTATCGTCATTGCTCGCATCACTCCGCTCCGGAAGCGAAGCCTATTTGCCGGCTTGTTTGGTGCTGCATATGCCATTGCTAGTGTTGTCGGTCCTGTCATGGGTAATCCAACTTTTGACACTAGTTCTAGTTCGGGAGGGTTACTAACTCGTTGTTTTAGGTGGTGCTATTACTGAGCGAGCTTCCTGGAGATGGTGCTTCTACTGTAGGTTTCCACATCCATAAGTTTTGCCGCTTCTATACTGACAAGCGGCCAATCAGTCAATCTACCCATTGGAGCCGTAGTAGTTGCAGTCGTCTTTTTATGCCTACCCTTGTCTCTGTGCAAAACTTCGACGGAACTGAAGACGTTGGGCCCGCTACAGTTGGCAAAGCGCTTCGACCTTCTTGGCACGATTCTCTTACTCTCTTCTCTGGTTTGCTTAATGTTGGCTTTGCAATGGGGTGGCGGCCAATACCCCTGGAGCGATGGCCGTGTCATTACGGTCCTGGTGGTATTTGCGATCACCATGCTCCCTTGGATGGTGCTGCAATACTTCCAGGGTGACAACGCGACAGTACCTCTCAGCGTTGTAAATCGAAGATCTGTCGCATCATCTAATTTGTATTTACTATTCCTGAACGGAGCGTTCGGAGTTTCCATCTTCTATCTGCCTGTTTGGTGAGTGCGAAAAATAGCTAGATACAATGACTCTAGAAGATGTACTAAAGCGATAATAAGGTTCCAATCGATCGAGAGCGACAATGCTGAAGCGTCTGGCTTGAAGCAATTGGCTCTCTGCATCAGCACTGCTGTCGGCTCAATTGTTGCTGGCGGACTGGTCATGGCCATTGGCTTTTACAACCCCTTTGTTATCCTTGGCTCCCTCCTGGTCACAGCTGGTTCTGCACTTCTGATGACCATTAGAGCTGACACGGGTCTTGGCATATTGTAAGTTTTCAGCAAAGAATCTGACCTGATTCCTTGTGATGATTACTTACCACTCATAGAATCGGCGCCCAGATTTTGGTCGGCACAGGCGTCGGTGTGGGAGCTGAGCAAGCCAACGTGGCTGTCCAGACAGTGCTGCCAAACGAGATGATTGCCAAGGGAACAAGCTTAACGCTCTTTACGAGACTTTTAGGAGTTGCCTTGTCTGTCCCTATCGCCCAAAGTGTTCTCCAACAGGAACTATCGAAGAAACTTGGCGCCTCTGTTGCAGCAACCATTTACGGCGACGGCGGAGCAACGCATATCAAAGATAATCTGCAAATTATCTTCGGCAACGGTACTTCCGAGTATCAGGATGCCTTGGGTAAGGTCAACAGTGCCTTGACGAGGACTTTCATGCTCGCCATGATTCTTGCTGCCATCTCATTCCCTTTTGGTGCCCTCTTGGAATGGAAGAGCGTCAAGAAGGAAAAGAGGGGATTTGACGATGCGAAGGAGAAGAAATGAGGACTTGGAGGCGAACACCCGTTATTAGACATAATTCAGCATCAGCTTACATTAGTAACAAGAATAGATTTAGAAAGCATCTATACTATCCGAGCATTAGCAACGTATGTACGCTCAGTGACACTAGTCTTATTAACCAAAGCCCGCTAGGCATCTGAAGATTCTGGCTGAGCAGTTGAATATTTTTGAACTCAGCGCCCTTCGGCTCTATAACAGAATCATTTGCGGAGTGATTCTTAATATTCGCGATCAGAGAATGATAGCAGCCTAGGTTTCTCTGAAGACTCAGGCTCAGGGATCATCTATACGGTGCAAGATTGTTTTCATTATTCTCTATGATTCCCGAAATAATCTTTACTTTCCCCCATGGACAATTCGAAAACATATTCATGATGATTGGTATTGTCCTTTGGAGTCAGACTTGGGTTCGCAGGCATGTGTGATCTGTTCTTCAAACTCTGCGACTCCTAGAGCCGGTTAAAGATGCTAAGATAAGTTCCTGCTTTGTTGTGCAACCATCAAGACATTACCGCTTCTTGGGTTCAAGAGCAGAGTGTAACTCGGTTTCAACCGTTTGCTCAGTTGACTACACCCAAGCTTTACTTTGAGCATGGGAGTCAGTTCGGCAACAGCATTCAGCATGTGCACGGCTAGCTGTTGCGCTGTTGCACTGTCCACCATCACTCCAGGGTTCGAGGGTGCTAACAGGTGGAAATGACTTTTCGCAAACCTTAATAGAGAAGGGCGGTGTGTTTTAGAAGAGTCAGATAGTATATGACCGGCAATTGAACATACTCGGATCGGGGAATCGGCGGAAATGCGGCGATCACCTAATATGAGCCGGGGAAAGCGATACGAAATTAGTAGCTGCCCAAAAGCAATCAGTAGCATTCCTGGACCTTGGTCAACTCTTTTTGGCCACTTTCAGAGGTTCTACGTCTGATCCAGTGTTATTGCACAACCTTGTGAACTCGGTGCTGCGTCGATTAGCGCCGTAAAGGTCTTCTTGACTCGAATATTTTTCTGTGAAATCCTTCGACAGTACAATTTGAAGCGCGTAAATTATTACGGCTGTAGTAAGAAACCGAAAGCGACCCCGATAAATTTTGCGAAGTGTGGCATTGGGAACCACGACCTTTACACGGGATTTCTTCTGCAAACTATCACGAGTCGCGCTTGCGGTCACCTCATTGAAAACAGTTGTGACAGATCGTCACAATGTCTTCATCTTGCATTGTTCTACTCGTTCTGCTTACGGGAGCATCCATGCTAGTTGGTGTGACTGCGGAAGAGGTTGGATTTCCAGGTCATGGCCTCATTGGGTATGGGATCACCATGTACCAGGTCAGTTAACGCTCCCACCATCGTAGATCAAATCAAGCTGACTGTAGTAAGCCATTATGTGCATACTCGTGTCGCGTAGTTCTTTCGGCTAGCCCATTGAACTGTAGTAACATCATGGAAGTACAAGAAATGCCAATGGCCGATACTCCACCGAGTTGCTTCGCCACTGATGATGCCTTCCTTGCGTCGTTGGCATGGTGTATTCACACGGTAAGATCGACAACTACAAGGCCCAAAATGAACCACGGTGGCTGAAAGTTACTCTACAGCGTTGCACTGATCTGTCGATTTGGGAAATCGAGAAGTATTGGCGATCAACGGAGGCCAGCATTCGGAACAGCCACCGAAGACTTGACGAACCTGGTGTCAAAGTCGACGCCAATCCTCCGGCTCCAAAATGGACGTATCAAGAGGCTCTCAATAATACTAACGGAACCCCGCAAGCTACCATAGCTTTTGCAAATCCTCTCAGGGAGAAAGCTCTGGTCTCGGATGGCGATTATCAAGTGCAATATGACACCATGGGCATGTTCGAGAAAATGGAGGTTACCCATGAGAGATATGGGTATGTGAAAACAAACTGCACACCACGAGATTATTCTTGTTGACTTGAGGCGCAGCCTCGTTTTGATTTCTCTAGGCGCGATCATTCCCATATTCTTCTCGCTGCTCCGATTTCTTCCCCTGCCCAAGTTGTCCATGTCTAAAATTCATGCGGTTTTCATTGACCCTCCTCTCCTGGGACGCAGACACAAAGTTCCGTATTTCAACCTCTTGGTTATTCCAACACGTGGTCAGACGATTCTCATTGCGTACGTAGTAATCATTAACGTTGTCCTGAGCTGTGCTGGTTACGACTCAGCTCAACCTAATGCGTGGTGGGTCAACGACAGAGACCAGGAACTCCTTACGTCCTTCAGCAATCGCATGGGTGTCTTGAGCTTTGCCAATCTACCTCTTCTCATTCTATACGCCGGAAGGAATAACTTCCTTTACTGGGTCACTGACTGGAGTCAGTCGACTTTCATGTTAATGCATCGATGGACGGCGTGCTTTTGTACCCTCCAGGCATGCTTACACTCAGCTGCATGGCTTCAGATATACCTCAGCATGGGGCAGCACAATACTGAAGCTAGGTTGCCTTATTGGATCTGGGGAATCGTTGCCACCCTCTCTTTGAGCGCCTTGATCCCTGCCTCATCGATTTACTTTCGGGAAAAGTTGTACGAAATATTTTTGGCTTTGCATATCATCCTTGCAGTATTCTCGGTTGTCGGTTCCTATTTTCACATCATCTACCGATTTCAGAACCAGTGGGGTTACGAGGTATGGCTATACATCTGCCTCGCTGTTTGGGGATTCGATCGACTTGGAAGGGTGGCTAGGATCGCTAGAAACGGTCTAGTGTGGGCAGATATTACCATTATCGACGAAGACTACCTGCAGCTCGACATAAAGGGGGCAGTAGGAAACGGTCATGCTTATCTGTACTTCCCAACGTTGAATTGGCGGCCATGGGAGAGTCATCCTTTCTCGATACTCAGGTCCAGAGTGGAGCCTGCACCAGCCCAGTCAGCGACCACCCTATCGGACCCCATCACCAACAAATCGTCTCCCAAGGAGCCAAGCGCCACAGAAGTTGCTCCAGTCGAGGACGAATCGCGCGTCGGGTTATCCTTTCTCGTTCGATCGTTCAACGGCTGTACAAAGTTACTGCGATCGCAAAGGCGACTTCCCGTATTCGTTGAGGCCGGCTATCTCCCTCACCAGGACTTGAACAAATACCAGACACTTGTCTGTATCGTTGGAGGTGTTGCAATCACCGCGGTAGCCCCTGTTATGAAGACGTACTCCGGAAACGCCAAGTTGTATTGGTCATCACGATCGGAGAGCCTGATCCGACGTATTGATCTAAAGGGTGTTGAGTCAAGCGTCTCGGTTGGTACACGATTCCAACTTCGGAATATTTTGGAAGAGGAGGTCAGAAATGCCAAAGGAAACTTGGCTATCATCGTTAGCGGACCTGCCCCCATGGTTGATGAGGCGCGATGTCTCGTAAGTGAACTCTCTCTGAGGGCACCGATCCCAATCACTTTCATCGACGAGACGTATATTTGGTAGATTTTCTAGGCACTTCCATTTTCTCTCGTAGACCTCGTTTGCTCTGGCAGGTACGTCTGGATCTCTGGTGGTCCCTTTCTTGCTTTCTCAGGGGCACGATGGCTGCAACAAGCAAAGGGGCCTACTGTGTTTGTCGTTTGTGGTTGGTCAGGTTAGTGTTTATCTGATAAAAGCTTCTTCCTGCTGTCCAATAGGGAAATGGGATTTTAGCTATAGACTATACATTTACTTTCATCACTTTGTTCTGCGACACTATATCCTTCTCACTTGTCATATGTTCTTAGTGCACGCACACATAAGATTGTCATCGACGATTCTAAATGTCAAAATTCTCAATGGACGATATTGAGAACGCGCTGTCAGGCTGACAGCTACAACAAGCATACTCTCAAACTTTACGAGGATTCCATCGCCGAGTACACAGCCTCTAGCTTTAGGTTCCATTTGCATCCGAGCCGAAAGACTAAAAGTCACGAATGTGTGCCGGACAAGGAAGCTCTACGGTTTTAGAAAAGTATCGTTACAACTCATGAGTCGTCACACGGTATGCCGACGCCCAAAAGTATTTCTACTCTTCGGTACACGAAACGATTATATATTCCTCCGAACTAAACCTTCACGAATGGGGTCTTGACCTTGTCAAAGAAAGAATTATAGATCGTGCATCGTCCATCCACAGTAGCCGATTCCAAAAGGGTCATATCATCGGCTACTTCATCACATCCTATGCATGCGATGTTGTTCCCTTCGGCGCTCACCTCTTCCCAGCCGGGACCCATTTTGACAGGATCTTTCACAAAACTAGCCCATATGGCCTGTAAGTAACGACTCAACCCTTTCTGTCGATCAGTGGCTCCCTCTCGAGGATACGTTCCCCAAATCATGGACGTATCAGAACCATGTGATGCGCCGAGCTCTTCAGAGGTGTACCCTTCCGGAGCCAAATTTGTGAATGAGGCGTTATAGTAATACCTCCATGTCGGAATGCCGCTCTTGGACGAAGCCTGGGATACCAGAAGAGCAGGCTTGCGCGTGTCAGCCATGAAACTGATCTTCTGAATCGGAAAGATACTTACACATTGGTAAACGACTTCAGTGTAGACTTGAGTAGCCGCGTGGAAAAGTGATGTTCCACTCGTTTGCTGTATAAACTGGATAATTTGCAAAAGACCTTTCACGAGCTCCAGATCCCCGCCAGTAAAGCCCATGAGGAACTGCGTGAGGACTGGCTCCGTGAAGGACGGAATATCCAGGTGATTCGCAGGTGCTAAATAGGTTCCCTCTTGCCCAGTAGAGCCAATCATGATTGGTACTGGTGCCAGGCCGCCAGCTGCGCGGCTTGGCAGATAGGGGAGCTCCATCTGTGTGAAGTTGTCGTTGACCGGGCTGAAATCTAGGCCATTAGCGACAATCACGTTCCTCATTGTCTTAGCATCTGTCCTTCGGACGCATGCGATCTCGTCGTCTCCAGTGCATCCTAGAAGGGACACAAGAGCCGCCCACGATCGGGGACCAGCATCCCTACCAATAGGACTGACCGTCGCCTGTCCGCTCGATAAACCCGCCGCGCGGAAAGGAGGATTTGTATGGATGGTAGTGACGAGTCGGTCCACAGACGAGCCACCAGATGATTCACCTGAGATAGTGACTTTAGCGGGGTCGCCGCCGAAGGCATGGATGTTAGTCTGCACCCATTCAAGTGCTAGGCGCTGATCAAGAAAGCCGAGGTTTCGGTCCCTGAGAGGTAGTTGGTCAGAGTTGGGGAACCCAAATACTTTTGGAAAATTGTAATTAGCGGCGTGCCAATAAGAGTTCTTGGTTTCGAAAGCCAGGTACCATTAAGGCGGTAGTTGAAGGCTACAACAACGATCCCATGCTCAGACGCAAAGCTGGTCCCGTCAAACGTGGGTTGGCTAGCCGTTCCGGATCGAAGCCACCCGCCGTGGATCCACACCAGGACTGGGCGGCCGGACCTTGAACAACTTGCTGTGGCCCGCGCATAAACGTTCAGGAACAGGCAGTCTTCGCTCTCAGCAACGCCATCCTCAACTACATAATTAGCTTGAGGCACATTAGGGGAAGCAGGGTGCTTCATGAGCATACCGCCATCGAACTGGAAACACTTGCTCCCCCACGCAGTTGCATTTACAAGGTTCTCATCGAAGGAGTCAAACGACTCTGGTGGAAGGAATCGTCTCTCCCCAATTGGCGGCCGCGCGTATGGAATGCCCTGGAACTTGTTCACAACAGCCGTTGACGAAGGTAAGGTCGTGGTCGTGCCGACGATGGTACCCGGCCCGATCACCACTGAAGGGCCCAGAACGGCTTGTGCGGCCGAAGCAAAAAGAAACCAAAAAGCGAGCACTATCTGACAGGTCATCTTGCCGCGCTCGTTGGAAAGTGTTGGGGCGATTGAGTATACTGGGATGCCAGCTCTTCTACTTATAGCTTAAACTATTCCTTCTAAACCGCAATCACAACCTCCAAGCGATGAAAAGGCGCCACAAAGGTGAACGCTATTGAGTACGCAATGTTGATTCATGTTGGGGTTTAACAAAAGTTCTCGCTTCATATAGCCGCACAGCAGCTATTGGAGGAATAGAAGGAAGGATCGCAGTCTAACCTAGTCCAAGACCGGTTGATAGAAAACCAATCACTGTGCCTCAGCCTCGCCGCTCAAATACATCTCGGGCAACTTGAATCATGTTGCGGAGGTTGCCAGGCGCGGGCTTATTCGAGCTGAACAACGTAATTGCCAGTGCTGGCACCAGCTTGATGCTGGGCCGGGCCGATAGCAAGCAGCCCCAGTCGGCTAGACGATACGATCATTCCTTCTATTCCTCCAATAGCTGCTGTGCGGCTATATGAAGAGGCCAACTTTTGCAACATACATGGATCCTTCCCATCAAAACTGGTTTGTACAAGTGACTGGTATTTTCTCGGCTTAAAACTGGACGTATGGAGCTACTCCAGTAGTCTCAAACGCCATTGAAGTCACTTTTGTTACATAGTGCTTTGTTGAAAGATGGGATATGTATGTAGACAAGATAGCATGCAACTGATTGGCATTTGTGCATTTAGTTGTGCATCGGGCAGGTTCAGTGGCGATAAGTGATAAGCAACAAGTGGACGTGCATTACCGTCGCGAACCGGGCGCATTGGAGCTCCAGTCACCTCGGCACGCCCCCTGCGTCACAAGCAGAAAGTACAAAACAAACTGTTAACTTCAGCAATGGACAGTCTTTCGAGTTTAAAATAATTTTTTAATACTATCGACGATGCTTAGCGGTACTTGTGTGCGGTTGGCCATTGTGGCCGCCGTTTTCCTCATCGCGGCAATCTTCCTTGTTCCTCAACTTCCCAGTGTTGGCTACAACGTGCCCACCAACCTCAGCCACAACACCCCTACAACCGACAGCAAAGATGCCTCGACCGGAACCGGAAAGCCGAACGATCCTGCCGGTAAGCCCGCCGAGGGCGCAGATGCGACTACCTCTCTTGCCGTCCCTGCCGCATCGCTTGGCGCGACGGAGGTAAAGGGTTTACCCGCGAAGCCGACCTCTGGCTCGGTTCCAAACACGAAGACGGTCTCCAGGCTCGAAGCTGGTCAGATCCTATCTCCTTTCCGCCTCATCTCTCCGAACGGCCGCTATGAGCTTCGCCTTCTCGATAGCGGATCGCTGTCGCTCCTCGACATGAAGACCGATGCCGAGCTATTCACCTCCGACACCGAGTACTACTGGCCCGTCACATGGCAGGTAGAGCTTACCCAAGAGGGTGTGCTGATGCTCTCCTGGGCTAACGAGACTGCCGCTCCGTATGGAGCGACGCCATGGATATCGAACCTCCTACCCGACTGCGCTTCCGTCGAGACCGGCGCCGAGAAGCCAGTCCTCGAGCTCCTGGACTCTGGCAAGCTACACGTCCGCTCTGGCAGCAAGACGACATGCCTCCTACACCGCGCCGCCGATGACATGGGTCGACTTGCGATTGTCTACACTGGATTCTTACGCACATATATGAAGACATGCAAGGAGCAAAACAACAAGCTTGTCAAGACATGGACTGGAAGCGGCGGGGTCGACATCCACGTCTTTACGTACCTGGAGGATGTGGATCACGACGCCAGCGACCCAGGAGGAAAAGACAGCATCAAGAAGCACCTCAAATCCTGCTTCGGAGACGCTCTGAAGACGGTCGAGGTCAGGAAGCTAGATGAAGTCAGAGAGAGTGCCGTAAAGCCTCCCGACGTGCTGGTCAAGGAGTGCGGTGAGGATAAGCTGAACCACCAGCTCAGTCAGTGGAAAGCGCTGTACCTTGCCAGCCAACAGGTGCAGAGCTATATGATCAAGGAGGGAGTTTCGTACGATTACATCTACAAGGGCCGTCTCGACCTACTCTACTGGGGCGACTCACCCGCGCTGTCATCGCTGAAGGTGCCTGAAAATGGCATCCTCGCGCCCCGCGTCACCCTCGACTGGACTTGGTACGCAATGCTTCACGACGGCGAGCTACGCGCGGGTGTCACCGACATCACAGCTTTCGGCCGTCCCAACGCAATGTTCACGTACCTCTCCCTATATCGCGAGTTCATTCACATGCGAACACTGGAGAAGGAGACAGCAAAGTGGAAGGGCTTCAATACCAAGACTAGGGAGAAGAAGCCCGAGGGCCAGGAGGGATGTACACCGGAGGGAATACTGGCTTATTGGCTCCGGATTAATGGCATCGCCGTGAAGACGGACTGGCGGTTCAAGATGGGCCTATTGCGCAGTGATGGAAAGGTTATCTTTACTTGCCCTGAGGGCAGGGGCTGGCTGTGTCCCGGATTCATTCCGCAGGTCCACGATGATGGGACATTGTTTTGAGCAATGGTATGATGACACGAATAACGAGTGAGTGTGGAAATAGGAAAACTTATAATAGAACGATTTGATATCGACTTACAATTATGTTGTGCCCTCGTGAGTCTAAGTCTATCATGGTTGGACAATTGTGAAACTGTTCAGCACTTCCCACTCGCCAATCGAAGGCGTCTTCGAACAAAAAGCTTCATGGCCTGTGCCTGTCCATCCAGAATTCACTCAATTCCCAAGATATCGAATGGATTCGACGACAGCTTCTTTTCTGGCCTCGTACCAGGCTCAGTCTCGGCCGTCTTCTTCCGCTTCTTCTTCTGACTCTTGTTCTCTTTCGACGGAAGGAGGGCCTCTTCTGGTAAGTCGAGTGTTGCTGTAATTTTTGCCAATGCATTGTTGGCCTTCATGCTCGTCAGCAGAGCAATCGTCCCGTCCACTGATGGATACTCCGTGAGAGAGGGTAGGGTCGTCAGCAACTCGCGCAGCTGCTTCGAGCCTTGGACAGGGTTTTCTGCTTTGATCTCATACATGAGGTCCAGAACCTGGGCTAGGATGCGAAGAGAGTAGAGCGTCGCCTGGACCTGCGCTGACAGATGGACGACGTCCCAGGGAATAAGATTCGAGTCCTTCACGACTGAGAGGACTTGTTTGATGGAGTTCAGACATGCCTCTTGCTTGTCTTCCTCCCGTGCGTAAGCGAGGATCAACTGTAACGCCACGGCTTGCCACGTTGATTTCTCGTGTTGAAGACTGTTTTTGGCTTGATTAAGGGACTTCAAGAGAGAGTCCACCGAGTCTTTAATCCACGGCCGAGGGAGCATGGCGACGTGCCTGCCTTGGTTCGCCCCGAAGTATATCCTCCTGTACTCCCTGACATGAGATACAGCCCCGGGTCGTAGTAGACACGTCAAACTGTATGCCAACTGTCTGATGGAGGCACTGCTATCCCATGCGCTTGCACGGGCTGGGCAGTCCAAGAGAGGCGGTAGGCACATCATGCAGCTCTCTGCGCCAGAGTCTCCTGGAGGCGGCTTCGCGACGCCAGAGTATCCTACGCATTGCAGAACAACCTCTGATAATCTCGCATCGAGTATGGGGTTGTCGATGCCACTGAGTACCGGCACATCACTCCAGTCCGTCGTCTCCAGCGTCTCATATGGGATGCAGAAGCTGCGAAACTCATCCGGATCTGATACGTCCCCTTTGCAGTTCTCGAGGACTTGGGCAAACTTTGGTCGGCTAGACTTGGACAGTTCGTATCCGAACCTTCGCATGCCTTGATCCTCGGGAAGCTGCAAGCGCTTTGCGATATCTGACGGCGAGAACTTTGGGCCCACAAGACTATCCTTCTCGTCGGTAGAAGCAACGTGGAGGTCTCTGAAGAACGCTACGGCGCCCGTCTTCAGATCATGGATTGTCAGGTCCGAATCCGATGTTAAGATAGTGCCCCCATTCCGCAGGACGTCCTCGGCGCAGTACGCATCTGCCTCCCCAGGAACGAGACGGACGAAGGTCGCGTACTTGGTGGTCTCGCAGAGTTTGTCCACAACAGCTGCGACCAGAAACGGTGGCGGCGGTATCAGGGGCTGGTCTCTCTTGGGTGCATCAGTCGGGAACAGGGGAGGCAGCGAGATGCGTGTTGAAGCTATCTGTCGCGCTGGACATCCGTTTGGGAACCCGGAACGATAGACTTTTAAAGATGAAGACACCTTTAGGATCCTCTCCAGACGAACCTCCGACTTTGACGCCGGGAGAAAGCCGTCGAAGTAGATTGCGGCGCTTAAGATCATCAGCTGGTGACGTCCAAAGAGACCTCAATAGCAGGGAAGTTACATGGAAATCTTATGACTTGTGAGCTTTTCCAGCCATGCGATAGTTGTTCTTCCAAGCAGGTCATACGAGGGCAATCCGGGAGTGCTTCTTGTGCAAAGATGGTAGATGTGGTACGCCAAGGCAGGGCCATCGATCACGACCCTGTCGCCGTCAATAGGCCCCAATACTCCATATGGGGAGAGGTGGTTTAGAAGATGAGGAATGCCCATGATAGTGAACAGCAATTTGATCTGAACATGTATTAGAAATGGGACTAAGTTTAATCCATTTGGCAGGCCCTTCTCATTCAATGCTGCAAGCAAGTTGCTAGCTTTTTCAAAAAATATCTTCCACTGACCTTAGTTTTGCAAGGTACGTCTAATGTGCATATTCCGTATCTAAATTGTCAGAACTGCACAAGTATACCAAGGCCAGCGGCAGCGCAGAAAGAAGACTGTTTAGTTCGGCATCTTCAGAGACAGCCTCGGAAGTAGCATGGCTTGTTGCGACACTCGTGGAAGTGACGCAGCAGAAACTCTCAGTTCCTGGTGGAACCTGAGTGGGACAGGAACGCATCGCGGGGTCCCAGTGCCTTTCACACGGTGTAGCTAGATTTCTGTCCAGTTGGGCTCTCTCCGGCCCGGATAAATACAGTGCCTTAGAGGAGCCCCCACTCCCTCTGCCTGCTCCGTGTCCGCCCTTCGGCTTAACCCCCCTGGTCAACTCAATTTTTTCCTTCGCAGCCATAAAAGCTTCCCACCTCACGAAGCCAAACTCTTCGTCCTTCGCATTCCTCTTCCCAAAATGCGCGGCACTCTCATCTTCGCGGGCTCTTCCTGCCCAGTCCTCACTACTCAGATATGTGAGAACCTGGGCATGGCTCCTGCCGAGGCGGAGCTTACCCAATTTTCCAATGTAAGCTGAGTGCGATCGCTATTGCCGTCGATACCAATGGCGGGAGACAAGGAAAGCTGCGCATGCTGCTTTCTCTCTCCCACGAGGCCTAGTCGCGGCTGGCCTCCCATACTGCCTTGATTGGATCCAATTCCAACCTTGCTTGGACTCCCTGTTGAGGCTGACCGTCACATAAAGGGCGAGACGAGCGTACGAATCTTGACTAGCGTCCGAGAGAAGGATGTCTTCGTCGTCCAATCTGGCAGCGCCAAGGTCAACGACACCATCATGGAGCTGTTGATCATGATCTCGGCCTGCAATGGCGGCTCGGCCAACAAGATCACTGGTATGCTTTCCCCCCCCGTCCCATATTCTCAATCTCGTCATTTCTCTAATAAGTCCTGCCTTCAGCTGTACTGCCGTACTTTCCCTACAGCCGCCAGTCCAAGAAGAAGTCACACCGTGGTGCGATCACAGCGAGAATGCTTGCGAATCTTCTCGGCGTCGCTGGCGTCAAGCACGTCATCACCGTCGACCTCCACGCGTCCCAGATGCAGGGATTCTTCAAGTGTCCTGTCGACAACCTTCACGCCGAGCCGTTGATTGCTAGGTGGATCCGTCACAACGTGCCCAATTGGAAGGAGGCTGTCGTCGTGTCCAAGAACGCTGGCGGAACAAAGCGTGTGACATCGCTTGCGGACGCGCTGAAGCTCAACTTTGGCATGGTCACTACGGAGAAAAACCGAAAGGGAACCAACATGACCTCAAGCATGATCATGCACCACCTGGATGGTCTAGATCGGGAGCCAGTGCTGGAGGGCAGTCGCCAGCCCGCATCGGCGCGGCCATCCACGCCTCCTCCCGTTGGTCGTGCTGCTAGGGTGAGAGCCGACGCCACAGGTTCTCCCCAGCACACCAGCGCCCCGCGTTCCTACCCTCGTTCCATGGATGACCGGCCTACAACGCCTACGCAGTCCAAGCCTGGTGATGGCTCTGTTGACGAGGAGGAGAGCGATGCCCAGTACGACGACCGTCGTGCTCACGAGGTCACGCACGGACGACTGGTTCAGGGTCACATAGTGGATGACGACTATCCATCGCCGGCTGCATCGACTGTGAGCGGCAGCGTCCGTGACGACGATCCCATGGCCATGTCCCATGCCTCCTCCTTCTTTGCCCCCGAGCCTCATGCCCTGGGAGGCTCCGGAGATGCCGCCCCAGAGTCGGACGAAGAGGACGAGGTCTTGAAGGACCCCAAGGTCGAGCATATGATCACCCTCGTCGGCGATGTTAAGAACAGAACTGTCTTCATTGTGGACGACATGATTGACAAGCCGAACTCATGGATTGCCGCGGCCGAGACCGTCGTCAAGAAGGGGCATGCTAAGAAGGTTTATTGCATGGCCACTCACGGTGTCTTTGGCGGCGATAGTCTTGAGCAGTTGCAGAAATGCGAGTGCATCGACACCATTCTGGTGACTAACAGTTTCCCCATCCCTGAGGACCAGGCCAAGCGTGCATCCAAGCTCGTTGTTCTGGACCTCTCCTTCCTCCTTGCCGAGGCCATCCGTCGAAACCACTACGGCGAGTCGATTTCCCCCCTGTATCAACACATTCTGGACTAGGTCCAGCGAGAGAGCGTAGAACCTGGGATTGTTCTGGTTGCAGTTCACTAGATACACAGCTTCTTTCTTGCCTTTCTGTTTTGACTGGCTCAGGGATTTTTGAGTCCAGTTTGTGTGGCATACTTGGGGGCATATCAGCGCGGCGTTCTGGGCATGACACGGCACACAGTGGAACAGCCAGATGACGGCACCAAAAATTAAGGGAGACTCAGGGTAGGTCTATCAAAACCCACGGTCAGTACTAGACATGAATGATGAAATCTTGATACCTTCAACCGGCCGCTACCTTTATGGTGTGTGTGCGCGTCTGCGGCTGATCCGTTTTTTTCTTTCCTTTCTCTCTCATACGGAACCGAGTGGGATTGATATCCGCTCGGTTCCGTCCCAGCGTTGCTGTCTTCTTGACAGCAGGGGCTTTGCTCATCCCACAGCATTGCCTCTAACGGACCGTTGGTAGATTAATCTTCGATTCAAAGAAGATCCCTCTTCCGGCTGTCTTCTGACAGTCACCACCTTCGGGCTCGGGTGGGGGAGGGATAAGAGAAACCTTCGAACATCTTTTCAAAGTGACTTCAGTGTTTCGGACGATGCAGTGGGCCATGACGTTGCCAGAATTCAACTCTTTCGAGTAACTACAGCTAGACATAGTAATACAATACATACATGCTCAACTTTTTTTGGTCTTGGTTCGTCTTGAAGTCGTAATATCGTCCCAAGCGCAGTTTCCTCCGAGCAAGCAATTGACACTCTTGACGCTTTTGACACAAATTTTTTTGGTTCCCCTTCTTGCTTGTTGCTACCGTCAGGTTTGAAGTACAGCATCCAATCCACTTTTTTATGCGTGCGTGATATGAGCAGAAGCCGGAAACCTCTACTCAAACAACTCCCATCCGTGGATCTCGTCCAGCAGCTGCAGGTACGAGCTCTTCTCGCCCTCCTCCTTGACGGCGGCGACGTCTTGGAGCAGCTCCTCGTTGAAGTGGCCCGAGCCCGCGGCCTTGATGATGCGCCACGCGCGCCGGAACTCGTCGCGGATGGCGACAATGCCGTTGTGCGTGACCGTGCGGGCGACATTGTGGTCGAGCTCGAAGGGATCCTCAATGGCGAATAGGTAGCGGTGGCGCACCTCCTTGACCTCGCCGTTCTTGTTTGCCGTCGCCGTGGTCGTGGCGGCCTTGCCAAGACCGGGCGACGCGACGTCTTGGGTGATGGCGCCTTCGGCGGTTGGGGTCGGGGTAGGCGGGTCGATGGGGGACTTCAGAGCCATTTGCGGCGCAGGAGGGTTGTCAGTGCTGGGGGAGTTCGCGGCAGCATTGGGGCGATACTCGATGACAGTCTTCGCGCCGGTCCAGCCCTTGTCAGACTTGGAGAGGAGGCCGCCGGGGGTGCGGATGCTGAGGACGTCGCGGCCCCAGTCGTAGCCTCGGCCCGGATACGTGCTCATGGAGCCGTTCTGAGCGTAGTACTCGAAGAAGCCCCTCAGGAGCTGGCCGAGGGCGTCGCGGTTACCGTTGAGCTGGTTCATCTGGGCGAGGCGCAGGATCTCAGCCTCGTCTCGCCAAAAGCCGACGAAGTGGCCCCGGCACATGATGTTCTCGTCAAGGCCGGTGGGCGACATTCCCTCGGGCGGCGGCGGGGGCCCGAGGGCCTGAAGGTTCGGGCAGACGAAAGGCTGGACGATGTTGACGAGGTAGTGCAGCATCATCAGGACGTAGCCATAACTGCTGAGTGTTCCGCGGTAGGGCGTGTTGATGCCGCGAACCTTGGCCCAATGCTTGATAAATAGGACAAGAGGCCGGACGCGGGGATCGGTGTGGGAGTAGCAGCGCAGGAGGAGGGTGTTGTGCAGAGCGAGGTGGGCGGCGAAGTTGATGTCACACTGGACGCCGACGCCGTTCTTAGGGAACTCGAGCTTGTCTTTGTAGGGGTCGCGAGGTTGGTTGACAGCCATCTTGGCGGGATCTTTGAGGTCGCGCATGCGCTTGATGGTCTCTATGTTCTGCTTCGTGACGGGGATGACGTAGTCATACTGCGAGTCTTGGACCATACTTTCCCGCATGGGACCCCGAAGAATTGAAATGTATTCTCTTATGTCACTCTCGAGACTCGGGTCGTAGAGTTGATGTTCAACAGCCTTATCCAACTCAAGGGCAAGCTGCAGGCTCTTGTGACGACGTGCGACGGCGGCAAGGCTGAGTGCTCCTTTAGTGCTATCGACGAACTCGCGGACCTGGGCACGAACGGTGCTGGGCCAGATGCCGGCGGTGTATCTGTCGATGATAATCTGTCTTGCCGCCTCTGCATCGCCGTCGTTGCGGGGCCGGAGGTTTGACAGAATCTTCAGAGTTCTCGCGTGATACCCAGCAGCGGCTTCATGCTGGCTCTGCTCGAGGGTGAGCAGCTGCGCAGTCGGGAGCTTCTTGAGCTTCTCGAGGTGTAACTGCAGTTGCTTCGTGTAGGTAAGGGGCTCAATGCCGAAGTGAGGCTGGTTTTGAAGCGTCTTCCATGATGCGATCAACATACGGGTCGAATCCTCAGTGTCCTCGGCGCTTCCAATGGCGGCGTCTGACTCGCACAGCATGACGATTCGTTCGCCCTCCATCTGCGCATAGACACCCGCCAGAGAGCGGTAGTTGGGGACATTCGGAAGCTGCTTGAAAGAGAGGGAATGGTAGTTCGAAAGTCTGCGCTTCAGTTCTGGGTCGCGAAGACCTTTGTAGAACGCTTCGCAGACTTTGTTGAGTATGGCATAGTCCTCTTCTGCAAGTTCCCGGCAGTTCGAAAGCGTGACATCCCGGCCTCCCATCTTTCTCAAAGTCCTCTTCGCAACGTTATAGTAAGCGGAAAGGGACTGGTTCTCGGGCTGGCGAATCGTTGGCAGCCTATGCTCGTTTGTAGATTCAGTAAGGGATGAACCTTCCGGCTTCTGGCTAGTCGGATCGTCGGTTGACTCGTCGGTAACCTCCTTGACGTGAGACTCAATTTCCGCATTCTCGTCCTCCTCCGCAACGTCAACATGTTCGGTGTCCACAATGCCCTTCTCCCACTTTTCGCGCTCCTCTAGTAAATCCAGTCGCAACTTCTCGGGCGGCCTCTCGCAAAGCTTGATGATGGGCACTCTTGTTCGAGTGAGTAAGCGAGCTCCAAGGCCGAGGTCAAGAAACGCCTTCTCGATGAGCCTAGGGATCGGGGAGCCGGCCGCATCTGGTTGAGGCAGCGAAAGGGGGGAAACTAGGCCGAGGTCCATGTCCGATGCTTTTGTTGCGAAGCCAGAAGAAAGACTGCCAAAGCATTTCAATTGCACCGAGGGCGGAGGGAAGTTTCCCAGACCGTTCTGAGTCACCTCATACTCGGTGATGGCAGCCCGACAAACCTGCTCAATTTTGATGCGGAATGCCTCCTTCTCAGCAATTTCTCCTCGTTCAATTTCAGCGCCCGCAACAAGCGTGCTGCAAAGCCCCTCTAGATAGGCAGCCTGGTTCTCCAACTCCTCGGGCCGAACCTGGTGGTGTTGACTCCGGGGACTATAGAGCGTGCCATGGTTGTTTCGCGGATAACGCGGCGAACCATTGTCTTGCCGGCCATTGAGGTGCTGGTCTTGATGATTTCGGGATGCGTCAGAATGCGCAAGATGATGGTGTCCGTTTTGTCTGGGTGAATGAGATTGGCCACCGCCGTAGGGGCCTGTCGTCTGACTGGGTCCATGATGGGGGCCTGGATGAGGATGGTATCTGCCTCTGTTGGCATAGAGCCCAGGATTATGGGACGGGTAGTTGGGTGAGCCTGAGAACGGGCGTCCATGTTGCGTAGGCGGCGACGGGCGAGGATCGATCGGAATGGATAACTGAGCGTTCATCTGGCGCCTCTGTGCCTGGTTTGGACGCTTCCTGGCAGCCTTGGGTGAGGCAGGAGGCTTGCTGTTAAAAGGAATCGAGCCACCAGACGGATCCTCAGAGTGAAAGGCATTGGGGCCATTCATATTCATGGAGCCATCGCTAGAGAGAGGTGCAGTCGCTCGCGGGGCATCAGGGAAGTGAGCTGGGCCGGTTCCCGTGGTTCCGTTGGTGAGAATCAGGTTTCGCAAGTGATCCTCAAGGCCATTGGTATGAGAGCCACTGGACTGGTCAAGACCAGATCTTCCCGGGCTGTTTTGCATGGTGATAGTTCCTTCGAGTCCGTTCGCATGTGAGGCAGTGGATTTGGCCACGGTTAGGGAAGGGTATGTTGCTGTGGGGGTGGATGAGCAATCATGTGTGCCGTTGGATAGTGGCGCCAGAGAGAACCTACCTGGTCAGACGCGTGCAGGACGCATGTTTTGGGGAAAAGTGAAGATTCGCGATGTGATGGAGTGCTGGCGGGGGAGGGTGTTCTAAAATGGAGCAGTTCGGCATCAGCTCCCGATTGCTGATCACCTCAGAACTGTAAGGTGAGGTTGTGTAAATGAAACTGACAGTAAGTTGAAAGCTGTACGTGGGGGAAGGTACATTCTGCGATGAGGGGCTACAGTATGAACCCAATCCACACCGTGGCTCTCTGCCCAGCACAAGCGCGCTCTGTCACTGTACGGAAACTGGCCTCCGCTAACTGTACTTGGATGTGGAACAGCTGCAAAGTCGAGACCAATAATCCGTGGAATGAATTGGATTGTTTGGCATGCACAACTCTTAAGTCTATGGATTGATTGAATTTCAAACTGTACATATCAGACACTGCAAGGGAGCGGAGTAGGTTACCGAACTCACTATTGACAAGACAACCAGGGACGGCTCCAAGCATACACGCCTTTCCACTTCTCTTTCTCTCTCTCTCTCTCTCTCGCTCTCGCTCTCGTGACGTCTATTTCTCTTATCCCTTTGCCCATACTGTCGTGTCCCCAAGGAACCGTGTCTCCTTACAATTTCTTTTGTCAGTTGTTTGCTGTGCGAGGTACCGCTGTTCATCAAGAAAGCCCGCTCAGTAGGTTTACAAGCCAGCTTAGGAATAAGCGGGAAGATAATAGTTGAGTACATAATACCTTCAAGAGCAATCATTTTCTAGATTTCTCTGCCCCTCGGTCGAGTAAACTTTGTTCAGCGCAGCATCAAATTAAAGATCGTGCTCACTAATATGAATCCTGGCGGCTGCACCTTGAGCTCCATGTACGGCTATGACGTCCTGGTGAGGCCGAAGGCACCTGTGGACCCCCTTCCCGATGCGGCTGCCATTGGCGGATTTGCCATTACTAGGCACTGTGACAGACCCGCCAGGAAAGTACTGCGAACCTGCAGCCCCAAAGCCTCATGTACTTTGCGCCAGACTTTTGCCGGCAGAGTACAGCCGCACTGGTACCTCGACCAGGCAGCCCACCGCCTAGCTTTTCTGCAAGCTTCCCAAGCTGACTGCGTCTGGCCTGGTTTCGGGGGGCGCCTTCCAATCAACCTTTCCCGCTCGCACCTCGTCCCTACTGTGGCTCTCTACTCATTGTCATCGCCTCGACTACTTTCTTTTCGCGATCTCATTCATATTCATCCATTCGTGGATTTTTAGCCATCGGCCGAGGCATTTCAGCAGGTTTTTCGGCGAGCATTGATATTCGCAGCTCAGTCGCATGAGCGCGCCTATTGCCATCCGCTCTTGCCTATTGCGCCGCAGCGGTTCCTCTCGTCGTCACGCCTAGTTCTTCCCCTCAGCCTTGGGCTTGACAGGAAACACGGGAGGTCATCGTGGAAAGAACTTCGCGGACCGGCATCTTCAAAGAAATCCGCCGAGCTCAGGGCATTCCCCTCGTGCGCTACAGCTACATCATGAGCGCGCCTCCGCCCGGCCTACCAAACGGCCAGAATTCGAATGGCCAGCAACCCCAGCAGCCTGCGCAGCCCGGCCAGCCACGCCCCCCTCCGATCAAGCGAAGACCTCGCGGCGATCCCCTCGTTGCCCGCAAACGACCCGGAGCTCCGCGACCAGCTGCCTCGCGGCCCCCGCCGGGGGGTCTGCAGACTGCGTCGGGAGCTAGGCCGTCACCCGGCGCATCGGGCCACCATGGCCTACATCGACCCGAAACCGAAGAAGATATCAAGGCTAGACGAGCCGCAAACGGTGGCTGGCTCGATCCCGCGCCTCAGAATGTGAGGGAGTTCAAGATCGTGACGACGAAGAAGGCGTTGAGGGACGGCGTACGCCACCACGTCATGAAACTCTCGTCTGCCAAAGCCGACCTCGAAAAGAGAGGCATCGATCCTACAAACCAGGAGGAGTTCACCCGACCTGTTACTCTTCAACGACGCGACCCGCGCCAACCACCTCCGGGTCGCGAAGTGAAACAGGAACAAGCCGAGCCGCAGCCAGTCGACGAAAAGGAAGCGGAACGACTAGCACAACTCAAGGCCGAGCGTGAAGCCGTTCGGGCTGTTGAGCTAGCAAAGAGTGCGCCTAGCCTGAAGGACCCCAACGCTGACAAGAAGCCAAAGCCAAAGGAAAAGGAGAAAGACGTCCAGTTCCATCGACAACCCAGATCGGAGAAGGAGAAGAAGCAACAGGAATTACGATACGAGGAGGCACTTCCTTGGCATCTAGAGGATGCTGATGGCAAAAATGTCTGGGTGGGATCTTATGTTGCTCCTTTGTCGGAGACCACAGTCTGCTTCGTTGCTACTCGCGATGGCAAGTTTGCTGCTGTCCCCTTGGAGAAATGGTACAAATTCACCGCCAAGCCTCACTTCAACACCATGAGGCTCGAAGAAGCCGAGGCTTTGATGAGCAAAAAGACAGACATTGGGCGTTGGTACATGCGGGATAAGCAGAAGAAGAGCGAGCAAGAAGAGTGGGAGGCCACAAGACATGCCCTCTATGGCCCCGCCAGAATCAAGACGGAAAGTAGCACCTTCAGAGCGGCTTCCAGGGAAGAAAAGTTGGATCACGATCAGATTGACATGGAGGGCGACGAGTTCCAAGATGACGATGAGAATCCTGGCTTGGAGCAGGACAACGACGAGGAGTACAAGGAGGCAAATGACCGCATTCGTCGCGACCAGCTTGGCGCCAACCTCTTCGGCGAGGCTGATGAACGCCGAGTTGAGAAGGAAATGAACGAGCTGAAGAAGGCCGAGGAGGAGCGCCGTAAAGAGGGTAAAAAGACCCAGAAGGCTCTCATCAAGCGAGAGAAGGAGACCATCTACCAGTCCGACTCCAGTGGCTACGATCCTTTTGAATCCTCATCGGTAAGGTTCCCAAAGTACTCTAGAAGTCTCAACTCGACTAACTGCATCTGCAGAGCGAAGATGAGTCCGATGAAGAGAAGCAGAAGGAAGAGAACAAAGACAAGGAGAAAGAAGACGAGAATAAGGACAAGGATCCAGACTCAAAGGACAAGACAGCATCGGGCATCTCCTCCAAGGGCAACACAACTCCGTCTGGCCGACAGAAACACACAGATGCTCTTAAGAAGGGCAAGTCTTTGAAGCGTCCAGGATCTCCCAACCTGTCCGAATCTAGCGGCAACGAGTCATCGCGGAAGAAGCTTAAGAAGCATGCTGCGGCTTCAGTGCACCAAAGTCGATCGTCGACGCCTTCGGCTGGCCTGAAGAGCAACTTGGGCAAGGGGGCCATGAGTGATGGAGAAGCGACCGGGGGTGAGATGTCAGATGGTCAGTTGAGAAAGAAGAAAATCAAGCTCGTTGGCAGCGGGGCGAGAGGTACACCTGTCGGTTCGAGGGCCGGTAGTCCCATGCCCGCCACATCTGGTAAGCATGCTCTTCAAATATTCCCTCTGCGATGTATATGCTGACAGTGTATGAAGGTTCCAAGCCCGGTTCGCCTCTCCCTGAAGGTTCTCCGGCTCCACGTGCTGGATCGCCCAACGGGCCTATTGAGGCCTCCGAGATTGTTGACGCCCTGCCCGAGTTGCCTGGTGGCATTAGCATCGGCAACCTCATGAGGAGGTTCCAAGGCCGTATTGGTGACGGCCCTGGTCAAATGGACCGCAAGGAGTGGATCAAGCTCGTCAAAGCAAACTGCGCTTACGGGCCCGACAAGATCCTTCGACGCAGGGCGACCTAGGGGCCATACGATTGGGGGTGTTCTGCGAGGCCGCACTGATATGGGTGCTTCCCACAGGTTGTCCAGCTCTGTAGGGTTCAACTTCGTACTTGAGTAGTAGTAGATGACGTGAGCAGCTGCTGGATGTTAGTCAGACATTCAACGTTGCTAAGCTCCTAGACATAGAGCTTAGATCATCTATGCAGCGTTTCAATGCAGATGATTTGGGCTATAGAAACTGATAAATAAGCCTGAGATGGTGGATCATGCTTTGTGGCCGATAATTACCCCTGACTCTATACGTGATCGTGGGAACCTTTCATATTGGAAGTTTCTTCAGACTTTCAAATGGAATAGAGCCTGGCTGTAATGACTACCATCACCAGACGTGGATTCGGGTACTTCGTGATCCTCAACCATGGCTTGTCTTTAGGCACCTCACTATTCATCCATCTGCCAAGCATAGTCCAGCCCCTTATTCCTTTCCCTACGATTGATCGCTTTGAACCTTTCCCCTTCGAAGCCATTGCTTCTGTCCACGCCATCCCACCTGTACCCTGGCTTGATACCATAACGATTCGGCGGCGCAGCGCCATTGTAGATCGGCCTCTTTTTCCCCTTCTTGCCCTTCGCGCCACCACCGCCCGTCTTCTCACTCATGAACTGCGCCATGGGGTCGTTCCAGCGCTCCTGGTCCTTGAGCTCCCTGTTCATCTCCTCGTCATCCGCCGTCCGCGCAAATGTCATGAGCTTGGCGTCCTCGAGCGCCTCCCTGCGCTTCCGCGCCTGCTCAAGCTGCACGTCACCCTTGGGCGCTAGCTTGGCCTGCCGCTCCTTTTCTTCTGCTTCCGCCGCCAGCTTGCGGGCCTCGGCGCGCTTCATTGATACGTCGACTCGTCGGCCCGTGGCGTCGCGATAAACAGTCTCCTCTTCTTTGCCGTGCTTCCGTAGCTTCGCGAACTCGGCCTCCTCCGCCTGCTGTCTGCGACGCAGCTGCGCCGACACGGCGGCGGCGCTCTGCAGGCCCGCGTGCGTGCCGTCACTCATCTTGATCACCCCTGCCTCTTCACCGCCCTCGATGACGGGCATCTCGTCGTCTGCTTGGGCGGCTCGGGCATTTTCTGCCGCCGCCGAGGCGAGGATCGCGTCGGCTGCCGCAGCGCCGTCATCGTCTTTTGGTTTTGTAGTGCTGCTGGCACCGGCGGCGACAGTCTTCCAGTTTGATTTCTTCGTGCGTCGGAATTCTGCTGATGTCCCTGCTACGAGCGCGGGTCCCGACTCTGCATCGTCGTCTTGTGTTGTGGAGTTGCCCCAGCCGCTGTCGTCGTCGTCGTCTGCGATGATGAGGCCTTGGTTCTCGGTGGCTTGCTTGCGCTTGCGCTTCTTGGTGGGTTTCGGATCTGCTACTAGGTAGCGCGTCGCTAGGTATGATGACAGATCGGAGGGCATGATCGCAGGCTTTCGCTCCCGGCAGAGGGTTTTGCAAAGGGGTATCGCGGGAGTTGCGTTGGTCTCAGCTATACAATTTGATGTTCAACAATTGCTAAATGTTCCCAGCTATCGACATCACTGCACATCTACGACGCACGGACGTGGTAGCCCGACCAGAAAAGCAGGGGCCGTGGAGCAACAAGGGGTCCCCTACATCCCCCGTCTTCCGCGAATGGGCATGCATGTGACGGGGCGCTAGTCACTTATCAGAGGGTCGAGTGGTCTCCCACGTCGAACCTGACAGTGACGGCTTCTGGGAGGTAATTTGGCCATGCTGCAGCGTACCTTGTGGCATCGTCATGGAACAGTCTCTGTACGTCGTCACTGCCGAATATGTCTGGTACAGACATCATGATTGCTGACCTCTATTGTAGCTTTAGACTGAGCCGACCATCCGTTTATTCCTGCGATCCACCCACGGGCCCCCCCTAATGATTACGACGCCCAAAGCCATCCGGCTGCAATACGAATGCTAGAACAGCATACACCTTTCGACGTTTGACCGGGATAATAAATTCCCACTTTCGACAAGACCAAGGCAGAAGGGTATAAGTCGGTCTCGACTGATACGCCTCACCGAGCCTTCCTCATGCAGTCACCGGACAACGATGCATCGCCCACCGATCCGCTCCAGGCGCTGCCGATGGCGGCATCCACTGCGAGACTGCCCAAGAGGCAGTCCGTACCGGAGGGCCAGCCGCTATCGCAATCCGAAGTCAGCCTGCCGTACCGGAGATCGAACCCCTCAGTTGCGCCGCTCTTCGCTTCGACACTGACGCCCCCGGGATCGCGATCGGGTTCTCCTATGGGGAGGGGCTCGCCGGGTCGCCCGCTCTCCGGTTCGGTCTTTGGAGGCCCAGCAGGGCGGTCACTCATCGAGAGCGCTTCCGACAGCCCAGGTGACCCGCGTAATCTCATCATGAAGGCGTACGTACCCCACGTTGCAATCTACGCCTCGCCAGACACGGAGGAGCTGGCAAAGGACAAAGGGTTCAAGAACGGCGTGTGGGAACTGTTGCGCCCATTCGGAGAGCAGATCCAGGGCAAAGTCACCATCAGAGACAGCAACGGTGCCAGTAGATCGTGGGAGGACTACTCTATTCGATTCGTCAAGTTCGGAGACAACATTGAGCACCCAGACGCTGGCGGTGCGAAAGGAGCACAGTCTGCCGTTGCCAACGGGCAATCCGGGTCTTCCTCAAGCTCAAGGGGCAATTACGAGGATGTTGAGAGCGTGGTCGACCGCCACCTCTCTTATGCTGAAGAATCGTTTCTGAACGCGCCGCACCATGGTTTGACAAGACAGGGTCTGGATGTTGAGGCCACTTCGCCCTACTACTCATTATACCTACGTAGGCTGCTGTCTGGCATCCCTGTGTCACCTCACGAGACTTTTGCGCATCCAGTAGCCTGCGTGATTGCCATCAGCTCACGCAGTCCATCGCCTATAGAGGACCTTCGCAAGTTATACAACGACACGAGCTCCGGCGAGAACAAGTTGCCTGTCTGGGTAGACGGTGATTACCTTCGGTACTATGTTCTGGTACACGACGAGGAGCGCGACGACATCACGCGATCACTCGCTCTTTTCGATCAAATGAAGCGCCACCTAGGCCTGCATTGTCATTTGCTACGGTTACGAAGCACACAGAGCGCCGAGACCGACGATGATAGCATACCGCTACCCAGGAGTGACTGGATGTCGGCGGCCGAAGAGATGGCGGATATCCGGCACAGCGAAGACCAGGAAGATTTTGAGGATCCAACGAGGTACATTTTTGAGTCAGACGCGACGGCGATTCGGACTTTTGTGAGGGAGATGGTGACACAGTCCATTATTCCCACCATGGAGCGGCATGTCTCGCTCTGGAACGATCAAGTGGCATCTCGTAGGAGAGGTATTACGGGAAGATTCATGAATCTGTCGAGGAAGTGGGGCGGTTTCGGCAGCAGTTCACGGAACTCGGTGGTGGGAGGTGGCAGCTCGTCCAGCGCCTACGACGCACTCGGTTTTTACCGTCCAGACGCATCTGAGGCGATAATGCGGAAACTCGCCGATTTCGCCTTCATGTTGAGGGATTGGAAACTGGCACACTCAACTTATGACCTGCTGAGATCCGACTTCAGCGACGCTAAAGCATGGAAGTATCATGCAGCAGCCAACGAGATGGCTGCCGCTAGTCTTCTTATCATGCCGCAGAGCTTGCCCTCCAAGTCTCGCGCCGAGACGATCGACCAGATGTTGGAGGCGGCATTCTATTCCTACCACACACGTTGCAGCTCCCCCTTTGGCGCACTGCGGTCCCTGACTTTGGGTATTGAGCTTCTGCGACTCAGGGGTGGAAGCAGCGTCGACGATGCTGTGAGATGGGGCATCCGCCTTCTCGACTCGAAGATCCTTGGTCCCGTCGGCGACGCTCTCATGAAGGAACGTTTAGCAGTCTGCTATGCCTCGAAACCAGGCATCGGCTCCGGCGCATGGGGTCATCGGAAGCGCAAGTCGTCTATGTGGTGCATCCTCGCTGGAGAGGCTTGGCATACCCAACAAAAGTACATCCAGTCCCAGCGGTGTCTCAACGAGGCCGGGCGGATATACTCTGAACTACCGCACGAGAACGGCATCTCTAAGTTCAACCTTGCCAACGAGTTTGTAAGTGGCCTACAGCATGACCTTGACGAGAAGCTCGACGTAGAGGACGAGGGCAACCAATCGCCTTCGCAGGACGTGGAGGAGCTCGTTTTTGACGAGGAGAGCGAGCCCTTGGATCTTAGATCGAGGAGGGCAAGCATGATGGGGCGTGGGGTGGCGCCGGCGGCGAGCCTTGAGACTGCGCCGCTGCATGAGGTGAAGTCGCCTGTCAAGGAGAAGGCAGACGGATCGATACAGGATGAGTTCGGCTAAGAAGAGCGCGGCGACGACGGAGGGGGTCACGGCGCTCGATGTGTAAAGTGGTAGATGCGTTTATGAAGCGGATTAATAGCATTATGCCTGCCTTTTTGCCTGTCGCAGAGCTGTGATTATCTGTATCAAAGCTTTCGTCCCTGAGGCCTAGATCAAACCGAGGGACAGATATGGAACGTACTCATATGGTACGGGATTTTTCAACCATTCCATTTCTTTTGCTTTCTCGTTTACATCCATAAGTTGGCTGCATCCCGAGACTGAGGTTCGAGTTGATGCGGGTGACATTCATTCGGTTGTCAGTACCTTAGCTTTCAGGTACGTACCCCACAGCAGCTCCTGCTGGGGACCCTTGAGTCCGTCCCACAGTGATCTCACAGGCAACCGATAGGGGGAGAACATCGGTAGGTGCGCGCCGATAAGGCACTACCCCCACCGTTCCGCCGAACAAGCTGCGACCTTCCACTGGCATCGTTGGAAAGTCACAAGATTTATCTTCCTCGACCTGCGATTTTCCGGGATCCCCCCAAAGCGATATCTCTTCGCCTGCTGAGGCTACTCATTGCCGAAGTATACTTTGTTTGCACGGCTTCATCGGTCGAGCAGACGTCGAAACGAGGAACCCCAAGAAACTTACAGAACCAAAGACGAATCGAAACCTCGACGTCACTCGGCCAGGATGGGAGAGCTGGCAGATTTCCTCGTCGAACGAGACGAGAACTTCCGCAAGTATGAACTTTTCGCCCTTCACAGGTCCCGCTCTCAAAAACAGCTCACTCACATGGCATTACCTGTTCAGAGCCCGTTTACCCGCCCTTTACTCCGACTTCCGCACCCAACGAACCCTCAATCCGGATGGCTTCCAGGCCAACGTCAGCGCCTGGCGTCAGGCTCTCGCCCGCGCCGCCTGGGAAGGCAGGATAGCGTCCCAGGTCTCGGCCCCAAACCTTCTAGTCGTAAATGTAGACGAGCAGCTCGTGCGTTCCCTCGAAAGCAAGCAATTCGGCCGCCCATTGGCGCTGGGTACGGTCGTCAGGGAGGCGGTAGGCGAGAAGGATCTATACCCGCTCAAGGAGTTCCTGAGCGCCAAGGAGAGCATATATGCGGGGAAGACATGGGCACAGGTGCCGTGGAGCGTGGTATCGTGGGCGGCAGGGCAGCTGGGGTTCAGTGGGAAGTCGATTTCGGGCGAGGACAAGCTGCCACAGGGCCGGTTCGTGGTCATCAAGAACGTCGAAACGACTGCAAAGAGCCTCGCCGAGAAAGTGACTTCGTCCGACACAAGATTCGACAGAACGTATACAAAATCCCACTTCCGCAAGACCTTCGCCGACACCCTGGTCCAAGATCGCAGGCTATCCGAGACGGACGTTGACATCCTCCTCGTCTTCCTCTCGCGGGACAAGGGCATCGTGGTCTACGACGGACAGGTGGTCAAGATCAAGGGCACCACAGACGAGGACGAGTCCGCTATAACGGAGGAGGACGCGGCCGTCTCGTCGCTCAAAGAGCTCATCGCCGATATGAAGGAACAGACGGAGCTCCTCATGCGACGCGTCGATGATCTTACGGCCGCGGCCAAGGAGGCCGTCTCGAAGAAGAACAAGGTCGCAGCGCTGGCGGCGCTCAAGTCGAAGAAGATAACCGAGGCATCGCTGGAGAAGCGCTTCGCTACGCTGAACCAGCTCGAGGACGTCGCGTCGCGGATCCAGGAGGCCAGGGACAACGTGCAGCTCGTCAAAGTCATGGAGGCGAGTGCCGGCGCGCTCAAGGGTCTCAACGAGAAGGTCGGCGGTGCGGACCGCGTGGGCGATGTCGTCGACAGGTTGCGCGAGCAAATGGGCGAGGTCGACGAGGTTGGCAAGATCATCTCCGAGGCTGGCGCGGCGCCGGTGGATGAGTTCGAGGTCGATGACGAGCTGGAGGCTATGGAACGCGAGGAAAGGGAGAAGGAGGAGGCGGTGGAGCGGGCCAAGAAGGAGGCGCAGGAGGCAAAGGAGGCCGAGGAGACGCGGCGCCGGCTCGAGAAGGAAATGGCGGAGCTGCGGCCGCCTGTCACGGAGCCCTCGGAAAAGGAGGGCACGAGGGAGAAGACGCAGACACCGACGGGGGAAACGGCGGACAGCTTGGAGAAGCTGGAGCTCGGAGAGCGGGAGAAGCCATTGCCCGCGCAGTAGATGGCCACGTTTATAACATTGGGGGTTCTGGGGTTTTAGATCACGGCGTTTTGGTTTGAATTGAAGTAAGCTTTGTGCGGCTTACATCCGATGGGTATAACAACGAAGCGTCATGCCATGATATCGCAACGCAAAATCACTGTGCTTCTTGACTGCTTGGTATCTGCGACTCAGAGATGCTGTCGTGCAAGCAATGTGCCACTGTTGGCCGCTGAGGCTTTACTGTCGGGTCCCCGTGTTCCACCGCAAACCCCTGATTCCTGTCTGTCCCACCCTCCGGGCCATCTCCATCAACCTCTGGGGTAATTGCGGTGCTTGTCGGTCGTTCGGTAAGATCAACCATCATCACCTCCGTTCCCGAAGGGCCTGTCACGGCATCCGGTGCTGCGGCAGGTGATCCGTCTCCAGAGCCAGGGAGGGCCGCCTCCTCTGTTTTCGGCTTAGATTGCGACCGCGACTTGCGCGCGTTGGCAATCAAGTCCTTGAACGAAGTATCGTGTTTTGCCGCCCACGCCGTACCGTCAAACTCCTTGTCCTTGACCGCCACCCCAGGCCGCACAAACATGGGTGCCTTGGACCCTTGTGTGCGCTCCCACACGTCGAGATCATGCATCAGCTCGGCGCGACGCTTTGGGCGCGCAGAGTCGCAGTTCGCATTCCACAGCGTGACCCATTCCTTGTGGCGTTTCTCGAGCTGCAGGCGCGTACCCGTCGTCGAGAGGCCCAGGTCTGACATCTTCTTGCGCAGGGCGGCGTCCTTGAGCATGGAGTAGGCTAGGGCCGGAAGGCGATCGGGGGCCGGAGTCGGTCGAGAACCGCCCCGGGCAGGGGTGTTGGGGGTGGGTGTACGGCTAGAGCTGGTGCGAGCTGTCGTCTGGGGCTTCGCGCCGGTACAGGTGTCGAGGTGTCGGAAGACTTGCGCTTCCTTCATACGGGTGTTACATATAGGGCACGGAACAAGGCCGTCGTCGGGAGCTAAGAGTTACATGTTAGAACGAGATGAAAGGCGTGCAATGGCATAGGCTGACTTACCAAACGTTTCGTCTTCTGCCTCGTCGTCATCCTCCACATACTGTGGCTGCTCGGGTTCGGTTTCTTCGTGGGTCGCTGCAGCCGCCGCCTGTCCCGATCTCGTTCTGCTGAGCCTCGCAGAACTCCTAAGTCGCTTGGTCTCGGGCTGATGTTCGCCTGTTGCAGGGTCTATGTCGGCCAGTTTCCTCTTGGGCGAGCCTCGGTTCGTTACTTGCTGGCCCGCTGTCCGCGCGAACTGCAGTGTATCCTTCCTTGCCTTGACGAACGACTCAACAACCTCCTCCATTGACCAATTACTCCTTAACTTTAACTCCTGGTCTGAAGCACGGCAAAGGGGGCATTTTCCGTCGTTGGAGAGGGCGCGGCGAATGCATAGCGAGCAGAATGTGTGGCAGCAGGATGTGAGCATGGGCGTCTTGAAGAAATCCTTGCAGACCTGGCATCGCAAGGAGGCTTCGACCGCTGAGAGGGCTGGGAGGGGTGTCGACAACCAGTCTGTTGAATCGGGGACGTCCTCGAAGTCGGTCATTGTGGGTGATGGAGGCAGTATGTATGTAAGGTCTCGAGTCTAGGATTGGTTATGGTTGAGGGGTCTCTTTGTGCCTTACATGGGGAGACTGGAGAGAAAACGGGCACAACGAAACTTGCAACCAGTTGTGAAGGCTCCAAGGAACTTTTGGGAGTATGTGAAAGTCGCGTCGAGTGGCAGCGCGCTTGGAGTCAGGGATCTAGAGGCTGGGGTGTAATTTTAGTGGATAACGTCACCAATCTCACCAATCGCTCTTGTCTTAATGGTCCAAGTAGGGGGGTGTGCGCAGAAAATCAATTAAGAGGAAGTATGAACCGCGTCTTTACCTTCCAGGACGCGTCTCACCAACCCCATTGTCGCTTCTTCACGAGGAAGCATCCCAACACTCCCTGCAAAAGATTCGATTGCGGTTTTGGCCCCCTCTGTATCACCAATACCTTCCAAGTTGGTCTCCATATTCTCCCCTCTGGTCACCTCACCATGGACGAATTCAAGAAGTACCTGGCGGATCAAATCCTCAGTGAGGAGAAGATTGTAAGCTAAGAAAACGGAGCCCCTGCTGGAAGTTGGTTTCGACACTGACACTTGCGTAGGTCACATATCGTAGCCTCAGCAGAGCACTAAAAGTGCACGTCAATTCGGCAAAAGGGTCAGTTTCGTCAGGCCCCTTCCATTGCACCTTTCAGCTACTCACCACTCCACAGAATGCTCTATGAGTTCCATAGGTCACAGAATGGCATGCGTCCTGGCACAGTCCACGCCACCTATCTTATTTATGGTATCCAGAAGGCGGTGAAGGTTCAAGAAGATGGAGACGTCGAGATGACCAGCTCTCCTCCTGATGCTGAGCCTTTGTCTGACGAGGTCGTCACCCGCTCCCTGACCTTGGTCCCTGGTGATCGCCTGAAGGGTATGTCCAATTCTCACTTATACAGTGACTTTTCTTGGCCCACTAACCCCCTTCTAGAAGTGCTGGCCACATACGAAGAGTTGTCGTCTTTCCATATCTATAGCCTGGCTAGGCATCCCACAACAGTAAGCTTCTTAACTCGATCTCTTTCGTCAATACTGACTTGCCGCTCAGGAGTTGCAAATGCTGGCAGATGTCTCGCAGCAAATCAAGGAGCAGTCAACTGACGATAGCTCATCCATGGCCGAGACATATGGTACCATCACCAACCCCAATGTTCGGAAACGCGATCGCCAAGGACGCCCAGTGCCTACTCCCGCGGCTGCGGCGCCAGCGGCCAAGCCTGTCAAGAAGGAGCTCGCACCATCTGCAGCCAGGGCCGCACCCTCTGAGCCCAAGGCAGGAGAGCTGGCCAAGGAAGAGGCAAAGGCGTCCGTCAAGGAGGCCCCGTCATCAACCGCAGCTGCAAAGAAGGATGCGGCACCGCCAGCATTGAAAAAAAGCGCTTCTTCGGGCATCATGTCGTCATTTGCCAAGGCTGCGGCGAAGGCTTCAAGCAAGCCGAAGGAGGCCCCGAAACCAGAAAGCCCGGCTGCACTGTCTGACGATGGCGAAGACGACGATGAAGACATTCCAGCTGCCAAATCTTCCGCGAACCCTGGCCGAAAGTCACGACAGGACCGTGAGGCCGAACTGAAGCGGATGATGGAGGAGAGCGAGGAAGAGGAAGAGCCTGAAGAAAAGGAGGAGCCTGCGGACGAGCCGATGGAGGAGGCTCCAGAACCAGAACTGAAGCCCGAGCCCGAACCTGCGGAAGTCGTCTCTAGCACCAGCGATGGCCGCCGACGTGGCAAGCGGAGAATTATGAAGAAGAAGCAGATTATGGATGACCAGGGCTACTTGGGTAAGTTTGAAACCATTCATCTGCTGTTCGTGATACTGACCACGCACTACCAGTGACCATCCAAGAACCTGCTTGGGAAGAGTTTTCCGAAGACGAGGCTCCTCCGCCGTCATCTAAGGCTAAGCCTTCATCTGCGCCTAGTTCAGGAAGCCAGGCTTCAAAGGGGAAGAAGGCGGCGCCGAAGGGACAGGGCAATATCATGTCCTTCTTTTCAAAGAAGTAATGCTATGTAGACTGTTCTCGCTGGGAAATTACCTATCAAGTTGGCATGAAAAACGGTATTGTCTAACCCAACGTGACCGTATGTTGCGAATGACGATGGATTGCCATGAATGGATTTGCCAAACCATACAAGAATTAGGATTTTGAAGTAAGCGGTCTTGAATTGCAAGCATCTTGCAGGATTATGAACAGGGCTTTATATCATGCATGGACAATTCTACCTAGATAAGGACGAAGAGGTGCATGTGATCTAGATAATGGTGTGGAATCGGAGTTGGTCTGTCAATGATCATCAACATTCAATATGTCCGTTCTCCGAACAACAAAGTAGTCCGCAGAGAGCTTTAGGTTCGACTAACAAACGACACTACAGATCCCGCAGAAAATGTGACCTTTGGTAAAGTATCACCGTGGTACGACAGGCTTGTGACAGAGATCTGATGACCTTAGCGCCCCTTGGACGTTCGAATTCCGAATCGTCAATTTTCATGTTTAACAATTATTGACTGCCGTAGCTTGCTCATACGTTACTCCTCATGTCCATTTGGACTCTGTGTCTCTTTTCGTTCTCCGAATAAGATTAGTAAAATAAAAAACACTGCCGAAAACCCCTTCCCAAAGGAAACCCGATACAGCAGCACTATCACTTATTTAGCATGTGAATTTGCGTACCCTACCTCTGAGGGCGAGGGAATAGGTATCTCATGACAAGGAGGTTAGTGGCTAGTGAGCAAGTCTCGATCCAGTCAAATGTTTCGTAATATTCATTGTTCATTTGCTTCGGAGTCCCAACTCCAAGCGTTCGGGACTGGCAATTACACCGAGTTGTTGATGTTGGCTCCCATAACCAACGGCGCCGGCCTACCAAGGTGAGAGAAAGCGCCACGGACGCCGGAAGTGCCCCGCGCAACCCCGCAGTGGGCTGGGTAGTTTAGCGTCGCATCTTAATAGCCTAGGCCCCAGCCAGAGCTCCTGCAAGGGACCACAGTGACGCTGCGGTATCCCTAAGGACTACGGACACCTGGCTGTCTTGTGAGAGCTTTCTCCCGACTTTCCATTTGCCGTATCACTTTCAGCGTCGCACATTGCTCTGCTTCGTAATTCATTGTCCATGCCACTGCCACCCCTGTGCCTTTTGCAAAAGTTCTCGAAAATACCTATGCGGACATAGAGTTGAGTTCAATTTCTTCTGCCTCTTAGGCTTCGTAATCATGTCTTTACGATCCATTGTCGATTTGCTGCTCCCCCTAGGCCTCTTCGCCGGCCAGGCCTACGCGGCGCAAGAGCCCTTGACGGGCGAAGATCGTGTAGCATGCCCAAACTACGCGCAATACTCTACCTTTCCCCAGTGAGTCGCAGGATCAATCTTGGCATCTTGCTGTGAGATACAGCCCAGTACTGACAACCTCTTGCTAGTAAACCGCTAAGCGAAGGGCCCCTCGCCCTGCCATACCAACGACCCGACCCCCGATGCCGTACCTTCAATTCCAATGCCATTGAGAAAGTCATCACGGATGTCACGTCTCGAATGAAGGATCCCGACCTGGCACGGCTCTTCGAAAACGCATTCCCCTCTACGACCGATACCACCGTCAAGTTTCATACCGATGGAACCGACACGCGCTTTGTTGACGTGAACGGCCGCAGCTTGCGCGACGAGGGCAAATGGGAGGGACCACAGTCTTTCATCATCACAGGCGACATCATTGCCGAATGGCTGCGTGACAGCACGAACCAGCTCTCCCCCTACCAATCATTGGCCAAGAAGGACCCAGCCATCTTCAAATTGATCCTTGGGGCCATCAACACCCAGGCTGAGTACGTTATCGAGTCGCCGTACTGCAACGCGTTCCAACCGCCACCAATAGCGAACCTTCAGCCGAGCCATAATGGACAGGACGATATCGTACACCCCATATACGAGCCCTCGTTCGTTTTCGAGTGCAAATACGAGCTGGATTCGTTGGCACATTTCCTGGCGTTGGGCAATGACTTTTACGAGCACACAGAGTCGAAGGACTTCTTGACGGGGAGATGGTTTTTGGCTCTGGAAACTTTGCTCAATGTTTTGGAGGAACAGTCCCGCTCGACATTTGATCCGGAAACGCGGCGATTCCTGAAGAACGAATACACTTTCCAGCGCAAGACGGATGCAGGTACCGAGACGCTGAACCTAAAGGGTGTCGGCAACCCCCTAAACAACGGCACTGGTCTCGTCAGATCAGCCTTTCGACCCAGTGACGATGCTACCATTCTTGGTTTCTTCATCCCGGCGAACGCCATGATGGCCGTGGAACTGAAGCGTACGGCGGCGATTCTAAAGGACGCCGGCAAAAACGTCCTCGCGCAGACAGTGGAGAAGTGGAGCCAGACCATCACGGATGGCGTTTGGAACAATGGTGTCGTCAAGCATGCCAAATATGGAAATGTTTTTGCATATGAGGTTGACGGCTACGGCTCCTCTATCCTCATGGATGATGCAAACTACCCTTCACTGCTTGCTCTTCCCTTGATGGGATTCTTGCCGCCGGCCGATGAAACATACCGAAACACAAGGAAGATGCTTTTGGAGAAGACTGGTAATCCGTACTATCTTGAAGGCGCAGCTTTCCACGGAATTGGAGGTGAGTGATCCTTGATGCGAGAACCAAAACTGGACTGCTGACGTTGCACAGGCCCCCACATTGGCTTGTCCAATGCCTGGCCGATGAGTCTTTTGATTCAGGCACAGACGAGTGAGGACGATGAGGAGATCACAGAATGTCTTGACTTGGTTCTCCGCTCCGCTCGACTGGGCTTGGTCCACGAGAGTGTTGATGTCAATCGCATTTCCTCATATACCAGTGAGTAAACCCACGCGTCTCGATGACCCGGTGTTTGATCTAATACTGACAACACACCATAGGAAGCTGGTTTGCTTGTAAGAACCGACGCTGAACCTTGATGATATGTTTATCGTACTAACAAAGACCCAGGGGCCAATGGTGTCTTCGCCGAAACGATCCTAGACCTCGCCAAACGGAAGCCTCACCTTATCTTTACGGATAAAAAGCCTTACAACATTTAGACGTGGCAGCGACCGCCCAAGCTGATGTGGGAGGTCCGCTGGTCAATGCAGAGCATTGCGGGCATTGGCCTTATGATAGACTCATCAACAAAGGAGCAGAGTCAGGCGTGGCGACTGGACTACCTGCATTTTATATACCCACAGAGCTCCCTCGAAAGACTGACGTGAATAAACATCATTGGAATCATAGAACCGTCGACACCAGACTGAAGCTGTTTAGTCGACACATCATAGCCGTTCGGTAGACTCGTCGACTTTATTTTTGTCAAATCGTAATATTAAAGCTGACACAGTGTTTTTTGTCTTTTGCCGGTTGGCCCACTTCTACTGAGGCCAGTGTCGGACTGCAGAGAATGTGATAAGACCGCTTGTACATAAGTATCTATTTGTACAAAACGATACAATGGCCATCGCCATGGTTGCTGAAGCGTTTTGAAGTTTCAGGTGCCTTCTGTGAGGATGCTGGACAAGATGCCAACTTAGTAGCCCAATGTGTCTAGTATAGACTGACCGAAGCGTTGTGAATAGTGAATAAAGGAAAGAAGCCACTTCATCTCACGGACTCCCATGGATTTATGTAACCGCCTATTTTACGTTATCGACATCAAGTCTGCTCGTCGGCTTCCATCGAACGCCGTCTTTCATTGCCTTCAACACGGCACCGAGTCTCTTCACGCCCTCGACAACATCCCCCTCCGGCTCCCACGAGAAACACAATCGAATCTCCCTGTCAAACCGCGCAGATGCTTCGTCCCCATGGACCTCAAACTGAGCACCGTGGCCAATGACCAAGTCCTCCGTCTCCTTGGCCCGGAGCGCAGCCTCTCGACTCGACATGCCCTCCGGCAGGCTAAACCACACAAAATACCCACCATACACCCCGGCGCCCTTCAGCGCCGACTCGCGAACCACAACCCCGTCGCCCAGCGGCTTCTGGATGTGCTCCGCAATGGCCTTCATCATGGCCCGATGCCGCCTCGCCAGCGCGGGCCGAGTCTCCTCGTCAAGCTGCCTCTGCAACTCCCCGCTCTCGAGGAGCTCCGCGACCAACATCGCAGACAACTGACTCGGCGCGCCGCCACTGCACGTCGACCCGGTCTGCGACAGACCGTACGCGAAGGCCGGGCTCCCCTCAGCCCAACCTGTCCGCACGCCCGGCCCCACAATTTTGCTAAAGGAGCCGTTGGAGACTGCATTGCCGAAGGAGGCGTCTGGGACACCCAGGGCGCGGTCAATGTCTACGAGGCGGGGCAGGCGCATCTCAGGGGTGTAGGGGCCCGGGGGGTGTCGGAGGAGGTTAAGGGCCATTGAAGGAAGTCGTAGACGTCGTCGGTGATGATGAGGGCGTCGTGCTGGCGGGCGAGGGCGACGAGCTCGTAGCGGCGGGTGAGGGACATTGTTTTGCCGGTCGGGTTGGAGCAGGTTGGGACGAGGTAGATGATGTGGCGGTAGAGCTTTCTCTTCTTCGCTTGTTTGAAGCGCTGTCTGTTGTTAGTGGATTTTCCTCATTTCACCTTGGCTGTGCCAGGACAAGTCCTCTCATGGTGAGAAGCACGAAGACCGGCGAGAGGGAACCACCGAGGTGGGCTGAACTCACTTCATCGCCACCTTTTCCTGCGGCTTCGAGCCCCTTTCTCAAATGCTCGATATCAATTCCGTCATCGTCCTCGGGAACCGACTTGAGGCGCCCGTCAAATCCGGCATCGGCAAAGATGGGACACGCGAGGAAGTAGCACGGCGCAACCATCCAGACATTCTTCGTGTACAGTGGATCGCTGAAGGATTGCAGGATGCACGCGAGATTCTGGCTCGCGCCTCCCGTGATGCAGATGCGGCGGGCGTCGGGCGGGTGATGTTGGCGACGACCGTCGTTGCCCAGGTCCGAGGTGGCCGTACCGGTGGCCGACGGAGGTGCGGGGTCGACAGCGGGGTAGAACGCCGAAAGCCAGCGGGCGAGTGACTCACGGAGGGGCTGGTAGCCCGGGTCCGGACCGTACTGGAGTCCCGGCACGTAGACGGCGGGGTCGGCAAGTGTCTTGACGGCGGCGGCGGAGAGGGCTGCTGCTGGGAGGAGGGAGGGGGAGGGCCAGCCTCGGAGGAGGTTGATAGGTTTCTTATGCAGAGGGGCGTTCATTTTCAAATTTGACGGTGGCGCTGATGAGGAGAAGCAACGAGACCGAGTATACCTGTACAAGAAGGGAAAGTCTATAGAGGATGGGCCCCGATTGTACGTCTTTGCAGCGTTGGAAAGAGTCGGTATGATGCGTGTGCTGTGATTGAGGGGTTGATGATGGTAAGGTAATTGAGTGAGGTGCTTCGAGACTCTTATCACGCCGTGCTTCATAACCTCCACTGAACAAAATGTACACTAGTCGAACCAAAAGGTGATACCGCAATGGGTCCTGAGAAGGACACCCGATGATTTATACGAGGATTTGTTGTTAGGTCGAAGTTCAACGAGCTACCTCCGCATTCGGAGACATGCCGGTGCATGTAGATAGGGTGTGCCCCACGCAGAATCTCGCAATTGAGCTGACCCTCGGACTCAGGTCAATACCCAACATCATTCGTTGTCATACAAACAGAATACTTAGATAGAAGTTTATTTTGTTAAGCGGCTAAAGACAGGGGTATCATTGCTTCAAAAACATCGTAGCCAACACGTTTCGCCACAAATGACAAAACACCTCTACCATCCCCATGTCCTCGTTGAAGCAGTGAAAACAGGCGGCTTCCACTGGATTTTGCTAGGCTCGATGAGCCTCTTCTGTTTCACCTTCTGCTTCTCCCTTTGCTGTATCAACTTCTCCGGGATTACAATCTTGTGCTCGCCCTTGTGGTACACCTGCATCTTAAGCGCTTGTAATGTGTGTTCCACGTCCTGCGGAATGATGGCAAGTGCTGTCGAAATGGCTTCGATCGTCGTCTTCTCGTCACGCTCATTGTACCCTATCAGAAGATCCAAGATGTTCTCACCCCAGTACTGGCGATAACTCAGCAGGCCTAAATCGGAGAGAGGCTTCTCCGGCGACCCCAGCTTGCCTTCAATCTTGGACAGTTCGTACGAGAACTGAATTAGCAAGCGACCGTAACCTTTTCGCTGATATTGAGGCAGTGTGAGAATACAAGCAACGTTATAGCCGTCAGCACTCTCCTTTTCCTTGGAAAAATACCCAATAATGTGACAGCCTTTGTCGTCTCGGGTTGTCATGACGTAAAACAAGAAAGGGTCGACATCGTAGTAGAGCGTCTTGTGATCAAGGAACATCTTGGACAGCAAACAGAGGTTGCGGCAATACGTCCTCTGCCTCCTTCCATCGATCTCGAAAAAGGATACCGAGTCATCTCGGTAGATTTCATTACCGGGAGGATGCTGTAATGTGCACTTGCGCCTATGCCTTGTGAAGGACTTCTCATCGCCGTAGTACCCGAGACAGAACTCGCAGATGAAAATAACATCTTCCTGGTTGAAGACCTCAGGGTACGGTGAGAAGTACCAGGGGAATAGATCGTGCTTTCCGAACTGCACTTTGGAGATATTTCGGATACGTGAGATCTCGGCAGGGTTCTGTGTCATAGAGCCGTGTGTTCTGAGTTTCTCGATCTCGTCCTCGCGGCTGAAGCCGCTGAGTAGGTCCTTCTTTTGCACTTCCTCTTCGAGGTCGATTTCCATCTCGTCGCCTCCCGCCGCGGGTGTAGCGGTCGCATCGCCAGTTGCTGGTGTTTGACTTTGGCTTTCCTCGGCTGTAGGCGTTATCTTGCGACTCTGCGACTCGACAAACTCGGTCCATGGGTGTGGGGTGGCAGCCTCGGACGGCGCCGACTGTTCCCTCTTCGCGGGCCTCTTCTGGGATTTCTTGGAAATCTGCTTCTTCGACGTGGCAACGCCTTTCTTCGTTTTCGGGTCCTTGGGTTTCTCCTTCTCGGGTAAAGGCCATTCGACATCGTGATCGAAATCGATGCGGACTGTCGGCACCCATTCGTCGAGACGCTTGTTGAAGTTATCGAAGTTGCAGTAGAACTGTCGGCCGCTTTTCGTTTCCTTGATACTGAGAATCTCGGCTCGGCGTGGTATGCCCTCTTTCCTGACCATGGCGATGCATCCTACTCTACAGCGTATGGGTTAGTGGGTTGCTCCAAGGGGACCGCCTCACTTGCAAGACGGCAGGGTCGTAGCAAGACGCACCTAATGGTTTCCGGAGTGGCCTTGCCCTTCTGGCGAGGTTCGCTGGAGCCGACAGTGGGCTCGCCATTGGCGCCGTGTGCCGCCATGATGGAAATTCCAGGTCGTGGTTGTTAGTTGATGGAAGTATAGTTTTGTTGGCTTCCTGCGTTCCTGTCGCAAAGGATGGCAAAGTAGAAGCGGGAAGAGGAAGGTGGTGTGGCAGAAAACGCGAATCCCCAAAGGCGGTGGATATACTGCCATGAACCCCTGCACGCTGATACGGGGGGGCCCAAGCAGCGATAAGCGATAGTCCCAATTATCTCGCCTCGATAATTGCATTTTTAATTTTCTCTTACTGGGAATCATCCATCACTGACTTCACATTCAGCTGCTTCTTGGTCATCGAATCTCAAATATTCGAGGAAAATTTTTCATGTCTCTTGTTCCACAGGATTCGAGTTCCTGGTAATTATTGAACTCAAAAAGGCAGAGAATATGGCCCCGGAGCTATCGTCAAATTGGAAGAAGCTTCAGGCCCAACTCAAAGCGGCGAGCTCATCTTCTTCCACAACAGCTGGGCCCGTCAAGAGGAAAGCAGACACCTCTGATCAACAGCCGCCGAAAAAGTCAAAACTCAACTCTGACAAGAAAGCACCAGCCAAACTCTTCCAAAAGAGCGAAAAAGCAAAAAAAGAACGCATGGGTGTCACGCAAAGCTCAAAGGTCGAAGTTGAACCCAAGGTCGGCCCTTCGCCGTCCCTTGCCCTTTGGGCTGAGGAGAATGACATCTCCACCGAAGCACTGGCCGAGGCTTATGGTCTGGGTCTGAAGAACAACTCTATGCTCGCTTCGGAAAAAGACAAGATCAACGCTGGTCTAACGGAAGCGCTTGATGTCGGCAAGTACGTCGCCATCGACTGCGAGATGGTGGGTGTCGGACAAGGAGGACACGAATCTGTGCTCGCTCGCGTGAGCATCGTCGACTTTCACGGGCGCCAGGTGTACGACTCATACGTGCGGCCTCAAGAACGTGTTACCGATTGGCGGAGCGCCGTCAGCGGAATCCTCCCCAAGCACATGAGGTTCGCCCGAGATTTCGACGAGGTCCAGGCCGACGTCGCCAAACTATTGAAGGATAGGATTTTAGTCGGTCACGACATCAAGCACGATTTGGATGTACTCAAATTAAGCCACCCGAGTAAAGATGTCCGCGACACATCTAGTTACCCGCCGTTCAGGCAATACGGCAATGGCAGAAAGCCAGCGCTAAGGAGACTGGCGGAAGAGATACTTGGCGTCACGATCCAGAGCGGCGCGCACTCTAGTATTGAAGATGCTAGAGTGACAATGCTCTTATTCAGAAAACACAAATCTGGATTTGACGTCGATCATGCAAATCGCTTCCCTGGCTCTGCAGGCGCATCGACAAAATCGAGGCCAAAATCTAAAAAGCCTAAGAAGAAGAAATGAGTTGATGATTCTAATACACACAAATCCCATCAAGGCCCGAGCCTCATGAACCACCTCTTCCAGCGTTATGGCTACTTTCTAAGGCCCTTCAATGCCTGAATGTCAAATCCAGTCAAACCTAGCAGCAACTGGATCTCATCCTGGTTGCCGCCGTGAGCCAACACTCTTCATAGCGGAATGCCTTCCATCAACTCTAGAGCACCTTCTCGGCCCACGGTTATTATAACGTCACCCAGCGTCTTCGTTAGGAACCCGGCTTCACAGTATGTGAAGTAATACTGCACAAAATTAGCATAGAGCATACGAGGAACAGATGGTATGTGTCTTACCTCCCACTTCCTTCTGAATACATCTATCTCTTCTTCACTCATATTTTCGTGTTCCCGTTTCAACGCCGGTCGAATCTTCGAGTCGAAGTTTCGCATGAACTCCTCTTTCCACAATCTCAGGGTCTTAGAATAATGACCTCCAATGTTTTCGACATTTTCAACGATTAAAGTTCCTCTCGACTCTTTGCTGATGTGGTTCAGGAGCTGAGTGATCGATGGGAGGTATCCTCCGGGGAAGATGTAATGGTTGATGAAACTGCCACCTGTCAGCGGCATACTCCTCTGCTGCGACTCACTTTACTTACTCTTCTCCTTTGGAATACGCCTCGTGACGGCCTTCGGGCATGGTGATGCACTGGAAGACGGCAATGCCTCCGTCCTTCTTCAGCAATCTGTCCATACAAGCGAAGTACGTCCCGAGGAACTCCTGGCCGACAGCTTCCAGCATTTCGATCGACACAATCTTGTCAAAAGGGTTTTCCGGGGTTTCCAAGGCTCGATAGTCCGTCAAACGGACGTCGATGCGATCGGAGAAGCCTGCTGCTTGTATGCGCTCTTCCGCAAGCGCCTTTTGTTCCTTGGAGAGCGTCAGGCTTGTCACTCGGCAGCCAGTCTTCCTCACCGCCTCAATCGCAAAGGAGCCCCAACCAGTGCCGATTTCCAACACATGGTCCGATGACTTTATGCGGGCGCCGTCAATAAAGCGATGCAGCTTCGTCATTTGCGCCTCTTCCAATGTCTCTTCTGGCTCGCTCGGATCGGGATGCGTCCTCCAAATTGGGCACGAATAGGTCATGTCTGGAGACAAGAATGCAGCAAACATGTCGTTGCTAATGTCGTAATGCGCCGAAATGTTGAGGAGCGCGTTCGAGAGGGTGTTGGTGGTTCGTGCCAGGCTCGAGATCGCGGTGGATAAGCTTGAAAACCATGTTGTCCCATTGCCCATTTCCTCACGGTTGACAATGAAGAGCTGCACCGGGATCAAGTCAGCGGCAAGAACGGCAAGGGAATGGGTGACCGGAGCCAGCTATGAGGTTACTGACCTGGAAGAAGGCAGTCAAATCTTTGCACTCGATCTCACCGAGCATGTACGACTCGGCAAACCCCATGTCGGCGAACAAGAACAGACGCATCCAGAACGCCTCACTTTTTACAACCAGCTCGACCCGAGGGACAGCATCTGCGCGGCGGGGAACGTGTTCACCGTTCGTGAGGTTCTCGTTATACTTTGCGCCCAGTTTCTGACCAAACACCTGCCTGATCTCGGCAGGCTCGTCAACTAGGAGAAGCGTACCGCGCTCGATCTTGGAGAAGACGGAGAGGATCGCAGGCTTGGCTACGGACAGAGCCGGACCCCAGGTCAAACTACCGACGGCACCTCTTACCAACTCTGTACCGCGGGACAGCGGCAGGGCGACGGCCGCCGGGACTAACGAGGGCAGCTTGGGCATGACTGCGCGCGCGGGAGGGACAGAGACGTGAGAATCTCGGGGTCGGCTGTGTATGTCAATGTACACGGGAACGGAAGCCCAATGGCTTGTATGAGACGGGTTGGCGCAGGCTAAAGGCCAATTGAGTTGAGCAGCCACTGAGGAACCTAAATGAAGCTCTCCAGGTAGTGAGGTACACTGGGATGCTTGCCTGAGTTTCTGGAAGGTGGATGGGAGCGAAGGGGGGGGGGGGATTGGAGGAGGGGTGGAATGCGAAAGTCAACAGGAGCAGAACACGTTCGCATCTGAGACTCAACGGCTGGGCAGGACGATTGTTTTAATGCGCCCATGCATGCTATTAGTTACGAGAGGCCATGCTACCTAGGTCAAGCGCACATACACACAGTCCTGGTCGCAGGCCTGTTGTCTAGCACAGGAACCCTGGCACATAATCTTGTCCTTCTTCGCGGGGGCCCAAAACGAATAGAAAAAAAAGAAGGTATGAAAGCGCGTGCTATTGTCTCGCCCATCGGTACCATCGCAAGCCCGAGGACCAAAAATGTGGGCACAGGAGGATCCGAACTAGGACCCAGCATGGATGCGGGAGTGGGTTGCAGCAAGGGTAGCTCAGACGGGAATCACTCGGGAGGGGGGAAAGAGAGAGGCCTTGGCCATCGCTTGTTTCATCGAGGGAATCGACACATTTGGGTGGTATAGCTGACGATCTCATCGGCACCTGATGTTCATACCATCGTAAATACCTTACATAAGGTTTCTTAGGTTGTAGCTAGACTGACCGCCATATGAGATTGTCTGGGCACTCATGGCATCAAGTCTGTTACCAATCTTCAAGGTCGAAGCAACATTAATCAGCTGTGAAACATTGCGCCGGATAAGCCTACTGAATGAAAAAAGAGACTCGTCAAATTTGCTTAGGGCAGGGCTAGGGACGATAGCAACCTCTAACGGAGGGACAGCGAACCGAGCGCATGGGAACGCATGTGTGTACTCCTGCAGCTCAAGTCGCAAGTTGGACCAGCAAGCTCATTCGTCAACGAGGCATATGCGATGAAGGCCTACCCGTAGCACGATGTAAGAGACATTGGGCCAGTGCGCCGCCGGAGCGTCCGGCTACGTTCAGTCGAACCGTTGGTGCTAGGGAGAAGAGCAGAAGACGACAGAAGCCCAAGCTGCAGGTTTCGAGAAGATTGTCGGAATCTGTCCCGGCTTGTAGGGCCCCGACTGAGGGAACGGACAGCTTAGCGTCTGGTTGACGACTCAGGTTCTGGTCATCGGATGAAGGCTGAATTTGCCTTCAAGCGCGCTGGCCTGAAGATAAGTTTCCTTTCATCCCGGAAGACAAAAACCCAGGTTCTGCAAGCGGCACGAGTGTGCATGTTCAGCAACTAGTCGACATGAGCAACGAACATGCGACCTGCTATCCTTGGGCAACACACACGCGTGTACTACGCAGTACGGCAGTAGATGCGCTCGGCAGGTCCCTGCATCCCAACAGAGGAGCGTTTCCCGGGCAAGACTTGGGTAGCATTGCTTCGAATAGCCACTTCCCGAGTTGACATGTGGCTGCGCCAGTTGAGCCGTCAACGCCTGGTGTGAATCTTGATCCCGACGGGTTGTTCGTCTTGATCAAAGCCTAGTCTGGCTCTTGGCAGAGACCGGCCGATCGAGCATCCAAACCCCGATGATCGGGCCCTATGGACATTCGTAGTTTACAAGAAACCCCGTCGTAAATCCGAAGAAGAAGGGGTCTGCCCGATTTGGGCATTCCCCGGCTTCCATCGTGCGGCAGGGTCTTTGTGCGAATTTGCGGAGCTTTAACCCGAATTCCCAACTTCGGTTGGGGTCTTTCGAGATCAATGACATCAAGACTTTTGGTATCCCCCACTACAGGCCATCGGCCGACGGCAGCTGACCGCTTAGAATCTCTGGACCTGGCTCCGAGCATGAACCCTGGATCGCCTTGCGCTGAAGAATTCCCTAGAGGAGTCTACGGAAAAGATGGACGAGATCTATATTTCGACCGGAAAGGGGCGGTAGACAACTTTCTCGCCGGGGAGGTGCTTCAAGTGTCTAGCATTTAGTCGGGTACTCTGGATACCTGCCACACATTTGTCACAGGATACCTAACCCGCCCAGCCATGTCAAAGGCTAGCCCTATTCCGCAGAAGAAAGGGTGAATACCCTGTTGGCCATCCGACTAGAGATGTAAGAACGCCATGAAGAGGGGCTGGGGTGCTTAAGGATTGGACAAGTTCCTGATACCGACCCGAAGGTCTCAGTGACAGCGATCCTGATGGCTTACGCAACCACGCATGTCTCTCACCTGCAACAGCAGCCAGCCACCAGCGTAGGTGCCAGTGAGGCCTTTTCCCGCTGCTGAGGCGCTGAGCAACACGCACAGATGCAGTGACGCACCAGCCCCTGCCTCGATTGGCTCGATTGCTGAAACAACGGGAATGGCAAGAACCACAGGCTCGTGGTCCTGAAGGAGGCGGCCCGTGCCCCCGGGAGACAAGACTGATTTATCGATAGCGATGAGCTTATCGCGACTCCTTATCGGCGGTTAATTGAACACGCGTCGTTGGGGGAGTAACGTGGGATAGGACGCGTCTAGGGACCCAGAGTATCTGTAAACCGCTGAGCAAAAGAGCACCCATCACCAACCCAAGCTGATCGCCGAACACACAAGAGAGGCCATCATGTCGAAAGCAATCCTCTCAATTCAGTCGAACGACGCCGATAAGAACAACAAAGCAGTCGCCAACCTGCTGCCATGTCGAATCCACCACGATGGACCTATTGGTGATGCCAATACCTTTTGGAACCCCATCCAGTCAGAAGGTGTGTCAAAACGTTCGATCGAGCCATGGATACAGGAGTGCACTCTAATCGATGCTGACCGCCGCCATCAGATGGGAAACGTGTAGCGTACTTCCGTGGCAGGAAACTTCACGGAACGACTGTCAGGCTGCCGGAACAATACCGAGGCGTTGTAATGGAAAAGAGCGACAAGGTCGAGACCCAGCAAATCGAGGGCGAGGGAGAAGAGGCGGAGGGCGATCTAGTTGAGCTGGGTACCATGGACGTCAAGGCCGAGTTTGACGAGATGGTCATCTGGGGCCACGAGTCGAGCGCCGAGGCGGCGTCGGATCCTTACGTGAGGAGTATTGAGGAATGGCTGACTGTGGCCGAATCGGTATATCCTTCTGTAATCTTCAAGAGACGTACTCGACTAACTTGACTGCAGATACACTCATACCCTTCTCCGGAGACCAAGACTGGCGCATAGGTAGACGAAGGACCAGCAGAGTTGGGTGTTGGGTGGTTATTAGCTGAGTTTTTCTGAGCACACTGAATAGCAGGGGTATTGCATGGTTTAGGCGTTACGGAAGCTCTGTGAAGCAGAACGAATACAAGATGACTTGATCCCAATTTTCAGCTGGCTCATATAAACTTCGGTGCATTGTTTGCTACACCCCTTCTGTGTTGCGACACACCATGCTAAGCATCACAAGTTTCGAGCAGACAGCCATTGGGAAAGTGTTCCCAAAGAGGACTAGCGCCGACGCAGTCAATTAAAGCCGTCGCGCCAGCAACGCGCGCCGACGCGCTGGTTGCCCCTCACGCGCCAAAAATCAATTAAGCCCCTACTGTGTCTCCGCCTCCAACTGCGAAAAAGGATCCATCGCATCCCACCACCCAAAATACTACCTCCACCAAAAAACAACATCCCGCATATCAGCCTCATCTCCGCCGCTTGCGCTTCTTTCACCCATTGTTGATCTCCCACCCCGAACGACGACATCTAGCAGTCGCTGCAGACGAAAACTACCAACAATGGCTCCCTCCAGCGACGCCGGCATCCTGATGTCGGACGCCCCGTCCCGTTCAGCGGCTACCCCTAAGCGCTCCTTCATGCCCAGCTCCTCTGCTGGCGGCAGGCCACGAGTGCCGCCCTCCGAGAGCATGGGCGCTCCTAGTGACGACGAGGCCGAGGGCTTCGCCGACGACCAGGTTCCTCGCGGATCAAGGATACCCGATATCGCAAACATTCCTCGTGTGGAGGACAGGATTGGTCTCATGGTTCAGGACCACTTTGAATCCTTCATCGAGGGGTAAGTCGCTGAGCTGTGCTTCTCTTGGCTATGTAACAGGCCTGACCATACGGCAATGCAGATTCGTAGAAGACCCGACTTCTTCTGGCGCACCGACATCCAGCGCCGTCACAACGGACAAATACTATGTTGCCCAGATCCACGGCATGCGCACATATCAGCTTTCCACTTTTTATGTCGACTTCAAGCACCTAGTCACATGGCAGAACGGCGAGCTGGCCGATGGTGTCATGCGTGGCTACTACCGCTTCCTGCCTTTTCTTACCGCCGCCCTACACAACATGATCGCCAAGCACGAGCCGCAGTACTTCCGCGAACATAGACAGCCCACCTCTTCCAGCAACCCGACCAACTCTGCCGCCAGCCAGTTGGGTTCCGCCAGCCAAACAGAGATGGGCGATAAGACCGCCAACCAGCAAACCGACAAACTGTTCGCCATTGCATTCTACAACCTGCCCCTGATCTCGCGAGTGCGCAGTCTTAGAGCAGCCAACATTGGACAGCTTCTCTCCATCTCCGGAACCGTCACGCGGACGTCAGAAGTTCGTCCTGAGCTTTCGCTCGGTACCTTTGTGTGCGAGGCTTGCAGGACGGTTGTCCCCAATGTTGAACAGACTTTCAGATACACAGAGCCTACCCAGTGCCCCAACATGACCTGCCTTAACCGCCAGGCGTGGCAGTTGGACATTAGGCACAGCACATTCGTCGATTGGCAAAAGGTGCGCATCCAAGAGAACAGCTCAGAAATACCCACGGGAAGCATGCCGAGAACGATGGACGTCATCATGCGCGGAGAGATCGTGGACCGGGCCAAGGCTGGAGAGAAGTGCATCTTCACCGGTGCGCTCATCGTGGTGCCAGATGTCAGCCAAATGGGCTTGCCTGGTCTGAGGCCGAGCGCCGTTCGAGATGACAAGAATGCCAACGGTGCCGATGTTGGTGGCTCTGGTGTCAGTGGTCTCAAGTCTCTCGGTGTCCGCGATTTGACCTACCGTCTGGCCTTCCTTGCCTGTATGGTAACCCCTGACGTTTCTAACCCAGGCCAGTCGGCGAGTGGACAGGTTTCAGACATCATCAGTTCGCTGACCCAGAACAACACACATGATGCTTCAGAGTCGGTCGAAGATGTTCAGGCCGCTGTGCTTGCATCCATGAACCCCTCAGAGATTGAGGAGCTGCGTCACATGGTACACAGCGATCACATCTACTCTCGGTTGGTAAACTCTATTGCACCAACGGTGTACGGCCATGAGGTTGTCAAGAAGGGACTCTTGCTTCAACTCATGTCTGGTGTGCACAAGACCACAGCTGAAGGCATGGAGCTGAGAGGTGACATCAACATCTGTATCGTGGGCGATCCCTCTACATCCAAGTCCCAATTCCTCAAGTACATCTGCTCTTTCGCTCCTCGCGCCGTCTACACCAGTGGTAAGGCATCTTCCGCCGCTGGTCTCACAGCCGCTGTGGTCAAGGACGAAGAGACTGGCGACTTCACTATTGAAGCCGGTGCCCTCATGTTGGCAGACAACGGCATCTGCGCCATTGACGAGTTCGACAAGATGGATATTGCCGACCAGGTTGCCATCCACGAAGCTATGGAGCAGCAGACCATCTCTATCGCCAAGGCCGGTATCCAAGCCACCCTGAACGCTCGCACCTCCATCCTTGCTGCCGCCAACCCTGTTGGCGGTCGCTACAACCGCAAGACGACGCTCCGCGCCAACATCAACATGAGCGCCCCCATCATGTCTCGTTTCGATCTCTTCTTCGTCGTTCTCGATGAGTGCAACGAATCCGTAGATCGCCACCTTGCGGAACACATCGTTGGAATCCACCAGCTGCGCGACGAAGCTATCGAGCCTGAGTTCAGCACCGAATGCCTGCAAAGATACATCCGCTTCGCCCGTACCTTCCGCCCCGAGTTCACTCCGGCGGCCAAGGAGTTGCTCGTAAAGCACTACAAGGAGCTCCGCGCCGACGACGCACAGGGCGGAATCGGCAAGAACTCGTACCGCATCACTGTCCGTCAACTGGAAAGTATGATTCGTCTCTCCGAGGCGATCGCCAAGGTCAACTGCGTGGAGGAGATCGAGCCGCCCATGGTCACCGAAGCCTTCAACTTGCTGCGACAGAGTATCATCTCCGTCGAACACGACGATGTCGACATCGATGACGAGGAGCTGCCAGAGGAGGGCGCAGCCCTGCTTCGTGCGGCCTCTGAGGCGGCGGGCCAGCCGGTTGAAGAGAGTGGCATGGCCGTCGACGGAGCTGAAGAGACACCAGCAGCCGCGGCCCGGCCCAAGCAGACCATCACGTTTGAGAAGTACTCGAGCATGGTTAACCTGTTCGTGGAGCGCGTCAGCGAGGCCGAGGCCGAGAATGGCGAAGGCGTCGACGGCGACACGCTCGTAGAGTGGTACCTGGAGCAGAAGGAAGCAGAGTTGGAAGACGTCGCACAAGCCGAGGAGGAGAAGGCGTTGGCCAAGAAGGTGCTCAAGAGGATGGTCAAGGTATGTGGTCTTTTCCTGTCACTGTCGATGTCAGAATGGAAACTAATTGCGGATTACAGGAGAACATCCTCATGGCTGTCCGCGGCCAGGGTCTTGCCGACGACAACGAGACAGGCGAAGGAGCGGCTGCGGCCGCCGAGGCGGACCAGCGCATTGTCTACGTCCTGCATCCCAACTGTGCTGTCGAGGATTTCTAAACAATGACTTCATCACATGCATGTTGACGATTTAAGTGTCGTCCTGAGATGATTGGACCTGGTTTGGACGAGTATGACGAGTAGAAAAAGTAAAGCTAATGTCCGCGGCATTTTGGACTTTTTATCAGCCATGAATGGGTGGAAGGGATCATGGGCTTGTATTAATGCAGCCCAGGAGTTGGGGCGTTCGTTGGACGAGCTGAGCTGTCTTATACTGAGATAAGATGCATATGAAAAAAAGAGAACCCCATTTAGAATGTTTCTGCTGTCTGGTTTTCATATCCTTGTGACAAGCTACTGTTTGCGCGCTCGTGCGTTGTTTTCCAGATCCCGTCGCATTTGGATAACGAACGTCATCATATGAACCCACCCGCCTCGGCCAACACCATCGACTTTGGTTTCTAAGCGCTCTTGGGCATGTCAGACATCAGTCCTGGGCAAGATACGCCGAAAAGCCTGCCTCAGCACGGCAGCACAGACTCGTGAACCCCCCAAAGGCAGGCACAGCCAAGTCGGATCATAAAACGCAAATTCTGACGATATTTATGCTAACCAAGTGCCCAAGAACAGTGTGGTCTCATACGATTCTGGATATCTTTCAGTCTGTTGAGCTGGTTACTGGTCGCTGGTTGCCTTTGGTAAAGCAGTGTTGTACTGACCAGAATAATCGATTTGGAAATTTTAGAGCCACTGTGGGCTCTTTAGGTTAGAGATTCTTATCTTTGGCTTCATTTTCACGTTGAACAAAGGAACAGACTGGATCCCGCAACTATCTTGAGGTCGCTATGTGCCTGTTCATTCTTCAACCTTGATGTCATGAGCCCACCGACGCCGTTGCGATGGGCTTCATGCCTTTCACGACTTGATGGATCCGCCGAGCCCAGCTTAGTTTGCACGCATGCCCTTGTTCTGTGCCACAGTATGGATTTCGCGTACCACGAGGACCAGCATTGGATAGAGAGCGATGTATGGGCATGGAGCTGCAGCAATCAAAGCTCCCGCTTCCCTCTCGCCACGCAGGCTGCCAGTACTCGCCAAACTCGAGCCTTCCTTAACGCAAAGGCCACGCCTTAAGTTTCTTCTCAGAAAGAGACAGGAGAGTAGCCCCAACATAAGTGATCCCGAAAGTTCACTCAGTCAACAGCAAGAAAAAAGACTAGACCGCTATCGTATCAACTCCCATCGAAGCCCGCATTTGCCCTCTGAAACCTGGAGTTCTACCTAAGGGCCTACTACGACAGAGCCATGGAGGAATTAGACGAGATCCATCATGCATGTGATCATTTCATGAGAACCATAGGCAAGGTAAGCAGTCCCTTTCTTTAAATTTCAAGATGAGAAGTCTTGATACAACTGTCTGAACTCAGTAAATATACCAGATGCTAATGTTTTTCCTGTGCCTGATCATCACAAAAAGGTTGTCGACTGTAACAACATGTATGCCATAATATCGTCTCCGCGTTTGCTAGCCTGATGCAAGATACATAGACACGCATCAACTCCAAGTGGCAACACACCCACCCCCCTAGTCACTCCTTCTGCTCCCTTTTGATGGCGGAGAATCGACGATGTAGTCACCACACATGCTTCTACCTATGCTCGGCAGACGTCCCTGCATGAAATCTAGCAAATTATAAACGCCCAAGACACACATTCCTGTCAATTTCTCATGGCGGGTGATCTTCATGGGATGCGCTACAAATGCTCGAGGGCAAAACGACAGTCGGAGGCTCCGATCAGCAGAAAACCCATTACATCAAGTGCCGAATCATTCTTGGCAACATCAACGAGCATAATCTACACCAGACAGCTTGTTTGCTACTGGTACATCACCACTATGGGATTCAGTGTCTGAATGGTGTTATATCTCTGTGCATCCATGCCTATGGGAGCAGTCAAATGCACCGAGGCATCCATACAGCCTTGCTCGGTCCCTTCAACGCCATCTTGCTGTATGGAAACACATCCCTCACGCGCAGGAAACGCCAAGCAAAGCCGGCGGCTGTTGCTAGCTCTGCGGACTCGCTGGCAACGGTATGCGTCAATGAACAAAGCAACGAGTCTGCGTTTTGGGTTACCATTAGCAGCACAGCTTTACGTCTACCCCCGAGACGCTCTATGCCCGTGTATCACTTAGGCGTTTCCGCCATCGTCCCAGTCGTATGCACCGAGAATCAAGCAACGACAGAATGCAGGTATCAGTTTTAAATGACGTATCAAGCTGGATCTCGCGGAGACCAACGTCAATCTAGGCGTCTTCACATTGTTAAGGGCAAGACAAACTTCGGAACTTTGAAGTACGATTTGATATATGGCAAGTGTAAACCAAGAAAAAAACAACATCGCAACGCCTGCCCCTGATGCTGAAGCTAAAGCGGATATAAGACATACAGTTTACAAGATTTTACTTTTCTTTTTGCCCTTCTTCATCATCACCCTCTTTTCAAAATTTTCCTCGCGCCAAAGTCGTTTCACGTCAGTCCGTAGACGAATGCAATTTACTCCTCATCGGATTCTTCCTCGGGAACCTGTTTGTCTCGTTAGTCGCTGCTTCACGGTTGCAAAAAGATGCTTGTGCGGGATAATCAACTCACCCCCTCGTGGAAGTCCTGGCCCTCCTTGGTAGCCTTGATGACGCCCGCACGGATGCAGAAGTCGCCAAACTTCTCGCCCTCCTCCCTCTCGGCCGCGTACCGCTTGAGCAGCGGCTTCATGATGGCCAGGATCTCGTCCTCCTTGATGCTCTGGCGGTACAGCTTGTTCAGGCGCTGTCCGTGGTAGCCACCGCCGAGGTACATGTTGTACGCCCCGTACGCCTTGCCGACGAAGGCGACCTCGGCGAGCCATGGGCGGGCGCAGCCGTTGGGGCAGCCCGTCATACGCATGACAATCGAGTCCTGGCGCAGGCCGTTCTCCTCGAGGCAGCCCTCGAGCTTGGTGATGAGCTCGGGCAGGTAACGCTCCGACTCGGCCATGGCGAGACCGCAGGTCGGGAAGGCGACGCAGGCCGAGGAGCTGAGGCGCAGGCCAGAGAAGTGCACGTTGTCGAGCTTGTACTTCTTCATGAGCGCCTTGATGGAGTCCAGGTCCTCGTCGGCGACGTTGCTGAGAATCAAGTGCTGGTTGCCCGTGAGGCGGAACTCGCCCTTGTGCACCTTTGCGATCTCGCGCAGACCCGTCTTCATCTGGAACTCGGGGGTGTCCTCGATACGACCGTTCTCAATGAAGAACGTGAAGTGGTTGAGGCCTGTCTCGTCCTTTTGCCAGCCGAACGTGTCGACGTTGGACTTGAACTCGAAGGGGCGCTCCTTGTCGAACTTCTGGCCCCAGAGCTCCTCGACCTTGGAGCGGAACACGTCGACGCCCATATCGTCGATGGTGTACTTGAGACGCGCGTGCTTGCGGTTCTTGCGGTCGCCATGGTCGCGCTGGACGAGCATGACCTTCTCGCAGGCAATGTGAACCTGGTCCGTCTTGACGAAGCCAAACATGCGGCCGACCTGGGGGTAGGTCTTCTTGTTGTTGTGCGTGGCACCCATACCACCACCGGCGAGCAGGTTGAAGCCCTCGAGTTTGCCGTCCTTGCCCTTGATGGCGATCAGACCAATGTCGTGAGCGTAGACGTCGGTGTCGTTGTGGGGAGGGATGGCGATAGTGATCTTGAACTTTCTGGGCAGGTAGGTGGGTCCGTACAGAGGCTCAAAGTCCTGGACAGCGTCACCGGCGATCTGGGTCTTAGTGTCGTTCTCGTCCGCCAGCCAGATCTCGTGGTAGGCGGTGGTCGAAGGCAGCAGGTGGTCGCTGATCTTCTTGGAGCTGGCCCAGACCTCCTTGTGGTACTTGGACTGCGTGGGCAGCGAACTGCACATGACGTTACGGTTGACATCACCGCAGGCGGCAATGGTAGTCATGAGCGCGCGGTTGATGGCCTGCATGGCGGGCCTCAACTTGCCCTTGACGACACCGTGGAACTGGAAGGTCTGACGAGTGGTGAGCTTCATCGTCTCATTGCCCAGCTCGTTGGCAATATCATCCATCTGCACCCACTGCTGGGGAGTGGAGATGCCACCGGGCAGACGGCAACGAATCATGAAGGAGTAGGCGGGCTCCAATCCCATGGCCTTGCGCTCGTCTCTGACATCACGGTCATCCTGCATGTAGGTACCATGGAACTTGGTAAGCTGCTGGTCTGCAGCGGAGATGGCACCGGTGCTGGTGTCCTTGAGACCCTCGGCGATGGTACCACGGAGGAAGTTGGAGGCAATCTTGATGTCCTCATTGGTGATGGGGGCAGGCTCCTCGGGGAGACCGTCAACGTTGTCGACGCCAAGAGCGCTCCAGATCTTGGGCTCCCACTCCTGGTAGCCAGTCTGGTAGCCATCGGGGTCCTGGTCGTCACCGAGACCGACATCGGCAAGTCTCTTACCACCAAGGTTGGCAAGGACGCGGTCGAGGTCCTTGGCGGGCTTGTTGTAGTAGATCTTGTCCTCCTTGCGGGGCCAGTAGTGGCGGTCACCGAGACCGAAGACGGAGTAGTTGACGTTGGCGAGGTCAAGCTCGGTGTTGTCCTTGAGAGCGTTCCACAACGCGTGGCCGTTCTGGGGAACTCACCCTGGCCTGCAGTGGAGGTCACGAAGACGATGTTCTCCTCGGAAGGCAGGTCCTCAACAGGGTAGTCCTCCATGGTCATAACCTTGGTCTTGAGGCCGCGAGCCTTACCGCGGTTACCAAGGCGCTTGGCGACGGTGGTGGCATTGCCGTTGTCGGAGGCGTAAAGGACCGTGAGGGGGGCTCCGAAGAGACCCTCGAGCAGTTGGTCGTAGGCGTCCTTGGCCTTGCGCTTCTGCTGGGCTCTGACCTCAGTGCCAAAGTCTTGCGACAGGTTGGCGGCGAAGACGGGGTCACGCTGCATAATCTGGGTCAGCTGGTTGTCGCGATCCAAGAAGGCCTTGAGCTCGCTCTTGATGCGCTCGGAGTCGAGGGTGAAGTTGGGTTGGCCCTTGGCCTCGTTGGCAGGGTTCCAGCGGTACAGGGGCCAGTAGCCGACATCGATGGCCTTCTTGGTCTCCTGGAGGACGGTCAGGGGAGAGTCAGTCTCGCCGAAGTACGGAAGGTAGGCAAGGACAACGGAGGGGCCGTTGTGCTGGTCGGCCTCGAGCATGGCCTGCAGGACCTGGGTGTAGGAGCCGTAGACAGCGGTGGAGGCGACGTAGGCGTTGCCGAAGTTCATGGCGTACAGACCAATGTCCTTCTTGCGGCGGTTGGCGTCGGCAGCGGCACGCTCCGAGTAGGGAGTCGAGTCGATGATGAGCATGTTGACGTTCTCGCCAGAGGCCAGAACGTGGTGCACACCAGAGTTGCCGAGGTCGTAAGCCCAGGCATCGGACCCGACGAGCCACAGAGACTCCTTGCGGAACAGACGCTTGCTGGACAGCAGGTTGCGGGCGATGGAGGAACCATCAGTCTCGAGACGAGGAATCAGGTCATCGGCGATCTCATTCGCCTTCTTCGCATCGGCCTCGTTGGCGGCCCAACGAGCGAGCCAGCTCTTGGGTGCATCAGTCACGAACTGGTTGCTGTTGGCGGCCTCCTTGACCTCGCCGACGAAGCGCACACGGCGCTCCTTACGGGCCAACAGGGAACCGAAGCCGAACTCGGGGCTGGCCTGGATGGACGAGTTGATGCCTGCGTTGCTAGCCTTCAGCGCGTTGGCGACGTACGCCCTCTGGCCGAACAGCTGGTCGAGGATCTTGGTGTAAGAGTTCTCGACCTGGGGCTTCTCGAGTCCGTACTCGAGGGCCTCCTGGGGAATCTCCTTGCGGCCGACCTCGAGGTTCTGGACAGGCGACTCGGAAGTCAGGTTCTGCAGGACGCCGCGCAGGGCCTGGATGACGGTCTTGGGGTCAATGTAGCCAAGCTGGTAGCCGACAACAGTCTGGACGCCACCAAAGCCGCTCTTCACGCTGGTGAGAACATCGATGAGAACGGGGCCCCACTTTGTCGTCTTGCGGTGGATCTGCTCGAGGACGGCGATACGCTTCACGGACTTGGGAAGGGCTTCGGCCAGAGCAGAGCTGAGCCAGGGGCGGTACAGTCTCGGGGTGATGATGCCGACCTTGGAAAAGTCGCCGCCGCGGCGGGCCTGGTCGATAACATCGCCAAAGAAGTAGGCGCCAGAGCCGAAGACGAAGAGGCAGTTCTCGGCATTGGTGGGGCCGGCGTAGAAGAAGGCCTGGTACTCGCGGCCGGTGAGCCTCTTGAAGTGGGCCCAGATGCCGTTGGCGTACTTGAGAATGTCCTCGGAGGAGACGACGGGCAGCGACGAGTCGATGGTGGTGGCGTTGGAGGAGATGACCGAAGGGGGGCTGTCGGTGACGCTATGCTCGGCGCTGGACTGTACCGAGGCTCGGGACGAGTCGAGCTTGGAGTGCACGGACGAAGCGAGTTCGGAGGAGCTCAGGCCACTAATGGGCGAGGAGCCGGTCGGCGGCACGTCGGATCGGTCAGAGGCGACCGGCAGTCGGCCGTCATCGGCATAGATGCCGACAGCCGCTCCCGTGCCGTTTGACGGCTGCTGGAAGCGCCTCGCGGCGTCAACGTCGAGGATCTGGCGCACGAGCTCAGGGTCCTCGGCGTCGATGGGCGCGTCGTTGTCGCTCGAGGACGAGGCGAAAAAGTGAACGACACCCTTACCGGAGCGCAGGGCGAGGGCGTGTGCCGTCAGGGCCATGTCCTGAGCCTCCTGCAGCGACTCGGACTGGAGAAAGGTCCATCCCGAGTTGCGGATGGCTGTGATGGCGGAGAAGTCGGGGAAGCCGGCGGGCTGGAGTGAGACGTGCAAAACGACGGGGTAGTTTGCCAGCTTGTACAGGTGGGAGACGGCGGGCAGGAGGGTGGTTGAGGATGTCGTGACGGCGACGAGCTTGCCGGCGCGCGAGGGCGCGAAGACGGAGAGAAGGGGGTCGGCATTGTGTCTGACGTGTTGGACCTGGGGGAGACTTCAGTCAGCAAGTGTCTTCTCTCTTGCGCCGCAACGACGGGCAAAGGATTGGATGCTCACCTCGGGAACAGAGGCCTTTGCGACGAGGCTCTTGTCGCCGCGAGCGACGTAGCGCTTCAGGTGGGATGAGAACTCGGAGTCCTTGGCCAGCGACGGCTGGACGGAGACGACGACATCGCTGGAGAGGTATGCGATTCTCGCAACTGGGGAGGGCGCAATGTTAGCAATGCAATTGTTGCTGTCGTGGGCCTGCGCGGGCGTCGTCGTTGTCCATCATCGTCGCTCTCTCTATCTCGTCTTTCCCATCGTCCATCGTCCCTCCGGTGGCGGGCGCTGGGGGGGGGGGGGGGGGGGGGGCGCTGGACGCTGGGATGCGACAAATAGCAGAGCTCTGATTGGCCCGTCCTCGGCGTCGCTGGAGCTTCGCTATAGCTACAGCGGGCAATGCGCTGAAGGACGCCGCCGCTGCAGGCCGTAAAACAGGGGAATAGGGTATTACTCACCGGCCTCTCCAGGCGTCTGGATCTGGCCTCTTGTCGGTGCCATTGTCGATGTGTCTGGGGTTTTTGTTTTTTGGGGGGTATCGTATAAGTCGCTGGTCTCGCCGTCGAACAGATGCTCTTTGCTGTGCGCTTTTCCTCCTCTGAACCGGTTTACAAGCAGTTGTTGGTAGAAAAGAGTGAACAATACGACAGCAGCGGTAGCAACAACAGCAACACAACCACCGGTGATGGAGATTGACGACGGAGAGGGAGGGATGCAAGGCAGGGAAAGCAAAGTGGAAGGGGGGAATAAAAAAAAAAGTCCAGAAACTGCGAAACAGCTCCGATGCTTTCTACTTTCGGATTTGATTCCCTGGTCCAGGTTTCGTCGTCCTCAGCACGTCTTAAAGCTGGGCCACGGCTTGCTCTTGCTGGTCTTCGTTCCCACCGATGAATTTTGCCCCGCAGAAAACAATGAATTTTGTCGACATCAGGGTCGATTGCGTGATCGGCTAGCGCAGCGTCTCCCCCAGTCCCAATTTGCTGGCGGGCTGATGGCCGCACTGCTCTTCTTGCGGCTTTGGGGGGTCGCATTTCTTGGGGGAACATGCCCCCATGCCGCCATGGCAATAGGTACTTGCGTAGTAGCGACCGGCCACGGCGCAGCAGCTCGTCAGCCAGTGCGCGGGTGGCCAACGGCGGGCGGGTGTCCCTCTGTACCATTGCCGGCAACTTTTGCCCCATTGGGTACCTCGCAGTTCTTCATCATTGACTCTTGTCCCTGTCGTTTAGTGTCCTGTATTAATCATGACTTGGAGTCTCTGACGGGCAGCAGGTGTCGGATGTCCTTCCAGGACCCTCACTTATTCTTTAAATCATCCAGTGAAGTAAGTAATGTACTCGCTAGTGACCAAAGAAAGATGGCACTTCTTGGCTTCCCAAATACCCATGAACACATTGCCAGCAGCGGGGACAATGAGGAAGGGAAATGGGGGGGAAAAAAACAAAGTCGCCTGCTGTCCCAAGACAGACCGAAAACCAATGGCCGAATGCCGAAAAAGGCCGTTGTCGGCCGGGAACTCTCTCACTCATTCCTCAGTCCGCAGACCTGGGCCGCTGGATGGAGAAAACAATCTTTCCCATCCACATGGAGGCGAGTCAAACTAACACCGAACGCCTCCAACGCTACAGCATCTTATCCATCCGTACGGAGTACATGTGCTCCATATCCCGTCGTGGACCCCGTTGAGCCCAGCCCACGTCCCCATCCCCCGGGGAATATTTCGGATTACAAATGCTTGACACTGTATTTGCAGTTTCTGCCTGTCACCGGATGCTCTCTCCGAAGCCCAGCCTGGCCGGCATTTTACTGGTTTCCAAATCATCGAATCATCGGGCTTTCATTGAGCAGCAGCAGCTTCTTTCATGGATTATTATTGTACTAAGCGTCTTGTATAATGTATCATACTGTCCCTATTCGGGATTTGAAGCGTCTGACCAGTGACCCAAAGTCCCACTCCTCGTCACCTCTTGGCCACAACCTAATGATCCCTTCCGCTTCCCAGTCATCCCAAACGCCGACATCCTCATACCACAGCAGTCGTTTTGTTACATAAAATAAGAATTAAAATAAAATAAAAGCCAGTAAATCCCGACTTGTAGCGCTCGGTGATCCACTGGATCGCGTGCGCTGTTCCATCCACATTGACCAAATCCCCCATTCCAGCGATGCACTGTCGACCAATGACACCATCGCGAGATGGCATCATCGCACCCCAACCACCATCGCTGGGGTGACGGGTCACGACCCGTTCCCGGACCCGCCCAGGGGCGGTCAGGCCATCCGCGATGCCGCCGACCTGCCGCGCCGATACCCATCACACCCGACCGAACAACCGCCGTAGCCTCCCGTACTCCCACGTACTTAAACCCCGGCGTGCCGGAACTTGGCGCTCGCCGCGCTCGCCCACTCCTCCTGCGGCCTCTCGCTCATCCAGTACCCACGACCGAGCGCGAGCATCACGCGACCCAGGCGGCCGCGGGATCCCTCGCCGCCAGGCTCGCCCTGTGAAAAGGGACCATCGGGGCCCTTCTTGCGGCCTTCCTCCTCCCAACCCGTCTCGGTGTACCGCTGCAACACCTGCTGCACGTAGGACATGACCACCAGCGCAAAGTAGACACGCACGAGGGTTACGAAGCAGATGAGCCCCAAGCTCATCCACGATTCCTGCGGGCCAATGTGCTTCGTCGTCTTGGGCACGTCAGGGACGACGGGCGCGCCGTTGGCAAGGGCCGTCTCGGCGATCTCGGCGCCTGCGGGGGTGCTGGCGCTCCCCGGGTGCTTGTCGAGGGCGGTGCTGTTGAGGTACCAGTTGACGGCGAAGAAGGTGGTGTAGGCGGCGTTGAGAATCGTGTCGATGATGTAGAGCCATGCAAGGCCGAGGTTCTCGAAGGGGCTCTGCTTGCGGATGTGGGGGAAGAACATGGCCAGGAGCACAACCACGCCGAGCGAATAGAGATACATGGACAGCTGCGTCACTGACAGCTCGTAGCCCGTGAGGATGGCGAGCAGACCGTAAAGGCCGGTGAGCCTGTTGAAGAGGAGAATCAAGGAGATGACCTCAGTGCCCGTCTGGAGGCTGATGCAGCCCAGGAACGTCTGTTGCGAGAGCATCGCGTGTTAGCCGCCTTTGCGATTACGATCATGGATGCGCGGCTGGATGTCAGGCCGAGATCATGTAAGGCATACCTTTGGACGCGGGAACCGCAACCTGAATCTCGAGAGCGCCATAATGTCCACGTCTTCACTTCGTACTTCACTTGGTGATGGTGGAGAGTTGTCGTGTGAGCGTATTGCGTCAGAAACAAGGGGTCCAGGAGCTCTGATAAAGGGTGGTGGGAAGCTTTTGGAGGAATCGGTCGCAAAAGGAAGGCCCGTCACATTTAACCAAAGCGGCAGCGCCGGATGACATGGGAAAAATACTAGGCAAAAAAAGAGTGGAAAGACCCTGCGTTCTCGATGACATATGATGAGCCCCACCGCATCCGTCATAGCGTCACGCCCCGGGGCGTTCGTGCCTGAGCGCCGCTCTCTGCAGCAACAGCAGCAGCAGCCGCGGCGATTGGTGGTGCCGGTGTTGCTGGCACTGCTGATTGCAACACTGACACCATGACCCGGCTGCGGAGAGTGTCGTATCCAGGAGGTGAAAATCGATTTTGGCCCGCCGGACTGGCACCATGCTCGATGGACCCCGGTACTTGGTGACAGACAGCCCGCCGCGGCACCACGGACGTCGAACCATCGTTGGAGTCTGGTCAATGTGGTCTCGTGTCATTTCGGGCGGTGAACAAGCCAAATTTCCAGCCTCTCGCCAAGACGGGCACCCTCATCATCTCACACGTCAGCAAGGCTTGCAATGGGAAAATGCATAGTAATTTCGGGATAAAAGAAGAAGAAAAAAGAGCCATTAAATGTAGATATGTACTAACGACTGTGGATTATAGCCCGTTATTATACAAACTGTAACTTGATGCTGAAAATCCCCATTGCACGCTATGCTTAAGATGTCCTGCCCCGCCAGTCATGTTCGTAACGTAACGGCAATTCAACCCCTGCTTCGTCCGCGACGGTTCGTCTCAGGGCTGCTACAGTCATTCCACGTTTATTTTCAAATCCGTCTAGCACGCGCATCCCTCTTGCGAGGACTGAGCCGGGGTTGTCTTCACGTCGATCACTGCGTCGAGGTTAGCAAATCTCGGTCTGATGCCTGCTGCTGTTGAGCGAATACGCACTTTGGCTCGAGGCCTGCGCCGCGGCGTCTGTTCCCTCCATGCCCGGGAGAGCCTGCGCTATTCTCTTGAACAGCGTCTTGACGTTGTGACCCAGCTTCGCGCTAGTCTCCACGAACATGAGGTTGTTCTTCTTGGCCTCTTCCTCGCCCTGCTGGGTCGTCACCTCTCTCTTGTCGTTCAAGTCCGTCTTGTTGCCAACGAGGACAATGATCACGTCGTTTCCTCTCTCGGCGCGCACGTCATCAATCCACTTCTTTGTGTTCTGGAAGGATTTCGCATCTGTGGACCTGTTGTTAGCTGCTGACCCGTTGCTCCTTTCTGCCTCGCCCGCCACATACTTGAGATATCGTAGACAACGACCGCGACACTTGAGTCGCGGATGTATGAGGGAATCAAACTGCGGAAACGTTCTTGTCCGGCGGTATCCCAAAGCTGTAATCTGACGGTTCGGTCCTCAAGGTACATGGTCTGCAACGAGTTAGACGGTGTATTCGAGCCGGACCGGGAAGGCGGCCCCTCCGAGGATCATTGACAGCTTGCCTTGGAAAGAAAGTCGATTCCGATCGTCGCTTGGTACATGTTGTCGAACGAATCGTACATGAATCGAGTGATGAGGGATGTTTTCCCCACTGCAACAAAGAGCTTGTTAGCAAGGCATGCAAAAGACTAAAGGACAACCGGTAAACAAACCGCTCTGTTCGCCCAAGAAGACAAGCCTGGTTAAATGTTGTCAGTGGGATATTCAATTGTCATTGTCGAGTTTGCGCATCGTACTTGAACTTCTTGAGAGGGTTGTTGTAAGACCCGCTTCCGCCGGACGCCATGGTTGCTAAGTGCTCGTGGTGATCAAAGGGAAGCTCGAAGTAGTATTAGGGACCGGTTGGTTTGTGGGACGATCGACACTAACGGTTGCAGCAAAAGACGCTTGATGCAAGGGATATGAGTTTTGGGACGAAGCGGAAGGCCGGGGACAGAGGAGGAACAGATCGAGGGCGATCAGGTAGCGAGGAGGGGACGTGTGGCTTTTGGGTCGCGACCTGGGTTGAGCATTGGACGGTAAAAGGAGGTCAACTTTCCTTCCCTCTGGGCGCATTGCACCCCCCGTCATCCACTTTCAGGATCCATCCAAAAAGACGGGGAAGATCACGTGGTGATACGAGATAAGGGATAAGACAATCGATTAGCGTTGAGACCTTGTTAACCGTATCTCAAAAATTTCTGGACGGTCCAGGCCCCGCCGTGGTGCAGAGTGCAGAAACCGACGTCCATCAAACGGCAGGGTGCGCAGATCGACTTTTTCAGCCAAAAGAAACCTTCCCCTAGGAATATTCCACGGATTATTTCACATTTCGAACATACCGAAAAGTGACCACTACTGTTTTTTTGGCCCACAGTCAGCATGCCTGTTCTCAAGCCCCTTTCGGGCGACGGTGATGCGCCGCAGCAACACAAGCAACCCTCGAGAAAAGGCAAGAAGGCGTGGCGGAAGAACGTCGACGTTACCGAGGTGCAGGACGGTCTTGATGAGCTGAACAAGCAAATCATCACGGGGTACGATACAGTCTCTTCCTGCGAGGAGGATCCAATTGTCACAAAAGCATGAGTAAAATACTAATAAGCCCCAAGTGGTGTCGTCGCAGAGAAGGACTCGGCCGACCTCTTCACCCTCGACACCGTCGGCAAGATCGAGAAGCGCCCCAAGCCTAAGAAGACCCTTAAGTCGGAAGAGATTATTGCCGCCCGCTCCTCCGTGCCCGCCGTCTCCTCCCGCAAGAAGCGCGAAAACGAAAGCACCAAGACGGCCAACGGCCTCCTGCCCGTGAAGCGCCAGCGCACCGACTGGGTCTCGCACAAGGAGCTCGACCGCCTGCGCAGGGTCGCCGATGGTCAAGAAGAGTCGAGCATTATTCCCCAGGAAGCGACGTATGATCTCTGGAGCGCCACCGCGCCTGCCGTTGTAGCGGCGGCAAAGGCGGACCCCAGCACCACCAAGGAAGACAACTTCCTCCCGCCCGTGGTGAAAGCCAAGCCTCCCAAGACACTCAAGCACAAGCCTCTTTCCCTTGCCGCCAGCGGCAAGCAGATCCCTGCGGTTCTCAAGCCGACGGGTGGTTACTCGTACAACCCGACGTTCGACGACTACGCCGACAGGCTCGAAGAGGAGAGCGCCAAGGCAGTGGCGGCGGAGCAAGCGCGTCTGGCCGCCGAGGAGGCGGAGCGCGTCAAGCGTGAAGCCGTCGCCCGGTCCGCAGCCGAGGCCGAGGCGGCCGAGGCCCGCGCACAGCTGTCCGAGTGGGATGAAGACTCGGCCTGGGAAGGGTTCGAGAGCGGCGTCGACGACGACAAACCGTCCCTGAAGCGACCGCAGCGCAAGACGCCGCAACAGAGAAACCGCATCAAGCGTCGCAAGGAGGCCGAGCGCGAGGCCAAGCACCAGCTTGCGATGAAGAAGAAGGCAGCGCAGGCGGAGCAGATTAAGCAGATCGCCGCGGAGATTGCCGAGCGGGACGCATCCAAGAACGCGCTGGCGTTGGCGAAGGAGGTCGGTGAGGGCAGTGACGCGGATGATGATGACGAGGTCGTCGACGAGGGCCGTCTGAGGAGGAGACAGCTCGGCAAGATGAAGCTGCCGGAGAAGGACCTTGAGCTGGTGCTCCCTGATGAGCTTCAGGATTCGCTGCGCTTGTTGAGACCGGAAGGAAATCTGCTCAAGGACCGGTACCGCAGTCTGCTCGTCCGCGGCAGGGTGGAGGCCAGGAGACATATTCCGTTCAAGAAGCAGGCGAGGACGAAACTCACGGAGAAGTGGTCGTACAAGGACTTCAAGATTTAAAGGGGACTTACATCAAAGGGCATCGGAATAATAATTCAAAAGCGTGCATATTCTGGGGTTTCACTTGACTCGGTCATACATAGGGTGCTATCAAAAGTCTTCGAGCGGCATAACAATAACAGACATCTACGTAGCTCGTCTCTTTCTCTTCTCTTGACCTTTGGTCGTGCAACTCTATTCTCTGCATGACGCCAGGTGCCTTTTATCCCTCGTACTCCACAGGGTATGCTGACACAAAAGGAAAATAAAACTCATTCGTACGGCACTGTTGGTCGTATCTAGTAGCTCATTAAATCTAGATATTTGTTAGCAATCATACCTTCAAGCGCATACGTCAATGGCAGCTTACCTCTTCCAAAAAGACCGCGCTTGGCCCAGTCCATGGCAAGCAGAATACGTGTCCGCAAGCTGACGCTTTGCGCAAAGTAGACGGACCGCCACATATAGACGGCCCACAAACCGCCGGCAAAGTTCCAACCTTCGCCCCAGTCGAACACAGCCGAATTGCCAATGTACGCCAAGCTGCCGAGATGGCGGTACTCAAACGCCTTGTACACGACGGAATCGATGTCGCCGTCTAAGACCATGTTCGCCTTCAGGCCGTCCGAAGTGCGCGCCAGCTTGTTAAACTTGTGCGCAAGGTACTGGCCTTGCTGGTGAGCGCGCTGCGCCGTAGCGGGCAGTGATGTAAGCTTGGAGTCGATCTGCTTCAGCAGTTCCCTAAGTTCGCCAAAGTCGAGGGTGCCAGACTGGTCCTTGTCAAACTGCTCAAAAAGCTTGTCGAGGCGCTTCAGGTGGCTGACGGCCTGGGGAAAGCGCTTCTTAACGTCGTTGGCCACATCACGCCAGTCGCTGAAGTGCAGCTCCAGGGTCTCGGGATCCATGCCACGCTTGAAGGCGACTCCGCGAAGGAAGGTGATAATGTGGTCAGCAACATTATTTTGGACCGTCGAGCAGTCGCCAATGGCGTACACGTCGCCCAGAGGCGTGCCATTAAGGCGGAGATGGGTGTCAGTTTCGAGGGCGTGGCGGTTCGTCTGCGATGGCCCGAGTTTGGCGGCCAGGCGCTTGCAAAGGTCGGCTTGGGCGACACCGGTTGACCAAAGGCAGAAGCCCATAGGGAGCTCCTTAGTGAGGAGAGACCCATCGGGCTGCTTCTGAGTGAAGACAATCTTGTCAGGGAGGACTTCCTTGACGCGGGAGTTTGTGAGAATGTCAACCTGGTCGCGGGCGAAGTGCTCTTCAGCGTACTTGGAGACAGCTTCATCATAGGTGTTGAGGATGTGGCTGCGGCTCTGGATCAAGTGGACAGAGATCTCGTTGCGGAGGAGCTTGGGGAAGTGCTGCGTCAGGTCTTCGTTGAGCATGTCGAACAGCTCGGCCGCGAACTCGACACCGGTAGGTCCACCTCCACTGACGACAAAGGATAGGAGACGCTTGCGCTCGTCATCAGCAGTCGTCGGCAGGCATGCCTGCTCGAGGTTGTGCATGACCTGGTTCCGAACCTTGCGCGCATCGCTAATGTCCTTGAGGAAATGAGCGTTTTCCAGTCCCTTGACACCGTGGGGGTTTGTAGTCGATCCAACAGCAATAACCAGCTTGTCGTAAGGAACGTAGAAACGGGTCTCTTTGCCAGAGGCGTCGGGTTGAGAACATTCGATCAGTTTATGGGAAAACTCTACATCCTCTGCTGATGCGCGGATGAAGTGACCGTGAACGCGAGAAAGGATTCGACGGACCGGTTCAACCAAAGATCTGAGTTCCAGTGTTCCTACAGTAGCAGACGGGAGCATGGGCGTAAACAAGAAGTAGTTGGTTGGCGAGATAACGGTAACGTGGTATTCGTCCGGGTTGAGCTCTTTGAGGAGGGCCACGCCGCCCCATCCGCCGCCGAGAATAACTAGCTTCGGCTTGTCCTTTGCGCTTTTCATGTCTTCGTTATCCAGGTCGTCGATCAAAACCTCGGCAATTGGCAGATTCTTGGGTCCGCCCCTCTTGGGATTCAGCGCCAACTCGCATACATTAATTTCGGATTGATCGGGGTGCTCTTTATATGTGGAGGCGTCGTAGACGAAGAACCCAACCACGCCCAGGCCGACGAAGATGACACCGCTGCCGAGCCATACCGCGCTGCGGTATGCGAAGCGAAGAATTCGTGATTTTGGTTTAGTAAGAGGAGTTGCGCCTGAGACGGATCGGATAGCGGTTCCCTTGGGCAGGCCGTGAGCATTGAAGAAGGAGTTTGCGATAGGTGTCCGGGTTGTTCGTGATCGTGGAGGCAAATTAGCAAAGGCGCGCCTCTGAGAGGCGACAACCTGTTCTCTGCATATCGGCGAGGTCTTAACAAGGCTGGTTGGCAAGATCTGGAAAGTGGCGCGAGGAAGGCGCATCAGCGCCGATGTGGTGGGAGGCATTTAATTATCGCGACTCGGTTGGGTTGGAACGTCTGACGATGGAGTCGTGTGTACATTCAACAGGGAGATGTCATGTCGAAACGAGTGAAGGGGAAGCAGTTGAAGCTGTTTGGTGGTGTCGCTGGGTCGTTGGTTCTGACAATTGGAGAACCAGAAACGAATTGATGATTGTGATTTTCAAGGAACAGAAAATCCAAGGCGTAATGGCTACGGAAAACAACGATCTAGGGGCTGGCGGGACAGCTCCCTGACATATGCGTAATGATGCTCGTACTAGGTCAAGTCAGGAGCGACAAATCCGAGGAGCTCCTGTCCCGGTAGCTCCAGCTAGTACGTCATTGTTCGGTTAAGCCGAAAACCCGCCTCCCATGCAATTACCCAGCACGGCAGGCAGCGCCAGAATATTCCAAGAGCCGCCGGGCTTTTTCTCTGCAGCTGATCAGAAAGAAGAATCCTTGGCCAATCTTTCATGTTATTGCATATCGCCTCCCGCCGACAACTCGGACTTTCGTTTCGATTCCTCGTCCCGTGGTCGGTGCCGCGTTCCTCGTCCTCCGAGCTGATAGGATCTTCACGGGGGGTTCGCTCGCCAAGACCAGGTTTTTAGCGACTGTGATCTCAGTCAGCGGCATCAAAGGCGCATGCCGCGTGCCGGAATCCCCACCACCATATCCACTCCTCGGTGCCTCACTCGGCCAATTGAAGCTCGACGTCACCCAGTAAACCAGAATCTTATCTGCGGCTCGGCCAGAACTGTGGAAGCGACGGATGTTGCCTTACATGCGAAGCTGAGGCTGTCTTGAGTCAAGCTCGCGCTGTACCGAGATTCAAGATACAGCTTGGTTTATGTTGGCACTGCCTATGCATCTTCTTCTTCTACTGACTGACTTTGTTGTTACTATATGGCTGCTTGTTGCAGGTGGACTACGACCGGCTGAATTGCAAACCTCCTCAAGAACGGGCATGAGCTAGCATCGGAAGTACTTCTTCTCAACCCAGCGATCCTCGATATCCGGAAGCATATTGCAAAGGACGATGGTGATGCCAGGGAAAACCTTAGCAAGCCGGTGAACACCAAGCCTTCCGGCGGCATAGCATGCCAGTACAATCTTCTCCTGGGCAACGCCATGGTCCACAAGGACCTGCACAGCCATGAGTGCGGCACCTCCGCTGGCCATCTGTGTGTCAATCAGTAACACCGACTCATGTTCGTCGATGTTGTCCGGAAGCTTTAGATAATGCAGCTCGGGCTCTCCAGTTCGTACGTTGGACTGAATAAGGACTCTACCCGTCCTCATGTCTGGGACAACTCTTTTCAACGCAGTCTCGAAGGCAGCACCACCTCGGAGAACAAGCACCGCACTAACATCGCCAGTAGGCTGAAGTCCGTTATACTTATGACCTTGTGGCGTGGAAACTGTCTTCTCTCTGAACTGTACATTGTTGAGCGCCCTGCAGGAGTCAGCCTGATGCGTTCGTGGTAACCCCAAATCCGGCGATACTCACTGCTCAATCAGAAGGCAGGCAAGGCGGTCGAAGTAGAAGATGAAGTCTTCTGCCGACGTGTCGATGTCCTGGATGATCGTACACATGCCTCTGAGTTGTGGTGTCTGGTCCAAGATCACAACTCTGTCAGACAGAGGGTCGCTGGCAGCAGCGAGCTCAAGCTGTGTTAATGCTGCCCGGTGGTGAGTTGACTTTTCGATCAACTTTCGCTCGATGTACTGAACAACCATGGCTAATTGATATCTTAGTTGAGAGCTGACGCAAGTGGATCGGCATACTTACCCATTGCGACATGGTTTTCGATGCCTCGGGGCACGATGATGTCTTCTTGTTGTCAGTATCCAGGCAGGGGCTTTGCGAAGAGGGTGTAACTTACCTGCTACTTTGCGTTGAGGCTCAACGAACTGGTGATGCGTCAGAACAGACAGACATGAGAGACTCTGATTTGAGCTCCGTTACCTTCTCGAAGTTGGGCTTCACAAACTTGAACCACTGCTTCATGATTCCCTCAACATCTCGGGCGCGCTCCTTGACATCTCTCAACACTACCACATATGGTCAGCCTCTATCTAGACAAGTGTTATCTCCGAGCTGTATATGACCAACCTCTTCGGGAAAGACATGTGTCGGCATCCGCTTCACAGAATATCTAGATTTCTGTCAGGCCTGATTCAAGTCCTGGTCTAATTAGGGAATATATACCCTCATGTCCAAAAGATCTATGATACGGGGATCGTGAAGAGCAAAGATGCCTTCCAGAATAATGACGTGAGGCGAATAGATGGTTGTGGTTTGATCTAGTCGTTGATGCTTGGCAAAGGAGTAAACAGGAACCTCAGCCCGTTTACTAAGGTTGAGTGAGATGGTTAACTTACTTCACCACAGAATGCAGGTACACAGCTCCATTATCGAAACGAATTCAGGACGCGAGTGCCATGGCATATTAACTTACCCAGCCTTGAGATCCCGTAAACATTGCACGAGAATATTGAAGTCGATGGCCTGTAAACATGGTCAGCAACCAGGTTGCCAACAACCACAAGCCACGACTCACATCAGGCGCATCAAAGTCAAAGTCGTTATCAAAAGCCCTCTTGGATTCCTCAGGAGTCAAGGGATTATAGAAAGAGTCCTGTCACCAAAAGGAGTCAGAGTCGGTGCTAAACGGTTGGCGGGGTAGATGCACACATACCATTGACAAAATCACCACCCAAGGCAGATTCAGCTTCCTCACAATGGCATGCGACAAAGTCGACTTTCCCGAGCCCGAACTGCCAGCAATGCCAATGATGCTGACATCTGCCCATGGTGGAGAGTAGTGAGTTCGTCTTTGAACCGTCACATGAGATTCGGTGCCACTGTGGTCGTCAGCCATTGTGAGTCGGAGGTCGCCGATGTCGAGGCGCGGGGGAAGGATGGTATTGGTTAACTGCAGCTAGGACCTCGAGAAACTGCAACTGGGCGAACAAAGACGACGACAACGACGCCGACAATACGCTGCAGGAGTTGGGAGCCTCGGGTCTGCTTCCTTGCGAGGGGGTGAAGAAGAAAAGAGGCTCAAATATAAAATGAAAACAGGAGGCAAAAGTCAGGGTCCAGGTATCCAAAGATAAGCGCTGAGGGGGATGCTGGACTTTGACAAGCCTGGGCAGGTGGAGCTTCTGAACATCAAGGGTGTGCTACGTTGTAACAGGTGCTGACAGGCCAGCAGGAAGAGAACCTCTGGTCGAAGCTGTAGCCGGAAGGTTGTTAGAAAAAGCTTCGACAGTTGGAAAATCTTGTCGTCTTGCTTGGATTCAAGCACCAAGCATCAGAAAAGGAAGAAACTTCAGCAAGGACGAAGAAGTAGAAGTGCTCGTGTGCTATCTTGCCTCTTGGGCCTCCCATGGCGCTCAGGGTCTAGACGCTCGCAGCTCTCCGCCGATGGGTAGGCACGCTGCTCGGTTTTAGGTAGGCTGCGGTGCGGTACCTTAGGTTTCGTAGGTACCTGCCTCTTGTGCCTCTGGTGGAGTTCGCCCTGCACTTCTTGCCCTGTCGAGCCCGCTTGCAGCTTCTGCTCATGTGGCCGGAATTACATAATCATGGCTGCCCCACGTCAAGCACCGGCTGATTCTGCGATTGGTCCCCTGCAGCCGCAAACTCTGGAACCGAATAAAGCTCCGCTCCAGCCTCTTTCTCTTTGTTCTGACGTTTTCTCCTTCTTCCACATCCAATCCCATTTCTTCTTCAGCTTCTTTCAAACCTTTCAAACAACAAACAAACGGGAGCTCGAACGGCCACTCAAATGTGACGGCCGCCTAGAGTCTGATCCTGCCTTGCTTTCCCTGCTTTGCGCACCTTCCATCGCATGTCAGGATTGCCGGACATCAACGATCCAACAGCGATAGCAGTCTGGAACAGAGCTGCTGCTCGTCTCGTGCGGGAGACCTTGGAGAGAATCATGGTCCGTTGAGCTCCTGTGTGCCCTCCTGCCGGGCTCTGGCCCTGGTCTTGCTGGACAGCAGCTAAGATGTCTTTCAGACTTCGTCTGCGTCGACGGCTACTCCCATGAAGCATGCCTTCGAGAGGCGTGTTCAGGACGTTCAGTCGCCCAAGAGGTAAGCCTTTTCATTTTCCTGCTGCCTACTAGCCCGGCGCTAGCTCTCGAGCTGGCCCATATCACCCTCCCCTCCAGCTCACATGATGATCGACTATCAAATGGGAATCTCTCCTAGCAATTACCATGCGGAGAACTCGATATAAAATTTACCCTGATACCTTTGCTGTTTTACATATCTACAACTTCGACGCGCACTCAGAGGAGAACTTCTGTTAACATGATTCTCTAGCGACATCAACGCCCTGATCCTCGACTACCTGACTATGGAGGGCTATCCTAATGCTGCCGCAAAATTCAGCAAGGAAGCCAATCTGCAACCCTACCAAATCGACGAGACGATCAAGGTCCGTCAGCAGATCCAGAAGTCAATCCACACCGGAAGCATTCAGTCCGCCATTGAGGCGCTGAATGATTTTGATTCGGAGGTACGTGTTGCAATTTTCTTATTCTGCCCTCCCACACTTTGCCGTGATTAGACATTGAGTTATCATGCACCACTCATAGCACCTTCGGGTCTTTGATGAGAAACAACCACTTTTTATATGAGCTTTCCTTCATGCTTCTACTTTTCAATATGCATTCAATTCCATGCACATTGTCTAACAAGTACACTAGATCCTGGACCGTGATCCGACTTTGCACTTCGCTCTGCTTCGTCTGCAGCTCGTTGAACTGATTCGTTCGTGCACGAACACTCCTGGCGGTGATATTACTCCCGCCTTGACGTTTGCTACAAATCATCTAGGGCCTCGGGCGCCAACTGATTCTCGTTTCCTCAAGGATCTTGAAGAGACGATGGCGTTATTGATCTTTCCTCACAACGATCTTGAACCTCAGCTGGCAGCCATTCTGCACCCAGACCTGAGACGGGATGTGGCAGATGACGTCAACAAGGCCATCTTGCAGCGTCAATCGGAGCGTAGGGAGGCAGCGATTCGACAGCTAGTCAAGATGAGGGCTTGGGCCGAGTCCACTGCGAGAGCAGAGAAGAAGGCACTTCCCGACCGAATTGGACTCGGCTTGAATGGAGATGAGAGTGACGGGCATGATCAAATGCAGCTGTCTTAGGACGATGGCAGTGACGCATTCAAGAATGACAAAGAGGACTTGGGCCCACCAATGGACGCTCTGGTGGATAACATGGACCTCGACTTGTACCATGTTCCGCCGCGCATGCGCGAGCGATCTCAGGCTATGGCGGAGAATGGCTATGCGGAAGAGACGTTGGTTGGGTTTTAAGTTCACACAAACCTAAGTCGTTGAGCGAGCATCGGCGTGGGAGCGAGGGCGCTGTCACACATGCTTGTCGATGAATCATCTAAGGGATCACGGCCTGAATAACTGGCCTTGGAAATACAATCAGCGCACGGCGTTTAAGAGCAAGGTTTGATTTAGGAATATGGACAACAGGATCGGGATATCCTGGAGGCGTTTGGCATTCGGTCATGACTGAATGAGATTATGGTACATATAGCATTGTTAGGAGTATTCGGCATCGGGTCAACAGAGGACCGATATATGAATAGAAGCTATCATAGCAACTGCGCTTTCAGATTGTCTGCTTTACCGTTCTCCTTGATTAAGAACATCAGATTTGCTACACACAATGTCTCATCAGCCTTCTACTCCCGTCGGCCAACTCTTTCAAAGAAGCCTGTTCGACGTGGGGCCTGAGTGGCCAATCATCATACAGAGAAGTCCGCTTACAACTGAGCAACCGCATGATGTCCAAGAGCTCACCGGTTTCCTCTGCTTTCACGCTATGTCTGGCAGCTTTCAGGTGTTATTTTGTGTACTATAGTAGTTCATGTTCAAGCTATCTGATCACATGGAAGTGAAGCAAAGGGACTATTGGCTTAGTTCAGTATCATAAGATAGGAAATCAAGAAACTTCTTGTAAGGGTTATATACAGTTGGTACAACGTCTATTTGGTGCGGATATGCTTGAGCTTCTTGGGCGAGTAAAGGAAGTTGTTGGCGTAGGCCTTCGGCTTGATTCTCCTCGACTGAGGCTCCGACACAAAGTACTCGTAGCCCTGCTTCTCGGCGAAGTGGATGGCGTCCTCCTTGGACTTGAAGTTGAGCTTGGTACCTTGCATCATGTCTGCTGATGATTGCCAGCCCATCAGGGGGTTCTCCCATCGGTGGCCCTTGGGGAGGATATCCCAGTCCATGCGCCAGTGGTGGCCCTGCCAGTTGCCGGATTGCGTCGCGGGCTTGGCCTCCTGGTAGATGCTGCATATAAGCAATTGATTAGTAACCTGTCTCGATGAGCCTTGACGCGAGGATTGTATGCGTACCGGACAGTGCGGGCCTGGAGCTCCATGGGGGCACCCGAGATAACGGCGGCCTGGAGGTAGGGAACGTCCTCGCTACCGTTCTGAACCTTCTTGGGAACGGGGGTAAAGGTGCTGCGATGGGAGTTAGCGATGGTTTCCAATATTTTGAGACCTTTAGAAAGTCCTCACGAGGTCGCCTTATCGGCGGCAATTGTGTAGTCGGGCCCGTTGTGCTCAGTGGAAGGGGGAACCGCGGCGGGCACTCCTGTGGTGCCGGGTGCGAGCTGGCTCTCGAATCGGCGAGCGGTCATCGGGGCGGAAACTCGGAAGGGAGCGGCGCTGCGCAGCAGGCGCGCCGCATTAAAGGCTCGGAGGGATGCCATTGCGACGATTCGCTCCCTCAATTGATGCAGCGGAAAATCGTCGTCGTCGTCGGGTTGGTATTCAGGGAATGTGATGGTGGTGGTTAACGTTCGGTATTGGCAAGGCGAAAGGGCCTTGCTGGGGCTCCGTTTGGTGACCGCTGATTGGTCGCCGCAAGAACCTTGACCCGAAGAAACGAGTGCTTTTCGTCAAACCTCACTTCGGCAACGGAGCGTCACCTCGTCCACATTACTGCATCAGCCTCCCTCACGTCGAAATCGAAGTCAATTGATCCCGCTCAATTGACTGTTTGCGCCGAGCGACCGACGAAACTTCCCTCCATCCTTTTTCGCGATCTCGATACCCAGGCACCATGAGCTTCGTCCCCCGCCGCGGTCTCTCGACCCTCATTCCCCCCAAGGTGCGCTTCTCCCTCCGCCCGAACAGCAGGTATGCGGAACATCGAGTTAACTGAATGCGACTAGGTTGCCTCTCCCAAGGTACGAAATCTACCCGACTTGCAGTTGTTTTGATGGATGGATGCGACGCCACTGCGAAGATTGCACCGCAAATCGGAGCTTGGGCGCGGAACACGGAGAACGAAGAAAACCGGACGGAGCTGCTCGGAGCTATGGGAAAATCAACATGGGCTAACAAACGAACCTCTTTCCAGGCCCTTGGTGCGGACCCCAACGCTGTTCGCATGCAGCGCGTCGTCAACTTCTACGAGAAGCTTCCCCGTGGCCCGGCTCCCGAGGCCAAGGCCACTGGCATTCTCGGTCGTTACGCCGCTAAGCACTTCAGCGGCAAGAACGCCTCGGCGAAGCGTATGTCATTTCCCGATCGTGATGTGCATCGTTTCCAAGCAACAGTCTGACTTTTCGTGTGTAGCCATCGTCCACGCCATTGGCCTTCTTCTCGTCATCGGCTACGCCCAGAACTACTACTTCCACCTCCGTAAGTCGGCCTGTTGGCTCCGCCAACTCGGCGAAAACAAGAAGATGTGCGAGCGACGATGCTAACGGTTTCCAGGCCACCACAAGAACAATGCTCACTAAGCGACTCCCAATCAGCGGTTGTAGTCCAGCCTAAGGCTGTGTAATGGCATTGGGACTGTGTATATAAGAATTAGAACCTATTCTCCAGGAGGAGGCTCCTCGGCAAATTCCTTTATGTGTGTCCACCATCTACTCGTCAATGTGACCCGACGAAAGACCCGGTTCCTCGTTCAGCCAGGCCGTCGATACGTAGAGCTAGTGCCGAGAGTTTGTTTCAGCTAGTCGAAGATTAACTGAGTGGTATTGTGCTAGTGCCCAACTGGCCCTGATTGCAAGAAAAATAGGCTTGATGCGATGTTGAAGAAAAACGTGTAGTGGGTTGAAGTTTGCAAGAAGGGGACACTCATTGACTTTGGTTGGCCATGCGCGCAGCCGGTGAGGGACCGTTTCGTAGTCTAATGTAAGAATACCATCAATTCACTCATCCTTTCACGGTCGGTAAAACACCTGTCAGTCAGAGGTTGCGGCTGGGCTGCGCCAACCTTTGAACCCATGAATGCTCAGACCATGGCGTTGCGCATCAATGCAGAAAGGTCCAAGAATAGCCCATTTCCATGTCGGGGGATCCCGCGTTGACTCTTTCCACCCCAGCCAACCCAGGAGCACTCTTACACACCCACTCACCCACCCACCTTCCTTCCCAGCCCGAGCTGAGAGCCAACCGTGGCACAGTGCTAGCAGCGCACAGTGGGTCATGTACCGACACTGTCACAGCCTTCCAGTGACCACGTCGGCGGGCAGGACCCCCATCGGGTCCACTCTTTATTCCCTCACCTGCCTCCCCCATTGCACTGGACACTGGACACACAGCACCTCGGGCTTGCTCCCCTGCCGCACGCTAATCCCTGATTAGGCGACTGCAGCTCCTCTGGAAAATCGACCTCACAACCATCACAGCCGCATAGGTGTGCCCTTCTACCACCACCTCACCCCCATCAGCCCAGCGCTCCTTTATTTTTCCCGACTCCCAAATCTCCCCCCAAACGACTACCTTGACGACGATACCCGTCCTTCTGGTAGGGGAGTTCCGAATCCGCGACTTACGAGATCGCATAAACCCCGCGCATCGATCCACGAAACCACCTGATTTCTGCGACTCGTCGCCCAGTCGAGAATCATCCACGAACCCGACCAAACCAACCCGTCCTCTACCACCCCCAGACTTGTCTTCTCCCTCGCTCAGACTCGAGTCCGGAAAAGCCCAACCTCGCTCTTCCAGCGCAGAACATCCGACGACGTATGATGGCAACTGAAGCCACCCTCGCCGCCCCCGTTGATGCTTCTGTCCATTCTGACTCCAAGCTCGTGAGTTCCCTCTTTTCCCCTCTTCCAACTTCACCGCTGGCGCCAGCCCCATCGCCCAACGATCCCCACGTCCCCCTCTTCATTTGTCCCCCATGCAAACCTCACCCTGCCTGCCACCCTGTCGCTTGCCATGGCTAATCTGGGATCCTTCGGGACCCCCGTTCAACAGACTAACGACGCTGACAACCACTCGCACAATGTCGGCCCAGACCGCGCGGATCTGAACGGTAGTCCCGCCGTCGATGACTTAGAAAATAAGCACATCACCGGTGTTGAAGATCAGCTCATTTCAGCAGATGTTAGTGTTAGTGGAGGGTCGGATACGGAAGCATCGCGGGCTGCCCGAGATGGAGAGAAGGGTCACGGAAGGACGTCATCATCCGTCAAGAAACCTGCGACGTTCAAGGCTGTGTCGGTCAACAAAAAGTTTCTAGCCTCCAAAGGCCCCGTGAGTACCTCGACGACCAAACCCGGCGAGAAGACGAACTCGACGTCGATCCTAAGCTCTTCACCGTCGGGAAACTCGACTCTGTCGTCGCGACCGAGACTTGTCGCAAAGTCGGGGACTGGCACGGGCTCCACTCCGCGCGTGAACTCGGCTGCCAATGGCGCCCAGCCCGCCTCGGGCCCTGATCCCAACGCAGTGTGGAACAAGAACCGACGTAAGGCTATCGGGTGTTCATGGCGATTACGGTCTGTTGCTAACGAGGACTTTCAGCTGTTCCTGTTCCGGAACCCAAGAAGCTGACAGACGAGGAACTTAAGAAGTATGGCATTCATATGGCAAGCCGGCTTGCTCCGGAAAGCGGTCAGGCACAAGGCAACTGGGCGGACATAGAGGATGACGACGATGATTGGGCTCCTGAGACTATTACTTGGACAGATGGTACCAAGACTACGCTCCCGCACCCCGACGAAACGCCTGCACCGCCGCCCGAGCCGATCCCAGCGCCGCCGAAAGAGAAAGCAATAGAGAAGCCAAAGTCACCCGCACCACCGCCTCGCACCACCGCCTCGCCCTCCATCAAGTCTGGAGGTCTTGCTTCTGGCAAGGGGTTGATTCTCAAGGCTGGGTCTGCCGACAAGCCAACACTCGTCGCAAAGCCGCCTGCGCCTCCGACGCCAGTAAAATCACCATGGGCTCCTCTTCCACCTATCGAAAAGGCTCCACCAGTCGTCGCAGAGCCACCTGCGCCTCAAGCCGGCACGAGATATTCTGCAAGAGACCACATCGCCAAGAGCAAAACCCCGCCGCCTCACCATGCTAAAGAGATCGCCGCCGATGACTTCAGTCGATCGGCTTGGAGGGAAGGGCCCGCCGCGGGTGGAAACAGGGAGCTCTTCAACTCTCAGTCTGGACGTTACGAGCCGGCACCTGATCGAAGGGGCTCGATGCGGTCCGACGCTCACCCTAGACAGCCTGCCTTGTTGCAGCGCCCATCCCAGTCTGATCACCCGGAGCCGTCCGCTGCTTTTCAGACTAGTAGAAACTCGGTACCCGATGGTCCTTACGGCAGACGTCGCGGATCTTCTGTTGCTAGCGTTGGTAGCGGATCCTATCTGCAACGACCGGGCAAGGGCCACGAGTTGCCGATGCCTCCCCAGGACTTGCTGAACGCACGTAGAGGGTCCATGGCCGGGTCGGTCGATAGCCCAGTCTCCCCACGAAACTTCTCCCCCTCAGGCTTGCAACAGGGTCCTCGGATGCACGGGAACCAGCAGTGGCAGCCTCGGCCATCGCCAGGAACTACCCATGCTAGCTTGCACTCCGCTGGCTCCCAGCCGGATGTCAGACCAGTACAGCCACCCCCGATGGCCCGCTTAGAGGAGGACCTTGAACTACAGAAGAAGATTATGCGCGAGAAGCGTGAGTTGGCGATGCAGAGAAGACGCGAAGAAGAGGCCCGCGAGGAGGCCGCAAGGAAAGAGCGCATCAAGGCCAAGTTGGAAGCTATGGGACCACCTCCGGAACGCAAGAGTGCTAAGAAGGAATCATCACCCGAGGATTTCAGCAGGGTTGCTCAAGCACAGTCGCAATCTCAACAACGGGACGGCTCTGCTGGCGCCGATTCGGGCTCTCAGCCACCAGCAGCGAGCCCTGATTCATCTACCGCGCCAGTGACTACTTCTCACGCGAGTGACAAACCGTTCAGCGACAGGCCCAGCACTGCTGGTGGAGATCATGGAAGAAGACCTGGCGGTCAAGAAGCTAAACAATCTAGCTCTTGGGTGGCACCTTCACCTCAGCAGGAACGTCTTCCCACCTGGGGTACTTCTGCTCCTCAAGCTCCTCGCAACGTTTGGGGGTCGCCCAACAACGATCGCGGACTCGGCAACGGGACTTTCAGCACTGACCTGGCTCAGCTGCCTGGTCAGCTTCCTCAGGCTCAGGGCAAGAAGGGACCTGCGCCCATCGCACCACCCAGCGTGCAACGAGCCCCGCCTCAAATTCCGGCGGCCACCCAGCCTCGCCCTGCACCTGGAGGCCCACGTGAAGTCAGCGACATGAGAAACAGATGGGCCAACTCGGTGTTGGAAGGGGATAAGATAGTTCTGGACGAGAAGAGAACACAGCGTCTCGAGCGCGACCGAACTCTTGCCGAGCGTGGGCTCACTATTGAGCAAGCTCAGGCCTCTATCAAAGACACATGGCGGCCCTCTGGAGACGGCAGACGCGATCCCGCACAAGTCATTCACCATGACGTCTCCGGTCGTGGCATTGACCACCCCTCAGCACCCACTGGCTCATCAGCAGGTTCGATACTGCCTCCCACCGGTCCGTCAGCAGCAACCCAGTCTCGCACCTCTTCCAGGTTCTTCCCCCCAAGGACAGCAGACATGATTCTTCAGGTTCCCATACGGAGCCATCGAGGCCCAACTCACCTTCACCACCGCCTCCGGATATGCTAGGTCACCCAGCTTTCGACGGAGACGCCCTTCATCCCCATGTATCCCTTCCCCGCCCGCATCCCGTTGTGAAGCTACCCCCTTCAGGTTCGGCTGCGCAGCCTCCTGCTTCCAGATCTTCTGGACAATTCGCTTGGGCTACCCCAGCCGGGTATAAGGACGGCCCTGGATCCCATGCGCGCGGGCCTTACCAGCCGAGTCACGCGCCGCATCGGTCGCAAGACCAAACGGGAAACGAGAATTGGCAGGATCGTATCAACAATCTGCTTACAGGACGAAAGCCGAACTCCCCCCCGAAAGCGCCGGGCGTCGAGCCTGTCACTAAGAGTGCTCTCGATTACTCGGGTCACTTCAATCCGGCTACTGTCTCTCTGCCTCGTTCGAGTGTTCAACAGTCTTCGTCAGAAGACGCAAAGTCTTTCAACACAAAGCCAATGGCAGAGGAGTGCTTTGAGGAACAGGAGATGGGATCTCTCCCTCAGATTCGACTCCCGCACAAGACGCCGGACGCTGCATGGCACCCAGCTGCTGCCCCAACCAAGCCATTGCCGAGGCGCTTCTGGGTGTCCGATGTTGAGACGGTCCGCTCATTGTGGTTCCCTCATGAGATGTCCTCTAGCGGCAGTGTGTACCGTATTCTACTACCCGGGATGACCGAGGCCAAGACCGTTGCCCTTCCATTCTCTCGATCGGGTAGCAACCCACGACGATCCAGTGGGCGAGGTGGGCAGCGTGGGTCCGGCCCAAACCATCGAGGCGGTAAAGGTCGCGAGCCCTCTTACTCTGGCGAGACAAGCAATTCGACACCACCTCCCAGCCGTGGAAGCCGCGGCGGCTTTCGTGGGCGCGGATCCGAGAACTGGTCTCGTCGGACACCTCCCACACAAGCAGCATAAGAAAGTGCTGTCAACATAAAACTTTGAAAACACGATAACAAGTTGTTCACTTGTGGTGGGCAGCATGCACTACCAATCGTAGCCGACAAAAGCGAAGGCCACACGAAACGTATGGATACTGTTCTGCATGCTGTAACTGTGTGCATGCGCGAACTCCTCCGCTACGAGCGATAGGCAGTATGTACCATCTCGAAATTTTGATTATTTCCGCAGAGAGCGTTTTGCGTTTTCAGACTTTGATGACCCGGAGTCAACCGGATTGCTTTGGTCAGCATATGAGCATGACCAATTTCGCAAGGACGTGGACACACGGGTTGTGTGGAAGCGAGAGCGAACTCTATTTGTGACTTTCTTCTCTCGACCGCTTCTCACGACATACGAAACTTCGACCACTCCCATCGACCAATATCCCGACTCAACACGAACACCAAGTCCCCGCTAGATCAACAAGGAAAAGCACTGGTCATGTTGACCAAGGTCAAGTGTTTCTTCGTATGATTGGTTTCCATGACACGAATAACGAAACGGCCGGAAGGGGGGACTATGGACGAGGTGGCGGGTGTCCAAGGGAATATTAGGACGGTCGCGGTCTTTTACAAACACCTGATGCGAATGAGGTGACATTACAGGACTCGGATAAGGGCGGTTGTCTTGTGACTGGCACATACTCGGTTACTGCTAGACCAACAGGCTGTAAATGCTTGCGGGCAAATGGATGTCCTTGGTAATTGCAGTTCAAAAAATACACAAACAAATGAAGAAAACACCAGTAGTTCCGTGTCGGTTTTAGTTGCCGAATGCCATACACTGATGCTATGTAGATGACACCACATGTAGATGATGCTGTTCAAACGGTGCCGATCTTCCTTTTGTAAGCATGTCTCACAAACTACTCCTTCCCCAGCTCTCGCAAGTCGCATGAGGGATCGCAGCATTGTGTTATCCTACCTATTTGAAACGCAACTGTTTCTTAGTATTGCCTTGGTTCTATCTTCAAGAAAAAACTCCGATACTTGATTCGTAAGATATGGTTTTGATGACTTTTCGGATACTCAGTGCGACGACGACTGAGATACATGAAGGCATGCACAGCTTGGGGCATAATTTTTCTTTCTCTTGTAAACGAGGCAATACCAACATCAAATTCATCTTCATCGCCGAGCCGCCGAGGCGTGTGCTCTCTCGCAAGCGTCCTTATTCACCGAGTCGGACCAGCGGCCTTGCAGCGGAGAAGTGCCGCGTCTTTGGGGTGCCTGGGGTATGGATTCTTCCAAGAGCAGCGCTGCCTTTTGAAGAAAGAAAGAGACGGACTTCAGCTGAGGTTGACAGGGGAGAAAATGGTGGAGCGGATAACGGGGGAGAGGAATGGGCAGGGTGGGGGGCTTGCTTTTTGGTGCCGAATTTCTCTTTGGCTCTTAATTATCGGATACCATTTCGTAGTTGAACGAGTTGGAGAGCAGAGTGGGTAGGTTTTGGCGACTCTTTCTGGCTGTTTGCGGTCAAACTCGTCATGAGGGCAAATATAAGCCCAAGTCTGGGCGGTGGTGTAGGGGAGTTTGTGGCTTCAGTCTGAGACCCTACTTTGAGCATTTGGGAAATGGTGGCGGCGGTCGCAGACATTAGTCCCTTTGCGGTTCAGCAATGTCTCGTGCATGTCACCATGTTCGAAGGGGGATCAACTAGTGTCTCTTCTGTCGCGGTCGTCCCCCTCCTCGTCCTCCACCCATCCATGCCATCAACACCAAACCTCGAGAGCCCGCATCCACTCGCGAAACCCACAACCCACAAACAATAAGTATTGTTCCTCCGCGGCAGATCCGCATCTCCGAGGATGAGGTCCTCGAATCATGGCAATCAACTGGCCGGTTGGCCCAATGGCAAGGCGTCTGACTACGATCTCAACCCCCATCTCCCTCATCTCGAGCGGATAGGACGGGCTCTACATCAGTTATCAGGAGATTCTGGGTTCGACCCCCAGGCTGGTCATAATTTTTAATCTATAAACCTAACGGTTCACATAAATGCGACAAGGCTCAGTCGTTTGCCTGCCTTCCACAAACTAATGTTCTCGTGGTTCGAGCAATCATGGTGAAATTTCTAATTTTCTTCGCGCTTCATTCAGGACGCTTTGTCCCCCGAACCAACGCGTTGTGGATGTGCGGTAATGATACGCCATTTCTTCCAACCCTTTTCCCTGGGGTTCTCCAACCCGTACGCTTCAACTACCGATCATTTCTAGCCCGCAGTTGACAAATCGCGACGTCTGCCAAGTGTTCAATCACCAAAGTCTAGACTTCCGGGATCTGAGTGCCCAAGAGCAGTGGCCGAGTCAAGACTGGGAAAATGGTCCTGGGCAAATGAATCGAGGGTTTGTCTTGCCCGTCCACCAACGACGGCGATTCCCCCTCCCTCCTACCAGATCTCCGGAATCATGGGTGCGCCAGTGCATGTGTCTGGCCAAACCGTATCAGCGTCCCCTTGATTTCTTTCTATACTGATAAAGGAAGAGTCGCCTTCGCCGATCCCAAACCGTTCATCTCGCCGAAAACGGTTCAGCCACTGACCGCAGTTTGATCTTCCACCCAGACGGAAGAGTGGGATTCAGGCGAGCCCATCGTCCGGCGTAAAACGCCATCTAATTTGCATCCGCAACAAAAAGACCGTTCCTGCAGACATAAACATATTCTTCCCCGCGGCCCGCGCTGCCCCCTCCCCGGTCTCCCAACGAGTGAACCTTGGACTCGTAATGCCTTTCTCGTTGTCGTTGGCTTGTGTGTCTGTCCCTGCTCCATCGCAGTGTCTTGCAGTCAACACCCAATTTGATGGCGGCCCCGTTGACCAATAGTCTGCCGGCCTGCGCCGTGAGTCGACTTCCCCCGACATTTCCCCACAACGTCATGCATATAGGACGGGCGTCACTAATGCTCGTGATGCTTGACCAGGTTCCATGCGTCTCGCAGGCGCTCAACTTCACCACGTGTGCCGTGGCCAACCTGACTTCGGCATGTTTGTGTCAGGACGGCCCTTACATCAGCACCCTGCGCAGCTGTATACGCGGTGCCTGTGATTTGGAGCAGTCATATAGTAAGTCATGTTTGCCTTCTGTCATACTCTTTCGTCCATATAACTTCATCTTCCTGCAATACATCTTCCTGGCTTTGCAAGCCACTCTCGGATCTCACTTCACCATCTACGGCCCCCGCCGGCAACTGACATGCTGACCTCTCTCAGTTGCTAAGAACGCGACATGGACGAGGTGCGGATTCGCATATCACAACCAGACGGGTACCGTGGCCGGCAGGTTCACCCTAGTAATCGGCACAGCCTTCTTCGTTGCCGTGCGATTGCTCTCCAAGGCTTTGAGATTATCGTCTTGGGGAGCGGATGATGTATCATTGATCATTGGATATGTAAGTCTATGCTGCCTCTCTTTCCACGGTGTTCTTACTAATCAGACATGCAGTTCTTCTCGTTATCATTCGCCATCTCCAAGTTTCATGGTAATTTCCCTTGCGATTCGCTTCAAATCTTATACTCCCTTTGTCGTATCTAACACTGTTCCAGGTCACGAGCTCGGCATCGGTCGAGATGTATGGACGCTAACATACGATGAAATTACTCGCTTCATGCAGGTAAGCCTCCTTGCATTGGATATTCTAGACAGCACGACGGCGGATCTCTTGGACATAGAGCCACACCAGACTAAGCATATAACCTACAGGTCTTCTTCGCCTTCGAGGTGATCTACACCCTTAGCATCTCTGCCCTCAAGGCCTCAATACTCTTCTTCTATATTCGCGTCTTCAGCATGGTCAGCAGTACCTTCACCATCGTACTGTGGTCTACGCAGGCCTTCAATCTTGCCTTTTGCATTGCTTTCACCATCGCCAACCTGGCCCAGTGCCACCCTTTCAGCAACGCCTGGGAGGCATGGGACGGCAACCACCCGGGTTACTGTATCAATGTATACGCCATGTTCATCTCGCACGCCGCTATTAATATTACCTTCGACGTATGGTTGCTGGTGCTACCGGTCACACAGGTCCTCTGGCTTAATTTGAGGAAAAGGCAGAAGGCAGAGATTATGTTCATGTTTGGGCTTGGAGTGTTGTAAGTGTAGACGACGAGTGTCCCCCTTTTCGATTTCTTTCCCTTCGTCAGCTTCCTCATGTCCAGTTTGTGTATCGGCGTGAGATCTTTCATAGCTAACCAGTGACTTTGGAAAGCATCACGATTGTTAGCGCCATCCGAATGAAAGTATTGTTGAGCACAGAGAGCTTCAAAGATCCAACATGTAAGCACGAGACTCTTCCTTTGCATTGATCCAAGCCTCATCCCGATTCCTTCACGAACTTTGCTCATCGCCGATTCTTCTCTTACATAGACGATTCTTTCTATCTCCACATGTGGTCCTATTTAGAACTTTCTGTCGGAGTAGTAGTTGCTTGCCTTCCGGCAGCGCGCCAACTTTGGCGGCATTTGGTACCCAAATTTCTACGATCGATCGGTCTTGGTTCGCCAGCGTATCAAGTTCATGCACGACAGGATGACTCCACCAAAAGGCTCAAGGCTATACTGTTCATGAGCACCAGCCAGGACAAACCCATACCATAGAGCTAGAATGAGTTTCCGTCGTATCTCATGCGACCCGGTTGAAGCCCCGATGGCTTTATGCACCGCTCCGACTAGTTAATGCCATGTACTATTATGTAATGATCAGATTATGGACCACAGGGATCACGTTGGGGTGATGGAGAAGTTGTGGTGGGAGCACCTCCGTACCAGGATTCCGAGCCCAGCCTTTATATGTTTCATTACGTTACTCTTCGAAGAAACGATGGGATAGGTCTCATTGTTCAGGCTCTCATTTAATAAGACCTCTGGAGTTGACGAAGAATGCCACACGTCTGATCCATGTCCATGCTTCTCGGCTCAAAAGCTAACAAATCAAACATCATGGTCGTAAATAATTTGGTTTTGAAATTCGAGATTCACGGATACCCAAAGACATTATCAGGGTGAGAGGGAATAGAAGGGGCGAAACACAGGCTGGTTAAGGACTATGCACGTCTGGGGGAGGTTAGGAGATCACTTTACAAGATACTTTTGTGTTGTGCATTTCCAAATCTGAGGGTATTGGCGTTCGAACGGCGCAACAGACTACCAGAGTACGACCTACTTTGCCATCGTGGTCAACTACACCGGCAGTCAAATGCAGCGACCGGGAGCCGGGCTCGGCACCGGAAAAGTGGATATCGACGGAGCCGGTTACTTAACTGCGCCAATCAGAGGATGACGGCTCCGACTCGGACAGAGCGAGTCCCTCTGAACGGCCTTGCTACACATGAAAAGCAAAAAGAAATTGAGAAACTTAACAAATGATCATTACATCCAAGTCATCCCAAGTTCAATGCTATTCTTTAGATATATATTTAGTAGATAAACCGCGTATTGACAGGGGGCTGTGCCATTTCAAAAGCAAGTGGATGCGCCGGGTGGATAATTCACAGTGTTATCAACTTGTTGAACCACAAATCCGCCCAAAACCCACAGAAAGACACTGTTACTCCCTGTTCTATCAAATAAAATGCTGGCCTCTGGGACCACTTGGTTAGCGGGTTCGCCATGCATCATGTTGATACGGTGAGCAGAGGCAACCGTGCTGCGATGGATCGACAAAACAGACACGAGCCTTGGAAACATAAGTTGACGAGGGGCATCGCTATTTTGTAAATTTGTCAACCGTTATTCTTCTTCTTCTCATTCTCAGCCGTCTACTGGTCTACTCATACGGACAGTCATTGAAGCACATCCGCCCTTATCCCGCTGTACTATGTCTACCAGATCCTCCATCCACGACCCGGGCGACCCCAGCCAGCCGCTGCTTTCGCAGCAGCGGCGACACACCAGCACATTCGGCTTTAACTTGCCCTCATTTAATAGCGGTCGGCGCGTGTCGCCCCTATCGGTACGGCGCGCCTCGCTGCTGGAGGTGCATCCTCACCACGACGACGTCGAGCCAGTGCTGCCGGCCGCCCCTGTCGCTGCTCACCATGAGACTCGTCTGCACAAACCCCAATGGGCGCTGAGCGACAGGCCACCCAACACGTGGGCTCAAATCCGCCACACCTGGCGCGAGGAGTTTGCGTAAGTACCCACCTGATGCCATTCGCCAAAACAAGAAAATCTAGGAGCTGACCAAAGACAGCGAGTTTTGGGGTACGTTCATGATCCTGCTCTTCGGCGCAGGCGTAGAGTGTGAGACGCGGTTGAATTACCGAGGGTCCGACATCCGCGAGAACGCTGGCGATTTCCTGCAGTGCCGTCTGGCATGGGCAGCAGGAGTTTCGATGGCTGTGTGGATGTCGGGCGGTGTTTCGGGCGGCCACTGCAATCCGACCGTGACCGTTGTGCTGGCCTTGTTCCGCGGCTTTCCCTGGCGCAAGGTGCCGGGCTTCCTGGTCGCCCAGGTGCTTGGTGCCACCCTCGCCAGTCTCGCCGTCTACCTCAATTACTCCACCAGCATTGCTGCATATGAGGGTGGCACGTCCCGCTCGCTGGTCGGCGAGCACGCCACCGCCGGCCTGTTCTTCACCTTTCCCGCCGCCGGACTGCCCTATGCGGGTGCCTTCTACACTGAGTTCCTCGCCTCGGCCACGCTGGTCGCAATTGTCTTCGCGCTGGCTGACAAGAACAATCTGTCCCCGCCTAAGGGCACCCAGCCTTTCGCAATGTTCCTGGCCCTGCTGGCTATTGGCTCCGCTCTGGGCATTAACACGGGCTATGCTATGAACGGTGCCCGTGACACTGGCCCGCGTATCGCGTTGGCTATCGTCGGTTATGGCTCCGGCGTCTTCACTCACGATTCCTTCTACTGGCTCTGGGCGCCGTGGGTTGCCGCCATAGCCGGCGGCGTGATGGGCGCTAGTGTATACGATGCCTTCATCTATACTGGAAGGGATTCGCCTTTCAACATCCCCCGGAAAGAGTATGACGAGGCTTTGTAAGCTGACACTGTAGAGGGTTGAAATAGGAGACTAGGCGACATGAGTAGCTGGCTGCATTAGTCCGGGAGCCTCGATACTGTCTCAGAAACACGTGTTACTCCGAGAAACGATTTGTGACGGGTCTGTACAATTAATGTGTGACGAGGTACATAGACAATACACGACGAAGAAATATAGACGATAGAATAGGAAATGACATTTTAAAGCCCAAGGCAATGCTGAAGGGTTTCTCAATGCTGTGTCATGGCCTTGCTCGACTTCAAGCTGGTTGCGAATTGAAGACCTTCTCGTCCTTTGAAAGGGCTGGTGTATTAACATTTGTCTTATTGTCAGTCAGTGTACTGACGTATTCAAGCCTTGAAGTGCTAAACTGAAGACCGTAGATTATTCTCTCTACTCCAAACTCTTGTCTTGATTTGTTTTCAAAAGATAAGTTTTCGGCTTTTACGGATTTGGTTTCTTGTCCTGATTATCATGTCCAAATATATGCCCCTGACTCCTTCGTTGAAAGCTATTCTTCGAATATGGCTACGATGTGACAAGGGCACCAACTGTCTTACCATAACCTTGGCACCTTTGAGATGCTGGCTTGGCTGAGTACAGGGGACCGACCTGGCTAGGATAAGTCCCAGAACTAATCTTAGGATCGTCATCAGAGCCGTCAAAACTCATATATATACGGAAGGAGGTCTACACTAATCTAAAGTCTGCTCTATCTGAGATAAATGCAGTGAGACCATTCTATATGAACCCTAGCAAGTCCTTCTTAGGCCTTTGCACTAGAATCCACTTTGCCTTCTGCTCCTCTCCATGATGTTCATGGCCATCTCCGTAGAACCCCGTACTGGCTATCTCGACCTTCTTCTTCGGGGCATCGTCGTCATAATCAGGGTTTCCAGGCTCGGGATACTTTCTCAAATGCTCCACAGCCCAAATCAGCTCTTCTGAGAGCACCGGCGGTGTCCGCCCCTTGCCCCTGAGCGTAGGCAAGCCCGCAACCCGGAAGAGCCAGTTGAGCCACTCAAACGTCTCGCCTGTCTCCCATGCAATATCATGGAATTTCCGCCCATCCTTCCTAACTAATTCCTCTCTCTCCCTTTCCCAGCGTTCCTGCTCTTCAATAGGCGGCAGCGCAACAGAATGCCTTCCTGAAAACACACGGGCCAGTGCAATGGCTTGGTACTCGAAACTTCGAAACGTCAAAACTCGCGGCATGCCCACAATCCCGAGAGTCTGGAAATCTTGGAAGAAGGTATGCCAAAATGTCTTGATGAGTTTGCCCTTCTTATAGTCGTACAAGGCCCTCCCGCCGTTGTTATCAGAGTTCCAGAAGGGGTAAGAAGGCTTGTACCCCGTACAGTAGATGACGTGATCTACATCGTCGAGGTATGAACCGTCTTCAAAGATGATCCGTCCGTCTAGACGGTATTCTTGAATGACAGGCTTCCATGCGATTCCTTTGGGCGGTTCGTCGCCATCCCAGCGAGATTTCGAGCGCCGAGACTGGAATACTGGGGTTTGGACTGTCTGGACCAGCTCTTCTGTGACATCGTGGCCTGATGCAGAATTGCCGATAGTCACAATCTTTTTTCCAGTGAAGGGTTGTGGGGAGCGGTAGGTCTTAGAGTGGACTACCCGGCCCGGAAACTTCTTGATGTATTCGTCCAGACCCTTGACATGAGGCACCTAACAAGCTCTTAGCACTTGACCATTGTTGACGGCTCTTTGAATCATTGCTAAGTTAAAGGGGATCCGGGTGATACATACGTAAGGAACAGAGTAATGCCCATTAGCGAGAACAACGGCATCAAAAACTTCCTGCCACCAGACATCGACATTCCGCGCCGCATCAAATTTGCGCAGTGTCAATCTCCACTGCTCAGGTCTGTCTTTTGCCGGAATTCTGGAGACATCTTCAACAGTCGTGTTGAGCACCAAGATAGAGTCAGTCTTGTGCAACGAAAAGTAGTTCTCAATGTATTGCCGAGGAATATAGTGCGGTGCAAATGGACCATAGGCGAATCTCGCGTCCGAAAAGGACATTGCAATATCGGGAACGTTAGTACTGTGATAATACGGTTAGTAACTTTGTGTCTGATTTCACCCACACAATTACCTAAGAATAATCCAGGCTTACGTCAAAGATTGGTAAATTGGTGTCTGAGAGTATCTTTCCCGTTGGCTGTGAGGTTTCACCTGGGGTAGCTCGCTCGGAATCTCCACAGCGGGATCGACATCTGGGGGAAGACTTCCTGGCTGGAGTGGTGGAAGCTCCGACGGGTTTGGGTCGTAAATCCTGCGACGCAATGTTAATCATTGGCTTTCGCGGACTTGTATCAAGACAGAATACCATGTTCCGCCAGCAGACTCTCGCCGTTCGAAGACCTGAATCCTCTCGAAGTAGTTCTCAGCCTTGAACGCGGCAGCAGTAACAGCGCCTATCGCGGTCACACGGAAAAGTTAGTCAGTCCAACTCGTGACGATCTCAACGCATGGAAAGCCGATTCGTGAGGTTTCGAGTCGGTTTTCTTGCTGCGCCAGACAATGGGGGTTTGGATGTAAATTTACCTGCAGCACCAGCCCCAATGATGGCAACGGACTTAATCTTGCGTTCGCCGCCCATGATTTCCCTTTCTTTTCAAGCTGTACACCAAAACAATCCAAAGAAAGGCCCGGATTCTTTAATCAAAATTTAATTTAACAAGGAATGCACCATGTACAAATAGTATTGAGAAAGAGCGAATCCCACAGCAAGAAGAGCTTCGCAAACGAGTCAGCCCATGGTAATTTGTCATCTGAAGGGCTCTGAGAGGGGTTTTGGAGAGATACTGGGTTGATCGGATGCATTCGCCATCTGTCGCCATCCTCAGAAGCGATTTCACCATCGCTGCATCACGTGAGTGTTCGGGTGAGGAATCGGCACTTTCGGGGGGCAACCAGCAGACTCAAACTTTGGAATCCCTTTAAGAGAATAGGGAAACGATTAATAAATAACTTGGGGTTCAATTGAGTTTGTAGATACAGATGCTTTGTGTAAGGTAAGTAAAGCTGATTAGGACGGATGTACCCGACTTGCATGGTTCTCCTGCCTTACGGCTGATGAGTCGCGAACTCAAATGCCCCGCTTCGCCGAGCAATTCTCTAGGGAAAACGTCCGAGAAAGCCGGTCCAGCAATGTACAAGTCTTCCGACTCGCGTTGTCATCAAGACCAGTTTCCTAGTATTGCTTGAAAACTAACTATATTGTAACCATCTCGGGCTACACTGATTGGGCTATTAAAAGCTTTGAGGTTGAAGTATGGCCTCCAAAATCATCAAGCTTCGATCAAGGGAATAAGTTAGTGGGTAATAAAAAATTATCAGGGAAGCAGATATAGATGTCGGCTGTGAGACATATGTAAGCCATCCAAGGAGAAAAGGTTTGCAATCTAGAAGGTCTAAGGCAACGCGAAGACGGCATTTACTGTGTTGCCTTAGATGTAGTTGAATTGCGGATACACAGCGTAGTGGGAGCTGGGCGTGTTCAGCAAGTAGAGGGCTGTTGATTAATCAGTATCAAAGTACAACTTGCGTTGGAATTAAAGGGGCTCGGTGTATGATGGCGGCTCTAGCGTACGTTCGGATGGATCTAAGAACAACCTCTACATCCCTACACTCACTTCGTTTCATAAGACTTGAGGATTGTCAATATACGTCTGGACTCGATCATATCTATCGAATCCCTGTTGTTTATTGAGATCGGCTGAAAGAAGCACCGTTGAGAGTAATAATGGTCGCATTAAAATGTGAGCAAAACGTGTAAAAGGAGTTTCCGCAAGGTCATACAAGCCGACATCTCTCCCAGAGCCTTGTTATGACAAGCTATAATCAGCATGATGGTGCATTTTATAAAAAAAATGGCGCAAATGCCACAGAACTACAGGAAGTTTTGAGTACCGCTCCTTTAGCAGAAGAGTAGATATCAAGACAAGGGGCCAAAAGATTACGAGCCTATATCGCCTGACGGAAACGGAGAAGCAAATACAGCCTGAGAGACAATAGATCATCAATTCGACCGCCTTCAAAAAAGATATCTACTGCTAGTGGCTTGTTGACAATCACGGAATGTTCCCGGATTTTTGTATGGCCCATATGCCGTTCGAACAAAATCGAGGGGGCACTTCTTTTCTTTGGCTTTTAGTAACGGTGTCTTTGAAGTGCAATAGTGCTCGAAACCGACAACGCTATGCCGGCAATAGATGGCACTTTGAGATCTACAGAATCTCCAGTCTAAAGTTATGGCCTGGAGCTTAAGGATGTAACCCAGTTGACAAGATAGAGTGTTGTGGTTGTCCGTTAATACTACCCTTTGCTATGTTCAGAGCTTAGTTAACGTTATTGTAGCCCATAAATGTCATGCCGTAGACCCGTGGACCCAATGAATTGGAATTGCCTTGCCCTATTGCAGTTGCTTCAGATTCCCAAAAGTATAATTTTCAAGGTTGAAAATCAATGCACTACTTATTGAACAAATGCTCATAAGCACCTTTCATCAATTAATACTATCTGGCCGTGCTAAGTACGATATAGAAGGCATAACACTAAGTCTCAACCTCCATATCTGCTCTACGATGTATGCATTTTCCGTTTGTATACTCTTTGGTCCCATAGGCTTCCACTGATCACGCGACTTACTCATACCACAGTGACAGCTTGTATAGTTGATGCTATAATTATGTATTGAGCATGTCTGGTGCCGTAGGACTCCTTTGTTCGGAAATCGCCTCGCCTAGTCTCTCACCTTGATTTGATTCCTTTGGCTTAGCCAAGGTCTAATGGAAGCTATTGGGGTAGGAGGTTGATGGATAGCATAGTGGAGGCCAGCCTCCACCGTTTCTGTGAACCTCCACTTCCGAGATAGAGATAATCCATCCATGTGCTATCGTATCGTCCACTTTCGAGATAACTCCACCCCCACTTACGGTCCATCACAGGATGTAAGTGAATGTTCAGTATCGCTTCACTTAGCTATAGGCGACATGATATTTATACTCCGCTTTAGGTCGTTAGCCTCTTGTTCAAAAACTTCTTGGAACCCAACATACAATTCCCTATCACTAGTACGTTGCCCTAGAAAAACATGTCTTCGACAAGCCAAGTAACGTTAATAACTTCTAGTGTCATCCTCGGACGCCGAAAGTATCACCGCCGTTCTCCACGCCTACGGTGCGGCTCTCAAGAGTCGTAAAGTGGAAGATGCGGTGGCCCTCTACACATCTGATGGTGTTATAATGCCGCCTCACTTCACAGCCGCCCAAGGCACCAGTGCTCTCTATGAATCGTACACGCGTATCTTCTCAACGATCCAGCTAGTCATCAAGTTTGACATCGAGGAGGTGGTTGTCATGTCCTCTGAGTGGGCGTTCGCACGAACAACGGCGGAGGGCACTAAGACGATGTTGGCGACGCAAGAGTCGGAGCCGCACGCGAATCAGGAGCTATTTATCATGAAGAAGGAAAGTGGAAGCTGGAAGATTGCAAGATACGCCTTTTCAACTATGAAACCACTCGTACAGAATGGTATCCGAAGAAGCTAAAGACACAGGCAAAACAAGTCAAAAATAAAACAATCTGCTTTGGGCCAGCCCTGGCATCACGAGGTAATTGTCCAAGCCTGCGCATCTCCCGAGGTCTCTGGGGAAGACATTCTGTTGAACCTCTGGGGGGGGGGGGGGGGAGGGGATTCTTGTGGCTTCAGCTCTAGTAACTTGGCACTTGTTTCTGTCAAGCGCTGGTGTGCCTGGGTGATGACACCTAAAAACAATAGTGAAAAAGAAGAGTCGCTGTCTGATCCCTTCCAACGCATGGTAATGATGGCGGCAACATGTCGGGGAAACCCAACTCAGCGAGCACAGCACAATCCGTTTCAAAAATGAATGCTCTTGATGTTTCCCTACTTTCATTTGCTGTTGCAGGTGGGTTTATTGGCAATGATCGTTTGGACCTACAAGTACGGCAGGGTTGCTGCATTCCGAGGTTTAGCAAGTTATTGACCCACGTTTAAGCAGGCTCTGACGCACCCCCCTCGACTGGCTGCAGATGCCTTGGTGGGTTGCACACCAGATGCCTTGCAGTACAAGCGCTGCTGTAGTCGGGTCGTACTGCTACGTGACGGGGCCTGATAGGACAGAAACGGACTGTTAGCGAGGTTATCTGCTGTAAGATATGAGTGTGTATGTGGATTAGAGTTGAATTTGTGTCAGAGTGGAAGCTGCTTATTACTCAGACAATCATGAATTGGGGATAAAAGTCCGCGCACCCAGATCCCTGAGGGGGCGGGCAACCTTTAGGAAACATCCAGAACACGAATGCCTTGAACGCGCTTTTTGACCCCTTTGGCCCCTAATCAGCGAACAACCAGCATCTTCCCTTTCTCAGTCGTCGTCATCACCATTAGTGTAGAGATTCCAGCGAGTCTTTAGGGGCGCTGGTACGATAATTGAGTTTTACCCTCCCTCAGAATCATTCGAGCTACGAACAGACATCAAGATGACCGGAAACATCGAAACGCTTCAGTTGCATCGGTACGATGCTCTTGAGCATCCTGAATCAATACGAATACTCGTCTTGCACCCGGCCAAGGTTCACTACGCGCCGATCAGATGCAGTTTTCTGGACGAAACCCCAATTTTGCCGGTTATTCGAAAAGAAAGATGCAGAGTTCCTGTTTGGTATACGTGTTCCGGAGAATGTCTCGAAGAGGCATCTAGCTATGGCCTTCCTTCAAACGGAACTTCCATGGGAAATAGTGGCGACTGGGAGGGCGGTGATTTTAATATACCGAAGATCAACTCTTATGAGGATGTTAATGAGGAAGATTCCGAGATCGAAGAAGCCCCTATCGGACTTAACCATGGGTCTGATAAGAGAGAAGACAGCTGCAGCGATGATATCTGCGACAAGTATTACGTCGTTTCTGAATAAGAGCCGTACAACGTGGACGACGAAGAGGACGACGGAGAGGACGACGAAGCACGCAGTGACTCTGAATTTTCAGAGCCTCTACGAAAGAATTTCAATCGGTTTCACCGTAGCGTGACTCGACTACCGCAATTTCCGGCTTACGACGCGTTGTCCTACACATGGGGCGATGCCTCAGATCGACTGCCAATCATTTTAGAGCCCACAGGGACTTCTACTATGATAACCCGGAACTGCTTTGAAGCTCTAAAAAGCCTCCGAATGTCGGTTTCAAATCTTCTGCTATGGATTGATGCTCTCTGCATCAACCAAGACGACTTAATAGAAAGAACAAGCCAAGTTCGCCTGATGGATCGTATCTTTGCGTCTGCCCATCAGGTGATTAGTTATGTTGAAGAAGAAACCCAGTCCAGTCGTTTGCTGTTCGAAGAACTTGCCTTGGCAGATCACATTCCTTGGGTGCAGAAGAGAAGTCGTGGGCCATTTCCAGACCGCCCTACACCTGGAAAGGACATTATTGACGCAATGGACACTCTCCTGGAGAGACCTTGGTTCAAAAGGGTCTGGGTTCTGCAGGAGGTCCACAACTCAAAACTTGCTGCTAATCCTGAAACTTATATTGTTTGCGGGCAATCAACGGCATCTCTGACTTCCCTAGATCAATGTATAGGCGGTTATTCTAACAACCGGGTTACACGTCACGAATGGCCGTACCTAATGAAATCTCTCCGCCAAGGAGATTCCACCCTATGGAAGGCTCTTCTTTATAGCTACGCCTGCCAAGCCACTGATCCTCGAGACAAGGCTTTTGCGCTTCGGGCGCTGGTATATGACGATGACACGGACCTGGACAGTTTGATAGACTATAACGCCAGCCCAGAGGAAGCTTTTACGAATGTTGCGGTGTACCTTCTCAGGCATGAGCCGGTTTTGCATATGCTTTCTGTTGTTGAGCATCCTAGTCCGATGAACATGCCTTCTTGGGTGCCCGACTGGACACAAACTAGACATATCTCCACAGTGAGCTTTATTTATTTCGAAGGGTTTGATCCAGAACACCTATCGCCTGTATTGGAGGATTGGCATGAGAGTATTTCTTTACAAGATCGGAGTTGCCAGTGTGGTAGTTGTAAAGGCTCTCACCTGGTTCTCCAAACCAAGGGCTTTAAGCTCTCTCACATCCAGCATCTTGGTTTACCAACATGGTATAAGGACCTAGCGGATGTAAGAAAACAAATGTCTGAAGTGTTTGATCTTGTCAGTGGCAATATGAAACTTAACAACCAAGGTAAACCGATGCACTGCAGCCTAGCGCTTACGATCCTTGAAGGTATGGTTACCGAAGTGACTGTGTGTATAACATTATACTAATGAATTCATCACAGCTATTCAAGCACTATCGTTAAAACCCGGGCATTTAGCCCTTCTTTTTCAAGCAGTAGGTACTTAAAAATAGTATGGACAAACAGCATTAAACTAACTAATATGTACAGCACCGCCGATACAACAAAGATAGGGAACTTCTTGACGATGACGAGGAACTGGATAATGTTAATGGGAATACAAAAAACCGCGTAATGTTCCTGGACACCAGAGGCGAGCTAGGGTTTGCTCCAGAGGAGGCCCTTGAAGGCGACGTCCTGTGTGTGTTCAATGGATTGAAGTACCCTAGTTTGCTCCGACCTCGAACCGCTGGTGGGTGGCAACTGCTTTCTGGGAAGTGTTACTTAAGTTGCATGGCAAATCCATTGAAAAGTATGAATGGGCACCTGTCGAATCTTGAACACACAACATTCGATATTTGGTGAAGCGATTCTCTCCATAGACTTCGGTGGTGTGTTGTTGTTCGACAAGGCCACTAGCAGCAGAAAATATGATGTCAAAGAAGTATTAACAGAAGAAATGCTGTCGGATTTCGATGTTTTTCCGAAATAAACATTCAGTGTTGCAACGCATAAGAACAAGTATGACTAATGCAAGAGTGGATGAACACTGAAGAGCTGTAGGAATGAAGTCTTGTGTTCATGAAGCAACTAAAGTGTATAGTGAGAGTAGGGCCTTCTCCAAGTCTTCGCTCCTGAATTGGAGAGCGCGGGTGTTGACTTGGCTTTTATGCAAGGGAACTCGATCAATGTTAAAGTTGGAACAATGGACAAGAGCAATCTTCAGGTGAGCATAGAGACAGAGCTGCTGTTCGTACATCGCTTAAGAACGGTATCTAAGTACGGTCAGAATGCACATCGCTGCTCTTTGTACTGGAATGTACTACTAATCACTAGTGCGGGAAGAACTACTGCTAAGTAGGATAAATATTGAACTAGTATCCCTTTCTCTCGTTCCCTAAGCAGTAGCAGGCTTTGGCTGCCCCAGAATAACATCAATGACTCTGTGGTCGTCGTACGTAGCAACAGTGCGCTCGCACAAGGCCGCAACGCGCTCTTTAGTCTGCAGGCCGTCGGGGCAGATGAGCCAGATGACGTTGGTCATGAAGGAGCGCCGGTACTCGACCATGACCTCCGGGTCGTTGTGGCGGTCAAACCTGGGCCCGCCGAGGCGGTGCAGCGTCTCGAGGTAGTGGTCGAGGATCTCCATTTCGTGGGCGCGGCGGTCCTCGACGCTCAGCATGGCCGTCATGTGGTAGACAATGTCGTGGAAGCACGAGCCGAAGTGGAAGGCCGACCAGTCCAGAAACCCGATGCGGCCGTCCCCGGTGAAGTAGACATTGCCAATGTGCGTGTCGCCGTGCAACAGCGTGCGGAACCGGGGGTTGCGCTCGGCGTAGTACCGGTCCAGCGCCTCGTTGCAACGCTTGCCGTCCATCAGGTAGTCGGGCAGCTGCGGCCGGCCTGGTGTCCGCACCACCTCGTCCCACGGCGTGCACATGAACTTCATGGCCGGATCGTAGTTGTTCCAGATCCCTGTCCGAGGGGGGTCCGTCAGCAACCAGAGCTGGTCGAAGGCCTTACGAGGAAAGAGGAGAGGAGAGGGGGCGGGGTTTTCGTACAAGGGTGGTCTTCTTGGCTCTGGCCCCAGTACTGCGCATGCAGACCTGCCAGCTGTTCGACACCGTTCATGACCTTCTTGACCGGGTACGAGGCGACCTCGGCGGGAAAGGTGCAGCCGTCCTTGACCAGGTCGCTCATCACGGCGATGCCCTGTGTCTCGCTCGTCCCGCTCCACCAACCCTTGGGGTAGAGCATGTTCTTGACGTTAGGCGCCACCTTGGAGAAGAAGTCCGCTTCGCGCTGTGCCAAGCTGACGGTCCACGGCTGTGCCTTGATAATCTCGGGGCTGAAGACGCCCTTGACGCAAATGTGCGTCGGCCTGTCGTCGTTGCTGCTCTCATCCTCGTACGTGATGGTGTAGAACAGCTTGCTGCCCGTACCCCAGATGGTGTGCGTGTTTTTGATTGACTTGATCTTATGCCCCAGCTTTGACCCCAGCCACTCGGGAGTGACATCCACGGGGAGGGTGGGAAGCTGCTCAGCTGTGATTTGAGGCATGTTTTCGATATTCTGCGTTGCTGCGGTGGTTGCTGTGAGCAAAATCCATGGACAGAGTGGAAGTTGTAGGACATTGCACTGATACTGAGAGTAGGGCTAAGCTTACGTATCTTGGATACTAATTGCTAACCGAGCTGACAACTGGCAGCCGTGGCGGATCTGGCAGAAGACATAGATTGTGAATAGTGCTGAGCGAATACAATAACAACATCCTGAAGAAACGCAAGTAGATAGTTAAGCGAGCGATGAAGCAGAAAATAGGATACACTCGTTAAGCAGAGAGTCAATAAAGCTATACAAGTTTATTCAGATTTGGCCTTCCTCTTCGTGAATGCCATCTCGGGAATGCCATTATCCTCTATAGACACGTGCCTGTGTTAACTGTCAACATTTAAGGATCATGGAGTTCAGAGTGGTTTGTGTCAACCTCATACAAGTTACACAAACAGAAACAATATTCGCGAGCACACTAGGGTGTTCCCCTTGAGGATCCACTCCCTTTTTCATTTTGTTCAATCTCATCTATCTACATGGGAGTCTTCTCTCCATCCCTCATACATCAAAGGCGTCGAGTCGTCGATTAGTCGTTCTCGTCGTCTCTCGTCGCCATGTCCAATCCGAAATCCAACAAAATCCTTCAGTCATCACGAAGCAAAAGCCCAACTATCTCCTCGTCCCACACATCTCTCGTCCCGCAAACAATATAAAACAGTCTGATATCATTGAAAAGCAAAAAGGAACAACCCAAACCTACCTCCTTGCAACTTTTTCTCTCCTTGCTTTGGCTCTGCAGTGGGAGATGTTGAGGAAGAAAGATGAACAACAATGGGAAAACCATAAACGCCAAAAGCTGCAAGTCATGCCTTCGTCAAAAGTTGCCGCGCGCAGAGGAGAGTTCATCAGCGCTTAAAAATGCTGCTGAGCTTGCTGCCGCCAACACTGCTTCCCACGCTACTCCCAACGCTGCTCATCTTCTCGCTGACCTTTTCGCCGAAACCGCCCATCCACTTGGGTACCTTAAGACTCATGCGCACCTGGCCATCAACAATCATGCTGACGACGTTGAGGATCGCAAAAGTGGTAGAGCCGATGGCGCGGAAGAGCGCCAGGATCGCCACGGACCAGAGGATGAAGGCAAGGTAATAGTTCTCACCGATGCCGCGCTCACTATACGCTTCAGACACGGCCATGGCAAGGATGGCATTGCAAATGAGCCACGATAGAACCATGTAAGTGCGCACGCTCTTGTAGTAGTCCTCTTGCAGCTGCGCATCTGAAAGGGCCGGCACCGGAACCTCAACGCGGTCGCGGAGGTTTCGCAGCGCCTCATCGTATCCGGAGTCGATATCAAGCTGCTCCGAGGGCATCTCAAGCTCGACACTGTTGCCCTTGCCTATGGCACCACCCAGATCTGTCTTCATGACGTTGTCTCCCTTGGTGCCCCATGTGACGTCGTGCGTGTTGCAGAAGGCATATACCTGCAAAGTGCAGATGTACGCTGGCAATAGCATGAAGTACTGGGCCGCACTGGTGAACAAGTGCCAGGGGTCAAGATACAGGAAGGACATGACGAAGTACAATCCGATTGTGGAAAGAATCGAGACAATGAAGTTGGTGAAGACGTTGTTGCCCATTTGGATATCCGGATTGTCTTTCTCTTTCAGCTGACGGATGACAATGTAAAAGGTAGCGAATGTTGTGTATATCATGATGATGCTGTACACGATGATGCTGAAGAGGTACAGTTTCTTCGCTCCTTGTGGACGGTTGCCCAGAGAGAGGATGAATTGCGCGCAGATGAGCAGAACGCAAATGTACCGTAGGACCGTGAAGATGTATTGACCGACATTGTGACCAAAGGGATCAACCAAGGGATCAGCGAGACCGCCAGCCACGAAGTAGAAGGTCAGGTAGAAGTTTGCCAAGGAGAAGTACGTAAAGATAAGCTGCAGGAACTGGTAGACGAATTCGACATGGAGGAGAATTTTGCGCGTGATGGTGTGGTCGGTGTACCAAATCTGCTTGAAGTGGACGAGTGAGTACACTGCAGCAAAGAAGGCACCATTGAGCCAACGACGTCTCTGTGAGATGAACTCAGGAACAGTGTCTGGTAACTCGTTAGTTGGCATTAACATTCAGTGGACGTGGACTCTTACCTGGCACATCCGTCTCACCATGACATCCCTTTACGTACTTCAACACCCAACTCTCACCACGCTTGGCGACAAGCTCCCAACAGAGAATACGATCCTCAGCTAGGTACATGTTGGCCGTGAATACGTCTGCGTGTTGTCCATGCAGCGTCTCTCCTTTGAAGTACTGACTGAGAGGACCATGGCCCGTCTCGTCATTCTGCAGAGCGTGGTAGCGGTATGCACTAAGCGCACCAGGCAAGACGGTAATGTAACCAAAGATCGACTCCAATGGCTTGTCGAGAATGTTAGACATCTTGTACTCGAAGTTCTGCGAGGCAACGAGTGGGTTCAGAAGGTTGACTCCGAAACGGCCCTTCATAGCCTTGATCTCTCCACAAGCACCAGCGACGTTGGAGTCATTGTCAAAGGCCTTCCACAGGTGGTAGAGCGATGTGCCACCGGGTCTCGTACCGACATCGAGCAAAATACAGACATTCGGGTTGAGCGCTTTTCCAAAAGCATTGAAAAACCAACGATGCGAGTTGAGCTTCCGCTGGTTCTTTTCCTTCAGACAGAAAATCAACTGGCAAGGAACAATACCCTTCTCGGCACCCTTGAACTTGAGGTCAGAGTCAAGTGAGACCTGTGTCGTATACTCGTAGACGTGAGCCTGCACGGCCTTCTGGTTGACGTAGTTCTTGGCGATGCCGTGCTGGTAAACACCCATGGCCGCCAGCGCGTCGAGTGTTCGAGGATGGATTTTTTCTCTGCCATCGGAGACAATGCAGACGACAATTTTTTGCCAACCGTTGTCTCCCCACGTGCGCGACTTGGAACGGGCGCAGAAGTGAGAGATGTTCTTCATAACGGCGTACATTGTTCTGGTGAAGTCAAACTCGTTTTCGTTGAACATGGTGACGCAGATGAAGAGTTCTGTCTCGCGGGCGGTCTTGCCGATGGACTGGCGGAGCTTGTAGCCGCGTTCAACAAAGTCGTCGGGGTCGCAGGTGACGGCTGTGTATCTCATGTGGGTGAATTCAACCTCGTCACGACGAGGCAGGAAACTGTAGAGAATCGTGGGGATCTTGCACTCCAGAACCAGTTCTCCGTTGATAAGCTGGACCTCCTTTCTCGACATTTGGGGCGCACGCACGCCTCGGCGTTCCTGCATGCCATCCGGCGCCGGGCCATAGTGCTCAACCTTCTCGTTAATGTCGGTGTCTGTCTCGCCTTCGCTAAGGGTCACTTGGTCTTGCGACAAGTAAGACTCTCTCATGGGCTGAGTCTCACTGATGTCCGTCTCTGGTCCAAAGACGTCGTCGGTATCATGAAGAGGAATCGAGACTGTCGCATCGTCTGCAAAAGCAGCCGAGTTGCGGTTCACGCCGGTTGAGAATAACGGCGCAGGAGGAAGCGGTCGTCTGGGACTTCCACCGTATCTGGATGACGGAGTTCCTGGTCTTGGGCTACCGTTGAGGTCCGATGGTTCGTATACTCCAGACGGCGGTGGCCTGGTGAAGTCTGAGGAAAGGCGGGACGGGCTGTATGTCCTGGTCGGCGATTCGCGTCCGGACTGGTACTCGTAGGGGTAATCGTCTTGGTACTCCTGCTCATAAGTGCGCTCATACTCGCGGGCGTAGTCGCGGCCTTGGAACGGAACGTAAGTCGAATCGGGCGGCGGCATGCTGGGAGGGGCTCGGATAGAGGCGGATCGGTCGGACAAGATGGACGACGCGTAGGATCGTCGACTGGATCGGGGCCTATGATTCTCTGGATGTGAGCTTGTGCCTATGCTATTACTAGAATCATCTGATAGAGGAGCGACGGGGCAGCTGAAAGACTGGTGCAGTTGACTTTTCCGCACCGAGGGACCCTCTGGTATGGTCGGGAGACTGTCCCGAAGCTGTGCTTCTCTCATGGATCTGGGCCTTGTCCTCTTCTGCAACTTAACAGTAGTGGACCGCACCGGGATGCGGGAGGCAGGCTTTGCATCCGCAAAGTCAACGACACTCACGCCGCTTCGACGTGGTGTGTAGACAGGCTCCGGAGACGAGATCGTGGTTAACCGTGCCTCCTCCTGCCGCCGCAATGCATCGAAGTGATCTGGGGTAGAGACCGCCGGGTCTGTAGCGTCCGACTTCTTCCTGCGCAGAGAGAGAGGGCGCGGGAAGAGGCTGGGCGACAACTCGGGCGTCTTGTGAACTTGGCGAAGGCGAGGAATGGAAGACGCAGATACAGGAGTAGAAACACAATGAAGGGGTCGCGATGCGCTGGGGCGACTACTGCTGACGGGTGGTGTCTGGATGTGAGAGCTGGGTGTTACATACGGTCGGCTGTCCATAATGGGCTCCTCCACTGAAGTCAAGAGGCGAATGGCGGCGGGATTGTTGGAGCGTCCCGACGGTGTGTCGTCGCGATCATCGTAGGGCGGGAGGCTGTAGTCGGGCGGCCGCGAGGGGGTATTTGGGTCCATGGCGAGAGTGTTGTTTGCGCGCCCCGATGGTTACTGGGACGAAACGGTCTGAGGAATGGTAGGACGATTCTTCTCGAGAGGCCGGTGGTGTGGAGTTTTCTTTGTCTACAACGAGCCGGCGCCACGATGAGATTGTTGCGAGCGAGGAATTGACGTAGCTCCCAGTCGGTTCGTGGCGTTGGGCTGGTTCCAGTGTCTTGATGTTGCAAAGTCAGAATCGGGGCGTGTAAGTCTCGAGTGACGATTGTGTCGCCTTGAGAATTTCGCGGTGGAATTCCCAGTGGCAGGCAATATCGATAGTACGGAGACTAGCTTTTCTGCAAAGTGGGATACAGAGGAGATGATAAGAGGAGGTAAGGCAGAGGAGCTGCGGGAGGGAGGGTCGAGTGTCGGGGATTGCTTGCGCAGCTCTTTCGCTCTCCCTCTCTTTCTCTCGTGCTCTGTCGCCCAGCGCATCCGCGAGTGTCGAGGGGCAACAGGGCGGATCGGAGAGTTGTATCAGGTTGGCACGGCAACGGGACGCGGTTGCATGGGATTCGTGTGGTGTCCTTGTTCTCCAAAGCGGGCCGGCGCAGGGGGCTGAGCCTGGTCGGGGAACCTCTTAGCGGTTAGCGACCCACTAGCGCTTCTGGGTCCCGCCGACCGTTCCTGAACCCGTTGCCTGAAGCGGCTGCGCAAACAAACATCTGTTCGCAAGATCACTCACCTGCGCCTGCACATCACCGGATCCCAGTAACACCTGACATGAAAGTGCCCATGGTATCCTCTTTGTCCGTTGAGGTGACGTGATCTCCGCCTGAGCTGCATCTGTCAACATCTGCACTGGGTGCCACGATACGATCTTTGCTCCATCCGGAGTCGAACAGGCCCCCGAGGGCTTCAGTAATATTTTCTTGGCATTGCCCACGTCCTTCATGTGCATAAGTGGCTCTGTCTATTCTATACGTCTGCAATTCGTCTCTGGGGTAAACAACCATCTCCACGCCTCCAAACCTGTAGCACCTTCTTACACGCCCCAGAGCGCCCTCCACCGCTTCTCGTCCGTTCTCAAAGGTCCATCAAATCGCCCAAACCGTGCCGGTAGCCCCTCGTTGGCCTCGGGCAGGCAGATCCACTCGCGCACGCAATCCGGAACCTCCTCTTTGATGTGACTGATGCAGATCAACGCCTGCTGATCCGTGAGACCCTTGACCCTCACCTCGTCTGCTTTGGCGACCTCGCTATCCACGATTCGCTCGCCGCTGTACGTCTTCTCCTCGCCCTTGGCTAGGTAAAGCATGCACTTATCCCGGACAAAATCGTCCATGCCACTGAATGCCTCGTCGAGCACCACGACGTCAGGGTTCTTGATGATGGCCCGTAGCAGCAGGGCGATGCGCTGCGCGCTAAAGGAGAGACCACCAAAGAGGTGCTCATTAGACCAAGACAGGTTGTCGACGCTGCTGGCGGGTGAGTTTTGGTGGCCTGGGTTCAGCTCAGGAGCAAACCATCGCAGTGTTGCCTCGACCTTGCCGCGTGCCTCGTCATCGAGCTTGGGGATCCCCTTGAACGTGTCTGCCCACGCATTCTCCAGGACCTGCCGTACCGTCAGACCGCGGGGCATGTGTTGGTGGACCTCGGGACTCGAGTGTCCAATCCGTGACTGGATGTCCCAAAATGTAAGGGGCCGTCGACCCGATCCAGGCTCAGGCAGTCTACTCCTGCCAAAAAGCCTGATGGGTAGAGAATATGTCTGAGGGTGGTCGGAACAGAGGAGAGACACGACAGTGGTCTTGCCTGACCCGTTCGGACCAAACACTCCCCATCGCTCTCCTCTTCGGACCGTCCAGATGAGACCGTCCTTTGGCCCGGAGGGTGTATTTTGAGACCAGTTGCCCAGTGCGATTTTGCTTCCATATCTCACTTGGCAACCGTCCATCTCGACCAAAGGCTCGCCGAGTGGCACCTCGGAAGTCGATGTATCCGCCGATGCCGTCGACTCAGCAGCATGCTGATCCTTCTCCTTTGACTCGAAAAGCCCGTCGCCTTCAATGCCCTTCACGGTCAATGTCTTACCCATCTCCACTAGTGAGTGCACAGGAAGCTTCTCATCCTCCTGGAGCCCGCCCTTCCATACGCCCCTGACATACTTCCTGAACCCTTCCAGTACGATATCCTTAGGACCCATCGAGCCGACCTGGCAGTCACTCCGCAGATAGATCAGGTGCGTGATCCATTCGGGTAGGGGATCCTGAGGCCTCGCGCTCAGAACAAGCCTGGGACTCTGCCTCTCAGCCAACGACTGAAGTAGCGGGCTCAACGACGCAACAGTCGGTGGGTCGAGCCCCATGAAAGGCTCATCCAGCAACAGAACCTCGGGCGTCGTCAAGAGCGCTCTCGCGATGCGCGCCCTCCTTCCCTGGCCGTTGCTCAGGAAGGCAACAGGCAGTTCTAGAAGCTGTTCCAGCCTCAAGTCCGTGACCACCCTCTCCAAAAGCTCTTTGGAAATAAGATTTTCCTCGCCCGGCAACGTCTCTAGCGGATTCAGCTCCGTGTTCCCCAGCAAAAAGTTCCTTAGCGAGAAGTCTGTATTCTCCCTTCTTGACTCATACCGCGCGGCGAGATATGCGCTCGTTGTTGGCCCGCCTATGGCACTGCCCTGCTCGCCATCGAACCCGACGTACTGGATCGCCCGGTTCGCGCTCCGCAACCGCGCCGGCACCTCATCTGTCGAGAGATAGGGATATGTCCGCGCCGTCGGCGGAACCGCAAGATGCTGACCCCTCAGAACCTGCAGAAGCGTCGTCTTTCCGGAAAGAGAGGGCCCGACGACGCACCAGTGGTTCTTGGTCTCGGCAAAGGACGGCAGCTCGAAGCTCAGTTCGCTGAAGAGCGGCGGGTTCGGCTGCGTCGAATGCGCGTTGGGGTGACGGCGGTAGAAGGTGCCATTGGCAATCCGCAAGATCGGGGAGAGCGATTCGGTAGCCGCATCTTTGGTAAAGGTTCCAAGGTCGATTGAGTATCGTCCCTGCGTTCCCGCTGGTAGTCCACATCGTGACTCTTCCTCTTCAAATCTGGGGCTGATAGCTTTCCCCAGACTTTTTGTACGTAACGCCCTGCGATCTCGGTGCATAGCTCGTCTGTCATCGCCCCACCGCACGGTCCCACCTTCCTCGGGGAGCGGAGGCAGCGACAGGGATAAGGTAAGCTGGCTGCCGCGCCTGCATTTCAGCCTGGACGTCACGTGCAAATGCCTTAGCTAATGGCGGGACTGGACTGGGGGAGAGCAACGCAACCAGGCGGAAAGCTCCAGGCACATCACCGAAGCGCAAGCTCCCAGTAGTCAGTCCCTCGTCGTCAAGTTGCATCACCATCAAACCAAACACCAACAACCTTTTCCAACACAACCACCTCCAAATTATTCAAGATGGCTGTACGTCCTACCCCCCCAGTCTATTGCTTACCTTGCAATGGAACATAGCTAACACAAACTTCTCTCAGATGCGAATCGTCCCCGCCGCGAACCAACCCACAACCTTCGCCGCCGGCGCCGCCGCTCCCTCGGCGCCCGGCGTCCACGACACCCTCCGCGCGGGCGTCGGTCAGACGGCCCTCGACGCAAAGTCTAACGTCCCTGCGAGTGCCCACCCGCTCGAGTCCCGCCTCAAGAACTGGGAGGCCACGCAGGAGAACATGCGCATGGAGACGCTGCGCCGCACCTTTGGCCTCGCGGAGCCCATCCGCCGCCAGATGGAGCTCAAGATTACCCAGACGGGCGAGTGGCGGCCTCTTGCCCTCGGCGGTCAGAGGCCCAGCGTCCACGAGGAGATCCTTCGCGGTAAGGACACTAGCGTCACGTGGGAGGATGTCTACTCGGGCGAGGAGAGCGTGGGTATTGTGGGCATGCACGATGAAATGGAGAGGAAGCTGAAGATTTGAGACCGAGGGGGGCCCTGATGCCTAGGACAGGTGCACATGGGTAGAGGATGATTGGAATTGTACAACCACGACATGCGTAACGAATTCTGGACGGCGTGGCTAAGGGGACATCAAGACCATAGACCAACGATTCGCTAGAGCGTTCAGGTTCAGGGAAGAGGGAACAGATTGCGTTCTACTATCCTATGGACAAAACACCCTATGGAGGGGGGGGCGTGGGAAGAGAATCAAACAGAACAAATACATAAAGCTATGATACGCCGCCGTACTCCTGGTTTCCCCTTATCGTCTTCGCTCTTTGTAATACGCTCGATGGATGTTGGGGTGGTGTCTCCAAAGAGAGATAACACACAAGACATGAGAAAAAGGGGCCTGAAGAAGCAATCCATCCCAAAAACCTCTCCAGGCCAGCCAGCCCACCCATTGTGGGCACATCTGGAATTGTATGCAGTGTCGAAAACCGTGACCTCAGCCAAGCCTCTGCCTCTTTGGGTCGTGTACCACGCAGAGCACCAAGGCCTGGATCAGACCAGACAGGTTGTCCTCGCCCCGACCTTCCTCCATGCACGTCATTCTCTCCAATAGAAAAGGAATGGTTCTTGTGAGAAAAAAAAGTACTGGCCGCAGAAAGAAAGCTAATGCTGGTCGGTTGGATCATAAGATGACACAGCATCCGCCGCCACCTTCTCGGCTGCGGCCACCGCCGGAGGTTGACTTGTTGCCTCCCTTGGGCTCTTCCTCCTCAACAATGTCGGCTGGCCGAACTGTCATGTGTACGACATTGGCTGCCTCTGCGCTGAAATGATATTCTAGCGATGTGTTAGCAAGGGAAAGGTGTAGGCAGGACATGATCGCTGGAGCACGCTTACGCTTCAGTTGGTCCTTGTCGTCCAACAGTTTTCCAAAGTGAATCAGCCGTATGCTGCTGGGGCTCGCCGGCTTGGGATCCCATTCTTCACGCCACTCCCGCAGTATCAACTCCTTTAACGTGTATACGCTGATGGTAAAGGGGTCCTTCTTTCCCGCCTCGGTCAGCCCAGGGACGTTCACGTTTCTCTTTGTCAGGTACTTCTCATCCAGCTTGTAAGGGTGTCGTGCGCCAGTCGTTAACAGGAGCGTAATGTTACAGACTGGACCATCTGATGGAGAGTTGTTGATGGACTGGACATCATCGACGGAAGGGCCGATAGCCATGGCGTCATCTTGGCTCTTGGCCACTGGCGGGGGAGTGGGTTCCTTCTCCTTCCCTTTGGTGGATCGTTCGATTGAGTCGCTGACATCGCTGGTCGTCGAGGTCGCAGCGGCGGTATCAGTGGTGGTATTGTTGCTGGCTTCGAGGTATGTTGACGCAGCAGCGCCGAGTGCCCCATTTGATGAAGTCGTCGTCGTGGTCGTCGTCTTTGTTGTATTCGCGGCGGCGGCGGCATCGGCATCTGTCGATGAGGATTGCGGCAGCGTCTTCATGGGTACGGCGTCTTTGGACTCGGGCAACGAGTCTTTGGCTGGTTGACCGCTGCTCATGTTGGCGTCGGCTGGTTTGGTGTCGGCCATTGCGGATAGGAAGCGGCAAAGGCACACAGGGCAACGAGCCTCGGGGAGGGATGCGGGCTCGTGACGGAGGTCGTTGGATTGACTCGGACGCAATGGCTCAATACATGCGGCAGGTCGCGATTAGGTGACGACGACAATTCGATAACTGCGATCGATGTTGCGCGGAAAGGAATTGGGGAAGATGAATTGTTCTTCGTCGTCGGGTGAGACGGTCAGACGCAGGTCGGTCGGAGATGGTACCAGTTGGCGTGGGCAGCAAGGCCGGTGTTGTGACAGTTGCCAGGATCGGGACGTGGATTGGGGGAGTTTGGATTTGGGGTGATGGTGGTGGTGGTGGTGGTGGTGGTGGTGGTGGTGGTGGGTGACAGGAAGGGGGATGGAAAGACGGGTGATCAGTGCATCCAGGTCCAGCGTCCAGCGGCTGGTCAACTGCAGTGTAGTGTCTAGGTAGTGTCCAATGCTGGTCGTATCCTCTAACCAGGTGGGAAAAGGGAGAAGGAAGGAAGGATAAAATGGGGACCGGGGCCGAGTTGGAGAGGTTGAATGGAGACTGGAGCCTACCTAGACCTTGGCGGAAGCGTGGCCGTGGGCCGTGGTGGACTTGGACCGACTCTGGGGGCGCTGGTCGCTGGGGCCAGGTTGGGCTGGATGGCTCGGCAATAAGCCCGTTTTGATGGGGGCATAGGATTGGCGGCAGCTGGCAATTGGCTATATGCACTACCTGGTGTCGTGCACCTGCTGCTGCTGCTGATGAGATGCGGCGGTGTCTTCTTTTACGTCGCCTTTGCGTTATCGAAGCCAGCAAGGCAGGCAAGTCAGTTATTTGAAATCAAAGACGAGAGACAGGACAGAGTGATGGCGTGTTGAGGCTCCTGGCCTTCGAAGCTGTCTCCCGTCGAATGTCCGAGCAGTCGGTATCAGTCGAGTCGTGCAGTTTGTTTCGGCTATCAGGCCCTCCTGGACGAAACTCCTTCGGCGACGGCGACGGCGATGGCGGCGGCGGCGGCGACGGATACCGGCATCAAAGGAAGATAGCTGGCCAAGGGTTGGGAACGTTGAGAAGCAGAGACGGTATCACAGGCCTTCTTTCTCTGTCTGGTGTCCCCTTGTTTCTCAGGTCGAGCCTCTCTCGGAGTCAACTTCCAATGCCGTTGTCGGCAAACGATAGCGCGAATGCTGGAATGACTGCACAAGTTGACGTGGGAATGAGACACAACAGTAAAGCAACCCCGCGTCCTAATCGGCAGCTAGTACACTATGAGGACTAAGTGCAAGACTCCAGGCTAGAGATGATAGGTGGTGCCCGAACTGCAAATGGTGTACTGCGCACTTGTTCGACGGCGATTCTCCTCGTCTGTCACTTCCGTCTCCTTTCTACGCAGGGTCTTCTTTGGCAGTAGGGATGCGGAATATGCCGCGATACTTGCTGCGAAGTGTGCTTAACTGTCCGGGGGAAGAGGATGCAGCTATCTTTTTCCCAGTGTGGTTTTGTTGAAGAGGGGAATGAACTGCTGGTTCACGAACGCGGGCAGGAAGGGAAACATCCACCCAGGCCCATCTTTCCCGATACCTTCCTTCGTTCGGCCTCCTCTGCCCTCGTTCTTCCCCGGTTCCATCCACCGATCAATCCCAATCCCGTCCGTCCCCTCTCGTCAAATTGTGCCATTCCCCCTTCAGATCGGGTGCTTCCTGCAGCCAAAGATACAATGTTTCTAATCATCAAGTTCGTACTGTACTAGCGATGCTAGGCCCCGCCTAGGTTAGCGTCCTGGCCAAGAGTGGCAAGTCCTCGCCAGCACCAAACATGACGGCGGCGCCCACGGATGCCCCCGCCCATCAACACCTCAAAGAGGCCGCTATCTCGGACGTAACGCATCCCAACCGCACGCACTGTCTCCTGTGCTCCCAATCTGGGGCAGCGAGAGAACCGAAGGATCGACTGTGAATGACACCGCCAGTGCACGTAAAGAGGCTCAGCCGTCTTTTCTAGTACCTCGGTGACCGAAAAGCGGGTACATATCGGCGGCGTTCCCTCGTCTTCACAGGGAATGGCCAGTCTGCGGCCCCTGGGTTGCCCGTGTCTGGGCATCCCAAGTCCGAGAGGGAAAGGCAGCCCTCCAACGTGGGAAAAGACGTGAGGTGTTTCAGTCATCCCCCAAACGCGAGTGGGAAGGCGGGATTCCCTTTACTCACCGCTTTGTTTTTCTACCACTCAGGCGGCATCAAGGTTGTTATGTTTCTGAATATGGGACTGCACAGGCGAGACGGTTAGGAACCTGCGAAACTCTCCTCGAGACTCACCGCTGCACGGGACAGAGGCCGGGAACGACACGACGCACATGCACACTCCAAACTCGCAAAGCATGGTGGCAGAATAGAAGAGGCAGGCACGAGCTTTCTAAGCACTCCTTTGCTGTTTAGCTGCGCTTATGGGAGACAGCGAGCCGCTTGCCGATCTGCCGGGGGGTCTAACATCACGGCGGAGGACAGACCCTGACGATGCAGAGGCTGAACATACGCCCAAGACAGAACACCACATGGGAAACGAGCAACAATTCCACACGGGCAGCCAAACTCGACGTATCTGGGTCCCCCAACTTGTGCAGATTCGAGGCGGTGTCGTCAGGGCGAACTAGCTCCCCCCTCTATCCACGCCTTCAGCGGGGAGAATGCGTCCGCACTCCAGCCAATCCCCTCACGGGCCAGAAGACGAGGTCGATTCAACCACTGAGCTGTCAACTCCAAGAGACACAACCACCTTCTTCTTTGGACATTGGTCAACGCCTATTCAACGCCATCGTCAACAGCTTTGTCGGAGGAACCGGGGGCATCTCTCTACTTCCAGGGCAGTACGGAGAGAGACTGACCCCATCTTTCTCTTTCCCTTCTCACAAGGAGGGAAACTCGATACTTCCCAACTCCACCATCCCCAGTTCCCCTCCCCCGGACTACTGATAAACACCAGTCCAGTACCCCGGGCAGAAATCGTGGGGAGGACGGACTGGCTCCAACCAAGCCCCAGACCCTCCCCCACCTGCTTGCGAAGGCCGCCGAGCGCTGCCAAGACGAGCAGAGTACACCACACATGCTGCCCCAAGAAACCGGTTCTGTATCCAAAGTTTCCCTCTCCCAATCCTGTCGTGCCGTCCACCTCCAGTGAGTCGTCCACAAAGCCGGACCGGTCGTTCAGCTCCACCACATGCTGTCGCTGTCACGATCTCATCCACTCCTCTTTTTTGTACCACCCGCTTGAGATCTATGGTTCCGACCTTTTAGACTTCCCGTCTGGCCCGTCAACTAATACCCACATCTCGCGCCCGCATTGCGCGATTTTGGTCTCTTCTTTGTCTGAACTACAGAGCCACCCCTTAAATTCAACCTGTGTTCTGCCCTGCTTCGACTCATTTTGAACGGGGCAAGGGGAATGGAACCTTGAGATAAAGGATACATGAAGTCAACACGCCAGAACGTGTCACCTCCGCGCGCATTAGATTAAATCAATTGTCAGCACACGCCGTGCCATTACTGATTGTTGGGGATATCGTCCGTATTCTACAGCAAACTCCCGTATCCCGCTCCTTCTCCTCCTCCGTCCTTGTCTCGCACTCCGTGTCTACCCTTACAGGACCAAAAGATCCCCGTTGTTACCCTGCGCCGGCTGCACCACCTGCTGAGGCGCATGCTGGTTGACAACGTACCCTGTCTCGTATCCCGTCGTTTCACCAAACACGTCGCCCTGGTCAATCCGCATGGCCGCCATCTGCTGGGGCCCGATGCTGTTGAAGTAGGCGTCTGCGTCGTTGACCGCCTGTGACAGGTTCCCATTGGCCTGGTTGACGTGCTGACTGTGCATGTTCATGTCCTGCGGCTGGCCGCCCATGCCAAGCATGCTCAAGCTCTTCTGGTTCTCGATCGATGTTGGGAGCAGGTGCTTCTGCAGCGCCGGCGAGTCCAGCAGTTTCCTTGGACGTGCCGAGCGGAACACCGTCTGCACAGGCTTGAGGTACACCGTTGCCAGTGTTCCGACGTTGAGGCACATCTCCTCCAGCGTCGCCGGGTCGAGCCGCTCGGACTCGGCGGTGATGGGCGGCTTCTCTCCCATGACAATCTGCTTGGCTGCGGCCATGTCCGTCGACAGCAAACGCCAGTACATATAGGCTCGATCTCGGAGATCTGGGTTGTCCGTCTCCTCCGTTGCCCACTTCAACACCCGCGGCACCAGCTCTTGCCCTTGGTCGGCCTTTGGATGAACAGCTTGACGGTCGCCGTGAGCAGCGCTAGTTGCACCTCCACCGGCTCCTCTGCGAACGAGTACAGGAAGTCCTCGAGGAGGGCGTCGCTGTTCTCTATTCTGTCGGCGTACTGTCCGATTACCCATACCATGGCGGCTTTTGCTTCCGGCTCGTCCAAGGAGTCGAGATGCTCGCACAGAGTGCCAATGATGGACTCGTACTGATTGGGGTACTTGCGGAAGATATTTCTAATGACGACCGTAGCCTCCTGTACAATATATGTGACCTTGGTCGCAACCAGTTCGAGCAGCAGGTTGATACACTGCCGCGAAGCCGGTTCGATCTTGATGGCCAACTTGCCAATCGCTCGCACAGCCTTGCGCACGAAGTGAACGTCGATCTCTGTTGCGTACTCTCTAAGCTCTGTCAGAACCTCGTCAATGTTGCCTTCGTTGGCGAGCATGAAGATGAGCTCTAGCTTTGTGACCTTGACGTAGATGGGGTCGTTGTATTTGCAGAAGAAGACACGTATGTCGTTGCGCAACACTTCGGGTCGACGCTGCAAGATCAAGAGCGCATTCCTCAGAGCGAGGTATTGTACTTCTGGCCCCTTTGCCAGGAGGGTCACCAGCGGGGGCGACAGCTTTTTGCATAGTGCTGTGATCTGTCTCTGGTCCGAGATGTAATTCATCAAGTAGAGCACAACACGGATGCAAGTGAGAACCACGGCCGAGTTGGAGTGCGAAAGGCGCGGCGATATGCGTTCAGCCAGAAGCAAGGCTTCCCCTGTTTCCTGGGGAACATAGGACATCAGCGCCTCGAGAATGTACGTCTGGCCCCACCTGTCACATCTTGTTAGCAATCGATCACCAAGCGGCATTGAAGTACCTACTCAGAGCAGTCAGGGAGAATAGCGACCATCTTGGAGGCGTTGCTGTAGTCGATGGTGAGCTTGATGGCGTCGCTGCGCTCCCAAATGTCCATCAGCGATGCGAGTGCGCTGGCGACAACGGTTGGGTTGTCATCTCTGAGCAAGGTGTTAAGCCTGTCGATCAGGTCTGAAGCCTCTACCATGCGCCGGTCGTGGTCGTAGAGCTTCGCTACGCAGAAAGCTGCCGTCTTCCTGACATATGGGTCTGCGTCCTTCAACATGTGCTTAACCAAAGGCACTGTCGCTTCGACGAACTCTCGAACGTGGATGTAGGACATCGTACGGAGAGCAAGAGCTCTGACTAGTGGGTTGTGATCCTCCATATCCTGGATGATTGTCAGTCCATTCGAGTTGCTACGCTCGGCTATGGCTTTGCGCTCTCACCTGCTCCAGCACGGGAATGGCCTGGACAGAGATCTCAGGTCGCATCCGTGCATAGTTTACCAGAAATAAAAAGCACCTAGATTGATCATCAACATCAATCCACTTGACGTGAGAGCGCTCAGAAGACATACATCTTCTTGATCTCCAGGCTCTGGATATGCATGCAGCCAATAATGTCCGGGAACAGCGCGACCATGTCATTGTTGCTCATGGTCATGTTGGCGACAATCTTTTTGAGCGCGATCTTCTTGTTCGCATTGTTCTTGTCCTTCTTGCCGCCGCTGTTTAACTCAAGCCGCAGCTCGGCGACCTTGCCCTTGGAGGTTGTTAGTTTCGGCAAATAAGCTGGCGGAGGCACATAAGCCATGAACATGATGGGCAGTGCATGAGAAGGTATCCAACACAACAAGTGCTTTGAGCGGATCACGAAAAGGGGGGGTCAACGTCTGAGAGGGGAGTGCTAGCTCAACCACACGAGGCACAGCAAGGCTGATATTGGGGATGGCGGGGAAGACAGCGTGCAGAAGTCAAGCCCCGGACATCAAGTTCCTAGCAGTCTAGGACAGGGGTTGGATAGAAGCAAGCAGGACTGTTGCAGCTGAAGATATCCAACAGCGAGGGGTTTGCAAACAAGGCCAAGAGAGACAAGAACCAGAGCTTACCCTGGCAAACAGCTTGGAATCTCCACCTTGAGGGCCCGACATAGTGACGGCTTCTTCTCGTACAAGATACCGGTGTGGTAGGACGTAACGCGAATCTCAGACAAGTCCCTCCGAACGGGACTCCACCAAGCTTTCCGCCGGTGGTTGATCGCGTAGTGGTGGGCGATAACGCTACAGACCCCTCACGCCCAGCTGCGCGATCTATGTCGACTTTGGGTTCCCTGGACTAGGGCCAAGCCACCCAATGGAAAATCGGTCGCAAAAGTTGGCGGGAAGCCGCAGTGTTTCCTGACTTGTCTTGGATGGTGGGAGGGGTGCAGAGGCAGAGGGATGTCACATGCGTCGTTGAGCCGGGGGGGTTGCGGCCAATGGAAGAGGTCGTTGCGAGATGAGCGTGTCGTCGAGCCGGACAACCTTCTTCCCGTATGCAACCTCGTGTGCGCTTAGTTCGTTATCGTTGCGTGGACTCGCGGGTCGTTAGAGTTCGGTGTGACGGGGAGTCGATCGTGTTTGGTCGTCGTTCGGTTCTCGCGGGCAATCCGCTCTCGATTCCAGATGTTTAAGGGGAAAGTTAACGTTGGATCCCAAGCTCCAGCGGTTCCGCAGTGGAGTGCGACACGCCCGAAACGGGCTTATCGGATGGCCGATAAGCGTAAGCGAGCTAGACGCTGAACCGCCGCATGGATGAGTTTAGCCGACCCCCATTGTGTGGGGACCTCTGTCTTCAACGTCCGCTCGTCATCAACGCGACCGTCTCTCACCTTTGCTGCACCTAGGTTTCGTCTCAACCGCCTGCATCCGAGTCCCCGAACTTCCGATTACGCGCCCGATCAACCGAATTTGACAACGAAGTCCCAAATATGGCTTTGATCAACGGTGCCGTTCCGCGATGGGTGGCCGACCTGCAGTCACCTCCGGCTCCGAAGTCCAAAGTCCCGGGCATCTCTGACCCTCCAGGCTACCCGTCGCAAACTTCCGGCTCTAAAGTAAGCTTGTGCTTGGCCAGCGCTAGACTGCAGGCATGCTAACGTGATTTCATAGAAGCAGAAGGACCAAAAGATCCAGCCGCGCAAGCAACAGACACCCGAAGAGATGGATACCCTGAAGGTGAAGAAGGCCTGGGAGGTGGCGCTCGCGCCTGTCAAGAACCTGCCCATGACAGCCATCATGATGTACATGTCCGGCAATTCGCTCCAGATCTTCAGTATCATGATGGTCGTTATGGCGTTCAAGAACCCCCTCATGGGCCTCACCGCGGTCAACCAGGCGTTCGAGAGATTCGAATCGGAAACGAACAAGGGCAAGATGCTTCAGGTCAAGCTGGCGTACGTCGCTATGCAATTCGTAGCACTGGCCTTGGCGGTTTGGAAAGTCAACTCAATGGGTTTGCTACCGTAAGTACTCTCTTGATACGTGATGGAGCCATCACTAACATGACAGCAGAACAACACGATCAGATTGGTTGGCTTGGGAAGCTCAGCGAGAGCCTTTGGAGTCCTCTGTTCCCGCTTTGTAGACGGTGACATGAATTAAACCCAGCTTCCAAATCCCCAACAGCTTCGTTTTCTCTCTCAACTGCACGTTACCGTGAATAGTCCTGATACGTTTGATCTCCACTAGCGGTGGCTCTTGTTGGCGATATGTCTCTGCTGTCTTGGCCCGGCCACTTGTTCGCATTTCGTCGAGACATGTTTACTTCGCGAACCGCATGATACGGCTGGTCGCCGCCGTCCTCGATCAACCAATAATGAAACGGATCGAGAACACGCTCGTCTAGGATTCTCGGAATTGATAACCCCTGGATCTGCCTAGCTTCTTGTCTTCGGGTCCAAGGGCGATCGACAGCTACCATGCTATAAGGGGTGGCCTTTTCCTCATCAGGTTTCTCAACTACTCCTTGTTGATCCGGCAAGGCCCTTCCAGTGTTTTTTGCCGGTGCAGCTTTTGGTACTGATACCGATGGCTGGCATGGAATCCGGATCGACCGGCTTACAGGCGTTGCTGATCTCTTGGAAGTCGTATTGTTCATGATGTTCTAGAAATCGCTTAACATCTCTGCTAGACACAGTTAGAATGGCGGCCCACCTGCTGGCTCATTATGGTATGATTGATTGACTGTTGCTCTTGCCGGGCTATATTGCAATTCTCTTACTGGGACTTGACTCTGAAGCTTGTCCTAACAAGGGAGCTGTTGCTCTTATATCGTCGAGTCAACGCCATGTCTCCCTGCCGCGGTGGACGAGGTCCTGTGATAGCTGATGCCAAGCAAGTGATGAGGCTCGCTCCAGACTTTACAAGCCGTCAGAGATGCATCCCACCTGGCCATGTCCAGCAATAGCCTCCTCGGTAGAATCTACATACTCGTGAAGACTGTGAACTTGACAGGAGAGCAGAGTCTATACTAAAGACATAGTTCTGTTCGGTCAACTGACGTCTTTCTTCTCACCACAGGTGTATTCGATACCCTGATAGTAATCAATTCAAAAGAGGGGTTACCTAGACTTCACAAACAAAGACGCACGGAACGTAAGGGATGGCTCAGTCGTGATCCTAAAGAGTTGACTGCTAAGATTGTGCGACCAAGAGTCTGATGGTATCGTCTTCCCTGCAGCCACGCATACCACAACCGCTAGCGAAGCCGGATGCGGTCCCGGTCTTTGAGACTATTCTGACAACTCCAGTCCACCGGTCTATCGGAGTCGGGAGAGTCAACTGAAACAGAAGTGGGAGGAGGCTCCAACCGTCACTGAGACATCGGGCTAGGACGTACGGGGGGTACCGATCCACGACAACCGACTTTCTAAGGGATGACGAGCGAGCATGGAACACTTTCTGTTCTCGCTCACAGCAGAGGTTAAAGCACGTGAGAGTCAAAACAATAACAAACCCGTCGTATCTAGAAAAGCGCTAGTCTTGGTTACTGTTCAAGGTAACCTCGACCTTGCTTGCCTCGCGTGGGTCGCCATCTGATCCCCCTGGCCTGATCATCTGGTTCGACTTCCATCGATACATCTTTATCAAGAGTCCAGTCCAGACGATCTGCACCGAGATCGTTCTCGAACGCGAATAGCATATATGCTTAACAATCTGTATCTATATTTATCCAAGCGAGCCCCGAGAGAACTCCAACCGTCCTAATCCTGAAACTCAAGTGAGATATACTGATATCATTCCCGAACTCCTAAGCAAGCCCCAAAACGCCTCCAACCATAACCAATCATGAAGCGTCCTCCCTCGTCCGTCTCTCATTCCTCCACGTTGGTCCTTTCTTCACGATCACAAACAACATCGGACTCAACACCGCGCACAAGGCAGCCAGAAACGTAAATGACCACCCCCTTCCCATACCAGCGATCATGTACTCAATGACAGCCGTACCGACAGCGCCTAGGGCACACCTCACCAGGTTGTTGGCGGCCGTGGCGGTTGCAGGCGCATCCGGAAACAGATCCACGATCAAGGTATTCATGATGCTGAAGGACCCTGTGATGGTGAGCCCAATAACACTCTGCAAAACCAATGGCGCAGCGACGCTGGTCTCAATCTGCAAGACCCATCCGTACGCCACCAACGCAATGAGCCCAACCAAAACAGCCGGATAGACGGGCTGCAGGCGAGCCTTCTCGATTGGGAACTTGCTCAGGTCGTCGCCCCGTCGACGGTCGATGGTGAAGCCGATCTTTCGGGCGATGCGGCGATAGTTCCAGTCGAGAACGTAGCCTTGCCCCAAGCTGGCAACGACGCAGCCCGCACCATACGGAAGATAGCACAGGCCCAGCTCTAGATCGTTGAAGCCGTAGATCTCGCGGAATAAGGTGCCGAGGGTCGCGGCAACACAAATAAAGGCTACGTAGAGCAGGCTGTTGTAGGCAAGCACGACACCCATTTCCTTTTCGAAGATGATTTTCACGGAGCGGATGGGGTTTGGGAACCGAAGTTTGCGCTTTGGCTGGGCTTCCGTTGCTGTGGATTCGCTCCGGGATAAGGCGTTGGTGTTGTTGGCGCGTCTGCGGCGTCGGCGGCGAATGAGGTCAACAACGGGCCGGTTCCAAGGCTGTGCGGGGAGAGAGCCGTTGCCGACGACGTTGCGGCAGGTCTCCGGGGTGAAGAGGGCGTAGGGGATAAGCCATAGCCCAACCAACACTACGCAGAACCAAAAGATGGAGGCCCAGCCAAAGTATTGGGTCAAGACGCCGCCGAGAACAGGGCCTATAGTTGGGCCAACGTTGATTCCCGCTCCAACGATGCCCATGTACTTCCCACGCTCAGAGCTCATCGAGATATCAGCAACCATGGCGAATCCCAGCGCAATTGCCCCACTACTCCCACCACTCTGTAGCATCCGGAGGACCAGCAAAGCGGCGTAGTTGCGCTGCAAGGCCAAACCGATGCAGGCGACGAGGTAGATGCTAAACGCTACAAGAAACGCCGGACGGCGGCCGGCCATATCGCCAAAGTCGCCAAAGATGGTCGGGGATATGGCTTGGAGGATCATGTAAGAGGTGACTGTCAAGTTGACAAGAGCGACGGAGACGCCCAAGTCGTCGGCGATGGGGGCCAGAACCGGGTAGTAGATGTTTGCGGACATGGGCGGGACGAAGCAGGCGACAGAGGCCATGAAGGCAACCCAGCGTTTTGTCGGGGGCGAAAAAACGCTGTAAGCCGGGCCGCTGGGTTGACGAGTGAGGTTCTCGGGGTCTAATTCTCCAGAGAACGGCTCAGGCGCATCGTGTGAGGTTGCTTCATGTTGGTCTTTGTCGTTGGTGACTTCCGGTTCCGATATCGACGATACTGGGCGAATAGATGGCTCTGGGGAATCAGTGAGCGGGAGAGATCTATCTTGCTCCCTGTCCAGCCCCATTTCGTTTAATTCATCTTGTCCCATTCTCGTCCAAAGGGCATGCCAGTGCCAATCTTCGCTTCAGTGGAACGGTTGACTTGTCGTGCACAGTTGAAACGTAAGTAAACATCAACTAGCGATTCAAGATTGCTACTCAGGACTGTATTTAACCAAAGAGAGTGTATAGTTTAAATGTAGAATGACAGATGTTCCAATAGCAACATGGTCTGAAGGAGGAAAATACCTTGCCTTCGTGCAAAAGTCATGTCGTCCACATCTGTGAGCGGGACCAAATTCCCGCCCACGAGTGAATGATGTTAATTCCGCTCTAGATCGCCTCCACCCCCCTGGATAATCGGCACCTAGCCGACTACGGTCTGCAGTTTGCGGCTCCCGTGATTCGCCCGCACCGGCCTATGCCTCCACAAAAGCTCACCCGTTTTGGGCAGCTGGGTCGTATGGCATTTGACCGAGACTGGCATCTGGGACGCCTTCTCGGAGCGTTATCGGTGGAAGATTCTTTTGTGTAAGTAGCAGCAGCTAGAAGCCACTACAGATCCAAGATCTGCGTCGGCTTAGCATCGCAATGCCTCTTGAAACCGTCTAGTCGCTTGACTCGGACGGAGCCTGATGGCCGAGATCGGACAGCTTGACCTGAGTTTCGAGCCGATATCAGTGACCAACCTGTGTGAGGTCAGAGGTCGCTTGATCCTCGCCTACTGCATTACTCAATGTATAGCAGTCGCATAGACTTAAAAAATTTTGACCGAAGTTAGGAATTTGTAAATGATCACGGCAAGCTTAACGGCGCCGGTGTGGAGAATAGGTCGTGTGCCTCGCCGACGCCGATGCCGACCTGCCGATGCAGGCCGAACCCAGGCAAAGTTAACCCGCACCGCCACAACAAGCCCCCTATCTGGTCTGGAGACCAAGTGTGGCTGGTGCATTGGAGAGCCAAAGCCACGTCATTGGAGAACAGCTTTCCGGATCCCCAGCTTCAACGTCGAATGGCCACGAACCTGTACGACATTGCTGCTCTGTTATACTTAACGACTCGCGAGTAGCATGTACGCCGGACTCTGGTGACAGGAAACCCCGTTTAATTGCACACTCAAGTGCCGCAACGACCAGACTGCACCAGAATGGACATCACGCCAGAATTCAACGAGCTCCTGCGGAAGCGTAATGCGCCAATCGTCACCGAGAAGAAGCTCAGCCTCGAAGCGATTGACGGTTTTCTCAAAGAGGCTTACAGAATAGTCAGTGTCCGATCTGTGTCTCAACGAGGCCCGTCGTCTAACAACCCCAGAACCACCACATAACGAGCCTCCACAACGAACTCAAAGATGTTCGGCAAGCCTACCTCTCGACCGCGCAGCCGCGCAAGACGCACTTCCGACCGGGGAGCAACGCGAGCCAACCCCGTCACCTCACCGACCGCGACCGTGAAGAGGTCGATGCCAATGCGAAGCAGATGCTCCGTGAGCTAAACGCTAGCATTACCGCCCTCAAGGATGCGGAGCTGCTCCGCCGTGAGACGGAGACGGCCGTCATCCGCAAGAAGTACGCCCGCGGTCTGGGCGCGCTCGGTGCATGGGCTGCCGGCGCCGCCGCCGGTGGTGGTGCATCGAGCGACAGCGGGAAGACGGCGGAGCACCTGGCGGCCGAGGCCAAGGCGCGGACCATCGAGCAGCACCGCGACGAGGTCATCCAGTCGCTGAGGCAGGGGCTGCAGCTGTGCGGGAGGACGCAGCAGGATATGATGGAGGTGCGGCTGACGAGGGAGATGGAGAAGAACCGCAGCGTGCTGGCCAAGGCTGGGGGCGGAAGCGCGATGCCCGAGCTGGGAGGGTTCTACGAGTCGATGAGCAAGAGCGCCGCCGCGGCGAAGAGGCCGTCGAAGTCTGGGTTGCCGCCGGACGAGGGCGGGTCGTACAATCCGCAGGAAGACCTCACGGAAGAGCAGATTCAGTTGTTTGAGAAGGGCAACCAGGATATGCTGCAGCATTACAACAGCACGTTGGACAAAGTCAGGTATGTGGCGGCGGCAGAGCCCCAAACCCCCCCCCCCCCCCCCCCTGCACTAGCTGAGGGCATTCGGATCACTAACAACTGGGAATAGGACGGCCGAGAAGTCGTTGCTCGAGATCGCGGAGCTGCAGACGCTGCTCGTGGGCAACCTGGCGACGCAGTCGGCGCACATTGAGCAGCTCGTGGCGGACTCGGAGAATATTACGCAGGACGTCGGAGGCGGAAACAAGCAGCTCAAGAAGGCGACGCAGCGGCCCAGCGCGGCGAGGTACACGTTCTTCGCGTCGGCGGGGCTGTGCGCGTTTTTGATTCTCTGGGACTTGATAATATAACCGCCTTTGCGAGGCTTGACTAAGAGAAGACCTGCACCTCACGCAAGCTTGCTGAAATGGCCAGCGTGTGTCTCCGGATGAGTGTGAAGGACCCAAATGTAAAAGACCCAAACACTGCATCTCGCGGTTTACCCATCATCAATGTAGAATTGACTGGTCTGCGTTCGGAGTGAGGGTGCTGAGGCTATACCTGGAATACTTCGACCAGTGTCGGGGGCAAACTGCATAAGTCAATCAAGAGATGACGGAATTTCGTGCAGGTCAAGATGCCCATGCAATGGCCTTCACCGGCGGAGTTGGAGCTGAAACGGGCTACGGCTTGCTTCTTCTTTTTTTTTCATATGTCTAAATGTTGCATCCGAATTGAACCACTTCATGTCTGGATCACAGGTCAGTCCTTTTAGGAAGGAGGTTGGGACGGGTTGACATGTGAAATTATACTGTGTAGTTTTGTAGCGCGTCACATGCTGGCTAGAGAGCTTGGACCGGGGCCAGGTGACCTCCGATTTCAAGCCTTGTCGCCTCGAGGGCATGGTCGGTCTTTTATCTTGTAAACGCTAGGAACGGTGAGCCGCCTAAGCAAGAGTCCATCGGTGTTGCGGTGAGCTCGACCGGGTTCGATTGAGTTTGACATGGCGCATCGGCTTCTCCCCCGGTTGTCACCCGGGCTCTGGGTACGGAGCCGTTCGGCAGGTGTCTGGACGAAGCTGTTGCGACGCGAGCTCCTGATTGGCGCTGTTAATAGCATCTGACATGCGAAACAGAACTCGGTACTTGCGGCGTTTGAGTACATGGGATTGTTGGCACCGAGGAATGGCACCGAGGAATGGCCCCATACTCTGATGTTCTCAATGATATCGAAAGGGGGTTTGTTCTCTCTAGACACAGCTGTGGGATGAACGTTGGAATTCCGTCTCATCAAAACTCGCTGCATCGGTCGATTCGTATATCATGTATTAGATGGGACGACCTCAGCCTGTTCTGGGGGTTTGGCACAGTCCGCCCGCCTCATCCGACGTTGAGTTCTGAGAGAGCACACTTCGGAACAGACAGCCCAATGGCCTGTGCACAAAAAGCCCCCCAGACACAGCAAAAACCCAAAGTGAACCATGTGTCGAGTCGTGAGCCGTTTCTGGCGGCAATAGCAGAGTCATGGTCATGGGGTTTGTCCCGAGACCTCGGTCCACTCCGCAACAGTGACCTCACAGCTGTCATTTTCGTAGCTGGGGGGGGGGGGGGGGGGGGGGGGGGGAAGTTGGGGGAAGCTCCGGGGGGCCGACAGGCAGAGGATAAGAAGAAGGCGCATTCCCCCGCGCATTGCGACGGGGCTGACATTGAACCTGGAGAGCGCAGATTTTCCCCGATCGTAGCCCGATACTTGGTCGGTTCACTCTCGGCATCTTGCATTGTCTAGACTATTGCTCCCAACTCGCATCCCCGTCCTCGACAAATCCCAGCTACTTACTTATCTTTATTTACCTCACTGGGTGTTGCTCTGTGACCAAATCGACAATCTATTTCTGCAAGGAAAACCCGCCTGTCCGCTACCGTTTCGAGCAACGAGTTACGAAATACCTGCCCGCACTTTGTGGATACGGGCTCGTCACGCAGAAGTCAGAAACTTGACGCAAAGTATCTTTGCCAAGATTCCTCTGCTTGTTTTTCGAGCCATTCTCCCCTGCCTCCCATACTCAGGAAGCGTCCGAGCAAAATACCACAAACAAGCCCCCGTAACGAGGCCCGTTGCCCTGCCCTGCATTGGCATCCGCATCCGCATCCCGCATCCCGCACGCCTATTTTCTGCAGCACCAGCATCTGCAACTGCAACTGCATCTCCCCCAACCGCAACTCAACCCTGCAACTCCTGGCGCGTCAGACGAGACACTCGGCGAGACATAGGCTTTGAACCCATCTGAGCAGCAGCTTTCCAGCTCGGGTACATCCTTAGCTCCCACCAGAACCAGCCCCCCCAGGTAAGCAGAGCAAGCCCCGTGTCAATGTACCTTTCCACCCCTCTCTGCCCCCGTCCCCCGTTGCCCGTTCCCCGTCTCCGTCACTCACCTTCCATGACACCACGCTGCACTGTACGCACCACTTTCTGTTTGTAACCTCTCCCCTCACCTCCCTGTTCCCTGACGTCCTAGCTGGAGCCCGTTGGATGGAGGCGCATGTCCGCTTCCACTTCCCCGTCCAACTTGGAAAGGTTCCAGACACGGGCTGACGGGCAACGGGTTGGCGCCTGTAATCGCAAAGCTTCCCATTCGCCCGTCTAAATCGTACCACTATGGATTGATGCCATAATAGTAACCACCCCCAGACAGACCGGGCCACCGAGACCCTTTATTATTCCAGCACCCGCCTTGACTCGTTCCCTCTCTTTCACGAAAGAGAAGCTCCGACACTGAAAATGCCCGGTGATTCCTCCTCCTCTTCAACATCATCACCTTCTTCTTCCTCTTCTCCTCAGACCAACTCTACCCTTTCGAGAATACGCAACATCGCATCACACATCATGGCGCCCGTTACGACAACAAGTTTCCCCGCCAGCACGGTGCCCCAAGCTCCCGAGGATCCCCTCTTCGGCTTGATGGCTGCCTACAGGGCCGACGAGAGCAAGGACAAGGTCGACCTGGTGCGCTGGCCCTTGATGCTCCCCGAGGGCAAGCTACGACAGCTTGCCCCTCCTACATAATCACCACTACTGCTGACACGCCTGCCTCGTATTTAGGGAATTGGAGCTTACCGCGATGACAATGCGAAGCCTTGGGTGCTCCCCGTCGTCAAGAAGGTGCGTCAACGTTCTCCTTTCTGCGAAACCTCATCATCTGATGCTGCTGCCGCCGTTGTCGCGCTTGGGTTATGTTTTGTGCTGTCGCGGCCCCTCCGGCCTCCAACAACAAAGAAAAGCTCGGCTGCGTCACACGCAGCAGCAGCATGCATCTATTTTTTGATGAGGATTCCCCTCATCCACCATTCCCCCCTCCCTCCACCATCATACCCCCTTATCCACCCCCGCTGACCCCGCCATGATGCAACACTACAGGCCGACGAGATCCTTCGCAATGACCCCGAGCTGAACCACGAATATGCCCCCATCGCCGGTATTCCCGCCTTCACTGGCAAGGCCAACGAGCTGATGCTCGGCGCCGATTCGCCTGCCATCCGTGAGAAGCGCACCACCTCCGTTCAGACCATCTCCGGCACCGGCGCCGTTCACCTTGGCGCCCTTTTCCTCGCAAAATTCTACAAGGGCAACCGCACCGTCTACATTTCCAACCCGACCTGGGCCAACCATAACCAGATCTTCGGCAACGTCGGCCTGCCCATCGCCCAGTACCCCTACTTCTCCAAGCAGACAAAGGGCCTTGACTTTGAGGGTCTCAAGTCCGCCCTCTCCTCCGCCCCCGAGCGCTCCATCATCCTCCTCCATGCATGCGCCCACAACCCTACCGGTGTCGACCCGACACAAGAACAGTGGAAGGAGATCGCCGCTCTGATGCGCCAGAAGAACCACTTCCCCTTCTTCGACTGTGCCTACCAGGGCTTCGCGTCAGGCAATCTCGCCCAGGATGCTTGGGCTGTGCGCTACTTCATCGAGCAGGGCTTTGAGCTGCTCATCGCCCAGAGCTTCGCAAAGAACTTTGGCCTCTACGGCGAGCGCGCCGGATGCTTCCACTTCGTCACCGCACCCGCATCCGACGCCGCCCAGACGACCTCCCGCATCGCCTCACAACTCGCCATCTTGCAGCGCTCCGAGATCTCCAACCCGCCGCTGTACGGTGCTCGCGTTGCTGCGACGGTTCTCAACTCCCCCGAGCTGTTCGCCGAGTGGGAGGACAACCTGCGTACCATGTCCGGCCGCATCATTGAGATGCGCAAGGTCCTGCGCGCCAAGCTCGAGGAGCTCGGCACGCCCGGCACGTGGAACCACATCACCGACCAGATCGGCATGTTCAGCTTCACGGGTCTGTCCGAGGCTCAGGTGCTGAAGCTGCGCTCCGACGCGCACGTCTACATGACCAAGAACGGTCGCATCAGCATGGCTGGTCTCAACACGAGGAACGTCGATTACTTTGCCAAGGCGGTCGACAAGGTCGTCCGCGAGACGCAGTAAAGTGCGCTTTGTGATTTGTAGGAATGTAAACCTGGTAGATCTGAGCGTCAAATGCGGCTCAACGGCATGGGACCCGGGACTGGAATGTCCTGGCATGATATATATGGTCATCGCACCAACGGATGATGAAAGACATGCGGCCGGAGATGGAAGGAAAAAGGATTCTAGATTTCCTAGTTCTGAAGTAATCAACCATCCCCTCTTGGTATTCTCGCGCGCGAATACTTTCCGGCTTCTACGTGATCTGGCGATGGGTGCATGTGCTAGGCAACCGCTGGTTGCTTACAACTTACATGCCGATATCGCGAGCAACCGGATTTTCGTTCCTGTTAGTGGGAGAGGGCGTTGTCAAGACTCTACATCCCCCGCTGTCGCATGTCTACTTACCATCCGCCGAAGGCTGCCCTGTCTATTTCGATGCACTGGTCGTGGGAGACAGCTCACCGTGAGCCCATGCTTTTGAACATTTGCCCTCTGAGTCGGTGATGCGGAGCGAGCTAGGCTCTTGACTGACGTGTGCTGTTCCGAAGGCCTGTCACCCAACGCCTGCTCGATTTCCTACTTCAAGGCCGGAAAGCAATGTGCTCAACCGTTGATGAGAATAGGTGGGCGGGTGCCGTGGTCTTTGGGTCTTTATGAAGGAGAGTTTTTTCGGGCCGTCGATGTGAACCTTGGTGCACTGAACAAAGTCGATATCCATATTGTCGTCGAGCTCGACCTCCAAGGCGTGCGCAGTGTTTGTCCGTGTCGATGGGCCCATGCAAGGGTTTCCGGTCGACTCCGGAGTCACTCGGGCCAAGGTCCCACCGGCGGCCCGCCAGTTCTCAACCGACCATGTCTCTGAGCCGAGGATGCCAAGTCCACCGACGAGCTCTCATGTAATAGTGCTGACCAAAGGCCCTTCCTTTTCGTCGTCGTTGGCAGGTGTCTCTTCAGCCTTCAAGGTTCGGTGTCGTCAACGGCGTTACTGCGATTTGTTTGCCTTCTCTTTTCGGTCGTTCCATCAGGTCACTCAGCGAAGAGGATTCCAGGGAGAAGAGAGAAAAGAGAATCCTCCCACGAGATGAGGGAAACCCACGTCGTTTTGAGAGTTCAGGGACGACGTCCCGATTATCTAGTCCCAATGGCTCGTGGCAATCGGCCCTTCTCTCGGGTCTTTACGGCTAACAGTGTCCCCGCCCTCCCGCAATGCCGGCAGAAGAAGAGGGTGTGGTCGATGCCCTCCCCCTGCTCGCGCGGGCGAGTTTTGTGGGGGTTGACGAGGACTCGGTTTCTCCCGCGTGTGCCTTTTTGACGAGCGACTAACCCTCGGCGTCTCGCCTCGCGTAGTTGCAAGATGCCCCGGTTCACGCCAAGTCGACAAGCCAATGGGGTAATGGCGGAAGAGCGAAGCTTGAGATTCCCCGGGGTTCGAGCTCTTGCCGGCTTGATTTGGCGGAGGTCTTGACCCGTATCTGGGGCTCTTGGCCGAGTCAAAAGGACGGCCGCACGCCCTCCCCAATGGAATCCCGGCGGTGTTTCCCCGCAAAGTCTTGTTTCCCGGATCAATGAGATGGAAGATGGGACTGTGTGCTGGGTCGTACAAGTTAGGCTCGGCTGCGCCCGACTGTGCAAGCGTACCGTTCTGGCATCTCTTCGATAGCACCCGGTCTGGTCGACCGCGGTTTCAAACAGATTCTCCCCCTGCGAGAGTTCGTTGGCAAAGGGTGAAAGAGGTTCCAACCTAGATAGCTCCGACGGATCGCTAACGATGCGACGCTGCTGTTCTCAAATCAGATAAGGCCAGGTCGGAGTAAGAGGCCTTGGGGAGCTCTGAGTCCGGGTTGCATCTGTGCGGGTTGTCAACCACACCATCGGTACCATGCTAAACATAGGTAGGGCAAAAGTTCTGGAGGATTGAGCGAGCTCTTCGGATGCAGGCCACATGTACACGGCCGGGCAACAGTCGTGTCAATCATTTCCCACCGGGTCGCTCCAAGGCTAATCCAATATCTACCCGCCTCACGCTTTGCCCAGATACGGCCAGAAAGTCAGCATCGCACACGTCCCCCAAGACATAGGATTGTTGTGGTTTCCCTGCTTTCTCGGCGTACTCTGTCGATGATGTCTCAGCTAGGCGAGCTGTGCCGCCTTACTGCAGCAAGCATGGCTCTCGGTACGAAGCCGCATGAGCATTTTCAGCTACGTTTGGACCTCATTGCTTGTTCGTGTCAATTCAAGATATTTGGCACTTGGCTAAGCGTGATCAATAACGAAAAGGGATGGCGTGGCATGTCGGGCCCTTTTGTCCCCTTCATAGTTTGAAGCCATCTCGAAGTACTCCAATTCTCAGCGTATAGTCCACTTAGCTCGTCTAAACGACAAGTTCAGAGACTCGCCGTCTCCGAAGCCAGTAGAGAGAAAAACCATTGTGCTCACGACTGCCCCCCAACCCGTGTGGCCTCGGAGTTCCGCACAATAGCCTCGGCGCATAGGATGATCTCGCTTATGGTGCTCCCGAATGACCGAATCCGGTCAAGTTGCCATCCTCCTAATGATGAGCACGCCGCCAAGCACCATCCTTTGGAAAACCAAACTCGATACTGAATCCATTCTCATTACCCACAAACGAACCCAACCAATGCCGATGCCATCCCATCTCCAAACATATTTCAGCCGCCCAGCGGGGTGCGGAGTTGCCGCTCCAATGCCCTCCCACACACCCTTAAATTAAGCACAACCGAGTAAGCCCAAGAGCCCATGGGGAAGGCAGCACAGAGGCCATGTGGGGAAGAAGGGGAAAGCTTCCCCGCATGTTGCTTGTCCCGTTTCTCTCAAGTGAGACTGGCCTCTCAAACCCCAGCTCCATTGTAAAGAGACGAACCTCTTCTCCCACTGGATGGATAAATGCAAACAACCCCCCGGCCGCCGAGGAGAGGGTCTTGGCAAGCCACATCACGGCTCTTTGCGACGTGCCCTCCGATGCAACGGTCATCTCATTCGGACCTTCTGCCACCTGGGGCCCTGGGCAGGACGCTTCTCTCTCCCGCTGTCCCGCCTTAGCCATTGTGTCTCTGCCGGGTTCGTGCATCGGCAGGCAGTCAACCAGCATGGTCACTCCTTCACGGCAGTGCGTATATAATACCTGGGTGGGCCTCGTCCGATGATGAATGAAGAACAAGTGTGTGCCGCATTCGCCCAGGGACAAGGACTCGGTGACATATACCTCCGTTCAGCGGACATAAACACCTTTCCCCAAGCCTCGTCTTTCTCAGAACCCGTTGTTGTCCGTCGCGACAACTGCCTCCTACGCTTCGTGTGCCCCGAACACCTCAGCAGCAACGGCCCAACATGGTCCAGATCAAGCGCGTCCAGGAGACCGGGGCGTCAGACCCCATCCTGACGCGCATCTCGGAGGAGGACAAGGTGCCGTGGTACCAGAAGCCAAACCTGCGATACCTCTACCTCATGCTCTTCCCCACCTGCATGGGCATCGAGCTGACATCCGGATTCGACTCGCAAATGATCAACGCGCTGCAAATCGTGCCTTCCTGGGTCGAGTGTAAGTCGACTGGAACCTCGGCTGCTGGCGGTTCGAGAAGAGACAAAACGTTCGGGAACTAAACTAGTCTTTGTTAGACTTTGGCCATCCGGCGGGCAGCTTGAAGGGCATCATCGCCGCCGCGTACTCTCTCGGCGCCATCCTCTCTCTGCCCTTCATTCCCATCGTAAACGACAAGTTTGGACGACGATGGTCCATATTTGGCGGCAGCTTGATCATGGTTCTTGGCGCGCTCATCCAGGGTTTCTCTCAGCACGGTACGTATGAGTCTACATATGATTTCCCGCGTCGAGAGCTTGGAGAGGAGAAGCTAATTTGATCGGTAAAATAGTCGCCATGTACATCGTTGCCCGTATGATCCTCGGCTTCGGCATCCCGACCTGTATCGTCTCTGGCTCGTCTTTAATCGGTGAGCTCAGTTACCCAAAGGAGCGTCCGGTTCTCACGTCTCTGTCAGTTGCCGCAGCAGTAGCTTTGATTCCGCAGAAGGAACCATTGAGAAGCTAATTCATTCGCAGTTTCAACGTTGCCTACTTTGTTGGTCAGATCGCAGCCGCAGGTATCTGCTTCGGTACCAACAACATCCAGAGTGATTGGGCATGGCGCATTCCGTCCCTCCTCCAGATCTGCCCCTCTCTTTTGCAGATCTGCTTCGTCTTGTAAGAGCTCCACGTGGAGAAATCCTTGAATATCCTCTGGCTTTGATGCCTAACCACCATCCCTCACAGTTTCCTTCCCGAGAGCCCCCGTTGGCTCATCACCAAGGACCGCAGCGAAGAGGCCAACGAGATCCTGACCAAGTATCACGCTGAGGGCGACCGCGACTCCGATTTCGTCAAAGCCGAGATGGTTCAGATGAAGACAGTCATCACCCTCGAGATGGAGGCCTCAAAGCAATCGTGGATGGACCTTCTCAACACCGCCGGTATGCGCCGCCGTGCTCTCATCACCGCGATGCTGGGTCTCTTCACCCAGTGGTCCGGTAACACGCTCATCTCGTAAGCATTTCCCGTTTCACCCGCTCCTAGCGCATTGGGCTGACTCGAAAACGTAGATACTACCTTGGTGACCTGCTCTCGATGGTTGGCTTGACAGACTCTGTGGTCAAGTCGAAGATCAACCTTGGCATCGCCGGATGGTCCCTCGTCTGCGCCTTCACCGTGGCAATGCTCGTCCGGACCTTTCGCCGCCGCGTTATGTACCTTGCCTGCACGATTTCACTGGTATGTCCCCTCAGGCGATTATCTACACCGTTATAGGATACTAACAGTACATACCAGCTTGTGTGCTACATCGCCTGGACCATCTCTATGGAACGCGCTGTGCACGCCCTCGACCATGATTATACTAACAAGAGTGCGTCCATCGCGACAATCTTCTTCATCTTCATGTACTCCCCATGCTACAACATCGGCTACAACGCCCTGACGTACACCTACCTCGTCGAACTATGGCCCTACGCGCTGCGCTCGCGCGGTATCTCGCTCTTCCAGTTGTTTGGGAGACTGGCAGCCTTCTTCACGACATTCGTCAACCCCATCGGCCTCGAAAACTCGTCGTGGCGCTACCTCATCAGCTACTGCTGCTGGCTCGCCTTCGAGGTGGTGTTTGTGTACTTCATGTTCCCCGAGACTGCGGGACGTACTCTCGAGGAGTTGGCTTTCTGTAAGTTCACGACGCTCATGTTGCTGGTTTCATGGACCTGGCTGACGAACCTTTTTTTACCAGTGTTCGAGGACAAGGCTCTCGCCGACCAGGCTGTCGGTGCCGTTGAGAAGGCCATCCACCACGAGGATATGGACCCCGTTGGCGAGGTCAAGAGCGGGAATGGCAAGACGGAAGTTGTGGAAGACGTTGGTACCAGGTCCAAGGTCTAAGTGGTTCGTATGGAAGGGATAAGGGTTGTGGCGAGGCAGTGGGGTTTAATATCGATTCATAGCGGAAGTTTTCATTCCCTATTTAATGACATGGGTATGACCGGGTGTCATGGACTTCATGCTTCGCTTGTTCCTTCCCGGGATAGTGCAACCCATACCCACCTACCACCTTCGTTATAAACATCATCAGGTAGCCCCACGTTGCTAAGATAACTAGTACGCTGCTTCCACAGCTTCTTCTGAGCCAATACTCTACCCCTCACTTAAAAGGTGTTATCTAGTTCTGTGCCATCGCCGTGAGATTGGGGGTTTCTTATTGACCATTAAAGCTGAGATGAAAACAAGCACAGAGCAGGAAGGTATGACCTAAAGCAGCAAGGTCGTAACTCCGTATACACTTTGCGGGAGAACCTCTGGGGTGGAAAGAAATGAAGAATCTTGTAAGCCCGGGGTTGGGCCTTGGTAACTGTAACGAGCCGGCCCCGAGGCGTTTAGGAAGAGCCCGCACAGGGCCGACTGAGACCTCGTTAGCTCCCACGGACCAACATAGAGTGCTTGGCTGCTCCACCCAGGCAGGGAGGTCTTGGCCAACGTATAAAGGTAAACTGCAGTCATATGCTATTAAACATGGAAGCATGCTTTTCTATCTGGTAAGACCTTGTACCTCCCTATGAGGCCCTGTGAGGTCATACGAGGTTTTCACAGGTAGCTAACACTGTCATCTTACATAGCCGTTTAATTGAGGCTTAAATAGACGCAAACAAAGCTGCTTTGAAACTGGCATCTCACGAGACAGGGCCCAGATCGATACATACTGATTTACAGCCTAGGATACCTCTATACAACTCCTTGAACTTGTACAACTCTTTCTCATACTATGATAAAAAACATACACTTTTGATTGGTATATTACACTATGAGCGAACCTCATCGCAGCTGAACCAAGTGTTCTGGTACTGCTGACATCCATTTCCGGTGGGACCTTCAGTCTGCTTCCAGTATCCACAGTTAGTGCCGTCTGGTCGATCCCAGGCAACAAGACAGACACTCCCCAATCCCGCCCCTCCGTCGACCGTCATGTTCCCCCGAATCACACCGAAACCGGGTGCGAAGTTGCCAGCAAGATACTGGGCCGGTGCGTCTGCCGTATCACCGGGTACCCACCTTAGAGACGTTTTAGTAAAGCAACAAAATTGGGCTACTCAACAACAGTCGAGCGTTAGACTATCAGGGCAGTAACATGAGGTTGACACACATTTTGCAATTGCAATATTGGAGGGAAGAGCCGCATCGTTTATCGACAGTGCCATCGTCGTTACGCTTGCATTTAAGAGTCGGATTGGCCAATGCCGAGATGGCTGCAGAGACAAGGATGATAACCTTCATGAGTCCCATGGTGAAGACGGTAGTGTTATAGTGATGATACTTTGATGAGGTGCGTTGAGAGATAGTCCGAGGCAATTGTCTTTAGATCAGCACAAATCCAGAGCTCTGTAGGCCACATTATATAGTTCACAAGCACGGAGATGGCCGGTGTTGAGCTTTTCAACTACTTTGCTTCCTAGACTCAAGTTCGCAGTGATCATCGTCTCTCAATAGTAAATATATAAAGGATCGGGGCCACCGCTTTATGCGTGCGGTTATATGTGCATCTTATGAAAGTACTAATAAGGGAGTATAAATTGGTTGTGCGTTACTGCTACGTCTGTTGGGGGTATCCTTGCTGACCCCGTGACTCTGCTGCCTCCTTATCCTGTGAGGGGTCGAAGTGCACATGACATCCGATCTGGGTGATCTTGGCTGCCACTTCTGTCCTGTCTGTGTGCTTGGCATTTTAGGCTGTGTTTCAGCTGGGACCGGTTGGTTGGTACATTCCGTCCTCGACTTTGATACCTCTTGGGCCAAAGCAGCAATAAATCAGGCTTAAAGACGGAGGGATAAATTCTGAATTTGTTTTTTGGTGTCGTGTTATGTCAGCGACCGGTTGTCATCCTCGCATCACAGTTCAAGTATCCTCTTTACGTCAGACATGTGATGTCTTCATTCTGTTCACAGCAAATCAGTTATTACTTCATCCATCACAACCGACATTCCAAGATATTCTCAGTCCAAAGGCTTCTATAACCATACTTTAGCACGGCGAGGCGGCTGTGTAAAGCTTGTGTCTTTACGGTCTCATTCTGCGAATGGTGAAACGCGTTTTCTCTTTTGCTAAACTTGAATACAATGATTTTCGAGGTGAGTGCCTTCTTACCATTTTCAGCACAACGTGCATTAATGCTTGTTTATCCATTTTATTCTCAGGTGTGATAAGGTGTTCAGTCCAATCAATTCAATACATAGCAACGAGTAGTGGATATATCCACCACAACCCCAAGAACCCCTACTCACTTGGTCACATGTTGAAGGCACTGTTGAGCGAGCATTGTATTCAAACAGCATCGTTTTTGTAGTCGTGAAGGTCGCCATAGGAGTTATAGTTAGATTCCTTCTTTGCACCCTTGTGTGTTAGGCCATCCTGCTTGTTGAGTTTGCTGGCTTAAGGCCCAGGGATTGAATGTCGGTTTGACCTCTAAACGCTCAAATGCTTGAAGACGGCAAACGTACATGCGATGACTTTCAGCAACATTAGGCACTGCATAAAAGGGAGAAGGCATCTAACTAGGTTACATCAAACAAAATAACAAGGTAACATTCTCTCTAGCTCACGCATACTCTCTGTCGCAGCAAGGTTTCGGCAAAGCCGATCCAACAACTGTACGTTAACGGACGCATGAAGATGAGGACCACAACGGCCAATGCTCCTCGCTTTGCGCCCATCTATTTTTATAGGTTGATCATCCTGTTACTCTAGTAGCTGGCTGTCGAAAGCATTATTTCCAAATTATGATAGCTCGATTAACAATGATTGGGAAGTGATGCCCCTCCGACCTCAAGATTATATGTATAAGATTCAACGCTTACGGAATAACAAGGTATGTACAGGTCTTAAATGCCCTCTATATGTGCTGTTGTTGGCTCGTGACTAAGACATGCGTGGGTTCATCGTGTTCGTTACAAATTATCTCTCTTTCTCGATCATTGTGGTATTAAAACATTCCGAAAGCAAGTAGGACAGTAAGGCAAGCGGTTCCCAAGACAACCGAGTTACAGGTCAAAGCCATCGCCGCACTCTTCGAAGTTGGAGACGGAGAAGACGCGGCATTATCGGATGATGGGGATGCCAGAGTTGCTCCTCCAGTCGTCGGTAAGGCTGAAGCCGAGACGCTTGCGGTCGTTGCACTAGCAGAAGGGGTTGCTGTTGTGCTCGGTGTCGCGGATTGTGTGGACGATGCGCTGGTTATTGTAGAAGATGTCGTTGTGACTGCTTTCCCTACCATCTCCTGCACCCACTTCCCAGCGTCGGTGGAATAAATATCAAAGTAGTTGAGATGGTTGCTCGCGTTGTTGCCGCTAGCGCAAATTGGGTCAGAGTCGACGCAGTACGAGCGCATCACGCTTGAGAAGGCCATCAACCCCGCAAGCTGATCCGCTGGGCGAGGAAATAGTCCATTTGCCGCGGCACCCGTGAGATAGTTGTACGGCTGATTGGCGGTATGTCTTGTGTCGCCGAACACGAGCGCGGCAGCGACTATAAAGCCCACATTATTAGATGAGGGCTTGAATATCAGATCAATCATCAGTCACTCACTCTTGTTCCCTGGAGCTTTCGTCGCGTCTAAGCCCGCATTCGACGTCTCCTGGCAATTTTGGAAGAAAGTACCGCCTCCGCCACCCAATATATCGCCAACAACGTGGGCGCCCTGAGAGTATCCGCTCACAACAAGCTTCGCATCCGGACACCGCTTGTTGTATGCAGTAATTTGCGTGGTTCCATTGGCGACGCCCTCCTCAATAGATTCGCAATACGGCGCTGGCAACGGGTTCCAGAACTGGATGTCTTCGTAATCACAGCTGTCGAGCCCGTCGCAAATAGCGGTGACGAGTTTTCCCTGACGGCCGGGGTATGGTTCATTGTTCCCGCGCGCGAGGAAGATGTGAACGTTGCGGCATTCCGCGTCGCCCGTGGCCTGTCGTTCAACGATCGACGCAGCCGAAGCCCACTGGAGGGAGGACAGGAGGACGAGACCCGCTGAGATAATTGGGACCATCTTGCACTTGTCGGCTGGTAGATGGCTGCAGCGGTTCGGAATTGGGAGTTGTAGGATAGGGGGGGGAAGAGAGGTGAAATGGATGGAACACGCGACAACGGATACTCGGAGGTATAAGATGTATCTCGAACCCCGGTGCTTCCCTGTCCTTAAGGCTGATTGGGATGAACCCCGAGAAGTGGTCCGGGGAGTTCTTCAATACGAGTCAACGATAAGCTGGATCCACCAAGAGCAGGGGTTCTAGACACTATGTCCTAGGCGACCGGCCCGAACAACGTCATATCCCCGGTCTTTGGGCGCTATCAAACTTGACCGAGAGACGATGCAGGAGAGAAAGTTCCTGTTAATCATCCGGATAGTGGGTGCCGACCCCCAATGGAGATGGTGACGAAAACATCAACTCACGCTTCCGCTATTTTTGTAGGGGAGGCTCAGCCATCGTTGGCCATTAGTTCGCGGAATGACTCGCTGTGCGGTTCCATGTGCGACTCCTGCAGGGATCAACCAAAGCTGAACTCCCGCATCGGCCGATTCTGGCCAACGCGCGTACTCAGTTGGGTTGACAGCGACTGAAATAGATCGTCTGTGTGTCGGGGGTTAAGTGTTTGATCGTGTCTTGGTGGATCTTTGAACCTCAAAACCCAGATCTAAGCCCACGGGTTTCTGGTCGCCGAACTTAAGCTCGCGGGTCATGATGAAAAGTCTAGAAAGGCCAAGTCGTGCCGGCCCGAATAAGTTGGTGATCCGTCTTGCTTGGCGATTGAAGATAAAAATTGCGTTCTTCCGCCTACAAAACTTCTTTATAATTTCACGTCGTTTTCTCGATTCCAGCGACGCGATTCAAAGTCGCGATTTGTCAAGTGACCCCGCATTGACAGGCAAAAACTACAGAACTGCTTGCATTTGCATACTGTCTGTTTTTTATCTTCTTTTTCTTTTTTACCCCCTTGTACAAATGAACTACCGGGGCCAATGATTACTCGGCGAACCAAATAAACTTGAAATGCGGTGCGTCACATTGCCGAGATGCCACATCGATCCTGTTCGCCCACAGCGAGATAGCAGATGTCGAAGTCTTGGCTGGGTAGCTGGATATCGTATCATCAATTGCCCCAAGTCGTATTTCCATAAACCACATTAATCGGGCTCTGGGTCTGGAAGTCTGTATGGGATTATCTAATTCCATGGTACGGGCAGTAAATTGCATCTTGGCATTGGCAACCTTTTGAGTTGCCTTGTCGGGATGAGATCAAGATTGGGTTTAGAGTCCTGATGTGTTTTTTGCGACCTTCCCTATCCTTCGATACGACCGTCAGAAGCCCCATATAAATGTGCATGATGCCACTCAATCAAACAGCACAACGCGAGAACGAGATGACTGTAATTATTTTAAAGCTGCGGCTTCTGCAACGGTGAGATGGACTCGGCAACCCTCGTTCCACGAAAAATGTTTCCCGGTTCCTGAGGAACTTTTGCTGATAAGATGAAGTTCTCGGCGACAACCACCCTTGTGTGCTGGGTAAGCCTTGGCGCTTGTGCAGTCCAAGTGCGACAGGCTCCGAAGCCTCTTGTGGACTCGGCAAGCTTCCAAGAGCAGATTTCCAAACAGAAGTACGACCACGATGGTTCCGGCTTGACTTGTGTCATCACACTAACAAACATCCCTCAAGCCTGGAAACCAACCTGGTCCGGCTGAATGACATCGCGACCACGAACGGCGGAAACCGCGCTTTTGGCTACGCGGGCTATGATGCCTCCGTTGACTACATCTGGAGCCGCATATCAGCCGTTGAGGGCGCAAAAGTCTGGAAACAAGACTTCTCGGCAGTCTTCAGCAGTGAGCTCAGGGCGAACCTGACCGTCAACGGCGAGAAGCTCGTCATATACGGGTTGTCGGGATCTACTTTCACGCCAGCCGCTGGCATCACCGCAGAACTTGTTGCGGGTCCAGAGGGCGTTGCCGCCTGCGAAGCGGCTTCCTATGCGGACCTCGATGTGAATGGCAAGATCGTGCTAGTTCGAGAGGCGTTGTGCCCTGGGTACCGGGATGGATACCATGCTGGCGTCATGAAACCTGCTGCTGCGGCCGGTGCGGAGGCGGTGGTTGTGATCAACGACTTTTATCTGAACCTGACTGCTGGCACTCTCGGCCCGGCAGACGATGGTACTTATGTTCCAACGGGCTTCGTCAACAAGTACATTGGAGATCCCCTGAAGGCCCGTCTGGACGCCGGCGAGACACTGACTGCTACATTTTGGGAGGATCAATTCGTCGACAGCAGGGTGACGCAGAACGTGTTTGCTGAGACCGAGGGAGGCGATGAAAACAATGTCATTGTCGTGAGTAACTCTGTCACTAATGACCTCGACAGCCTGCTAAGAACAGTGAAGCTTGGAGCGCACCTCGACAGTGTTGCTTGGGGAGCAGGTATCAACGACAATGGTGAGCTTTGCCCCTCTATCATGTATTCTGCGTGTAACCAAGTCTCATCAATTAGGATCCGGAACGTCCCTCTTATTAGAGCTCTTCCTCGCTCTCACCAAGTATAGCACCAACAACAAGATCCGTTTCGCATGGTGGGGTGCGGAAGAGAGAGGCCTCATCGGGTCACGATACTATGTCAACAACCTCAATGCAACTGAGTCGGGCAGCATTCTCGCGTACCTCAACTTCGACATGGTCTCTAAGGGCTACTACGGAGTCTTCGACGGCGACGGAGCATCCTACGGCGTCGCCGCTCCGCCGGGTTCCGACGTCATTCAGGAGCTCTTTACCGCCGAATTCATCGCCAAGGGCTTTAACGTGACCGCAGCTCGATTCACGAATGGCAGCGACTATGCCTCATTCTGGCAAGTCTTGAACAAGCCTATTGGAGGACTACACACTGGGACGGGTTCTGCGCAGGACCCATGCTATCATCTGGAGTGTGACAATATCAACAACCCGGATCTAGACCAGTTGACGGTGAACGCAAAGGTCAGTTGGAGGAGACACGCGGAACGTTGTGAGCCGAAGTTGTATTACTGACATTGGGTTTCCGGTACAGACCACTGCTCATGTCCTTTCCGCCCTGGCTCTGGATGGTACCAATCTCATCAAGAAGCTCGATGCTCGCGGCCTGCCCGTCCGTACTGTTGGCAATGAGAGGACAATCGCAACAGTGGAAGAGCCGAGCGACGAGCATCACCATTGCTGAGATCTGAAGCTCCCGGGTTTTCATTTAGTGTATGACTATGGTAAATACAAGGGATTTTGAACCGGCGGCTCTTCATAATATCTTTCATTTACTGCCGTCAAAAGGTAAGCTGGCAGCTGCCTCAGCTCATGTCTTAGTTCCTCGTTCGCAGTGCCAACGTCTGCACAACAGCATGAGGCTCCGCAACGATGCGATAAGATCGCCTGACGTTCTGTGCTCTTCGTATTCATCATCATCATCATCCACCTCCTCTTCCTTGGCCCTCGCCACCTCTAATTTCATGATCGCCTCCTTGAGAAAGGCGCCGAGCTTGTCCTGGATCTTCTTGTCCTCCTGGATCAAATCCTGCTTGGCCTGTTGCTCGAGTCCGTTAAGCTCGACGCGCCGGGCATTGATCTCAGTCACTTTTACCTGAAACTTTCTCAAAATCTTCTTCCTACAAAACTCAAACGTCACCAGACATTCACGAGTCTCTTCTCGGAACCTCTCCAGTGTCTTGACGCCCTCTTCGTCGTAGAGGAGTCTCGCAAAGTTCTCGGCGTCTCTGAGTTACAATTCAACGTCGCTTCCCACTAATTGTTGCCGATGGACAGCTGTATGGCGGATCTGGGTGATGGATTCGAAGAAGCCGTCCCAGTTTCGATAGGGATGTGGGACCCCATTGACTTTGAACCTGGTCTTCGCCTCGACCTTGAATATGCGCGCCCAAATATGGAGTTCACCACACTCGGAGACGTCCCATCGTCTTGCCTAGAGAACTTGAGACATGTTGTGTGTTGCGTATTTGATACATGCCTTTTCGAGAACTTCTTGGGCCCTGCTAAGGAGGATGTGTTGCGCCTGGTACGAGAGGCATGCTGGGTCTATTCGCGGATGAGACGAATCAGACAGAGGTCTGACTGCGCTCGACTGCGGAACTGGAGAGGTGGCTGAGGGAATTTCTTGCGCATTCACATTGACAGCAGCAGCAAGCCCTGGCTTTTCTGTGGACAAGTCATTAGCCGTGCAATCAAGATTGGAAGTTTTACGACGACTCGTCTCACCATTGGCGCCTGCTTGGAGGGAAGCATCGGCGATCTGCGTCGGAAAAGGGCGGCCAATCTCAATCCAATGGCCATGGAATTGCGTCTCGGTTATGGTAGCTGAGCTGATGCTGGCGATTGGTTTTGTTGTTGAGGCCTCCATTTCTGTCTTACTATCGACTTCTCCTTTATCGGCTCCGGTCGTCTGTGAGGTCTCATGGAGTATTCCTGGGAAACGCGTGCTTGCAACGTGCCTACTTTCAAAAATCCCTGCATGCAAAAGTCTCTTGCAGATGGCAATGACGGAACTGAACTGGTATTTCTGGATAAAAGCGGCAGCAGCAGGATTGTACGTCTTCTTTTGCTGGCAAAGCCGGACCCTCCACTCGATCGTCTTTTTCTTACGGATTCTTGAATCCGGTCCCCAGAAGACGTAGTAAAGGCCTAGATACGCCTCCTTCTCGTCGGGTCCTGGCTTCATGTTTGAGGTTCGCGTTGAAGCTACTGTCAAGTCCGCCGTGCCTTGTCTGCAATGAAATCAACAGCAATCAGAGAGGGAGGGAAAAAAGTGAAGCCGAGAAATAGAAACAAGATTGCGGGCTGAACGATGATATTGGTGAAGAACAGAAACAGTAGTGTAGGGCAAAAGCAATCGCAAGAGTCTTGTTCTGTGAAGCAATGGCAGAAAGCTGGCATGGTCAGATGCACCAGAGAACGAGGGGTGCAAAGCATAGACAAGAAATGAGAGGACCTTGGCAAGGGGTGGAAGGAGGTTTGGTCGTATTCGAAAGAAAGGAGAACATCGTAGAAGACTGAGAAACACGGTGCGGCTTTGCGTTACTCCTGTCCATGGCGAACTCAATGGCAAACGGGCTGACCCTTTCTCCCTACACGTAGCACGTGGTAGCGGAATTAACGCAACCGAAACACAAAGGCACGGGAGACATCAGGCAGTTACCTCGTCCGGCTTCAAACCTGACTTCAGGGCTAGCCATGCTTTGGTGATGAAACCTGGGTAGCAAGATGTCTGCTCACCAGGCAGCAGGGACGGTCAGCTGTAAACAGCGTAGAGACGGCGTTGAATATCAGGGAACATCCATTCGTATTGGGCACTTAGATAAATGATGGGATAATATCTCGATTCTCCCTCGCATCCGGCTTTTCTTCCTTCTTCTCCGGTCCTTGACGGTGTGGCCTTGAGGTGGCCTTTCGTTTCTTGAATCTCGTAAATATGTCGTCATCGTCTTCAGCTTCTTCCTCATCGTGAAGTATCGGTGTTCTCTTCGTTGTGGTGTTCGATGAGGTTGGCCTCGTCGCCGTTACCGTGGGTAGCCCTCCCTTGTGTGTAACAGACTGGGCCTCTTCTATCCGAGTGCTGGTGTTTAGCATCACTCGTTGTCGCGGGATAGGTTGACTAGGTACTTCCGTAACAGACATCGGGGAACGAGCCGGTCTCCCGGTCGCTGATCTGCTGCCAGCGGCTCCCCTCATCGCTGGGATTCGACTGGGACCACCAAGGTCATCGCTCTCATCCTCCGTCTCTTGATCATCATCGTCACGCTTCATCGCAGCCGCCGGCGTCTTTCTTTGAGACCTCACCACGCCCCCAAACAGACTCGAAGCATTCATTCCCGAATCCGCCCTCGTAAGCGCCATCAACGGCACCTCCTTCTTCCTCGGGCTATGCATAAGGCCTTGCAGTGAAGTTCCCCGCCACAGCATACTGGTCTCGTCTCCGCTCTCATCGTCATCCCTGCCGGCTTCCTGCTTTGCCTGCCGCAAGGCATCGCGCTGCTTCTTCTTACGTAGCAACTCCTCCTGCCGTTTGCGCGCGAGCTCTGTGAGAGAGCCGACGACAGGGCGGGAGATGTTCTTGATCGTTTCCGCGTTTTGGGACCGCGCCTGAGCTTTGAGGCGTTGGTACTCGGCTGCGTGGAGGTGGGCAGTGAACTGCCCCGCGATGGTGAAGAGTTCGTCCTCGACCATACGGTACTTGTCGTCGTTGTCCAGACCTTCGATCATGAAGCTGCGAGGGTGTTAACTTTGAGCGTTAATGGACATATTCGAAAAGATTTACGTCTCTGGGAGAGGTTCTGGCGGTGGAGAGGTTGAAGGGCTCCTATCTGTGGTATCTCTGTGAGTCCTCTGTGAATGAAGAGTGTCCATGAGAGCGAACCTTCAAAAAAGGCATCCGAGCGGGCTGTTTTGCGGCTTGAATTGCTCAAGCGTGTCGAAGTCCCAGATGCCTTTGGTGTAGCATGTTGGTTTATCGCAGATTTTCGCGGAGTCGTCGCGGTCGTTGGTTTCTTTGATGTTGGTAACCTTTCCAGAGCATCGCGGTCCCAGGGAAGTCGTCGCGTCATGGTGCGAAAGGTGTGTGGAATTCGTAGTGAGTGTATGCGCCAAGCGATCCGAATGAATTCATTGCATGAGGTGTGAAAATCAGGTTGCAGTTGATAGGATTGGATCTAGTGAGGTTGTTTGAATGAGCGCCCGCAGTGGGCAGGCGCGTGGTGGTTGATGCAGTTGCTGCTTGCTCTCTGAACGAGATTAGGCGGTCGTGCCAACTGAGACTGATTGACAATTATGCACGAGTAATTATGCAAGAGTGGGGTGTTCTGCACCACCCCTCCTGCCTGCATCCGGAGAAGGAACTCTTCCCCCGATTGCTGCATCCGAAACAACTTCACGACAAGCACAGAAGACAAATCTCGCGAGGAATATCATTGTATAAAAGAAAGTACCCGATGAGGGATATGACCATGTAAACGCTATGAGTTTGCCCATTTTATCTATCATCCGTACCCAGTCCAACACGACAAAAGACTCCATCAACCCAAATTGAATTCGCTGGCTGCGTTCATCACAGACCTCATCTTCTGCTTCATCTTCCTCTCCATCTCACTTGGCTCGACTCCGTTCGTATCAATGTCTTCCATGGCGTTGCCCGAAGGTCTGCTATCACCTCTTCTGCCGGCGGCCTTCTTCTTCATGGCGGTCTTCTTGCTGTCATGGCCGCCACGTCCGATACCTGACGGCGCCTCACGCAGACCATATGCCTTGGCCATGTGACCCAAGTGAAGCTCGTTGATGTCAAAGTAGACGCGCTCCTCCTTGATGTGAGTCGCGTACGCTCTGATGTGAGAGCGGAAGGCCTTCCGTGCCTCGTCGAGAAGCTTAGTTGCTGATGGCAGGAGGAGGCGTTGTTCCAGATGAAGTTGAAGATTCTCGGCTCGAGTGCTGAAGCCTCTATCGGTAGCGGGTTGAGGCTTTGCATCCGTCTCGACGGGGAACTCCATACCCGTCGTAAGACCCTTGTGGAGCACAGTGTCGTAGAGTTCAGGTTTGGGAGGAGAAGCGTTCTTGGCTTTGAGGAGGTCGATGTAGCCTTCTTCGCAGCCAGGCATGAGAAACAGGACGGCCTTGCCGGGCCGACCAGCACGGGCCGTACGACCAATGCGGTGGACATGGTCAGCCGCGCTGAAAGCGGGGTCGTATTCGACGACGAGCTCGACAGAGGGCACATCAAGACCGCGCGATGCAATATCAGTGGTGATGAGAACCGTCGGGTCTGTACATTTGCTGTAAGAGGCAAGCGTCGCTGTCCGCACAGGCTGGGGAAGGGAGCCGTGCAGCTTGTGGAGAACAATGTTGGTGTTGGCGGCTGAAGTGATGTATGCCGAAGGGGCCACCGTGTTTGCGGTTTGTGAAGGATTGTCGGTCGGCTTCTCGTCCTTACCCGGCGGTTGACGTAGAAGATCGAAGTGGTAGTCGACTGAATCGGCACAGGACAAGAAGATGATGGCTTTCATCACCGAGCCCTTGCGTGAAAATGTTGACTTCAGTAGCGCGATGAGTGTGACCAATCGCAGCTTGGCGGGCACAATCAAGTAGTTCTGCTTCAGTTGTGCCGGAGCCTCGAACTTGATCTCCTCTCCGTCGACCTGTTCCTCTTCTGATGTCGTGATGTGGACGGCATCCTCTAAACTGATCTCGCCAAGCTTCTGGACGTTCATCTTCATGGTAGCTGAGCAAAGAACAGTGACACGGCGCTGGGGAAGATTGGCGAGAGAAACACCGTTGGCTGTTGACTTTGCCAGAGGACCCTCACGGATCTTGCTGACAATGGTCCGCAGTTCTGCCTCAAACCCCATCTCCATCAGGCGATCGCCTTCGTCGAGAACCAACCACCTTACAGTGCCGACATCGAGAGTCTTGGTATGCTGAAGGTGATCGCTCAAGCGACCGGGTGTCGCAATGAGAATGTTGACGCCTTTCCGTAGACGGCTCTTCTCAGAGTGTTTGCTTTCACCACCAATGACCGTTGTGCTGACCAAGTATGGTGGAAGAACTTTGGCAAGGACAAGCTCGATTTGTCTGCAAAGTTCACGGGTTGGTGCCATGACGATGGCAAACAGGCCCGAGTCTCTCTTAATCTGGCCCTCGACTGAGAGAATCCTCTGAATAATAGGAAGCAGGTAAGCGAGAGTCTTTCCGGAACCCGTTTGCGCCTGAACAAAAGCATCGTTGTCTTCGGTGATGAGTTGAGGAATGACCTTGGCCTGGATAGCTGTCGGTGCCTTCAGCTGAATCTTGCCGGACAGCGTCAGGGCAAGGCGTCTTGAGATTCCGAGAGCGTGGAAGCTGGCAGCTTCATCTGAAAGCGGCGCGTTTGAAGGCTCGGCTACCTTCTCCTCGACCTTCTCAGCGCCGGGCTCATCGAATACCGTCTTGGGCGTCGGGTTGTAAGAGAAGAGTTTTGAAGTGACCTGGCCATCTCTCGGCCTGCCGCTGGAGATGCTACCAGGCGGCAGCTTGCCTGTGCGGTAAGCATTCGCTTGGGGATGCTCTGCTCTTGCTCTTTTGGCCGGACGTTCATATGAGCCGTCGTCGTCTCCCGGGCGATCGTCCCTTTGAGGCTTCCTGGACCCGGGCGTGTATCTCTGCGGTGGCGGGGCATCTTCCGAGGGCGATGAAGGGCCCTTTTCGCTCTTGTTCGCGATTCTCTGCGCCTTGTTCCTGTCGCGCCAGCGACCGCCCTGAATCTTGACGTGGGGCTTGACAGGGCCGCTGCCCATGTCAAAGTTGAGAATCATGCCATCGTCCGCCATTTTGTCGATGAGCTTTTTCTGCCGGTTGGTCGCAAGACTGAGCGCTGGGATTGATTATGTCTATTGGAAATTTTCAAACAAGTAAAGTCTTATCGCAATCGGTGTTTAGATAAGACCCACCAAGTGGTCCACAAATCATGCACCTCAACATGCAGGGCGCTCGGACCAATTGGCACTGCACGGCTTCATTCTTCAATCCACCACCTCAAAGATGAGATTTCCTTTCAGTCAGAGAGTTGTGGAGTAGCCGTGTTCAACCCAACATCTTAGCTGCATCATGTTCGATTTCATTTGTACTTCCAGAAATTCATCAGAATGGTAAAGGCAGTGTTTCCTTCTCTGAATATTGTCGGAAAGCCTCATATCGGGCTCACAATATGAAGTATGAGCACGGCATGATATCAGGACAGGTCAAAGAACTCTTTACTATTCATCTATGCTCATTTGTTCAATATCCTTGATATACGAAATCTTCTTTGCCTAGCTGGGTTATAGTTTGAGACTCATAATGAGGAGTTGGCCTACATTGCAGTATCAAAATCACGGGCGATATTGCCTCGAACACAAAGCCTTCCATGAAATATTGCCGCTCATGCCTTGCTTGACGTTCTCCCGTTCTTGACTCGTCACCGGTGTCTTCATCTGTTTTTTTTCTCGTTCTTTTCTAGCGAAAGCCGTTGCTCTGGCTCTGATAGTTCTCAAGGTGCTCTTTCCTTATTGTTTCCTCTCTTTTTCTCTTCTCATGTTCCCACTCCCACCATTTGGGCCTTTCTGCTTCTCGGCTTCCCATCACCGCGTACTGCCACAGGCCTCTTGAGGAGCCAACTCACTTGAGTAGCTTTTTTTCTTCTGATCTTCTTGTTTCTTTTCAGCATTTTTTGGTAAGTTAATCTGCTACTTCTTGTTCCAGACATAGTTTCTTCTGAAGACCTAGACTGCCAAGCCCCCCGAAGCAATAACTTTTCCACTTACCCCCAAACCCCTCGATGATCCGACTGACCTTTCATCAGACAGGCTGACAAGCTGCAGCCTGCGTGACACTCGAGGTTCAACGCCCACTCTATCGCCATTCTCACCATACAACATGGCGGCCGAATTATGGGCGATATGGACGACGAGACGCTCCGACTGGTCCTCGAGCTTCAGCAAGACGACCTCCGAGAACTTCAGCAGATAGGCAACGTCGAACCAAGCGATGATCAGCTAGCTTTGAACTTATACCGGGAGGAACTGGTATCTCTCGCAACGGTCATCTCAGACCGAGCTGTGTCGCGCCGTATCATTGAGGAGGAGGCCGGGGAGGCTGAAGATGAAGAGCCTGCCGGCGAAGCAGTTGTACCTATCGACGAATCAGTTTTACCTGTAGACGGAGCAGTCACGCAGGCGTGCCAGCCTGCGATAATAGCCGAATGCGTGATTTGCCTAGACTTACACGATCCGCGCGAACTATACGAAAGTCATGGTTGTCAGCACATGTACTGCTCCAATTGTCTCCGCGATCTCTTTGAGAGATCCATCAACGATGAGGCTCTGTTCCCTCCTCGATGCTGTGGCCACAACATCCCCATCGACGACATGTCCGATAACACCTTCTTTGACCAGTTCGAAAAGACCTTCCGCGCCAAGCTGGTCGAGTACTCGACGGTGGATCGAACCTACTGCCACATTCTCACCTGCGCTGCATTTATCCCGCCCGCTACTATTCATGGAGATATTGGCATTTGTCCCGAGTGCCAGGCCAGAGTCTGCGCTCTATGCAAGGGCCTTGAGCACCAGGACCATGCTTGCACCAAGGATCCTGCTACGCAAGAGGTTCTCCAGCTGGCCACCGAGAATAACTGGAAGCGATGCCCGTCTTGCCAAGCTGTTGTTGAATTGGGTGTCGGCTGCTACCATATCAGTAAGTCTCTCTATAAATTTCTATCGCAAATATAACATTACGCTCATCAACATCGCCTTGTATCAGCCTGCCGCTGCAAGGATCAATTCTGTTATCTCTGCCTTGCAAAGTGGAAGAGTTGTGAGTGCCCTGCTTGGAATGAAGCCCGACTCATCAACCCCGGCGAGGGAAGAGTTGCCAGAGACGCGCAAGCCCACAACATCGCCCCAGAGCAGCGTCCGGTGGCCGTGCAGCTCAACCGGTGCAACCATCTCTTTTGGAGAAGCATCGACCTTGACGGCAACACCGCGGACCAGAGCGTGTGTGGCACTTGCAGGGAGGAGATGCCTCTCTTCATCTACCAGTGCGACGGGTGCTTGATCATGGCTTGTCGCCGGTGCCGGTACAACCGTTTCCGCTAAAGAGATGGGAAAGCCGAATCGATGAGCAAGGAAATGTGAAGGAGAGGCCGACTGTTTATGTCCAAGGCGGTTCACAGCATACTGGGGATACATCAGATAAAACATGATTGATGTTTTCTATCACTGAGCATATTGCGTGACTGTGATGATGCGAGGCGTGCTCTCGCGGGAGAAAGGTGGGATGAGCCTTCGGCAACAACACTTTAGCTAGCGGGTCAGAAGCCGTTGTCTCTCTATCGATTAGTTTCACCATCTCACTGCTCGATAGGTAGAAAATGGGTTGTCAGAACCATAGAGAAAGAAGCACTCTGGTCGTTTCAGCTTCATCCAGCCAAGAGCATCAGCGCCGAGGTCGAAATTACACTTTTCGTATACTGACATCGAGACACCAGATTTTTTGTGAAGCAGAAAGAGCCACGGGCGACAGGCTTCCTTTTCCATCATGACTTCCCATACTTTGGGGGCAGAACGGCGATCAGTCATTCCTTCCCATCAGATGACAATCCACCCTCTGATCAGCGCCATAGTTTCCTGCAAGATTCCTCCAAGTACTATTCTCCTCTCTCCGTCCACACGTCTCTCGATGAAGTTGCTTCCCAGCCCACCATACCTTTCTGTCGGCATCAGTCATTGCGTTCATGCAAAGCCGTCACAACTGAGCCCAAAATTCGGTACGTTGATCAAATAGGACGCTTCTTCTGCAATTTGAAATGAATTTGATGGGAAACGCGGGTGAAAAATGCAACCGTTATGTTTACTTCTGTTAAGTCAAAATCAAAAGATCCTGACCTCCTCGATCCAGACACACTTCAATCCAAGAATCTTACACCCATCGGAGCAGCATTGACACGCCAGACTCCGGCATCATGTCTCTCTCATTCTTCAGTGGCATGGATGCCGAGACACGGCAACTATTCTTGAAGCTGCAGCAAGAGGATGTTCGTGAAGTCCACACCGACAGGACTGGCGGAGAGAATACAAGAACCCTCTCGGATTCCCAGCTGGCCTTTCAACTTTACGAATCAGAGCTGAAATCAATTTCTACTTACTTCTCGGATCACACCACGACCAGGCGTCATGGCCAAAGACGTTCCATTGGGGTTGCGAGTGTTGGCCATCCTGTCGACCAAGAGCTTGCTGTGACGCCGGGCCTGAACAATAAGCGGAAGTTCCAGGAGATGGACGACATCAGAATTTCAATTGAAGATTTAGAGATCCCTCCATTCGAACTTCGGAGCGAGTCACAGAGTGTCAACAATAGGGTAGTTATCGACTTGACCGCCCAAGACTCACCTTCCCCTTCGGGCGTATCTCAGCCGGACGTATCCTGGGGTTTTGAAGAACTTCAAGAAGACGAACACGTTTGTGTGGCATGCCTTGTCGGTTTGGCAGAGGCCGATACTTTCCACGCTCTCTGCGACCATAAATATTGCCATGGCTGTCTAGGCGAGCTCTTTGAAGCCTCTCTTACCAGTGAATATCAGTTCCCTCCCAAATGCTGCGGAGACCCTATCCCCATAGACTTGGATCAGGATGGTATTCCCGCAGATCTCATGAACAAGGTCAAAGACAAGGTGATTGAGCTCTCCACTCCGAACAGAACCTACTGTCGTCTGTCACTTTGCTCAACCTTTATACCCAAGGAGAGCATCAAGGATGACGTTGCGACTTGCCCTTCCTGCATGACGACAACCTGTACTATATGCAAGGGCGCTGAGCACGCGGACTACGCATGCGAAGAGGATGAAGCCACTCAGGAAGTTCTCAAGCTGGCCGAGAAGAACTCCTGGAAGAGATGTCCTACATGCCGTGCGCTGGTGGAACGAAACGAGGGATGCCTCCACATGAGTAAGTCCCCAATCTCCTTCAGACCACATCATGTTCACTTATAGTCCCCTTGTAGCCTGTCGTTGCGGAGCCCAGTTCTGCTATCGGTGTGGAGTTGAGTGGGCAGACTCACACGTCTGTCCCTGATGCGGGATACGAAGCCAGACACTTAGCTGGCGATGAGGGCGGGGTTGCAATATAAGTATGACACTTATCTACCTACATCGGTGGGTACAGCTGAGCCAGAGAGTGCGAGTTGGATGCACCACGAAAGACTCATTGAGCTGAGGGGAAGGGCTTCCGGAGATTGCGGGAGGCTAAGACGGCGCCCAACCGAATATGCTAGCGGTATGAGATGCAAGCACTGAAGATGGGCTATATAGACCAGATGGGTCGTATCTCAAGCGGAAAGTATAGATAGAGGACTTATTAGAATGACGCGCATTTCAAGAATACACTGGGCTGCGTGCTTCTGCGATTTAGGGCCAGTATGATGCACGAATGTTTCGGCCCACAGGCCGACGATTCCTGCTGGTTTCCATGGGAGAGCACTTTCCTCTACCTACAGCTACAGGTGATAAAGTCAATCATGATTCAAAATTAAAATCCAGCCTGTATTGATCCAAGTACGAGTGGCACCCAGCATAAGAAGAAACATGCAAGAAGCAAAAGAAGATGCGGCCAGTGTGGATTGAACACACGACCTTCAGATTAAGTGATTGAAGTTGACTTCAGTCTGACGCTCTCCCAACTGAGCTATGTCCGCCGCATTTGATTGATGACAGAGCGTCTCCACCAACGCTCTATATTGCACAGTCTGAAGGCCCCACGTCTTTGACTGGAGAATCCGCTCAAGACAACCCACCAACGCCGAGCTCACCAGCACTGTTGCTGTGTGTCTCACCACGGGTCTGAGCATGTCAGTTTGAAATATTCAACACAAAGTATCTCCCCCGTGCTACGTCGTTGTTTTGCAGGCTATTGGTGGACCTGCATCCTCTACACCCACCTTTGAGACTTCAAAGAACTGTGAAAGGCTGCAGTGTTGAGAATCCTCTCACCTCAGCGTCTCATTGCTTCAAGTAATCCGCTTGCATTTATAATGCTGTTGTTTTTAGTCGTCTCTTGTCTTGCATATATTAACCACTGATTTGGCATATATATATATATATATGTCTAATCACGCACTCGCACCACCTTGTGCCGGAACCGCCGCCGCAATCAAGACAACCACCCGGCATACGCGTCCAGCTCCTCTCTCCTCGCGCCCTCCATCTCTCCCCTCACGCTCAGCAGCCGCACCCGGCCGCCCTTCTCCTTGCTCCAGGCCTCCAGGAACTCCTCGACCCTCTGCCTGGTCGCGTCGTCGTCCCGCATCACTAGCGCAAGCGCGTCGAAACCGCCGGCACCGGGCACCACGCCGCCCAACACGCCCTCGACCTTGCCCAGGGCATCCAGCAGCTCGGTCTGCGACGCGGGCTCGATCGGCACGCCGCTGCCCTCGCCCATGTCGCGGATCAGCTTCCTCACGTCCCCGACCGCCGCCCCGACGCTTTCGAGCTCGCCGTCCTTGAGCACCTTGGCGAGGCCCTCGTTCTTGGCCTGCAGCGCGTCCCACAGCGCCTTGGACGCCTCAGGGTGGTTCTTCCTCCACTCCAGAACCTTCTTGACCATGCCCACCGTCTGGCTGCCGCAGTCCACGTCGCACATCCGCAAGCACACCCCCTCGGGCAGGCTCACCCCCGTCTTGTCCACCTCGACGTCCCACGCAAGGACCTCGTCGACCTTGCGCACCAGCGCGTCCGCGAAGCCCGGCGCCCCGGGGGCCGCGAGGTCCGAGAGCAGGGACGGCGAGAAGCGGCGGTACTTGCAGCTCCCGAACACGGCGGCGGCGACATCGAAGCCGGAGCCGACCTTGCCCTGCGCGGCGCAGTGCGCGGCCTGCGCGAGGTTGTGCAGCGTGTGCTTGCCGGCCTCCGAGGTGAGGTCGAAGAGCACGGGCGGGAGGTGGTGCGTCAGCAGGGCGGCGGTGAGGGAGGTGACGAGCGCGGCGGAGGACCCGAGGCCCGTCTTGTGCGCCTCGCCGATGGTGTGGGGGTACCGCGCGAAGCGGGAGCCCTTGCCGGCGGCGGTGGCGGCGGTGGCGGCGGCGCCGGTGGGCAGCGAGTAGTAGTCGTTGTCGGCGAGGATGATGAGGCGGGTCGAGGTGAGGGAGTGGTTAGGGCGCTGCTTGTTGATGCGGGCGATGTAGGTGAGGGCGTAGCTGAGGGTTGTCTCGACAAAGGGGTTGGGGCTGATCTTGGAGCCGCTGTGAGGGGTTTGTGAGTGAGTGAGCCACTCGGTGAGCGGTGTGACAGGACGGGAAAGGGTAAGGTGTGAGCGAGACAGGTACAAAATGTCGATCACGAGTGAAGATCACCGATTGCGTCTCCATGGAGGAAACTACATGATGGAATAGACTGCGATTGCTCGCGTCCAAAGACAGTGATGGTTTCTTTGCGCGATATCGCAGGGAATCCCCTCATCAACCCACCGAAAGCCCCGCCGCCGCATCCACGGCGTCGACATCTCACATCACACCGCATCGGGAACAGAAACAGAAACGGAAACAAGAAACTTACACCTGCAGCTGCGTGACGGTGATGCCGCCGTCCTCGGGCGCGAGATGGAACCCGTAGCGCCACACAGCGTCGACGAACTGCGGGCTCTCGACGACGATCTCGGTGAGGTGCACGCCGGGCATGGTGTGGATCTCGGCGGCCACGACGTTGATGCGGGCGCTGAGCCCGAAGACAAGGCCCGTGTAGGCCCGGTCCAGCACGAGGTAGCCGCCCGCGAGGAGCACCTTGCCAGGCGCCGAGACGGCCGTCGTGGTGGGGTTCGAGGTCGACGAGGCTGTCATCTTGGTTGGGGCTTTGCGCTTCCTTTTTTGCCTTTTTCCCTACCCGCGTTTCTCTGCGGGGTTCCTTTTCCCTTTTTCTTTGTTTCCTTTTCTTGTGGGCTTGCGTTGGGGTATTCACCGTCTGGCGGGCTACACGGTTAAGATTCCTCACCAATTCAAACCGAGACCTTGTGGAGCTTGGTGTCCCGAGAAAGATTCAATGTACTCTTATGAGTATGTACCGGTAGGCGAGGTGCAGTGAGGGGTGGTTGTGATGACGCAGTCGTGATGAAAGTGAGGCAAGCTAGTTGAAAGTTTGATATGCGAATGCGCATCGTGGGAGGGGAGATGAGGGACAGTGCAGTGTTCACCGTCTGATATCAATACGCACTGTATTAACACTGTGAGATCCACTGGCTTCGTCTGGGCAGCAAGTCTCGATATCACCAACTCGGCCTTGCTTGCTTCGGCAGCTCAGGGTCGCGCAGGCGAGTCGATTGCAAGTCACCAGCCTCGATCAAAGTCATCACAGAGCACGATGAGAAGTGTTTTGAACAGTCAACAAATCTTTTTTGTTGGATGCTGCCGATAATATACATACAGCAGGATCACATGTCCTCATGACATGTCGTCGTAAACCGACCCCCAGATATCCCTTTCCCATCCCGTTTCATGATCCTCTATGCTGCATCGCGCTTCTATCCGGCGCCCTCTTTTTTATATGCTGGAGTGGGGTTTGTGTCTATAGTTTGGGCCATTGGCCGTCATCGCTCGCTTTCCGATAAAAAAGCCCCTGGGCAGGGTGCTCAGTCGCCTTGACCCCTTTTGCTTCCTTTCAACGCCATGCCGCCCGGATTATCGGCAAACGAAATTTCAACTTGCAAATCAAACACCAATACCCAACAATGACAATGACAATGACAATAGGAAAATTGCTTCCGGCGCACTGCCGTAAATCAAACTGGCCGCCCATCCTTGGCCAGACACCCCAGACCCTCAGTCCACCGACTTCAAAACACAACGGGGTATCAAGCAACACGGTAGATGAGGGCAATTACAAAGGAAATATGGTAACTCGGAAGGAACACGCAGAGCGACGGCTCGATGCGCGTTTCGATCGATTGACAAACAGGCGGGGCGAAATGGTAACAGGAAGCTTAGTTTTGAGCAACAGCTTCCTCACCACCGCCGCCGCCCAGGAGCTCCAGCACCTTGTTGACAACGGCGCTAGGGTAGCCACGGCAAAGCATCTCGCCAACAACACCCTTGGCCTTCTCACGCTCCTCGACAGCGAGGTATGCGCGGGTCATGGCCTCGTATGTGCTGGGCTCACGCTTCTCGTGGCCAACGGAGTCGTAGATGGCTTGCGCCTTCTCGATCTTCTTCTCCGCAGCCCAGCCGTGGATCAAAGTATTGGCAATGTACGGCGTCATCTCAACGCCCCGACGGCGCATCTGCACAAGGATAGCCTCGGTATCGGCGACCTTGTGGTTGGCTACCATGGCCTCGAAGAGGGCCTGGAACAGGCTGGCGTTGGCGGTGACAGATCGGTCGGACATGACAGAGTCAAACACCTTGCGGGCTCCCTCCATGTCATGAAGGTTGCAGCCACGAGCGTGAATGAGAGCAGCAAAGTGGACGGCTTCGGGCTTCTGGCCAGAGGTGCGGATAGCTTCTAAAACCTTCTCGGCAGCGGCCATGTCGATCGGCTCGAGAGTGGCGTGGGTGTCGACGAGAAGCTTGTAGGTGTGTGCAGTAGGGGCAATGCCCTTGGACTTCATGCGCTCGTAGTAGGCAAGCACCTTGGACTTGTCGCGCTTGGTGGTCAGGAAGAACTGCATCATGCTGTTGTAGGGAGCGGGGCGAGCCTTGTAATTGGGCATGGCCTCCATCTCGTCAAACAGCTCCTCGGCAAACTTCTCGTCGCTCACTCGGCAGAGAGCGTTAACAATGGTGCCATAGGTAACAGACGTAGGCTTGATACCCAGAGCACGCATCTCCGCGAAGTAGAACAGACAGTCGTCGATGCGGCGGGCCTTGCCTAGCTTGCCAATCAGGGCATTGTACAAGAAGGAGCTGGGTTCGACACCCTCGGCCTTGGCCCGGTGGAAAATCTTGACAGCCTCAGAAGCCTCGTCGAACGTCTTGGCAGACTCCTTGAGGGTGGTGATGTACAGACCGAAGGTGTTGGCGGAAGGAGCAGCGCCCATCGCAAGAAGCTCCTGGTGGTACTGCTCAGCCATCTGGCGGTAACCCATGGTGAGGCAGGCGCCAACCATGGCATCCAGGATGGAAGACCAGCCGTAGCGGACAACAGCGTACTGGGGAAGGAGAGGAACATCTGTGCGGGCCATGGCGAGGATGTCATTGCACAGCTCCATCTTGCCATCACGAGAGGCGGCAGAAATCAGCTTGGCGTAGGTGATGTAGCGGGGATGCCGACCAGCACGGCGCATATTGCGGAAGCGAGCGAGAGCATCGTGAAGCTTGGGACCTTTGCGGCCGTGAGAGCCCTCAAGCTCATCAGAAATGAGCGAGGAGCCCTTGAAGTCGGTGTTATGTGCGTACGGGTCGAAGGAGTCCTCAAAGCTCGAGACAGTGGCAGTGGTGAAGGGAGAGGCGGACATGGCTTGCTGGGAAGCCATTTCCCGAGGGTCAACAATGCCACGGCTGCTCATGAACTGGTGGACAAAGTCGGCACCCTCCTCGATTTCATCCACGCTGTCAGGGTTGGCAGCCCGGATTCTTTGGAACATGAGTTCCGACTCAGCCAAACCCTCAGCGACTTGACCAGAGCCAATCATGGCAATGGCGTACATGGCAGTCGGCTCGATGAGCGCAGGAGTGACCGGCGTCTCAGGAGCGCAAAGAACATGCCAGTAGCGAGCGGCCGAGGCCACATCACCTTGACGGACGCTCAAAGCGAGCAGTGCCATCGCGGGGGTAGCGATCTTGTGGAAGTTGACGGGGAGGTTGGCAAAAGCCGCGACAGCGGTGTGCATGTCGCCGAGGTCGGCAGCACGGGCTGCGAGGTTACCCATGGGGCCTGCTCTGTTCTCGGCTTCGACAACCTGGGCCCACCGAAGGGCCTCGTTGAAGATACCACGGTCGGTAAAGGCCTTAACCATGCCAGAGCTGACAATGGCGTCCTTGATGTCACCAGCGCGAACTCCGTACTCCTTGATGATCTTCTCGTAAAACTTCATGGCGCCGTCAACCTTGTCGGAGATGATGTAGGCGTGGATGACAGAAGCGTACACCTCGGCGTCCAATCGGTCGTGAAGAGTAGGCTCGCCATTGTCGTTGGCGACAGCGAGTTCCTTGTACTCGTTGTAGCACTCGACAGCGCTGACGAGGTCGCCAGAAGTCGCAAAGGCAGTGATCATGCTGGGGAACATGGCAGCGAAGGGAGTGACACGGTTCAACTCCATGTGCTCGTACAGACGAAGCATGTCAGTGACGCGTCCGGCCTGAGCGCAAGCAGAGATGAGCTGATGGTAGGACTCGGCCGAGTAAGCCGCCCGCTGAGTGAGAACCGACTTCTCAAACATGTCCATCGCGAGGTCGAGTCTGTCATCTTCAGAGAGAATGGCATTCTCGAGCTCGTGGGATGCGAACATGAACTTGCCAGGCTCATCCATGCCACCGAATCGTACGAGCTTCTCCTGGAGACTCTTCTTCAAAGAAGCGACCTCCAGGGAGCGGGCAGCAAGAAGACCGACAAGGATGTTGTAAGTGTCACTGTCCGGGACGATCTTGCGGCGAAGCATATCGGCGTACACATCCAAAGCCTTGGTGACGATCTCATTCTTGGCAGTCGGCAGGTGGATCGCGGCCATCAACAAAGCGTTGTAGGCGCTGGCGATGGGTTGCACGCCGGCGACAAGCATGGCCTCGAACACAGCCGGGATCTCGGCATAGCGACCATCTTCAGATAGCTTGTGAAGGTGGTCGGCGTAAACCTGGGACTGAGGGTCGAAAGGGGGGGTAGCAGTTCGGGCTACGCTGAGGGGAGACCGCGATCTGTCAATGGCTGGAGACTGGTACGAGCGGGCTGCTGAGCCGCCATGAGAGATTGATCGAATGGAATGCTCAGAGGCCTCTTCCAAAGCTTCCAGGCGATTCCTGAATTCAATCTCCTTCTCTAGAGCAGCGTCGATCTGTGCCAGTGCGGCCTGGGCCTCTGGAGGGATGGCCGATGGCGTCTCTCCATCTTGTGCAGCGGCGTGCTCTTCGGCCTCGTAGGTCTTGGCCTCGCCATCGCCAACGAGAATGGAAGCGGGCGTGGGCTTCCACTCAATCTGTCGCTGGAACTGGAACTGAGTCCATTCCTTCTCGAGCTCCTCCTCCGAGGCCTGCTGGCTCTGCAGCGCCTCGAAATAGGCGTCTAAGCTTCCATGTTTAAGCTTCTCGTCAAGCTTCTCGTGGTGGTGCTGGGGGAGGCCCGCGCTTGTCCGCTCAGCGGTGTGGAAAGCGGACTGAAGCTGTAGAGACTGGAGGCGACCGAAGCGGTTGGTGTTCCGGCGCGCGAACGAAGGCCGGTTCTGGGTGTTGAGGATGGGATGTGTGGCAGCTACGACGGACTGGGCGTAGCCGTGGGTGAAAGATTTCGCGAATCCTTGACGGATGAAATTCTGGTAGAGGGAGGAGTAGATAGTGGGCATTTAGAAGACGCGGCGGAGGGGGGAGTTCTAGATCACACGATTGTCAGTCGGTGTTGTTCCTGAGCCTTGAGAATTGCTACACAATGGATGATCGACAAAATTTGCGCCGTGCTTCCGTCCGGGTTCAGACGACAAACACAAGTGACTGCGCGGTTGGGGATGTTTCGCCACGGCAAAAAGTCGGGCGAGAGGGGAAACGGCGTCCGGGCCAGGGGCTGCGCTGGGATGGCTGGCGAGTGACAAACTTACATAGGGAAATATGAAGGGTCCGTTGCAGGTTCATTTGACAGCACCGTAGCCGTCAAATAAACGCGCGATCTGATTAAAAGAGGGTGTATTATTGGGGGATTGGAAAGCGAGAAAAAGGAAGGGAGAGAAAATGAGTGAGGGTGACGGGGGCCTCAGGTAGAAGTATTAGTCTGAGATGCCGGTAGAATTTCTCGTGCGGCCAGAAAAATAAATTGCAGGGTATCGGCGGTAGGGAGGTGGGAATGATACTGGCAGTGGAAGTGGGAGAGAGGGAGGGCGGGCGGAAGCGGTTTGAGATCGGACGGAGTCGATGAGGCGTACAGCCGAGATCCCTCCTTTTTGCTGCTGTTACCTACTATGACCGACTGTACCTTTTTTTGGTCGCGCACCTTTGGCAGTTCCAGGTTACGGGCTACGGATCGTCCACGGACCACGGCTCTTACGCGGTGCGGGTATCTCGAGTCTCACTCGGTCTCTCACTGCTGTCTGACGGGTCCTCTGGAAGGAATGGAGAATGGAACAAAAGGGGGCCCAGCTACGTACGGGCACGCTAGACAAGGGACAGGAGGACACCAAGCATCAGGAGTGGCAGGGCCAAGGGGGGGAGAATCAGGGCGAAGGCGAGGGACTCTTTTTCCTCTGAGTCCTTCTCAGAGAGACTTAGGAGACAAGACCTTGCGGGACTTGGAGTGACACCTGAGTGACATGGCCCAGCAAAAACGGAGCAAAAGGCGCAAAACTGGGGAAGACTTTTTCGCGTGGATTCGGAGCTGTTGCATTGAAGGCTCGATGCTGTCCACTCACCACACGCGCTGGTAGGAGCGATGCGGGTACGTGACGGCCAAGGGTGGATTCGGGAACTTTAATTGCTAACGCCGTTTGGTCCAGTTTGCTATTGCCTCGCGGGTGGATTCGTGGTGTTCGAATACACCGTACCTCTGGAGTACTGATGTAGGAATGACTCAGGCAGCAAGCACCGACCAGCGTCGGCGGTCCATGAGTGTGTGGGCTCTGAGTGGCTCGCGGCACTCTCTAGCCTCGTTTGCTGTGGCTCACTCCCTGGTCATGTTTGGTATCCAAAAAAGCAATGCTCGATTAGAATGGATCGTGACTCCTTGTCCGTTGCAGGTACAGTACAGAACACATGTCGAGGGTGACTTTGAGGCGTATGTACGTGTCTAGCGGGGAGAGACAGGTGGCCTTAGTGCCTTGCAATCCCGATTTCTGCCTACTTCTGTTATCAGATTGCGCCTCACAAGGTGGCAGGTGACGACGTCGAGGACGAGTCCGGATGAATTGACTTCAAAGTCGGGGCGGGTCACCACTTGCGCTCCGAGGGCCGAATATGCGTGTCATCAACTACTGCTGCCTTTGCTCGCAGACGAGAAACTTGTATCTCGTCAGGAAGAACCTCTGTGGTTGAGAAGTAAACGTACATGTACCTGTACTTCTCGCAGCACCATCGAACACAGTTACTTACAAGTCACTGTCCACCACCCTCGGCCTTTACGCTGGCTCCCGTTGCGAGATGACGACTCCGTCTGCCGCCTAAGGATGCGAGACTGATCATCGTTGCAGCAGCTGCAGGGCTGGTGCAGGCTTAGCTGCGCTGCAGCAAGTGCTGGAACGTCAAACATCAAGAAAAAACACGGGGAAATTTGGGGGGCATCCAAGGGGCCGCCCGGCTTCCCAAGGGGCCTCCCAGGGCGCGGTGGCTCACGAGTCCAGACATTTGCCAAATCAGGACGATGACTCCTCGATGTCTGAACGTGTGGCCCCCTGCCAGCGAGAAGAAACCGGCACCATTGCACTGGATTGCATGGAGCGGGTTCAAGGCTGGAGACGTCTTGCCAGAATGGGTCCGTGTCTCCAGTGTTTCCCTCGAGCTGCCCAATCGACGTATGCCGGACGGCTGCTCCTCCCTTGTCAGCCAGAAGTCGAAGGTCGTGGACGCGAATAGACGGGCACCGGGCTGTGACCAATCAGAGGCGTGGTAATGCTGGGAGAAGCCGGAAGGCGCGGGACAGTCGGGGGGACCCATATCCAAACCCACCTGGAGAGCCACTTCCAGGAAGGAGGGAAGGACCAAGGGGGTCATGGAGTCTTGGGGCCAGGATCCCGTCCTGTCGGGAAGCTGCCTCCAGCCCCGCCTTTCAATTCGGTTTCCACCCTTCTCCCACCAGTGGCTGCACTTGCTGTCCTTTACTCCCTGCTCCGGTACTTCCCCGCCGGTAGCGTCTGCTAGCAGTGCTCATTGGTGATTCACCATCACGATCTCATCAGAGCACGCAAAATTTTCACCACCAGAGCGGTAGGCCCTGACAGCTGAACGGGTCTCACGCTCAGCCTTCGCCTTTGCCCTGGGCCGTCGAGTTCTGGCAAAGACCAACGTCGCCGAGATTGCTCGTGGTAAGGCTGCCCAGCTTAGATCATCGCTGACCCCCTCGGCAATTGATGAGACATCCCAGCCACTTTTCCCATGAGGATTAACATGGATCGTCACCAGCAACAACAACAACAACACAGAATACGAACAGAAAAAGGAACAAAGCGGCAGCATCCAATTTCAATCTTCGACCAAAATCCCAAATCACGTCCTGCACCCCCCTGTCGCTCTCCTATCTGAAGACCCAACTCTCTCCCATGCCCTTGGGCCTGTCTCTCGTCATCCCTTGCATCCGCGGACGAATGGCGGCACGCCCAAGATGACAGTGTAATCTGCTCTGCCCCTCCAACGGACCCTGGGCTCAGGTCGTCAGGGACTTGGGGCCACTGACCGCAATTCCTGATGGTTCAGCATAAGGGACGGAGATGGCGATGAGATCTTCATTGCCAACTGTCTCGTTGACTGTCAACAGGCCAGGTTAGGACAGGGTCGGCATAACGGTCGGTGAAGCTGCTATGTCGTTGCCGCCGGGGGGGTCATGCTCTAACAGACGCGACGCGCTGAGACAAACACACACGAGCTCCTGGAGCCTCCTCCACAATGTCCCGGCGACATGTGCCTGGTGCTTGGAAGTTTAGCCGATCGCCCGGTGGACCGTAGCCCAGTAGCACCCAAATTTCCCGCAATTCGTGGAGGGTTATCATCACACATTTTCAGATCACGAGGGCATCCTCCACGAAAAAGAGCCGCCTCCGATTCTGCGGCACGGCGCAGTGCCACCGTCTCACAGATCCCAAAACAGGATCTCGGCGAGGCACCACCTTTTTGCCAAACATGGATGTCCATGGGACAGACGATGCGCGTTTCGACATGCACCTCCCGAGTGTGCGGGTACTTCGCAACGTGCAACCCGTCAGTGGCCAGTCAGGTTCGGAGGAACGGGATTCAGATTGAGCCGGCTTACCTCCGCCTCTGACCGGACGGTTGGAGACTTATCCCCGTGCTCTTATCTCTCTCTTTCCCCCGTTTGCCGACCGCCGACGGCTCTATGCCGCTACATGCTGCGCTGGCCCTAGTCACCCTGGGAGCCTTGAAGATCTGCTTGCCGTCATGTCAATCCCGACCAGGGGGAGAGGGTTCCCAGCTTATTCAGCCCGATGATGCAACCTGCTGCCCGTTCGGGAATTTCCCCTCCGCCTGTCACCGAGATGCTTCGGCTCGGAGCCTCGGTGTGGATTGTGGAGGATCGACGTTCGTACCCAGTTGACTCCAGCCTCGACCTCAAGCTTTCCACACGTGGGGCGCAGCTTACATAGGTAGTGTACAGCCGCAAGTGCGTGCAGTGCAGGAGCAAGCATCAGGGAAGACGTCCTGCGCATCATTGCGCAGCATTGCAATGTCGTCAACTGAACACACATTCGCTTCTTATGTACCAATGCGGACATGCCCAGCGGCTCCGAAGTGGGGTATCGGGGCACGTCGGACAAAGGGCGGTTCACACGTAGCGTACCGGTATGTGAGATGCCGCAGAGCTAAAAATTCACCGGAAGGTTCTGGGCTGGCGAAGGCTGGAAATCACCGACGCATTCGGAAAGCTGTCTGTCACGTTTTCGGCCAAAAGGAAGTAGATGCTTGATAATCTTGTTTGATTCTTATTGGTTTCTTCTTGGGGCTTGGAGTCTAGCCACCCCTCCCTTCTTACTATCTTCTCCCGTTCGCGCTTGGCGATGCAGCTTCTTGCTTGCAGCCTCTTCGGGTACCTAGTGGTATCGTTGCCATATCTTCTCAAAACAAAACAGTAATCTTTTCGAAAACAGTGCGAACGACTGTCGTCGTCGCTGTGATTCCCTCGCCCTAAAACGCCGTCGCTTGCTAAAAATAAAAATAAAAATTCCCAGTATTCCAAGGTATCATAGTACCATGCTTCGCTCATATGCTTTTGTTTTCCAAAGCCTCTCCATGCAATTTTCGTGATCCAGCACCAGCCTGGGTGATCCAATTGCAGACGGTCCATTAAGTCCAGCTCTCATTAGGGTAATAGCGGTCGGTTGTAGTTGATTGGTTGACAAAAAGAAGAATGGCAGAGAGTAATGGGCCGTTTAGCTGCTGTAGGAGCTGCGCATGGTGGAGATGGAGGCGCTGGACATGACTGGCTGGATGGCGAAGAGCGGGCGGGCAGGGTACTCGGCGGAGTCGAAGTCGGCGATGCCAATGCGGCTGGCGACTGCTTGTTCCTTGAGCATGGCGATTCTGGGAGCAATGTTAGTGCGAGTCCTTTGAGAAGCTGTGTGTTTTGAGAGGAGACTTACTCATCGGCGCTGATGCCGGCGATGTCGAGGTTGCATTTCTGGAAGTTGAAGGGGGCGGAGATCTCCATGCCCCTCTTGGCCTCCTTCCTGCTGCGGCGGATCATCTTGTTCAAGAAGACCTTGAAGCCGTCGTTGGAGTGCATGGCCGAGTCGTTCTGCATTGTGGCGGTTGTGGTGTGGTTGGTTGAGGAGAGAGAAGTGGTGCCCGAGATGGTGGAGAGTTGGCGATGTTATATCGGACGATGTTGTTTATTTGTTTGTTGTGTTTTGCCAGCACCGCGGTCATACACAGGGATGGATATGTTGATCCGAAGGGATGGGTGTCTGTGGTTTCTTTGACTGAAGATCTCGGCTATCGATGGGAAGGGGAGAGACAAGCTCTTGATATATCCCCCAATTGTCTCGTCGAAAGGCCGTGCGTGAGAGTGTGCAAAGTGAGGCGGCTCCCTGGTCTGCTTGTCCTTTGCTTTTTCTTCCAGCTCTTTGGTTGTCGGGTCTACCTCCCTGCTCTCGAGTGTCCTTGCGGCTCAGCCCTGAAGGAATCAAGTGATGGTGGTGGTGGTGGTAGTGGATATGGGAGTGAGATATTGGGGATTTTGATTAGATCGGGTGGATGGATGTCTGATTTGATTGTTGGAGATTGCTGTTCCGAAAAAGAAAGGTGATGGGAGGACGTGGGAATGACCAAACTCATATATCCCGTTCCCAGATCGGTGGACGCAAGCGTAGGCAGGGCGTAGAATGGTGGTGTGCAGTAAAAAAGCCAAGCCTTGGGTTTCTTGAAGACGTGCGTATGAGGACCGGGGGTGGGGGGTATGTCCCCGGCCATCGATTGCACGCCCCCTACCCTTGGGCTTCATCCCAAAAGCGTTTTGGGGAGACTGCGAAGAGAGTGAGGGAGCGAAAGCGTACGCCGTCGGGGAGGGCGTGGAGGGTGCGAGAGGGCGTGTTGTGGGTGGCCCAAGGGAGACAGATGGGGGTGGGGTGAGTTGGGACTGCTGCTTAGAAACACACTTTACAACGTACGCATGCCATCGCAAGTGTAGGAGGGAAGGAAAAAAAGGTGTGTATGTGTAATGGAGGCCACCGCAAAAGAAGAAAGGAGCGTCCGTCCGTCGGGCGGCGGGCGCCACGGACTGGGAAACAAGGTTGGGTAGGGGGGCGTGAGGTGTGAGGAAACAGAGTTCGGAGTAGAGATGGCGTTGACGGCGTGGGGGGAGGCGTGTGGTCAACGTAACGGACGTAGAGGCGAGGAGGGAACGAACGAGTCGATCAAAGGGCTTTCTTTCGGGGGTGTGAGTTCTAAATGCGTTTCCTTCTACCTCGTTTGCAACAGAGACATTCTATTTTGGGTCGATCGGCCAGCAGCGAGTGGTTTGAGGTGGAGCGAAGCGACTGACTGAGGTGAGTAAGAGAGCGTGGCATTGGCAGTGGCAGTGGCTGACTGTACCATGGTACGCGGCATGCATGGACGGTCGGGCAGTAAGCTTTTGTCATGCCAGCTGCAACGAGGGCGACGAAAACGAAAGAGACAGGGAGAAGAAAGGGCTGTTGGTAATCTGCTTCTGTCCGCGCCATCAAAGTTTCGACTCCGTGTTTGGATCGAGAAGCTGCTGGATCGGGGACGTCGGGAGCTTGACGAATCAGACGCAGCGGGCGGACAGGGGTTGCTGCGTGGCATGACATGGGTTCGGTTGGGTTTTTGGGTCGCTTTGGGTTTGCTGTAGAAGGGCAGGGCAGGGCAGGGCAGGGGGAGGTGTGCCCGCCGTCCGTCGTCGCCGGTGCCGAAAGGCAGCCTCTGGTTGGCATGCCTGGCTGCGAGACTTCGGATCGACGAGTGCCTGGGCAAAGACAGAGCGAGAGAAAGAGAGAAGCAGCAGCAGAAGGCTCGCCGGCGCCGTACAGAGAGAGCTTCTGAAACTCGGCGCCGCGGAGCACGCTCGCGTGAGGTATGCTGTTTCATGATAATGGGTGGGTGGTAGACGCAGCACCTGCAGTCTGGCGAGTTCCAAAATGGGCCGTCCAGACGCGCGCACAACGTCCGCCGAAGCCCTATATGCTTTGGGGCTGGATCTTACGTGCGGACTGGACTCGGGCGTGCCGCAGCGCAGCGCAGCGCAACGCGCGCGCAGGCAGCACTGCGGTACCGCACTGTCGGTGATGCCATTTACACGCATGCACGCACGCACGCACAGCAGAGACGTTGGAGACAGACAGAGAGAGGCAGCTGCTTGGGCATACGGACACGAGGGGGGGGGGGGCTTCTAATGCGTCATACCGATGACCGCGCGTGCCGTTGTTGCTGCCAAAAACGGCCGGGTCGTGGTTTGACATCTTTGCAGTCGATGACAACACGCACGCAGGTTCCTTCTTTCCTCCCTCCTCCAGCGTGTGTCCGCGGGTCCGCCGCCGCCGCCGCCGGCGCCCGGGGCCAGCAAATGAGACAGGTCACCGTGTACGTGCTGCATAGTAGTGTATCTTGGATTGGAGATTGCAGAGACATGGCCGGCCGCTGTGTTTTTCGGCACCACCGTGCGTAGTTTACCTTCCTCCCCCTTGATGCGTGATGCGTGAAGATCTCAGCTGCAAGGGACTGGCGTGATCGCTGACCCCTGGACGATGCGCGGCCTGGTTATTTTTTGCTGCGCCGTCCGCGCGCGTTTTCGCCCCCCTTCTCCGCCCGCGCCCTGGTCGAACCCAGACGGCCGGAGTCGAGGGTTGCCGGTGGGTCCGCGGCCGGCGGTGGGGCGGTGGGGGCGGGGGGGAGCGCAGCGAATTGCAGCCCCAACAAGCGTGCAGCGAATAGAGACCGGGGTCTCCTCTGTAAGGCACGCACGGCGGGCTGAGTCGAGCCGTATCAGAGCTGTAGAAATCTTGCTCTATATGGAAGGCGTAAGACGCCTGGGAAAAGAGGCGGCGACGGACGCCGTAGAAGGCCGAGAAAGAAACAGAGAAAGAAACAGAGAGAGAGAGAGAGAGAGAGAGAGAGAGATGCCGTACCTGCTGGGTCAGGGTTGCGGAGGTTGTCGCCGGAGGTTTTCCCCACGATCTACTATAATCAAGCGCCAGCGGGGCGCGCGGGTCGCACTCGAAGTCGTCGCTATCGGCATCGCGATCGTCAAGGTTGCGAGGCCGTCACGTTCGGGGCATGATGGGTGGGAGTGGCAGCACGCACGGCAACGACGGTGGCGTCGCACAAAACCTGCAATGCTGTGCTCTGTAGACTTTGACCGCCAAAACACCAGATCGCGCGCATCGAAGCAAACCCGCAGAGCGTCAGCCCAGCAATGCCTTTTCCCCCTGCTCGACTCTCCGAGTGCATTTCCAGCTCATCCGGCGTCGTGTCGACGGCGTGGCATCTAGCCCTGCCCGAAGCCGGCCCCCGTCAGAGTCACTTTTGGGGGGGGGGGGGGAGTTTCTTCAGCAGAGTTGGGTTGGCATATATCTCTCTTCCCAAGAGGCTAAGCTAAAGCAGGCCGAGGGACTGGCCGCATTCCGCAGCAGCAACAGCAGGAATGCGAGAGAAGAACCCCTGCGACGATGGTCAAACAACCCTTGGCATTCCTCGACTTGACACTCACTCACCGCAGGACCCTTGGCTTCAGGCGCTGTTTATGGGCCGTCGTGCATTCCAAGGCAACCTCCGCCATCCACCACCATCCTCATCATCGCCATCGTGATCATGCGCGCCTTGGCCATTTTATTTATTTTAATTTTTATTTATTTAAAACAGCACTGGTTGAAGACGGGTGTGGTGCGGTGCGGTGCGGTGCAGGAGTATAGTCTCGCAGCCACACCTCCCAGTGCCAAGTCGCACACGGCAGAACTGTTTCGGTTTGCACCCTGTTAGACCGGGGGGACAAGCATCTCGAGCCAAGACCCGGCGTCTGCGCCTGCTCAACGCGGCAGGATGCCTAACGAGGTGACTTGGCTGACTGGCTGACTGACTAATCGAGAGAAGCGGCGGGAAGCCAAGCTCGACTAGGCCGGTCAAGGTTTGTCGCATTTGGACATGTTTGAGAGGGCTTGGCCTGGCAGCGTCAGCCTCATACTGGAGGGCACGAGGGTTTAGACGGCTCGAGGGATCAAGGTTGGGGTTTGATGGAGTGGCAGATCCTCATCTTAGCTGTGCAGGACAGGTGAGGACACGGCTTGCTTTTTGCAGATTCGGTTTAAGCCCGCCTATACGAGGCGATGCCAACATGTACGGATATAGAAGAAGGAAGCGGGGAGAGGGGAGATGGAGAGGAGAAGAGAGGTGCAGCAGCTGGGGGGGAGGGGGTCGCAAACACCCGGTCACGCATCTCGCTGGACCCAAGCTGGCGGGACCGTGAAGACCGGTGAGGTGGTGACGATAAACGACGACAACGATAATGATGATGATGATGATGATCCAGTGATGGGTCGCACTAGTGATTTGGAACCAGATGCTTGTCGTACCTGCATCTGCCAAGGCGCCCTGCTGCAGAGTCGCTGATTGCGTCCCCAAACAGGAACCCAAGATCTCGTCAGGCACCCTCCATAATGGGCGATCATCGCGGGAAAGGATCGCGATGCCTGTCACGGTCGCCCTTTTGCAGTAGCGTGCCTGGCCTAGCTGATGCCAGTACCATGGTATGGTGATTGCGACCTATTAGTGAGTGATAGTACCTAGTATAGGTTGTCTGTAGTGGCTGTTTAGCCATGATTGCTTGTTTGGCGGTGGGCCGCTCGCACATACGCCCCCCCCCCCCCCCCCCCCCCCCCCCCCTTCCCACCCCAATCTCAAGCCAATTTAAACCCAGCAGATGAACTCGATCCAATAGCTCCGAAGGCGTGTGAAGCGCAACGACAGGGCCTGTCAATTCAGCCCGCCCAGGACACACACAGCACCTATCTACACTATAGTTGCCTATTGGCACCCGTCCCCACCCCCCGGCGGCCAGTCGACCAATGGGCAGCGTCAGGGCAACGCAGAAGCCTACCAGCTGGATGTCACCCCCGGGGGGAGCCAGGGGGCGGCAGGCAGATCGTCGACGCCGTGTCCGACAGCCTCGAGGGGAGGTTGAAGAAGGAAAGTGAGCAGCGCTTGGGGCCGTCTCATTGGACCGGACGCGATGGCTCGCGGTAGAGGCTTAGGGCGTCACGGAAGCACGGCTTTCCATCGACGGACGGGTCCACCGCGAGCTGTTACGGCCGATGGAGTGGGCTTGGGGGGGGGGGGGGGCGTCTGCAATTTCCAGTCTGTCAAGCCGCACTAGTGAAAGATAGAGAGAGAAAGGGAGTGTGTGTGTGTGTGTGTGTACCTAGATCGGTGAGGAAGCTAGCGCGCAGTTGAGCTGGCTTACATAAGGCGCCGCACACAAAGTCCGAAGAGCTGCGGATGTACGGTCCTCGAGGCCATCACCACATCACTGCGAGGCACGCCGGAGGAATGAGAGGCTCTGGGGGTGGAGGCCCGCGCTACGACAACATGAGGGACCAGAGGCGCGGCGCTTGTCACAGCAAGTGTGCCTGTGCTAGTGGCCCTCCCTCCTCCTCAACCTAACCTTAGGTAAGGCTCCACCAAGAGGCGGACCCACCCTTCCCGCCCAGTCCGCCAGAAGCACAGGCCCCAAGCACACGTCCATCTCCAGACTTGGCTACTGTAGCCTGTCTCCTCATTCCACTTCACCCTCCCCCCAAATCGCCGGACCCGGCTGTCGCTCTGTAGCGGCCTGCCTTGGTGTGCTGCGGGATTGGGCAAAGGTCGTGCACCGAGGGGTACAGCGGGTCTTCGTTGTCCCGATGCATCCAAACCTCGACGGGAGGCAGATCGAGAACATCGCTCATACGGACGCACGAAGCACGCCACGCTCACGATGATGGCTTCTCTCTCCCCTCTCTCGCCCGTGGCTTGACGATGGCTGACCACGGCAGTTCTCCTGGCCCCCTCGATGCCGCCGCGAGCCTACCAGGAAACCTGTCGGCTTTGCTCGTTCGGCAGTTGCATCGTACCCTCCACGACGTGCACCAACCCATCACGACCTTCCGTTTGCGGAAGTTTTCGAGACTCCAACGTCGAGGCGAAGCTGCGTGCGCAACGGAAACAGGCGTGCGAGTCCTTACAGCCGCCCCTTCTTCGCCCGTACGACAAGAATCTCCCCGAGATACCCCCAGAGTGCCTTGCCATCCACCCTCCCAGCGGCCGACAGCGTCATTCAACCGCTGGGCGGATGCCCTCCCTCTCTCTCTATTCCATTTGCATCGACGGTTTGTGGCGTGAGCAAAGTCGTTGTTCCTCTCTGAAACGGGACCGCTTTGCGGCAAATACTGTTCCGCAGCGAGCCTTTGCTCATTATCAGAAACCCCCTCCAATGACAGCCGTAGACCTGCCGTTTTGCTCTTCTTCGCCACGCGGCCAGACAAATGTACGCCCGTAAAACGTGGCTCCGGTAATGTTCCTGACGGAAATACCCTTACTCGCCCTAGAAACAATGTCGTTTTTTCCGCGATGGGGCCGAATGGGCGGCACTCACCGTAAAAGTCCCCGACATGCTCTGCTGCAGAAAAGTGTCTCGCACGGATCACAGGAGGGGGGGGGGGGGGCAGCTTCCAATCCTTTCAACCTCTCCCGCGTCCTTCTATCGAGACATCCACATTGACACGTTTCTAGACAATGGACTGGGACAGCGATGCTACTGTTTTCGTGCGTACGACCACGCAGCGTCTGTTGCCCCCTCCTGCGCATTTGAGTGTCGGCGTGTGCTGGTTCCTGGTTTCCGAGGAATGCCTCCTGAAAGCTTGTTCGCGAGCCTTTCGTGGCTTTCTGCATTCCAGCCCCCTCAGGTTTCAAGGGTCTTGCATGCCCATTTGGATGCCTCGCCCGCAGCCTGCAGCCTGTTGCTGCCTTGTATGCGCCCATGCTGTCGCCGGTCTTCCCCGTCTCGTGAATTCTCCGCCGCCGGCTTTGACTTTTTGCCGTTCATCTCATGGGAGTGTCGGTAGCCGTCGCGAAAACGAGACGACGTCTTGCGGGCGAGCTTAATTCGGTTTCTGGTTTCTTGGGCGCGTGAACGAGAAACATGGTAGGGGATATGACTCTCGCTCGCACGCCTCCTACACCACACACGCACACACACACACACACTCGTGGGCCAGAAACAGTCCCAGCATCACGGGCCACCACGCCAGAAACGGACACGCACACATGCACACACACATACAGGCACATCGCAAACCGACCACTCACAGCATCGGCTTCGGCGCCTCAACGTGGTCGATCACGCAGTTGTCCTCCTTGCTCGTGCGCGACCGATACGAGAGCCGGAAGGGTAAACGCCCAACAGCGTGAGCCAGCCCGTCGCGGGACCTGGACGCGGACGCAAACGAGACCACACGATCCAAACACGAGGCAGGCACGCCGCTCACAGCATCTACGTCAACACGATCCCTCTCTGAGCGCGACGCCGTTGACGTGCCTGACGCTGGCATTGACGTCGACGGCTGGCCTGACCAGGGCACTGATCCGTCCACTTGCATCACAGGTTTTGACAGGCACGCCGTCGGGCCACGAGCGCCTTGGCAGCTGGATTCGAGGTAGGGTTTTTTCTGGTTGCTTTGCAAAGGATTAACAACAACAAGATTGTTCGTGCTCGACTCTTTCCCCTGCCGCTCCCGCGCCTCCCACCGCCGTGCGTCTCTCCCCGGTCTCTTTCCTACTCAAGCCCGTCAGGGCACCAAGCATCTGCTTGGCCTCTCCCTCCCACCTCAAACCAGCCCGAGGAAGGAAAGAAACACAAGCCACTAGAACAGCGGATGCCCGTGCGGTGGACGACGCCGTCCGTACTGTGGGCCTATGTCAAGCAAACAAACTCTGCCTCCGTGCCTCGCCCGGGGGGCTTCACTTTGACAGGAGACGCGATGTGTAGCAGCGCGCCGCCACCCACCTGGCAAGTTCCGCGCTCCAAATAAAACAGCCCCTTCCTAGCCCCATCATGCCTTGCCCTGCCCCGGGCCCCGGTTGACCAGCTCTTCGCGGTTGGAAAGCAGGTAAGCCAGCGTCCCGGGCGCATCGTGGCTGCTGCGGTCGGCCTCGCGAGACGTTCTGTGCTACCGCTCATTTGGGGTAGTCCTTGAGGTGGTAGCTCTTGAGTTTGACAAACTGGTCGAAGCCGAAGCGGCTGAGGGTTTGTCCCTTGCCCGAGTTCTTCCATCCCGTCCATGCCAGGTCCTAAAAAAAAAAAAAAAAGGGTTTGTTAGTATCGAGAAGTTCTGAGCGGCATTACGAAGGTGGCTTTGGGTGTGAAAGGTGGCTAGTGCGATATTGAGAAAGGAAAATGGCGCCGCATATTACGCCGTCCGGCCGGCCGGCCGAGAGACAGATTGGGCAGGCAGACTTAGACAGGTAGGTAGGCAGAACGACCACAAAAAAAAAAAGACAGACGTGCGTGCGGCCACCGCCCCACAAGCGCCGGGTGGGGCCCCAGACTTGTCGACTTTGGGCGGACGGCGCGGTTTCGGAGCAGGACAACGAGGAAGAGGAAAGGATATGGAGAGCGGGGACACAAGCACGGAGGGACGATCGGAGCGGCAAAACACAGATTAGACGATCGCCACGGCAGGACGTGGCATGTGTGTGACTTACCGGGCTGGGGTAATCGCAGCGGTTCACGAAGACGGTACCCGCTTCCACCTGGTCCGCGAGCTCGTAGCCCCGGTCCGTGTCCTTGGTCCATATGCTGGCCGTCAGGCCAAACTCGCTGTCGTTCATGAGCTGCACAGCCTCGTCGTCACTCTTGACCCGCTGGACAGGAATCACCGGCCCAAACGTCTCCTCCGTCATCACCGTCATCGAATGGTCCACGCCGGTCAGCAGCGTGGGCTTGACAAAGTTGCCCTTGGGCGGCGGGTTGCTAAACGTCTCGTTGGCGGGAGTTGCGTCGGTGGCGCCCTTGGCGATGGCGTCCTTGATGTGCGATTCGATCGTCTCCTTGGACCGCTTCGAGATCACGGGCCCGACGTGCGTGCCCTTGTCGAAGGGGTCTCCCAGCTTGTACCCCTCGAGAACCTTCTGGACAGCCGCGACAAAGGCATCGTGGATCTTGTCGGCGACGTACACGCGCTCGACGGAGCAGCAGCTCTGCCCCGAGTTGAAGACGGCGCCATCGACGATCTCCGCCGCCGCCCAATCAATGTCGACATCGTCACGGATGTAGGCGGGATCTTTGCCACCCAGCTCGAGTCCCACGTTGACGACACGGTCTGACGCAGCCTGCTGCACGGCGAGTCCGCCAGCCACGGAGCCGGTGAAGGCGACGAGTTTGACCTTGGGGTTACGGACGATGGACTCGATCATGATTGGCGAGCCGCAGTGGAAGTACTGCAGCACGCCGGCCGGGAGGCCGGCCGCCTCAAACACCTCGGCCACGCGCTCCACAATCGTGGGCGTCTGCGGCGACGGCTTCAGGATGACGGTGTTTCCCGACAGCAGGGCGGGAATGAGGGAGTTGACCAAGATGAGGTAGGGGTACTGGAAGTGTGATGTTAGCAAGAGTCAGAGGGGGAGGGGCTGGGCATCGCGGTGGTGGCTCAGCGGTCGCATGTCTCACGGCGCAGAGCATGGTCCACGCTGCCGCACACGCACACCGGGCCACGCAGGTGGGAGACGACGCACATTCCACGCGAAGAGGACAAGAACCGGGCCCACGGGGACCTTGCGAATGAAGCGCTTGAAGCCCTTCTCCGGCTCGCCGTCGGTGTCCTTGAGCACCTCGTCGCTGATCTTGAGGAGGTACTCACCGCGCTTCACCGCGGTGGCGACCTCGACGCCGGTGTAGGCGATGGGCGGCCCATCTGCACGGTGAGCTCCTCGGCGAGCTCATCCTTCTTCTCGAGGAGGAGCTTCAGCGCCTTCTTGACGATGGACTGGCGGTCGGCCAGGGAGGTCTTGCTCCAAGACTCAAAGGCCTTGGTGGCGGTGGTGGGGAGCTCATCTAAGTCGGCCTGGGAGACGCCGTTGCGGGTGACGACGGGCTCGTTGGTCGTGGGCGAGATGGTCTTGAGGACTTCGACGGACATCTTGACAGCGTTTCTTGGGGTATACGGCTATGATCAAGATGGGAAATAGGAATTAACAATGAATAGAGGTTGGATCTCTGTGATGATCAAGAGGCAGTTCACGGCCTAGATATCTCCTTGCTTTGGGACATGAATCGTCACTCCCTGAGGGGCAGAGGGGCAGAGCGGCGTGGAGGGGTTGCGCACCGCGCACCGAGATAAGCGCGGTATCGGTGTGATGAGGTAATCCACCGCGATAAGACGTCCCGTCGGTGGGCTTTGCGCCTGGCCCCACTAAAACTTTTGCAAAGTGCCAACGGCTAGCATCGCGGTCTTTCGTCTGTACCTACAACGACACATGCACCGCGCTTGACAAACGAGGCTACCACTGATTACAGCCTGATTGTACGAATTCCGAGCCTTGGATCCTTTTTATTCGTAACATACGACGCTACCCAATTGCCATCATGGCCCCCGAAAAGCGGAACAAGTTCCTCGAGGCGGAAGACAGCGACGACGACCTCGACCAGGGCTACGACTCCGAGGCTGAGGAGCTGCGCAAGGGAGGCCGCAGCGCCAAGAGACGCAAGGTCGACAGCGAGGACGAGGACGATTTCAGCGACGAGGAGCGCGAGGCCCCCGAGACAGGCGACGGCGCCTCGGCCGACGAAGACGACGATGCAGACGAGGACGCGGAAGCCTCGACCTCGAGCAAGAAAAAGTCAAAACCCAGCACGGCCGTGGACCTCCCAGACGTCTCCAAACCCCTCACGAAAAAGAACCTGGTCGCGACGGAGGAGGCCGTCAAGAAGTCGGGCGTCGTCTACATCTCGCGCATCCCGCCCTTTATGAAGCCGCAGAAGCTGCGGTCCCTGCTCGAGCCCTACGGCAAGATCAACCGCATCTTCCTCGCGCCCGAGGACCCCACTGCGCACGCGCGGCGCGTCAAGAATGGCGGCAACAAGAAGAAGTCGTACACGGAGGGCTGGGTCGAGTTCCTGCGCAAGCGCGACGCCAAGGCCGTGTGCGAGCTGCTCAACGCGCGCACCATTGGCGGCAAGAAGGGCAGCTACTACCACGACGACATCTGGACGCTCAAGTACCTCAAGGGGTTCAAGTGGCGCCACCTGACGGAGCAGATCTCGGCCGAGAACGCCGAGCGGACGAGCAGGATGCGGGCCGAGATCAGCAAGGCCAGCAAGGAGAACAAGGAGTTTGTGCGCAACGTCGAGAGGGCGAGGGTGCTGGACGGCATCGCGGCGACGAAGGCAAAGCGCAGCGGGAAGCAGGGGGCCGAAGCGGCGGCGGCGGACGGGGAGGGGGTTGCCCCGGCCGCGGGCGACGGGGTGCTGGACAAGAGGCGGACGGTGTTCAAGCAGATACCGCTGGCGGACAGGAAGAGCGACGCTTCATCAGGTGGCAAACCGGCCGGGGATGTGGCGCGGGTGCTCGGGAAGATTTTCTGAGCAAAAAAGGGTTGTGGCGTACGTGCGTGCGTGCGTGCGTGCGTGCGTGCTTGCATGCTTGCTTGTGTGTACGTGTGTGTATGCGTATGCTACCCCCTCCTTTCCAAGCTTTTGATCGCATTCGTCGACGCAAGCATAATAAATTAAAGACTTCATAGGACGAAAAAGGTTCCCTGGCGTCGGTATCCTCGGGCACGCGCCTACCCTGCGGGCTGTACGTGATAGAGTTGAAGAGCGAGAACGAAGATGGTCGCATCCGCGGGCCACGCCGCCAAGAAGAGCGACTGCGAGTGCGAAAAGTTACTGGCCCACCACTTTGCCGTGATGACAGGTCCGCGGAGCCGCGTAGGTACTGCGTAGATGGCAGCTTGGCATGAAGGGTGACGATGGGGGGGGGCCATGACGGACCCCCTTCTCTGGAATTCAACGGACGACGCTATCCGCAACTCGGAAATCCAGGGAGAAAAGAGAGTTGGCGCATCAAGACTGGACGTCATGATGCCATCCATCATCCGGACTGCGAATAGCATGAACAAGACCCTCAACCTGTCAAGCGCCAGTGTGCACAGCCTGGACCCGAGTGCGAATGCTACCACCACCTCCATCTTTTCCCCGTCTCCGCGGCGAGCTGGCCGCTTGGCATGACGGCCATGATGCCATCATTTCCCCCCCAGACTACGGACGAAGGGTACTCGAAATAAGCTGCCAAAAACTACGGCGCTAGCCTGACGTGGGAACCGCGCTCCTGCTTGGGCTAGCGTAACGGCTTTCCAGGCGGCTCGACTATATGCCTGCTTCCGCGGTGCAAGTGGTTCACAGTTTAATATAACGGCTGTGCAGATGCAAGACACCCCAAGCTATAGCGGGCAATCATAAGCACGCAAGCTATCATGCCGCGGTCTCGATAAAACAACGACACTATGTTTGACTGCAAAGCCCTCCTCACAGGGTCGGAAATAACCAACCTACGCTAACTTTCCGTAGACCCCGAGTAGACCGTCATGATTGCCCAGACCGACGACACATGTCATCAATCACCTACTCTCACGCCACGTACACTCACACGAAACGCCATCACTAACAACACGGCCGTCGCCATCGTGGCCCTTTGACAATCACAAGCATCCAGAGGGCGAATGCGGTAAGTGCCCGTCTACGCCATCTCGATCAGATGGCAGCAGGCTCCATGCGGGACGTTCCAAAGGCAAAACTCAACACACGCCACGCTCCGCCAACTGTCCACATCCAGCCCGTCGGACTCCGCCATATGTCTGCGAAGCCGTGCGGCGCCCTGGGATCATGCCATACCCGTCCCAGTTGGGCTGCCTGCTCGTCCCCAGGAGGCAGGGGGAGATCCATGTCCCACACCGCACCGTCTTATGCCTGGTAAGGTTGAGGTGCGTGGAGGCTCACCCTTCGCGGAGAAGGGGGTAGGGTGCGGTGTAGATCTGTCGAACGGCCGTGGGAGGGTGCGGGAGCGTCTGGGCCAGAAAGTATGGGGAGATGGAGGTGTCGAGGCGGGAAAATCGTCCAGCGCATGTCTGAAACTGGGGTTGGATGGTGTGGTGTGGGCACGAGACTCGCTCGGTGACTGTTTGAGCCTGGGTCTAGAATAGCAAGGCTTAGGTAACCCACGTTCAACTCGAATGTGAGGGTGGCCGGCAGACTTCGGGAGGGGAGATAAGCTCATCGGATCCGTGAATGTGAAACGAGCCCTCACCTCCTAGCAGTCGGCGAAGGATAGGGCGGAGGGCAGAGGACAGATGAGGAAAGGGACCCCAGAGTGTTCAGTGCTGGAGGTAGGGGAGCCTTCCGCCCACCAAATGAACTCGTGACACAGGCCACGGAGGCCTAAGAAGGCAGCAGCCGCGGGTCGCCGAGCGCATTGTGTGTCTTGTAGGTTGTGCGAGAGAGTGTGTGCTGGCGCCCCGCGCGACCCGAGATCGGCGATGAGAAACAGTTCGGCCGGCATGCTCCAGCGTCCAGGCATCCGGCCTGGAAGCATGGACGAGGTGGTGATGCTTTTGGTGGAGGCACGGACGCTGGGCTCAGTTGAAGAAGGTCGAGTGTTGTCCTCTGGTGGGTTTGTACATACTGTAAGTCGAGTTCGGGTGTCAAGCCGAGGGGACGTGCTACCCGCTGCACACACATGCAGACTGGCCAAGGCCTCAACGGGCGGGATGTGAGTAAGCAGGTCGGGGAATAGAGTTTGGGCACATCGCCGACAGGCACACGGACGCTGGCTGGGCAGGCATACTGCTTTACGGCGATGGGCAGCGGCGGCGGCTGAACGGGAGACGACTCAGGAGAGTAGACACGCATGAGCCGCGTGGTGATCCAAGTATCATTCTTTCCCAACTGACACAAACGCAACTCCTCTTCTTGCTTGCGTCGAGTCCTTTTCTTGAGAGCGTGAAGGTATCTGATGCATACACGCCATTGCCATCCCTGAACCGTCCCATCCTATTCTGTGAAGAAAAACAAAAGACATACCCTTGCTCTTTTTACTATGCTTAGAAAACACCCAGGAGAAACGACTGCCTCCCCGCAGACGGCCACTTGGCCCTGATGACCAACCTGGGACCAATGTGCTCCCCGTCCACCGTCCCACACGCCCCCCCCCCAAACTCCATTCGGAGACGGACAATACACTTATTCCTTGATCTGGAGCTCGTCCATGTCGTCCAGCAGCTCATCCATGTCCACGCGCGGCACATTGTCGTCCTCGGTCTCGGCGATGCTCATGGCGTCGGGGTCGACCTTTGCTGCCTGCTGGGCCTTGTAGAGCGCCATCGTCGCGCGGAGCTCCTCGTCCTCCTCGACGTCGCGGAGGAACTGCTCGTAGTCCTCGTTCATGCGGTCCTGGTCGGCCTGCTTGGGCAGCAGCTCGCCCTCGTCCTTGTTCATGCGCTTCAGCTTCCAGTTGCGGTTGCGGTGCTTCCTCCTGTTGGGGTAGTGCTTCTTGACGAGCATGACGTCGGGTATCGTCGAGCTGTAGGCGTGCGACCCTTCAATGGCGTCGAACTCCTCGTTGTTGAAGTTAGTGCCTGTGAGCATGTAGCCCAAGACGGAGTCGCCCGCGTGCAGCAGGTTGCCCATGTGTGTCCTCGCAAAGTACGTCTTGTCGTTGACGCCCAGGTCGGAAGCGCGGGCAACCTGCACCTCGGCGAGGCGCCATTTGCCTTTTGTGATGTTGGTAGGCTCGATGTCCATGACGATGAACTCGACGAATTGCTTGACGTCGGCGAGGGAGTGGAAGGGCGCGCGCCAGTAAATGGGCGCGCTGATATCGGCGGTCTGGAGGGTGTTGGGGTCGAGGAGGTATACTGAGGTTCCGATCTTGTGGCAGATGACCAGAGGAGAAATGTTTCCAGAGGCCTTGGCCAGCTTGATGGGCATGGCCACAAGATCATCACGGCAGATGGGGACCAGCTCGACTGAGAAGGTGAACTTGAAAGACTTTGTGGAAGTGTGGACATCCTGCGAAATAAGCTCCTGCGACTTCTTGACCTTGCAAGGCACCACCGAGTTGAGGAAGTCGCAGAACTTCTCTGCTTGATTCCTCGCCGAGAAGAAGAAGTCGATACCGTCCTTTGCCTCCTTGATGTTGAGCGTATCCCTGTGCGCACCGTGCTTCATAATCAACTGCTCGAGGAACAGGAATGTTCTCTTGTGCAGGACCTTTTGGCGAACCTGGACGGAGGCGCGCCAGACGTTGGCCGTGTACGACTTTGCGCAGTCGGGGCACTGTTGGTAGGCGACGATGTAGACGGCCTCAAAGGCCTGCTGCAGGAGAACGCCCGTCTGGACCTCGTCCTGGATGGTGATCTTGACCTTTACTCGTCTTGAGTGGGGTTCTGTCCACACAAAGGAGGCGTCGATGATGCGGATCTTGTTCAGGCCCTTGAGCTTCTTGAGGCAGAGGGCAAGGAGTTCGCGGGACTCGGGGGCGGCGACGACCCAGCTGCTCGGGGGAAGCAGCCAGCGGTCGCAGTCTCGGCAGAAGTTGAGGGTGGCCTCGCGCTGGACGCCCTGGGAAATGTCGACGGTCAACTTGATGCAGTCGTAGCAGAGCGCACCGGCGGCCGTCGTGCCGTCGATGGGGGCGCCGCAGTTGCAGCAGAGAATCGTGGCGTTCGTCATTGTGTTGTTCTCTCTGTGCCCGTTTCTCTTTTCCTTGTCGATGTTTTGGGAGAAAGGGTGAGTGTAGGTTGGCAAGGGAGTTGTCTTGGAAGAATTGGGCTCTCAGTGTATGGCGGGGTATCGCGAGAAAGTGGGATGCCCATCCCAAAAAAAAATTCGAGGACGGCGGGGGATCGCTTATCGATAAAAATTTAGGGTCACGTGCACTATATTCCACAACTGCAGAGTCGCCGCAAGTGGCGGGATTCCTTCTTTTTTTGCGGTCGTCATTATTAATCAGGCCTGTGCCCACCGGCAGCAATACAGAACGCAGAATGTCTGCAGACGGCATGTCAGGTCGTGGACTAGACTAGAATAACTGGCCCCTGTCTTTGCTTTCTGACATTGATCCGAGGAGTCATACTGTTGTCCCCCTGCAGGTTTTATGATAAATGCTAGACTTGGGCGACTCGGAGTTTTTGCTGTTTTCGCACATTTCTGACCGCCCCAAGCTGTCGAGTATTCGTCCCCGTCGTCGGGCTCGGGTGGGTTAGTGACTCACGGGAGAAAGGTACACTACTTTTGCGGATCTGAGCTGCAGTTATGGTTGTTTCCAGGGACAGCGCAGGATTGATGCCGCTGTAGTTCCCACAGAGCATGTCAATGGCCACCATTCCGAGACGAAGTCGGAGCTTGAACAGGCGATGCAGCGGATGTAGATGTTGTTTGCGTTTTATTCGCGGTCCGTGACAAATCGCCGCGTGGGGGCTAATACGCTTGACTGTCCTGCTTCAGCCGCAATCTGAGATGCCCCTAAAGTCAAACTGAACATCAACACCGACCGCCGACCGTACCCCCCCCCATCTCAGTCCTGCAGATATACCCACAACCATGCCGCTCTCCTCTTCAAGCCCATGCCAATGACACAGGACTCAATGAAAAAAGAATTAAAGAACCGACAAAGGGTTCAGGCTCCAAAAATCGTAACAACAACAGCAACATCAAGAATGACACCAGTAGGTGGAGCCTAAGATGAAAGTCAGCGCAGAGGCGAAGGTTATAGCAAAGATTGAGCCAGCCCCGATACAACGGAACGCCATCTCAGGCAGATCAAGCCTTTGTGCAATGACTCGTCTGGTCTTCCGGGCGGCCCCGACATGCTTGAGTGAAGAGGCCTAGACGCAGCGTGTGGATGGGTTTTGGTTGACCGATCCGATGTGGAGGTGTAGAATAGGTCGGAGGGAGAATGAGAGGAGAAGGAGGTATATATAGGTACCGAGACGGGCACAAATCAATCAGGTCAGGCTGTTGGGCAAGAAGTAGGCCGGTACACTGTGCGACGAAGGACGTTCTCCAGGAGGGTTTCGACAGCCCCTGGGCAGGCCTTTCCTGTCTTATCAGTGTTGAATAGGGAGGACCTTTGTGGGAAGGAAGGAACGAAGCAGAATTTGGGAAGGAATGAGGATTTGGAAGGTGAGGGGAGCAAACATGCGGTATCATGCACGAAGTTTTAGCCGGAAGGACCACATGCACTTGTCTAATGCGTATGATTTGTCGCGGACTGGAAGAAAGGGACTTCTCCACCATCCTCAACAAGCTAGCGAAACGAGCACACACGGTCCATAATGCAGGAAAGCCCGAAGCCAGTTGTGTCTAGTAATGTGGGCATTGTTTCTCCCCCCAACCTTGTACCTGAGCATGCCGCGGGCAAAGGTTGTGCTTGCTTCAATGACTTGCTTCGGTGTCAAATGGAGGCATTCAGGCGACATCACGTTGTCAATCAAGACGTGTATTGCAAGGTATACAGAACTACCTGATGCTTGCTCTAGAGGCAAAAGATCTCTCTCCGTCCACCCAGTTACTGCAGAGAAGAATAAAGGCACCCACATCACGTCGCTAGATCGCTGAAAATCATCTATTGTTCTTCTTTCCCTCTCAAGGGTACACCTGTACAGGTTTTAGATCATGAACCGTCGTGGCTCGCCTACTCACTCCTTACCGTTGGTGCCGTTCTTCTGCCCTACCGGGCCGACCGCCTCCTTGGCAGTCATGAGGTCCTGCGCCATGGCGCCGAGGTGGAGCACGTCGGCCGACATGGTGATGAGACTCATCCTCTTGGCCGCCTCCCGGAGCTTCTCGGGGCTGCCGTAGGGCGGCGCGCAAAAGGCAAAACCGGCGTACGGCTTGTCGTGCTTGTCAATGGTGTCGAAGAACAGCTTCGAGATCTCGAGCCACTCGGGCTCGTCGGCGCCCATGCCGCCCATCTTGGCCTCGAGGTTCATGCTGACGCGGCAGTCGAGCGTGCCGAACCAGACGACGTCGATGTCCGGGCACTCGGTCAGGATCGCGTCGAGGTTGCGCACGCCCTCGGCCGACTCGATCTGGATCATGATGGCCGCCTGGTCGTTGAGGCACTTGTGGACGTCGCGGCTGGGGTCGTACGGCGTGTCCGTCAGGAAGGGGATGAGGCGGAACGGCGGCGCCGATCGCGTGCCCCGCTGCTTGGTGCCGAACTTGGCCGACGACAAGACGTGCTTGGCCTCCTCCACCGTCTCGACCTGCGGGATGACGATACTGGCGCCGGCGTCGAGCGCGTAGCCGATGGCGGCGTGGTCGTGGCCAGGAACACTGTTGTGTCATGGTCAGCGCTACATCCATAGTGCTCGGGCGTGTGGGGACTCTTACCGAACCCAGGGGATGGTGCGTCCTTGGCTCATGAAGATGGCTTCGTGGACCATCTGCGGGCCGTTAGTTCTATTGTCACCGACTATGATGTTCTCGGGCAGGGACATACCGACGTCATGGTCTCGACGTTGCAGGAAGTGTGTTCCCAGTCGATCCAGACGGCGTCGTATCCCATGGGGGCGAGGAACCGTGTGATGGGGAGAGCACTGAGGCCAGCATAGTAGCACATCAATGGGGGATTTTCTTCTCGTGGGCATCCCGAATGGCCTGGCGAGCCTTGTGAGGTTGGAAAAGCGAGGGCGCGGCATAGGCATTCATGCCCTGCGTAGAGACATTCTTGTATTCTTCGCCAATGACCGACATGTTGGCTTGTTCTGAAATCGTTCGAGGAAGCACAGATGGAAGTTGTCTCTGAGTTCTTTTACGAGTAAGAGAGGTGTCCGTTGGTCCTGATACCGAGACAAATGACAGTTGGAGGAACCCCTTTTATATGCATTTGCTTTATCAAATGTCACCCTGCATGCCACGCATCTTTGTAGCTTCAAGGACCACCAGTGCTGACCAGGGTCGCCCGCATATCGCACCGTATCACCTCCACAAATAGAGAGACCTTGACCTATGGAAGGATCACTACTGCATCTGGCAAGGACAGGATTTGCGTCGGTCTCGTTTGAAGCCTCGGTCATTGAGGCTCTTCTGGATGGCAAGCAAGCTCAAGCCTGTATGATGGCCCCTGACCCCACCTGCTCTCACGTCAGCGCAGTTAGTACTTGGGAAGTGCTAGACCGCAGACAAGACTATACCGGGTTCTGGAAAAGAAACATGACCTAGCACTTACTGTCAATCCGTCAATTCGGCCAACAAGCCACATTTTAGTGCTGAGCTGCATCATTATTATTGTTTCAACAGACGGCGATATGGAACGTGGCCGTGTAGTCACGGGTGCGGAGAAGGTAGCAAATTGCGGTTCAGGAAGCCTCCGTTGTTGCTGCGTTGGTGACTGCCGGTGCGCACGGCCATAGGCCTATACACCGGGTCGCAGAGGTCGGTTACAACGGCATAAACGGCAATTGCCTATGGAAGGGATGACGTCTAAATTCTGCGCTAGATGCATCCTTCCGTAGTAGGTCTTACTATAAGGTCAGACTCACAAAGAATGGCTAGGGATGGGCCGTAACCCTGTTTGCAAAAGCATATTAGAAGATGTCCCACAGGGAGATTTTCCCGTCCTTGCTCCCAGCCGCCAGCCAGTGGGCATTCCGAGCCTGCTGTAAGCGTCGGTCCTTGACGCTAATCTGACCCGCACGAGAGGAGGTAAGCTCGCGGGAAAGCTGATTGGCATCGCTCGAGGCGTCTCGGGTGTCGTCAGTCCGAGAAGTCGCGCTGACGTTGGCGAACGCAACGGCGTAACACCCAGCCTGGTGCCATTTGAGTGCAGCCACCTCCTTAAGGGTCTTGGCCGAGTACACGCGAACGGTTGAATCCCAACCCGCAGTTGCGAAGATGCGGCTGTCGTCGCGGATCCGCAAGCTCTGTTGGCCCGAGTGTTTAGTGTTTAAGATCTTCAGCGGCTGCCGGACAAAATTCCCATCAACGGCGGAGTTAAGCCCTGGAATTGGGTGCTTCGCCACCACAGCATCGGCACCAGAAGTCAGGAAGTAGCCTTGGTCGGCGACGACGTCCAGCGAAAGAATGGGCTGGTTGTGCACTTGGGCCAAGTAGGTAGTGTTCCATGTTCCGCCGGCGAGCTGCATGACCGTTGCCAAGCCGTTCTCGTATGCGGCAACGAGGGTCAACTGGCCATTGGCGGATGGTCCTATCGACGAGGTCCCGTCGACGTACAGTAGGGCTAGGGCCATGACCATGCCGTTCTTTTCCGTGCTTCTCACAGTGTGAAGTCGTTTCTTCGAGGGTAACGCGTAAACGTCGACCTATCACGGCGCCAGCGGTTAGGTTCTGATCTCCTGTTCTGCAAGGCCCCGGGCTTTAGAGTCGGAGTTAGCTGGCGGGGGTGTTGAACTGACCGATTCCGAAGCCAACGTGTTCGGTACGGCTAGTAGCAAATCTGCAGTCTCGGACGCGTCGCCAGGCAGAGGCGCACATGAAGCAAAGGAGCAGAAGTTCATGGTGTTGACTTCGATGAGGTGTAACAGCCAGGGTTGGGGTCTTGGTTCAGGTGTCTCATCGAGTGGGAGCTTCTTGCTGAGATGTGACTCGTCCTTGAGGCCCAACTGCCAGACGGCAAGCTTGTGATCCCGGCCATGGCTACATGTGGTGTAAGCAGCAATAAGTGATTCGAACGTGAGATGAGGCTCACGTGATGATGCGTTCGTCCCCCCAGCCCTCGATGCCTAAGATGGCATTCTCGTGTGGTCTCCATACCGCCGTTGGGCGCATGATGGTGAGGTCCCAGAGGACGACGAAACCCTCTGCATCTCCACTAGCCAGTCGCTCGTTGCCGCGGACAAAGACAAGGGCGTGGACCTGGGCTTTGTGGCCGCGAAGAATGGACTTTGGATGCGGGATTGCGTCCGTCATAGTGGCTGATTTTGCGATCAATCGACGGGAAAATGAAAAAAAGCCGGAAGCTGCAGCAACTGTAGTGATTGCAGCGTGGACCACCGAGGTGGCACTATGAGGTAGTATTAAAGCCGAAGACAGTGATTGCGTTTTCTCTGGCACAGTACTTTAGGGACAAGGCTGCGCGCAGGTTTTGCCCGGGTCAGCTAAAGACACCGACTTCAGCGCGCTGCAAAGCAGGTGTCACAGTGCGAGAGCAGCCAAATTTCTTACTGCTTGATCCCACGATTTTAAGAACTTGGGATTCAGCAGTCTTGTCATTAGCACTGCCTCCCGGAAAATTATCAGCAGCCAATAACAAGCATCTCACGTCAGACCGTTGACGCATCTTCATATTATGGAATTTATTGCTAGTGTCACGGACCTTAACACAGAGAGCATCCAATCAACTATTGACAGTGAGACGGAGGAGCCGTCGGTGAAACTGTGGTTAGTGAGGCGGAGATTCGACAAGAAAGACGTAAGCCTTGGCAGGTTGCGATGAAGACGGCGTTATCTATCTTGTGTCGAGATAGGCGACTAGATAGGCGAAGCACAGAGCCAACTGGGACCAATGCCAGCAGACGCTGTGAAGTTGGTTTAGAGTTGCGCAGCATCCGCCATGGACTGGGATCAAGAACATCCATTGACACGATGCATGACTCTTGTGTCATGGAGCAAGGCAGGGGCCGTTTGGAGCCACACTTTGTGGGCGAAAGGGACCTGCCCTTGAGGCTTGCACAAAAGCCCGTGTTAATTCTGCTTGCCGGGCTCGGGGATGTCCTCACTTTTATCCCTACCCGGTGGTGAGATGGTCGGGATCATAGAGGAAGCCTGGACAGCCCCAGGCTGCCAATGCGGCCTAAGGTTTGGCCGTCATGGAGGGTGGGAAGCAAACGGTGCGGCCGAATCGACCGAGATATCCGGTTCTTCGCGGATGAAAGACTGAGGTGAGATACGGAACGGATGAGGTGCTCGGTCCAAGTCAGCTCGTTCAGCAGGATGGACGCGCCGCAGTCTTACAGGCAGTGATGCCTAATTCCTGACCATCGTCGAGCACGCAAGGTAGATCATGTAACTATACGTGGTGCATGGGTATTCCAACTGGGCGGGTTGGGGTCCGTTGGGCAAACCCTCTGGATGGACAGACGAGAATGTCCTGTACCAGGACAACGGGATTGTGATGTGTGCATGGCAGCCTCTAAACCGTCTCTCCTCGCCAGGGGTGACATTCCTGCCAGTCAGGTAAGTGGATCAGAGTGCTAGGTGCGCCGGGTGTACGTACCGGACGAACGAGGTGTGGATGGGCGATAGGGTCGTTCCTCCCGTCACTGGTGTCCCCAACGTTCCCGTCCGTGCTCGGGGCAGATTTACGGTACCTACCTGCTCTTGTCCATTTGGGTCCTTTAGTAATCATGTCGCAACTGCAGCCCTCGTAAATCTGAGCGACGCCAATCTGAAGACCGTCGAACACGTGCAACGGCAACATGGGCACGTAAAAAGTCACCGAAATCCCTCCTCCGCCTTGCGTGCTCCCTCCCAAGCGTCAGGCTAGCGTCTTCTTGGCGTCATACTCTCACCCGACACGACGGACTTGCTGGCTCTCAAAGATCGACACGCCCGTCCTTTGCGCCGGCTTTCTGCTTCACTTGCGTCCCATTGAGCTGTGCCTCCGGCCCCCGAAGGCTCTTCTGCATACAGTAAGACAGCTCAACAACAAACTCTTGGGTTCTGAGTTGCAGCGAGCACGTTGCAGCGAATCGGTGGCTCTAGATGGAGTTCATTCTGTCCCTGGGCTGCGAGTGTGAAGCCATTCTTGGACGAGATTGCCCTGGCTCCCGGGCCCGAAGGATCGAGTGATTCGTGTCACTACATTTTGGCGTCGACGACTTACTCGAACAGAGACGCCATTCGCCGCTTGTACGATCAAGCTGTATAACGTGATCCCGTGTTTCTTCTTGGGAGCCCGATAGCGTCTGAACCTCACCAAACACAATCTCGGCCAAGCAGTCACGGCGGATGGATCATCTTGCAAACGGACTCACCGGTCAGAAAGCTTACTTAGTGGGACACCCATTGTGCAGGGACTTTTTTGTTTGCACTTTACTTTGCTTTTGCATTTTCTTTCTCATTCGTTCGTCCGCATCTCTGGCTGCGTCAACATTGTCAGGGACCGAAGCATCGGACGAGTCACCGGTAAAAACAACATCGGGCACACGGTTACTTTACAAATCAACAGGTTCAACTTTGGTCCGAGATGCAGGGACGGGCGCAGCTTTTGATGATGTGGCGGCGTCGACTGGCCAGCCAGCGCAGCCTTATCCGTCTGCAGCATCCAAGGAGATGCCTGTGAAACTCGAGCTATTCCCAACTGGCACAAACCAAGTCCTCGCAAGCGCGGTGCGGGAGCTCGGATCGACCCCAAAAAGCCAGAAAATGCGCCAGGTCTGACTCCCTCCGCTTAACTCCCGTCCAAAGTCCGCAGGGAAAAAGCTGTTATGTCCATTACTTCCACCGACTCGGCGGAACCGGTACTGCACGCTGCGGTATGCACGCCCATCAGCAGAGACAAGGGGGGCGACTGAATGCACCGTAAGCGATGCCCCGTTGGCAAGCCTATTTTGTCGGTTTCTACCTGGGAGCCTCAAGAGAAGGGCGCCCACCCAAAAATCCGCAAGGGATGTTGCGGACTTTCGGGGCATTCCAGATCTGTACCATGGGTGAGAGTCTGAGACGAGATCCAGCGACCTGGCCAAAGGGGGATGCTTCGCGAATCATAGCCATAAGCGCGGCACGCAGGCGGAGATTGGACGAACGACGTTCTGTTTGGTTACCAAGCAGCAAGGCCCAAGTTGTGCAAACGGTCGCACACTTTGGCTAGTTTTCCACTTTTGTCTCGGTGTCGCACCGTCGTCGTGGTAGGGCTTACCAATGACGCCCTCACAACATGAATCGGTTCGACTCCTGGACCGCCGTACCGTCCCGGCCTAATCCATCCTTTGCGGACCTGATCCCACCACCAGTGTGTTGGGTTGACCCATCTCCCATTATGCCACCTCCCGTTATGCTACCGCAACATACTGCACAACCCTAGTCTCGTACCATACATGATGAGCCATACGGTCTCAAATGCCTGCGCCTTAGCATGGTGCGTCTAGGGATGACCTCCGCCAGCTTGTCATCGCGGTCAGACGTTCACTCCATCCGCATTTGGCCAAAGTACTTTGTGGGTGTCTCTTAATATTCCTCCGAGCGGCGGGCGGCCTACCGGCGTCAACAACTCCCACAAAGTCCGACCTGCATCGCTTGTCGTTCATGGTGTCCTCCCAGGTACATAAGGAGGACGGGTCTCTCCCGGTCTTGTGCCCCGTTCTCTCTTGTGGCACGCACTTCAGAGACATTCAGTTTTAGTCTAAATACCCCAGGCTTCGAACACATCACCGGGATTCCAGCATTGACAGCTTGCCACTGATATCAAACTCTATTTCCCGTAATCAGGGTCCAATCCGCCTGCAATACCATCACCGACACGATGACATCTGTTGCGAGCACTCTCGTAACGCCTCGCGAGAAGGGCGAGACGGACCGGGAGTCTACCACTTCGCCGTCGATGCTTGATGAGACCGTTGAGAAAAAGGAGGAGGCCGGCGGGGCCACCGATGAAGAGGCGGGCTCAGCACAGCCTACGGAGGCGAAGGAGGCCGTCTACCCCACCGGTATCAGGCTTACTTTCATCGTCGTCGCTCTTGTCCTCAGCATCTTCCTTGTTGCTCTGGATATGACCATCGTTGCAACCGCCATCCCCAAGATTACCGACGAGTTCCGCGGTCTAGACCAGGTTGCTTGGTACGGTTCCGCATTCTTCATGTGCGTTGCTGCCTTCCAGTCGACATGTAAGTCATCACCCCTGAGCGTACCCCAACCGTCAAGAGACTGACACAAGCGTGAACAGGGGGTAAGGCATACAAGTACTTCCCGCTCAAGACTTCCTTCCTGCTCTCCATCTTCATCTTTGAGATTGGCAGCCTCATCTGCGCTGTCGCGCCCAACTCTGTCGCCCTCATCGTTGGCCGCGCCATTGCCGGCGTCGGTGCCGCTGGCATCGGCTCCGGTGCCTACACCATCATCGGCTTCTCCGCCCCGCCCGACAAGCGGCCTACCTTCACAGGCATCGTCGGCGCCTCTTACGGCATCGCATCCGTCGTCGGTCCCCTTATTGGCGGTGCCTTCACCGACCATGTCAGCTGGCGCTGGTGCTTCTACATCAACCTCCCTATCGGAGGTGTCTCTGCCGCCATCATCCTCTTCTACTTCTCCACCCCGCCACAAGCCGTCCCCGTCAAGGCCAGCATGCTCGAGAAGTTCCTGCAGATGGATCTCATCGGTACCGCTCTTATCATGGGCGCCACCATCTCCTTCCTGCTCGCCCTGCAGTGGGGAGGCCACACCCACCCTTGGAACTCGTCCACCGTCATCGGCCTCTTCGTCGGCTTCTTCCTCATCATCATTGCCTTCGTCATCCTTGAGTGGTACCAGGGCGAGCGTTCCATGATCGCGCCCCGCCTGATCAGTGACCGCACTGTCTACATCTCTTCCATTTACGCCTTTTTCTTCGCCGGCGCTTACTTTGTCCTGGTATACTACCTGCCCATCTACTTCCAGTCGGTCGACAATGCCTCCCCGACCGAGTCTGGCGTTCGTAACCTCCCACTCATCATCGCCGTCACCATCGCCACCATCACATCTGGTGTCTCCATCTCCATGACCGGCATCTACACCCCCATCCTTGTCGGTAGCGCCGCTGTCGCCACCGTCGGCGCCGGCCTGCTCTACACCCTGGACATCGGCACCGGAAGTGACAAGTGGATCGGGTACCAGGTCCTCGCCGGGCTGGCGTGGGGCGCCGGCTTCCAGGTCCCCATCATCGCTATCCAGGGCACTGTCAGCGAAACTGACATGGCCTCCGCCACCGCTGTTCTCCTCTGTAAGTTCTTCCCATCTCCAAGCCAGTCCTGAAAACATGAACACTAACACGAACGCTCAGTCTTCCAAACCGTCGGTGGAGCCTTCTACGTTGCCGCCGCGCAGTCGGGCTTCCTCGTCACCGTTCTCAAGAAAGTCGCCGAGAACGTGCCGAGCGTCGATCCCGCCCTTGTCGCCATCACAGGTGCCACCCAGATCCGCGAAGCCTTCCCCCCCGAGGCCGTCCCTGGAGTCATTCAGGCCTACATGGACGGCCTCAAGATCGCCTTCGCCCTGGCTATCGTCGGCGCTGGTGTCTCTTTCCTCGTGTCACTCGGCTCGAGGTGGGGCAAGCTCAACACCAAAAACCTGGCCGGTGCTGCTTGAAGTCCCCAAAGAGGACAGTCTTGACCTGTTTTCTGGCTTCTTGTCTTGTTCACAGATACCACGGTGCCGATATGTTGGAGATCTCATAGACTATAATGACTGACTGCGGCGTTTTGGGTTGCATTTTGGGGCCAAAGGGGCTTTGTTGGCTCTCTCAAGAGCTGTTTGGAATGTGGCCAGCTCAACTCTTATGTCTTGTGAAGGAGCACATGAATTGATAATGTATTAAATTACAGAGATTTCCCTAAAGTTGACGAGTCTCAAACAATGATGATTTTACGTCTCGAAAAGCGGTGGCTTACGGACGCTTCTAGTGCAGTTTTGCTAAGTTAAGGCTTTAATATTCAAGCGCTTCTACCCACCTCTGATATACATTCCGTGTTATTTTTTAGCATGCACCAAATATTGAGGTCGGCGTCATTCACTTGTAAGACCCTCTCTCGCAATTATCGCAATTATGGGGAATACTTAAAGAAACAGCCGGACACGATCCAGACAGCGACACTCGCGAGGAAGAAACTGTCAACAACTACGAAACCTTGCTTGCTGACATTCGAATCCTCAAGCTGATCTAGCTCACACGAGCCATCTTCCCGTCATGCAAACGACTCTTGCGACCTGCGCTTCGTTTCTCCCGGCGCCAACCCTCCCTGAAACTCCTCAACATTGTACTCGACTTCCTTTTGGATCCCTCTGACCGGCCTCAGCTCCGTCTGGCTGCCCTGCATGGAACCGTGCCCATCGCTGTCTCCGCCTTCCAACCGCACCGCGCCTTTCTGCCATTTCCTCGACCGCAGAGACATCCCAGACCCGCCAATCGTCGGGCCCACGTACTTTTTCGTTGTCTTCCTCGTCATGTTCCTGTTCTTACTCAGGAGGAAGCGAAAGGCCGGCAGCGTCGCGACGATGATGCTGACCGAGGACTCGATGTGGCTCCACATGCTGAGGAGCACTGGCCCGTTGGCGACGGTCGTGGGATCCTTGGCCGCGTCGCCCGTGGCTTTCGTCACTTGTGCGAGACGTGCGATGGCGAATGCAATGATGATGCCGCCGAGGGAGAAGAGGACGACGAGGCCGAGTTTGTGGGATCGTGAGGTGGTGAGCTTCCGTAGCAGGTTGAGGGGCAGAATCATGACTGCATGGTGCCGTGTTAGTCGACATGACAGGAACAACCAACCGGTCAACTTGACCCAAAGGCCACGGAGAGACTTACTCAACAAATCTGCGGCAACATCGGCACTGGTTGCGAACTTGATGGACGCATCGGCTCGTACCAGATCTTCTGGCGCACTACATCCCGCTATTCCAGCCATGTCAATTCCAGTTATCGACTGAAGAATCCACGCACACTCACTTGCACTCCAGTACTTGGTCAACGGCATGCATGTCAAAAAGTTTGAGAACATGCAGGCCAAGTACAGCAACAGGACCGCGACAAAACACACCCACCACGCGCGGATGTATCCCGGCAGCCCATTGACAAGCCGCCTAACGAAGAAGAGGATGGAGAACTTTGCTAATGGGTGCACAAGTGGTGTCAGCAATCCGACAGCATTCGGGTGTACCAAAGACTGAAAGAGGCAAAGCAAGAACATAACGTACCCGCCCAGAGTGTTGTCCAGAACAGTAGCATCTGCGAGAACATCAATTTGAGGGATGCAATCGTCCTTGCGGTGAACTCGTCGGCCGCCAAAGGCAGGGGCGCCAGGGGATCCTTGGCGGCGGCCTTGGTGTACGCGCCGGTGAGATAGAATTGCGGCAGCATGGCCGTGATAACAGCCGACAAGGCCGTCAACGTGGCGAGACCTGCGATGATGAGGTAGTCGTCCGCATACAGGCGCCGTTGGAGGATCCATTGGAAGCTGCCCCGAAAGATGGTCATCCCCAGGGCAGCCGCCCACAAGATCCATATGAGAGCCTGTTGATTTAACCTGTTAGCCAGTGCGGAGCTCGATGGACATCGCCAAGGCTACGGGAGCGACCGACGAACGAGTCAGAGATCGCCGGCGGAGAGCCGTCTCCACCGGGCCGGGCTCCGAACGAGCGGGGGCGGGCCTCCGGGGGTTAGTTTGCCTTACCATCATCTCAGTGAAGCCGAGCACCGAGGCCGTCATAATGCAAGTCGTCTCCCGTTTGCCGTTCGACAACACCGTGGCTCAAAGGAACTTTTTTTTTTCCTTTCATTCCAAATGGCAGAGCAAGTTGGTAGCAGAGAAGCCCCAAAACGGGCCACGCCGGGCTTTAAGATAGTGCATTTATGGCTTTCAATCATACTTTTTGCTATTGCCTTGACGCCCATGCCGAGTTTCTGGATCAGGGGAACCACGCCGAGATACATCCTGACCATTTGGATTGATAAAGCAAGCAAAGGGTTTTTGTACCGGTTGAGTCGGCTAGGTTCGCGCCATGGAAGCAAGGCAACGTCGAAGGACCTTTGCACGTCTTAACGGGATGCTAACCCAACTCGGGTGCGTAGGGTGGGATTCGGGGGACAAGGGTCACGACGGGGGTCGGCCACCAACGCCTAAACCTCATCTCGGGTCTGCGAGCACGCAACCGGCCTGCCAATGAGAAACTCGCAGGCCAAGCACTACTGCACTCAATAACAGAGAGTTGCATTTGCCCATCCGCACTTCGCTAACGACATCCTGGAGGTTCATGGAGACCCCTGGGATCCGTACGATTTCACCATCATTCGTATCGCCACCACCTATACCTGAAATCCCGCGATAGAAATATGCTTTCCTCCTGCATCCTGATTCCTTTGTGGCTTGCTGGTGCTTTACCTTTGTTCTCGTCCAGCCAAGCAACAGCCATGGTTCGTGTTTCGCCTTTCGTCTCACAGCTGCTAGCTGTCGTCGCAGCTCCCGTCGCCGTTGCTGCTCAGGATCCTGCCGACGCCAGCATCACCTCACCCGTCGCATCCAGTCTCGTCGGTTCAGAGACGATTGCCTGCAGGCTCCTGAGCTTCAGGTACCCAAAGCAGACCTTCTTCAATGGCTCCGATGGGTACACGTACGAGACGCAGACGCAGTACTGGTCGGCGAGAGCCTACGACACTCCGGCCTGCGTCTTCGTGCCGCAGAACGCCCAGCAGGTCTCCTTCGCCGTCAGCACGCTGACGCTGAGCCTGACAAAGTTCGCGGTCCGCAGCGGCGGCCACATGCCGGTGGTCGGTTACAACAGCATCGGCTCGTCGGGAGTCTTGCTGTCGACCTCGAACCTGACCACGCTGGCCCTATCCGAGGACAAGAGCACCGTGTCGGTTGGCGCCGGCCTCAGGTGGAGGGACGTGTACTCTTACCTCTCGCCCTCGGGCCTTGCCGCCGTTGGAGGGCGCATCGGCGGCGTCGGTGTCTCCGGTCTGCTGCTTGGAGGTGGCATCTCTTTCCACTCGAACCAGTACGGCTTCGCTGCCGACAATGTCGTCTGCTACCAGGCGGTTCTGTCGAGCGGCATCGTTGTCGAAGCCACCGCTACCAATGCCTACTCTGACCTCTTCTGGGCTCTGAAGGGCGGCGGTAACTCGTTCGCCATCGTCACACGCTTCGACCTGAAGACTGTTAAGTCGCCCAAGGTCTGGGTCGGAATCTCGCAGTACGCTCAGAACTACAGCGCCGCGTACCTGGACGCCGTGTACAACTTTGGCAAGTACGGCTCAGCGGACAGCAAGGCCGCCATCATTCCTACCATCCTCACGTACCCATCGTACAACATCACCGCCTATGCGGCGGCTCGGTTCTACGATTCCGAGACTGACTCTGCCACGGCATTCGAGAACTTTACCTCGCCTGTCCTCACGCCAGTGGCCGATTCATATGCTGCGCAGCCCCTTGCTGAGTATATCAGTGCTGTCGATGCGCTGCAGCCGACCGGCCTTCGTCAAGAGCGAGTCACTTTCCCCCACACGTAAGAACACCACGGCTAATTTTCGTCCAAGGTTCCGCGTTATGTCTCTGGTCGTTGACCGCGAGGCCGTCGACTACGTCCACAACGCCTTCCTCGCCGCCACCAGCTCCAAGCTCACGGGCATTGTCGGTCTCTCAGCCTCCATCACTTTCCAGCCCGTCACCAAGGAGTTCATCCAGCAGGGCATCGCCAAGGGCGGCAACCCCCAGGGCGTGGACCCGGCCAAGGCCCCGTACTTCTGGATCGTTGAAAACCTGACGTGGCAGGAGGCCAAAGACGACGAGACGGCCCAGGCGTTTGCCGATACCGTCACGGCCGATATTGAAGCGGGCCTGGAGGCCAAGGGCGTTGCCGGCGGGTACTTGTACCTGAACGATGCGGGCAAGGGGCAGAAGATCTTCCAGAACTACCCGGCGGCGAACCTGGCGAAGCTGAAGGCAATCCGTACCAAGTATGATCCGTTGAGGATTTACACCAACCTCTTGACTGGAGGCTGGAAGGTTCTGGACGCCTGAGCGTGACGAGCCACAGTCAGTGTTGCGTGTTGAACTTGGAAGGACACGATTGTACATACTTCTTATGCATGCCGCTTGCCTAACAGTTAGCTCAGAGTAATGTCTATTATCATAATGACTAATACGACTCAGGGAGATGGTCAGCTGTGGAAAAATTGATAAGATATCAACTGACCATTATTAGGATCCTGAAGCAGAATCTATGGCGTTTTATGTTCTCTGCGGAGGTGTCATCCTTTTGAGGGCACAAATGTCGAACTTATCCACTCCTTGGTGGCCTTTTCGACTTGAACATCGCGAGGGCTCTGCAGCGGGGGTTCGCATTAGGATGCTTTGGGCTGCTGTCGTTTCTCTGAAGCATTCAACTTTTATTGTTCCAGACATTCGCTCTAAATCACAAAGCAACGCCCCCCTCAGTAACCTATGAGCTGGCCGCAACCTTGACGCTGCCGTCCTCCATACCAAAGTAGGCAGCGATCGGCTTCTGCGCCAGACCCTCCTTGCCGGCCTGGGCCGCCTGCAGCCCGTTGACGCCGTGGAAGATGCCGATCTCGACGATGCCCGGGATCATAAGCAACTCTTTGGCGAGCGCTGAGACCTCCCATGCGCCGGCGGCGTTGCGGCCGGCCTGCTGGGACGAAGCGTCCGTCAGGTCCTGAGGCAGGAGCAGCTGGGGGAAGGGCGCGTCAATGAGCCACATGCCGTTGTCGGTGACGACCTCGCCGGCCTTGCCGGGAGCGCCGGGCCTCACGAGGGGCTTGACGGCGCCGAGGGCCGTCAGCCTGTCAAGCACGTCTGGCGCGGACATGGGGAGGACCTCAATGGGGATGGCCTTCCAGTTGGTGAGCAGTCTCGAGGAGAGCTTGCGGTAGTCTTTTCTTGCACGTCAGCTTTTGTCGTTCTCGTACATTTTGTTTAGTCAGAGCGTCAGAAACATGGAAACTCACCAGCGACAACGATAAACTTCTTGGCGGCAATCGCAACGAGCTTCTCCTGGAAGAGACACGCGCCGCCGCCCTTGATGCAGTTGAGGTCGGCGTCGACCTCGTCGGCGCCGTCGAAGGCGACGTCAATGGGCACGAGCTTGCCGTCGGGGCCCAGGGGCCGCTCGTCGAGGTTGCACAGGCGCAGGCCAGCGGCACGGATGAGACCCTTGGACTGGCTGCCGGTGGGCAGGAAGGTCATGTTGGCGTAGAAGGAGGGGCCCTTTGCGGCGATGGCGTCGACGACGTAGACGACAGTGCTGCCGGAGCCGATGCCGACGAAGCGCGCCGACGGGGCAAGGTGCTCGTCGACGGCACGGTAGGCGGCGGCCTTCTTGGCCGTCTCGACGAGGGAGACTGCAGCAGCGGACATGTTGCGGGCGAAGAGGCTTGGTGGGGTAGTGATGGAGGGCTTGCGGAAGATGAGGTTCAAGGTGGGTGATGATAGACGTGAGGTGGAAGAAGAAGAGCGGAGAGATGAGACAGTTGATCTTAAGGCCCTGATACTTGTACCACAGGTCCAGTACATGAGAGGCGAAACGGTCCGTCGGGATGAGGAGGTGGTGTTATAGTGGGATGAGCCATAAAAGTGTCTGTGTCTGCTTCCCGCAGCTGGGCTTACTCAGGAACCTGAATCGTGACGGGGAGGAGTGGATTCCGCCCTGGCTGCTGCCGGCTGGTGCCGGATGGCCACGCCTCTCGAATTTGAGGCCTCGAGACGAGGACAAAGAGACATCTGCGGCTGAACAATGGGTGCTTTCGGTCAATTTCTAGACATGCATCTGAGTATTAGTAGTGCTATAAACTCTCCATTGAGTGCTTTACCCTACATTCCTCAGCAACCCTCGTGCGCGGGGATTCAACAGGAACCATCGGTGAGCCTCGGTGAGCCCCTCCTTCACCGAGCGCGGGGCACTCGCCCAAATGTCAGGGACCACTTCTTCATCTCCACATATGACGTACGTACTGTCCATCTCAGGGACGCGACGGATTCCACCGACTCAATACCCGCCCGTCTTCTCGTCTCAGGAACGGGTCCGCCGAATCAGGCCGAGGACTTCGGGGACCAGCAAGTGCCCCGGGAGTCCAACGGAAGCACGCCGGTGGAACCTCTCGGTGGATCAAAAGAAAAGTTTGTACGCCTAAGGGGTTCAGCAAATTGCCTTGCGCGTGTCGCGGGCTTGTGAAAACTTGGATGCCGGACGACGTCATATTCGCAACTGTTGTCGGCACTTTGATAGAGCTAGAGTAATGATGCATGTCTTCGGTTCGATGAGTAGCTAATGGTCGGTAAAATCCGTATCTGACATCGGTCGTGATGACAGGTAGAGCCAAACATCACAAGTAGTGCAGTATGCAACGAAAGAAGGGTCTAACCTACCCAATTCTAGGATAGCTTAAAGTTGCGATACTTTGTTTTGATGAAAGAAAAGGGAACACCATGGTTGCAGAGCGATTGTGTATAAAACAAGTGTATTGTTCCATTCATCAGAACGGAATATTTCGCAAATATATCTTGGTGCTGCTAAAGGAAGATGATTCAGACGTATTTCCACTGCTCTTCCTTGAAAGTACATACCTTGATCGTGCTTGTTCAGAATCTTGGAAGTGTTTCTTCCTCGTCATTCATTCATTCCACAATGAATTTTTACATATTCACATGCTACCGGACATAACTGTGAGGCGGGCCTGTTGTGATTTCTTAATCACCCCATAATATCGCAGGCTTCAATCTAAGAGGGATTCGGCTAAGAAAAATGGAATAGAAAGCCCTGTAAGAGACTTTGGCTTCTATTCTACGTTCAGTCTGGCTGTTCAAATAGTAAAAACCTGCCATCTTAATGCAGTATCCATATGCGGCCACTTCCCTTTGGGTATGTCAAACGAGGATTATTGGAAAAAGAAAGAAACCCCCCCACCCTCAAGAGGGAGGACATCGCAGCAAACGGATTCCCACTTCAGTGCCATAACTCCATATACGGACCGGCTATTGTTTCTTCGGGGTACCTCTGTAGGCAGCAACCTCGGCCACTAACCTAACGCAAACCAGGAGCTTGTGACGTGACTGTGCATTGTCCTGTGCTTCGCATTCGGTTCTCATTTTGAGCTGTTGGTCATCGTCTGATATGGCTACGGCTGCTTGAGGTTAGAATCTCGACACGGTGTGTGTCTTTTATCTACAACGATGGTAGATGTCTGCGACAACTCTGCTGAGTGCATGGGTTGTTGCATTCGGGACTCATTACCGGAATCCCGGTACTCTCGAACATGTATTATGACGGACTACCGGCGGCCTGCCAATCCCCACATTCTGGAAAGTTCACCTTTACTCACTTCTCAATCACATGCACCTCGGTCAGTATATACCATGTATTCTTAACACGGCGCCTAATGTATTGATTGCGGGTTAATCGCTCAAATGAGCAGCACACAAACGACGAATGATCGAAGTGAGAATCAATAAAGAGTGATATATCTATCTACAGCTATACCATGATTGAAGGAACATGGTGACTCAACGCTAGAAATTAATCCCGTCCCAGAAAATACAACGCTTAACCCGCGTACATTAATAGCATTAAGGCAGGCCAATACTCAGTATTGTGCCTGCATCTTCTGTGTTGTAGGCTCAAGATCTTGCTTAGAACTCTATGGAACATGTTGAGTAACTTGACTCTGGTTGAGTAGTCAGAGGCCCTCTCATTCTGATTTGACGGCATTTTTGTGGGAAGAGATTGGTTCTTTGACGCTGATGGATCTTCTTGTAATGTTCTCTCTGTAATTATCAATTAGCATTCGCGTTTAATATGAAGCTGATCTCGTGCATTGTAACTCACCATATTGTCCTTCCGGCTGAAGATACGATCGCAATCAGGATGCATGCAGCGAACGGCTGGCTTATGAGATCCCATGTGTCGCTGGAAGTCTTTGCGGGTGGCGAATCCGACACCGGCTTGCTGGCACCTTTTTTCGGTGCAGAAGAAATACTTGGCGTGGCCGCGGAAGTGCTTCCTAAGGTCACATGCTCGGAGGAACACGCGGGAGGAGCAGCAGCCCGAGTACCGACAGCGCCAGTTGCCGGACACGTCAAGATAGCCCATTTGATGCAGATCCGCAGGGCCCCAGTTCTCAGGCTCCATCTCTTTAGGAGGAGATGGTGACGACGTAGTTACACTGCAACTGCTGGGAGACGGCGCAAAGTCCGAAGGTTCGGTTGAAGCAGGGGAAAAAGCTACCGAAGGGGAGTTTTCCACCAATTGGGTGTTGAACGTGTTGTAGCCATTATCCAAGCTAGGTGAACAAGTCGTGCTCATCAAAGGCATCGATGGTTGAAATGAGGGGAATGAATAAGGGTATAGAAAGCTGTCGAGCCCATCTCCTGCAGGAAAGGGGATGAACTGAGGGTCGAAGGTGTAGTCCAAGTTGTTGTCGACATTGGCGAAGAAAGTGTAAGAGGTGTCCTCTAGATAGGATTCCATGACGCCTGATGCTGGCAGACAAGATGTTGCAAAATAATGATGGACTTCGAGCGAGGAACAGTCAATGTATTCGAGTTATCGTGGTATGAGCTGCAGATAAAGGGATTCAAGCTAGCACGAACTGGATCGACGGCGACGTTTATGTATCTCATGATCCAGGCTCGGAATCATCTATGTAGCACATGCAAGTCATATAAACAAGGTCTTATAGCCTGAATCGGGTTGCTAAATCGCGGCCCCAAACACCAGGTCTATTTGCATAGCATCTGGTCAAGACGGTCATGGACGGTTCCACGGCGGCGGAGCCATGGAAGGAGTTTACAAGAGGCCTTTAGGCAAGCGTGTTATAGTTATATGGTCTGGGTAGATCTGTATCCAAACTAGGGACCACCGGCCGAGTGTTTCAATTGTCAGCCATTTGACATTGACGTTCGACAAGTTTCTGCCAAGGATCTCGTGGCACGAACAGTTGGGGAAGTGAAAGAACCGAGGCAAGGGCTGTGAATCTGCTGAGATGCGATTCGCTATTCAGCTGGCGTGGAAAACATGTTACAGCGTCAGATCGCCCGAGGATCACGAGAGTGCACAGCCCGTTGACCGGGGTCACATATTGATAGTCTGCCTATAGTCGAGAAGTTGTGTTCGTGCACACGGGACGTCACCCTCGTTCTTAAGCGCTGACTGTACCCGACGCAGAGAACCAACCGTCATCTGCCCCTGAGATTTGCAGAGACCTAGCTAGGGGCTGTGTCCTCTTGCCGCGTTTATCCGCGGAGAACTATCTGCTATAACATATGGAGTCCGTGCTTTTTTAGTTGATAGCGGTTCGCTATTGCGGTCTTGTCAACCGCCAATCTGAGATCAGCAGAACGTGTAGAGTTTCGAGGGGACAAATCGAAAACCAATCGGTTTTCTTGAATTTTGACAACTGGCCTGTTCCTGGGACGACCATATGTCAATCCTCTGTTTCCGAGATGACAGCTCTCCTACAACGCAGCCATCCATCCAGCGTAACGAACAGAGCGCCCAATGAGACCCTGTTCACGCCTGACACTTGGTATCAGCCCTGACAAGGCTGGACGACAGGCCATCAACGTCTCAATGAGGATAAAAGTGGACCTCAACCTCAACGGTGAAATGCGATTCGCTCATGAGAATCAACCTCAGCCACCCCCAGTTGCGTGAGTCGAGACGTGCAGCGGGACCAGATTTGCGCTGCCCTGTTAGGATCGCCGTGGCTCAAGAACATCACCTTAAAATCTAGGCCCTTCCAAGCCTGCACCAGTTTACAGTCAACAATGCAATGATCAATCCTAGGGCGGCTCGCAGTGCACGATCTGATAAAATGCTTTGCGCGCTCTGCTCATCGGTATAGTGACCGGTGGTCGGATGATCAGCATTCGTGGAGGCCTCGTACCCGAAGACTTCCAATTGTTTGTTGGATTGATCCTAAGCTTTGAGCCTCGTTCATGGAAGAATTTTCAGGGATCATTCTCATTCAGGTTTCAATAGCGAGCCGCAATATGATAGCTCAAATTTGGCTCAGTGCGGGTTCGGTGGGTATTCGGTTGCGTCTCAGCTTTGCTTTTTCCTTGAAGATTGTTTGTCTGCCCCCCTGCCAAGTGACAGCTCGCTCGGACATTCGTTTACTACAGGCCACTAACGCAAACAAGCACCAAGTTTGGACACGAGAAAAAAAACGCCTCCAGACACGGCTCAGGCCTCAGCCGGCATCACATCGAAAAGCCACAAAATATATTATCAGCAATTTTTGACATGGTTATTGACTGCTGGTGGGGAAAGTCAATTCGGATCCGGTCCGGCATTGTAGTGCTTCCGAAGCCACTCAGCGATGGCTGGGCCAGACGCTGTAGAAGATTCAAAAATCTTTCCAACTCGGCCAGCTATGTCAGCTAAACCGGAATCTTGCGTTGGGTGGTGAGCGAGACCCGTGCCGTCGATAGTTGAATCGGATTTTTGGCTCAACCACAAAATAGAATCTATCATCCGCCCCTGATATGAACCGTGCCGAGAACATAATCGTATGGTACGACCAAGCCTAAGTTAAGGCTCGATGAGATCTAAAACTTTGACGTGAGGTAAAGAGCGATGTGACGTGACATTACATATCTAAGGGCCCGTACCATTGAAGAATGACGCTAGTAGTTCGCCGCCATGTCCTGTCGGGTACATCGGTCTATGAGCAACCAACGGCCAAAGAGTTCTGGAACAGTCTTTTGAATGGGCAGAATAGACGAAAGAGGACCATGCAGAATTTCTCTTTACTCATAGTTCAGAGATGGAGGTGCGCCGGCTCCAGCATGGTTACCATACGTCTTGGGACCAGACCGAGGGTCGTGAAAGTTGTAATGTGGTTAGTCTGTTTTTTTTCCTTTGTTTTTTTCCCTAGTTCTCTTGGGTGAAATAAAAGAAAGGGCCAGTGGAATAGGCAAGAAGCAGACTAGTGTCGTCCAAGCTGTGACCGTAAGAAGTACTGCACGAAGTGGCTACAAGCACAAGTTTCTCCTGTTTAAACAGTGCAGGTGCTGCTTCAGCCTTAATGAAAACTTGGATAAGCAATATCAGTAATAAGGTGTATTATAAATACATACAGTGAGAGGATATTAGACCAATGGTAATCAGATTATGGTCATGTTAGAAGGTCTTGGTCACAAATTTTCAGCCAATTCGTGACTTCACCCGCCATCGCTCCAATAACGGCCCATCAAAAGTTCATCAGCATGTTTCAATGTAGATCCAAGCATTTAGGCTGGACACTATTGTCAGTCTTCTAAGTTCTACTTATGAGCAGACATTGGATTTGCTCCTGTAAACCCCGAAAGTTTCAAAAACTGGATTCCTGTACGGAAACCTCGGGGAAAGCCGCATCTCCTTCTTTGGTGAACAGGGGTTCAACCTGCTTATCCAAAGACAGGTTTGCAAAAGCGCTAACAACCCCAGCAACCACATTTCCTATCTTTCCAAACTTCAAAGTGCCCAATTCAGTCTCCAACAGCGATTTTGTTGCTTCAGGTAGGGTCAGGTTCAACGACGAGATTAGAGTTGGAAAGTCTGTGAAACTCGCATGTGTGGTTCCAGCAACGCTCAACAGCACGCTTGGTCCCCGCAGGCCTGTGTAGAATTCGTCCCACGTCGGGTCTTGGTTAACGTGTCCAGGTCTCCCTACTAGCGCGAAAGGCCTATCAAGACCTGCCTCTAGGACGGGGTTAAGGAGCTTGCCATCGAAGTTAATGGCTCCTCGAATGCGGGTGTCTGTCAACATCGCGGCTGCCGCCGTAGCGCCGCCGAGGGAATGGCCGAACATAATAGTACGGTCAACATCGATCCCGGGTACAGGGTTCTGGTGGAAATGTGAGAGAACAAATGAAGTGTCTTCAGCTCGGACCTGTCCTGTTGTCAGTCTGTGAGGTATCCAGATTGAGAATTTTGAGTATCTTACCCGAGTAAGGGTTTCCAATTCTGTTGTGTTGTCCGTGTCTAGACTCACCGCCTCGTAGACGGTACCGTCAGGAAACTCAACAAACGAGGAATCGTAAGGATGATCGATGGTGACGACGGCGAAACCATGGCTTGCGACCTCGCGGGCCATGGCACCATAAAGCAATCGCGGATTTCCCGAGCCGGGCGAAAAGAGCACTAGAGGGAAATTGGAGCGACTTCGCCGACATGAAAGAACCCTGGGTTGACAGGATTCCATCTTGAAGGCAGAAAATGTGCCGTTGGGGAGGCCTACGGCGGTGCCAAGCTCATCGTAGGCCTCAGCCACCAGCGGCGTCATGTACGGCACTCTTTCCCAAGCAACACAGGGAGTCTTGGCTTCGTCGACAGGGAAAAATATCGAGATCATGACTTGGCGAGAGTGAGGCTCGTTTTTGGGGGCGTAGGGATCGAGTCGAGCGCTGTCGGTAAGGCCTTGAACGGACATGGAAACAGCATAAGGTCCTGTCGGCGGCGACACAAGGACTGCCTGTGTAGCTGAGACTAGCGACCAAAGGACCAAAGCTGAGATCATCTTGTGATATGTTGAAGGCAAGTAATTAGCAGTTAAAAAAACGAGGTTGCAATGGTTTAGAGAAGGCCTCGAGTATTCATCTAGTGTGATCGACTTGAGATGAAATAAGAATGCAACGAGGAAATCGTTCCATTTTATACCAACACATCGTCAAGCCTGAAGACTTTACAAACCACATTTCGCACAATTGGTTCCTTTCTGGGGAAAGTGTAGTGGAGGAGGAGAAGAAGTGAGGCTGCGCCTACTGGGTCAAGACTCGAATTCTAGGAGTAGCTTCCGACAGCTTATGAACCCCTCCAGCATCCATTAAGCTTGTATCCTAACCGAGATGTGATTGGATAATTCCCGCCAAGGATTTAATCTTCCTGGGGGTGTTAGCTAGTGTCGCTCAATTGCTTCCGTTTTAGGTTTGGTGTCTTGCGTTTCGATCCACTTCGCGACTCAAGTCTCTTTCTCTCCTAATGTCAACACATCAAGCCCGATGCCGGCCAAGTTGGCGCATAGGCTCGGATAGAAGAGTCTTCTCTCGTTTACAAGGCGCGGGGTATACTAGACGTGAGAACTCACTTGTGTAGCCATACTACGACGCAGAAGCTCATTTCACAATGCCTCTCGGCCCCTTTGATCGCCGGACTAAACGTTCCCGTTGTGTAACTTGCGCCGCGAGTCACTCTAAGGTACGTCTACCTTCCTTGCCAAGTCGTTCTGATAAGTCTCTGCCTTCCCCGACAGAGGAAAACTGCGTAACAGCTCTTGCTAACTAAACCGAGTGTTCCGGGTCAAACCCATGTACGCGATGCCAGAAACGCGGCAGCCGATGCATCTTTCCAGCATCAACGACCCCAGGAGATGGGTCTATCATTATGGTGGACAGGGGAAAGATCCATACTATCAAGGACTTCAGATCCCCCGAAGTATTCCATCCTCGTGCACCATTATCGGATGCTATGGCAAACTATCTCTTCTATTTCGATAAATTTGTCCAAAGGAACAGCTTCACGGGCAGCGAACCATCTTTTATTTCCGATGTCCAAAGCTTGGTGAAGAGCCCTGGCGATACGCCACAGCATCCACGCCATTACCTGCTCAATGCGATGTTGGCTTTAGGTGCCATGCAAACAACAACCATAGGCGCCTTAGAATCCCGAAATAGTTTGCGGTTCGCGATGGAGTCGTACTTGCAGTCAGTTACTGAACTTCGAGAAGCCGTCTCAAATTTCTCGTCGTCAGAGAGAGACAGTATTCTATGGACAACTTTATTTCTCGGTCTATTCGAGGTTCGTGAGCCTCAGCCATTTTTCTTGCTTGCCATGTCCCAGCCACGAATTGGGTCGAGAGCTTGTGACTGACACACAACATAGCTTATGCAAGACGCCTCCGGCCAAAAGTGGCTTCAACACATGGTTTTTGGCACTTCACAGGCTCTAATTGCCAGTGGACCGGCGACATGCGCTTCTGGAACCATGCAGACCTTCTTCGTTCAGGCTCGCACCTTTGAAGTCTGTAGATCTATCATTTTCAACCAAGCGAGCTTTCTAGCAGCGCCTGAATGGATCAGTCTGACAGACAGCCTCTCAAAGACCAATGTTGCGACGGGTTACTCCTCATTAGACGAAGTCTTGAATTTGGTTGTACTTTGTTCAGCATTGAGGGCCCGGTTAGTTAATGCACCAGACTTTGGTGAAACCGTTCATGGGTTGTAATGAACACCGCTAACTCTTCGAACATCAGCACGGCCGAGTTTATACAGTCCATTTCGGCTTGCCCAGATTCAGAAAGATGTTTTTTCGAATCTTCGAGTCTGGCAACCGAAGGTTTTGCTTTGCGTGATGCGCTTGAAAATTGGAAGTTGTCTGCTGTTTTCCCGCTTGAAAAGCGTGAAGAGATGCTCTTGTCATCTGTTTACTACTCTGCGACCAGCATCTACTTGTCCGGGAACTTCGACTATGATTTAGACTTTTGGCAAACAACAGGAACTAAAGTGCCAGTATTCAGCTGGGCAGAGGTCGCAACACACTTTGACGCCATCATTTTCATAGTCAAGGAAGCACTGAGAAACTCTAGTTTGTCACCTTTGTTGTTCTTATTTCCACTGAGAATTGCTGGAGCGCGAGCGAAACAAGAATGGCAGCAAGAGGTTGTCGCAGAGCTCTTACGAGAAGTCCGCAAAAGGTTTATTGTGGCGGACGCAATGCTGATGGAGCTTGGAGAGCTGTGGTCTTGAATTATCAACACATTGTAGATTTGACCATAAGCTAACATCAATGCCACCTACAAATATCTTACAACTGCAAAATGACTCAAGTTTGTTATGGGTTGTAGAGGTTTCGGGATTCATGGCCTGAGGATAAGAATTGTTCTGCTTCAACCGCGGTTGTCGAGGGTTACAGCGGCGGCTACAAGGAAATGATCCACCTGTTACATGAGACCTCATACTTTGGTTCTCAGTGAATGACTCATGGGCATCGAAACACTCTCCAGCTTGGGACTCAGCTCCTGGGTGTGGGTAGTTGCGTGAAACAGGGATGCTCGGGCAATACCTTCTGAACACCAGGTCAGTGCGTTCGAGACTGCCACTCACAGACCATGATCAACGGTCCCAGCACACTGCATAAAACTAATTTGGGCCCGAGAGAAGGAGGAAAAAGTAGTGACCTTCGGCCATGGAGGAAACACGGAGGAAACACGGGGAAAGGTCTGTACCAGTTTCACGTGCGAAGGCATCTCTGCCTTACCCTGTGGCAACTTATACCCTCCGTGCCCAACTAAAACGGCGAAAGTATCAAAATGGTGAGAAACAAGTATTTTATTTTACATTCTTATACATGATCTAACTGAGGCAAATTCCGCGATCACATTGCTAAGTAACGGTAAGTAAGAGATGCGAATTCAGACTGACTCAGGGGACGAACATCGGAATTATCAGCGACGCATATCTGCCGAATTGTTAATTAACTGGCGTATAATCCGAAGCGCCGAGGCTTCCTGTTGCGGGCGGGTAAGCTTACGCAGTTTTTGCCATCTGTTCTGCAGCAGACTTGGCCCTCCAAAGGATACACGGCACGGTCATGCAAATTGCGAGTGACCTTGGACAGAAGTTGGGGGCTTGCTGCGGAGACAGCCGCTGCAAAGACAAACAAAGACAAGAGCTTCATATTGGCAATATCGTCTGGAAAGGCCACGAATGCTGGTGGTGGTAGGTAGTTGTATGCACGCATCAAAAACGGGTGATTTGGGTCTTATATAGCTTCTAGAGGACCCGCGGTCACAGGATGTCGCACTGACTCCCCCATCAGTCTCCGGACGATTACCGCTAAATGGAGTAATCCAAAGTTCTATCCTAACGCATTGTTCTATGCCTTGGTAATCTGGTCCTTGAGCTCCAAGCTGCGCACCATCGGAAAAACCTTAAAATTTCATGGCGTTCTCCACCTCTACCGTAGAGACGGTACTTTGGTAGAGACACTGCTTACTGAGGCCCACATGTACTTCGTACTTCCGTAACGTTCCAGATCTTCTTTGCAGTTTGGCACTCCCGCACAGTCAGCGTACAGGCTATTGTCAGTGTGAGTGGGCTGTCACCCGGTATATCGCCAGAAATTCTTTATTCCAGGTTCGTCCAGGTCTACCCAACTTTCTTTCAAGGGTATGGCCAAGAGAAGGGTCATGTATCGGATTTGGAGCAACTCAGCAGATGGTCCAGCCATCTGATGTGGATATTGAGCGAAGTCCAGGATGCGAGTTTTTTCCGAAAGTCTAGGTAGGACTGTTGAGCCAGGGCCAAGATAGTGAAGCTGGTTCTATTGTACCCATACTTGTCGGCGTTGCTCAAGCGTGCTCCTACTTCTGCTGCTGTCTATTACCGCTGCTTCTCTCGTCCTGGAAATTAGAAACCAATCTCACAAGCAGAAATCATCTCAATACTACCGTTGGTCATCTTGAGAACGCCCGAACCCGATTTTCAACCAGTCAACAACAGTTTACAAATGAGAAGAATTCAGTCAGAAGCTTGACCGGAGAGAGCTACCCTGACACCGTTGTTCGCACTTACTGGGACTACGACGACAACTTCCTGCACCAAAACTTTACAATCGCGACAGAGTATCGGAAGCAAACGTTTCCTGGCGTGTAGAACAGACTTTGCGTTGCTATCCCACATCGGCCCTGACAGACAAAAACTGTGTTCTTTAGGGTGACGGCATCGTCACCCTGAAGGATGAAGTCAAACATTTGGATCTGATCCCATCTGCGCGTTCTTTCCACGATTCTTTCGAGAACAACTATCTTTTGGCTGATTCCCATCAGCTCCACTGTCTTGTAAGCCGGACTTCATTGAGACAGTGAGCTGCAACTTGCGAAGCTGCTAACTTTGTAATCCAAAACTCCGACAGAGCCAGCTGAGGTTGCTTATCAGCAATGCCCACGGAGATCCAACCTTTTCGTTTTCCGACCAGGTATACTACCACACGATGCACTGTGTCGATATCGTCCGCCAGCAGATCATTTGTCATGCCGACAGCACGCTGGTCTATAAGCGACCGCGGGACAAGTATCCCGGCAACGGCGGCATGCGCGTGCGCAATGAATTTGACGCTCTCACTCACAAGACCAAAGATCACGCGTCTCAGTGGCTCCTCGGAAATGTGAAAATCATGCCAGGCAATGTTGGTTAATCAACTCTACCGATCGCCGGACGTGGGTTGCCAGGAGTCGATCTGAATGCGTAAAAGCGTCCCATGTCCCCGGTTCAAATCACTTTACAATATCAAGGTTACGATGGCAGACGTGTACAATGTACATTTCTGAACCGACATCTACTTCTACTAGGATTAATTCAAGGAGTCTATCCTTGTTTCCCTATAAGTAGCATTGCCAAGGTTACTAAGGAAAGTCTGCTGTTGGTGTTGCTGAATAAAAAATCTAAAAAGAAAAGACAGAGTACGACAGCATAAATGAAGTTGACATCAAAACTCCCAATTGCCAAAAAAACGATATTTCTCTAGAAGGCATCATCACTTATCGTCTCCTAGAGACCAAAGAAGGGACGAAAACACTCTTAATTGTAACTTGACTTGACAAGTGAAGCTAAATCTCGTTCTTGTCTTTCCTTAGCACCAAAATTTCCCTATGCTTGCTTTTTGTAATTAGGTGAGACTTCCGCCATCTGTCTCTGATGCTCCCCCTTATCAATCATATCCTTGAGGACTTCATCGGCCACTTTCATAGCCTGAACGCCGGCTGGTGCACCACAGTATACTGTCGCCTGGAGGATCGCTTCGCGAATTTCGAGCTCGGTAAGCCCGTTTCTGATAGCACCCCGTATATGGATACCGAACTCGGCCCAGCTCTTGAGAGCAATAAGCATGCCGATGTCTGATTTGCTGTCAGACAACATTTTATCGCATCATTCAGTGATGATAGACCCTGTCTACCCTAGGAAAACTTACTCAGAAGGCTTCTCTGCTTGCGTTCTAAGCCTGGGCGTGACCATATGTTTCCCCAAGCCCATCTAACAATTATCAGTCAGAACAGCAGATATGGTTCCAGTCTGTGCATCCAACTCTGAGAGAAGGTTGATATTTCTTACTCTGTGATCAGTTCTTGCTGAGCATAGGCAAACTCGCTGGAGCCATTGCGCATAGCGGTCTCAACGTAAGCTTCTCCGACCACTTCCCGACGGTTTTGGAGACCGGCCTCGAAAAGCTCGGCGCGCAGCTTCTTGCTGTTCTCGGATGTCATTTTGCTGTAGATGATGTGATTCAAGCAGTAGTAGTGAGGCGAGGAGGGTCAATCATAAGACAATACGAGGGCGACTTTCTTTATGTTGTTTCCTAAGGAATGCACCGGCCATCCGCATTCGGCAGAGGCTTTAGCCGACTGAGGGGTCATCTGCTAGCTGAAAGCCAACGACTATGGCTGGTAGCGCGATTTCAATCCGGAACCGGGACGTCAAAATATACCCCGCTGCAAACCCGATGTCCCGCGGTAATTAGGTATCCCGATATCCCGTTGCAACGCCTGATATTCCGATTATGTGGTCTTACAGCAGAAATCGAGGATGACGAAAAAAACCCTCCCCACCAGTAGAAACAAATGCAAGATGACGCCTTCTTGATTTCTTTCTGTTTCGTGTTTCGTGTTTTTGTTTATTTTGATTGTCTTGGTTTTCTTTTTCCACCCATTTTGATGTTATGGAGTATGTTGTTGCAAAGATGTCATTGGACCTGGAACGGATGCTGAGCTTACAGACGCATTCAATCTAGGCACCTATATTTCGTGCAATTGAAGCCAAGTTTTTCGGTAGCATTCGAGTGCTCAATATTCCCACAAAGCGAACCTCAAGCAAATACCCTTCTTCTTCAGTAAAAGCACGCCTTATTTGAGGATTAAGGAAACAGCAGTCGTGTCCCTGTATGTTAATGCAAAGCTTCGAAGAGCGCACCTGTTTGTACCGCGGAAAGCGCAACCAGCGTTGGAAAACGTCGCATCGAGGTACCGCACCCGTGCAGCACAAGAGGCAAAAACATACCTTAAAATGTTTATCTGGAGTCACTGATGCCTTTTCTAACTCCATTGATAGTGGGCAAGTAGTAGATGGGCTCCCTAGAGGCTTCATACATCAAATTATTGTTTGACCCAAATACTGTCTGTATAGAATTTGTAAAACTAGCACGTCAGCTCTGCTTACTCCATTAGTAGAGACTGTTGACACTGAATCCAAAGGTGGGCGTTGAGTAAAGATCGGGACTCATCATAAGCTCCAATATTCAAATGGACCTCAATTGGGGCTATTGTCAGAGTTCACTGTGCCAGAGCGGCGGGTCAAAAGCAAACCCTAAAATGCTATGTTGCGATTTCATTCCCTGTGCCGCGTATCCGCAGTGGATGTTTGAAAGGCAGGCAGCTTTGAGTGATGGGTCGGATTCGGGGCAGAACCGGGTTACAGGTGGTCACTGGGTCATTGGCGCCCTTTCTGCTACATGGGACGCCTTTGGGTGTTCATCAGCCCATGTCAGCAACGCCCTTGTACTCACCTTCCTGAAACAGCACATACAAATTTCCATTTGAGTTATTTAAAGGTGTTGAAAGCCCATATTCAATATTATTACGTTTCTACTCAATATAATAAGGAAAGACCTCAAATCGACACCATTGGGCCCGTTCGGAAACAGCTCCTTCAAAACTAGAATGGCCAATGTCAACCCACTCAGCTTCCGCGTTGCGACGTTGGAAGATGCGCCGCAACTTCAGCAACTCGTGCAAGCCGCCTTTCGCGCAGAAGACAGCCGGGCAGACTGGACGGCGGACATGGAACTCGGAAGGTCGTTTGAGTATTCCGTTGAGGAAGCTTTGACAACCATTAAGAATCCCGAAGCAGCAATCATCATGGCAATCGACCAGAACGGCGTCCTCGTAGGATCTGTTCAAACCATCAAGCGAAACGCCGACCTTGCTCGTCTCGCCATGCTTTCCGTGGACCCGAACCAGCAGCGGGGGGGCATCGGGCGCCAGGTCCTCGCCTTTGCCGAAGAGTATGCCCGGCAATGGGGGGTGAAGACTTTCGGATTGAATGCGCTTTCGTCGCGCGAGAAGCTCATTGAGTGGTATGAGCGCTGTGGATACAAGAAGTCTGGCGAGACTTCTCCGTTCCCAGTTGATCGGTTCCCTCAACTGGATTTGCCAAAGGACTTGTGTTTTGTTGAGTTGGAGAAGGATGCTGTGACTGGAAAGTCGTGATTTGAGAAGATTGAGACTCGGATAAGACGAGGTCCTGAGCATCATGCGTACATATGGTGCAGAAAACACCGAGCACACGCGCTGAGAGACTATGTGGAAATACGAGAGACAAGGAACAACTGGTATGTACAATTTCAGCGTCTTTACACCAGCTCAGAGCTGACCCGCAACTATCCTTTCTTAGCTTATCAAAAAGTTCAGCCGCTGACCCGAGAAGGATCGTTGATTGTGACACCTAGATCTCGAAATTGTCTAAAGAGCAGATAAAGTTTCAGAGTCTATATAGATCGATGCCACAGACTTGTTAGTTTCCTCGTGCAAAGAAACCACTGACATCTGCGGCTGAACCGACCCCAATTATTGGGGAACTTGCTTTTGTGAAACACTTGGCTGATTGCTCAGTGTCCCGCAGTGTTCTACTCAAGGCACCGGTGACTACACCGTTATCACGGGATTGAAATGAGACATACACAGAGCCATAGAGATATAGAGTGGATTGATACCAATAGGAGGAGTTAAAGCTAATAGAGACTAGTTATCTGGCTGAGTTGAGACGTGAAATCCAAGAATATCACTTTTGAGACCAGGAACCAGTCCAGTCATTCCTCAAGCGCAAGCGAACCCCTTTTCCTCTGCCTTCTTAATCTCTGGACCAAGCGCCTCGACGTTGCACAGACCATCGTCCTCGCCCTCCAGAACAAAATTAAGCATCCTTCGGAGGAGTGCGGTCATGATCTCTCCTAATCGGTCACCGTCAATAGTACCCAAGGTCGCGTTTTTCACGGCTTGGAACTCCAAGGGTAAGCTTTGTACAGTCGGCAGCAAAGGCGCATCGAAGTATGCCAGGTGCGTAGTACCCTCGACGGAGAGCCTCAAGGACGGACCACGGAGGTTCGGCCAAGCCACGACCCAGGAAGGCGTGTACTCGTCCGTGGCTGGCGTGCCGACCAGAACCACTGGCTTTTCTGTGCCTTTGGCAACCACGTCTCCGATGATGTGGCCGTCGTAATTTAAGCATCCGAGAACGCGGTCGTCAGCGTATGCCGTTGCAACCGCAGTGGCGCCCCCAAAAGAGTGGCCGACTGCTACGATGCGGTTTGAATCGATGGCAGCATTCGTGCCGGCCAAGAGTGGACCGGTTACGGAGGAACTCGTGAATTGATCGATGACAAAAATCATGTCTTCTTGGCGAGCCTGCCAATACTCAGGTTAAGGAGAGGAATACTCAACATCAGCATCCCCCTTTTAAAGGACTTACTTTGATCAAGAGGTTGACGTAATTCTCATCGTTGTTTGTGGGGTCCTGCACATATGCCACAGCTCCATCAGGGAATTCGACTACAGCCGCGTCGTAGGTGTGGTCCGGGGCAACGACGATGTACCCGTAGCTGGCAAAGGATCTCGCCAGGACACTATACGCCGATCGGACGGCTGCGCGGCCATGAGAGAAGACTACGAGCGGGTACTTGGTCTTGGATGTGCATGTTGCCCCCGTGCTGCAGAATTCGATCTCAAGCCCTTGGAAGACAGTGTCGGGTAAGCCAAGCTGTTTTGTCATCTGACCGATAACCGTTGCTGTCAGAGGCGGAATGTAAGGGACGGTATCAACGGTGCAGCTGGCATCCTTCTTGATCGGTACGAAGACGGAGACCAGCAGGCGTCTCTTCTCGGGCTGGTCTGCCGGAGCGAATGGGTCCCATCGTTTCTCGTCTACGAATGTGTGCGTCTTCAATGCCACTGAATAGGGGCCGGAAGGTCCAGGGATGACAGCTGCCATAGCTAAAGAGACTAGTGAGACGAACAACAAGAGTAACATTAGATGTAATCAATAGAGCATATGAAGGCTAGTACATTGTCCAAGGACGCAGCTGCATGTGGTCTCTTCATAGCCAACACTCTCCAAGGTCCCCCGCATTTTATACGAAAGCTAATGCGATATTCAGTTCAAGTTGTAGACTATTTAGTAATTGATCCGCCTTAGAGTAAGCAAAAGTTCATCCTGGGTAAGCACTTGGCAGGCGGCCGGTGCGGGGATCCAGTGTGCCCGCGTCCCCCGCAAAGTCCCGAAACCCCAATCAGGTCGATTGCAGTAGCATCACCTGACGCAGAAACCAGCGCTGAAGGCAGTGATTCGGGAGAATCCTTCTGCAGTTTCTTACTTTTGAGAATGTGCCTGAGACCTACATCTGCATCAGAATCCTGACGGGAGGGGTGTCATTTTTACGCTGTGACTCAAGGCGGTGTTTTGGCATCTCAATGATGATCAGGTGGCAGAACAGAACCACATGGTATCCAGCAGGATATGCACGTTGATGACACGGTTTGGGATTCATATTGCTATGTTATTTGGATCAAGTCTTCTGATGATCCTGAGGGTCGTGTACTAACCTGAACCGATGTGACATCTTTCAGAGTCAATCTGACAAGACTTGTCAAAAGCAACATTGACCTGCGAGAGAAATATTTATCAGCCAGATCTCAGATCAACATACAGATTGAGGATTATGCCATAAGTCTTACAATCTAGTTTCTCGCTGGACGTGTCGAGAGCAGCTCGACGAGAAAGCTACTTCTATTGTAGAAGGTCGCGAGACGTGAACAACACCAAGAGTGGAATCCAACGGCGAACTCATACTAGACACTCCCCATAAAGCTTTTGAGTCATGGATCAAAAGTGTCTTACCTACCGTGTGGTTTTCAATGCCAGCCTGATCCCCTGGAAGCATGTCGTATTACCCGCGCCCTTTTCATAAGCTTACAGGCCAATCTGATACCAGAAGTCACACCGCACGATACAAGTATGGAATGGTATTTCCAACTGGCTCAATCTAGAGCGCGAACGCGTAAAGTCATCTTGGGTCGGACATCTAAGCCTAAGCAAGCCAAAGTTACTCAGAAGATGCTGCCTTCCCACCAAGCATGTAAGCCAACTGAATCCCCGGCCTCCTAGAGCTTCTGAAATAGGCTCCCGGTTGTCGGTTGAAAAGTTTCGAACCACGCTAGAACGCGAATGCCCCCAAGGCAAGTTCGTCCCATGTGCTCGCGCACCAGGACCCTTCACAGTCGCGGGTTTCAAAAGCCTCTCGCTCACACTCGCTACACACCGCTTTTTTCATTCGTACGAGAAGCCCTCGGTATTACTGAGCGGAGAAAGAGGTTCTCTGCGGGACGCGGGACGAGCGGTCAACTACTAATACAGCATCGCTTCCCGTGCTCCAGACCCGCGGGCGGGAGGCTACTCTTGAGCAAAGCGAAATACTAGACTTCCATCCATGTAGAAATACATTAATTATGCGGACTTGGTTGGCGTCGAAAGAACGACACACGACTAAGTACGACAGCAAGTTGCGAGGCGTGCGACTTGCTTGGCACCAACCCTTCTACTTGTCCCCGAATACGCATGCCAAACTGTCATGGTGCTCCTACATCAAAGCCCACAAAAACTGCAAAATTCATTAAAAGAAGCATGTACAGCTACATTACATACTTGAACCCTTGAGGACCATTAACCATGTTTTGCGGCCGTGAGTCTTTGGCATCAGGTCGATTCTAATTCACCGCATCAAACATGACTACCGGAAGTTGACGCGCCCATGTGTGCGTTGAGAAACGGTAGCGCAGACCGCGTTGTCAGGGTGTCGCAACACACGATGCCGGCCCGGCCCGCTCTGGTTGGACTTGATCACCAAAACGTGGGACGTTGGGAAGAAATCTTGTGCGGGTCACAGGGGCGAACCTGGTCAATAACCCGTAATGCACATGCCTGAGACATCAACGAGTCACGCATCTTGATACGAACGTTGAATGAAGAGAATTAGACTTCGGTCGTCAAACGTGAATACATAAGCCCATCTGCAGACATACTAGACTACAACAGGTATCTCAAAGCGCCAAGGCTAGAGACTCATTTTTCTCATAACAGGAACTTTTTGCACAGTTTTAATCTCATCTAAAGACGGCTCGGCACACTACCAGCGCCGCTCTTGAGATCGAAGCGGTCCAGGTTCATGACCTTGTTCCAAGTAGTGACAAAGTCCTTGACAAACTTCTGTCCAGCATCAGCCTGGGCGTAGACCTCGGCCACAGCACGGAGCTCGGCGTGGGAGCCGAAGATGAGATCGACACGGCTGGCGGTGTACTTCTTGCTGCCTGACTTGCGGTCGTAGCCCTCGTACACGTCCTCGTTGTTGGTGGCCTTCCACTCGTTGCCCATGTCGAGCAGGTTGACAAAGAAGTCGTTGGTCAGGGCACCAGGGCGGTTGGTGAAGACACCGGATGACGAGCCGTCGTAGTTGGTGTTCAGCACGCGCAGACCACCGAGCAGAACGGTAAGCTCGGGGGCGGTGAGAGTGAGCAAGTGCGCGCGGTCGACGAGGTAGTGCTCCGTCTTCGCACGCTCGGTGGACTTGCCGTAGCTACGGAAGCCGTCGGCCAAGGGCTGGAGGTGGTCGACAGACTCAATGTCAGTCTGCTCCTGGGTGGCATCACCACGGCCGGGCGTGAAGGGAACGGTGATATCGTAACCAGCGTTCTTCGCGGCTTGCTCGATACCGGCAGCACCGGCCAAGACGATGAGGTCGGCCAGCGAGATCTTCTTGCCGCCACTCGCGGAGCTGTTGAACTTCTGCTGGACGCCCTCAAGAGCCTTGAGGACCTCGGCAAGCTGCTTAGGGTTGTTGACTTCCCAGTCCTTCTGGGGTGCCAGGCGGATGCGGGCGCCATTGGCACCACCACGCTTGTCGCTACCACGGAAGGTAGACGCTGAAGCCCAAGCAGTAGAGATGAACTTGGAAGGGTCGATGCCCGTGCCGAGAATCTCCTTCTTCAAAGAAGCAGCATCCTGCTCGTTGACGAGAGGGTGGTTGGGGGCGGGAATGGGATCCTGCCAGATGAAGTCCTCGGAAGGAACTTCGGGACCGACGTAGCGGGATCGCGGGCCCATGTCACGGTGCGTCAGCTTGAACCAAGCCTTGGCAAAAGCGTCGGCGAACTGATCCGGGTTCTCGAGGAAGCGTCTCGAGATCTTCTCGTACTCGGGGTCAAAGCGCAGCGACAAGTCGGTAGTCAGCATGGTAGGCAGGTGCTTCTTGTTGGGGTCGTAGGCGTCGGGGATGATGGGCTCGGCGTTCTTCGCCACCCACTGGTTTGCGCCAGCAGGGCTCTTGGTGAGCTCCCAGTCAAACTTGAAGAGATACTCGAAGTACTTGTTGCTCCACTTGGTGGGCGTAGCGGTCCAGGTAACCTCGAGACCACTGGTGATGGTATCGGGGCCCTTTCCAGAGCCGTGCTTGTTCTTCCAACCAAGACCCTGCTGCTCGAGACCAGCGGCCTCAGGCTCGGGGCCGACGTTGCTGTCGGGGGCAGCGCCGTGGGTCTTGCCGAAAGAATGACCACCCGCAATGAGGGCGACAGTCTCCTCGTCGTTCATGGCCATGCGGCCAAAGGTGACGCGGATGTCTCTGGCGGCAGCAACAGGATCAGGGTTGCCGTCGGGACCCTCCGGGTTCACGTAGATGAGACCCATGTGAGCAGCACCAAGCGGTGACTCGAGTTCGCGGGAGTGGATATCAGACTTAGACTTGGTCTTCTCAGAGCCATCCAGAACGCCTGATTCGGCCTTGCCTCTGTGTCCGTGGGCATAGCGAACGTCATTGCCCAGCCATGTGGTTTCGCCACCCCAGTAGACCGACTCGTCGGCCTCCCAGGTGTCGGGGCGACCACCGGAGAAGCCAGCAGTCTGGAAGCCCATGGACTCGAGAGCGACATTGCCGGTCAGGATCATGAGATCAGCCCAGGAGATCTTGTTGCCATACTTCTGCTTGATGGGCCACAAAAGGCGGCGGGCCTTGTCGAGACTGACGTTGTCCGGCCAGCTGTTGAGGGGGGCGAAACGTTGCTGGCCCTGTGAGAGAGTAAGGCGATTAGAGCTTGTTTCATGCAATGGGAATAAGGCAAGCCGAACGTACCTCACCACCACCACCACGTCCGTCGTGGACACGGTAGGTGCCGGCGCTGTGCCACGCCATACGGATGAAGAAACCGCCGTAGTGACCAAAGTCGGCGGGCCACCACTCCTGGGAGTCGGTCATCAAGGCCGTGAGGTCCTTCTTGATGCCCTCGTAGTCGAGGCCCTTGAAGGCGGAGGCATAGTCAAAGTCGCCGCCGAGCGGGTTGGTGACAGGCGTGTGCTGGCGGAGGATGTTGAGCCTCAGCGAGTTGGGCCACCAGTCGCGGTTCTTGGTGCCGCCACCACCGGTGTTCATGGTCCGGATGAAGGGGCACTTATCTTCGGCCATGGTGTCTGATTATCTATTCTCCTTGGAGTTGGATAGCCTTGGAATGTATGTATGTAAGTAATTGGCGGCTCTTTCTTTCAAGGGTCGTCAATCTTTCAAGTCGTGGAGGGAGAGAAGGAGTGTAAAAGCAAGACGAAAAAGAGTTCACTCGCAGGAGCCCTCGGCAGCAGGAAGGAGGCGACCCCGCGTTTTATGCCATGACCTCCTCCCCCCAACCCCGACCCCTCATAGACTGCATGACCAATGGCCAGAATCTTGTTGGCGGTTGGAGGGGGTGTACATCGTACCTAGTGTGTGATCGAGGGCCGAGAGTACATAGTAAGAACCACTGTGCGCTCCCATCTTTTTCCGAATAATGCTGCACTAACGTGTGACAACAAGAGCTATGCCGGACTGATCGTGGATGGGTGGGTGGGTGGGGGTCGGAACCAGAGTACGTACTACTGTGTATGGCAGTAGGTGGACGGCGTTCAGGGTAGACCGGGGGGGCGATATGACAAATGATGGGAGGCGACGAGCGCGTGGTGTTCTCAGGGTCCTTTGGACGTGTTCGAGAACGCAGGCGAAACAAACGAGCTAGCGGTTTTTTGTCTTGTTGCCCCCCCGCCCGTTCAAAGAAAGCAATCTGCCCGCTACCCAGAAAGAAAGACGCGACGACGCCGCCTCGAATTCCCCAAGGCGGGCGGTCCAGTTGTGTGGCCAAAGTCGATGAAGCCTCGGGTCTGGTATCGTGGTGTCGGGGGATCGGGCAGCCAAGGCTCTTGTCGCCATGACGCGGACATTCAGATGATTTCGAGGAGACCCTAGCAGAGTTCGGAGGGGTTACCACTTTGGTGTGCTAGCTTCACAGTCTCAACAAGATGCAACAGTACCGTGAACTTGCGTGACCAGCTTGGAACAAGCAGCTGCGCTTTGGACGGGGTCATGTTTCCATTGGCAAGCAGAAGCAAAAGACAGAGGGGGAGGGGCCGAGTCCAAATGCCGTGTGCGGGGAGCACCCATCGATCCATGTGCCCAGAGTGCTGGACAGGAGAGGTGAGAAGTGAGGGAGAGAGAGCCCGGCCCGGGGGGGAGGCGGCGGCGGCAGCAGTTCTGCAGATGGACAGCAACAGAGTGCGCGTCCAATTGAAACAGATGGGATACTATGTAAGCAGCGGTCGCCATGTGGGAGCGAGTGCGGTGCGTTGCGTTGCGTTGCGTTGCGGGCGACCAGTGGCATCAAACCCCTGCGGAACTGAGCGTGCGCTGTGTGTTTCCGCTCGTTCCGAGCCGGCATATGCTCCATTTGCTCCATCTGGGCCTGCTCCATCTGCTCGCTCCATTTCCATGCAATTGAACCGCATGTAACGCGACCAACGCTGCTGCCCTGTGTCTCGTCCTTCTCCAGTGGCGTGTCTTGTTGCAGCTTCTGTCATATTAAAATGCGCCATCCTCCATTGGTCGGGACGGCCCCGCAGCCAATCCTTTCCTCGGCTGTTTCTTCTGAAGGAGCTGCTTTACCTCCCCCCGCGGGCCCTCTACCTGTACTTACCACCTCCACACACACGCGTGAACCGCACCGTGTCCTGCTATATATACGCGACTGCATGAGAACCGACAAGGGTGTAGCTTCTTACAAAATGCACAACGTCATCTAACCCCACTTTCCATCGTCCACTGCCTTGCACTGCAGAAGTCGAGGCCAGGCTCTGTCCACTCAACCAACCGACGCTGACTTGAAACAGCAAACCGCCGCAACAGACTGCATCTCAGAGAAATGCATACCAGTAGTACGGTATGTACTATGCTTGTGTAGGAAGTGTGACCACTATGACTAGAGTCGCCGGTTTTCGGCGGTCTAATAGTGTTGATAACTAGTACCTAGTGTGACCAAGACGAAGCCCTTGATGTCCCGGTTAGCGATGTCCCACCACTTCCAATCTGGAACATCGACTCGCAGAGTAAACAGTTTCTCGCACAAGTCATTCTCTTCTTCCAAGCATCAGTATCATCAGCTTCGCGCTGGATTGGACGCGAATCTCCTGCCCCTTCCAACTTTTGCGCTCTTGGGATCGCTGCTGGCCCATGCCCCGCCCGAGCTTCCCCCACAGTCTTGGCAATTTTGGCAACTCCGGGATTCGAGCGAAACATCGCCGACCCAGATTTCTCTCCATCCCTGCGTGTCTTGATCTTCGATCTCAAATTCCGCCTCTACTGTATTGACTGCGGCTCGTACACGTGTCGGCCCCGTCTTTTGTTGGATGCTTTATCTCATCGATTCTTGGATTTCAAATCGAAAGGCTTGTCGAACTCTTCAGCCGGCTGCCGTTGGTTCGGGTGCGGGCTCGGATATCTGCTCGCACACAAAGGTCTCTCCGATGTTCATGACTCTTCAACGGCACCTAAATCTCGCCACCAGCCAAGGTTAAGGGCGACATCGGCACCGTCATTGGCGCCATTCTTCTTCTCTATGCACTATGCACACGTCTGAATCGGGTAAGCTCTGGATGCCATGGCTGCTGTCAATCTATGTCGGCCCGAACTCCTATCACAAAGTACTGGAGAAGATACCCACCCCTAGCAAGACTCTGATCTGACTACACGCATTAGCCATCGATGAGGGTAAGTTCCTAGGAGCAAGATACGCGATCATATCAGGCCCACAAGTACGGTTGCACAATCAAGAGTCAATCCAAATTTCTATACGAAAAGAACAACCTGGTAGATCTTTTTAACATTGATAGCCTTGAAGTTGCAGCTAGCTTGGAGGAATAAAATAGCCTATAGCACCAGGCCATCAGTTTTTGCACAGCAAGAAGAATAACCCAATCAACATTTATAGAGGGGCCCCGTTAGCCTGGGATCACTTCACAGTGCACCGCCAAAGTCCTGTTTCTCAACACCCCACTGTAGCTATTGATTGGGTTTCCCTCTTTACCACGCAAAAATTTATGGACTAATGACCTGGTCCTGTACACTTCCACTCGCTCTCCTTTCCTCCATCGATGACTCAGTGATAGGTTGCTGAGCGCCTTCAAGAACCGAATGGAGAAACATGGTGGAGTATCAATGACAATGCCCTACCAGACAATTACAAATCATACTACACAGAACTCAGCCCTTACGGGCACCTAGAAGCTCCCGGCGAACTGGATCCGGCTAAGGATAGCCGCAAGGCATGGGCTTCCTCATGCTCGATTACAGGGGTTGAAGGGTCGAGGCTCTCAGCTCCAAAGGAAGCAACCTGATGGAAATTGGGTGGAGATAGTGGAGACTATACCCGTCACACGCATAACAAGTTCTGCAAGTGATCTGGCATAGGTTGCTTCCTTGATTTCGAAATACAACTTGTTGGACATGTACAGAAGCATACTAACCGAAACCGGGTAACCATTTTACGACATGGATAAAGACTAGCCGTTTTATGAATCATCGGAACAGTTGTCCGATGAGTTAAGAGGTGAAAGATGCGATAATACTTTGGATAGATTAGGGAACTACATCTGATTCGGGAAAGATCTGATCCAAATGCACATCGAAACCTCTATAGAGTTCGGCCTCATTCAAAAGATATGCCAAGGCTCAAAGTCGAAACCTTAAGCTATCTCTATTGTTTTTGCTTGGAAGGTTCTTGATCTCTATCAACATTATGTTGACCTAGAGATTTAATTATTCATCTTTGAAGTAATCCTACAGACCAAAATATGACCACCTTGTGGCTTCAACACGTTCGAGTGACACGGGGGACAAGTCAGTTGCAGATTCCACTGGTAAGACGAATTGTATGTCGCAAGGTTGATAGAAAGGAGTGCTGGCAGTGACGGTCATCATTGGTTTCACATTGATCATGATTGAGTTGACACGTATGGCTTTCTACGGTTGTATCGGCTTTTTTCTGAAGCTGTCCAAGACGTTGCTGGTAACATAAAGATCTGATTTCCCTTCATGAATCATATACCACCTATAATTCGAATAGTAATAACCCATAGACATGGTTGTGATGAAGCTGAACGATGCACAGCCCACTGTCAGCATGGGTTGACTGTTTCGTTAGTAAAGGGCGAAGGAGACTTTGTTCATTTCTGACCTCCTTATCTTTGCGAGCTGAGAAAGGTCCTTCCGTACCTGAGCACCAGTGCCTAAATGATCCTTACAAGGCCCAGGGAACTGTAGATAAACCTTGTAGCACCCGTACTTAAAAGTGATTGTGTTGGCCTCATCACAGAGGAGCTGAAGTCTTATCCACACTGGCCCCATGACGACGCTTCCGCTTCCGCCACATGATGATCCCAGCGATCATTACCATCGCAGCCGCAGCTACGTTGCACGAGTTAGAACCGCTCTTGAGGCTTATCTCAAGGCACTCTGGTTATTTCATACCTAAGCTGCCCAAAACGCTTAAGGCTATCACACCACTTCCTGTGGTGAAAGCAATACCTCGGCTGGAGTCAACTGCTGAGGGCTCCGGCTTTCTTGAACCACCGCTGGCTGTGTCCCTTGGAGGAGAACTTGATACAGCAGTTGCGGTGACTGTAGCTGTTTGAGACTCTAAAATTGTAGTTGAAGGGACTGTGGTGGTTCGAGGAACGTATGACTGAGTAGAGGTACTGGTGGCTGAAAGGGTAGAGGTTGTGCTTGTAATTGTTATTGTAGAAGTTGGGGAGCGTGGAATAGGTGTAGCAGGGGGTGTCTCACGGGGCGAAGACGGTGCCGAGGTTGTTGAGCTGGTGGCACGCGCGAAAGGTGGAATAGAAAGATTCGTTATGACCAGAGGCCTTTTCGGTGTTAGGGGGCCTGGTGGAGTGTTTGGCTCGTCCCGCTTGAGGTATTGAGGGATGCCAAGGCTCAACTTCAGAGGGGGTGGCCCTCGCCGCGCTAACGATAGACCAACCATCCCGTTCTGGAATCTTTCATTCCCTAAGCCTTCACCAGCACCGGTTAGCTCATGGTTCCAGAAAGGCGGGAGACTATGAGCCAAGACTTACATATCTATGCCAAGAGTTGGGCCTTCGGCTCGGGTGTATGGTGGAGAGAAGACACCGCCTGATAAACCTGTGGTGGCATACGTCCAAGTGCACCCATCGGCAACGTCTGAAAACTTTGCTTCTATTAAGTAGCCGGTTGACAATACACTGCGAGGCTTGGCAATGGAAACCGCCGTCCCTAGCGCCAAAGGTTGCCAAACATAGACCCTCATGCGCACAGTGGGCTGAGTCTTCAAGTCAGAGCCTGTCACAACGGACATCGGCTCTTGTTGCGCACATGAGGCGGTGCCTATTCTTGGCATGCCGGGGCTTATGAAAGGTGGAAGGGTGGACGATCTGCCTTGACATGATACAAGGTCAAAAAAAAGAAAAAACGTTTTGACTCAGGCCAATGTCCCCGGGTCGGTTTCATGCTTACTCAAGGCAGACCAGTCACGGCACGATCCGAGCAGGCTTGACCCGAACTTTATTGCTTAAGGCTGAATCCAATCGCCCACTGAACGCGCGGTTCATGGGGGTCAATTATTTCGCTGAAATCATAGGCACTTCTTTATAGGGTTTACCAGGCTGTTCTTAGTGTATTTGCCCATCGTATGACGTGAGCGCCATACCGCCGCCTGGGAGGGCTGCGTGGAATAAGCTGCGACGTGGTATTTGGTTTTGATTACGGCTCTGTTCCGTCTTGGTTGAAGTTAAGATGGAGCAGTCCGTGCATGCTTGCCCAAGGCCATGGCTAAATATACTCGTCTAACTCTTCACGTCTTTTTTTTCTTTTCCAAATGCCATGCAATCGTCAACTGACGAAACGCCAAAACATCGGCGACGCTCCTGAAAATGGCTCCTAACAGTCGGCCACCGCCTCAGCGGCTTCAGAGCTTGAGCCGTACTCTTTCCTTGGCGGCAGTGGGTGGTCTGCAGCTCTTGACGAGCGACTCGGATCTCTCTCAGGGCAGCCGCCACGACGAATACATATCCCCTACCCGAACTGCCTCCAGGAGCCGAACGATTTCCTACTACAGCAGTCCGAGCGCAAGAAGCGCCACATCCTCGGAGGGGTTCTTCGCTAGGTCGTCGACCTTGCCATCAATATTGGAGAGCGAAAGGAGCCATGACGCCGGATTCCGCAATCCCTTTCCCTATCCAGGCCTGCAACTGCAACCTTCCAACAAGAGTCGGAACCCCTTTGACGACTCTTACGCTGCTGAATTGAACGCCCAGTCAACAGTTGAACCGCCTTATCATGTGTTTTCGAAGAGACGAAAGTGGTTCATCATCGTCATTATTGGTGCTGCTGGGTTATTCTCGGGACTTTCATCCAATATCTACTTTCCAGCGCTGGACACTATCTCAGAAGTAGGCTCTCCAAGCTGTCCAAGTGTGCAATGGAAAAATATTGACGAGCTCGTTAGGATCTTCGAGTTAGCCCTCAGATGGTGTCCCTGACGATCACGTCCTATCTTGCCATTCAAGGCATCTCACCCTTGCTCTGGGGGTCGATATCAGACGCCCTGGGCAGAAGGCCCATCTATATGGCCTCATTTGCAGTCTACATCATCGCCAACATTGGCCTCAGCTTTTCGCCAAACTTTGCCGTTCTCCTCATCTTTAGAGGCTTACAAGCAGCCGGAAGCGCTTCAACTGTTAGCATTGGTGAGTTGAAGATTGCAACTCTGTTAGTGAATTGGTCGTAACCTCATCTCATAGGCAATGGCGTCATTCAGGATATCTCTCCTCCCGTGGAAAGGGGAGCTTTTGTCAGTTTCTACCAAGCAAGTAAGTTGCAAAGCCCCAAGGGTCATGTCATTCGGTGTCATTGTTGGCTAACTTGGAGCTTACCTCAGTCCGGAACTTCAGCATCGCCATCGGACCCGTGCTTGGTGGATTGCTCGCAAGTTTTCTTGGTTTCCGGTCCATTTTTGTCTTTCTCTTGATTCTATCGTCCATGGTCATACTGGTCATTATCACGTTTCTACCCGAGACCATGCGGGCTATCGCTGGAAACGGATCCCTCCGACTAGAAGGCGTCTATAAGCCGCTGATTCTATATATTACGAAAGAGCCAGACTACTTAGAGAATCCCGAAGACCCGTATCGACAGAAGGAAATTACACTAATGACCTTTGTTGAGCCACTGAGGTTGCTCGTTCAGAAAGACATTCTCGTCAATCTCCTCTTCGGCGGTGTGGTGTACACCGTATGGAGCATGGTGACGTCAAGCACGACGGGTCTTTTCAAGCAGCGATTTAACCTCAACGAACTCGAGATTGGTCTTGCCTTTCTACCTAATGGTAAGTTTAATTCAGCCCAACAGCAATAGTTCCACTGCTTACATACACATCAAGGTTTCGGAACAATCATTGGTTCCGCCATTGCCGGCAAGTTGATGACACGAGACTATCTTTCCGCAGAGGAGGCGTATAAAATATCGCACAAATACGGTACTACCGAATGTTTCACAGGTGGCAACTTACCTGCCGACTTTCCCATAGAACGGGCTCGCCTACGGCGGCTGCCATGGATTGCCCTCATATTCGTCGTCGCCACCGCCGGCTATGGCATGTCTCTCAACTTTTCCTCCTTAGACTCACGCAGGGGCTGGATTGCCTTACCTCTGGCCCTGCAATTCTTGATCGCCGCCGCAAGCAACGCTGTGTTTGCTCTGAACCAAACCCTCGTCACCGACTTATGTCCTGGAAAGGGTGCCAGCGCCACGGCCATCAACAACCTCGTTCGATGTGGACTCGGTGCTATTGGTGTTGGGCTTATAGACATATTTTTAGAAATGACCGGACCTGGCGCTACGTTTTTGGGCCTGGCACTGGTTACAGTTGCAGTTAGCCCTCTAGCGGTAATACATTGGTACTGGGGTCAAGGTTGGAGGGCGAAGAGAATGAGAGCGAATGAGATGGCGAGATCCAAGAGCGCAGTGGATAGCTAGATTTATATCAGGCTCGCCTGAAAGAAACAGCAAGTAGAACAACATGTTAATCTCAAAATAGAGGCCGCCAACATTTCTTTGGGCTGTTAGACAGAATGATATCCTGTCTGCATGCCGAAGCACGCTTATGTAGTGTATGCACGTGTTTGGGCTTACGAAGCCGTGCCCGGGAGATCTGGGATACAGTTTTAGGTACCCTCGCCATGGCAGCAAGATGTGCTTGTAGCGGTACAGATCATAAAAACCCCCAAGGCGGTCATCACTGTCAGTTCGGATAGTACTACCTATTGATGGTACATGTAAGGGTACAGTTGCAGAGAGTGTCAGGCCTATAATCGGGACGGACCTAGCCATCCAACCCTTTTAACATCAATATTATATTCATTGACCCCTTGCGGCGCGACAATGTCGCAAGTCAGGATGGTAGAAAAGAAACCAAGGGTAAGGGTAATCCATCAAGCAAAAACACGTAAGCATATGAACGCGATGATAACCTGTAATAAGTGCTGATGAATGCTACCGAGCCAGAAGGATGGAAAAATCCGAAATAAACAAACAGTAGTGACGATGATGTGAATTTTACAAGTTTGTTCACAGCGCCTAGTTGTATGATTCCCCAAAAAGCCGTCTTCTCCTCAATCTCTCCCAAGACACCTGGTCTAAAAAATGGAGAAGCTTACCTAGTAGCGTCATAGAAAAACGTCCGACAATCCCGATGTGGATTGTGGCTAAGTAAACTCACAGCTGGACCTCTCGAAAGCATTAGATTAGAGAAACATTTGAAGGAATTCCTGATCCTGCCATCAGGTAACAGTAAACGTTGGCTAGACAATTGCTATTGGGATCGTTTTATGGCTCATCATTTTGAACACGAGAACGAGTATCTCGTTGAAGCCCATAATGAATGGAAAGCATCAAAGTATCAAATCGGAGCATCCGACCCGGTCAGCTACTTGGCTTTCAGTCATGTGCTCACTATTGAGCAAGGTAACTTGAGGCCAAATGTATGAGATTTTCAGCCTTTTTACAACTGATTTAAAAGTATGCTTCATGGCCTGACGTTGAATATTCTGATCATCACTTGCGTGGGCGAAGCTGGGGCTAGACAAAATCGTTTCAGTCTTCGATATCTTGCTTGTGACCCGTCGGCTCTGGCTCTTGTCATGCCTAAGATCTTATCTCCAGTGCGATGTATCTACCTATTACCATTTTGATACAGACATCAAGGCCCTCGCGGGTTTCTGACCGAGGTCCAAGTCGCGTGTGTGAAGTCGTTGCCTGTACGCCAGGACTGGCCACGACCGCCGGTATGTGCGACTAAAACCAGACCATTGGCATAGTTGTACATGCTACAAGATTTCGACATAAGTACGGCCATAGGCTCAAAAAAATTAGCACTGTGGATATTCTGCAGCAAACGGGGGCGCGCTGCTGAACGGCATTCGCTGCTCGCCGCGCTGCGGTCCTTCGGCACAGTCTTGGCTGCTCCGACAGTGGCAAACACGTTGGGCCACTAAATCTAATGATCGCTTGAACCGCTTAGCATGTTCAAGTTTCGGGCCACTATTGCAGGTTATGTCAACGCTGGCTCGGCTCTGTAACTGCAGGGTTCGTCATATAACCGGGCAGTTCTTCTTATAGCTTGTTTGTGGGTCTTGTTCTCCTCAAATTCTGTGAACAAGTTGTGCGCAGCAAATAGTCTCCCACAAAATCTAATGCCATGGGGCCTAGGTTGGAGTCCAGTAGTGTTAGGCCTACAGCCAGTACATTCATCAGTTATGAGTTCAATTTCAAGTCATAGTAGCCCAGTTCAACACTTGTGTTTTACGCAAGGCGTTGTGTGGTTGTGCCATATGGGTCTCTAAACTTTTGTGTAATACTATTGGCTATCCACCTATCCTTAGCATAGGCAACGAGGCGGAATTACGTTGCAGATCACACACTCAACAGTGCTCCGGCACCGATGAGTTCACAGCAAAACGAACCGAGTCATTAAGTTTGTCTCGACTGAATGATGCATAAAACTTCGCGAACATCGAAGAGCAGTGATGTCTTCGGCCGGGAAAGAACAAGAAGGGGGTTCGGCTTTGGCCCTTTCCCGACTGACATCATTCCCGAGACCAGCGACCTGGCAATAGACTTCGGCTTCCCGATATCGCATACCCGAGCGGGGTTTATCTTATCTGCCAGCTCCAACGAGGCACGACTACAGCAATCAATTATCCCGCGGAAAAGACTTGTATAAAAGTGCTATTCAGCTGGTGAATGTTGAATACAACTGACTAAAGAATTGGAAAGCACTACGAAGAAGAAACGAAGTGTAAGTGAGGAAATCAACAATCAGAAATGGCAGCGAAACCTTGCTCGCCTGCCGGAACGTACCTCTCAATGTCTAGAATCGACCAGCAACTGAACAAATACATTGGAAAGTATGTCGCAGAAAATGAAAAGTCGCGCCAAGTCAACAAAGACGCCTCGCAATCGCTGCCGGGAGGGACTACCAGATCTGTTCTATACTACCAACCTTTCCCGCTGGCTTTCTCAGGAGGTCACGAATGCCATCTGACGTCGGTGGACGGCCACGAGTACCTTGACCTCGTGTCTGAATACTGCGCCGGCATGTTCGGTCACTCACATCCAGACATCATCGCTGCCGTCGAAAGCGTCACAAAAGCTGGCTTCACGCTGGGTGGGCCGACGCCGAAGGAGGGTGAACTGGGGATGCTACTAGTTGAGAGGTTCCCCAGCATCGACGCTGTCAGGTTCTGTAACTCGGGAACGGAGGCCAACACAATGGCGATTGCTACGGCTTTGCATTTCAACGGCCGGAAAAAGGCAAGTAAGCGGCACATACGAGTGTGATGTGCACCTGTTTGGAACGAGTCAATAGTAACACATGGTTGATTGACAGGTTCTAGTTTGTGAGAATGGATATCACGGCGGTACTCTTTCCTTTTCAAGCGGAAACCCGCTCATTCTCCCTCATGACTTTGTTTACGGTCGATACAATGACATTGACTTCACTCGACGTATAATCACCGACGATATCGGCGTTATTATTGTAGAGCCGATGCAAGGTGCAGCCGGAATGATTGCAGGGTCGAAAGAGTTCTTACAATTCCTCAAAGACGAGTCGACTCGAACCGGCGCCGTCCTCATTTTTGACGAGGTCATCACATCACGACTCAAATACGGCGGGCTTCAAGAGCATTTCGGCATTACACCTGATATGACGACCATTGGAAAACATTTCGGCGGAGGATTCTCGTTTGGTGCTTTCGGTGGCCGCAAGGAAATCATGGACTTGTATGACCCGGAGTCACCGCGAAGTCTCTTCCATTCGGGAACGTGGAACAACAACGTATTTTCGATGACTGCGGGCATCGCTGCGACAAAGCTCCTATCAAAAGAGGCTATCGAGAGAAACAACGAGCTAGGCGACAAACTTCGTAACGATCTTGCCGCGGCTTTTGCATCAAGAAATGCATCGATTGTCACACTCACTGGTTTCGGAAGTGTGATTGGCGTGCATTTCAACGGAGCGCTGGCAGACAAATTGCGGGACCTATTTTTCTTCTACCTCCTCGATAAGAGGATTTACGTTGGCCGTCGGGGTTTCCTTGCCTTGAATCTCACACATGGAGAGGATCACATTAGTCGTGTACTCGACACTGTCAAAGAGTTCTGCGCTGAGATTCTGTGAAAGTCAGGATACTTGGCATGCGGCCTGTTAGTTGCACTGCTTGAGAAGTGAGGTGCGGCAACACAATAGCAGAAGTGTCCAAAACATAGATCTCCGCCTAGCAACTGAAATCAATAGGAGATGCTATTGCACAAGTCTAGCCCGCTTCGTCGTCCCCAGAAAGAGACATAATTGTCCCCCTTGCGATCCAAGACTTCATGCGTTATCCAACTCCTTGTCATGAAGCTCAGACAGGAAGGTTGATAAACGCGCAGGATCAATCTGGCTTGGCAAACCCGAAATTAACGTTGTCATTATCTGTTGCCAGCCTCCATATGGGTGAACCTCAAAGGCCCCGGACCCCTGTTTATCGGGGTAGATCAGCCTATCGCGCGGGGTAAACAACACCGGCGCGGCGGCCAGCGACCGTGCTTTTCATTAAAGAGTCTCCATTGTCCAATCGATCAATTCCATCTCTGCTCTCTCACGCTATCGCCATTCATTCTTTGCACCCAGCTGCCAAGCGACTCGACGTGCCAACAATTCCTTTTCAACGCGTCTGGTGTCACCTCCGAAACCGCCGCCCACCATGCCGGATCTCGGCCTCCGCCTCGCCCCACTCCTCCTCGGCCTTCTCTCCGGGCACGTCCTCGCGCAGTCTTCCCCCGGGTTCCCCATGGTCATCAACACTTGGGGAGGCGCGTTTACCGCCGCTACCGACGCCGCGTATCAAGCTCTCATCAAGCCGGGTACCTCGGCCCTCGATGCTGTCGAGATCGGCTGTGCAACCTGTGAGGCCAACCAGTGCGACGGCAGCGTCGGTTTCGGTGGCTCACCAGATGAGCATTGTGAGACAACCCTAGATGCTATGATCATGGACGGCGTGACCATGAAGTCCGGGTCAGTTGCCGCGCTCCGTCGCGTAAAGAATGCGATTGGCGTGGCTCGACACGTCCTAGAGTACACCTCGCACACCATGTTGGCTGGCGACCTGGCGACAGAGTTTGCCATTGAGAACGGTTTCCCAGCGGAGAATCTCACGACAGAGGCATCGGCTGCAAGGTGCGCCGAGTGGCGGCTCAATAACTGCCAGTCCAACTACAGGCAAAATGTCACGCCTAATCCCAAGTCGGCTTGTGGCCCGTACACGCCCATTGAGCTTGACTCAAGCTCCTCAGAGTATTTTGACCTTATCGCTCCAAACTCAGCCCAGGCGTCTCACGACACCATTTCAATGATGGCATTAGACGCCAATGGCGTCATGGCAGCAGGAACCTCGACCAATGGTGCTTCGTTCAAGGTGCCTGGGCGTGTTGGTGATGGTCCGATTACCGGGTCCGGCTCCTATGTCGACGGAGATGTCGGTGCCTGCGGCGCAACTGGTGATGGCGACATCATGATGCGGTTTCTACCTTGTTACCAGGCTGTCGAGAGTATGAGACGAGGAATGAGTCCCCAAGAGGCTGCGAGGGATGCCGTGGTACGCATGGTGAAGAAATACCCTGCCGTGTCAAGTGGTATTGTGGTTGTCAACAACAAGGGAGAACACGGGGGAGCGGGGTCTGGATGGACTTTCACGTATGCGTACAGGGGCGGCAAGATGAACGCTACCGAGGTTGTAACTGTGCCGCCTGTGTGCGTCAGTCGTTCTCTGAACAATGCAGAGCTGAAGTAGTTAGGTGCATCCCGCAGTATCAATATCAAGATAGACAAGATCCGACCTTAGTAGATTTTCTCGGTTTCCAGTACTCATTTGCCGCTCAACATGTCGCCTTGTGTTTCCGTGTACACTGACATCTCTAGAATGCAATATCTCTGGCCGGGTGAATCAGACCCAGGGTTCAAAGACGTCAAAGCAAGGTTGTCTATCACCATTGTGGGGTCTCAGCACACCATTGCTTCACCTACCATTGAGGACCCCAACCAACATTCAGATCAACCAATCGGCCTTCTTCAGTCCCAGACTATTATGTCGTTTCACCGATACCGCGTCTCCTTACCCCCGGGTCTGGGCTTTTCTTTCACTTGTTCTCGACTATCTTGAGCCCCTCGAATGTACACTTGACTAATTTGGTCATGCGCCGAGACTCGTTGCGAGATCACGACGATAGCCAATTACCTTCTTGCACCCATTTAGATATTGCGCAATGGCGGACAACTTCCCGGGATGAATAATACTGACGGAGATATTGTCAGCGGTGCGAATATTAGTCTCTCGTGCGCCATATAAAATGTATCTACCTATGCGTCTACTTATGCACCTCGATTTGAAACGACCGTGTTTCAACTGTATAATAATCCAGTCACTTGAAAACATGACATCTCGTTTGAAAGCATCTGTTCCGAGAGATAAATGGTGGCAATGGAGATGGTTCTCTCCTGAGGATACCAAGGAAGAGAGACGATTGATTACGAAGATTGATCTCCTCTTGGTGCCCTACTCAGTCCTCGGTATGTTTAGATTCGAAATTGGGGGAAATTAGGTTGCTCAAGCTAATGAACTCTTTTTTCAAGGGTATTGGGTCAAGTATGTCGATCAATCCAATCTGAACAATGCCTATGTCGCCGGCCTAAAGGAAGACCTTGGCTTCTATGGCAACGAACTCGTCCAGCTCCAAACTTTGTTCACTCTAGGATCGGTCCTAGGCCAGATACCATTTCTGTAAGACCCAAAGCCGCAGCGTTACGGACCACAATCTGATTCAAGATCAAGCTTCATCATGACATATGTCCCCATTCAGTATCTCATTCCATTCTGCGACATTATGTGGGGAGTATTCACGCTGCTGCAGTATCGTGTCAACTCCTACGGCGAATTGGCTGCGTATAGATTCATGGTCGGCTGGTTTGAAGCTGCATTTTTTCCAGCGATGCATTACGTCTTTGGTATGTCAAATATTCTTACCTTACTGCAGCTTCTCACTAACGAGACTCCAGGCTCCTGGTATCGAGGTCATGAAATTGCTCGCCGTGGTGGTATATTCTATACTGGTCTAGCAGCTGGTACTTTAACCGCTGGTCTCATCCAGGCCGGGGCATCTAGTTCACTAGAGGGTGTTCATGGTAAGGGTATCATGTCCTCAACAATGCTAAAAGTCTGTGGCTAACCGTACGCCACAGGCATGGAAGGCTGGCGCTGGATGTACATAATCTGCGCCATTATTACAATCCCCGTCGGCATCTTTGGGTTTTTCGTTATTCCAGGCACCATCGATCAACCCAACCGATGGTGTGTCAACGATAGAGACATTGATACCGCACGCGACCGTCTTGAAAAGCACGGCCACGTACTACACGGGAAGATGAAATTTAGCCACATTACAAGAACCTTGCTAGGTTTTCGCTTCTGGCTTGTCATTACGACCGACGTTCTTTTCTGGAACGCCGGCATTCACAAGAACACTGGTTCTTACTTACTCTGGATCAAAAGCCTTGGACGATACAGCGCGGCAAAGATAAACGAAATGGGAACCATTGCACCCGCACTAGGCATAGCCTACACACTTATTGCATGTTTCGCCTCGGATATGTTTCTAGGCCCAGCTTGGGCCATTACGATTTGCTCGGCTCTCAATGCTCTTGGGCTTATTTTCCTGACCATATGGACAGTCCCTGAAGGTGGCCTATGGTTCGGGTTTGCGACCATGTATTGGTCCAACGCCTTGTCTTCCATCTTCCACGGATGGGTCAACAATCTACTACGGGACAGTCCTGAGGAACGCAGCTTTACTCTTGTGCTGATCAACCTGCTTTCACAGAGCTCGACTGCTTGGACACCGCTGCTCACCTTCCCTACAGTGGAGTCTCCCAGGTATAGAAAAGGCTTTTCGTTCTGCCTGGGATGCGCGGTTGCTTTGATCATCTTCACCTGGATCATGCATTACTACTTGAAGAGAGACAAGAGCCAAGACATCTGCTCTACCGACGAGGAAACAAACAATCGCCACAGCAGTGGCGCGACAAATTCTCTTGAAGGCCATGCCAAGAAAGCGGATAATAGCAATACTGGGGAGAAAACCATTTACGGAGGCGAAAGAGAAACGCAAGCACGTGACGACGAAAGCAGGGCACTCTGAACTCACGGACTATTAAAATACGTCAACTTGGTCTTTGTGTGTCTGCGACTATGTTTGAAAAGGCCTAGAGAACCATCCACGGATAGCTAGGGGCAGCAATTGAAGCAGACAGTTTTAATGAAGTGTTTGATTAGGCTGGGCCATGAAGTTATCAAGCACCCGCTATGACACATGATGTACTAATAGTTGAGCTCACCAAATCAAAATATCTTTAGAATTGAACCATAATCCACTTATATACAACTCGACTTTGTTTCTGACAGTTTCGTATCTTGGCCTTCTTGTTTCCAACCATTGAGTGGCAAGAGATACTAAAGGTTTTGCAACGTTTTAATACCTCGATCCTCAAAATCTTCGTGGCTGTTTCCAAGCAAGCACCCACAAACGTTTAGTAAACAGGGACCTTGAAAGCGGGAAAAGTGTAGGTCCAGCTGTCAATAGACTTCTCATCGTTGACGCAGTTGAATTCCGAGCTGTTGCCGCGCCACAGCGGACGAGTGGGCCACTGGCAGAGCATCTGGGTCTCGCCAGCATTGACGTTGGTAGAAGAAGAGACGGTGGCGTTAAGGCGGCTAGGCTTGTTCCCATTTTCAACCCAATCAATCATGGTGTCCATATTGTTTTGGGGGTAGGGGCCAGGCTGGAGGCTATTAGTACCGCAGTGACCGGCACCAGGGACCAGGTAGAGCTGGTACCAGTCCTCGAGGGATCTGAGAGCCTCCTCATCGGAAGAATTAGGATACATGACGGAGCGAACGGATTGCCAGTAGTGAACAGAGGACCCGGCAGGGATGCTGGAGTCAGACTCGCCATGGTAGTGTAGAAGCTTGCCACCCGAGGTTTGGAAGGGTGTTAGGTCAGGAAGGGTGGTTTGGAGGCTATCCATGTAACGGATCATGCCAGTGTTCATCCAGTCAACGAGAGTGTCGTAAGTGACGTTATTGAGGTCGGACAAATTGTCGAGATCGAGGAGCTGGACGAACTTTGTGACGTATTCGCCGCCTGTAGATGGAATGCTGAGCTCCCAAGCATCAGTCTCGGAGTTGTAGGTCGTGGAAGCGTCACCGAGCTCGGAACCGATCTGCCAAGACAGGTAGGCACGCTGACCCTCGGCATTGAAGACACCGTCGTAGATAGCTTGAGCAACAGCGACTCCCTGCTCAGATACAGTGCCATTTTGGGCGGGCTGGTAGCTGGTGGTGCTGCCCTGGGCTTGTCTCTTGTTGAAACCGAACCCAAGGGAAGTGCTGTTCTTCTCGGCACAGTAGTAAGACTCCCCAATAATTGACTTCAGGTCGAACTGGAGCTTGCAAAGATCAGTGCGAGATATAACACCATCGACGCGTCCGTCGAGACCGTCGCAGGCGGCAATGGTGGAGTTGACGATTTTGGCTAACTCGCAAGGAGGAGGATAGTAGTTTTGAGTGTGCTCAACGGCAGACGAATAGACGTGAAGAACTTGTTGCTGGGCAAACCGGAAAGCGGGAGCGCCTGCAATGACTCCGTCATATTCCTCGCCCCAGCGCTGAACCTGGCTCATACCCTCGCGGCCACCGTCAGAACATCCCTCATAGTAGGTGTAGACCTTGTCGTCGGCGGCCAAGCTGTAGAAGCCTTTGGTGATGGCTTTGCCGACCTGGGTCATCTCACCCAGAGCCTGGTACCCGAACATATGGGTGGCGTCCCAGTTAATGGAGCCGTTGCCGTAAAGAACAACCTCATCATAGCTGTTGATGAATGCATCATAGCCGGCATCGGTGGCACCTCCTGCAGCGCCATAAGATAGACCGCCGGTGGCATCGCTGGATAGTGAGAAGCCGCCTCCTCCGGCTACGTAGAATCGACTCTTGAAGTCATCGGGGCTCGGAAGGGCATACTTGACAACGACGACATCACCCTTGCCAGTATGGGTGTATTGGACCGTGACGTTGCAGTAGGTGTATGTTGTGCCGGAGCTATTGCCGGAGTTCATCATGCCTCCGCCAGTGGTGGCATTGTAAACTGGGAAGGCGGTGACGGTCGAAGGAAGAAGGTCGATTCCGAGAAGAGTACCGTTGGAAGGCAAAGCGTTCTGAACATTCTCAACAGTGCAGACATCGGTAAGAGAAGATGTGCTGGCTCTGACCGCCAAAGCACGTAGAGCCGCTTTGGAGTAACGAGACATGTCGGGTGTGCGGATGGACTGTTATAGGAATTAAGCGAGTGAAAATGAGGAACAAATAGTTTAGGCGAGTGACAGTGCTGATTTCTTCTGGTAAGAAAAGAAAAGTGCTCAGATATGGACGCTTATATAAGTGTTTTTCTTAGCAGCACAAGTATTCATCACCCCTTTTCACACATGGATTCGATCACAGTGTAGCTACGTACATGAGCAAAAAGTTGCCCCACATGTGATCTATCTGTACGCCTCATAGCGTCGAGGCGCAGTTTACGAACGAGAGCTAGAACTTTCGCATTAACCCCAGCTTGCTAGGCTTTAAAATGGGACCCGTAAACTGGGGTCCTGAACTAGCTTCAATTTGACGAGCAAGACTGTTATAGGGCTGGCATTTCGGACGAACCTCGTCATGTGGGAAACTAACTCCCGATACTTGGGTAGTCTTTTGGTTCATCCAATGATGTACTTTGCCCTTCCACTATGATGCCGCGTCACTGAAATCCTTGATAATCTTTTTTTAGAGAAATATATTGTGACGCGTTATCTGCATGATTTAGAGTGATTATTAGTGATCACGGCGGAAAACTCCGTTTGCAGTCCTTGACTTGAGATTACGTTCAGTTTTTATATACAGCTTTAAAGAGGTCTATTCCTCTGCATACATACAGCTCCAGCTATACACATCTAGAGCATCTGTTGTTTAAAGCAACTTGGGATAGCCATGTGCAACCGCTCGTGGAAATCAGTGTGGACATGCTGTAAGTGGTGCATCAAATAGCACCGAAGTGTTGTTCCAGCCAAGAGTTATCACTGACGAATCACAAAATCTCTTTTCCTGGTCTTTGAACTAAATATTAATCTAATCTCCGAGTCGAAGAAAGCTCTCATATTTCCACCTCACCATCTCCTTAACTTCATTTGCGTAACAAGTCTTACTTTCTTTAGGCATACAGCAGCGTAGAGCGAGTAGTGATTGCATACTGTTTAGAAATTTTTTTCGGAAACGCCCACAAGGCTCAGTAATCTGAAAAATCTAACGTTTCGTGGATCAACTGAGCCATCTCGTTGTCCCCAATGCCAGAAAGCTAGATACAGTGGCGGCGGTTCTTAGGCCGGGATCAAGTCGGCTAAAGGATTGTGGGTAGATTGGGCCATAGACTCCACTGCCCCAATACGTTCTTATTAATATCCAGAGCCTAGGCTTGATGATTTATGATTCTGTACAGCGAGTGCGCCGCCTCCTGCTTCTTGTATTGCTATCACTGGTCAATTGGTGTTTATGGGGCAGTTGCGATGGACAATCAGGATTCGGCGCCGATCATGAAGTGGGGCAAGCCCGAGGTACAAGACCAATCAAAATTTAGCTCGTCAACTTCCTATGAAGGAAACAACATACTTACGTAGCAAAAACCTAGGAGGTAGGCGAACAATACCTAAGACTGGGACTATAAAGCAGGTCGTATCCCCAAGTCGAAACAACCAGTCCATCAGAAACGGAAGTAGAGAAGATTCAGTGACGTCTGTTTTGGATAATTAAAGCTTGGACTTCACACAGCTCGTCTTCCTCTAGCAGAAGTGGCTCTGCTGAACTTGCAGCACAGGGGCAATTACGAATAGTAAAATATGGTTTGACAAAATTTCCAAATCTTTTCGTCATCGCACTGTTTTTCATTCCATTCCGAAATCAACCCTCTAGTAACCTACGTTTTGAACCTTTCTCAAACCACCGTTGCTTTGCTTTACTAGGGTCTCTTCGACAATGTATCAATATGGAGAAAGGTTAATTCAAAAGTGAGTGAACTAGATTCTAGATGCTCCTGTCGTAAATAGCCTACCTGAGCGTCAATATCAAGTCTCTTGTGCGCTCGTTTGCCATTAAATATCAAATAGCTATTGCAAAGATTGTCATATTCACGCGCCGAATATTTGCGTAGATATCTCGGTTACCCCTCTTCCCCGAAGTACCTCTAACCAGGGGATGACACCTAAACTAAGCGACAAACGCGTATCACTCATAAAGTAAGCATGCAATGTTTAATGTCTATAAATTCAATGCTAGTTCCAGTCAAATTAAAGCAAACACACTATGGAAGAGACGGGCGTTGATAGCCAGGTCAATTTCCTCAGGACCCAACCGCCTCGAGGCCATAACAACAAATCGATTGGCCAGCCCAATGATTATTCATCGGCACCATATATTTAAAAAGCCTTGATGGCAAGAATGTCTCTGAGCCCCACTTACATAGTTCGCCTGTACCTTCCCCCTTCCCACACACGCACACAATTACACCTGCTTTATGAGACAAAATATGATTGTACCGTCACCCTATTTTACCTATACAGGCGGAAGCGGGTTGATCGCAGACTCACCAAACAGACTCGCCGTGCTTTCGATTGATCATCACCTCGTTTGATGAAAAGTAGGAGGAAGTGCTTGAGTCATGAAGCCCCCATCAACTAGGACGATAAGGACGGTCTCAATGTATGTGCCCACCATACCGGTCGTTCTACCCTTGAGAAAGAGATTAAATCCACTTCAAAACCCCTGTCTGACATATTGCTTGGCAAAGCTTGATTCGATCCTTTGTCATTTATATGCCGTTATTCCGCCCTGTTTGTCCATTCTGAGCCTTTGCTCGTTCGTGACCAACCTGATGTCTCTCCTAATTTGCACAACGAGTCAGTATGTGGCCGTAGGTAAATTTGATAAGGTGTATGCAGCATTTTGTGCTCTTGCTTCGAGTCCAGACGTGACTCGAAAGCGTTCTCGAACAATCTCACATGGTTTGAGTTTTCCTGTAAACGGGTGATCCCGTTACAGAGGATTGAGCGATTCAGTATTAAGAGTGCTCTAGTAGCGCTATGGTGAGCCGGGTGCCCTTGCGACTGTATGACTTTGGTCTTTCACTCTTGTCCACCCCTACCGAGACTATCCACATTTCAAAATTCCCAGGTTCTCTCTGATCGGTCAGCTTTCTGTCACTAAAAATGACCCTGGAGTTTATCAGGACGTGTTTTCCGGACGCAAATGCCGTTGCCTCTTTTTGCAGTAAACACAACGTCAGTAGAGAGACGTTCTATGTTGCCGCGTGGTCTTTCACGTTGAGCGTATATAGCGCGACCCCAGCTGTCACGGCACACGTGGTACGAAGCAGCCAAGACAATGTCCACCAAGCATTCTTTCCGGTATCAGCGACGATCGAGAGTCACATGACGGTCTTGGAGACTTTTCCGGCTTGCCACATCACCCAAGCATGCTCAAGAATTGACTCAGATGAGTTCTTCAGCCAGCCTGTGCGTTCCATCGAATTCCACTGCGGTAGCACTGCGGTGGGATTCGCGCAAAACGAGGCAGCTGGCCTAGATTGTGAAGTCATAGGAGCTATTCAAGCCGTTCTCATGGTGGATAGTGAAGGGCGCGTTCATTTTCAATGTAGGCATATGTATTAGTCGTACTAGTCCGGCCTTTTGATGTCTCTCGCCAGGCTTTACTGTCCGTTTCTAACACATAACAGACTCTCCGTTCTCCATCCCCGCACCCTCAGCAGAAGCATTCCTGGAAACCTTCTTGATAATCGTTAAACGATTCGTAAGCAGCCCTCACGACACAAGTCTGAGCGAACTCGACATCCTCGGCTCACTAAACCGCACGATGTTGGAGGCTTGGAGTCCCTCGCATCTCCCAGCTGTGGAACGCTGCATCCACGAATATGTTGATGAACACGCAAAGAACCACCCTCAGAATCAGGCCGTGGTTGCTACCGAAGGTCCAAATTTCACATACACCCAACTATCGGTTCTCTCAAGTAATCTGGCGGTTTATCTACTCGGACTTGGCGTCAAAAAGGGTGAGGTTGTCCCGATCTTGTTTGATAAGTCTTCACTTGCGGTTCTCGCCATTGTTGCAATTATGAAGGCGGGAAACGTCTATGTCGGTTTCAGCGCTGAGACGCCGCTTCACTTTCTACGAGAATGTTCTTCTATTGCAGATGTTCCGCTCATCATCACGAGCCGACAACACGAGCATCTTGTTGAAAAGATCGGTTGTCGGGCGCTGGTTTTGGACCAAGAACTTCTCAAGACTCTAACGGGCTCGGCAAACATGGATATTTTCTCATCTCCCGCTCGCCCGTCCGATCTGGCTTACCTGGTGTTCACTTCGGGATCTACTGGCGTTCCCAAGGTATGCTCGTGATGGTATTTGACACCTTGAAAAACATTACTAACATTTCAAACACACAAGGCTGTCATGACAGAGCATAGAGCCTACGTTACAGATGCCCTAGCACAACAACGATCTGCCCTCTTAGATGCCAACTCCCGGGTCTTTCACTTCGCCTCATACAACTTCGATGCTACTAACTTCGATGTCCTCAGCACTTTAATTGCCGGCGGCACCATTTGCGTCCCCACTGAGTTCGACCGCATCAACCGAGTCGCTGGGGCCATCAACGACCTTCGAGCCAACTTTCTAGGCGTCACCGCCACCCTCGCACAAACCCTCGATCCAGAGGATGTGCCGCTCCTCAAAGTCGTCATTCTATGCGGTGAAGCCAACAGCACCGAGCTCGTCCATAAGTGGACAAAGCCTGGGACTGGACGCCGGGATGTTATCAACGGCTACGGACCGTCCGAGGCGTCGTGCGCGTTTTCGTATAACGTGTACACGCGTCAATCGTCGCGGGCTAGTAATATTGGGCGTGCCCTAGAGGGAGCGTGCTGGGGATGGGTTGTCAATCCGGATAACCACCGCCAGTTGCTGCCTGTGGGAGCAAAAGGCGAGCTGCTTATTCAGGGGCCGACGCTGAGCAGGATATTTAAACGAGGCAGAAAAGACATCCAAGGCGTTCGTTGAGGGTCCGAGCTGGCTGCCGGTGGGGACGGTGCCTGAGCTGAGAAGACTCTACAAAACAGGAGATCTCGTGCGACAGCTTCCGGATCAGTCTTATGAGGTATTTGGCCGCATTGATACGCAGGTTAAGCTGAATGGGCAACGGATCGAACTTGGTGAAATTGAGCAAAGGATCAGGTCAGTTACCATGCTGAATATGAATCGTTCATGGAAAGTAGCCAACCTAACTTTTCGCCTCGCTTTCAGTCGAATCATCGGGGATGATTACCTCATCGCAGTTGAGGCTTTAAATCTTTCTTTGTATGAGCTAGGGGGTTCTAAACATTTGGTTGCCTTTTATGCCCCGAACATAGGCAGTCATCAGAAAGACAGTGCGGTACTGGATCTCATCGACAGGAGCAAATCTGCAACCATAAACGTCCAGAACGCCAAGACAAAGCTCGCAGACTTTTTGAAAGCCATCGCAATTCCTCAGGCATTCATCCCACTTTGCTTCATGCCCGTCACTATCCAGGGGAAGCTCGACCGAAAGGTTCTCCAGGTTCTTGGCAGCCACCTCGACAGAGCTACGGTGGCTGCGTTCTCCGCTACGTTTCCAACGGCGGGTGGTGATCCGGTCAGGAAGGAATCTGAGAAAATTCTTCAGGATCTGTTTTCTCAATCTCTTAGCTTAAGCAAAGATTTAATCTTCCGCAACTCGAACTTTTTCGCTTTGGGCGGAGATTCCATCAAAGGAATCAGATTGGTGTCTCTGGCGAGAAATTTAGGCTTTCATCTTGCAGTTCCGGTTAGCGGCCGCCTTTCCCTGTGTATCCTGCTCAAGAGACAAACACTGACCATTTAACACGATGCGAATAGGACATACTTCAAACCCCACAACTTTCCCGCCTTGCAGAGTTGATGGAGAAATCCAAGGCAGGACGCAAAGTTGCGTGCGAGTACCGACAGTTCGACGCAATTGCCAACCAAACAACTGGCGATGAAGTCCGGGAAAAGGCAATGCACTATGCGTCTGTAGTGGGTGATGTTGAGGACGTGATCCAAGCCACCGATCTTCAAGCTTCTTGCGTCGCGTTTTCTACTTACAAGGAAGAACGCCGTGGAATCAACTGGCTACTTTGCGATTTTGTATTGCCCCTTGACGAAAGGGTCATCCACCGGATATGCGAGTGCTTGACGACGAGACGTAAGTGCACTTATGGAACGGAAAGGTGTCGCACCTATGCACAAGTATTCTAATCCATCTCAGATGCTACGCTGCGGACGTTTTTCATGGCACACCGACGAGCTTTGTATCAAGTTGTATCGAAATCCTTCCAGCCTCAGAGCAGAACCCACCTAAACCTCAAAGACATTCACGAGACCACAGAATGCCTTATGGAAGACGACCTGCAGAGCAGAGAGGTCGACATGACTCAGCCCCAGACGACGTTCGAGCTGCTGTCCTGCAGCGACGCCACTCGTATCGAGCGACTCATCATTCGCATATCTGCAGCCCAATACGACGGTCACTCAGTCGCCATCCTAGGCCGTGAGATGAATTTCCTTATCAACAATATCGAATATGGCCACGTTCAATTGCGTGAGCTCAATGGTAGCTACCCAGCGTACCTCCACTATGCCCGAGCCATGGAAATCGAACAGGGAATCGAATACTGGCGCTCCCTTCTTGCAGGCGCCGATATGACAGAGATAACAAAACGCAATTCCCCTTCCGGCGACAATCCCTCCAACTTGAACTTCGTTGACGGTGTGCTCGTCAGCACGTTCGAGACTCGGCTCTTGGAGTTAGCCACGATAAACAGCAACACGGCCACGAACAAATTGGCAGCCCGCAGCACCAGAGCCACCATTGCCAAGACAGCGTGGGCTCTCACTCTAGCTGAGCTAACAGGCAGAGACGATGTCGTCTTCGCGTCGACTGGCTGGGGACGCAACAACCCCGTGGAGTTTGCCCAAGACGTGATGGGCTCCTGCACTTCCCACATACCCACACGTGCGCAGCTCAAACCCTACACTGGCGACCACAGCCCACAGTCGACGTATGGCGAGCTGGTCGAACAACTGCAGGCCCAACACATTGCGTCCATGCGGTTCGAGAATGTTGGGGCCACTACCATTGTGGAGAAATGCACGCCGTGGAGACGGTGGACGCGCTTTTCGTCACTGCTCATCTTCCAGGGGTTGGATATTGAGACGTCGCAACAAGCTAGCCACGGCAATAATGAACCAGAGGACGCTGCTGCCGTGGTCAAGCTTACGGAGATCATGGACCCTGGCGATCGCGCGGATATCATCGTACACGTAGAGCCGTTTGGCAAGCAAACGCGGGTGATGGTGGCGTTTGCAAAGAAAAGTGTGCCCGAGGACGTGGCCGGCATAATGTTGCGGAAGTTTAAGCAATATTTGGAGTTGACTACGCAGCGCACAAATCAACCCATTGACCTGGGGGATCGCAACTCATGTCCAGTACTTCCAATCATCTGCAAGATCGCGGACGCAAAGGGGACGGAAGAACAGAGCGTGAGTGACAGGTTATGCGAGAAAGCAAAGGCTATTGTGAAGGAGGTATGGACTGATATTCTAGACGTGGAGACTCACAAGGTTAGGGAAAACGAGTCATTCTTTGAAATTTGGGGCAATCCAGTGTCTGCAGCGGCCCTTGCCCACGATTACAGAAAGAAAGGCCTTGGTGTCTCAACCGAAGACGTTTTACGGAATCAGACTGTGAAGGAACAGATTGCAATGATCTCGTCGATAATTGGAGCATAATAGTCGATAAATTTCTGTGAAAGATACATAGACACATAATACAATCTTAGCTCCGATTCCTGTTCAGTTCGAAGCCTTTTTGCCATTACAAGTGACTTCGCAGTAAGATCTAGCTTTACAAGGCTATAGCAGAACCGTTTCAGCTTCTGCGGTCTTGGTGATCCGACTTGCAGGGCTGAAATGAATATCGTTCATTTTAAATACCGTGGTCAAAATCTTTCGATTTGAATGAAGCGAAGTCTCGGATTTATATGATCACCTGGGTTCCGCTGTTTGCGTTCTTTGGTTTACTGTATTCTATAGCATTTTTGGCTATTGCTTATGCCTGGTGCAGCCATATATGTGCCATGATACTATAGCCTCAACCAAGATTTTCCAAATAAGCAGCGTAGTCCCATTTCTTGCCGTCTCTCCAGAACCCTTCCACAACAGGTGGCCGAGGGGTCTTGCCCTTCACAGAAACCTCGTTTAACCAACTCCAGTATGTCGTTGACTTCCAGCCCTCCCTCTTCCACTCATTGATGTCTTTATCGGGTTGCTTGTTGAAGACAGGGAGGACATCTAGTAAACTCGCATCATGAGCAATGCAAACCATGATGTTGTCTTTGACATCCAGGTCTCGCATCTTTGATACCGAGTCTGCTGCTAGATCAATGTCCGTGTATACTGGGTGCTTCCCGCCTTGGGGGAGCTGGTACCACGGCGTACCCCGAGCCGATTCGTCGTCTTTTGCGTTAGGATGATATGGCGTAAAGAAAGAGCAAGGGCACGCTGCCTTGGAAACCCAGTCCGAGCGTCTAGTGATAGCCGAAGCCGGAATGCCTTCTGGAAGCGGGGTGTCTACAGTTGGCCGGAAGACGCCTGCGAAGTGACAGATGTCGCCACCGAGGAAGATGAAGGTCGCTCCACCCGAAGATGAAGATGGTTTAGTCCTCGCAAGGGCGCAGATGTGCTCTGGTTGATGTCCAGGGGCTTCGAGGAGATAGAGGGAGCCGTCACCAAAGAAGTCTTGAGCCTTGAACTTGCCCACTGTGAGACCGCTGTCAAATTCTGCCTCTTTCAGCGTTCGGTCTTCAAACTCGGGGCCGCCTGTGGATCGTCTCGTCCACCCGGCCTGCCCTTCGATGAGAAGTATCCAGGGCCTGTGACCAAGGTCGTCGACTTGGGGAAGACGGACACGTCTCCCCGGTGGTCGAAGTGTGCATGAGACCAAATGCAGTAGTCATTAATGCGAGTCAGCAAAAGACGACACGGTTATTCACTAATATCTTACCAATACTCTTGGGATCGATGTCTCCATCTCTCAAGACCTCATCAATGCCTTTTTCGACACTCATCCCGAAGATGACACTATCGGGACCCAGCACACCTTGTTGAGCGGCCTTCGGCAGGTTCCAATAGTCTTTGCGGACTCCAAGATCAAACAGTGCTTTCTTTCCGAGTCTTTCGTTTTCGAGGAGGAAGGCTAAAGAGCAGAAGTTGATGACTTCGTGCCCTGGTACAACCGGCTGGACGAAGGACTCAGCCGTGCCGACCATGGCAGTCGTCGTGTCAATCAGCTTAACGCGCACAACATTGTCTGAATCTGGTATATTGGCCATTTTGTGGTGCTCCTCGCTAAGGAACCTGAAAAGAGGAGGCGGTTTTTGGGAAGAGAACAAAAGAAGTTGCTGCTTCGTCGTACGAGAGCCTTGAGAGCGGCACGGACTTAACGTCATCACTGATCACCAAGTGGAGTTTGCTTCTCCACTTCCCCAGGTTCCGTCCCAATTCTTGAAATCTTGATACCTCATTGGCAGCCCGAGAGTTTTGGGAAAACCATATCCGAAAGGTGGCACAGCCGCACAATAGCGGCTCAAGCCACAAGCCAATTTGATCCGGCACACAATAGCTTAGCGACTTGGAAACGGTAATTCTCTATTTATGTTGTACAACGCCATACAGAGTCGAGATCTTCAAGCTCGCCTCTAAACGCCCGCGCGCCCATTAAATGCTAGCTCTAGTTAAGGAGGATATCATACCCGTCTCCTGTAATGCGAACTTCTTCGTTGCCCAAACCATACTTGCGTCGAACCAATTCAAAAATGATCAATCCAGCGCTCGTGCTGGGAACCTGACGGATCGTATTCCACCAGAAACCACGCCACAGCCATTTCCTCACGCCCAGTCCTTCCTTTGCAGCCTCGGCACAGCATTCCGACCACGTCTCCTTGTATGCTCGGTAGTATGCCCTGAACATTCTCCACCCGTCTCGTCGCTGGCCCGGGTTCGCTCCTCGAAGTTCTCTCAGCTTGGCTGCCTTGGCGTCAAGTTCTTCGAGGCGGTCCCAGTGCTCGACTTGTACGTGTGTCAACGGGTGAAGAACGATTTGTTGAGCAAAGGAGGCGCTAAGACCGCCGAGTAGCAGAAACAAGGGTTCAATGGCGTAGTGAGGCCGAATAATTAATGGTTGGTTGTCGTCTCTGTCGGATCTGTCCTTCTTAGGCGGTCGCTTCTGGGCTAGGAAGTCGACAATATGTTCTTCCAGCCCACCATAGTACCAGGATACGAAGCGGTAGTACCCTTGGGCCTTCACATACTCGAAGACACTGAAAAATATTGCAGCACCAAAGCTATCCTTCATAAGGGACAGGCCCCAGCCAGCAAATATGCCGCGCATGCCAATCTCTCTCAATTTCTCAGCGCTGAAAGCCCACATGCTTCTCGGCTTCCCGCCTTCGGTAGGAATAAGATCGCGGTGGTCATATCTGGCTTGGATTGCGTCCAAAGGTGCTGCAATAAAACTTTGAAGACTTCCAGCGAGGAGCCCAGCGGTGAAGGTCTGTGTTGGGTGTGGCGGTGGATAGACGGTCTTTCTCGACTTTCCACTCTCCTCATGCAAGCTGCCGAGGATTGTGAGATAGCTGGTGTACAGAACAGCACCAACGCCCACATTTGCAATAAGAGGCGGGAGAACTTGGTTTGGCAGGACGCTCCAGCCATGTTGCTTCACAGCGGAGGTAAGCACGCCCGGAGTGGTGCCTCGCAGGTAGAACCATGCCTGGTGAAGGGTCGCCCTCAGCCTGGATGATGGCTCCCTTGCAGCAGCCTGTGCGAGCAACTCGATCTGGGCCTGGTGTACACTACGTGCATAGGCGAGGTAATCGACGCGGGTTCGAAAGAACGCCTTGACCGGGGCTCGGAAGTAGAATGCAATGGCCTGGGCGCTCAAGGCACGCACACCAGCGGCCGAGGCGGCTGTCGCGGCGTTGCGGCGCGGGTCCTTGTCCGGAAGCTCTGTACCGGGCGGAAGAACAGGGAGTACGCCGGTATACGGATCGTAGATTGTGGTGTCGTCATCACGACGTCGCGTCATTGTTCGTTGATGCTCATCGTCCCCTACATGCGAAGACGTCTTGAGTGAGATTCAAATCGGCAAAACTTGGCGTCGGTTGCGATCGGCACGAGCGGATCCTCGAAGTGCTGACTAAGCACGAGACATTGGCACTGTGGAGAAAGCCGTACTCGATATCTACATAAATGCCAACTGTGTCTGCATAACTCAGCCACCACTATGCTCTTAGTGGAACATGAACTTATATACGGGTTGCAACTTAGTGGTAATCTTGTAGACCTTGTTTTGAACAGATTCAACACAAGCAGAGCCTTGCAATTATATTATGTCATTGAATACTGAGATCGCGTTTTGCTACTTCGAATTGACGCTTATTCGATGTGAAAAGACTTTAGGTCTTTGATAAGGGCAAGACATCTCCGTCCACAGCTGGCTACTTGTTGTGCTAACTCAGTCGCATCAATCCTTAACGACGTGCCAAAGCCTTTTAAGCCTAGCAATTCTTTCGTGGCGAAACGAGCTCTCAGGGCGTATTTCAGAGAATGTGCACGGAAAGTGATTACTTGGACGATGTTCGCAGTCGGCCTATAAACAACGATGAACGAATTATGATGAAGACGACCGATGTAAAAGTGTAAAGATTCGTAATGCATAACAGTTCTGTTCGGTGTTGCAACATGTCAGTTCTCTATGGCTTTCCTCCAAGGCGGAACAGTGTAGTTTTAATAGTCCTTATCGAACTCTGAAAGGTTGTATCTGACTGACCCCCAGGTGAGCTCACACACTGTAGGGCGCTAAAGAAAGCCACCCCACTGCTGCTGCCTGCTGGAGATTTAGGGAAACCCACTGACAACAACGTCGGTTCACCAACCTACTCTGTCGCAGAAACCTCTCATGTTATGGGAAATAATGGAGCTCCTCTCAGAAATAATCGACCAGGTATTTCAGACAATTGCACGAGCTAATACATGCTCCCACCGCCATCCACTGACTGGTCAAGATTCTCTCTGCATTTGTGAATGAATCGCCACTGAAAGGGATCCAGAATTGGCGCATGAACCCTGTGGACTTGTGGGAAGATTTCGCGACTTCTCTTGGCCATCAAGCTCACGGCTTTTGGCATGGAACTCATTACTATGAAACCAAGTTTTACCGAGAAGAACTGAACGATGTCAAGAGCCTGTTGAACTGTCACCTAGTATCCCGGCGGTGAGACGTCTCCGTGTGCAGGTTACTCCGGAAGCACATGTGGTGGACACTTCAGCTCGACGACAAGCATACTTTTGAATGAGCAGTAGAATGTTGTGAAGCCAAAAACGGTGGCCCAATCAGCTGGACTCGAAGTCCGAGTCGGGACGCAATGGACGACTTGCAAACCTTCGATCGCATCTATGCTTATGGCTATGAAAAGTGAATCTGGACATCACTGGCTGGATAAACGAGATACAGCTTTAGGGGCACGTATGCCTTCTTGGCAGAGTTGCCGAAGTTTGCTAACCAATCAGTGGTTCTCCAGGTTCAGGGACTTGGAAATTGAGGACCGTGACGACATTATTTTGAGCCCTTACGTTGACCAGATAAAACTCACTGACGAATGGTCAACGCGGAGTGACTTTGGACTGCACTACGATAAGAGCGACAAGCTTCGTCTTCTCCTTCATCTTTCTGATAAAGTAACGAACACTGAGCGCTTTAGTGTTACTTTTCCCAACACTGAGAGCGATTATGAGCTAGCAGCACAATGCTATGACATGCAAGGCGTCGACGAAGTCATCTCTACTCTTCAACACGGCCTCCAAAGCTCAGCATTCTGTTACCTAGTGGATCTTAGTCTCATTGTTCCGAGTACGTGGCATGTTGGTCAGCTTAGTTGCGTCCTCTCCCAGTGCTCCAAAGATCGTCTGTCTCATCTACGACTGCTTATTGTAGATAAAACGGGACCGAGTGGAAGCGTTCAGCATACCAGGGTTGTTGAAGACAACTACGACGGCGATCTGGCGAGAATTGCAACCTCCGATTACGCGCCTAGCAATTTGCAGGTGGCCATCCTAATAAAGACCACCAGAACCACTTGTGGGCATTTGTGGCATTGTGTCGAAACCTCGAATCGCTCTCCATCGAAGCAACGCACTATCTTCAACTGGAACTTCTCGACTGGAATCCAGCATCGGAATCAAGAGGCTTACCGAATATCTCACTTCGAAGGATACGGGCCAACGTGTCTTCCATCTGCAGACTCATGTCAGCATCTTCGGGGTCGAAGAAGCCCGCCGCCGTTCAGCGTGTGTCTCTGGATGATGTTAAGATCTACGAGAATGGCGGGAACTGGAAGAAGGTATTCGATCACTTGCTGGTTCGATGTTCTGATCTTTAGCTCTTTTGTGTCACGCAGCTTAGCTATTTCACTAGTCATCCGCGTTATGGGCACAATAAAAGGCCGTAGGAGAATAGCAGCACCATTTGGACAGGATATGATGATGAGAGTAACAATGACAGGAGTATTCTTCACGTGGTCGATAGGAAGATGATACACCTACCTGGATCCAGTAGGTATAGTCACCCTGTAATATTGGATGATTATGGTTTCGATGACGAAGTGCAGTAGTCTCGAGTTGTTCAAGATCTAATCTACCTAATTTACAATTCGACCACCGTTAATCTTTTAAAAAACTCCCTTACTTTCGTCTCGTACCATGAGCCTTTATTTACTCCTCTAACTTCTTTCGTCTCACACCCTTTCCTACTTGAAGGAGCAGAAACAAGTCAAGTTAAAGAATCTCATTGAACTTCCAGGTCATTCTTAAACATTATGTTTATATTTCTACTCTAAGCGACCATATGTCTAAGTTGATAGTCGAGCTGGTTTGACCTGAAGATACACAGACTGTTCCTATATTCACAGTTTGCTGGAATCCAAGTTTTGCAAAAAGTCTACCTCTTTGGTCTCGTTAGTCTCTGACTTTCTGCTTGATGATACGGTAGAATTCGTTTTGTTATCTGCATCGCGAGAGTCGAGGGTGTCTGTCTGATTACGCTTTTGTAGTATCTGACGCGGCGACGTATCAGCGTACTGCGACTGCTCTGTCCCGGCCGACGGTGATAGATTCTGAGACGCTCTACGCCATACGCTTTCGGCCGAAGTCTGTATTCCGCCGAAAGCGCCTAAAATCTTCTTAAGTAGTGGGAAAAGTGCAGGAACACTGCCACATATAATCGCTGAGTTGACTTCTATAGCGGACCAGACGCTGCTGTTGAAGTAATCCCCTAAACATGTTAGCTCAAGGAGGTTCCAATTCGACTGATACCTAGAGAAACTTACACGTTGGATCATAACTATGGGAAAAAGTGACCAGATATTTAAGTCGGATGATGCTTGCAATAGTCGCGCTATGACATGCTGTTAGCTCTTCCGTCTTCAGACCTGGATAAGCTTCCCTAAGTTCCTTACAATGATCCCAATCCGAAAAGAAATACCAGAGCCAACTTCTTCTTCAGTCCCAATTGGAGCTTCATTAGATCTGGAATTGGCATGACGATGAGAAAGACATCTTCTAAGATAGCAGTAGCCGCACCCGCATAGCTGATTGCTGTTAAGTCGAGACAGCGGCCATTGATCGATCGATCCCACACTGATTGAATTGGGACACACTGAAATATAACCAAAAACAAGAATATAGTAGCATGAGAAATCAATAATGCAAGAAACATGTTGGCGGCGAAACGGAAACGCGGGTAGCAGAAGATTCGGGAATAAAAGGTGCAAATCGAGGCTTTCGCGCTGACACTGGGTGTTCTGATCAGCTACCAGGCGAAGAAGTTGGAAGGAGAAGACGTACAGGATCATAACATAAGTCATCTGAGATACATAGAACAACTTTATGGACTGGTCAGTAATTACTCAGACGGACAAGTGAGTGTCTTTCAAACCTGCAAGATCGTCTTTCCATTGCTTGGGTCAATGTCCCAATAGTGAAGTCCAAAGCCTAGTCGAGAGTCTGGTAGAGGGTTAGATCATCACAAGTATGGGAACAAAAGACCATTTTTTGTGGAACATCTTACTTATGTTATTAATAACACATGTTACCAGGAGAAAGAACTACTTGTGATTAGCTAGGATCTTTGCCATGCGGCAGAACCCGAGAAGACTTACCACAGCCATCAACGCAGTCCAGTCGTCCCACCACAGTGTTTTGGCGATAATTAACCTTGAAAGACACCTCAAAAGGACTATCAAAAATGTAATAACGGGTAGTGCGATGGCAGGAATTCTGATCAAGTGTCGGCGATCCTGGATTGGATATCCACGACAAAGATCCTGGGATCTTACGGCGGAAGCTGGAGAAACAATTCGCGTCAGTAAACTGTGCTTCACGACACCCTCTTTCATATTTGAATGGAAATTCTCCTACGTACCCAATTGATCTGCATATACACATGATGTTTGAACGCATCGTGACATGTTGGCTCGAAGGGTGGTGTTTGTGCACACGCAGTTCGCTGCTTCCGTAAGAGAACAACCTGCGCCCAAGAATCCGTCGACGATACATGGAACCTAGACTGAAAGTCAGTATGTTGCTGTCGATAAGCTCATTATCAATGAGCTGGAGACGCATTGCAAGCGGCAAGAAGCGGACGATAGGCCCGGCCAATTGACTTTGAATCCGCGAAGACATGCAACAATGGTAACGGTCTGGACCAGACTCACGGCGCATGTTGGTGTCTTTGAAAGTATCGCTGACGGCGATGTTGAGTTGGTGACCTCCGCCCTAGTTTTCAAAGCCGTCGCCAACAAGAGGTACGTTGCGAAACCTCGCATCGGTTTCTTCATCTTGGGAGGAAGTGAAAATGGAGGCTTGTTTCGATAATTGGGAATGCTTCAAGCAAGAAGAAGCCCTTTGGAAGATGAAAAGTTTAAGGGATAGCCGCATCGGCTTCGTACTAGTGTGGGCAAAACAAAGGCTTGATTGCCACTGAGAGCGGTGTCATTGGCCGCATGTTCTTTCCCGGAAACGGAGAAGTATGGCATTTTCAGTAGAGTAGCGCTCCTTCAGTCTGTCCAAACAAAGCCGCTTTAAAGCCTTTCCGTTATTTCACTGAGGGGGGTGGCTTTCCGCTATGTGCACAGAAATTTTCCATCGTCAAATGAGCGCTTGATGTCAATAATTTTGGATTGTTGGTTGGATGCATAATTGCGAGTTTCTGAGAATCCTCCTGTGAAAGAGTGGTACGATAGTTTGAGCTTGCGGGATCGAGTACCGGGTACCAATGCTGAGACACTGACAATCCAGAAGCTGGCATTGTAATAAGGCCTAGAACAGAAGCAGCATCCGTTGAATTTGGCGATCGAGACTAGCCTGATGCATCATAAGGCACAGCCTGTGTGGCCTTTGTGAAGCTTGCACGGGCCAGGAGGCTATACCCAATAGCTAGTCCGGTAGGACTGTCTGCAACCATGGTTGTTCGTATATGCCTGGGGGTCCAGAGGATTTCAGGTTTTTTAAGAGCGCTCATATACCCAAAGATGTTCAATGGGTTTGGTTGTCTCTATAATCTACTTGTTGGTTTCACAGGCGGAAATACTCGTACGAGTGGGTAGCAACGATCACGTCAAAGATGGTGATATTGCTGGTTGTTGTTATTGAGAAGTGAAAGGTGAAGCTAAAGGTAGCCGTCAAGAGGATATTGCTAGGTGGGCAATCAGATCCTCAGTACCTGATTGGCCGACGAAGGAGGCCACCTGACCTCTATCACCCTTCAGCCATTTGAGATTGGGGATATTCCAACACTGCTTGTTGGGTCCCTGAACTTCAGTATTGTTGCCCTGTAATGGTTCAAATGCACATAGTATTCAAGTATGACTTATTTTGGTAGCTAGATACATCCTATCTTACGTTCAGTCGAGAAAGACTTTTAAAGCTAAGTTGGATATAGACGGATGTAAATGCCACCTACACTATATACCACCTATTAATTCGTGCTGCTTTTTCAACGCACCCTGACCCGGCTCATTCGAAGCGACTATTCCATTTCACTTAGTATGGTATTCGAGAGAATCTTATGAGATTCAAACGAGTCTTCCATGGCGCGTAAAAAGTACCGCCCGACCGACAGGATAGTCGTCAATGGTCGTTTTTATTCTTTCATGGGTTTTACGGTCATAGCAACCTAACATAGCGGCATCGCTTTGTTAAGTCAGTGTGTTATTGTAATTACCTTGTGGTTTCCAAATGTTCTAATATCCCCCAACAACAGCAGACATACTCCAACCTACCGTCAGGTATTACTATGTTCCACCTTGAAAATGCAAACAGCTGTGGATATGATCTGGAGATAAGTATTTTTTTTTTAAGATAAAAAGGGTCTTATTTATTGATAAATTGCTATCTTGCTTGTTTCAACAGCTAACTGATTAGTTGCATTGTGGTATCAAAGAATTTAAAACACCCAGACCAATTGCTTCCATGTTTTTACCCAAAGGCAGGTTGAGAGAAATTTGGTAGGTGGACAGTTATGCAACCGGAATGCCAACCAACGCACAAGACCCGTCAAATGCAGAGCCTGGTGCCAGGTTCGTGACCGTCTGGTTCTCAAAAGCAATGCGGTTGACATTGGTGCCGTCAGCTTGGTAATTAGGCCACGCTTGGTTTCCATTGAACTGAAGCAGACCTGAAGTTGGGTTCTTGGCGAAGGCAGCCCAGGCACCACGGAAATACCTTCCAACCTCTATCTCCTCCGGGGTACTAGTGACTGGTGACTGAGGTGCCGTATCGAACAAAACAGGGAGCTATACGACATTAGATGCTAGACTCCAACCTAAAGTTCTAAAATCAAGAAACGAAGACGGAAACGCTACTAACCTCTGATGTGTGCCATGCTCCACTAGCCGGTGTTGTGGTGATGACCATGTTAGGAAAGTTACCAAAGTAACGATACCGCCATGTCGGGTGGCCGGCAGAAACCGCTCGTGTCGCCCTTCTCGCTGCAGGACAGTCGAAGCCAATGAGGTTGAAGCCGGCCCAGAACGTCTCATTGAATTGCGGAGCCCCAAGCTTGAAAAGGCCAGCCTCGTTGTCGGTGTTGCCGACAATGTAACCCCCCTTTGCTGAATCTCGCTTGCTGTAATCGGCGAAAACGAGAGTGTCGTCCACAACAGGTGCAAAGAAGGTCCCGCCCGGGGTGCTACTACCACTCGATGCCACTCCTGCCATAATTTCTGCCGAGGTCTTGGACAGCATGCAGTTGTTGACAGCCATGGGGGCGGTTTGGGCATTACCACAGCCAACGGCAGAAGTAATATTGAACCACTTCACATTTACGGTCTCGTTAGTGAAGATGCCGAACCCGTTTGCAGTGCCGCTCATAGCTATGAACCCGTTGGCGATAGGGTCAGATGCGTATGCGTACGAGTAGTAGTCAACCAGAGAGCCCCCAGCAGACTGGCCAAAGAGAGTAATTCTATTGACATCGCCACCGAAGTTCTCTATGTTGTCGCGGATCCATTGTACAGCTAGACGAACGTCAAGAAGTCCGAGGTTTGGGGCGGAACTGGGGTTGCCGGGGAATCCAAAGACATTAAGGCGATAGCTAGATTAGACCTCGTTAGCAGTGCCGCTTTTCTTGACTCCGAAACCAAGGAAATTTACTTCAAGGACACCATCACAACATCAGTTTGGTCCGTAATGAACTGTCCATTGTTTGCAGGGACGCGAGAACTTCCTATAGCCTAGTTAGCGCACCATGCTGGCTTTATTTGGTTTCTCAATAACGGTTTATTTAGTTACCTGTTGTAAAGGCGCCACCGTGGATCCAGACTAACACAGCCTTCTTATTGTCACCCACCTGTGGCTTAGTCCAGACATTCAGCGTCAGGCAGTCCTCGTCCTGAGGACCAGCGTCGGCAAGCACTGTGAGTACTGAAGCGGCCGAAGTGGGGACCCCAAGCTGCGCGATACCATCGGGGATGGTAGCGTTGGTGATTGGTTGCATGCATTGGTGTCCCTGACCCAGGCGCCGTTAGTATTCTCCTTTATTCGCTGTGTTTGCGATATGTAAGGTCGTTCACGAGGCCTCATAATGAGAAATCACTCTTGACTTACAAAAGCGGAGCCGTTTAGAGTCGAGGATCCAACGAACTTCGCAGGAGGCTGGAAGCGTAAGGTACCGATGGGCGGTTGAGCGTACGGAATACCCAAGTACTCGGATACCTAATTGATGTCCTCGTAAGTGGTTGTTTCGCTTGCAATGCACCAGTTACTAACTTGAACAGCTCCGGATGCAGCATGCCCCTGGATGAGCCCACTTGTAGTTTGGACTGACTGGCCAATAGTCCAAGGGACAGGGGTGGCAGCGACAAGGCTTGGCCCAGCGACTACGATCCCCAGGACGTTGATAATGGTGCTTCGTGCCCTCATTTTGAAGCTGGCAGGAGAGCAATAGATAAGGGGACTGAAATGCTAAAGCGGACTTGAGAAGGAGAAGAACCAAAAGACGGGTTTTGAGGCCTGATGCTCTCCCGTGGGTAGCAGGCGGGGTTTTGAGGTAGGATGTCATAGTGTTGAGTTTGAATGAGAACAGGCGCTCACTTTGTGTTTGCTGAAACGCAGAAGCAATGAATAGATGCGGCAGTGTACTAAGCTTGGGTCGCGAGACCGAGCGTCGAATACTTTGCTTCAACCGCAAGATGGTCTTGGCACCGCTGTGGCGGATAGTGCCCTTTGAGATCGATTTCGATCAAATTTCAGACGAACAGGCATGATCTACATCTGCAGATGCACACGAGCCATGGATGCCTCCGGCCGGAGGTAGAAGATAACCAGGTGGCCAGAAAGATAAGACCATATCCCACGATATCGACATAGGTCCATTCCTAAGTGCTGGGAGGGGTAGCAAGAGTCCTTGAACCTAATCGTTACGGATCTCCGTGAGCTCCCGAATACTCGGTTGAGTTGTGCCGAAAATTACAAAAGGGTCAATTGATCTAGGTTTGACAAACAAAGTCCGAGCTCGTTGACGTCTGGGCTACTGTAGCCGTCAGAGTTGAGCAGGTGTCGTCTTGGACTACAAAACAGGGCTGAGCTTAGACTATAAATGCAGGGGTAAATCATGGTGCCCGGGATTCCGACTGGCGTCGGGAAGCTGCCGCGTTTCGCCTGAGGAACGTAAGCTCGTGCCCACGCACTCCTGCCTGCCTAGACAGACTAGTCGACATGGCAGCATTGGGACTAGGCAACGATCAGGATCGGTTCTTGGGCGCAATGAGAGGCGCGCTGTTGCTGACTCTCAAATGCCCAAACAATGCATTAGTCACTCCGTGGCTTTCTCGCACAATGACCGGATCGTAGCATCATTATCGGATTCCAAGACCAGACGTCCACGCCTGTCATTAAGCCAGGTCCATGTATGATGACCATACAAAGAAAAATAGACGACGCCTCTTAGACAATTTGTTCCAGATTGCCACAAACCCCCCCCCGTAAGCTCAGAGGCGTAAAAGTTTCTCAATTTCCCCCTCCCTTTGAATTCTGGTCTCCCTTTGCTGTCCCATCCCCTCCTTACGGTTCTTGTCAAGGTGAAGGGTAAGTGCACAAGCCTACCGATCAAAACGGATAGACACTCTGGAATCTCAGTTGCATTGATGGGATCTGTCTACGACAGTATGCCGCTTTGAACATCTTACGCACCTGCTCGCTCACGGCATAAACATACTGTACATCAACGAGCCAGTAATTCACTGATGTATAAAAACAAGGAGAATAAAAAAATCCGAACAAGTTTACATCGATACTTACAGCGCTTCCATTAAATGGCTTGCTCAGCAGCACAGTTCTCTTAGGGTTAACAGTTAGCGATAAGCCCCGAGAAGATCGGGCTCTTAACCGGAGTATTCCAGAAGAGAGTAGACTTTAATGATGTCAAGCAATACCTGGGCTACAAAAAGCATGGATCGCTCAGCAGCAAAACAATTCTCGCCTATGAAGAGGAGGTTGGTTTACAACTTCTATGCCGTTCGATTGAATCAAGATCTTGATCTTTCAGAGCATATTTTTCTTGATTACTTGTAATGATGGTGTTACTATCGTTCAGCCTGAATTGCTAGACTGGGCAGAATCCCCTACCGAGCATTGTGCTTACGGGATGCTGCTATAGCTGAGAATCTGCCAGTGGTCTGTAGTGTTGAATGCAATGCAATCTCAAGCCGAGTTTGTGGAAACCCTCGTGTAAGTTTCACGTCAGGTGCTCAGCAGGGTCGGAAATATCTTGGACCCGCGCGACAGGTTCGGCTTCGGCCCCACATCGGCTTCGGCTTCAGATAGCAGGTCGAAGACCAGCATCCGCAATGAATGCGGATACGGGCATGATGAGTCAAATTGCGAATGTCTCGGCAGCTTTCCCAAAAGATCATCTCGTATCGCCTTCATGTTGGTAACACCTCATTTCGGCTTGCGCTTTGAGCAGTCCCATAGTATTTCGGATCTTTGAGAACGTTTCGGGTTGGTCACACAGAGGCGATACGCGGGACATCAATCTCGGTGCCTTACATCTCGTGTGACGAGTGGATTGATACCGAGAGATGAGCTTCGCAAAGTTCCGTCTCTAGTTTAACGGCTGGCTATATGTGTGCGGCACAGTCTCGGGAATCAACAATTAGTATTGACGTCAAAGAACGACGTCGACGAATAAGCTTGCATCTCAATAATTACGATTCTTTGACACTCTCCATTCAAGATTCGTCACTCAATCAATTTTCGGTTTCGCGTAGAGTGGATTTTTTTTCATCGATCGAGTACAGGTCGTCGACGTTGAACATCAAGCAATCAAGATTGGCTCCAAGATCCGGGACCGGAGCGGATCCCGCGGCCGGGTTCAGGTCCGATGTCCGGTCCACGAAGTGGTGTAAGTACCACCACCATGCGGGTTGCAGCGGGAACGAAGCTGGGGAAGTGGGATTCTTCCCCGTCCAAGCGGACTCAAGCCGAAAAATTGGCCTCAAAGCCCATCCCAGCCTGCCGAGGCGCTTCTGCCGGCTTCACATACCCGCTATTGCGTGATTGGATGGCTGCAAACTTTTCCGAGGCCAGGAGTCAACCGTTACAGGCGGGCCTACAGTACGGCCAACAGGGTGTAGGGTGCAGGGCAAGGGCGGCGACTCTGTCATTTGGCAGAGTCACGGGGCCGCCAGAAACTTGACTTGCCAGCGCGCAAAGGCCAGGCCGTGACCGGCAGAACAGGCGGTGGACGGTGGATGGCTGGAGCTTGCGCCGTGGTGGTTGGGGTTGACCGGGACGGACCATGTACTAACATCTCACTGCATTATCGAATCCCATCGGGGACATGGGAAAGGATCCCTTTTTATTTATTTTACCAAGTTGAGTCGACAACGGCCCGGACCAGGGTCTGCAGAAAAAGGCGCGGTCCCGTTTTCTGCATGCAGACTCCCCTTTCCTTTTTCCCAACTTCCTCTTTCATCGGCCACTTGACTCATGGTATTGCCCTTTGTACATATTCCATATGCCATTGTCCTCGGTATCCTCTAACCAAAAGACGGGGAATCGCAAGTCTAGAAGGGTACCCCGGGGAATTCTGTTGGAACTCATCCGGTCTCGCGCGTAGCTGGTAACCAATCGACTGAAGCATCTCATCTGGCCGACAAAAGTTTGGGTTTGGGTTTAGATCCTGCGTAAGCTTTCTCTCACCCTCGGCACTTTGCACGTACAAGACCGCGCCAGCTGATTCATGAGCAGACCCCCCGCTCAGCAACATCATTCCGTGCTCCTGTAAATACCACCGCAGCTATCCTTACATTATCGTCAAACCATGGCGCCTTGGGCGAAATCTAAGTCGTCGCCGCCCTCCGACGGCCAGCCCGGCAGGAGGGATGAGCGTACGCCTCTTCTCCAAGTCGACGAACCTTCGACCCCTCTCCCCATCACCCCGCAGGACGAAAACGCCATTCCGCCCAATGAGTTCGACTTCCTCCTCTCGCGGTCGGTCCCCACCTCGGGCCCCTTCCTGGAGCCAGAATCGACCGTGAATCCCCTGCTGCGCGGCCCCCGGCGCTACAGCACCGCCTCCAAGAACCGCCGGCCCTCGCTCGCCAGCCGCTCCGACCACGAGGCCGGCGCCATTGACGACCAAGACTCGGACGCCGTCTCTGTGAGCAGCACCGCGTCGACGCCCTACCTCAATGGCATTTCCCGCTCGCGCTTCTGGTTCATCTTCGCCGAGATCCTGCTGACCTTTTTCATCGCCTGCTTCGACGGCACCATTATGGCCTCCTCCCACCCGGTCATCACCTCCTACTTCCACGCCTCCAACAGCGCCTCGTGGCTGTCCACGGCCTTCATGCTCACGTCGACGGCGTTTCAGCCGCTGCTGGGTCGGCTGTCCGACAGCATCGGGCGCAAGCCGCCGTACGTGGCGACCATGGTCATCTTTGCGTTCGCGACCTTGTGGTGCGCGCTCGCGCAGAGCATGACGAGCTTCATTCTGGCGAGGGCCTTGTGCGGGCTTGGCGCGGGCGGAATGATGACCCTGGGAAGTATCATCCTTAGCGATCTGGTCCCGATCGAGTGAGTCCGTTCCATGTTCTCGTCCCGTTGTTCATTGGATGAGATGAGAGCGCCTTTGTTATTCTGTCAAAAACGAGTCATCAGAACTGACAATGCGGTAGAAACCGTGGCGCTTACCAATCGTACATCAACATGATCTACGGCGTCGGTTCCGCCCTCGGCGCCGCCCTGGGCGGTGCCATGGCCGACCTCCTTGGCTGGCGCTGGGAATTCGGCATCCAGGTCCCTCCCCTGATCATCTGCTGCTTCATCGCCGTCATCGCCGTCCCCAGCGACTTGGGTCTCACAGGGAAGCAAGAGACCTTTGTCGAAGCCCTCAAGGCGTTTGACTTCAAGGGCTCGGTTCTCCTTACGATAGCCATCACCTTTTTCATTCTCGGTCTGGTAAGTTTTCCCTATTGAATGGTCATCCTGGCGTGCCAAGCATCGCTAGCTGCTGCGAGGTCTAACGTCTTTTACTTTGATAGAATCTAGGAGGAAACGTCCTGCCATGTAAGTCAACCCCTGATGAGGATCATCTCAGCCCCGAGATCGGTAAACTAACCAGACACTAGGGTCTCACCCTCTCGTGATTGCTTCGCTCGTCATCTTTGGCGTGTGTTTCCCCCTGTTCCTCTACGTTCAGTCCTACGTCAGCCGTCCGATCATGCCTCTCTACCTCGTCCGTCGTTCGCCGCGCATGAATCTCATCATCTCCAACTTCTTCGCCGCTTTCCTCCACAACGCCATCCTCTTCAACATGTGAGTCTATGGCCTATCGAACCCATCAGCACAACCCCCCACCCCCCTTTGGTCGCCAGACTTTACCTCACGCACTTTGACCACGCCCTAACATCCACCAGTCCCCTCTTCTTCCAGGCCGTCCTCTTAACAACCGCAACTTCCTCCGGCCTGCGCCTAGTTGTCCCGTCAGTAGTCTCGTCCCTGGTCGGCGCTGCCACGGGCTTCCTCATCACCTACACCCGCCGCCTCAAGTGGCCCGTCCTCTCTGGCGCCATTGCCCTTCTCATCGGCAGCATCGTCCTCTCCTTTATGCGCCGTGGCTGGGCCTCGTGGGTCTACCTGCTGTGCCTTGTGCCCTTCTCCATCGGCTCCGGCTTCCAGTTCCCGGGCTCCTTCATGGCTGTACTGGCGGCGAGCGAGCAGCGCGAGCAGGCCGTCGTCACGAGTACACTCATCCTCTGGCGCTCGCTGGGCATGGTTCTCGGCGTCGCGAGCAGCGGTCTCGTCGTGCAGAACTCCCTGATAAGGTACCTTGACAAGTATGTCCAGGGGCCTGAGAAGGGGGAGGTGATTCGCAAGGTAAGGGAGAGCGTGGAGTCGATTGTGAAGCTGCCCGAGCTGTACCGCGAGCAGGTTGTCATGAGTTACGAGGCGGCGCTGAGGACGACGTTCCTGTGCTGCACAGTGATAGCGGTTCTCTCGGTCTGCCTGTTGGTCCCCATCAAATTGCCCAGGCTCGGCACCAGAAAGTAAAGTGGGCTAGGACTGGCGTGTTGTTGACAAACGAAAAGTTATTATTCATTGTGGTATACAGCATCTTGCATGCCATCTGGCGGAGCGTCTTGGGGACCGCATCATACAGCTTCAATTTTGCCCTGTCCAGGCCGTAGCGTCCTTTTTCATCGTCCCATAATAATACACATATTTCAGTAATGCCCGTTGACACCGTTGGCACGCAGGGCATCAAGCTCATCCTTCGTCTTGCGATACAGCTCTTGTGCCTCGCGCTCTCTTTTGCTGACGAAACCGACTTCTTCTCTCAACGCCGCCAGACGTCGTTGGATAGCAACCTCTTCCGAGATAGCGAGCGTCTTGAAACCGCTGAGAGCGTTGTTCGCCTTCTCAAGGGCCTCAGCGGCCTCGCCAATCTTGTCTTTCAGCATCTTCTGTCGCTTCTGGTATCCACCCAGATGCAGGCCCAATTTCTTCTCAAGCTTGATACCTTCCTCGGCGGTAGTCGCGATTGAGTCTTGTATAGACTTTGATGATGTTAGCAAGCTGAGTCTGACAACGGGGAGATGGTGGGCATCACATACATCGAAGGCTTCTTTCATGGCTGCCTCCTCCTCTTCCTCGTCATCGCCATAACATCCCAGGCCGAGCAGCAGAGAGTTCTTGCTACGGCCCTCAAATGACGCTTGGATCTCGGCGAAGGAAGGCTTTGGTTTTGTCTCGGACAGGATCTGAAGACGTGCCTCGGCGAGCTCATCGTCGCCGATGGTGTCCAAACGAGGGGCAACCCCGCTTACTTTTGAGCCAGGCAAGGGGTACTTGATCGCATCGTTGGCGACCAGAGCAGCGGCTTCTCTAGCGATAAGCAGTTGGGCGGTATCCTGAATGGTTTCGGCACTTGACAACAGGGCGGGCACGTCCACCTTGACTGGCCGGGGCAGGTGTCTCTGCATGACTTGTGTCCGCCTCCGAGCCTCCAGAGCCTCCTGTGCTGCCTTAAACTCGCGTTCCCGGCGATCCCTTTCACCAGCGTCTTCCATCAACATGTCCTCGTTCGCAGCGGCCTCCCTTTGGTCTTCAGGAAGCTCGAGCTCCCACTCAGTGTCCTTGGGCTTGGGCAAAGACGCCAGTCCTTGCTTTAGCTGACTGCGCAACGCCATTTCTCGCATCCTGACATCTTGGGGTGTCGCAGAGACAAGGGCCTGGCTGCCGTCGGCGTTCAGAGCAAAGCTGTCGCGGGGTGTCCTCATTGGGGTCTGTCCAACGCGTGCGGGAGTCTGGCCAACGCCGTTTGCATGCATCGGAGTCGCCAGGGGGTTCGGTGTTGCGACGACTTGCTTGCGAGGCGCAACACCGTCAAATCCAGTCGACTCAGATCCTTCGTGAAGAGGGGTATTCTCCCCACCCAGTAGTGAAGACTGAGTGTTTGTCAAGGCTCTGATGTTCCGGATTTCGTTGGCAATGTGATCTTCTTGCGCAGGGGCTCGAGGGGTTCGGATTGGTGCGTTATTGTTCAGGGTCGAGTACTCGCTGATCAGGCCGCGGGTCGCATCGTTCTCGCTTTCGCGTGCCATCATGCTTGCCCTCTCGCCCATCATGCCCATCTTGACGATTTCCTCCAACTCACCCTCGCTCACCTGAGGAGCTGGTAGGTTCAGTGCTCTTCTCTTGCTGCTTTGCTCAGCCTCTCGGATCTTCTGCATTTGGCCGGCCTTCACGGCGGCCTGGAATGATGCTGAAGGCGCCTCTTTTTCCTTCTTCCTTCTCTTGCTCTCGCCATCGTCGTCGCCATCGCCCTTGCGCTTGCTTGCAAGTTGTTGTTTTCTAGGGTCGAAAGCCTCGCGCTGGTGCTCGTTGCGAACTTGCTCTTCAGCAGTATCGTAGAAACCCGGAGCGGCCTTCTTCTCGAAAGGGATGTCGGCGTTGTAGTCCATCTGGCCCTTCTTGCGCGTAACAACCTTGATGTTGATGCCGGCCGTCTTGAGCTCACGCCGCTTCTGGAGGGCGGCCAACCGGCGCGACTCCTCCTGCTGACGTTCTCTGGCCTTTCTCTTTGCTTTCTTTCCTTGCGTGTTTGCGAGACGCGCTCTAGCTTCGCTCAGCATTTCCTTTTCATCTTCGTCGAGATCGATCGTGTCGGGTCGCGCAGGCTTGCTTTCGGGGTCCGGGTCGACTTCGCCGGGGCGTAATCTTCTGACATCGTCGGCGCTGGGAGCCGATGCCTCACCACCTTCTATGCCGGTGAGGCCGAACTGACCAGCCTCTCTGGCTTCGGCTTCGTCAAGGAGCTTCTGGTATCGCTCGAGACATTGGTTGGCGGTTCGTCCGACGGCAGGTGCAATGGTGCGCCACTGCGTCGGCATGAGCTTGGCGAGGTGGAGGAGTTTCTCATCTTCCTCCTTGCTCCACTCGGTCTTTTTGATGCTCGGGTCCAGCCACTCGTTCCATCTTGCCTTGCACTGCTTCGGGGTCTTGCGCGCGAGCAGCGACGAGACACGCGCCCACTGGTTCAGGCCGTATTTGGAGACGGAGGCCTTTAGGATTTCATCCTCGATGTTGGTCCAAACACCTCCCTTGACGACACCCATTTTGGCAAGGCTGGTTGATGAAATCGGATGGGTGGCGTGGTTATGATTGTCGAAAATCCCCGTCGCGAGGGCGTTGCGCGGAGGAAATTGTCATGCGAGGCCAATCGTCAAGGATTTAGGTGCACAAGGCTGAGAAGGATATGCCTTAGTCAGCAGGCAAGATAAGTGTTGATTGGCTCCACAGTCTCGACTTTTGATGCAGTTCACCGAGATTTACCGAGATCACAATCTCGGTCAACAAGGTGAGCAGAAAACATCACAGTGACTGACTAACCACCTCCGATAAAGACTTTTACTTCCTAAATTGACGGAAACCGATGCAAGCTCAGTAGCCTAGCCGTGAGTCTTCCCGAAACGAAGCATATGCACTTCTACCACTTGCATGTGAGTCTCGCATCGTTGGACTTGCGAAGATGGTTTTAGCTTCAAAGAACTCGGTGTTCGGCACTGTTGCTTTGCAAAGAGTGGGATATTTCAAGTACTCTCAAGGGACATCAAAGTATTTCGTGGGACAGCCCTACAGCAAGCACGCAGCACGAGCAGAGATGGAAGTCAGTTACGAAGACAACGTCAGGAGGGTGCATCGACCTTGGTCGTGATTGGCCGCGGCCGCGGTCTGCTAACAACTCGATAAGGGCAACCGCATTCCCAAAGTCAACTCGACGACCCCTCACTTGCCATGGTGCAGTTTGACGAGGTATGGTGGAATCCACGCGTCCGTTGTATCGAAGGGAGGGGCTCAATCTTCCCTCCCTTTTCTTCATTCCTGAGCGATTTGCTGTTGATTTAGTCGTGGCGAGCTCTGAGCATTTCCTTTGCAATATGGCGTGGCCTCGGATCGCTGCAGTTAGGTGGGGTTCAGGCGAGGTGCCGACTCATGCTATCTTTCTCACACAACCGACGTTGGGACCAACGGACAGCAACGAGCAGAGCACGTCGTCCGCTGCGCAAAACACCGTCTGAGAATTAGAGTAGGTGCCCAACAAGACAGCGCACCCTCCCGGAACACCAAGGGATATGCCGTCGAAATCCGGCAAACACATCCTCCACTTGCAGATGGGACAATCCGTCTCGAACCAGTCGCAGTCGCTCTTGGATGGTTTGTTTGGAAGGGCTGTCGAATTGGAAACCGGAAGTCGAAAACGTTGCCAATCAGACGAAACCAGCCGACCCTGTCCAGCCCGGAAAAGAGGCACAAAAAAAATAGGGCAAGCTTTCTGAGAAGCGTGGCCCTTCCAGGAGAGCGGTTCCGCGGGACCGGTCCGCTCGTCAGTGCTGAAACAAGCCGACCACCGAACCTTGTCGAGGACCGCTGGACAGTGTTGCTCTGTTGCCATTTTGAGCGCCAAGGTTTGTGCTGGTGCCCAGGTGTCGACGCGAAAGAGGGGGAGGACAATATCCTTTGGGAGTGCAACATCTCTGGGCCGTCGTTAATTACGTGGCACCTCGTGAGCTGTCTCTGTCCGGGCTCTGTCGAGACGGGATTCGGACTCCAGATATGCTGGACCACGACAGCCATTACGAAACGCTTACAGACTCGGCACGACAGCAACGATTTGCTTGCGGGTTGATAGTCGTTGGCCGAGGCACGAACTGCCCGCGCGGGAGTGGCTCAAGCTTAGGAATCACTCTGTTACCTAGTTGGCCCCCCGGCTCTGATTGGCTTTGCCGACTCTTTTCCCCCCTTTCTAGCAAAGGCTGCCCTGGCAGATCTGGGTTGTGGCTTAACAGTGTGGCCCATCTTGCGCGAAACTGCGTCATGGATATGCCTGACATGCGCCAACTCATGCGCCTATAGTCCCACGAGATTGGTTCGATACACCACCCACGGGGTCACTCTCAAGTCCGGCAGGCACATTACATACTACGTAGTACACGCGGAGGGTTGCTGGTCAATCCGCCGCAGGGAGGGAGGGCCCTGTCGTTTCGTCCTTTCGTCACCTCCTTCTCCTCCTCTTCTGTCTCTTCTGTCTGTCCATGTTCCTGTCGTTGCTTTTTGGCAAGGATGGGCAAGCAAATCATTGCCGACTCTCCTCCCTCGGAACACTTGCCCACCAATACGACTTCGCAAATACCACAATCATGACCGCAGCATGATGGGCTTTCATCAGTCTTGACGGGCCCAACTTGGCCGTCGTCCAATGCATTCCCCAACCGAAACGTGTTTAGGCCGTTGCGGACGCTGGACGGCGCACTACTCTTGTCAACATCCCCGCGCCACGCCAATAGGATTCGATGGCGCTGTTGATGCTCTGACCTTCCGTTTTCCGAAGGTGAAGGTTACGATCCATGACCGGGGGAGCTAATCCATTCCTTTCTACCGACCTGTACCATGTACACTACACTACCGTAGTACTATGTACTTCCTATCCCATCCCATTCTTATCCTCGACATCCCACTTTGCTCCACACCCTCCATCGAAGCCGACCCCCCCTGGTCGGCGGACTTGTCTCTCTAGTAGGTACAGTAGTGCCAGTCTCTCGCCCGGGCCCTTGGCTCCTGATTTCACCAGCGCCCATCGCTTGTCCCACATCCACCTTATCTCTTGGTTGTCGGAACGCCCCCCGGTCCTCTACGACGTAGCTCACGTTTCTATTTCATTTTCCCGTTTCCCACTCTTGTTGCGCCGCACGAAGCGCACCTCTTGCTCATGCACACCTCCACCTCTCCGGCTTCAAAGCGGTCACTCTGAGCAAACGGATCCGGCAGCTGAGTGCACCAGACAGGATCCAACAGGAATGGAATCGTGGCAGTGTCGCTCCGTATATCTTACCGCGTTCGCCCCCAACGTCCCAGCCCGAGACACGATATAGCTCCAACGTCCGACGACGATCCAACCCTCAAAAAAGACGACAGTACCTGCCTCGGAACGGCGCGACTCCCTTTTGGCTGATCGAAAGCTTCAAAGAGCTTCCCGGAGCCGTTTGCGCCAACACAAACGTCTTCAGCGCCAGGCGTTGAAAACCGAGACCACAACACAGACCTTCTGCGATACGCACAAAATGTCGGCTCCAAAGGACGACATCATTGTCACCCGCGTAGACCGGGATGTCCACAATAAACCCATAAACGAAGCAACAGAAACGACGTCGCTACTGAGCGCAGGCGCTGCGGATGGCGACAGCGCTTGTGAAGATACATGGCCGGGTTACGCGGATTTTGAAGGCTTGCCGTGGTGGAAGACACCATCTGTAGGAACTATCCGGCTCGGACCGCTCGGTGATCCCCACGTGTGCTGACTCTTGTGTGTGCGCCAGGTCTACTGGCTTCTCGTCCCGTATGCTCTCTTCACACTGGCCTTTGGAGGTTCATTGGTGCCCAAGCTGAACTTGTATGTCGACTTCGTGATGTTCGTGGCCCGATTGCACTCGCAGCCGCTAATATGTGTGTCGCAGAATCGTCGATTTGGTCTGCCAGAGGCACTTCGCCGACCAGACGATCCTGGATCCGGCATTCGCGTATACACCTGTGATCCTCGGCGCGGACAACCCGCAGTGCCTCATCAAGGAGGTCAAGCAGCGGGTGTCTATGTTTACGCTGGCCATTAACCTCATTACGGGAATTTTATCCGCCATCACTGCGCCCAAACTGGGCCAACTTTCTGACCGATATGGCCGTAGGAAGCTTCTTGCCCTGGCGTCCTGCGGTGGTGTCGTCGCCGAGTTGATCACCATCCTGTGTGCAAACTTCCCTTGGACCTTTCACTACAACTGGCTGCTTCTCGGTGCCGTGGCCGATGGACTCACCGGATCCTTTACGGCCGGCAGCGTTCTCATCAACTCTTACACGAGCGACTGCACCCCGCCATCCCAGCGCGGCGTGCGTATCGGCTACCTTCATGCCTGCCTCTTCACCGGTCTGGCTTTCGGACCGCTATTGACGGGCTACTTCGTCGCCTGGACCGGCACTCTTCTTTCAGTTTTCTATGTCACTATGGGATGCCATATTTTCTTCATCATATTTGTCGGACTTGTCGTTCCTGAGTCGCTCAGCGTCAAGCGCCAGATGCGCGCTCGCGAAAAGCACGACCAAAAGCAGGAATCTCTGGTCGGGGAGGGAACCTGGTCGACGATCAAGGCCGCAAATCCCCTGGCTCCTCTTAGAATTCTTTGGCCCCAGGGTCAGGGCACCTCGTCGAGACTTCGTCTTAATCTACTTGCTCTCTCGTTCGCCGACATGATCCTTCTGGGTGCGGCCATGAGTGCAGGTACAGTCATTCTGCTGTACTCGGAATCCCCAGAAACCTGGGGCTGGGGCAACTTGGAGAGCTCGCGCTTCATCTCGGCCGTGTCCATGGTTCGCGTCGTTGCGCTACTCGTCGTCCTCCCTACCATTAACTACGTCTTCCGTATCAGGCCCGCGGCCTATCGAAGAAGGGTCTCGGGCGTCTCGATTGTGGAGGCAAACAACGGCGCTGACACTGTCGACTGCTGGATTCTGCGCTTCGCTTTACTGTCAGACGTGACCGGTTCGCTGGGTTATCTCTTCGCTAGGAACGAGTCCGTCTTTGTGCTTTCCGGTATGATCACGGCCTTTGGCGGACTCGGCAGCGCAACGATTCAAGCTGCCATCACAAAGCATGTGCCCGCCGATCAGGTTGGACAGCTCCTGGGCGCCATCGGCGTTCTGCACGCTCTGTCGAGGGTGCTAGGCCCCATCGCATTCAACACACTTTACTACTCGACAGTTGGATCGTTTGACCAGGCCATCTTTGTCCTTCTCGCGGCTCTATTTGGTTTGGCGTTCTTGGCCAGCTTCATTGTGCGACCCGGTGGTAAGTCTGCAATCCTTTATTCACTTGGAACACCTATTGACAAATGTAGTGTACCTCGAGGAAACATATGAGCCTGTGCCTACGTCGGAGCCACAATCAAGCGTCAACGCTAACGCTGAAGCGCTGGAAGTGTTGACAGAGGAGGAGATGATACCTAACAACTAAGATGGGGGGTTGGCGAGATGTACGTTCTATGCAAGGGTGTGAGTGATAAGAAGCGAGACGATACAATACCTAGAACATAGACGTAAGCGCTACGAAGCGCTGAAGGGGTGGGGTTTTCTGCTTTAGAACGATGACGAGGAGTAACGTTGGACACAAGAGTACCTGCCGATACCACAAATACACCTTTCTTTGATTGTTACATTCTTATTTTAGTCCTCCGAGTCTTTTGCTACCTATCAAAAAGAAAGCCAATGATTGAGTATACTTGGTGTGTTGCGAGTGCAGCAGCACATCAGCCCACAAACGTCTGTGCCTTACGAGAAAGCTGTTGTCAACCCAGTTAAAAATGGCATCTGGTTACATAGAGCGAGTATCTCGGATACCAAACCCAAACCATAACACCGTACCACTAGTCTGTGTATGAGTAGTCGTCTCAATGAAAGCGATTCTCGAGCTCAGCTGCCGCAAACGAGAGCATTCTCTATGCTGTTGGTTTCCAGATTAAGGTCCTGTGACCGTGGCTTTGTGCTCTGGCATGGCAGTATGACCAAGTCATCTCCCTTATATTCTCTAAGTGCCCTATATAAGCTTACGGTCGCAAGTGTTGCAAGTGTTGATGAAATTCGGGAACCCTCGCTTTCTCTTCTCGTCTTCATACGAAAAGACACACTCCGAAGACCCACTTTGCATCCCCTTCCTTATTCATACCGGACTTTAGGAGATGGTAAGTGTCCCGAAGACGCCTGGTAACAATCAGTGGCTAAGACGCTGCCCAGAGGATCCCATACACCCATCTCCTGCTCTTGCAGGCTACTTCTCTCACGCTCGTCACCGCGCTGCAGCGGCGGGCCGGCGACGGCGCCAGGTACGTCACCGACGACGAGGAGGAAGCCAGGAGGATTGTGGAACAGCCCTACAACCCGTACAGAAACGGCAAGAACACCAACGACCCGTTTGACAGCCCCGATTACACGGAGAAGGAAAAGTGGTGGACGGTAACGGGCACCCGGATCGGAAGGTCCGTCGACGTCAACCTCGAAGGGTCAGGGCCTAATGCAGATGTCCACTAGTTGAGGCCACATTTGGACTACAGGACTACTTGGCTGCAGCCCTAGGCCAAGCGAAGTCCCATCCTGATAATTTTATAATTCCATTCTCTGCTATTTCACCCACTGAAGTATCCTGTTCTGTACGGTTCCTCTTGGTGACCCAACCATGTCAGTGGCACCATGAAACATTGTTTGATCCAGAATTTGGAGCCTCACGGATGCGGTCACTGTTGAACTTGTCGACGAGTTTTTCATTCGAGTTGGCGGGCTTATGGACTTTGTCCCCGCGGTCGACGCCGTATCACAGCCCGTTTGCACAGTCACACGTGAAAGCAAGTACGGCGCTAGGCGCTTTGCCATGGGGATCCTCCGGCGACCTGAAGATCTGAATGATATTCATTTGTGGTCTGCCTATCGTCTGGACCGCGACAGTGTATGAAATGAGGATGGAAGTTACAGTACGTAGTTAGTTAGGTCATGGCACGGAAGCCCGTGGGTGGAAGCCAGCATGGCGGCTGGTACAGGGTTGATGAAGCCTCAATTTTGCGCATTTTTTGGCATTATAGAGCTGATTTCGAGGTATGTGTGGGGGAGAAGAACAAAACTGGACCTCCTGGAACGGCCCTGGATCTGCCATTCGTATAGTTGTTTGATTGAGATATTGCTAGTGCTTGCTCTCACATCTTCATGTTAGAGACACGGCCCTGCTGATTTGGAATCTTCATATCATCTGAGCAACTAGCATTAGATGAGTTTCAACGCAGCAAAATTAGGCTTATCCATTACGGATAGTATCCCTTTCATCAAATCTCTGCTATTTGATTCCCTACTATAGATAAAAAAAAAATAACAGCTTTACTACAAGGTATTGCCCGTAGTTCATTTAAAAGGAACATTCTCTAACCAATACTCATTTCGGCAAGTCTCTTCTACTCAGAGATACGGATAGCAGGCACTTCTTTCTCCAGCGGGAGAATGTGAGGTGACGGGCCCATCGCAGTGATTGCATGTGGATTGATATTGATGTGGCTTCTGGTATAATGATTCTTGATGTGGAGGAAGTTGGTCGTATCCTTGAATGCCGGCACGTTCCAGTAAAGGTTGCGAAGCCATTTGTGGAGACGAGGGTAACCGGAGCGTACGTCTCGAATGTTGCATTTGAAGTGAAACGTGTAGACCGGCTGTGATGCATGTTAGTGTCTATTCGTGATATCGAAGTAAAAGACTGCCAGAAACAGGGCCTGTGTGATCATGTGTGGGATGAGTGGAGAATGAAAGGAGTATTACATACATCGAATCGAATAAGTGTAACAAATCTGCGACAATTAGTTAACTGAGTAGACCAGCAAATTCTTTAAGAGTGAGACTTACAGTCGTATGTCGACTTCTGTAATGTCCTTTCCAAACCAGTACGGGCCTTCGGAAGAGGCCAGATGGGCCTCAGCTCGATCCAATGCGTCAAACAAAGATGTCACAGCATGTTCATATGCATCTTGCGTGGTTGCAAATCCACATTTGTAGACCCCATTGTTGATTTGATCATATTGCCACTCATGAGCGTCGTTGATCTGGTCTTGGAGTACCGCAGGGTATAGCGATACGTTGCGGTACTTCTCGTCAATAATGCTGTCAAACTGATAGACGTCAGTGAGTTTCTTAGGGGCTGGCTGTTATAGGCTGACCTCTGTTCCAAGCATGCGGAGAATCTCACTGCTTTCATTATTCACGATGACCTTCTCAATCTTGTCGTACAAGACGGGCACGGAGAATCTTGCGGGGTAGTTGGGATCAGTCTCGAAGTAAATCTGACGCAAGAGGGTGAAATCGTTGTGCAGAGGATCTGGGACCACGTTCTCGCCATCAACTTCGGCTTCCGAGGGTGTTGGGAATCGCCATCCTACGCAGTGTCAGTTTTCACTCTCAATGTGCTTCCTCAACCACTATCACGGGACTGCGCGCAATCATACCTGTCTCAAAGTTGAGGTGCCAATGCACGACAGAGAACGAGATAATGTCTTCCAGACCCTTCAGCTTACGAGCGATGAGGGTTCTATGCGCCTGCCATGCTCGCGATCATTAGCTATGTGCTGGATAGCGTATGGATTCAGCTGACTTACCCACGGACAAGCATAGCTGACATAGAGATGGTACCTGCCCTTCTCGGGCGGAAACCTGGACCCTGGCTCTTGAGAGATGAAGTTGCGGAGAACCGTAGCAGGGCGCTGGAAATTGCCATCCTCGTCGTTGAGGCGCTTCAGCTCAGCAGCAGCCATGATGATGGTGGTGGTGATGCTGATGTCGTCTAAGTAAATAAAAAAGTACCTTGATTATTACCACTTGATTGCTGATAGCAAGCTTATAACGATCGCTTCCAGAGGCCTTTTAGCATCAACTATGTGGTACGGACCACTAGCAGAGTTAATCGTGTAGTCGATTACCTTTAGAGTTTAACCCGGTCGGTAGCGCGATGAGGTGGGCGCCCGGCCTATGTGCTTGGCCTGTGCGCGGGATACCGCATGCAGTGTACGATAAGACTGAGATCGCGCGCGGGTATTACACACCACCGTGGCGGACCTCACCCACCCATATGCATGCGCTCTTTAATCAGGTCATTGGTTGTCTCTTCCCTCCAATTTTCCCCGCGCGGTTATGACAGTGGATCTTTACGCTTCAACTCTACAATCGCATATCCACGCCTGGATACTTTCTGTCTTCCAGAACAGTCATCATATTTGACATACTCAACTGCTTTACTAAGACACACCACTTGTACTTGTAAGCATTATCAAGAAAGTAGAAACTGTTGGATTTAATTGAGGAGCTCTATATTTACGTATATGTCTATAACTATATCATGTCTTTATTTGGATTGTTAGACTGGCAAGTGACATCACATCTGGAGCCCAGAAACAATCATTCCTCTACCCCGACTATCTTCAACAGCGCAAACATTTGACAATGTCGATATCACGAGCTATAAACCAAATCTTTCGAGCGCCTGAACAGGCTGAGGGCGCAGGTGCCCGAGTGCGCCGCGCCATTGGTAGCATGCACAAGCGCAACTTCTCGCCTTTCCTCATGTTCGACCACATGAGCGGCAGCACCGGCGCCAGCTTCCCCGATCACCCTCACCGTGGACAAGAGACTGTATCCTACATCCTCAAAGGCTCAGTAGAGCATGAGGACTTTGCGGGCAACAAGGGTGTTTTACGGGCCGGTGATCTGCAGTTTATGACGGCGGGGAGAGGCATCATGCACTCCGAACAGCCGCTACCGGACGATGATGGAACCCCAGGGGCCGGATTCCAACTGTGGGTCGACCTTCCGAAGCATCTGAAGATGTGCGAGCCCAGGTACCGAGACTTGCACGCGAAAGAAATACCTCAAGTTCAACTCGATGATGGCAAGGTGCATGTCAAGGTCATCTCTGGCAAATCTGGCGAGGTCGACTCGGTGAAGGATCTGGCATATACACCTGTCTGGTACCTCGACGTGGAGATCAAGCCGGGCGGCAGGTTGACCCAGCCCTTACCTCAGGATTGGAATGCTTTCGCATATGTCTTTGAGGGTTCTGCGGTCTTTGGTTCGAAGAACAAAGGCCAGAGCAGCGCCGGTACGTTCGACGCCGTCATCTTCGAACGAGAGGGCGATGCAGTCGACATCGAAGTTCCAGAGACCGCACGTGAAGGTGCACGTCTTCTCTTGATCGCGGGGCAGGTTTTGGACCAGCCGATCACGCAACATGGGCCTTTTGTCATGACCAGTCGGCAGGAAGTACAACAGGCGGTCGAAGACTTTTACATGCACAAGAACGGATTTGAAAGAGCCAAGGATTGGCGGAGTGAGAGTTCGAAAAAGAAGGGGCTGTATTGAAGATAGCGCGATAAGTTATATTGTAGTATGGTATAGGGTAGTCAGGACAGTGACGTTTCTCCTCGGCACTGCAAAATTAGAATAGTCTTTAAGAATTTTATGTTCTAGAATATCTGGGGTATTGATACAGCTAAGGGATGTCTGAGAATGAAGGTTTCGAGGCCAAGCGTAGCGTAATGTTATGTGACTTGCAAGATTCTGTGTTTATTGGAAATCAGCAGGTAGTGCAGTTGAATAAGTCTTTGAACACTTTGCAAAAGCTTTCATCCTACTATACTGTCGTTCGCATGTTTTTATCCGTAATCATCTCTTCGGATCCACGTTCATTACTTGTCCGCGGTACGTCCTTTTCCAAAGACGCAAAGCGATCGTGGCGAAAACTCTGTCCCTTGTTGTCCACGACTCGGGCCTGGCGTCCTAAGTACATCATTCCGTGCTGGAATCAGGGTTGATGAGTACGAAATTGTCTAGTACCTGTTCATGTCACTTTGTGTTCGAAATACTCGAACTCAATTGAGACGCTTGACTTTTAGGTTTTGCCTTGAGAGACAGCTGGGTTGCGATTGGGACACTCGGCGCTCCCGCCGCATTCTTTGTTTGTACCATAGCATTGTAGGGTCTTCTCTATTCACCAAAGCTTGTCTTCATCCGTATCTCGGCCCTGGAAGCAGTTAGTTGAGATTGGAACTGTTTGATACAAGCATCTATTCGTCTAGTTTGGTCCCTATGACCCTACCCCTCAAATGAAAAAGGTTTGAGGGTCGCACAAGATCAATTGATCCTGTTGGTGAAACCAAAGTGTTCATCCAGTCGGCTATTTGGAGTTCATCCCGTCATCTGTAGCGAAACAGATTGCAGGGAGCAAAGGAAAGGCGGAAACGTAGAGATGTGCCGGCACCGGGGCTTTGACGTCAATGAAACGGAAATTGATCGAAACAACTCAAATGAATATTCTCTTTGGGTGAGTGGCGGCCAACCTCTAGTGGGGCAAGGGTTCGGAGTCTGTGATAAAGAAGCCGGCGTCTGTGTGGACGCGTCTCCCAACATGCAATGTGGTGTTTCGGTAGCCATAGCGCGATGGTCTGTGTGGATTCTCCAAGGTCGCTCGCAGAGTGCCAATATCCTCATGGCCTTTACATATCGCCCAAGTCTTTATGTTTTCTTTATTATTGTTTTAAAGTGTTCTGCTTCCTTCAGTTTCATTGTTGGCACTCTTCTTGTATCTCAACAATCTATCTTCGTTCAGATTCCAAGATGGATTCTGCCCCCGTTGCTCCGCCGTCACCTCGGCCCATCGACCAGAGCGTTCACATTCGTGACTCGAGACTGTCAACGGTTTCCAGTATCAAGGGACCAAATTGGCCGCTCGGCGACGAAAAGAATGACCACTATGGCTTCGACTCTACCGAGCTGAAGAGGTCCGACAGTTACAGCAGCTCATCAACAGGATTCGACAAGGAGCTCAAGCATGTGGATTCTTTTCGATCATCCTTCGATGAGCAGGCCCGGATCCAGGCGAGGGAAGGCGTTCTCTATCGTGACGGCCACCTCATTCTTCAACCGGCACCAACCAAGGACCCACGAGACCCCCTCAACTTGCCTCTCTCGCGCAAGATCCTCGCATGCTTCTGCCTATGCTGCTTCGGCGCGCTGGCCGCCGCCGCTGAGTTGATTCTGGGCGCCATGCTGCCCGTATTTGCCCTGGAGTACTCGGGCCTCGACCCAAAGATTCTCAAGCCGTTGACTTCAAGTGGCGGCCTTCCTAGTGGCAGCGACCCTTTGAAAATTCTCTCCAACCTACCCGGCGCACCACCAATCTTCCAGATCTACCTACTAGCCTCGCTACCCGTCTTAGTCATTGGATTGGCTAACTTGATCCTGGTACCAATGGCTATCTCCGTCGGCCGTCGTCCAGTCGTTCTCGCAACCGGTTTGCTTGCCGTTATTGGATGCATCTGGTCCGGAAGTAGCCAGTCTTTGCTGTCGCATTTACTGGCTCGCTGCGTACAGGCCGTTGGTGCAGGCACTGTTGAGAGTTTGATACCGTTCATTCTTCAAGACATGATTTTCGTTCACCAGCGAAATTCTTGGATCTCTGGCATCTTCGCAGCTCAGGGGCTCATCATCATCATTCTTGGAATTGCGGCTCCGTACATCATCATTGACATGAGCTGGCGGTATATGTACTACATCACGGCTGCCGGCGCAGGTTTCTTCCTGGTTGGCGTCTATTTCTTCCTGCCGGAGACCAGATGGGTTCGAACTCGTGCAGAGATGAGTAAGTATCCCACTGATTAAAAACTGAAGGCTTGAAAAAAAAGCTAACTCCAGACACTCTAGATGGTGTTCCTCGCAAAGAGACTGGCCAGAAGCACATCCCAAGAACCTTCCGGTACAACGTTGCTCTGTTCCACGGCAAGATGGAATGGAGGAAGGGCTGGAATGCCTTTGTCGACACGCTCCGCACCTTTTTCTACCCACAAATCTTCTTCATCACCATGCTTAACAGTGTGATGATTGCCTGTGCCTTCGCTGCTGGGTACACTGTCGCTCCTGCTCTTTTGACAGCGCCATGGTCGTAAGTGAACACTATTTGCCCATAATAGTAACGTCTTACTAATCTCCCTCTAGATGGGATTTCATGCTCCTTGGACTGTGCCTTGTGCCGGTTCTTATTGCTGCTGTTGCCGTCGCTTTCGTTACTGGAAGTTTCGCAGACTGGATGGCGAACCGTATTGCTAAGAAGCGTGGGGCCCGCGTTCCAGAGAACCAGCTGATCAACTTGATTGTTCCGACCATCGCTGGTACCGTCGGTTCCATCATGTTCGGCTTGGCTGGCTCCGACCAGGAACATTACTCCTACATCACCTTCCTCACTGGCCTTGGACTGATGGCATTTGGCTTTTTGGGCGCTAACAGCATTGGCGCTGTCTACGTTCTCGAGTGCTACCCTCATCTTGCCGGCCCGGCCCTGGTGAATATCGCCTCATTCCGCTGCTTGCTGGCTTTTGCGCTCTCTTTCAAGATCTCAGACTGGGTTGTTGAGATGGGCTATTTCAACGCGATGATGATTTATACTGGACTAATTTCTGGTTTCGCTGTTTTCATCCCGGTAGTGTATTACTATGGTCCTGCTTGGAGAAAGAGGTGGCCTGCCGACCATTTCGGCGATCAGATGTAGTTGTGCGTTGTTGGTAGTTAGTGAGGTTGCTTTGGGCAAGCCTTCCTTTCCAATCACGGCATCAGTCGTAGGGCTTTTATGTCTTTTGATATTTCAGATACGGCAAGCAACGCCGTCTTAGATGCGTTAATCTTTAAAGAGACTGCCTCTTACTTTTATACTATTATAATTTCTATTGGTCTTGTAGCACACTCCCTTGTCGGAAACGATTATATTTTACGATTTCTATCGTCTGGTTTGTTTGGGAACGGCCTCACTTCAAATTGTTTGTGACCGGGGGACTTGGGAGTTATTCCTGTCTTGACGAGAGTTGCCTGTACTGAGGCCAGGGGTAATAAACTCACACGAGACCACGCTGTTTGAACTTAAGACACCTAGAGCATGAGAAGGACTCAAAGCAGTAAAGGTCTTCTAGGCAGAAAATCTCTCATGAGTCCTCGAGAATAATCACAAGAAATCGATGTTGGTCTCTTTCGAGATACGACACAAGGAAGGTCTGGACTTGAGAAAACTCCCACGATTCTCGGGGACATTGTTGCGTTGACATGCCTTCCATGCCGTCCTTTCCAGCTCTGTCAATCCTGGAGCCCATTGCAGCTGGTGAGTGACGACGCTGAAGACGGTCAAAATATTTCCTCCTACTGGAAGTCAAGACATCAACACTGTCCTTGAGGACCCTCGATATTGCTGGCTTCATAACCCCCCCACCCCCCCCCCCCCCCCCCCCCCCCCCCCCCCCCCCTTCCCCGCCCTTATACCCTGTAGGCAGTCATATTTGATGCCTTTGGTCCAGGAAAGGTAAGAGACCTAGATATCTATTCATAAAACACCAGCTGGTGTCGCCTTTGAAATTACGGAATCGAAACTCATTATCGACATAGAACCGAGTCTGTAATGCATTCATCTTATCCAGCCCCCAAAGTCCTACATCCCCTTCAAAAACTCCTGCAGCGTAATCGGTTTCCTGACAGCATTATTCATACCTTCATGGTACGTAACCCAAACCTTGTTATCGCTCTTCTCATGTCCCTGTTCCTTCCTCTTCTTCGCGTTCCCGTCCACCTCACCCAATGGCAGCGTGGGTATGATACGCCCGAAAAAGTCTCTCTTCACACTCGACTCGAGAATTCTCGCCTGCTCCTTGAGAATATTCTCCTTGTTGTCGTGCACAGGGATCTCTTCGAGTCCCATGGGACCACCTGCCTTGAACCGCGCCTGGCGGGCCGCAGCTTCGCGTAGGATAATGGTCTTTTGCAGCTCCTGATCCAGCACCTGGCGCACAGCATAGCGCGTCGGGGCCTGACTGGAGAGCACCAGGTTGCCTGCCGTCTCATACACCGCGAGGGCGTCAAGGTCACTGTCCAACGTTAGCTCAAGCTACGAACGCACTTGGGGCTCAACTCACGGTTCCATACGGTACACCCACTGCGGCCCCTGTTCACCAACGAGTCGGTCTCTATCTTGCCCTTTTGCAGGACGATCCCGACCTCGGCCATGACCTCGGCGGCCCGCTTAACCATGACCTTCTCCGTTTCCTTTCGCACGCTAGCTGTACTGGTGCCGCTGCCGCCAATAACGACAGGCTTGACGTCCGGCGACACCATGCGGACCAAGTACGGCATGAACTCCGTGGATATATCCTCGACACTCCGGAATGACCGTCCCAGCGTAGGAGTGAGCTGTGCCTGAATAGCCTGGAGCATGGCTTTGTTCTGCTTCTGCGCTTCGTGGGCGGCGAAGTCGGCTCGAGGACCAGAGAACGGTACGGGCGGCTCATTGTCCTCCTCTCCACCGCCCCATTTCTTGTCATATCCCAGGGTGACCTGATGTCGGCGGGACGAGGCAAACAGGCTATGGCAGGCCAGAATCGGCTGGCTGAGGTAGGGCGCTAGCTCCCATTCCTGACTGCCAAAGGTGCGTGATGAACAGGTATCCAAAAAGTTCATCCAGTCGTACGCGGCGTTTGGCTTGGATAGGAAAGAGTCATCGTTGAATTCCCGGTTGGGATACTCCAGAAAAATGTCGGTCATGATCCGGTCGACCTCTCCGCTGGTGTCAATCATGTGTCGCAACCGTTCCATCGCGTTCTTCTTGTGATACTCTGCAAAGCCAAGCTGACTTTTGGGCTGTTCGTGCTTGTGCTTGAAGTTTTGAGAAGTGTCCAAGGCTTGCTTCGGGAAACCGCCGCCCTCCTGGAAGACACGCGTTACGATGTCTTTCGCGCTGCCACGCCCAAGCCCTCTCGCTCCTCCAGCACCGTTGGTTAGGTCATGGAGCACATTCTGGTCGAGCCACTGCCTCGTCAATCGGTCGTTGAATCCGGCTGCAGCCTTGAATCGGCCTGCGACCCATTCACCAACAACCATGACTCCTCGGAGATCACCTTCTGCTCCGCTTTCTGCGCCGCGCTTTGCGTCGATACCACTTGTCATACCCCAGGCTGCCTCGCAGATCTTGCGTGCGGCATCCTTTTCACAGGGAATGCCTTCCTTGTCAAACACAGTTTTGAGCCGCGTGACGACAGCATCGATGCCTGGCTTGCCTACGTGGATAATCTCTGCCATGCCGGATTGCCGAAGGGGTCTGAGGGAGGGGTGGTAAACGTCGTTGCAGATGAGAATGAGCGGCCGCATCAACCGGAAATCATCACCCTTTTTCTTATTCCGACTTGAGCCGTTGGAGGCACCAGCGCTATTCTTCTGATCAAGAAGCACCAGGTCAATGAGGGCCTTGACGAAGCCACCCTCTCCTGAAGCGCCGGAACCGCCAACAACTCCATCGACTTCATCGACAATTACGCAGGCCGGCTTGGCGACTTTTTGCTGTGTTTCCCCGTCCTTGGTCTTGACGTTCTCAACTGTCTTGACACTTTCAGTCCCCAGGGAGGTTCGTATTCGGTTCTTGACCACGTCTCGGCTTCGGTCATCACTGGCGTTGATCTCCATCACTTCGTACCCTGCTTGCCTGGCGCAGACATGCGCCAATGTAGTCTTTCCGAGGCCAGGTGGCCCCGTCAGCATCAGTATCTTCTTGTGTGGCTTTTCCTCCTCCTGAACCTGCTTCGTCCCGGGTCTCCGCACGATGGGTGCTTTCTTCGCAATACCGGGGAATACGATCGGGTCCCAGCGCTTTAGCCAGCGGAGGACCATTCGATTCGTGCCATCGTCACCACAAAGATCCAGGAAATTCTTGGCCCTATATTTCTCGGTCCACAAGAGTGTCTTCTTATGTTGTTTGCTGGTATTCAGTGGTTCCACCGAGCGGACTGGCACATCACTCTCCTTTCTCTGTGATTGACGGAGCTCAGTGGCTTCTTGTTTCGCGGTATCAATGAGCTCATTGATGTCTATGCCGTAGTATGCGCGTTTCGCCTTTCCTTCCTTCGTCTTGGACCGTGCAGCAATGATGTTCTCGTACGAGGTGTTCGTCGTCGGCTTCCGTTGGTTGATAGTGGCAGACGACCCGGTGCATGTTGTAAGTTTAAAGGTTCGGGAGGACTTAAAAAAAGATGGGGTTGAGCTGAGGAGTGTCGAAGCGAGACCTGATGGGCTTTCGAGGGGTACAGTCTGTGAAGGCTGGGCTGCGACGGAATTGCTAGTCTTCTGAGGCGCTGGCGCTGTTGGCTCGAGTATATCTTCTACTGAGATCGTTGTGACTGGCGCTGGACGTTGCAGGCGGGCGCTGAAATCGACGATTTGCTTCTTCAGCGGGGGTTGTTGTTCATTATCGTCATCATCAGAGTCGTCGTCGAGGAGGAATCCGCTGTTGACCTTCGGTTTCGGTCTCGTATGCTCAGCAGCTGTAGGCCTCGCGCGTTTCGCAGCTGGTGGTGAGGAGCTTGCGGGAAAGGTTATAGGCGATGAAGCGCTCGGCATCTTGACCGGATCAGATTAGAAGAAGTAGGGGCCAAAATGGCTTAGCGATTGTCCCGGTGTAGCTGCTTTGTCGAGCGTTGCGATGTGGTGATGTCGCTATGGTGACAATTAAATCTTGGGTGGAAGAGACGCGACGAAACGCGGCCCTGGACGCGTTAATGGTTAGTGGGGGTCTAGTCCCTACAGTGCTGATTGTGTGTTATCAGACTCACGCACTGTTTTCATGACGTGGGGATTTAGAACAATCACCTTTATGAGGGTTCGACGTTAGAGACGAAGCTAAGATGAAGCACTCGATGGGTTTAACAAGGCTGATTCAATCTGAGTATAGTTGATACGGAATTTCTCTCGTCATGTTTGTGCTGACTACCTGCAGCCGGTGCAGTTAAAGGGTGTTCGTTCTCGACCGCGAGGGCTGCTAGCTTGAGGTGAGCCATGCTCACCCCCCCCCAGTAGATATTGAACGGAATAAATCCTTTATAGCGTAGCCAACTATAGCTTAAATCCAAATTGTATCGCTTTTCTCCTTTTCCTACTTCTCGCTGACAGCGCCCATCTCTTCCAACAAAGCCCGATAGGACTTTGCTTCCTCTACCATCTCTTCCATACTCCTTGCCTTCCTCATCGCATCCTCGATCGTCGCAAACTGCCCTCCGGCCTTTGGCCTCTTTCCTAGCTCCTTATCCCATAACGCACCGCCCACATTTCCCTCCTCGCCGGCCATTTGCTCGTAAATCTCATCTCTCGGCCCAGACCCGTCTTTGCCCGTCTCACCAGGGATGCGTGGAATGATGTGCACGTGAACGTGCGGTACCGTCTGCCCTGCGTCCGCGCCATCCTGCACAGCGATGTTGAAAGACCCTGCCTCTGGCGCCGCCGGCGATGACGACGCAGAGGGAAAGTAGCGGCGAGCCAGCATTTTCTGGACCAGCTGCGTCGTTGTGAAGAGGTCTGTCACCTCGACCGGCAGGAGGTCTGTCAGGCGCTTGTAAGGCTTCAAAGGACAGATGAGAACGTGGCCCTGGAGGAGAGGTTTGAGGTTGACCAGGGCGAAGGAGTGGGCCGTCTTGAAGAAGACCTGGACTCGTATTAGTCCACGCTGTACCAAGACGCAAGTGAGGCGTTTCGCGTTCAGTGACGAGACAAACTGCTCACTATCTTGTTGAGGCATTTTCAGAACAACACCGTCATGAGCGTAGCCAAAAGTCGAGTCTCCAACTCGTCTCACCCCATGCTGCACGACGCTGGACGACGACTCGAAGAGATGCGACTAACCTGGTCGGTGACTTCGAACGGCCCGAAATGAATCTTGTCCTGAGAGCTCATCGTTCGTCGAAAATCGAAGGTGTGAGCTCGGGGTAGTCTTTTAGTCAAAGTTCGCGTGCTGAACATAATCCACAGGCAACTTGTATGTTCTGTAGAGGTGGTGTAAGTAGATCGGGAAGTGTTGATCGCACAGATCCTGGCAGCTGTGTGGAGTTGGCTGGGAAATTGTTAGTACCATCGAAGAAACACAGTGGCGTCATCATCACAATCATTTTGGTTTTCAGGCGGTTTGACCCTTGTTCAACGGAAGTCACGGAAAAACTTGATGCATACCAAGAGTGGAAGATACAGTTTCTATTTGACTAGATTTGCAGAACACGGATGAAACCGAGTGATGTATGTCATGATGGGATTTGGATAACTTTTGGTTCCCGCCATTCCCGAGTTCCAGTTTAGGACCCTAACAGGTCGCCCATTCCTCTAATAGTACATAATTACACGCCGTCGTCATGAGCAGCGACTAGAAGCATTTTATTGCGCGAGGGTTCTCTCTTGCGTCGAGGAAAGCTTTGTCTGCTGTCCGGCAAAGAACTTCTTCGATTCCAAGCACCGCTCGCTCTTGCAACCAGGGCAGCGGAGCTCCATCTGGTGCGAGCAGGCAATGCCACTGTCAAGGTGAGCCTTGGCAATGTCTGCAAGAGCCTTGATGAAGATTGGGCTTCCGTTCAAACTCTCGACTCGCTTGACGGTTTCTGGTGATCCAGAGTCCCCAATGACCTCAAGATCCAACTCATACAAAGTTTCAATATGGTCCGAAGTGAACGCGATAGGGATCAAAACCAGATCTTTCTGGCCCTTGTGAACGTAGTTCTCGACCGAGTCGGAGGTCTGCGGTCCAAGCCAAGCGGAGGGGCCAACCTGCGACTGCCAGCAAAGACGGTAGGGGTTGGAAAACTTGAGGCGCTGCATGACGGCGTAGACGGTCGCAGCAACTTCAGCGGGGTAGGGATCGCCTCTGTTGACAACCGACATGGGCAAACTATGGGCGGAGAAAAGCAGCACAACGTCCTTGCGTCTCTCCTCGGGGTATTCCAACAGCTTCGCCTCAATGTTTTGCGCAAATGCCTCGACCAGGCCAGGGTGGACAGGCCAGCGGTCAATGACACTCCAAGAGATTGTACCGTCGCCCGGTTTCGTCTCTCCCACTGCCTTGCCTTCCAACCGTTGCCGCCACTTCCACAGCTCGTTGATGCTGCTTCCAGTTGTTGAGCAAGAGTATTGGGGGTATTGTGTAAATGCAACTGCTCTTCCGCCCTTTCCATTTCCGAAGCCGTCTGCCAGCAACTGGTTGTACATCTCCTCCGTCAACGGGTCAGCGTAGCGGAACGCGGTATACGGCTTGTGAGGTGCGGTCTCGGGCGAAATTTGGTCAAGGATCTTGCACATCTCCGCGTTCTGATACTCGGTCCATTTGCGAATCGGAGAGCCACCACCTATTTCGGCGTATTGCTTTTCGATCTTAGGGGTTCTTCGCTTGGAAATGAAAGGGCCAAGGTAGTTCTGGAAGCGACCGAGAGGAATCAAATCGCCATCTGCCTACGAACTGTTAGCTGTCTATTGGCCCTACAGCCTGGTGACAACGTACAAAGAGTCGGCTCAAGAAGTCGCCCACTTCGCCTGTTGTCGAGGGGCCACCCATGTTCATGAAAACCATGGCCGTCGGGCCCTTGGATCCAACGGAGTTTTGCGTGACAGGCGGAACTGTCGCCATTGACCTCAATTGAGGCGACGACAGAACGAGGGGTGAGGTGACATGGCGCGTTGAGGTTGTCGCCTTGGACAAGCTCCGGGAGAGCCTTCCTGTCGAGTACTTGAGAGCCATTGGATTTGCAATAGCGTGGTAAATTGAATGTTTCGCGCAACGCGGGCCAGTAAGGGAGGAGCGAAATGGGAATATTCAAATGGTTCTGGAAAAGCGCACATGTGGCAATGCGCGGACTCTGGTGATGCGTGCTCGATGCTAGACGACACTTTGTGGAATTCGGACTTCGATGACGAAGTAAATCCCGATCTGGACATGAGCCCACCGAGCACCGAGCTGGACCCTGCATGCCCGAGCTGATAGGAGATCACCTTCTTTAACCCCCGTCTTTGGCACTGAAACAGCTTCTGCCTGAGTATTCTCCTAACTGCTCAAGCTTTGACCAATCAGCGCCTGCGTAATCGGACAACCCGATCACGTGGTTACGCGCAGGAAGCTTTAGTGGGGCTTCTCCGGTCGCGCGAAGCTCACCCCGGTCTGGGCGCGTTGGTGCCTGGAGACGAAGCCCGCAAAGGTGACATACCCGTCCCTTGCTGCGACCGCCTTTCTGCAAATCAACCCCAGAACATACTCGGACTTTTCAACGATTCCTTACAATGGCAGATCGCGGGCATTTTAAAAGAGAGGAGGAGGATGAAGAAGAGGCTGAGGAGGAGATTGATGAGACCGTGAGCGTCCATATTCATGGTGGATGACTTATAACTGACGCATCGCAGGATTACAAGGCACAAAAAGATGCCGTTCTGCTCGCCATTGATGTCAGCTCATCAATGCTACAGCATCCCCCAGCTTCGGGCTCAAAGAAGGCGGATAAGGACAGCGCCGTCGAAGCAGCCTTGAAATGCGCCTACCATCTCATGCAGCAGCGCATTATCTCGAACCCTCGAGACATGATGGGCATTCTCTTCTTCGGCACTGAGAAGTCCAAATTCCAAGAGGAAAGCGGTCGGTCTGGCTTGGGATATCCGCACTGCTACTTGTTCACCGATCTCGATATTCCCGCAGCAGAGGATGTCAAGGCGCTGAAGACGCTAGTCGGCTCTGACGGCGAAGAGGGCGAGGACGAGGATGAGGTCCTGGTGCCGGCAAAAGAAGATGTGCAGATGGCAAACGTGTTCTTTTGCGCAAATCAGATCTTTACAACCAAGGCGGCGAATTTTGGCAGCAGGCGCCTTTTTATCATTACAGACAATGATGACCCTCACGCCAAGAACAGGGATGCCAAGTCAGCAGCGGCTGTTCGAGCCAAGGACCTCTACGACCTCGGTGTTATCATCGAACTGTTTCCCATCACCAGAGAGGACAAAAAATTTGACCTCGGCAAGTTCTACGATGTAAGTATCAAAGACTTGGTTGAAGAGTTTTAACTTATCAGCGTAGGACATCATCTATCGAGACCAAGCCGCGGAGGCCAACCTCTCCGAGGTACGAAGCTCAAAGTCAGGGGACGGCCTCACACTTCTCAACTCCCTGATTTCCAACATCAACTCCAAAGAAACCCCCAAACGTGCTTTGTTCTCCAATCTCCCCTTCGAGATTGCTCCCGGACTGAGGATATCGGTCAAGGGCTACAACGTCATCCACCGCCAGACGCCAGCCAGAACATCATACATTTATTTAGACGGCGAGAAGCCTCAACTTACCAACGGCGAGACGACCCGCATCGCCGAGGACAGTGCCCGGACGGTGGAAAAGACCGAGTTCAAGAAGGCTTACAAGTTTGGCGGCGAGTTCGTACATTTCGCTCCTGAAGAGCAGAAGTCTCTCAAGGATTTCGGTTCCCCATCATCCGCGTCATCGGCTTCAAGCCGCGCTCCATGCTCCCCTTCTGGGCCAGTGTCAAGAAATCGACCTTCATCTTCCCTTCTGAAGAAGACTACGTCGGCTCGACCCGTGTCTTTAGTGCCCTGTGGCAAAAGCTGCTCAAAGACAAGAAGATCGGCATTGCTTGGGCCATCACCCGTTCCAATGCCAGTCCCATTCTCGTTGCCATCATCCCTTCTCATGAAAAGTCAGAAGATGACTCAGGGACTCCATACCTCCCTGCCGGTCTTTGGCTCTACCCGCTTCCCTTCGCCGACGACCTCCGCGAGGGCCCTGAGCCTCCCAGCAACCTCGTTGTCGGCTCCAACGAGCTCATCGATCGCATGCGCATCATCGTCCAGCAGCTGCAGCTGCCAAAGGCCATGTACAACCCGAAGAAGTACCCCAACCCCTCGCTGCAGTGGCACTACAAGATCCTCCAGGTCTTGGCTCTCGAAGAGGAGTACCCAGAGAAGGCGGAAGATCTCACGGAGCCAAAATACAAAGCCATTAGCAAGCGCGCCGGAGGGTATCTGGACGAGTGGGCCGAGGTTCTGCAGGCTGAGACAAAGAACGCATTGGCTAAGGCGGCTATCAAGCGCGATGTGGACGAGGATGATGTCGAGAGGCCCGCCAAGAGGGTGAAGGCGGCGCCAAAGACGGAAAAGGTGCCTGGGTCCGGGATGACCACGGCGCAGCTCAAGGCGGCGGTTGATGGCGGCGGTTTGAGCAAGATGCTAGTGGCGGATCTCAAAGACATCCTTGCTGCTAGGGGGCAGAGCACGACAGGGAAGAAGACCGATCTTATTGAGAGGATTGAGCAATGGGTGGAAGACAATGCCTGATGCTGTTATGGAATGATTTGGCTTTGCGATGAGACTGTATTATACCACTTGCAAGCAGGATTATTAGGGAAACGCCACGTAGTTGGGCGACTGAAGTTATACGCCCATGTTATTTGCTGCATCACTGGTCCTTGCCGGTACTTTGTGACCAACGTCCCGTCGAACGTGGGTGCTTCTACAACAAGGACACAAGGACATTGCGCGTCTTCACTGTCCTTCCATTCGTCCCTATTTCTTGTTGTATTTCGTTTTATTATTAATCTCTCTCCTTTTGTCGATCTCGGTTTTACAGTCTCTCTCGGTTCGTATTGTCTGGAGCGTCGGTAGTCTACCAATTGAACTTCTTGGTCTTCCTGAGTGATTGAAAGGTAGAAGAACGACATCAGTACAAAAGATACGACACAAAATATGGCGGTAGCGAAAAAAGCACACCAGCTGTCGACTCGGAGCTTGGACAGGGTAACTAGTGAAGCGCTATAGTTACCAAAGAGCAACTACTCCCTTCTTCTTCCATTCTAATGTCCCAATTATCTCCTTCTTCAATGATCAGACTGTGTTCTGACCGATAGGCCACTTAAGAAGGCCGAGGGGACAGACTTCCGGGCCACTTGCGGCGGCTTTGATGATGTCCGCGGCCTATAAGTTGTTTCAGCAACCTTTCAACCACGTAGGCTCATGTCTCGCTTGCTGCAGACTTACCTTTTCAGCCACGGCATACACCGCAGCCTGGATATGCGCACCCGGAATCAAGGGCATGATCCCCGCATCGATAACCCGCAGGTTACACGTCCCGTACACCATCAACTCAGCATCCACGACCCCGCCCATATCTTCAGGCATCATGCTCGTTGTCCCGCTGGGGTGATACTCTGTACCTACCAGCGGCTTTAGCGCCGCCGTCAACTCCATGTAGTCGTCCGATTCGAACCGCGTGTCCACGACAGGAAGAAGCGGCCTCATCGCATCGGACTTCATGAGTCTCCGTACTGTTCGCAGGCCAAGCCTTATGATCTTGCAGTCGAACGGGTCTGCGCAGTAGCGCGGGTCAAGCAGAGGCCCGTCGAAGATGGAAGGAGAGGTCGGATGGACGGTGCCGCGGGACAGGGGCTTCTGAGCGGCGATGGAGATTTGACCCCAAGAGGCGGCGAGGAGTTCGTAGGCGCCGACGTCTTCGCGGGCGAGGTGGTCGAGTACGATGCGCTTTTGCGTGGCGTAGCCTGTCTGTACTGTGCGTGGAGTATCGAGGGGAAGGAAGTCGAAGGAGGATTGATTTGTAGCATTGTGGAGAGCTTCCCCTTCATGTTCATGCCAGTGGAGGCTTGGGAAGGCGACAGTATTTATCAAAGGCGCTGTCAACGGGCCTGGGGAAGTGAGCTTGTTTGTCTTTCGTTTTGATTTGGGTTCACGTACCAGTATGGTTAGTGTTGAAGGTGGTGAGCGCGTCTTCGAAAGCGTCGCCAGTCAGATCGCGAGAGGTAAAAGCAGACGAGTTAGAGTCTAGGCCAAGGGTTAGATGAATGCCTTGAATAACAGCAGTAGACAAAAGCTTACATTCGAACGGAAACTGAGCCATGGGATGATCCTGAAAGTTGTTTCCAACTCCCGGCAGGTCAATCTGCACGGAGATATTCAAGGACTTCAAGACTTTCTTGGGGCCGATGCCTGAGATCTGCAGGAGAACAGGGGATTGAATAGCACCAGCGGCAAGGATAACCTCTTTGTTGGTGGCTACTGTCCTGTTGATTCCGGAGGGCCCTGAGGCGAACTGTTTTTACGGAGCAGTCATGGTTAGTGAAATGGCATAAGGTAACGACAAAACATGGCAGTTGACTTACATCGACTCCGATGATGCGACGGTTACCGCCCGTTATTAATGAACTGGGCAAGCCTAAAATCAGCCGCGTAACAGTCTGACCCGTCAAGACGTGTAGGTTCGAACGGGAAATAGCTGGGTCGAAGTACCCAGTCCTCGCATCGGAGCGGGTCTGGTTGGTGGGAGACATGCTCGATGGGATGACCATAGCGCCCGTTGGGTCACCAGTGTCAAGGTCGCCCGCGAGATTGAGGCCTATTTCTGAGAGGCCTTGAATAACATGGTCTTTACAGTATTAGCTCAAGAATCCTAGGCACGTGAGAATGCGTGGGGGCGAGAGCCGACTTACCCGATGTGTTGTAAAAATATCGTGGGTAAGCGACGTCAATCGGTCCTTCAGTTCCGTGAAGAGACATGTCCGGGTGAATGTTGAGGCGGTCTCGCATGTTCTCGTCAACATTGGTCGTGTAATTCTCGACCTGTGTCATGATTCAGCATCAATCACCTCCTTAGCCTCCGGAAAGATGCCCTAGCCACCTTCTTGAAGTAAGGAAGTAGGCTCTGCCATCCCCAACCTGGGTTTCCCAATTCCTCCCAAGCGTCGAAGTCGGCGGCCGCGCCTCTAGTCCAGCACAAGCCATTCGTCACCGAGCCGCCGCCGATGACTCTGCCTTGGCTGATACTGCGCGTCTTGCCATCGAGGAAGGTCTGCGGAGCAGTTTCCACGCTCTTGCCGTAGGGCGATGGAGGCAGGAGGCCGATGTAGCCGGGGGCGACAACCTTACTCTCACGTCCGTCACTAGAACTTTCAGCAATGTAGCTCAGTGACGGTAAGTGCTTCAGATAAACAACTCACAGTTCGCCGGACTCAATTACGAGAACAGTCGCTGTATTTAGTTAGCAAGGCCCAAAGCTGAATTGGAGCAGAGGGTTTTCCGTACTATTCAAGTCTTCACTCAAGCGGTTCGCGACAACCAGTCCCGAGATACCACCTCCAACAACAATGTAGTCATACTCGTCAAGTAGGAACTTGGCAACCGTCTGACTCGTTATATGGAGGGAGGCCGAGAAAGGCAGGAGCGTCCAGGAAATGAAACAAAACAATACCAATGCGTAATTCATGTTGGAGAAAACCGCCAAAGATATGGAGGTCAAAGAAACCTGTTGTTGCATAAGAAAAAGAAGTTCAACTCCAAGGTTGTATGTATGTTGAAGATTGAAGGTGAGGAAATTGTGACTGTGAGTTAGGGTGAGGATTCATCTGTGTGGCCGAGTGCGAGAAGGGCCTAGTTGCCTTTCCGGTATACATTAGAGGATGATATGAGATAGGAGCCTACAGCTCATGTGTTGGATTCACTGTTTCTCATCCAAGCTATCGAACCAGGGCTTCGGCCTCCTCATCTTTGTTACCATTTCGGTAGAACGCAAGCTTTTTATCCCTTCCTACAAACTCAGGAAACCGTAATGCAAGAAAGATCAGTGGCGCAAGATCGGATCAGACGTATCAGACTATTGCTGTAGGATGGGTTCCACATAGAGAAAAGCACCATCGATCTCTCACCAGTTCGTATCTGTTTATTTGCTTGGAGGCATACCGAACTATGTGTCGATTCCCGGCTCACGGCCGTTTTCTTATCAGATTATTCCCGCATGACTGGCCTATTTTGTCCAGAGACTCTACTTGTTTGTTGATGAAGGCGCAACTTCTTTCATGATTTCCTGATTGAACCTCAAGCAATATACGATTTTTTGAATCGGATACAACTTTAAATGAGTGTTCATTATGACTGAATACTCCTTGTTTGGCTTTCACATGCTTCCGAACCGGCAAATACTCCCGTTGATGTCTGACATGGTTGCATTTGGAGTTTTCCTATGAAATTCAAACGCTGCTATGTTCCAAACCCTGGATATGATTCCTAAAGAAGCGAAAAGACTATGTATGTGTGAGCCGATAGGGAAGCAAACTTGATCTTCGTCTGGGCCATCCACTGGGATGACTGCCGCTTTCAGTGCGTTTCTCGCCAGAAGAGCCTACGGGAATACATATGCTCATATAAGTAATTGGTAAGGAACATAAACTGAATGGGTAACTACTGCTTTTTCAGGATGTCTAACCTGGCACTTGGTGTTTCTTACACCTACTAAATTCTAATCTTTACCACACAGTCCTCGATGTAGTTGCCAGACCGGCCGAAGGCGATGTTGAGAGTTTAGCATCGAGGGTCGCCTCCTAAGAACAGGCCCTTTAATGTCATGATCCTCTGACTGACAGAACCGTATGCTCTGAAAACTTCCATCAATGCTGTAGAGTAAATGGTTTCTCAGAGCCGATTCAAGGAGGACAAGACTATTTTTATCCCCAGTCTATAGACCCGTGATGTTGGATGGTAGGAAAGAATGGAAAGGTACCTTCCCTATTGAACCAAAGCGAGTATCAGTGACCCACTCCGACCGCTTTGGCCAATGGGACGACACCTTAAGTAATCTGACCACTCCTCCTTCCATTCATCCTGTGTGACGCAAGAGTTATTTCCACCAATTTCATCTCAGCTTGCAATGATCAGGCTGCACTATGAATATGCTGGGAAGAGCCTTTGTACGAAGAAACGAGGCGTTACGCCGTGCTCCGGCCACGGTAGGCTCCCGCCGCTTCCTCCACCTCGCGCCCCCGTTCCTCCTCGAGGACTACATGCCCCGATACATGACATTGTCCTCTATCGATGAATCCAAAAAGCGATCCAAGGCTTACGCCCATCTTTCCAACTGCAATCTGTGCCCGCGACTATGCGGTGTGAACCGCTTCGAAAAGACCGGAATGTGCCTGATTGGCGACAACACGAAGGTCAATGTGATTGCGCCGCATTTTGGTGAAGGTCTGGAGCATCTCCCTCCATTGCGTCCAACAGCTTCCCTCTCGGAGTTTGTGCAAGGGTGGAAACACTGACTACCATTCTAGAACCTTGTGTCCAGGGGCACAATGGCAGTGGCGCTGTATTCTTCTCGGGCTGCAACCTCCGTTGCGTCTTCTGTCAAAACCATGACATCGCCCATCAGCGCAACGGCCAGGATCTGACGCCCGAAGAACTGAGTGAATGGTACATGAAGCTGCAGCAGGTTGGCCGCGTCCACAATATCAACCTCATCACCCCGGAGCACGTTGTTCCTCAGGTCGTGCTTAGCATCCTACATGCGAAGGAGCTAGGTCTGAAAGTCCCAATCATCTACAACACCTCCAGTTTTGATTCGCTGGCTTCCTTGGAGTTACTGGATGGCTTGGTCGACATTTACCTCCCCGATTTCAAGGTCTGGGAGACGGCCACATCCAAGCGCTTGCTGAAGGCAGACGACTATGCTGCCACGGCACGCGAGAGCATCAAAGCAATGCACAAACAGGTTGGCGACCTGTGCTTTACCGGAGACGGCATCGCCAAAAAGGGCATCCTTGTGAGGCACCTGGTTATGCCCGGAAAAGAAGCAGAGGGGCAGCGGATCATGCAATTCCTAGCCGATGAGGTCTCTAAGGACTGTTTCGTCAACATCATGGAGCAGTACCACCCAGATGCTCATGTTGGCAAGTCTAGAAAACGCACAAAGGATAGCACCGACAATCGGAGCGATGAGGTGCGGTACAACGAGATCAACCGAGCAGTATCAGGCGACGAAGTTTCGTCGGTGCGGAGGGCCGCGGAGGCAGCTGGTCTATGGCGCTTTTGCGATCCTCCCAGACATGACGGCTTCAACATCTGAGAACATGACCCTTGCGTCGCTGCCAAGATGCCACCGCATGCCCCTGCACCTGTGACAAGAGTGGCTTGCCAAGCCGGTGGGACACTCTTAAATGGCTGGACCGGCTATAAATGCACCAGGACTCAGAGCCTCTTAAAAGCAGGGGGTGGGTTCGGACTATACTGGTGACACAACCAAAGTGCACAACGACTCTAGGTACGAGAACTATTGGTGATCCTATTATCAGGTTTATTGACTTTGTCGTGGCGTTCTATTATCGCACATTTCTCAGATTGATGTTTAGATCCACAAATGCGTTTCAGCAACTTTTTAGCAGCCCAAGCCGTTTCGCTTCCACGTCTGGGAAGTATTAAGCTGACGAACCTGTAAACATAAATGTCTGTGCCAGTCTATTACAACCATCACCCGGCCGAAGGTACTATGGATGCTTCGCTAGCCGGTCACATTCAATACGAACTATCCCTCATGTTTGTCTACGACGTACTGATCACGTCTGAGCTCCAATAACCATGTCAGCTTGTTTGCCTCCTAGAACGCCTACCCTTTCTAGGGCACACCATGCTAAAATCAGACTGCCCTTGTCTATTGCACCTTCATTTGATCAGTTCTATCAAAGCTTCTTGGTCTTACATAAGGAGACGCCGCAACACGCAACCTCAAGATTGTACCACTCTGGAGTCTCTTTGTTTCGAGTCTGCCAGGTTCGGATATGTTGGGAATTCGCTTGATTCTTTGGATGCCTATATCTAGCTCGAAAGAGCCAACTTTCGCCTCGATACCCTATTCACAGCAGTCTCTCTACCCTCCTCTTACTCCTCGTCATGGATCAATATGTCAAAGCCCCAGCTTTCGTCCCTTCAGCAGCCAATACTCACGACGCGATGACTACCTCTTCGGAAGACTCGTCACCAAGCCAGCCTCCATATCAACCTCGCCGCGAAGGGTCAAGTATGTTCTACCTCGAAGCACTGCCGTTGCCTCTCCGACCCACGTTAAGACTAGGATGTACGAGCTCAAGGAGCAACATGAACATCAATGCCAAGCAGAAGCCTGGGTGGTCGGCATTTCCGTCACCAAACTCTTTCGAGCACCTCTACGCCGAGAAAGCTTATCTGACGGCTTCACTGAACAACCAGAGCGACCGAGAAGTGGACCTCATGAGGAAGCTTTCCATCCTTCAGGAGAAGATCGACAATGAACTGCCGCCTGACGAGCGACGCAAGTCGCGGAAGAAGACTGCCCTGCTGAAGAGCAGGATTATGGAGGCAGCGGCACAGAAGAAGACAATTCTTCTGAGGCTCGGCGACATTTATGTAGAGCTCCAGAGTCGGGAGACGTGGATGCAAATCCAGAACGAACTATACGAGCGACGATGCTCCTCGTGGTCCACGGACTCGCCGAGTGCTGCCTACGTTACGACGCCTTCGGATGTGACATCTCTGATCCCAAGGCCCTTGGACGCTGCCTCGCCAATGTTCTTCCCCGCGGGTTGCCATCAGACCTACAACATGTGGGAGGCCACGACTCCTTGCTTCGAGCCCGAGATGTGCGCTCCGCAAGATGACGTACCGCCCGAATTTTGGTCACAAGGTGACGAGGCCTTCGACATTCGCGCGGACAAGCTAGGAAACCATGACTTGCGGTTCGAGTACGAAGACCAGACGTTGCTCCAGGATGTCGATAGGACCCGGAACCAACTTCTGGTCAGAAACGACAGATTTCGAAAGCTCAAAAAGACAATGAGCCTTCCCTCGTTGAAAAGTCTTTGGCCTGGGTCCGAGAAATCTCATGGGCTGCAGGCGAATACAGGTGAGGCCCTTGGGGCCTAGCAGAATGATAGGGTGCATCACAGAGATGACGCCAGACGTGTATGAACCGGTTTGTTTCCTTTCTCCATATCATGTCCATGTAGTAGGCTCGTGTACGGCAACTGCGGCAAACGGCGTAGGGAATCTTTTACTATAATCATCGAATAAATGGCCCTTGAACTCCTTGCATCACCCTGACTTTTCTGGCCGCTGCCCGCACTGGATCAAGTGACGGGGAGCTTCCTCCACACACACCCACAAGTCACCCGCTCGCAGGGAGACCTACGCAAACTCGCCAAATTGGCCGTCGTCGAATCCGAAGTCCTGCGCCGATTTCCGCTTCTCCCGCTTCTGCTCACGAATGTTGGAGGCACTGGGCGGCGGAGGCAGGAAGCTGTTATTGCTCTTGGGCGCGCTCGGCGGCGGCGGTAACGAGAAGGCTTGCAGTCCCGCCCCCGACGCCGCGACGTTGTTGGTGTCGGACTCGGGCCTCGACCGACGGCCGATCTTGGACCCGCCAAAGTTGATGGTGATCGTCTCGCCCTCCTTCAGGCTGTAGTCCTTGTTCTTCTCCTCCTCGGCACGCTTGCTGTTCTCCGCCGCCTGCTTGGCGTGGCTTGCGTCCAGCAGGCCCAGGCTCTTCTGTGCCTCCTGCAGCGCGACGCCAAAGTCAAAGGCCTCGCTGCGCTCCTCGAAGCCGATACCCAGCACGGCCTTGCGGCCCTGGCCGTCCATGACGCGCACGGCGAAGAAGCGCGAGGAATCGAGGACGGGCTCGACGGCAGAGATGGAGGTGTAGGGGGCGGCGGCAAAGAGCTGACCGTTGGAGGGGTCCTCGAGGACGATGTCGACCTTGATGTGGTTCTCCTTGTTCGTGATGCCGGCAGGGGCGCCCGGTGCGACGGGAATCACGGCGCTGCCGACGCCGACGGGGGTCGGTGCGGGGGCGGCGGCGGTCTCCCAAGCGGTCTCGAGGACACGGAGGCGGGCGGTGAAGATTTGGCGTTCGGTCCAGCCGGCGGCGGTGTAGCCCTTGTTCGAGGTCAGGGGCGGGATGTTGTAGACGTGGGCTCCCGAGGCGATGAAGAGGATGCGTTGAATCGCATCGGCGGGGAGGGGCGCGCCGGTTGTGGGATCGGTTTGCTCCATTGTGAGTGTGGTTTGTGTTATTCCTTGGGTTTGCGGTATCAGGTAGGTGCAGGAGGAGGCAATGGAGAGCTTCGACGAAGTTGTCGATGGTGGAAAGGTAGGGGAAGCTTCATGTCGAAGGGAGGGATTAAGTGAATTGCTTGCTGTCGGTCAGGGGGGGAGGGGGGGCAGATGAAGGCTTACAAGGACGGGAGCTTGATTAGCTGGGTTGGGTGGTGTCAGTGTTTCGGGAGTGGAGGGGGACCCCGCTGTCGGTAGTGGAATGCCTGGATGATGATACAGGGCGATGAGAGTGAATGAGACCGCTATTCTGTGGCTATGGAAACACCCTGGGAATGGGCTAGTGGAAGGGATGAGGGGGGGAGTGACAGATAGATGGATACTTGGTTGTAGCTGCAAAAATTGCGCTCAGTGCCAGGTAGTCATGTAACTGTGAGGTCCCCTTCCGCCCTGATTAGATTAGCTGGACTACCCCGCCAAATCAGCGCGATCAATGCCAATGCTAATCCCCGGCTGGCGGCAAGCTCCATTGTGTGGTGTGGTCAGTCAGAGTGGAAATTGAGTCACTGGCCTCCCAAAATTTCCCAGAGCTTCAACACCAAAACTCCCCCGCCATCGCGACAACCGACACTTCGATCGCATACTCGATCGCGAAACCCATACCTGACCCGACGCTACGTAGCTGTCAGGTTCTCGGAAATCTCTACATCATTTTCACCGCCCTATCTCCCAGCCCAGCGCAAGAGTCGCACGATACGAGGGGCCTGCCCGTCTTTTGAACCCCCGATCCTCCCTCCTACACATCATTATGGCTACCGGTGACCTCACGCGTACGCTGCTCCGCCCTCCCGCATGATAACCTCCATGATCAGCGCATAGAAATTTTCAGCTAGAGGCTAACACCATGGTTCTACAGCAGCAGGCGACAGCCAAAAGCCCCCGGCTTCCGACATCCCCATCCGCAACAAGACAACAGATGACTTCGAGTACAACACCACCCGCAATCCTCCTCCCGTATCACCGCTCCAGCTAACGTCTCTCCTCCGTCCAGTATCGTCTCAACATACCACTCCCTTCTCCAAGACCCCGACCTGACAAAACCCGTCGCCGCCATCGAGGCCCTCATTTCCCTCCTCAACGCCTCGGGCACCACAACCGTCTACGAGACGCTCGACCTCGTCAAGCGCGCATCAAACACCCTCCACGCCTCCGTCAAGAACCCCGTGCCCCTCCAGGCCGGCACCGACCTGTTCCTGCAGTACCTTGTCTCCTCGCTTAAGCAGCAGGAGGGTTCCTCGTCCGCTGCCGCGAGCCCGCACCAGTCCTTTGACGCCGTCCGCACTCACCTCCTGCGCAATGGCCGCCTCTTCGCCTCCCGCGCCATCGCCGCCCGCGACCGTATCGCCGATGCCGGCTGGCGCTTCGTCCGCGATGGCAAGGTCGTCCTGACCCACGGCGCCTCCCGCGCTGTCTCCACCCTTCTGTTCCGCGCGGCCGACCAGTTTGGCGACGGCGGCGTGCGCTTCAAGGTCGTCTACGTCCGCGATGAGCACCGCCCCGCCGAGTCGGACCGCGTCGTGCGGGAGCTCCGCGAGAAGGGCATCCCCGTCGCCGAGATCGCCGAGCCCGCCGTTGCGCACGTCTTGGGCTTGCTGCGCCAGGTCCACATGGTCTTCGTCGGCGCCGAGGCCGTCACGCAGAACGGCGGCATCATCTCGCGCATGGGCACCTACCAGATCGCCAAGCTGGCGAAGCAGGCCGGCCTGCCCTTCTACGTCGCCGCCGAGTCGCACAAGTTTGTGCGCAAGGTTCCCCTGGACCAGCGGGACTTGGGTTTCAAGCAGCATGTGTTGGACTTCCGGACGGACGGCGCGAGCGTGCAGCCCGAGGACGCCGTGGACTACACTGTGAGTTTTGTATAGATGGTGGTTATGTGCAAATCAGCTAACGAAGCGTCCGACAGCCGCCTGATTTCATTTCGAACCTTGTGACGGAAAACGGTGTTAAGCTGCCTAGCTACGTGTTCGAGCAGCTTCTCGATATTTACGGCAGTCTCAACGGTTGAGCCGATTGAGCGAAACACCGTTACCGACTCGAGGTGCCACATTTATGCCTTGCAGATGAGAATTATAGAAACAGGGGTGGAAAAGCAGGTGGCTCCATCCAAAGACGTTCAACGGATGTGACGAAGTCCCGGCCCGGAGCGACGCAGGCCGTACTGTGGGGACGTAAACCGGCTCTTGGTGAGATTTGGAGCGGCCGACGTTTCCAGGGCCCTGGCTCGGCGGCCGGGGAGCCGCGACTCTTGGCTACGAACGGCAGCGAGATCCAAACAGGTGGCAAGAGGTGGTCGTGAACGAGGTACCTGTCAGGTACTTTGGAGACCGGCCCGGTGGCATGTAGAGAGATACTTTGGCAGCCGGCATCCGTCCCACCGATGCAGTCGTTGGCGACCGTTGCCCAGTAAAAGTCCATTGTTAAAAACAAGTCCATCAGCTTGGCCCCCCTGCCAAACTGTGTCCGCGACAATTCTCGTCCAACATTTACGGGGAAATGTAACCATTTTTCTGCAGGACGGGGAGACGATACATGATGATGACGAGAACAGCCCGACGACATGTCGCCTGCACCAGTGCGACCCTCCTCTTCCCACCATCCCAACCCCCCTCCTTTTTCTGCCCCTGCAAAGTAAGCTGCGAGAGATGGTGGTACCTACTCTTCCTACCCCACAAGGGGCAACGGGATTTTAAAAATAAATAAAAACCGCCAAAGACCCCCCACGACCTCTCAACGTCTTTGACGTCACTAGTCCCTGTAGGACCGGACGCACAGTATGACCTGCATTGCGCATTACGCCCGGTGAGACTGGGGAGGGGGGACCAGAAGGTGGCCTCATTCGGGTGTGGGGGAGGTCCCTTGTACCGAGGTATTGGTAATCCTCCAGACATCACAAAAGACATGGGTGAAGTGTGCATCCAAGAGGACGAAAGTGCCGAGGCTTGGTTTTCAAGCGAATGTGAGTATTGATTGATGCTTAAACCCGTCCAAGTCAACAGGGGCCCGCCTCGTTGGCGATAGGTAGTGATACATTACATATCCGGTCGTTACAGAGGAAAGCGAGTGAATGCTGAACAGGAAATGCAATGCTGAGTCGTGACCATAGATAGAACCTGAGCGTTTGTGTCCCTCGAAAGCCATCCAACAAAGAGCTACTAACAATGTAAATCACCAACTTTTGTCACAAATGCGCAGCACTCCAAGAACGAAGTTGAGTCGTTCTTAGGCCGAGGTCCGTTGTTGAAACGCTAGGCTCAGCCAGATGAAGCAAGCAAAAGGAGATTAAAAGTCAATAAAATCTACAGCAGTAGACGATAGCATGGTTGTTATTTTTGCGAGGCTGCGTTAGTTGATGTCTCTCACGAGTCTGGCTCCACACCAGGCAAAAGGATAGTTGCGCTGGTACCAGTTGACACTAGACTTCATCAGCAGCTGTTGCGTGGTATATGTTTGGCGAACGGTAAGAGTTGACTTACAACGAGCGTCGTCCGGCGATGCGGGGGTGGGTCGACCAAGATCCTCCAAGGACGATGTTGTGCTTGCCGTCAAAGAAGTCGGCTATGGACAAGTTAGCTGACAAACATGATGGAATCCATAAGGTTCGAGACGTCATACAGGTGTACTGAGGATACAGAGGCATGGGCTCGAAGCCTTCATGCCGAGCGAGGAGCGAGCTGGTCCATTCCCAGACGCCGCCAAGCTCACCTTGTCCCGCGAGACGGCCACCGTTGGCCGTCACGGGAACGGGGTGCCAATGCTGGAATCCAACATTGGCGCCGTCGAGGTCGACGAAGAGCTCTGAACGAGCCTTCTCGGCCTCGAGGGAGCTGGTTTTTGGTGGCGTCTCCTCGACCCCGTCATTCGACAGGTGCCTGCTTGTGTCAGTAGATGCAGACAGCTTGTTCGGCCGGTGTTATACATACCCGTTGACTGCTGGGACCGTTCTTCCGAGCGTGCGCTCAGCCTCCATTCTCTTCGAGTTGTGCACATAGTTGTAAATACTCCGGGCCTCCTCGAAAGTCGGAATCCGACCACCCATCCACGCAGCACAGCCAGAGAGCTCTTCGTATGAGGCAAAGATGGGCCAGTCTAGCGCGTATTTCAGAGGTACTAGTCCGTGAACAGTGCGGACAGCGATGCCATCGATGAACGAGTCGGGAACCACGCTCTCGCCGTTCTGGTGGCCGTTTGCCTGTCCATTGACGTAGCCGTTGGTGTGCCCATTTGTGTATCCGTTGGTCAAATGCGCCTGGCCGTTGACATGGACATCCTTTTTGGAGCTAGATTCAGCAGCAGCCCATGATGCAGGAACCTTTTGGATGTGATTTTCGAACATGTATTGTGCGTACTACTATGGTAAGCCTCCGTCCCATAATCATGACAAAGCATTACTTACCTCCTCGTTGGTAATGGGTCGACCCTTGGCCTGGAACGCGTGAACCTCGGCCTTTCTTGCAGGCCTTTCGTTGTCCCTGGACTCATGTTAGCACAACGTCTCTGCTAAGAGTGATCACACTGACCATCCAAAGTATCCGTTGACGCCGGCATCAAGAGCAGGCTCGTCCATTCCCAGAATAATGGATTGGGCAGGCACATCATGCCATTCATTGGCCACCCGTGCCTGACGAGCTTTGTTGGCCAGACGCTTAAAGTCCGGTTGCTGAACGTCAGGTGGCGGAAGCGTCTTGTCGCTCTGGAGCATCATGTAGAGCAACGTCTCCATGTGCATGATTTCATGCTCAAAGCCCACCCAGATTCCTTGAGCAACGGCTCTGGGGATTTTATCGACTCCATTCTTGTACAGGTCCTGAAGTCTCGAACGTACACGCTGCTGGTACTCGAGAATCTGTTCCACAGGAGGCCACTCGTCTGGGATTTCAGAATGAGAGTGACATTTCTCAGGATTGTCGACGTCGGGATCAATGCCTCTCTCGAACATGGGTTGGAAGTGTGCCGGCTCCGTCGGAGATGTCTTGGTTGTCTTGGTCAGCTGGATATCCAGGAACCCCGGAATGTGGCCGAGATAAAAGATGCAAGCATTGCGGAGCTTGATTGGCTGGTCTAGCAACTCTTCTCTCGGGAGCATTTTCTGCGTGACAGCATCCCATGCCGTCCACAGCGCTGACCAATCGTCCAAAGTCGGACACGGCGATGAGGCGTAAAGGTCGGGAAGGAGACTGAAAGGCATCTTTCTCTTAGTAATCATGTGTAGTCCTGTGCTCAAGTCAGTTTTCAAATGAAGGTTGGAAGGCCCGTCGGTGATGTAAGTGGTTTCTGGAGAAATGAAGGATCGGAAAAGGTCATATGATTTCTTCGGGACAAGTTGCATCCGTTATCTTACGATCCGGAAACTGCGCTTCAGCTTTTCGGGTAATTGGCTCCACGTCGGCAGCCAAACGTGGGGGAGGCTTATGGAGTGCAGAACTTGTCGCGAAGGGGTGGCAACCCTCGGCTCCAATTTCCGAGGGTTGTACACAGAGGAAATCGACCACTTACCATGCTCGTTGCCTTTGGCCCAGCAGGTTGTCTCAACAAGGCCTGCCATGTTCCACAGGTTCTCGGCTCCCAGTTGGGAGTACTTCAGACTCTGTTCAACCTGAACGCGCTCATGTTGCTTCACGAGAGTTCCCATTACGTATGTATCTCGGACAGGCGAGTAAAAAGCTTGGTGACGCCCGCCTTCCTCATCATACACATACTCGCCGATGACTTCCCAGTCGCTGAGCTTGAAGGCCTCTTCGCCAAGGATCTCGTTGGCATTGGCGAGACCGTTCAAGATGAACCTGTCGAAACGTTAGTTGAATCGGCTGGGACTGTAACACAATAACTCTTACGCATGAGTGACTCCTTTCTTGTCTGCGATTAAAAGCGTTAGCAAAGCCGAGTCATCGAGCATCATGACTTGTTGAAATACCGTTGTAGGCATGGCTAAAGACTGAGTTAGCCTAATTCACTCTACAGAGTAGGTTCGTACTTACTACACCTTGGATGGGTCACTGCAGCCGTCAAGCCCAATCAACAACATGTCCGATTGCGTGAGAACATCGCTGAAGTATTTGAGGAAACCAGCTGCGTCGTCGCGTTCGAAATTTCCTAGACGAGCCGTCAGATGTTTGCGTATGCAAGGGCTTCACCGATAACGCCACGAACCAATGCTTGATCCCAAGCTCAAGATGCACTTGGTGCGAGCCAGGTTTTCTGGCTTTTTCAGCCATTCCCGGCCATCATCGTAGGTTCCAAGCAGGCCATGGCATCTGACGTGACGGAACTTGGGCACTTGGGCCAGTGTGCGCTCCAGTTCCTCCAGGGAAAGGTCGAGTGCGTAGTAGTCGATGTTCTTACCGGCATCTTCAAAGGCTTGTAGTAACAGACAGACTTTACGAAGGTTGCTTCAAAAAAGATCAGAATCATCCCAGACCAGTCATCATTCAGTAGGGATTCACAAACCCACTCCCCAACTCAATGACCATGGACTCCGGTGAGATGTTCTGCGCAATCTCTTTTGAGTTTTTCTCGAGAACCTCAATCTCGTTGTTGGTCAAGTAGTATTCGTCCAGGTAAGTGATCTGAAGAATTGTTAGTGTCGATCACGCAAGATGTGGCTAAACTGATGAGATTTCTGGAAGCACTCACCTCCTCGAACAACTGCAGTCCCCGTTCGTTGTAGAGAAGCAGGGTAGGTAGCCTCCGGGGTCCGTTTGTGGGGTTCCACATGGAAATGATGTCGTCCTTCAAGTTTGTTTCAACCGCAACACGCCGAATGTCGATGATGTCGAGGTCATTGTTGGCGACTGGCTGCGCTGCCTGCTGCTTGGCCGCCTTGGGGCCAGCGTGAGGTAGGCCGTCCTGAGAGACAGCAATAGAGCCCATCGTGGTAGGTACTTGGGATTCTTGAACGCTAAACGCTTGAGAGTCTGGATACAGGTCGGGTACAAGAATGTGGAACAAAGGTCTATGTTATATGAAGAATATTGAAAGTAGCATGTGCAAAGTAACATGTGTTTGGGACGACAAGAAGGGACGGGTACCTACAGCTTATAGCCAATGCGACACAGTTACCTGGGTCTCCCAGGCTGGCGGAGGCGCCGGCAAGCATACGGCGATACACGTTGGCGTCGCCATGCTAGCAATAGGGCATGTCAGAGATGTGTACCATGTGCCCAAGTGTGGATTGTCAGACATGTAATTGGTGACCCGGCGGGCCATAGTTTGCCGTTCTTGTCTACATGTACAGTGCAGTGACTCGATGGAGCTGAGATGCATTTCGGGGATATTGGCAGACAGACGGAACGTGTACGAAGATGGTACCGGGCATCCGAGATCAGATTGGGTGAGACAGCCACCCACCACTAGGCGACGTGAAAAGTACACCTCATGTAGCCCGGCTCCGTGGACCTTGTACCTCTCAGTCCAATTCCTTTTGTCATAACGTGCAGACAGAAGAGGAGTGTGACAGCTCCATCCTTGACAGAGAGTGGGAGAGGTTTGCATTCGAGCAAATCAGCGGACGTCATCTGAGGCGTATCCCACGCCCCACCGGGGGCAGCCACACTACTATTGTTGGAGCTTGACGCGGATCACCGGATTCGACATGGCTACTGTTCCTGGAATGTTGGAAGCGGCCGTTTTTGCACCCTATCGTGCAGGAAGGGGTAAGCTCGTTAAATCTTTGGGTAGATGAAATTTGTCCGGATGGCAGATTTACATTCAAGCGAGCCTTGGCATACGAGTAGCAAGCGGGTGTTGTGAGGAATATTGAGTGTAAAAATCTCGGAAGCCCTGACAGATGAAGATGGACTCATTGTTTCGAGAGCTCAATTCAGGAAAAGGTTACAGAGCTCCCCGCGCACTACATGACAAGAGACGCAAGGTTCTCAGCCAGGGCAAAATGCATGTCCTCTCTTGTGTCGTGTTGAGGCTCCATGAAACCAATGCGCTCGAAGTCTTGCTATCCCGGCAATGTCATCCACAGGGCGAGAAATGTGAAAGCTGACTGCAGAGTTAGGCTATTGATCAGCTAAGCTGGAGCATCTAGCTCGCCGTAGCTCTTCGTAGCTCTTTAGAAAGCTCTGCATCGGCTGGGCCGGGTCTCCCAATGCGACGAGTGGGCGTGAAGTGGTGACCAACAAGCTGCGACCAAGTTTAGATGCGCCTGCTGGTCTGGGCTTCTTGATCGGCACAATGGCCGCCACCCTGGCCCAGGTTAGCTGCAGGCCTCCCTGAAGCTTGCGGGGAGAAGACCAAGTAACAAGGAGGGGCAGCAAGAAGTTGCCGACATTTCCACGACACGCTTGTGCGAACTTCAGCCCACCCAGATGACCAGCCCTTAAGACAAGACGGGTCATGGTGCGTGTGGGTGAGAGTATGTTGACGTCATCTGTCCTCTGCTGGAACATCAGAGCAACAGCGTTTGCTTTCGGCTCCCGATGGTGAGTTCGGCAACAAATGAATCCATCGAGGGCGGGGTAAACCAGGCACCGGTCCAATTGAGTTACCACAAGGGCGTGTCGAGCGAGTGCCGATCAGTCGAGAACCCGTTGCAAAGCGCGGATTATGACAATGCCATGCTGCAAGCTCGAAGTCAGGGCGTCTAGAATGGGCAGTTCAGCCAGCAAGAGCGCGATTTATGCATGGCATGACCCCCGTGTCTCGTTGGATGCGGGGAATTTCTAGCGTTGGGTGCTACTGCTGTGCGGCTGTCCCTTTTTTTCGTTTACTGGTTGGTCCCTCGTAGACTTTTTCTTCGAAACAGCCCACGGAGGATTTGATGCATGGCCGTATTTTCCGACGAATGTTGGACATCGACAGGGTCGTCGGTGGTGGTAATGACGCTCAAGTAATGTTCAGCCTTTTCCCTACGCGCTGGTCTTGTGGAGTTGGCCGAGACTCGCCTTTGCGTTACTCGACAATTGACATAGAAAGCGGTCCGATGGGGGGTGCTACCGGTGTGCCTCGGCGCTTCCGGTGTGTTGGATCCCACGGTAGCCGGTGAAGCTCGGTCAGGACAAGGTGAGCAGGTTGGCAAGTATCGACGGTAATCTTCGGGTGACAGCCAGATTAACGCTGCTCGGCAATCTCACGTTCGGGCGAACCGGTTGTATCACTTGTTCCTTGCATGCGGCCACAGACGGGTGAGTTCCCGTGACACTGGGGCGCTCCCATCCCTCCCGAGGGCGAGCTTGATCTCCCCAGCTTGATAAGCTTATCAGCCGTTGTCTCTGAAGATCCCTCCGCCGGTTCGAGAACGGTTAGGCAGTCCAACATGGGCGCTGGGGCCAACCGACCATGCCGGTCGAAGTCAACCGTAGATAAGAAGTCGCCCGCATCCGCTTTCAGCCGTACGCGAGAGACTCGTTCTGGTGCCGTCGCGGTCTACCGGTGTCGTTTTCTTTCTCGCTGTCTAGGCTCCATCTTCACCAGAGTCACGAGCTTTCATGTTATCGAGAAGCTGGCCCAATGACCCACGATGGAAATGCGTACCCGAGAGAATTGATGATCAGCAGCGAGCGGTGAGCTTTGTCGGTTCTGTTTATTGTGCATTCGAGCCGAAGAAGCCTGTTTGATGAGAGGTGCACTAGAAAATCAACAGCTCTCGCGGAAGCCACTACTTTCTCCAGTACTCCCAAAGAGAAATTGGACCAAGGGTAGATCGTTCTGTCCGAGTATCTCACAAGAGACTTGTCGGCAGGAGAGCTCAACAGGCAAGAGCGTAACTGGGGTAATCACCGTTTCCGCGCCTCCTTGGCACGTACCCAGGAACCAGGTTTCACTTCTCCCACCCCGACAGACACCCAGCGAATGCTATCGAACCCTTGATTGTTGTTTCCACTTCCGAGCAGCGCCAGCCATTGTGGAATATTCTGTATGCAGGAGGAACACCTCCTTTCGAACTGTGCTTCGTCTACGAAACAGACGTCAGTGTCTCACTGATCACCCAGTTGACCTCCGTCTAGGTTACACTCAATATAAAGAAGTCCAACATCGATAATGAGAACACAGCTGAACAGTATGTCTTGCTGTCTTTCCTGCATATAGTCTCTTCTAACAATGCATAGGTATCATCTCAAAAAGCACCGTGTCTTCCCTCCAGAACCCAAATGTAGTCATGTCAACTAAACCAACCCAAACGCCGCCCAATGCATATCCATCAAATCATCCGCCGCGCTCCCCTCTTAACCTGCTCAGTATGCCTTCTTCGGCTTCCAGGCCTTGATCCACTTGCCCATGATCGCCACCTCCTGCTTGACAACCTCGGCGTTCTGTTCACTGAGCCAGAAATCCGGAACGTGGGTTCCTCCCTTGACAACCAGCCGAGGCGCCTTGTCGGTGCTCTTGGACGGGCCGCCGGGGCGGTAATCCGAGCTCATCGTCGCCGACTTCCAAGGGTCGAACTCGCCGTCGGCGAAGAGGACGTTCTCAAAGGTGGCGTTCCATCCCCCAGTCCAGTCATTGAACATGGCTACCGTGAACCCCTCCGAGATGGCCGGCTTGTGGCCAAAGGTCTGCGGGAAGCGGAGGTCGCACTGGCGCTGACGGTGCGCAGGCCGCACGTGCGACGACACGATGCTGGTGCCGTCCGACTTTGGCGGGCCAGTGTGCCACCAACCCAGGGGCTCGTTGCAGAGCTGCCAGGTCCAGCTGCGTGCCCACGTCAGATCGCTGGGCGAGTTGTATCCCACCGCCTCGCCGTACAGGTCGCAGGCATCCTCCCCTTCGCACTTTTCGCTGTACCTCTTGTGCATCCACGACGTGTAGCCGGCCCACGCGGCCTTCAGACCAACGCCCGACTTCTCGTAGCCTTTGATGACCGAGCCGTTGTTGGTGCTCGTCTCGATCCAGTCGCAAAAATCAAGAACGGCACTAGGGTCCTCGGCCCACTCAATGATGGGCTTCTGCAGGTACCAAGCAAAGTCGCCGGCGTCTTCGAGCGTCTCCAGGCCAAATTCCTCCTTCATCGCATCAATATCCTGGGCGGAGCCGTTGTCGAGCACGGAGTCGACTTGCTTGATGACCAGCTTGATATCGGCCGAGCAGTTCCGTGGCAGGGCCTGCTCGATGGGGGTGAAGAATTGCCAAAAGTCTTCGATGGCCTGGACGACGGCGGAGCTCGCGTGATAGGCGGCAAAGGTGCCGGGGGCAATAACCGAGGTCCACGCGGCGAGGGCACCGGCGTAGCTGCCTCCGATCAACACCCAGGGCGACGTACCCGCGTTGGCGCCTTTCTTCGTGTCAAACGGAAGCTTGACGGTCTCGGCGAAGTAAATGTTGTCGTAAATGGCCTGCGGCACATCCAGGTACTGCAGTGTGTCCGCTGTTGAAGTCTTGAATGGCCAGGATTGCCCATAGTATCGGTCTACCAAGTAAGATCAGTCCAAGTTCGTTGTCCAGGGCAACTCGGTATCATGGTGGCTGGCTCACGTTCGATGAGGATGACTGCGCCCTTGTGCGTCTCGGCATAGAGACCTGTTACCGTCTTGTTCTCCAGGTAACCCGTGTATCCGCTTGCGTCGCCCTCGCCTCCATTCACCATGAAGATGGGATAGCCCGGGCCTCCCCAGTGCTCGGCGTTCCACCAGTATCGTTGCTTGAAGGTGCCCCTGGACGGGTTGGTGTGGTCGAGCAACTGGTCGAATGTGCCGTTGCGGACTTGGTCCCCAGAGTGAGCCCGAGGCCGGAGACCACCAAAGGTCGGGTTATCAAGTGACCTGAGCAGTTTGGCGTTGAAACTTGTGACCGTAGCCATCGCGGTGGCTGCGAGAGCCACTACGGAGGCAAACATGGATGCCTTCATTGTGAGGTGGTGAAGACACGAGAGGGTATTGAAAAGAAAAGAGGAAACTTCTTCGATTCACCCGAAAGGATGAGATCTTTGGCTTCAACGTGTTGACAACTGCTAACCACAATAGACATGCAAAGAGGCGCGACGACGCCCATCATATACTACCCGACATCTCGTTGCTTCTTCCCAAATCCTGGGCACTAGCTGTTCATCGACAGGGGACGCGGGTAGCAACTCAGCCCCAACAACGATTGCAAACCGCCGCGCGAAGGAACAGAGCCCCCGCCAAAGCCATCAATCCGAAATTACGGCCTGTTAGGCCTCGGGGCTGACAATCTGACAGCCTAATCGCCCGTTGCCCACTTCTCTCTCTCTCTCTGCCCCTGGCACTGGCCACCGGAAGATGGGGATGAGGGAAAACCTGCAGAGCAAGGGGTCATCTCCTCCGCGTGCGCCTCCACAACACGATGGCGGCGTGGCAGGCAGCAAGCCAAAGAGAGGTCGAACTCGACGGGTAGGATCTAAGGGCCATCGCGCAACTGGGCTGCCAGTGACCTCGACTGGTAGGGCTAACGGGGGTCAAGGGGATGGGCGAGCGTCCTAGGCGCTAGGTCGCGAACAACAAAGCCACCCAGCTCCCCTCGTGGGATCCGCGCTAATAAGCTCATAAGCTTATTGCCTACAATCCCAGACCTGGCGACTGGGCGAACACTGGCAAACGATTGGCTCTCTGCTTTCCGCACGTCTCCATTGGGTATGGTTGCTTTCCTCCTCTGCTAGCCCCCCCCCCCCCCGGTCCCCTCAGCCCCCGGAGAAGCTGTGGCCGGCGTCGCTCCTTATTTCTTTTCCTTACCTTTTCCACTCCTAGTTGCAGTGGCTGTACTCGCTTGTACGGGTGCTTGCTGCTGCCTACCGATTGTTTAGGCTGGGGCCCTAGGCTTAGAAGGCTTGCAAAGCTGACCCGGGCTAGGCTGATTCGCATGAGCCAGGGTCTGGTTTCTATATTTGGGGGGTCTTGCTAATTTGCACGGGTCGGTCAAGTCTTCACAGCCCGAGTTCAGTCACCAATTGTGAGGCTCACGGGAGCCAACCTCTCCAGACGCCCGTCTTCTTTGTTTTCGTCTTGGCTTCCGGCCAATCCTGCTAGTTCCCGCTCCGTGCCCCGGCTCGGGTCTCGAGGGAACACCCCTTCCGGTCGGCATCCGAACCCTCCCCCCAGCTACGGCTACGGTCTTGGGCCGGGACATCCCGCAGTGCGGTAGGAAGGGGGTTCTGTAGCGCGAGCACAAATTAACAGGTTAAGACAGGAAAATGCCATCGTTTGCATTGCAAAACGGCAAACACGTTGCTGTGGTCCATGCATAAGTCCGATTGTGCACATCAAGAAACCCACTTGCTCGATTGGTGCTCTCTGGTCGGGGAGGGGGGGAGTTGACTCAGAACGTTTGCCTAGTCAGTCGGGAATGTCCCAAAAGAAATCAAGACATTGAATTGCCGAAACATTCAATGAGCGGACTCTTGCCGTTGTGTCGGCGCCACGTGACTGACGAGCCAGTGCCATGAGGAGCCCCATCACGACACGGACGTGGCGTAGTATAGAACCACATCCGTCGAGGTTTCTTCTTACGGTCTTGCAATCAGAACCTCGAACGTCGCGAACTCGGCATCAATCATCAAGGTGGCAGACTCATGGCCTTCATTATTGAATCCGTTCTCCTTGTAATTAGATTCCAGCCAACAGCTTGCCTCATAGGCAGGTACCGAGGCAGGGGTAAGTCGTAGCTTCGTAACGAAGTTATGTAAACGCAACCACACTTGCAAATCCGTTCCAAATATTGCGTGCAACCATTGCCACCCCAAAGCTCCTGTGGTCGATCATCCGCCATACGCACTTTTTTTTAACACTGAAGCCATGCTGGATTGTGAGCCCCACGCCCGCCCGCTTGCTCGACTCAAGAATAGTCGCCACTAAACTGCGACAGCTGGCTGCTGCCGGCCATCTGCGTGTAGAATGGCGGCTTCAGCATGTCCCAGTCTCCGATGCTGGACTCACAGACCATACCTCCGGTGCTGAACTCCTGGATATCCTCGAGCATGGTGCCGAATCGCTGGCCCTGGTTCTGCTCCACATACGAATCGATGTTAGCGGTGTCTATGTTGAGGCCCGCGATCGCGACATCGTTAGCTATGGGGTCAGAGGTCGGGGGGAAGCCCTGTGGCGGCGAGCGATGGGGCATACCGCTGTCAAAGTCATCTTGACCAGCTTGATGAATGGATGAACCGGCGTTGATGGCGGTGAATGACGAGGCCTGCCGAGAGTCTCTCCTGCTATCAAGGCCGCTGGAGCCGAGGTGGGAGTATTCGGGGCCCAAAGAAGAGCTTCTTTCCAACGTACTTGCGCGCGACCCATCAGACCCATCGTGACCCGTTGGTCGGTCTTCGTCGAGGATGATGCCATTACTCGTAATCTTGTCTGCTTTTATCCGCCATTCTTCGAGCCCGCCGCCGCCTGCGCTCAGCCGAATACTAAGACGTCCGTCGCTGCTTTTCCTCGATCCTCGGTTCGAATAGTCGGAAGAAACCTTGGTGAAATACTGGTCCATATCTTTGAAATACACTACGTAGTTGGAGGCCATGCTGAAGTAAGGGACGACCTTGATCAGTGCTTGGAAAGCGATGCCGGTGTTTCCTGTCTGTGCGATCTCAGGCACTGTTCCTGAGGCCCGCTCTTGAATCTCTTCCTCGCTGACCATGTGATTTTCGGTATCCATGTGTGGATAATGTCGAGCATAGATACCCACAAATGCCGCTTGCCAAATGGCAAAAATAACCAACGATGAGTGAGGAAGCTTGTCCCGGCATGTCGAAACCAGGTCGATGATGTCCCTTCCTGCTTTGAAAACTTGCTCCGCACTCCGCTCCCAGAATTGTTCTGGGACCATGGCAGGATCGAAAACGGGCTCATCGAGAGGGCCCACCGGCTTTTGACATTTGATGGCAAAGAAAGGGATGTATTCCCGATGCAGCATGATTTTACAGAGGGCGCCCAGCATGTGAAGGGACACGTACATGCTGTTGTCGTGTTTCCAGAAGTTGGCGCTGGACCAGGTGAACTCCTCCGGTAGGTGGGCATAAAAAGCTTCCACCTTGTTGTTCAGTTGATAAAAGGTCGATTCCGTGTCCCATGGCGGAAGCGTTTCCGTATGGCGGCCTCCAGCAAAACTGTACTTCGTAATGTCTCCCCAAAAGTCGGCGAGTTGCACAAACCGGCTGAGAACGCTGTCGTCAATCGGCCGCTCCATTTCCTGTCCCACTTGTCGCAGAAACCCGGTATAAACGACGCGGCCGAGGTCGAAGGCGTGTTCGGTGCAGGGCAGCTGGATCTGGAGATCCTCGGATCGAACCATCGAGACTCGGTCGGATCCACATGACAAGAGCCGATCAAGTATCAGACAGCTGAACATGGTGCGTCGTCTAATCTCCTGGTCCTTCCACCTATCCGAAGGCAGCTGCGCGGACTTGTTTGATCTTGGAATGGGACCCAAAATCTTCTTTTCACGCAATGGTTTGTCACCAAAGCCTAGCTTCAAGCCCTGAGCCATCCTGATGGCCACACCGACGTGCATCCACGCGGCGAGCCCACCGTTGGGCTGACTCCATTTATACAAGCCTAGCATAAGAAATACCTGGACACGGATAACGGTTGCTGAGGTCAGGGCCGATTCCAGGTTTCCTAATGCTTTGGTGAGAGCGTTCGCAAAGTATTCCGAGGCCATGGAAGGCTCCGGCCGAGGCAACGCACCACGGGACTTCGGGCCTGCTACTTTGTCGAATGTTATGTGGGCAACGTACTTGACCAGTTCAGGCTGGAATCTTGCTGTGAGGGCCAAGATTCCCAGAAGAATCAGGTTCGACTCGGCCGACGGTTTCTTGATGTCCTTGTTGTGGATGATACCCTTCAACGTCGGAAGGTGCAGAAAAGGAAGTTCTGTGGCGAAGTGTAGCTTGTAAATGTCTAATAGTTGATGCCACAAATCCACGGTCAAGTATGGTGCCGAGAGCACCTCCTGGGCATACACGATGCCCGTACGTCCTTTAGAGTTAGCCGTGTCTTCGAACTTCTTCATCCGTTTTCGATCATGCCCGATGTCCTTCTCCTGTTTCGGCGCCGTAGGAGGCTCTGCTCGCTTAACTGGGAGAGGTGTTGGATCTGGAAATTCGCACTTGTGGCCGGCCTTGATGCATGTGTCGCAGGGCGATCCTGTGTTGTCGTTGTCGCATTTAATCTTTGATTTCCTGCACCGAAGACATGCTATGCTGGACCTCATGGGAGGTCGCATGGCTCGCGAGGGTCTTTTGGCGCTCGAGCTGCCGCTTACCGCGGGTTTCGAATCATCGTCGTCGGGTACGGCGGAAACGTTTGGCCTGGCCCCGGCTGGGGGGACGGAAGCTTTCTCTGACGAATAGATGTCTTGAAACCTCCTCTTAGGTGTGGTCTGGGTGGAGGATGCCGTTGGCGCGTCATCGGAGTCCGATGCGGGGGAGAGTATGGACTGGATGCGAAGTTGGAAAGAAATCGTGACGGTTCGGGCCTGTTATAGACCCGCGAAGCCGATGAGGGGTGGCGGATGATTAAGAACAGAGGCCTGGATGAGATACGCTCGTCGCACCAAATTCCACTGGGCTGCCCTCCTAGAAACCTGCGCGGAGCCAGTGTGACTATGTTCGTGACAGAGTTGATTTGGGAAACAAGACGGCAGGAAATGCAGGGCTGGACAACTATGTGCAGGGCTTGTCGACGCAAAACTAAGTAGGTCAGGTCTCGAGTAGCACAGATAAGCAAGTAGCGGATGTGGACAGCTTGTAAACGAAGGGTGTATGCTTCGGGTGGTCCACAAGACACCTGCAGTGAGCCGAGAAATTTGTGGTCGATAGTCGATGGCTGGCTAAAATCGGAGGGGTAGATGGTTAAGGTTATAGATTGCCGGGTGGACGTCGTCCAACGTCTTCCGGCGGCGGCAAAGAAAAGCTGACGATGATGTGGTGGCTGAGAAGTGAGCTTGTAGTAATCGCAGTCGGGTAGACGGTTTGGGAGGAGGAGCTTGTACACAGTAGAAGTGGTGTTGATGGTAGACCTCGCGGGACGTTGACGACGAAGTTGCTACGAAAAAGTCACGCGCGTGCCGTGGTGAAAGGATGCAATTCTTGAGCAGATCAAGGAAGTAGGGCTACGAATGTGATCGAGGGTGGATATGGGCCAGCCAAAGCAATAAGCAATGATGTGGTCTGGAGCTTGCGTTCCCACGAAGTGTAGGGGCCAGGGCAGGGAGAGTGAAAAGGGTTGATCGGCTCTGGCCGTGCTGTCGGCCCAATTTGACTGTGTGCCAGGGCGTCACCGGCTAACAAGGTTGGCTCGTTCCTCCCTTGCTCGTTGTCTCTCTCGCCATATATGGGTTCTGTAGCTTGGCCTCCCCTCGTCATTGGGTTTGTCACTAGGATCAACCAGATCCGCAGTGTCTAAAGTAACACAGGATGCCTTGTCTCTTCATCGCCGTCGTCCGGACTGCTGGTTCTAGCATAGTGATGTTATGGAGACACAGTTGGAAAAGCACGACAGCACAGTCGAGCAAGCCGAGCCTGCCCAAAGGGCGGTACGTCGTGTGGTATTGTGCCTGTATGCCGCTCCCAGGCCCCATGTCTCTGATCAACCCCACGCCCAGAAGGAATGAAGCGGGCAATGGTGGGAGGGGCCAATTCACAGGCCGATGGCCAGGTCAAGGTCGGACCAGCAAGGATGCTGGGACGATTTCCGGATGGTGTCAACAGGGACGAGAAGCTCTCCATGGTTGTCCTGTTCGACGGCACACAATGTGCCCTTCGGCGCTTCCGCCAACAATCTCACGAGCAATAGATACAGAGATCTCGAAGCACCACTGCATGGCCACCATTTGTGTGATACGTAGAAGGCTTTTTCAAAGCCGGGCACATTTGGGTCACCACTATTTCGTATCTGAAAGCCCCGTTCGTGGCCTTGCTTGCTGGCACAGCCAGGTCCAAGATTGGCACTCGGCCGGATGGCCCCGCACGACGGCTGGGGGCTGTTACGCTCGATCCTGGAGCATCGATCTTTAATCGAACGGGTTTGCCAGCGGGAACGGCTGCTGTGGAACATTTCGCGGAGAGGGCGGAAGACACCAAAACATTGTCGTCTTGCGGCAATTGACATTTCTGAAAGCGACGCGGAATAACCGGGGGGGAGACAGCAATCCGGAACTCAACTCTCGAAGCGCCGCGATATGGCCGTCATTTCGCAGACTCGGGAGGCTGCAATCGGCTCTTCGTCCCTTCTAGAGCTCTTTCGCGCCGCTTAGTTGACACCTCGTTGTCTAGCTTTAAAAGACCACAGCGTCAAGTAGAGGTAGGGTTGAAGAACATATGATCGGCAAGACTGCGGCTCGCGAAACTTTGCACAGCACCTGTGGCTTGAGATGGTCTGTCAGAAGAGGCCAGGTGCCGCGTACTTGCACCGTCCGGCTCCAGGTTCATCTACAGTCAAGCTTGCTAGAAACGGGGAGATGCTGACAGTCTGGGGATGCAAGTGAGCGCAGGCATATCAGTCAGCGGGCTCATATTACTGCCTAGTGCACTGACATGATTGTGGCAGGGCCAGAGTGACCGGTTAGCCACCGTAGGCCATTGGCCTAGAGACAAAGGCGGCAGGTTGGGGAAGGGATGGACGGGTTGAGTATTGTCTACTAATTAGAGTATCCGTGGGATGCCTTGTGCCGGGACATGGGCCGCGCCGCGTGGGACTCTTCCAGGGCGTATCCAGGACCACTTGTGCCATGGGGTGGTGGCGGCGGCGGTGGTGGTGGTGTCATTGGTGCTGATGCTTGTTGACAGCAACAAGCTACCGTGACGTGTCCCTGGAAGTGGACAACGCTGTCCTCCTCGACTCTACCCTTTTGCAGTTCGGTCCGTGTCCCAGAATGCTTTGGTCCCGGTCTGGCATCGACCGATCTCATGCCGATCGAAAGTCGATGGGGGCCAGGGTGGCAGGTAACGGCGGCAATGGCTGGCTGACCCTGCGGCTGCGTCAACAGCTTCCAGGCCGCCCAGTCAAGTCAGACCCTGACATCATGTCGGGATTGGCATCGCACCTGGTAGCTCAGGGGAGCGGCAACCATGGCCGATTGGGGTGAACGGAAAAGCAAGCAGTTGGCAAGCCCGTTTCGGTTGGCCTCCGCCGGGAAGCCTGCCGAAGGAATTCCAGTGCATAGTTTAATGTAAATGGGAAGCGCGAGAAAAGCATTCATCCGAAGGCGCGGCGGCAGCGGCAGCGGCCGGCGTCGGGTCTCTGAGTGTGGTAGGTAAGCCAGCCCCCCAACGACCAATACCCCGCATCGACCGATCAGGCCGTTTGCGGCCCATCCTTTTACAACACCATGACTAGCAATTGATTAATAGCTAGTAACATAATACTAAATTTAAAAGCTGCTATATAGTAACTAAAAGCTATTTTCTGCCTTCTCCTGAATAGCCTATGCTTTTGCTTTTGCCTTTATAGCCTTAGCATCAGATTTAGCCTATGAAGCTACTTTTGCCTACATAATCTCTATAATCTTCACAAACCTATTATTTAGCTTAGACTTAACTTTACCTCTCAATTTTAGCTTAGTTATATCTATAACTTATATATAAAGAGTAGTTATCTTATCCTATAATACAGCAATACTCATATTTGCTTTATCTAGATGCTTACTAACCTTCTGAAATACTAGCTATCTAGAGATATTATCTCACTTATTATCTTGCTTATCTGCCTACTTCCATAGATACTAAAAGCTCCTCAAGTCTCCTAATTTTCTAGGGGTATAGATAGACTAAGAATAAGATTTATTATAAGAACTCTTATCTTATCTAATTATATCTTTATATCTAATAACTACATAAACTTACTATATCTATATTTGGATTAAGTAAAATAGGAGCTTTATAATGGAAAGGGGCAGGGTTTCGCGTTTTCATTTTTCCTTTTATCAGCCTGCAGACACAATCACAGGCCTGATCAGATGTGACTAAGCAGGACCCTTCCAAGTACAAAAGGGGGCTCTAGTCAGATACTATCACAGAGATCGGGATCTCATCACGAAGCAGACAGAGAAGCTTGACATCTTTAGACAGGCACTTAGACAGACACGGACGAATTCATCACTTTGATATCTAAACAAGACGTGTAATAAGTGACTGTTGCTTTGTTTCCTTAGGCCTGACTAGACCTCTAAGGTCTAGGAGGGTATCCTCCTCCTCCAGAGATCACGACACACACATGCGTACCACTTAGCAACAAGGGCAAATCCGAACAGACTGCAAGACGTGAAGGATACACTTTTCTGGTTTGCTCATGGCCCTGATCAGGCCAAGGAGGACCTGAAAAGAGTAGTATCTCACGGTCTAGGCGTTGGGGTAGTCACTTGGGGTAATCGGTCACTCCAGGTGCACTCGTGACGATACTGGGACCTTGGTGTTTGGTGTGGTTTGTGTGTCAACTGCCCACTTGCTGGCTTCCTTTATCCCACGCAGTTTCAATAACCGTATATAACTTGTCTATATATAAGATAGGCTTATAAGAATCAGGTTAACCCTAGAATCCTAGTCTTGGATCTAGTTAACCCTAGAATTCCAGCCTTAGATCTAGTTAACCCTAGATTCCAGAAAACCAACTCCTAGATTCCAGATAAGATTATTTTATTAGATAATCATATTACTAATAAGATATCAAGAAAAGGATATAAGCCTAAGATATTCCTACCTTTTAGAAAGAAAAGAAGATATAATAGCATGAAAAAAAAAATACAATAACCTTATCTTTCTACCTTTACCTTCACTAAGTCTCTTTACTTCCCTGTGACTATCTAAGAATATTACCAACATATTCTAACTGATAGTAATACCTTAAGGTTACCTAGGAGTAACTAAGAGAAGTATATACTATAGAAGGATATTAATGACTTTGTTTCTTATATAATCTATATACCTATTTTAAAGGGGCTTTCTAATATTAATAGGCTATAACCCTATTACTTACTAGCTATTAATAATAGTCTATAACAAGAAAGCTTCTTTCTAAGCATATGAATAGTAGTAGAGGAAGTTCTGCTTGCTAATAGGGGCAAAGTTAAGGATATAGTTATATATCTGTAGATATTTGTGATAAGACGCCTTAAGAGGCGAAAAGACTAAAAGGTCTAGAGGTTGAGTGATATAGCTAAAATAGGCTAGTAGGCAGGCTAGGTAAATACCCTTATAATAGTATTTCCACATAAACTTATCAAATACGTGACTTCTATAGCCGTCTATAATCAGGAGTCTTTTTGACCCCTTAGCTACAGCTTTTATGGCTATACTTAGGATAAAGACCTTTTCTAGCCACTAGAGCCTTATATTATTAGAAGTCTAGCTATTAATAGTTATATTAAATGACTATCTGTTAAACTCTTCTAGATTCTCTGGGAACTACTAATACTGGACTGTTTTGCCCTTGAAGATAACTAAGGGAGGGAGGTGGTAGCCATCGGCTGATATATACTCTATAATTGAGGTCTAGGTATGTCCTTCTGAGCTCTGGATAAAGATAGATAGCTTCCTAGAGTATTCTAATACTAAACTATTCTTCTAGACCCCTTCAGCTATCCCAGTCTCGTCCATGTTCCATTGCAGGTTCTTAGGGATCTATTTAACCTCTAAGATAGTCAGGATATAAAAGAACTCTTAGATAGCTTTAATAATAATTAACTTAATACGCTTATAGTTAATCTTTTTAGACTTTAAGGTCTTAATAGTAAGATTTTGCTTTAAAAACTTCTTTATCTACTTTTTCCTAAGTAGACGCTTATTTCTAGCTATTAAGAGGATATTTATAATAAACCCTTGTATTTAAGAATAGGTTAGTGCAAATCCTAGTTGCCTTTGGATAAGTATCTAGGTAGTTAGCTTTTTCTCTTAATCACGACTTATATACTAAAAGTCCTTCTTTATAGCTATATTGCTTGTAGAACTAGTGAGTCTACTATAGAGAATAAAGTATAGTATACCCTATTGCTTGGCAGATTTCTTGATGCTGACCTTATCTATAACGCTATTAATTGCGCCTTAAAGATGCTCAGGGGTATATCTTAGCATAGTAAATAGAATAGTAATTTTAGAAATAATTATTTCTATTTTCTTAAATTAATTGTTATATAGGCAAAGTTGGGCTGGATGGTGATGAGGAAGAGAAAATGCCGCAAATGGCCCGATTGGTCGATGCGGGGTATCGGTCGTTGGGGGGCTGGCTTACTAGGTATTTTTACGGACAGACGCGGCACGACTCGGTGGTGGCGGTGATGGCCGGCACGAGGGATGGTCCCTGGGCGTTTGGAAAGTCAAGCTTCTAGGTTTGGGGGAGGGGAGAGAGACGGATAAACCCGCAAAGCTGTTCCCGGTCGTCGAAGGTTTGCAGCTGGTCCGGGGCCCAGTTTCGACATGGTTCAAGGCGAAGACAGAGGAGAGGGAGAAGAAAAACCAGGCTGCGTCTTCTGCGTCTGCTTCTGCGCCTGCGCCTGCGTTTTCGGGGCTTGGCGGCGCCCACTGTGTCTCGGATAATGCTGGGAGCGAAGACAGGAACGGCGGCGGCGGCGACCATTGGCTCGGAGCTTGCTGCGAACCAATAACGGCAGTGGAATGAAAATCCCAAGGACGTGTTTTGGTGTCTCGCGGGGAGAGACAGGGGACGGACGCTCTAGCTTGTCACACGAGAAACGAGACAGAGAATGCCAGGAAGTGATGTGCCATTCCACTTGCCCGACCCGGGCCACCGCCCATGGCAATGGCAAAGGTAAAGGCAATGGCAATGGCAATGGCACGAGGAATGGCATTGGGAATGGTCGAGTCCGGGCAGGTCCCGAGGCGCTGGCAAGCAAGGACAAGGACATGGACGGGATGCAAACCCCGTGACTTGGGCGGCGTGTGCCAGCAAAGGAAGGCGCGCAGCTTTGTTGAGCCGAGTTGAGACGAGGCACGTCGCCTCGCTGTCGTGCGGATGGGGAAAACATCCACGACGAATCTAACCCAAACCTGCAGGTGCAGCAGAGCCAGGCAGGCCAGACAGGAAGGCATAAGCAGTATGCAGTGTACGTACCTTGGGCGCTGCCTGCTGCCTGCCTTGTGCCACGCCACATACCTACTGCCTACCTACCGTGGTGCGCGCCCACCACGTCCCTTCCTTCCCTCGTTCCTCGAAACCGGCAACTTCCATTGGGCAGGGCGTTACCAGCCAGGCGCCGTTTCCGTGTAACAGCAGGGGGTGAGCGGCCGGCGTTCACGTGGTGCTGAACCGGGTGGGTCCGCTCCACGGTGGACTTCCATCGACCATCAACACCAAACTGCGCGTTCCGCAATGCACCCTGCACACTGCACCCTGCACACTGGGCCCTCTCCGTCTCCCGTCTCCCGTCTCCCGCCTCCGCCCCCGTCTCCCTCCAGCCTTTTACTATGTACACACACCAGTACCTTTGCCTGCAACTCTTGCCTCCCTCCTCTTGTGACTCACTTCAACGCGGGCGCGCCCAAGCGAAGCAAAGCTAGGCTCATCTTCTCCATTCTCAGGCCTCGCCAGAGAGGCACCCTGGAGTCTTGTGCTCTATTCAGATGTAGGCATATCGCTCGGAACAGACTCCGCCCAATTGGTGTCTTGCCGCCCCCTCATTGCGACGACGCCACTCCTTGAGTCGACACATCGATTCGGGTCGACCCCGACAACATGCTGTCACTCACAAATAGACGATGTGACTCTTTTGTAAGACGTGCCTAGACTCGACATCGCCCTCCATTTGCCAACTCATCCCCTTTCCGAGCGGCCAAACGCCGACATGTTGCACGTCAGCGATCGACGGTGACGGAAATGCTCTCTCGTGAGAATGGGAGTTCGGGAGTTGGGGGCCGCGTCCCGTTTCCCCTGACCCGGCATGCAATGTCTTGAAGCGGGTTTTCTGACTCTTCCTATCTTACGTCGGCAGTGGGTTGCAACTTCAAGTTGCTCTCCACGAGACCCTGCACATCACGCAGCCTTGGCATGAGCCTAGCATCGCGGCTGCAGGCCGACTCTCCGATCTCTGCAAGGGAGAGACACTCGGATTGCGCCTGCTGATATTGTCGATGCTGGACACTCATCGCATTTCATTTTCGGCATGGAAAGACCATCTCTGCTCGCCTGTCGCGCCTTGGCTTGCCCTCTTCTGCCCTACGAGGCGTTTCTGCCCATGGTGCCACTTCTCTGGGAGCTGCTCGCGGTGGCATGGTCGATGACTGTCGAGCAGCTTGCTGGTTTGCGGCGGCCAACGTCCGCTCATAGCGGCTTTCAAGAAACCTTTGACATCCCCTTGTTGGGGTCTCTTCCAAGCGAAGCACAAAAGTGGCGTGCGTTTGCGCAAGTGTCTTGCCCTTTTGTGCTGTCCTGAGCCCATGTCTCACCTCGACACTTGGCTAGGCCATCTCTCTTACCGGTTCAGGCAGCTTGATTCCACACCGCTTGGGAATCGGATATCGAATTCTGGGTGAAGGCGCTGTTCTAGCATGGCAAAGACGGCTCTGGGCAGAAGAGTCTGATTCTGCTGTAGCTCGAGCCCCTGTCACACCACCACGAGAATTGCCACACGTCGTTTTCTGGGATACTCAGCTTGGCAAGTTCCACCTCAACGAAGCGACATTCATGTTCAAGATTCCCTTTGTAATCCAACCTACAATATTTCGACCAGCCTCCTCATGAGCGTACGATTGGTGCCGAGTTTACCAAATGCGTGAAGGCACCTTTAGAGTTGAGACAAGTGGCCAGCGCCTGCAGTTTCCCACCTTTCAAAATGGCATCGCCAGTCCCAGACCCATAGAACTCCACCATTGCAGCCACCTGTCTCTCATTGCTTGGCTGTTTATACCATCTCATATGCGTTGCGGCTATCATACCTGCTGTGCCTATTTTTTTCCTTCCTTCCTCCCTCTCTCTCTTCCTCTTTGTCTCACTGGATCACTAATCTTGTCAGCAATCACATGCAATGAGCATGGTCAGCACGAAGTCTTGCCCGCTGGTTTCCCTCACAATCTCTCTACCGGGTCAGTCGGTGGGGCCCATCAAGCCATTGACATACCGGGCAAGACAGGAACACAACGTAATGTAACATGTTCAAACTCCATAATGGCTAGGCTGGACAGGAGGAAATGCTTCCCTGACAAGACAGCCATGGAAGCGGAACCTACCTTCTTCCCTTGACGGAGAAATTCTGCTTTGCCATGCAGGGCGCTACGACATTCCAAATTCCTTGATAACGGAAGAAGCGGCTAAATTTTGTTTGGCCTTGGGATCGACATTCTAGGCACCGAGAGTGGCCGGGGTCTTTCTGGGGGCCCGTTGCATTGCTCTCTGCACGACGGATTCCGCGGGCAGCAAGCATACTGGTCAGCAGCTCCCTAACTCACGAATGAGCTTTGAGTGCTCGAGGCGGACTTGGCGACGGATTCGCTTGGAGGCGAGATTGATGATCTCGATTTGGGAGGTTGGTGCATGGGAAATGTGGATGAGAATTGGACATGAACGTCCTCCTGTCTAATAGGTAAAGGGAGGGGACGAGGTGGGCTCGAACTACCGAGACGACGCTGAGCCAGCTTTCTGGACTCTCATTACATCATAGGGCTGGATAGATCGCCGGAAAATCGCCGTAAGGTTCTTGAATTGAGCCTGACTTCATCCGAGGGTTCTTGGTCTCGTTCGAGGACGGACCAGGGTTTTCGGGCTCAAGACTTGAGCTGCGTGACCAACTGAGGCCAACAGATTCTCGCCTGGGCATACATGCTCGTACTTATGCCTGGGTGGTGCGCAAACTCGAGACTTTTTGCTTTTTGTTGTTCCGTGGGAAAGGATGCCGAGAGCCGCACGTAGGACTCCTTGAACCAGCGGCTCGCTCAGAGGCATAACAGCGCTCTGTACTCGTTTATTCTCTTTAAATACACCCTTCTTCATGTAAGTTCATGGGACTCACGACGGGAGATCTCCGCCACGGCTATGTTCCCTTCGGAATGTAGGACGAAGGAGGTGTCGGTCCCATAGGTTACCCAACACGCAGGGTGTTCCTGCAACATATCCGACAGACACGCATATTCGTGCTCTTGCCTCCCGATCCGAGCGAGGGCTCACCGCGGGTATGATGCCGTCAACAGACGCTCTTTCGTGGGACTCAACTATAAGCCACTCTTGCTCCCCATGCCCCGGAGCTACCCTTCAACCAATAGTCCTGGCTCTAATCTTACCCACAGGGGTAAGAGTAATTCTCATCGTCGATCGTGAATCTCACAAGGAGACCTTGTGATGGGCCATGCCAAGAGTCCTTGGCGCACGACCGCCTCCTCCCGCGATCGCCTTCTTATTATCGGTGTGGTTGAGCTCCGGGTTTCTGCACACCTTAAGATGAGGCCGGGCAGAAAATCGAAAGCTGGCGCGCACATCCTGCCGCCGGATCGGGGCCGAGAAGCAAGCGGACGGCGTCGTCGGTCTCCCTAATAGACCCAGACAAGGCTGGAACGCAAAAGAGGTTTTAACTCTGGGCTAGGCCAATTGGTGATGATCTCATGGCTCGCTTCAAGAGAAGTGTAAACAGAAGGAGCATGGAGCATGGCAGAATGTAAGGGATTGGCATGCACTTGGGCGTATGCGTGGACATCCTGCCCGGGCAGCAGATCGCAACATATGTTGGTGACGCTAGCCTGCAAAGCCCATCTCTCTAGTCCCCGCCGAAAGATGAGCTTTCCGTCCCGTCTCCAAAATCTTCCGGCTTCGAGCACCTACGACAGCCACCCGTGGGCGGCTCCTTATAAGAACCTCTCTAGGCTAATGGGCCTAGAGCATGATGTCCACAAGCAGCCGCAACATGCTTGACCAGGAATAGTCATGAAGACTTTGAAAAACCACGACCGGGTCCTCCGAATTCTCGATTTCCAATTCGCAGAACAGAGCGGTAACATCCATGATGTTGAGGAAGAGGACAAAAAGCGCATATGTGACTGGTTTGATGGTTCTCAAAACGAACGGTTGGGGAGGCTCCCCATCCAAGGGGTTTGAGGGTGGCGATGGTCGAGTTAGCTCGCGCCGTAAAATACCGTGTTCAGTGGGATGTCCATATGTAGAAAAAGGCTTGGATCACAGAGAGATGTAAATCTGTCTCAAAAAGTCTGTTTTCAGGCTGTTTCTTGGGAAGAAGAGTATGATGACTGGCTCCTTTCCTGAGTTTTGTGGCAAGGGGAGGAGGTCGAATGCCAGTGTTTCTCATTGATGAGGTGATGGTATCCAGCACTATTGACTGCTGCGTTCCGACGCACACGCAGCTCTCGCCGTGTCAAAACGAGCCCTTTTTATTCGAGTACACTACGGTTGAATTTGGAGTCCTGACGTTTGGAACCAGACCTTCAATGGACCCGAGGTTGCCTCTCAGCTTCTCCTATCCCTCTTGGAGACCACCACACTCACATCTGCAATCGTCTGCATCTTTCTGAACTAGACACTCCACTAACTGCAGCGCCGGTCATAGTTTTAAAAGTCATATAGAGGGTGATCATGCCGTCGTTTTCCTAGACTAGCTTGGGGTGCGTTGGGTGGCGGATGTCATGGCTGCTGACGACTGAAGGTTGGTAAGCTCCGGAGAGTCAACGAGTTTCCCAGGAGGCGGGCCAATGGCTGATTCGGAGCAGGCTTAGCAAGTTTGTCCTTCTTGATCTACCTCTACTCAACAAAGCAGCTTACTAGAAACGCGACGACGCCACGTTCTTGTCAAGTATGACAAGATGACAGGGAACGTAGATCGTATTTTTCAAGTGGACAGCAACTGTTCACGAGCTAACCCTTCCTACTACCATGATAAGACTTTTGATTCTACGGCGTTGGGGCGCGACGAGCATTGGCGGGCTTCTCGCACAGCTCGTCATGCCGTTCGGTGGAGCCGCCTACTGTGCGCACGATGGTAGATGAGCAGTAAGGGAGTTCAGCTACCAACTGAACCATTCCTCTCATCCCTCATGGCCTGCTATTTGATACTTCTTTTGCGGATATTCTCGCTGTCCGCCGCGTCTCTAGCATGCTCAGCGCCACGCGGCCCTCGTACTCGCGCGACGAGTTCGTATTTGATCTGATGTCCTACGACGAGTATCTCATGCAGCTCTTACTTCCTCCCTCAGCCATCGAATACCCATCTGAAGGGGGCTGGTCACACACCGAGT